ATTGATCGAATACAGGGATGTATTTATTTATCATCTCACTTGCGAACATCGAGGTTTTGGCGGAATTGTACGATCATGTTGTCTTACTTAAATAATAACTTTTTTAATAAATGTTAATTTTACTTTTGCGTCTTTATTATATGTCGGGTTTTCATTTATTTTAAATTCGAAATTGTCCGAAATACTCCAACAGGTGTATAAGTACAATAATAATAGTACTTACCAAAGTACTTACCAGGGAAGTTTAACACACACGATGTGTTAAGGGCATCGTAACTCCCGTTTTTTTTAATTTGATTGTTTTACATTCTGCTTAAAAAACAACGTCGTTTTGCAGTCATCCAACGTAACTCTCGCGACCAAATCTTTTTTGTTTTGTATGGCATCGTCGTGGCGCAATTTATTGCCGACTGAATTTTAGTTGTGTTTTAGGATAAGTTTCTGTTTGTTGGTTTCTAAACTTGGGTAGCAATTACTATTAATGTGAGATTTGTGCATATGAACGATTGAATATCGCGACTGGATGTCCGATATCTGAGAATGCGTACTTCTCTTTCAACGTTAATGTTCAGGATATCATCGTTCATGTGGTCGAATAAAAATTATTTATCAAATGGATTGGTATTTCGAGACACTCTCAAAATTATTTGGGATCCACTATCATATCATTCGTTTATTTTTTATATTCATGTTTTTTTCAAGAATCACCCTCGTTATATTTCGTTACCTTCGCAAAAGAAACTCTTTGGTGTCATCGTTCCTATTAGTGTAATTGAAATATATGGAAACCTCGCAAGTGGCGTTGTGATGCGAATATTTGATACTAGGTCAGCAGCATTACAAAGAGTGCTATTTATGAATGCTGATAGTACATGGCATTACTAAACCTTTTGCCAATATATGATGTTTTCTGCCCGATTTAAACTAACTCGCACGCAAACCAAGGCATGTCGACATTTAAAAATTACTCGTTTTTGGGTAAGCTCTGAAATAGTATAGTATAAATGTAAATGATAAATTAGTTCACGCTAGGGAGGATTTCCAAAGTGGTCTTGTGTAATATTTCGGAGAAAAAAGTTTGAAAGGAAAGTAGGTCAACCTATCTCCTAAAACAGGGGAGTATCCTGCCTAATATTTCGGAGGGAACGTAGGTGTGGGTTAACCTATCTTTTAAAACAGCGGGTGGCGACTTTCAGAGTGGTTCAAAATCACAAATTAATATTTATCAGATTAGGTTTAGGGATAAATCGAAAAGTTGAATTTCCAGCGCACCTGACCCTAATTAGTTGATTGCTATTTATATTTGGATCCACCCTGTAACTAATATGGTTTCCAGCCTGCATGTATCAATCCTTGTCTGTTAGATGGAAGGAGTAACAAATGTGAAAGCCTTTGCTGTTCACGCGAGTAAGCAACTGACACAGTGATACATTGAATGAAAGTTTTGTCCGCGGCAGGTGTTAGCACATGTCCTTTCGTTGCCGATGAATTCGCTTGTTTTAATTAAACATGAATTCGCTTAAAGGGAACGCGGTTAACGGAAAAGCTTCTTATTAATTCATAATATTAACCGGAGGAGCGCTTTTTCGGGTATCTATGCCGTTTTGAATGGGTTGTATGAAAGGCTAGGGCACCTAAGTTGTTAAAATCGGCAAAAGCACTTTCGCACTTTTTTTTCGACTGCGAAGCAGTTTTGCACTCATAATTCGCTTAGAGTTAACACTGATATAAAGTCTTTAGTTATTTTAAATTGCTTGCCGAGAAATACCGTAGTATGTTCGGTATGTTTTCTCGGGTTTGGTTTTGTGGTGTCTTAATATTATATTCTTTCGTGACAGATCTTACTTGAAAACACCCCAGGCAATGTGGTTTAAGGTCGTTGTGGGCAAGAAAATACGTTTTCTCCCAGTTTACCTCGGTCACTTTTTTTCACACTGATTGTATGATGCATTGGTTTTATTTGGCTAATTTTATTACTTGTAGCGTGAGCAGGCCAGGTGCCATTGTCGAAGAACAACCAAGTCCGTCTAAGTTGGGACTCCGGACACAGCTAAAACAAACTGGATCGCGCGTCGCCAAGCCAGCTCCGCGGTTCGTCACTGCTGTCAACATTTCCAACTTGTGAAAATAGAGGAGTGTTTTACTAAACTAAAAGCACACAACGTCTCTTCAAATGAGAAGTTACTTAACTCGAGCTTGAAGGTCGAACTTTAAGTGCGACTTAGCTCATCGGCTTGGTCCTGTTTGCACAAGACAATTCATTTTTCTGGTGCGAATCAAAGGCTGCATATTGGCGCCGTCCTAATGCTAATAGATAAAATATTAAAATTTCGTGATTTTAACAAACATCAATCCCGACATCAGTATTAGGAAATGGGATATTCCCAGTTGGAATGGTTCAAAAATAACTCGAAAATGTTCTGCTAATAAATACAAATATCTGCCAAATGAACGCTAAAATTATTTCGTGGGACGCACGGAATGTGTCCGGGGGCCGCAGTTTGGACCACCCTGTGCTACGATCTTTGCCATCAAATTATGCTCGGGCCTTGCACAAAATTCATAACGTGAAAAAATTCGTTCTACGGTAAAAATTGTTTATAACAACTTTGAACCTATTTAGTGTTTTTAGCAATAATAATTAATTGCTGTAATGAAATACGGTTTATTTGCCTCTTTTATTTCTTTCGCTAGTGCCGACAATTGCACCGTTGAATGATTTTGGCAATGGGAAAAACATTAAATTGTAACAAAAAATGAATCAAGTTGTGCAAAAGTGATAATACTTTTGGTAATAATAAGGTTACACCCAGGGGAGGGGCGAGAAAAACAAAAGCGTATTGCGTCACGTATTACTCGTACGGCCGCGCATCTCTTACAATAATGTGAGGTGGGTCTCGTGTACATTATTCTAAGGAAACAGTTATAATATCGGTAACTATTAACCATCCATTTTTAATACAGAATATGTTATGTTAACACTAATAGAATTTTCCTTATCTGATCTTCTATGTTTTTTAATATTTTATAGCTAAATGGCTTCAAGAGTAGAAAATGTTCCTGTTTTGTGATAAGTGTGCCGCAAATATTTAAATAGCTCAATAGTGTGCCGTGACATAAAAAAGGTTGAAAACCACTAACCTAACTTAATGAACTCGTACGTCCCACAAATCACAATTATAAGCAACTACGCGAGATATGCTTGTCCATTATTGTTCAGTACAAAAATGGTGATTGTCAGGGTCTTGGTTTTTATGCGATGTTTTCATATCTTCGCACCAAACAAATATCTGATATAATTTGATTGCTTATAGTTTGTTGCAATATTATTTAGAGAATGAACTTTTATTTGAGGCCATACCCAGTGCTAAAATCAATCAATTGCCAATATGAAATATCGTAATGCATGGTTAATAGTTACCTAATTTCGCTGACCATCAGATCCATGAATTACGATCGCCTAACAGCCACACGTTAGGCAATATCTTATTTTGATGACGTTACACAAAACTTCAGAGTGAAAAACAAATCTCAAAGATTCATAAAAATAATAGCATTCTTGCGACAACAAGAATCTTCAACCACTGAAAATTTTAAAGCAATTGGTCCAGTAATTATTAATTAGCAATAGGAAATTAGACAATTAGAGCAATCAGGCCGGGCTGAAGCAGGCCACATACGTGGTAGTTGCTATTGGAGGATCCCAACTTCGAAATTGAATAGAGCTTTCAAATCTGATTACTGCGAGCGTATTTTACAAGTAATAATAAATGTGGATTCTAGATTCAAGGATGCATTTTGTTTTCATTCAGTGATTTGAAATAGTGAATAAAGTGAGTGTGAACTCTAATGACCGTATGGTTGTATCTAGTGATGGGAATTTTAAAAACGGGTTCTCTTCTGTATTGAACGCACCAACGACAGGTTCCGTCATTTAAGAAAATATATGTATGTTTGTAAAATGCGGTCCACGTTACCCATTTGCTTCAATCATCTAAAGCTGACAGAGGCAGACTACGGCCGGATGGTCAAATCTGGCCCGTTGGGTAATGCAGCCTGATGCTCCCAAACTGAAACCGAATTTTGTTATTTTATTCGGTGGGATTGGGATTAAATTTAGTTATTGCACGAAGCTTATTGTTTTCCACTTTTGCTTTTGTAACATTGTAGATATTGTTCCTGGAATGCAACTTTTTACGTAACACTTACATGACCCGCGACCCGCCAGTCTAGTTAGGCAAAATTGTTGGCCCCTGGTCCTAAAACCTTGCCCACCCTTGATCTAAAGTCTAAAAATAAGCCGACATTCCAACGCCTTAAAGCACTGGCCCTATCACTCTCCCATTTCCATACCAGAATAATTTATTACTTGTACGTTATTAATATTACGATGACTGTTTATGGGGTTGACGAAGCAAATATTCTTGTATGTACCTCTACTCTCTTATATTCTGGTACACACAGGTTCTCACCAATTTCGATGTAATCATCGAACTAAGTTGATGAATCAATATCCGAATAATAGCGAGTATCTAATGACTACACAGTACACACCATAGGGCTGCCATCGCTCGGCGGAAATGGCAGTAAAGCTTTGTTTACCTCACAGACTGATGCTTACTCATGGTTCACCAAAAATATTGAAGTACGGTGACTTATTAGAGTGAAGAAATGAAATTTCGTCTCAAACACAGATAATCGTTGGAGAGAATGACTGGTATGATGATCATGGGCCATTTCTGATATCTGCACCGGTTGGTACATTTGTACTGAACAGGGATGGACGAGCATCTCCATTGAAGTTGGTTATAAATATGGGACGTAAGAATTTAGCAATTTTGGTCAAGATATTTTATCAGAATTTCTCCCTGTGCCTATGTTGGATATCTTTGTTCCTCCCTCACTATATGCATAGAACTTTGTTTTCCCCTCATTGTTCAATCCCTAGCTAGTGTTATGAGCACTCCAAATTCTGCATAGTTTGAACAGCTTATCATATGAGCATAAACATGTATTATTAAGTTAACAGTCATACTGAAAAACAATAAAAATAACAAAATCAGCAAAATGACATTGAATACAGAGTAATTTCTAGATATCCGTCTTCACTGGGGAGGGATTTCTCCCTGCTTGGGAAATGTTGACTTAGACGAATTGTGATAACGGGTATGAATAAGATATCTCTGAACTGAGATGTCATTAATTTCAGGCTTGAGGCTTTAACAACAAAACCCCAACAATAAATACTGTTTTGGCTCAAATTACATTTCACGTCTATTATCATTGCCCGGGGTAACTTGTTCGGCTTTCGCTTTATCATTTTTACATAATACAAGACATGGAAAGAATTTTTCTCTCCAGTCGGCATAGCAGAATAGGACGCAACATATATTTATAAAAGCATTAATCGACATCAAATATTCAAACGCGATTTGAAATACTACGATTGTTGCTATGTCTGTTACCATAGCAACAATTGTAGCTGCAGTGCAACGTTTCATCAGTCGTATGAGACGATCAGGAGGTTTTTGATTTTGATGTAGAAATTTTTGGCGTCGTTGGTGCTTTATTAACGGAACTAAAAAGAGAATGAGGATTGCAATCTGTATCTCAAGCTGAATGCTCAAAAAGACGTAAGTGAGGATTCCTAAATCTTCATAGTAGTCCATATTTGCTAGATGGTATATCCATATTATTCCCATTAACAGGCCTGATATTATAATGAAGCATCCTTGGAAATAACTGAAGATTCTTAAATATTTAGACGAAAGTCGTTTTAAAGTTGGCTCCGTATTAAACATCGTTTGTCGAAACCACAGAACCATGTAGACAGATGTTATCAAGCACGTGTACAATAGATGTGCGGTTAAATATAACTTGGACAAGTCAGTGCGGTCATGACATTTTTCGAATTCACTATTTAGTTCCAACCCGCTAGAAATTTGCATTTCAATGTCCATTTCATCTTTATGGAGTTTCATAAAACAGTTATAGAAAGTCACTTTATCGATATTCACCGCAGTCAAGCAAGCACTCAATGAAATACCAAAGATCCCTGAAACGACGAGCGTAACATTCATGGGGAGTTGTATATTTGAAGGCTTCAAGACATCTTTTACGCTTCGAATTCTTGTCTTGTACAAACGTTTCCTGATAAAGATGATCATTTGACAGATAGTGATGTAGAGAAGCAATACCGTCGATATCGAATTCGCACAAAGATACCCAATTTCTATGTTTAGTTCATTTTTCTCGGCCATGTTAAATTAACAAAATCTTCATTCGCAGTTGATTTCAATTTGTATAGTGATATGTTATTAAAAGTTGATTTCCTCAAAGTATGCGATTTCTGATTTTCTGTCAAAATTCAAAACAAAAAGTTTAAACAAATATTCCCATTCAAGTTCAAAACACTCAGGATTTCACGGAAAAATCTGTTATGAATACATATATCAATAAATATCTGGGGCTTGTAGAGTTGTAAAAGATTAATTAAGTCACCACTCTAAACCAGTTGCTATCTTTCTACAACGCTGCAAAGGGGGCAACAATGGGACATTAATTTTCGTGCTCAATTATTGGCGAAATGTTGGTTTAGAAATATTGATCTTTTCAATATTAGTATTAGCGACAGCTATTTAAATCACTAGATCATCAAGAAAATAAAAATTCTGGATTCGATTTATGTATTCTAGAATAGATTGAAATATTCTGTTTTGTTCATAGCACAGCACGGTGGTGACTACGTTATGCTGCAACTAACAAGCTCAGAGTGAGGATGCTGTAACCTCGGGAAACAATTACTACGTATTTTCTTCTGATCTAGAAAATATATTATCTATAGTTTTCGAAATATCTTTTCTCGCTGTACAAAACGTTTTTGTTTTTGACTAATTAAATAAAGCTAACACAAAAAATCCAGGCGCTTCTCAATTGTCAGTTAGGCTAATGATTTCTTTACAGACCCCGACTTTACTAAAATAAGTTCATTGCGCCATGAAAACAGCAAAGGGCTTGGTTAAAGTGAAAAGAATACAGGCTTGACCTAGAATTAATTACCTAGAGCAGCGGTTCCCAACAGGCTGTTCGCGGATCGGTGCAGGTTTTTTCGCTGATGTAACCGACTTGTTACCGAAAGACGAAGTTACGTTGTGTTTTTATTAAAACAATTTTGTTTCCGTTGTTGTTTGACATTTTGAAAAGTATGGTGTTGATTGCCCAACGAATTACTCGTCTTGACCGACGAGCAATTAAACTTTTCTAATTATGTCGCGAAAGAGTTTTGTTAATTCATTATTTAATCTCCAACTTAAAAATCTGAGAATATGCAAAGACTTGTTTAATTACGCATTAGTTACATGAGTTTTATCGTATTTAGACAACAACAAATATTTCTTAAAACAAAAAGCAAAAATTTGAAATGTGTTGTATTTCATTCCTAAATTGCTCTGCTATGTGCGTCAAATTTAAAAGTACCCAACGGATAAGAATATTATTTGTTCCACATTTGTTGCTGCACTCTGTGTTTGTCGTCCACGTGAAGGTAAAAGTGTAAATTTAAGTCTAATTGACTGTTGGATTGAATTGTTTGGAACTTTTGTGTGTGTGTGTGTGTGTGTGTGTGTGTGTGTGTGTGTGTGTGTGTGTGTATGTGTGTGTGTGTGTGTGTGTGTGTGTGTGTGTGTGAAGTATGCTGAAGTATATTACTCGAACACAGGTTATTGGATCTCCGCTATAGGAGACCCTGTTCTCAGTCTCTCTGTTGGATCTCCGCTTCAGGAGATCCTTATTATCGGTCGTTCTGTCTGTCTGTCTGTGTGTCGATCTGTAGCGTCTAAACGGCTGGGCCTATCTATGAAAAATTCCTCATGTGAGCTCTCCTATTAACCTAGGAGTGTGCGTTTTATCGGAAGTCCGGATTAAAAAATTGGTTTCCATGACAACAGCGAAAATGCGCCGATCATTAGAAGATTCCACAACTTATCGCCGTTTTCACGCCAACCAAGTTGAAAATTGAAATTCCAAGATTGCTACCTTCCGCGCGGGAAAATACTCTGTTCAACAAATTGTGATTTGTCACAATACTCCATAAACTGGGGAAGCCTTAGGGATTTTAGCAAACGTTATTTTTTTTCAATTTTTACGTACCGAATATCAGTCACGCGAGTATGTCTACGAAACGCGCAGGGTTTAAATCAACTTGCCTTTTTGACAACCCGCTCACTTACCGAATCGCGCCTCCGTTAGAGATCCTCAAATTTCTTTTGATGTCAACCGGTTGTTTGAGTGCGAGCCTCAACTATAAGCGGAGATCCTGGGCGCCTACCGGCTTGTAATAGTTATGAAGTAATGAAGCTTGTATGTCTGTCTGTCTGTTTGTCCAGATGTAGCGTCCAAACGGTTGCACAGATCTGAATGAAATTTTTCACATGGGTTATGCTGTCACCCTAATATTATGCGCTTTTACCCAAATTCAGGACTGATATTTTGTTTCCATGGTAGCGCCTAAAAAAACGCGTTCCTTAAATTTTTTCCAGTTTCCCGTAATATTTCGCCATTTTCTACGTCACTAAGTCGAAAATTAAAATTCCGAAAACACTACCTTTTGCCCGTCTTTCATGTCAATAGTTCATGAACTGGGCAAGCCTTGGGAATTTTAGTGAACATGTTTTAAATATTATCCGCAGCATATCATTCGTGCAAGAATACCGACGAGACGCACAGCACTCAAAATTAACTGGCAAATTATATATCCGTTGGTTACCCTGAAATGACGTGAGCCTCAATCATCGGCGGAGATCCATACTGGGCGTCTAACGGCTTGTATTTTGTTTTATGCATTTCAATATTCGTTGCCGTCCGCGTACCTGTCCCCCGGGGTAGAAAAGTTGAAAACCATAGGGTTAGATATTATATACTGCATCCGCTGGGCGTTATAATAATACAATTTCATTTCTGTTTCGAATCCAGTCGGGACGATTTAGAGTAAATCAATATGTTTTTTTGAATACTGAGCTCCAGATTTACCTCTTTCGCCTTTTTATTGTTTATTAAATCATCGGCGTGGATTGTCCTGATACGTTTTATAACTCGACAAAATGATAATCACATACAATAACCTGTTTCGCCATTTTCAGACCAATGGCATAAAAGTCATAAAACTTGCTAATAATGATACCTTGACTCAGGAAGCCTGTCTAAGATTCCAAAGTTTTTATTCTGTACGGTAATTCTAGTTTTCGAAAATGAACACGGTTATCATTGCGCCTACATTACAATGCAATCAACTATGTCACGATTTTACGTGTTTATTTTAGTTTCTGGTATGAAAATTTTTTGGCCTTAGTCAGGAAATTAACCGTCATAGTACTGAAATATCTTCAACTGATCACGCCTAAAACTTAGGCCGGATTTCGGCGAAACTAGTAAAGATCGAGTACTCTATTTCCATTTAAAACATCGACAAACTCTGAACAAATGAAAGGAGTCTGGGAAGGGAAGATTAAAACGGGCGTTCTTACTCTCAACAATCAATACAAGCAAATCGTGAAGAAGGCCGTCACGATAAATAGAATTAAACACGAAACGTGTACTTTTTTAAAAATAAAAATAATAATAGGCTTCTAGCGGCTTCAACAATTAAATGCTAAAATTGAACATCAATTAATCTATTAGTTTCGGAGAAAGTTTATTCGACAACAGCCCGAATTTAGCAAAACGTTTTATATATGGACCACTCCGTTTCCAACAAATATTTAGCAAAACGATATATAACTTAGATAAAAACTAACCGCTTCAATATTCAGAAAAAAAATTGTGTGAATGAATAAATAACAAATAGCAGAAGGTATTTTTGTTTTACATCGTAATTCCTTGAAAAGTCCCTTCGTGAAAAGTCCACGTGAATTTGGAGCTGCCACGAGTCTGACAGGTACGAATATTTCAAGGTTGGTAACGATCACCCAAATTAATACAATTTAGGCATTTAACTTGTGAAAACGGCTTTAAGTAAAATATATCTTAACTGGTGCGACATTACACTTCAACCATCGAGTCCCAAAAAACAAAAAAAATTGTTGGTATATATACAGTTCATTTTGCATCAACTTGTTCGGCTTCCGCTTTATCATTTGTGCATAATACAAGACATGGAATGAACTTTTCTCTCCAATCGGCGAAGCAGAATATAACGCAACACATATTTAGGAGAGCATTAATCGACATCAAATATTCGGAAGCTATTTGGAACACTACGATTGTTGCTATGTCTGTTACCATAGCAACAATCGTTGCTGCAGTAGAACGTTTCATCAGTCGTATGAGACGATCAGGAGGGTTTGGATTTTGATAAAGAAATTTCAGGCTTCGTTGGTGTTTGATTAACGGAACTAAAAAGAGAATGAGGACGGAAATCTGTATCTCGAGCTGAATGCTGAGAAAGATAAATGTAAAAGGATCGGCATAACGCAGATAGTACATCCATGATATCCCCAGTATCACGCCGGATAATATAATGAAACATCCTTGAAAATAACTGAAAATGTTCAAATATTTTGATGAAAGTCGTTTTAAAGTTGGCTCCGTGTTGAACATCGTTTGTCGTAACCACAGCAACATGTATATGAATGTTATCAAGAACATGTAGAAAAACTGACCGGCTGAAAATAACTTAGTCATATGATCACCATAATTGACAAAACATTTTTTAATGACAGAAATTTCCGTTTCATTCTCCATATATTCTTTTTTGAATTTGACGAAACATTTCCAATAAATCACTTTACTAACATTCACCGCACTCAGACAAGCACTCAACGAAATACCAAAGATCCCTGAAATGATGAGAATGGCATTCATAACGAGCGGTATATTTGAAGGTTTTAAAACTTCCTTTACGCTTCGAAGTCTTTTTCTGTACAAACGTTTCCTGATAAAGATGACTATTTGACAGATAGTGATGTAGAGAAGAAAAACCGTCGATATCGAATTCACACAGAGATAGCTAATTTGTTTGATTAATTCATATTCACCATCCATCTTTAGTTGAAAAACTACGCATTCAATGTTAAATGCAATTTGTATATTTTTCACTATTTATCAATGTCGCTATTTACTTAGACTGTGATTTTTGTTGAACAGCTTAAAGAAAAAATAAAATGATGAATATTTCCTTAAGATATCGGAATTGCTTTGTTTAAGTAAATCACCTTAAATTTCCTAGTATACAATATTTATAAACATATATCTAAATGTTGGGTTTACCAGGGGATTGTATATAAAACTGCACCTTAAAAATATAAATTGTATTGTATATAAAACTGTCCTTTCTCCTTGTTTACTTTTTACTTCGTATGCGTCAGTTGCCACAAGGATGCTTGACTGAGATAGTATTCTGTAGATAAATATAATTCGTAACATAAGCTGAGCATTTTCTTGAATCATTGACAACATTTATATTTTTACTTTCAAGATGCGACCTTGTTTTATTCATGTCTATATATTCATTTTCGCTCAAAGCAACATTTCGAAACTACAATTTGAATTTTAAAAAAAAAGAGTTTTGAGAGATCGTTAGTGCCCTAGTAGCGAAATGCATTCTAGATATCTACACTTAATCTTTATCTTAATTTTCTATTCCTAATCGAAAACCTGAAATAGAACTCAAGGCGTTTCGTTTATTATTTTTGACTATTTATCTTTGAACGAAGTTTTTGAAAAGATCTTCATCTACTTTCAAAGAGTGACTGGAGGGTAGATAGATGCACCAGCTTGTCTCGTTGCCACTAATTGTGAGCAAGGCCTTTCATAGGACACTGATAAAAAAGACGTTTTTCACTCCAATCACTGAATACCTGAGGTATACTCTGTATACGCCAATAAATACCACTCAAGTCAGGGTTAACGTATGATTAAACGTCCTATTTTTATCGTTAAATAGTCTATTGATTATAACTGCTCGATACAAAAACATTTTTTGCGATTGGAAGATTAAATCAGAAGAACCTCCTCAATTGAATAAATCCCAAGGCTAAACACCATTAGACGATAAATTTTGAGTAGGACATTCTTGGCTTCCAATACTAAAATAACATTTAATTCGATAAGTATTTAAAAAAAATTATTGGAAATTTTGCTTGACAATGTGTCTCAGTAACGTCTAATCAATAAACGGAAATGACGGTATTGAAAAATCCAACTTGTGCGCTTATTTAGAATTGTAATTTAAGCTTGATCATATGTTTGATCTATATATATAATGCTTTGAAAATTTACTACCGTCAGTATTGAGGATGATAGCACTTTGAACTAAAGTAGACTTAGTGTAAAAGAGTTCATTCTAAGGTACTGTTTTATTATTTCAGTATCAACATTCGCAACTATATAATGCTATCGACCAAAGTTACACAGCATGGACATTCCTAAATTGTTCGTTAATTCTGTCCTTCCCACCATCATTTAATTAGTACACTAATTAACTGAAATTTAATTTTACTACTGTGATCATAAAAGGGGATCAGGAAAGATGACCTGAATTTTACGACACAGGCACATCCCCACTTAAAGTATAGTCAGGCTTGTCCGTGGCATTGGGACAGCACACATTTGGATTTCCCATTCAACACGAAATGTTTGAGTATTCGATTTTTATACCAGATTACGTTTTGTGTGTCAACAAAATGTTTTTACCGGTGCGGTTTTAACATGACAGTGCGTTCGTATGGGCCTTTTTTATTATGTTGTTGTTCCTATTGTTGCTCTTGTTCTTGTTGTCAGAGTTTTTCTTCTTATCGTTATAAAAAAAATTGCTCTTCTATTTAATTACTGGATCAATGAAATGAAATTTTCGGTGATTGAAGCTTTTATTTTTTTTAAATTTATTCCTAATTTTCTATGAATCTTATGATGTGATATTTCATCAAAAATTTTGCTGTATTATTTTTCACTAGTAGGGACATGATTTTAAAACTGAATCATGTATCATAGATCATATTCACAGGACCTGGAAAACCTAAGACAGTCCGCGTACGGTTACCGGTACCCTGATACAGGTACTAGTAAGTTACCGTGGCCGTTCGGGATACCGTATGATTTTCGGGGAATTGATGGTAGAACAATTCGTTATGGACATTGTGTTCATATATTTGATGATAGATAGCCCTCTTGATAGTTATTTAATATTTCTGAATCTTTAAAGTTAACAAAGTCAATAAATTTGGTCGATTTGCATGTCTCTTTGTACATGTAGTAAAACGCTAACCTTGGGTTCAACATTTTTTATTGAATTGGATTTCAATGGGACTCCCATGGGATGAGACAGTCCACGATATATATATATATATATATATATATATATATATATATTTTTGGATTTACGGATCAGGACGACAAGTCTGGAATCCAGCCCAAATGCCTTCATACCCAGTCTACGCCGACGAAATTTTTATGGATCATTTCTCTTCAATAGAGATCACCATTGTATATAGTATATACTATATACCACGTAAAAGTGGTAAGCTTCCTGTCATCACATCCACTTATATGTGGGATGGTATTTTCTGATTTGTTGGGGTTTTACGCCGTCAACTGGGCGTTTTATACAAGGGTTTTTAGAAGCCGAATTGTGCAAAGGTTCCGATATGAGAGAGCAGAGAAATTTGGTTATCAGGGGCCGAAATTAAATAAGTCCACTCACAGTTATTTTTTCTTTTCAACGTCTGTTCTTTTGCTTACTGTTTTCGATGTTAAGGATTCTGTGAATGTTGTTGTGTCCTTTCTATTTCTTCTGTTGTTGTTCTCTGTAAGGTCTACAATTGGCGGCGGTGGTGACAGCACATTTGAACCCATACATTTGCACTCGTATATCCGCGGGTTCAATCTATATGCGGGTGCTAAAATCCGTGGGTTAGTGTTAGTATAGGTTCAAATATCCGTATGTGCAAATTTCCATAGGTACATAGTATGCAGGTGCAATTGTCGTGGGTTCAAGTTACGGGTTTAAATGTACGTGGACTCAAATGTAATGGAACCGGTGGCGGTATGTTCGACTCCAGGTTTGCTGGCGCTGGAGTTGTTGTTTCCGATGGCTTCCTCCTTTCAGCGGCAGGAGACAAAGAGGCGGCGGCGGCGTAGTTCTCTGTGTCTTTTTCTTGCAGCCGATCCTTTCGCCGTCGAGGGCCTAATTCAGTGAAGGATTGCCTTAATCAAACAGCGAATTCAACGATATTATTTTCTTTTTTATCGTTATCCCACTTCCGCTGATACGTGAGGAGCTGCTGTCGTGTTTAATTTCCTTGTCTGTAAAATAAGCTATCGTTTGTGGTGGATTCAAGTAAAAATCTGTACCTATGAAAGTAGAGGCCTTTCGCAAACCATTTCGTTTGATACGAAAAACTAAGACTAAACAATTATCGACAGCTTCAAATAAACAACCACTGATCTGTAAGCAGCTACAAACATAAGCGCTTTCATTGAATGATACATATGTATGAAAGAAGTTACCATTTATGGTTGCAAATAAAAGTCATACAAAACATGTAAAAATGTTGCAATAGTCCACTATAAAGCATGACATTATGGTTTTTATCAGTGTTTAAAATAGGAAAACTACGCCTATGCCGAACTAAACAGTGACAATAGGTAGAATGCAGGAGTAAAAGCTGCTGCACTCAGTAGAAAAACGACTTGATAACGTGTAGTGGCACCTCGTCAATTGTGGTCCAAATATAGTATGTCCCCTTTTCGATTGAATCTTTTTGTATTGTCTCGGTACAGTCTTTTATGCGGGGAATAATAAATATCCGGAAACCTTTTGGCAATCGCGGAAATCGACGGCAGAGTTTAAGTGTTTATGCTTATCGAGATATAATTTGAACGAGAAAAAGAGAAAACAATTGTAAAATTGTTCAAACAAACAACAACGGTGTAATACAAATATGGTGTAATAAATTGGATAGAAAATATCGAACCAAAATGATTCCGGTCTTTCTATAAATAGCAGATCCTTGCATGGGGCCTTGGGTACTCCTGTAGTATACGACCCAAGATGGCGGACACCGTCACGTAGTATGAGTACCACGTAAGGGTTAGCCCATAATTTCAGGTACAAATACTACGGGGTCACTTGGCTAGTCCCCGAACTCGTAATAGAACTAAAATAAGGAAAATTAGAATACAATTATGGCCTTAACCTGGTACACATACTACGTTCCGGTGTTCGCCATCGGTTCGCATACGACATGAGCCTTGTTCTGAAAGGAATAAATGAGCGTCGCATAAATAGCCTCTAGTTCAACTACCAGTAAATATTCAAATCCCAAGCCTAGCACTTCACCCTAGATATGGATATATAATGCTCAGCCGGAAAAATCGCAAAACATTGTTGATTGCGGTCAAAATATTGTATGTTTGTTATTTCAATTTATTTTTGTATTCCTTTGTTTTATTAAACAATGTTTGTTGCGTGACTAAACCTTAGTATCTGAATTGAAATATATTAGTTGCAGAGAAGAACGAATTTTTCCAAGCATATTAAAAAAATCACAGCCTCGACGATTCATTACTCGACTCCGCGTCCAATAGGAAAGTTATTTGTCAATCATTAGTCTGAGAAATTACATTTCTTCGTTTTTGCCAATTATTTCAATCTCGGGGCTGAGAAATGAGAGTTTACTATTTTGCATAATCCAGCACAGAAACAAGCTAATATTTACCACCATGCCTGAAAATATGTGAAAAATGAATCCAAACGGCCGCTAAAACATCAATTTTTACGCCACCAATCTTGATGATTAGCCAATACTAAGGCAATAAACAAGTGAGTCGATGCTCTGAGAAACTTATATTGCTATGACATTGCTTTTGCCCTCCGTGAAATAGCATTAAAAATGCATTACATCACGATTATGAAATAAAAATTGACGATGCATTCAAAGTCAAAAGCGGCTGCATTCCAAATTTAATACTCGAAAGGTCCGGATTCGGACGGCGGTCCGCGAGTTGAGTAGCCCTGCACTAGTCCATGGGCTCCCAAACTGGGTATAATTACCTCCAAAAGGAAATTTGATATTTTAGGGGGTACTTTCTTATGTAATCCCTGTTTTTTTTGCTGGTATGCGGAAAATCTGGATGTGCAGTTTTCGATTATATGATATGATTCTATAATTATTTTATATGTTCGATCATTGTGGTATTAATTCAATAAAATTTGTATTTATATAAATGAAGTTTTTTGGACGCCCTTATAATGCTTCAACCTTCACAAATTTACCTCTTATATATATTCTGCCCTAATCAAATACTTCAGGGGTGGCCAACACATTGTTTATTGTTCTACAGATATGGCGCAGCAAACCTTCAGGGCGAGAAAGTAACTTCGCTGAAAAACGTCAGGGTTCAAAGAATTAATTCAGGGAGCGGAAATAGTTGTGTTTTCAAACAGGACGAATACAGTACTGTACATGCGCCAAATACGGTATACGCACACAGTATTTGAGTCTGGACAAGCCTGATAAAGCTTATTATTACGTAACAAATGAAAGTTTTGCCGCTGCCAAGGTTTAGAAATGAACGTACTGAATATCGTGCGTTCTGACTGAGAAACGATCCTACAATAGCTTCTGCAGTATGCGCAAGTTATTATCTCAATCTGAGAGTGCGACAAATATCAGAATCTGATTCCAAGAAAGCGAATGATTTGCCTTGATGGAACTGTAAATAAGATACTGAAGTTTGAGCTGTCATTAATGTTTTATTTTTTATTTTTCTATTATAGGAAATACAAAGCCCTTTAAATATTGAATTAGCTCATGTTTGATGTTGGAATAAGATACAGTCTGTCTTCCACTTTACCGAGGTTTTATCGTTTAACATTGAAGAAAAGTGCCACCCTGGGATTAAATCAGGACATTGCTCATGTCGTTGTTATTATAATTGCGTGCTGACAATCTTATTTTTATGAAAGGGTAATTGAGCTTTTGATAATTCGATTTATCGTAACGATATTAAAATGTTTCGGAACTACAGCACTAGCCCATTGTTTTGTGAATAATCATTGTAATTTCAATCGGTTTCTTCAAATTCTGAGTCACAGTTGCGTGTTGGGTGAAGCGAAAAACAGGGAACAATCGAGAAAGTTGCAATGTTGAATTTGACGACTTCCTCATGACGAGACATGACGTATTTTTTTTGTTTTTTCTCGTGGCAACAAAGAAAGGATTCCCACACAAAAAATTATATATAGCGAGGGTAACGGTAAATAAACACTCGAGTTGAATAAAGTTAGATTAGGGTCGGTTACGTATTGCGTGGCGCTTCTAAATATTTGTTCTTTGCGATTTGATCAAATGTTTTGTAACCGGTTAACCGATTTTAGATGGTAACGGTTACGATTTATCTTAACGATTACGATTTATCTTATCCGTTTACGATTTATCTTAACCGTTACCTGACATCTCAGGTACAAATTATCTTTATAATGCACAATTCCTTCCAAATATGATTACGTATCGCAAATTTATCTCCTGTGGCGTTTAATTCAAAATAGTATCGCTAACTGTATTGGTAAGACCAATAAATGTGAAAAATAATCGAAGTACCAAGATCGCTGAATAAGAAATTTGTCATTAATTAATTATGAATCAGTTTCCGGTAGAAATATACTTTTCACAATTTTATTTGAAAATCGTATATTCAATGTCAACCAACAAGTGCGTAGTTGATGCTGTTTTTCTTAATGATATATATCTCAAAGTAGAATTTGCACAACGAACACTGAAAATTTGTCACATAAATGACATTTAATAACGAATCGGGTTTTACTAAAATACTTCCATATGTCCAACCCATGCTGCATATCTCTTGCAGCAGACCGATCATGAAAACTATCTCGATTCGTGAATAATTTCGAGCGATACCGGGATAAGGTCACGCAAAATTATTTTGTAACCATTGCAACGTAGCAAGCTGAAATTATAAATTATTGTGTGTCACGCTGCTGTTACCGGTTAATTTTACCCGGTTAACGGGTAAAGTGTTTTACCTGAAATTCCCAGACCTAGTTCCATCAAGTAACTTTACGTTCCCTCGAGGGTGGAAGGAATCGTTGGTCGGTTACAGCTTCCTTTATCAAGTCCATGCATCATAGCCGTGCCATATGATTAAACAGTTTTTATCGGCTTTTCTCTCCCCCTGGATAAGTATGATAGGTCGTTTCTCCTTGTATATTTCTACTTGGGATCCTTATGTGACGTTAGCCACATGGATAATTAAAACGAGATTCGGAAATAGGATAAAGTAATAAGCAGTAATAATTGACCCTACTAGTCTATTCTTTAGCTTCAGTTACTTTCTTCTGACCTTACAGAGATTCTCATTCTATTATTTCTTTCCAGTGATTATAGTATCATGAGTCGTTCGGTAATTATTGTGTTCCTCTGCCATATGTTTATGCTATTATGGCGACACAAAATAAGCATATGATATGCAAGAATGTTGACGACGTGTTTGCGGAGGACGAAGAAGTTCGATTCCCAATTATGGTTCAGCCCACTCTCGTCGGTTACAAGGCATGCCTGGTAAAAGAGGTTTGAAAGGCGAAAATGGTGTAATCGGGATGCCTGGGGTCAAGGTCAACAAGGAGCGCCTGGAATTGTCGACTATCAAAAGTTAATGCTACTGTTGAACAACTAATTGAGATTCCGGTAGGTGTATTAGGTTAATATTATAGTCCTTCCTTTTCTTCTGCATGGACTGCTTTCATTCAAATATGTTAAACTAATTTTAATTTTCATGATATAAATATATTTTGCTGCTTGAATTATGTTTGTGGTGCATCGTACATTGAGCACGTTTTGCTCCTGTTAAATCATGCATTTACAAAAATAATTGCATTTAACCTGTAGGGAGGTAAGTCTAAATTTTTGATAAAATAGCCGTTTGTTCTAGACAACATTCCAGCAATAATTATCGTTTATCGGCGAGAAGAAAAATTAGTTCATAGTTACCCCAATTGCTCACTAATAGTAGCTAGTCTAGGGCCTTCTTTAAGTAAAACATTTGTTTTCACAGTGGAAAAGTTAGTGACATCAAGAATTGAAGAATTAGAAGAACGGATGTTGGCCAAACTTGATGAATTGGACGAGAAGATTTTGCAAGGTAATATCAGTGAATCAGTTATTTCCGCTCCCTCAATTAACTCTTTGAACTCTGACGTCTCTAAGCGAAGTTACTCTCTCGCCCTGAAGGTTCGCAGCGCCGCATTGGTATGACAATAAAATAATTCGAAATATTGGGTATTCTGAACGTTTGAAGCTTTCTACCAATTATGGGTGACGAATTGACGGACGGACTCAAACGAAAGCAAATTTTATCGTTCATTGAGATAAAATTTTACATTTTAAATTTATTTTGTCAAAAAATGAGAAATTGATTTTAGTCTAAAATTATGATCCCGAATCTCGTATTTGGGTGAGAAATATATTGCCAATCACATAGAGCTCCTTATATTCTTCCAGCTAATACTTACTTCCTTGGCTATTGTATAACCAAAATTATAGCGAAATATGTAATTCTGTGTCTGGTAATCAAGTTCAATAATCCACCACGACGTACTGATTACGTAGTTAGGCAATAGTTACGAGTTACGCAATAGCGATCACATGACTGGCGCCACAAAGATGTTACTACGTAAATTCGAGACGTATTGCGTCTCAAATTGCGTAAGATAACAATTATTAGTTTTGTCCTGTCAACTTTGAGACACTGGGTGCGTAAAATGATCATCGTAATGGTCTAATTAAATTATAAATTTCTCCTGGAAAATAGTTTGTTTGATCGCCAATATTAGTTTAAATGAGTATTTGCCTGCTCATTAAATCAAAATATCAGGTTGTACGAAATGCTAGTCCAGTTGTCCAATGTTTTTCATTATATGGCGATCTTTTAATGTTTCGTTTCAGTGCACAGGGCCGGGAACCATTAAAAATTGCAGGTGGTCCCTCATGGATTTTTTTTAAAAGTTGTGGGAATCACTGTACCAGGCAATCTTCACTTTTCGAAAAAAAAAGTTTGGAGGACTTTAGCTGTCCATAATCTTGAAGGCGAATTTTCATGCAAGCAGCCTGCAACTCCTACCGTCTTGTATATTATGTCGGACAACGTGATAATACGTCTAAAATGGTTTCATGTTTTTTTATTGTTCTGTTATCTACTAATAAACCATGATTTGGTTTATGTATTGTACTGCTTCCACAAATTGATGGAACTACGTCGCATTATGTTGTTGGTAACGCCACGTTGTCTTAGCGACGCAGTCGAGACTATACGGAATATGTGACATATTTGCTTATAAAATTTGAATGGCACAACGTAAAATAATTGCAAAAGTGTCCATAGAAAGATATTCAAATTCTCTAGATATAGTGCCGATGGAACATCAGTTATTTCTTAAAAAAAATTTTTTGGTATTTCAAATTTGCTTTCACATAATAATTTCATACGCACTTTAATTAGCCAATTTTACTATAAGACAACTGAAAAATCTAAAATCAATATTTATGACATAAATATTCCTATTGGCCAGCTTTTGTGCAATATAAAACCTATTTGAACACATATTGTGGTTCTTGAGATATGAGAGCACGAAGTTGCTTTTGATTTCGTTTTCTGTGTAATCATGACGCGATGACCTAGTTCTTACAGCTTAGACCAGGGTGGTCCAAGGTGGTCCTCGCGGGCCACACTATTATTTTTGTATTGTTCGCGGGCCACAATAATGCCAAGGACATGTAAACAGTGCAATACAAAACAAACACTTACATTGTCAAATACATTGATTCTTTGATTTGATACATTATTTGACTTTTTTTAAGCTAAAGCATGCAAAAACCACAAAAAAAACTCACTAAAACGTGCAAAAATCTTACTATATCTACATTTAGTGTAAGATTTCAAACTTTTCATAACGAAAAAAGTATCAAAAAGAAAAACTGCCGTAATAAATTGTCACCGACACAACTTGCGGGCATATCAAGCAAGCATTGTGGTATTTTCCCTCCCACACCCAGTCAAAAATATGTTTAAATTGGTCAGCTTTATTTTTGGACTCATGTTTACAAAATAACATACACGTAACTGCAGATGGATTGATTACCAAATTGTACCAAATTTGAGATACAGGAGGGTGATTACTCAATTTTCTGACATATAGGCAGCATTTTTTGTAATAGTGTTTAAGCTGGTTACAAAAAAAAACGGCGGGAATTGTATTGTTTGGCCATACATTAATATTTAGTAATCAGGCATAGCCAACCTAGGCTAATAGTTTTCTCATACGATTTTCAGTTTTCTATGAACCCTACTTTGTTAGCATATATTCCCGACCAAAAAGATGAACAGCCAGATAAATATTTAGACTGCCTACACATCTTTCAACTTTGCTAGTTGCCTCAACTAGACAAAACACTAGTCAATTCAGTGGAATTAGTGATGTAACATTATGTCAAAAGATTTTTCTGGTTATTTTTATCACGAAACAACACCAAATGCGACTTTTTGTTTACCCTCGCGCAAATGCGAGGCGGGCCACAGATAATGAAGCGGCGGGCCACATGTGGTCCGCGGGCCTGGGTTTGGACCACCCTGGCTTAGACTGTGTTGGTGGCATTGCATATTACACATCTCGGGTTCGAACCCTCCTATTCATCTCACTCAGAGGGTGAAGAATTTGTTTGGCCTGGGTCCTTCAAATAACGGAAGCCTCTTACATTTATCAGGGTTGCTTAAGCATGATACTTATCCCGGATCAAAAGGAATAGGCGCCGGATAGAAAAGTCAGGATTTAAACTGTATATATATGATTTTTGCAGAAACTTGTGACGGTGTCGTGTACCTCGGGCAATGCTATATAGCTTCATTACACACTGCACAAGATGTCAACTACGACAAAGCTGTTGCAATGTGTACAAAAATGTCGGCAAAACCAGCAGACATCATCGATTATCCACATTATGATATGATTTTCAAATATATTCGAACACTGATGTCTTCTTCACTCGTAGAAGTCATGTTGGCAATGACATTTAACCACTCGGTATGTAGATAAATCGCGACTATATATGCTATACAGTTAGAATCATTTGTGAGAACTATCCGATTTTGTAATGAATCCTCACTTCATTATCAATCTATCTCAGTCCAGAAAAAACCCACTTTACATACCTGCTTTAACCATTGGCCCAAAGTTTTATGTCCATCCTTGCGCAGAACATACCATGAATTGCATTCAATACGCCTATTCTTAGTATTTCTCCAAAGTTTTCAATAATTATTGCAACTTAAAACAAACTATCAATGCCACTTAACATGCCTGCCTACCCTACCACCTACCCTAATTTAATATTTATCTTAAATCCCATTGTATCAGATACCTTGATCTCGAAAAAGATTTTTGCGCCGAATGACATGATAGTGTTTGCAATTTTTTCTATTTTCGGAGCAGATTTTTCTCATCCAATTGTGTATCATATATGGCCCACTATAAAGTGAATAGAATTCAGAGCGTCCACGTTTTAAATCACTATACCTCGACACGTTTCAGGTCAATATTTCTATTTACGTGTCTTTATTTTCAACAGACGAAAAGAGTTTTACTGTCAAATGGTAACACTGCTCCATACACTAATTATTACTCGGGATATCCTCGCTCTACGACATCTCACACTCAAATGGGGATAATCGTGAGGAATCCATCGTCTGGTGACCAAGGAATGTACAACTACCCACGATTGTATGATAGACACGGAGTCTTGTGCCGGAAGGAACTATTTTCATCAAATTAAGATTCTTTCTAAATGAGTTCATAAACAGATTCTGAGACTATGTAACACCTTTATGAGAAAGCAATAATCTCGACTAACAATTCGCCCTCAATCTGACTGTCATTTCAGTTCATTTTAATCATTTGTCTAAACTTTTACATTTAATATTCAAATTTATTTTCATTACTTACAAGGCGGTTAAGCTGTTTGTTCATAACTTTCTTGTACAAAGATATCGCTCCCATGCGGAGCCGGATTTAGACGTTGTGAAAGCCCAGGCTATATCACTCGTGAGGCCCTCTTTAATATTGACGGCATAACATCAACGGGACGTCAAGCTCATTAAAAATAAAAATATTCGTTAGATTTGATCTTGCTCGCCTTATTTTGGATATTTACAATTCGTTATTTTGGATATTTACTCTCCATTCACATATTTTCAACCGTTGTTTTCAAATAAAACATACTTTCGCCGAACTATATGTTATTTTCAGCTTATTGTTAGCTAGTCATTTTTGAGGTGGGGCGGAAAATTTGACAATTTCTAAAAATGGGGGCGCGGCTTAGAAAGTTCGAGAACCACTGATCTAGATAGTAAAAGTTTTCTCTGGCGCTATAGTGAAAACAAATTACTAAAGCAACACATTCATAAAAAAAATTGTGAATATACCTACTATATATATATATATTTATGATGTAAATAGTTGCATTTTGCTTCAAATTTTTCCAGAAAGCATTTTTTACTTGCCAGGGACAAACCCGAAAGCAAAAATTTATCTATTTTTATTTTCCGATAAATAAAAGAAAAAGCGTTCGAAGTTTACTTGACGAGGTGCTCCTATAGTTTGATCTAACCAATAAGCGATAATGAGGTTACTGAAAGCGCATTTATGAAAAATCACGTTTTTTACGTACTGTTAGATGTAAGTTCAATTTATTAACATATGCAAACTAAAACACTAAATTGAAATTGGAATTTGTCGGAACCATGGCATAGAAGTCATAATACTCTCTAATAAAAAGACCTTGGCAGCCATACTCCCATCAGGCTACACGTCACATCTATGCTGGATTTTGACGCCATGATCCATGCAGATCGGCCACTTGACGTTCACTAATTTTAAGATTATGATGAATTCAGAAAAACGAAAATATAATTTGTTCGAACAGGGGGATAGTGTGTTCCGCGTTTTCTTGGGTTTATATATTTGTATTTCTGCCTTGTTATTATTTCTTTATTATGCAAGTCTACCCATTCGTTGGGAGAGAAAAGGTATGTTTCAGAATTAATCCAGCTTGGGTTGGTTTAGGGGTATGCATGATCGGCCTTCATATATTGTTATAAAAGACTAGACATCTTGGATTGCAACTCCACACTTATTATATATCAAAAAGTAATACATTTGAATATTTGACTTAATACACGGTGATTTCTATGAAAACCTACTTATAAATGGTTACATTTTCACATTTGTATTTGGAAAGACAACTAATATTGCAATCAAGGCTGACTAAGGTCCTAAGACAAAGTCAACAGCATTTTATAAAGGTTGTGTGTATCTTATTCCATTCGTACGTACTTTAGTTTAGTTTTTAGTCTCATTTCGTAAATAGAAATATCAATCACCAGAAATATGCCTAAGATTCGACGGCGGATTTGAAGTTGAGTCTTTTCATGGCTCAATGTTTGTGGAGTTGGATGAAGCGTTTCTAGTTCTTTTTTTATTACGTTTATGCAATGCACACTGCGAGAGGAAAACTGTGAGGTGATTTTCAAACTTAGAGAAGGTTGAGCGTTGAAAGATAATACGGAATTGTATACCGGCTCGAAGGCCTATTTAAGGGCTACTTGAAGACTGCTGCGGATGCAAATACTTGCAACAAAGAACGGTACTCTCGAAGTATGTAAACCAAGACGGCGGACACCGGAACGTAGTATGTGTACCACGTTAGGGTTAGGCCCTAATTTCAGGTACAGATACTACGGGAGTCACTTGGCTAGTCCCCAAACTCGTAATAGAACTAAAATAGGAAAAATTGGAATAAAATTGTGGCCTAACCCTAACCTTGGACACATACTACGTACCGGTGTCCGCCATCTTGGTTCACGTACTTCGGAAACATTCAAAAAACTAAAATGGCGATTTTCGTATTTTGATTAGATCGTCATGTAGGCAAAATTTAGGTTTGGCCCCCGTATAAAATAGTGAGATTTAATTGATGTTTCATTTTAAGCCGCAGATATGTATGAACCAAATCCTTTAAAGTTTCATATGGGGAGACTCGAAATCATATGCAATGCAGGAGAATGCTCTTTATATATAATACGCAGTATATGAATGATATTATGTGTATCAATATCAAATCTTTTGTAACCAGCGATTGCAAGAGTGTCCTTGTTTAAAATAATTAGCGCGGTTAAATCTACACGGTTCGCAAACAATGTCGGCAAACATAATAAATCAAATCAACCAATATTTACTTCCTAAGCGTTCGAACCACATGAATAACGACGGAGTCTAACGAGGGGATATATCAAGCCCATTGCGTTACTTATAAACGGACGTTGACATTGGTCGGTGAAGACGGGTAATGCGGTAGGAGTAATCTGCGCAAATTGTTGAGTTCGGCGCATTCTTTTATGTTTCAAGTCTTCAGTCAGGCCTTTTTCGCTTTTCTCGACTCAAATTTACACATTGCTATATCATCGTTTTCAATTGTTGTACTGTCTAAGAATGCACACAATAAAACCTCATTCATTTTGTACCAATATGGATGTATTTTGTTCGCCTACTTTACATAAAGTTGTGTAAAGGGAATGAAACCTATGGGCATGGGGTATATCACTTGGCGAACACAGTTAGTCCCCGAACTAGTAATATAACTAAAATATGGAAAATAGGAATAAAAATATGCCCAAGCCTAACCTGGTACACATACAACGGGAGTACCCATTTTTATACATAATTTAATCTTACGGTTAGCTGTTCTTGTCGGTGGTGCGCCTGTCAGATGCACCAGATGAGCTACTTAGAAGACTGTCCGCACAAAGATTATTATATTGCTTACATCTTCATATATATTCATTTTCATTTTACTGAAATCGTGCATGATTGAATACGTCAGGCACCAGGTTTGAAACAAGTTCTAGAAATTTCCAATAAAAAAAAATTGCGAGCTGCAGTTTGATTAGGAACTACCGAAAAATATTCATAATATTTGGAACTGTAACGAATTTTACACTATACATTTAATAAATGTAATTGAATCTACATAAAATTTTAAAAGTATGTATTAATAAATGTAAAATAAACGATTTTTATAAAATTCACCACGGATTCTGGGTATATCAATAGCTTCTGAAATATCAGTGTATTTGGTTCAAATTCTATACTTGCTTTGGGTTTGACGTTCACAGAATATCTTTATTTAGGAATTATCATATGAAATATTCACACACTTGATTCGGATTAACACACTTGATTCCTAAATAGGAAAGCAGCTAATTTAGTCAATTTGAATGTCGTAAGCCGATTTTTTATCAACAAAGTTTCACTCCACTGTTCATTCATTCACAAATTGGACGACTGGCTGCAATCTTCCATTTTAATGTGCGTTTGCTCTCGCAGAAAAGCGAGAGAATAACAAAAAAGGGAAGTTACGAGCAGGTTAGCAAGTACGACCTAATGTTGTGTGACAGAATCAGTAGTAAATATTGGTTGACGTAAAGATCCGCATTTCCATACTGCTAGGCAGGCAGGATATATATATTAAAACCATTAGAGTAACCCTGGTAAAGGGGAATCTTTAAATTGAATTCGTGCAGCAAGGTGAAGCAACTTTACCAGTTATTTTGCTATGTTGTAAGTAACAAGTCTGCCATAATATAGAGAAACATAATCGTCTGTGTTTTCATTCTAGTTGCAGTGTTGATAAAATTATTTGTTTGTTTGTTTTATAAAACATTTTTTATTTTTATATCTATTTTACTGTATCGACATTTATTTTCAGTTTCCTCATAGTATTTTAAGGTTTATAAAATCAGAACATGTCATTCGAAAAAGAAGCGTCATCTGATGTAGTATTTTGTAAATGTTGTTGCTCGAAACGACAAAAATGTGGAATGCTATCAGTTGCAATTACAGGATTGGTCCTCAGCATCGTCGGAGGATTGCTCTATCTTTTCTACCATCTTATCTTTAATGCTGTTGTGAAAGAAGTAAGTGCATCTGGATATATTATTACCGTGTTTCCTCAAAAATAAGATTGGGTCCTATTTCAATTTTTTTTCGAAAAATAACACTAGGGCTTATTTTTAGGAAAAAATAGGAAAACCGATATTTATTCACTTATAAATAAAACGTTTATATTTAGAAAAAAAACTGCTAAGAATATTAATCATTTAAAACGTGTAGGAGAAATTTCTTGCTATCAAATGAGTCAAAAAAAAATTCGCGCAATTGACTGGGTTCTTTTTTTTAATGGGAGGGCTTAACTTGAAATCATTTTTAAGATTTAGGCTAGTTCTTCTTTTCAGGCTAAGTCTTATTTTCGTGGAAACACGGTAAGATGGGCCATCCTACATACTTGTCTTGATGCAATTTTTTTCCCCGTTGCAGCTGCTAGTCTATGTGAGCATCAAAATTTGCCCTCTAATCATCCAAACTCGAAATCATTCTCGTCTTCCTATTCGGGATGTCATAAATCATTAGTTTCTAACTTTTTCGATAAACTCCCCTCTTGCTTATTTTAGAACTATTTATTCCTTGTTCGATATGCATAAAAACCGTTTCATTTTTATTCAATATATTTGATGGGCAACCTGCACTCTGACTTTTTCACAGTTTGGATATTTCATGTTTCTATAGGTATCAAAATACTACTAAATAATTACGGTAGATTATTGGACACGTATTGGACTTATGGATCATTTTGTTGTTGTTGTTGCTCTTGTTTGTGAAATAATATAAAGCGATATCTCCAAAAAGAACCTCTAAATTCCTTCCTGAGGTGAAATTCCTCCCTAGTTAAGAAACGCTGTCATAAATTAAATCCTTCTCAGTAAACCAAGACGTATGATTGACTATTGTCCGAATTCTGTGATTGCCTGCTTTATAGTGAAACAACGCAAAATGGAAGCTCTTCATCACAATGACAATGAATTCAATGACTTAGGTCTAGAAAATGGACTTTTGAAATTATTATCCGAGCTTCTAATTTTGCAGTAGCAACTTTACCTAATTCTGATAAAATCAATATGTCGGTTTTTAATCTATTGGTAATCAAACAGGGTTTACGAGTATTGTTTGCACAATTGAATGTCCTTGAACAGACTTTTTTCCTGTCAATAAACAGAGACAGTTATCAGAAAATGGGTGTGTGCTTCACGCTTCGAATGAGAGAACCAGAGAACGTCATGTAATAACGACGTTTTTATTTTACAGCAAACAAAAATAAGAGAAGGAACTTTATTATACCCGGAATGGGTAAAACCTTCTCAAAAAGTATATGTTGGTTTTTATTTGATGAACATCACAAATGCGGAAGAATTTGCCGCTCAAAAACCAGGCAATTTTGTCAAACCTATTATAGAGCAGAAAGGTCCATACACGTACAGGTTGAAATGCTTTTTGGATTTATTTTCATCAAAATAACAAATATTATTTTATTCGAGTTAATATATATTTGAATAATAAATTGATTGTGGTTTGTCTATATTAAATATTGACAAACATAAAATTTTCTTTCAAGTCAAGCCAAAGCAGAGCACTGCACAATATGCACAATATATGAAGTCTATTTATAATGTTCTTATCTAGGCGTGAAAAAATAAAAAAAAAATTCAGGTTTTATGGCAGCATTGCCTTTTGGATAAATCACACATCATAACGATTAGAATTTAAGACAGCAAGTCGAAAATGCGTAATATATTCGAAAAAAGGCGTAGATGATTGAGTAATACAATTTACAATTTTGTGACTATATAAAATCAGGCTTTGGAATTTGGGTATTATACCAATATAATTGTTAGGCAATAGGATGAAAATATATTATGTAAAGATGCGATCTGGTACCGCCTATCTTGTTGATATTCTACTGACAGTGCTCTACTATTAGGTGATGTCAAATAATATTCATTGTCATAGGGCTTACATCGAAAAGGATCGAATTCAACCACTCGACGTTTTCCCGAAACAAATCAGCTATCGTCAAACGTTTCCTCTTTATTTTGAGCCTGAATTAACTGTCGGATCAGAGGATGACTGGATAACTACAATCAATTTCATTCCTTTGGTAAATCGTCTTTAGAACATAACATGTACACAACATATATGCTAAAAATGAATTTATAACTGAAAATGTTGAAGTGCTTTTCGTGTACAAAAGACAATTATTGGACACGAAGTGGGCCTATAAATCGTTTTAATATTATGTTGCTGTTGTCGTTGGTATTTTTCTTCTTCTTGTTTTGGTAACTTTTTTTAAAATTGTATATGGAAATTATAATTTAGTGTAAAGCGCAATACTTTTCGTGCATTGTCTAATTACAAATATAGTATATTAAAACTTTTGAATTAAATCTTAAACCGCCAAACATAACAAATTGCATATATTGACAAGCATTACCTTATTATTGAATATTAAAATATTGTAAATAAATAAAGGGAAGCAGGTAGCTCAATTCACCTGTATGATAAATTTATTGCTTTATATTTCAGGCGCTGGGTCCCTTTTTTAAGTATGTTTTGTCTTCTCCCGAAGCGGAAAATGTCACCAATATTCAAAAAGCAGCAATTTATCGGACATTGAATAGACTTATTGAAGACGCGAATTCAACATTGATAACTAAATATAAAGCTGGTGAAATGCTTTTTGGAGTTCGAGATCCCCTACTTACATCGATTATTGATGTGATAAACGTTGTTCTGAATCAGACGAGTCTTTCACATTTGGTGCCAATTTCTGACTTATTTGGTTTATTCTTAATAGTAAGTATTGATCATATACGAGCTTATAAAACTAACCAAGTGCATTGGCAAACGGATTCAGGATTTTATTATTTACGCTGCATACTGGCGCGTTCCGTTCCGAACAAGACCCTGTATATCACGATATGTAAGAAGAAGTTACTGTCGACCCAAATTATCCAGTTCGGCCTTTTTATTACACCCGAGGTGAGGTGAGGGCATGGACCAGATAATCTCCGATACCAACACAGTTAAATCTAGCCGCTAGGCCATCGCGACGGCCAAAAGCCCAAAATAATTGGTTATTGTAAAGTGCATGGTAGTGATAACTGAACAGGGTGTCCATCAAGTCGCTTTACAATTTATGAAATACTGATCAACTTAAAACAACCCTCATTGCGATAACTCATCATTCTATTTTTTAATTATTTTCCTAAATTGTAAAGAGACTTCATGGTCAACCTGTATATATATTAGAGATTTGGTTTTAAATGGGTGTTTGAATTATTTCATAATTCCAATTTTACTGATGTTGGACAATGATGAGCATTATACAGGTATTTTCCAGCAAATACAGTTCGATCTTCTTCAGGTGATTAACAGATATACATATTCACATTTCAGCCGAATTCCACTGCAGGTTGGCATCATTTCAACGCGTACACCGGAGAACCGGATTATCATTTAACCAATATGATCACCTTATATGATAACCAGACGTAGGTTCCATGTAATTATGAAATAATATAATTTAATGAAATAAAGTTTCTGAGGCTATTTTATAATTTTCATAGTTATATTCATAAGGTCTTTTGTTTCAATATTTCATGCTGGGTTTCATTGAAAATGTGAAGTCCGGGATAGGAATTCGGGTGGATTTGAATCTGTATTTTTGAGTTCGATGCGTGTTGATGAATCCTCTTATCCGATGTTTTCAATAGCACTATACCGTTTAATCAGGGGTTACTGTCTCACCAATGAGACGTACAGCAAACTTCCCATATTATTGCAAAAAGTGTGCTTTTCATGAGAGTTGTAACATTGAAAACTTCTCCTGATATCAATTCTGTAAATTGAAACTATTCAATGCTGAAATAGTTTCAGGAAAAATGGGTTTTTTGGTTGAATGCTATCCCGTAGCAATACTTGTGATTCTTTCTAATGATGCAAACTTTTCTTTTATAGAGAGCTGGATTTTTGGTTTGACAAAACTTGCAACATGATAAATGGCACAGGTGATAAAATTATTTGCATGAATATAAAACATATATATATATATGGTATTAGCATTTTTTGTAATATTAAATTTAAAAAGTTTATTTAATAAAGGGGCGACGTCGGTCGTCACGGCTCGAAATTCCATAAACATGAATGATATAGATCTCTTTATTATTGGATATAGGTGGCAAATACTTCAACAATTCGAAAATTTATGAAGTTATACTAAATTCAAAAAAGCATTTTTATTTGTTAGATGGAACCACGCGTCCTCCATTTTCACGAAGAGAGGATATTATCTATCACTACTTTCCAAACGCATGCAGGTAATTTTATTGATGATTTATTCTATTGCTTTGAACTAAGCGACCAAAACCCTTATGCGTTAAAATAATGTCGTTCATCCTTTATAGTATATTCCAACCAATTTCAGTTTGCATAGAATAATATTTACACTATATTTATCCCGAGGGAGAGAAAAGCCAAAAGGCGACTCAATCATATGGCGAACCAAGGCCTCTCGCCCGGTTACCAGTTTATTTCGATCAACCAATCAATTTATTTCGGATATGGAATTAGTTAACCAGTTATTTGTTGCAGATGCATGGATTTGATAGATGTTTTGATACAAGCAAGCATAAACAAATATCGTCCTATTTCAGGTCAACTTATGTAAAATATACGAAAGATGTTACTGTAAAAGGAGTACCCGGATGGGAATATAGGCCGCCCCCTGAGATGTTCAAGGCGCCGAGATCATCAGAGGAAAATAAATGTTTCTGTGAAGAATCAGACGACAGTAACTACTGCATTCATGATGGAGGATTATATATGGCTCAGTGTTTATTTGGTAATGGAAGCAAATATATTTTTGAATGATCTGAAATTTAGCATATATCAAAACAATTTAAGATAGGATCCCATGGGAAAGGAAAGTCGATGAGATGGCTTAATCATATGATCGTACCAGTTCATGTCGGATATGGAATTGGTTCATATGCATGGACTTGATAGGAAAGAAACCCGTAACCGACAGGTGGTTACATGAACCATCAATCCAGCCTGCTCATAGTAATCAGAGATGCGATGGCAAGCGTATTCCTAATACTTAGATTGATGTGTCATACCGCCAAGCCATATAAATGATTGATCTGAGCAGCACATTTTAAACTGTAGGTCGTATGTTGTCAATTCTCCTTTTGTTCTACGAACAAACGCTGAAAAACAGTATAAAATATGCATTTTCAGGTGCTCCTCTGATGATTAGTGCGCCTCATTTCTTGCATGGCGATGGATTTTATCTTGACAAAATTATTGGAATGAAACCTGATTATGAAGAGCATACTTCATCGTTTGTTTATGAAGAGGTACAATATCCGTAACTTTTTTTTTTATATTGAGGCTTAAAACGTTCAATACATGTTCAATTTATTTCTTCATAAAAGTGAATTCTGATTTGGAATTATTTTTGGGCGTATCTTTTTTGCACTCTAGCGTGGGGGAGGCTAGGATGGTGCCGTTAAAACGACGGTACCGTTAAAACAAAAGTACTTGAAGTTAAAATTTATATGCACTGTATGTTAAAACTGCAATTGCGAAATAGTGTGATTGTGGATTTTGGCAAGCAATTCGAGAAAACAAACGCATTTGTGTTTACACAAAAGATTGGACAAAAACATCATGGCACAAGTTATAATAAATGTATATATATATTAGTTATATATGGTAATCCATCCGATCGATTAATGTTCAACATTTCTTGCCGTATATGTATACAACCACTTACCACCCACTTCAATAACAGCGCTTGCATCGAACGAATGTCCTTGAATTGAATACACACCCATGTTACAATGCATGTAGCAAATATTTGCTAATTTGTTCTTTAAATATCTTTTTTGTTTTGCAGCATACTGGTGCAGCAATTATGGCTACAAAGAAACTTCAATTTAACCTTTACGTACAGCCTGATGAAAATATAAAGTAAGCTTTGAAGGTTCCGTAGGCATGCAGTAAAAAGTTACAGACTTATAGATGTCTCACTTATCTTGCGTAGAAAAGCCCGATGCAATTCAGCAATAACAAAGCACTGACAAAATTTGATGCTAGCCCAGAGCAAACGCCGTTGCGATATGAGTTTGTATTGTGTTTCGGCTCTTGGCACCAGCAAAAGAAAAAAATTATTCTCGTGCTGTGACTTGAATAATTGTAAAATTTCAAGTTTATCGAAATCGCACCCTCAACCTAATTCAAACAAAACAACCAGACCCAAGCCATTAGTCACACAGTAACTTGGCCGATTTCTCTGATGTCTCGATTTCTCTGATGTCTCTCTGATCATGATGATTTTTATTTTAAGACTTGAAATACATAAGGCATTCGTTCGCGCGCATTTTTTCTGCATTTCTGAAATTAATTTCCAATGAAAAATATCAACATTTGAATAATGATAAATTGAGAATAGTCCTGTAGATACCAAAGCTTGAAATTCCCATACACTGTATTGCCACAACAGTTCGTTGTAATAAGTTATTCGATTCGTGTCTGTAATTTCATATCTTTCAATTGACTCTTTTTAATGAAGTTCTGAACGTTTGATTTTTTGTATATAAATCCGCTTTTTTCGGAAAATGATTTACTACTTAAACTGCAAATTTTTCGAGGAAACACTTTTAATCCACAATGTGTTTATAATACGCCTATTTACGAATACACGAATATTGTCATTACAGAATCTCACAAATTATGGATGAATATTGGGCATTTCCAATTATGTGGGTGAATGGGACTTACACCATAAACGACGAAGATGCGGAGTTATTATATGGGTAAGTACATAGAAAACTTGTTCTTGGCAAAGTCATGTAGGACCCCGTATTACGGTACTCCCGTAGTATGTGTGCCAGGTTATGGTTAGGCCATAATTGTATTCTGATTTTCCCTATGTTCTATTACGCGTTCGGGGACTGTCTGTGTTAGCCAAGTGAATATACCCCCATATGTTTCCGTCCCTTTACACAACTTGATGTAAAGTAGGCGAACAAAATTAGTTACCCCCATATACACATACTTCTGGAGCGGCGTATTTACATTTGTATTGTGTAATCAAAAAAATAAATCCCCCAAAGTCTAAATATTCCTAAATGAGATACGTACCATCCAATCCTCATATGGCTGCTAGACGACCCCTTTTCGGATTATGGAAACAGCCAATATGTGTAGGGAAACATTATGCGAGAGCAGCCCCATTCGAGGAGAAAATGCGCGATTGCAGTTTTGCGATAAAGAATTCCTTGTGCGAATGTTGTTTTGAGATTTCGCGCAAAAGGTTGTCCTCGCAACTACACTCTCGCAAAAATCTATTGAAGCAACACATTCTCGTAAAAATTCGTGTATTTTTTCTCGTCCTAGGCTATACAGCTAAAATTACATTTTTGCAAGATGATTCTCGCAAAAGACGGTGTGGCATACGTCTTGCGCTAAAAACCCTGTAAACATCTAGGTTACTCGATTCGCCTACGATTTCAAACGTTTTTCGTACTTACCAAGTAGAGGAAAACTAGAGCTATGATCTATATATATTTCTATAATTTATAATACTTTAATTACAATTTTTATTTCAGTCTTATCGTTATATCTGAGATTGTTGTCATCGTCGTTGAAATCTTGATGTTCATAACCGGTGTTGGACTGCTTGTCTATGTTTCCCGCTATTATGTCTTCGTTTATAAAAAGGTCAGAACTTATGAAATTCATGACAAGGTTAGCATGGAGTTAGTTGTATTGTCGACTCGAATGAAATATCCTAACCCCATATTGCGTGAAGCAAGATATACTAACGCTCATACTGGTGCTTAAGTATAATAAATAACTCCATAAACAAACCGGGATTCAGGGGTTCCGCGAAACAGTTATTGAAATGCCGATATAATCAGCGGACACGACCTTGTTTTTTAGAACATAGTTTTCCATTTTCTGGAATAATGAAAAGCGTTGTTAGGGAGTTCGATACAAAAAAAAACTGTTTTTAACATTTTGAATCCCATCACTAAAATAAACTTCGATAGGAACACTAATTTGAAAACGGTTTATTCATCGACATATAACAGTTTCCGATTGAAAAATATTTATACTACAAAAGTAATTCAACACAAGATAATTCAATTGAATGCCAATATTCTGTAATATTATTCATCAGTTGGGGGTCCATGAATGGTTGCTCAATAGTGTGAAGAAATCGACGACTACTTGCAATATACAGTCAGTCAGAATTTATACTAGACGTTTTGTGAATATACCATATATATATATATATATATATATATATATATATATATATATATATATATATCTAATACGGTAGTTAAGTAGACATACCGTGCTAAAAAAGCGACAGTTATGTAGACGGAAAAATTGGGTAGACATTTTCCTGTCCGCTTAATTATTCCACGTTCCATAATTAAAACGTTTTGCTATTTTTTGCTGAAATCTCTTTTTCTCTGATAAAACAGTATCAAAAACAATATGTTTTTTCAATATTTTCAAAATATCTGCATATTTTCGCCAACTTTAAGGGGACAGTAGTTCTGCTGGTTTATAATCAACGGGTATAATTTTCGTACACTAAGCGGACATTTTGTTTACGCTAAAATCTTTTAATTTTTCGGATATGTCTTTACGATTTTTGGAGAGTAGGATTGATAATTTTGATACAATAACCAGGCAGAACATGAAGATCGTTCGTTCTGTTTTTTGCAATATAAGCTCAATAAACTGAAAAGGACCTCAATTCACAACTCCGTACTAAAGAGGCTTTGTGTCGCAATAGTAAAACTGTCGGGTTTGCCGAGAACTTTACCTACCACGTTTGCCGTTTTGTTCGCAAGTAACCTGGACGCCGTGAGGGGATCGGGATCTTCATGAGTGCGTGATTGCAGAAATTTAGATAAAATAGAACAGTTGTGTTTGGAGAAGCGATCCAAGTCTTTTGTGTCAGGTTTTATCAATTACCCAGTGAGTTGAAGTCGAGTCATAATAACTTGAAACAAGGTTTTCAACGTCACCGAAGAATGCTGCTGGAAATCATCACTCATCGGATAAGGTGATTAGTCATAACGATTTTTAATATTAGGGGCACTATATTTTTGTTCTAAGTGATTCAAGAGTCTTGCTGCACACTAACACAATTATATTTACTATGTATGTCTGAAGGAGTCTGATCTTGGTCAGACGAAACGTTACAGAAATATAATTGTGTTAGTGTGCAGCAAGACTCTTGAATCACTTAGGACTGTAGGATAGTTATCTTTACTCTTGCTACAGCATCCTTGCACTATATGCATACGGATCCGCCGGCACAAAAGCATAGAAGAAGGATAAGTAGTTAGTCTTGCAGAAACCAAATCATTAGCATATATTTTTGTTGTTGAGATTTTTCACTTATTCCTGATTATCAAAAGACTACTGATACTGTTATGCTTTTACTCGTCGTAGTTCTGATCTGACCATCAAGATATTGCTACGACTGGGTTTGCGTTTGTAAGAGTGTGTAATTCAGAAGGATTTCTAAATCCAGATGACAATACAAACGAAGATTGTGAAAATTCAATGAATTCAAATTTTTCTCGAAACAGAAGGAGATACGAGAAGCGAGTGGTTGACGCCACTTTATATAGGTTTGTATAGCTTTGTATAAATAAAAATATCTAATACACCGCTTCATATTAGATTAGAATATTTTGTCTCCGGAAAACAGTTTTAAAGAATTGCATTGCTAGCAATTTTGTTTTGTGATTTGGCACATATCCCTGTGTTATTTTACCATCCTCATCTAGTTATTTACTGGGCTGTAATTTTTGTTCACATGTAAGTGACTCTCCAACGAGATGGCCTACGTTTCAGAACTTGGCAGACGGAAATGCGGGTAGTGATTCGGAGAACGCTGTGCCAGGAGGTGATTAAATTAGTTTGCTATGCTAGTTTTTAATTAAATACGGTATCTCAAATTGATACCAATGAATGGTAATAAACCAAATCATAATATCAATTGTAGCCCATCACAAATAGCGCAGCTATCTACGAATAATTGTAGTGCACCGTTTAAAAACACTGTTTGGTGCTCCCGAAGTATGCGAACCAAGATGGCGGACATCGGAACGTAACATGGGTAACAGGTTAGGGTTAGGCGATAATTTTTTTCCAGTTTTCCTTATTTTAGTCCTATTATCAGTTCGAAGACTAGCCAAGAGCCTCCCGTAGTATTTATACCTAAAATTATGGCCTAACCCTAACCTAGTACACATATTACATTCCGATGTCCGCCATCTTGATTCGCATACTTCGGGAGCCCCCACTGTTTTATTTGAGTAATAATGCAATTCCCCATTTCAAACACTTCGTTTGTTCGGTCAATCAAGAGTACCGTAATTCTGATTTGGACTAGAACACTGTGATGATGTTTTGTGACTTATGCATGTATTTTTGACCAAAGTTTCAGATTAGTCAACAGACTATACCGCACCATCTTCAGAATCACTTTCAATAAGCAATGTAAGTGACTTAAAAGAAAATCATATATACGGAAAAGAAAAGGGCTGTAAATCAATTCCAAAAAAAGCTTCTAAATAAACGTGAACCAGAAAAGAAACGACGAAAAGAAAAATAATTGCACGGCTTTGTATATCTTGCGAGAAGTTTATTGTAAAGCTTTAAGACATCTCTGTATAATTCATAAAGATGAACCGGCAGTGAGCACATAATTTTGTCTCTCCTCAACAACTTAATCTAGTGGGCATATCCACATTCGTATACATACTTGACATACATTTTTACTATTTAATTATAAAAATCAAAATAACAATCATGTTTTTGTATTCCGAGTTGGTGCAAAAATTTTAAATAAATTGTGCAAAGATTCTAAATTGATATTGGGGTTGAATAATTTCATGTTGATCGATTGTATAGTTGACTGTATAATCACTGCTATACTTAGGCGCGCCTTGATAGGTAGACATTTGAGTTATAATTGGTGTAATGTTTCTCATTTTAGTTGACATGGCAAAATTTCATTTCGCATTTATAGGCCCCACTGAAAATGTCACTTAATTGAACATTTGAGATATGTTGTGTGTAATGGTTCTCGATATTTTTTTAGAGAATTTCGTGTTTTAATTACATACCTTCTGAAATGGTCGGATGGTTGAAATTTTTTTTGAATGCTTCCTAATATTATTGTCATTCCAAAATATCATTTTGCATTTACATGACACACTTACGTAGCTGAGTAGATGACGATTTGCGATATATTTTCTGTATTGTTCCTCAATATGGTTTCAAAATTTTGTTTTATAATAGTTGTCACTCTCAAGTTATCGGATAGGTGAACATTTGAAATAAATTTTGAGCAATTTTCCACAACATCAAAATATGATTAGTATTCGAAATTTCGTATTTTAGTTATATTTCACACACTAAAGCGGTCGAATAAGTTGACATTTGAGATATATTTTGTGTAAGATTTCTCAATATGATTTCAGGAATTGGTTTCAATAGTTGTATGCTACACTTAGGTAGTCGGGTATTCGGACATTTGAGATATATATTTTGTGTAATGTTCCTCAATATCATTTCAGAATTTTCATTGTGATCGTTTTATGCCACACTTAGGTGGCCGGATAGGTAGACATTTGAGATATACTTTGTGTAATGTTTCTCAATATGATTTCAGAATTTTCATTGTGATTGTTTTATGCCACACTTAGGTGGCCGGATAGGTGAACATTTGAGATATACTTTGTGTAATGTTTCTCAATATGATTTCAGAATTTTCATTTCATTTCTTGTATGCCACACTTAGGTGGCCGGATAGGTGGACATTTGAGATATACTTTGTGTAATGTTTCTCAATATGATTTAAGAATTTTCATTTCAATTCTTGTATGCCACACTTAGGTGGCCGGATAGGTGGACATTTGATTTATACTTCGCATAATGTTTCTCATTACGATTTCGGAATTTTTATTTTAATGTTTTATGCCACACTTAGGTGGCCGGATAGGTGGACATTTGAGATATACTTTGTGTAATGTTTCCCAATATGATTCCAGAATTTTCATTTTATTGTTTTATGCCACACTTAGGTGGCCGGATAGGTGGACATTTGAGATATACTTCGTGTAATGTTTCTCAATATGATTCCAGAATTTTCATTTTAATGCTTTATGCCACACTTAGGTGGCCGGATAGGTGGACATTTGAGATAAAGTTTGTGATATTTCTCAATATGATTTCAGAATTTTCATTTCAATTCTTGTATGCCACACTTAGGTGGCCGGATAGGTGGACATTCAAAATATACTTTGTGTATTATTTCTCAATATGATTTCAGAATTTTCATTTTAATGCTTTATGCCACACTTAGGTGGCCGGATAGGTGGACATTTAAGATATACTTTGTGTAATATTTCTCAATATGATTTCAGAGTTTTCATTTTGATGCTTTATGCCACACTTAGGTGGCCGGATAGGTGGACATTTGAGATATACTTTGTGTGATATTTCTCAATATGATTTCAAAATTTTCGTTTTAATTCTTGTATGCCACATTTAGGTGGACATTTGAAATATATTTTGTGTAATATTTCTCAATATGGTTTTCAGAATTTTCATTTTAATGCTTTATGCCACACTTAGGTGGCCGGATAGGTGGACATTTGAGATATACTTTGTGTAATGTTTCTCAATATGATTTCAGAATTTTCATTTTAATGCTTTATGCCACACTTAGGTGGCCGGATAGGTGGACATTTGAGATATACTTTGTGTAATATTTCTCAATATGATTTCAGAGTTTTCATTTCAATTCTTGTATGCCACACTTAGGTGGCCGGATAGGTGGACATTTGAGATATATTTTGTGTAATGTTTCTCAATAGGGCTGGTGTTCATTTTTCAATTACGTGCCACATCTGAGTGACCGAATAGATGAACATTTGAAATCGAATTTGTGTGATTTTTGTCTTCATTAATGACATACCAGAATTCCCATTTACAATTATTTGTTTAACTTAAAAGGCCGGATAGGTGGACATTTGAGATAAGTTTGTGATATTTTTTCAATATTATTGGCATTTCCGAATTTCATTCTGCGGTTTCCTTCTGCGTATATATAATTTTCTTTTATTGTTTCTCAAAATAATTAGCACTTTCATGTTTTATTTTACTACACTTCCTTTTTAAAATAATATTTCACACTTTAGCAATCAAATTGGTGATACATTTGAAATATATTTTGTGTATTGTTTCTCAATATGTATAGCATTTCAAAATTTTGTTTTTCAATTATATGTACGCTTAATAACTAGCCATATAGATATGCGGATATATTTTGCGCAAAGTTTATCAATATTATTTGAATGCAATAATTTTGACTTGGTATTGATATCTTGACACTCACAACGTGGCATCTGTTTAATCTATATGTTACACCATAGGGTTGGAATAGGCGAACATTTGTGATATGCTCTGTGTATTTCTCAGTTTCAAATATATATTACGTTTGAATCAATTTGTTTCGATTTGTCTACCTTCACGTTGCATTTTGAGTATTTTTTGATATGGAAGATTATTTCCTACACCAAACACAGTGCATCTCCCTTGCACAAAATACTGAACATTGAAAAAAAATGCTATTTTCTGTGATAAATAATGCTAAATGGTTCGAATCCATCGGAAATTAAAGCGAGGTCATACGTTTTAAAGTGCGTAATAAAATAAAAGCAGCATCATTTATGTAGACAGCCAGGGCGACATATAAGAGGGGTCCGGCTTAGTGCCGAAATAGGCTAAAACATTTGGTGGTCTGAATTAAGTGGACGAATTAAGCGGACAAAAATTTTATATCTGTTATCGAGAGGATTGTGTTGACTCTTTTTCTCCGTAGTTGTCAACGGCTCTCGCGGTCTCCAAGTACGTATTTAAAAACAATGATACGGACACAGGAACGACGTCCGCTTAAGTACTGCAATTATGGCAGGACCGTTTAACTACCGTAATAGAGTTATATATATATATATATATATTTATGAATGACTTTTTTTCTTGTTCGACAGGAGCAAGAAGAAAGTACAAGTTCTAAAAGTTCAAAAAAAGAAAGTGTGTACAAATTCACAAACGGAGCTTACAATACTTACAATGCCGATGAAGACAAAAAAGAAATGTTGTGATTTACAAATGAACTATTATCGACTAACATAAACTTTTTTGTTATTTTTTATTTTTTGTTACGTTATCTACTCTCGCCTTCTTGGTTTGCGCAGATTAAAATATTTCAAAGAAGGCTATGCCTTCATTCTATGCACTCGCTTTAATTCTTTTAAGTTTGTATTTAAAAAAAACAGTCAAATAATTCAATAAAAATATCTGTTTGAGCCATAAGAGACTTAATCGTTTTAGAAATTATCTTTTGTACATTTTTGCGTGTATATTAGGTTTTATATTTGTTTATTTTTTTTCTAATTTTTCATCATCAATAAAAATGATTTGAAACTATCTGTTATCTTACAGGGATTTTAATGGGCGCTCCAAAAGTATGTATACCAATATGGAGGTAACTAAGTTTGTTCGCCTACTTTACATCAATTTGTGTATAAGGACGGAAGCCTATGGAATAATAAAACTAAAATAAGGAAAGTGTGAATAAAATTATTGTCTAACCCTAACCTGGTATACATACTACGCGAGTATCTTTTAATGGATGTGACAGCCTGCTCTTCTTAGAACAAAATTCATATTCCCTTACCAATATGCTTTAATTATTTAAGCAAAAACACGAGTTCGAGCATTTAGTATTTATTTAACAAAACAGTCATACATAAAAAGTAAAAATTATATAGAGTAGCCATTGACAGGTGGTGAGAAAGGGGAGAGAGAGAGAGAGAAGGGAAGAGAGAATCAGAGAGAAATAAAAAAGATAACAAATAGAGGATGTCAGGTTGTTTTGCAAATCCTTATCGAGAAAACGTATATTACGAAATAATTTTAATAAACGTAATATTTTAGATTAAGATTAAAGGTTTTATTAGAGAAAAATAGTGGAGGTGAAAATGATCGCAACAGATAGACAAAATGAGAAAATTTGAAACAAAGTTCGTCATTATTGAAACATGCAAAACCAATGGCTCGGATCTTCAACGTGATGTAAGAGAGAGAATGAAGCAAAAGTAAGAGAAAATTTGAGAGCAAGAAAAGAGGAAGCGAAAAAGGGAGGTCAGAATTCTTTGGAAATCAGGAAATCCTTGCGGAGAAAATTTTTAATAATCAAATTACTACCCAATAAACGGAATATATCGAACAGAATTAGAAGTTTTATTAGAGAGAATAAAGAGAAATGAGAATGATCGCAAGAGAAAGTCAAAAGAAGAAAATTTGAGAAGTCCGTAATTATTGAAACATGCAAAACCAATGGCTCGTGTTTTCAATGTGATGTAAGAAAGAGAATGAGGCAAAAGTAAGAGAAAATTGAAGAGAGGGTAAAGAGAAAGCGAAAAAGGAGGTTAAAATCTTTGGCAAATCTGAAAATACTTGTGGAGAGAGAGAGGTGAGAGAGAGAGAGAGAAACGTAATGAAAGGAGGACAAGTTTCTTTGGAGAAAAGTTTGTTGAATAACAAAATAAAATGCAATAAACTGTATGGAGCCATGATAATCATAAGAGATGGGAAAAAAAGAAAAATTGAGCAGATAGACATACAAACATGCAAAACCCAATAGCTCGTATTTTCAATTCAATTTGGCGACTTGGACGAGTGAATTTATATTGCTGAAGCAGGAACTTCTATCAAGAACTTGCTGAATCCTGAAATCAAAATCACAGATTCAAAAGATAACTTTACAATTTGCTTTGCTGCTAAAACTGCTTAATAACATATAAAAACAACTAATTTATAAGCAAACTATCAAATGCTTTATATATTGTATTACGCAGAAACTGTATTTTTCTTCTGAGGCGGTTCACTGCACTGGGTTATTGGTTATTAATGTAATTGCACAACGATATAATTATATTTATGCGTAGGATAAGCCAAATGAAAATTGTTGCATTCCTTACCTTCGTAATTGAGACTTCCACTGCTATCTTCTTGGCCTTTCATAACTTGGGAAACTTCTGCAGATGACAATTTTTCTCCTGTAATACGAAAAATATATTTAATTATTATTTTAAACATCACAAACAAACACTTCATACAAATATAATATTCTCCGATTTGTCAAATATCGTAATCAAACTCGACTATTCAATCAACACGAAATTCTAAAAAATGAGTTAATATAGGGTATTATCCATAAAGTCTCGAAATTTCTTAAAATTGCAAAAGGAATTTATCGATATCATATATTGTTCTTGCTCCACAGATTGTTAAATAGAGCTTAAACATTACTTAATGAAAAAAAACTGGTTAAGATATATTGAGAACTAACTTCATAACAAAATTGAAATTGTAAAGGTTTATGGAGACACTCTGTATAATTGTATCACGAACTGTGTGGTTTAATATCAAAATCATTTTACATCATGTTACCTAAAGTAGTGAGGACGTGTCTAATTTCTGCTCCCATGACGGTACCGTTGCCATCTTTGTCAAAAACTCTCAAACCTTCTACGAAATCTTCTATGGTTCCCTTCACTGATCCTTGCATAATTTGACCATAAATTGGAAGGAATTCTTCAAGACACAACTTTTTAGCCTTCAATTCTGTATAAACAAAAACAATAATTGTTAATTACAATCAAGTAAAACTCTTGTTCTATGAATCGTTTTGCTATATATATTATGGCACTGTTCTTAGTGTTTTTCTTGTTGTTGTCCTGAAAACAATCGCTTTCTCTTCAACTACTGTACCAATTGCTTTGACATTTTTAGTAATCAAATATTGTTGTTGCTAAAAGGTTTTTACTTTCACTTATTTCGAAAATTGTTGTGTGCTCTATGGGGTTCGTTTTTCACTTTGAAGTTTGATCTATTGGTCAGCGAATTCGATTTTTTGATATAAGAGACTACCGGTATATTTGAGCATTGTTCTTCTGCTTGTTATTCATATAGTTTGTAAGGTGTAACTTAGTACTAAGTAATAAAGAAACTTTTTTACCTTCTTTGCTGGGGTTTCCCATGAATTTCTCGACATCTTCATTGGTCGGACATTCACCGAGGGCGCGAACAACATCGCCTACTTGGTAAAAGTAAATTTTGTTGTCTCCATCTTTGTCGAAGAGTTCGATGCATTCTTTGATATCTGAAAGTAATAGATCGCGTTAATCACAAGAACTGTTTTGACAGTAGGCCTAAATTGTGCTAAACGGTAGCAATACATTTTCCATCGCATCGCCCATTCCCCCCTGCTTGTAATACGTAGTTCTGAAACGAATGTAATATATATATATTTATGCAGTCTGTGAGCTACACTGTATACGTTCTACAATAGTAGACTTACGAAAATTCATGGTTTGCCCTTAAAATTCAGAAACGCCATTAAGCCGACATGTTGAATCTCATCCCCTCCCTTCGGAATAGACAAAAAAATGTTGTCCTAATTCAACTTACTTACGATGCTTGTGGGGAATTCTCATTTGAGTCAGATAGAAATTTTTTCACGTTCTGGCTGCCAAATTTAAAAATTGACGAGAAGTCTATACTTTCGGACAGTACCATTTATCTTATATAATGGAAATCAGTTATGAAAATATCAACGTTTACACAATTCTCACGAAGAAGACATTTTCGTGATACAAGTTCAACAAAAACACTTACCTTCAAGTTGTTGTTCAGTAAATTCTGTGGCGGCCTGTTACATCAAAGAAAGGAAAGTATAAATTAATAGTCAATAACTCACTTTTGAAAAATACATGTATGTAGATTAGGAAAAACATTTTAATTTCAAGTTTATTCTCATTTTGTAACGGTACTGTATATTGTAGGTTTCTATTACGTCGGTACTCGACAAACCATATAAACTATAACTGAGGATTTTTAAGATAATATAGTATAAACGATCACAATCTTACCATTTTAGATATTTATTTTTTGAACTGCTGTTGAAGCTGTAGTAGATCCAATGATATCGAAAAGATGAGTGATACCCATCGTTCATCTGAAGGACAATTTATACAAAATTTTGACAAACACACAGATGTTCTTCGCACCTTTACCGAAGTACGATAACAATATCGCGCCATGGCGATTATTTCAGTAAGTGATAAGATCCCTAGGTCTCTGCAGTGTACAATAATACAATGTGTTTATGATACATTCATTGTCAAATACATAATAATATAAATACAGAATCTCACAGATTATGGATGAATATTGGACATTTCCAATTATGTGGGTGAATGGGATTTGCACTGTAAATGACGAAGATGCGAAATTATAGAAAACTTCGAGGATTGTATAGCAAAGTCATGTAGGGCCAAGTAATTTCATTTGCACTGTGCAATCAGGAAAATAAAATTTGGTATAAATACCTCTAAATGAGATAAGTACCATCCAACCATATAATAGCAGTACCACACCTATTCGGACTATGTGGGACGAGGGCATCATGCAATATATGACAAGAAAGTAGGTTTGCCCAGATGAATTTTTTTGTGCGAATGTTGCAGTTGCAATCTTTCACAAGAATATATACATACAGTCTTTGTTTCGCAAAGATACTTTCGCACAAAAGTTTGTTATTACCGAACCACATTGGGGGGAAAATCCGTTCTCGGCCTCGCGAAACTACTTTATCATAACAGTTCACTCGTACAAGACTTTATACTCGCAAAAATGTTGTTTTCGTAAAGTTACGTGCATTTTCCCCGCAATAGTCCATTCTCGTGAAACTAAAATCTGCCACATCTTTATATATGTGCGACTGCTTATACTGGACCTTGTTCGGAGTTAACAACTTAAATAAGCACTGAATGTGTAGCGTCGTCTTTCTAGAATAAACAGAATAATTGAAAACTAAAAACTATTATATTATTTATAAAACTTTGATTCAATTTTTATTTCAGTCTTTTTGTTATATCTGAGATCGTAATCATCGTCGTTAAAATCCCTGGTTTATAACCAGAGTTGGACTGCTGGTCTGTGTTTCCCGTTACTATATCTTTGTATATAAAAAGGTCAGAACTTGTAAAATTTATGACAAGGTTAGCATGGAGTTTCCAGTTATATTGTCGACTCGAATAAAAATTCTTAACCTTATGGCGTGAAGAATCAGTAGTTTATTTTGGGTTTAGTTTATTTTATTCACCACACATGAAATACTATACTCTAATGAATACAGAATGTAAAAAGAGGTGAAACTGATGAGTCGAGGTGAAAAGGAGTCGCGAGAAACCAAGACTTGTTATCGAGCAGCGACACCTGTAAAAAAAACTAACTGTAATTGATAATAGCATAAAAAAGTCGAAATATAAAAGGCTATACTAACGCTTAAACTGGTGATTAAGTATAATATCTATCCACATAAACAAGTCATTGTTGGGTTAAGGGAGGTCGCGAATTGGAGTGTTGCAATAATCCGCGAATCCGATCTTGTTCTCAGAGCAATAAGTTAGGGTTTTCTCTTTTCTGAAATAATGAAACCCGGTGTTAGTGAGTTCCATACGAAAAAATACCTTGTTCTAGTAATTTGGAATCACTTCACTGAAATGAACTTTGATATAAACACTATAGTCAAAGGCAAACGTCATAGCCATAGATAAACAATTGAACTTAGGTATAGATTTTACGAAGCAAAGGAGTTGGATTTACTCGCGCGTACTAAATTGAAATAAATTAAAAACTCGTTTTGCGGGTCGCACATCATTCAAAATTGGCACTCCTTCTCGGGCCGCAAAATGTTTTCCCGTGTGCTGAATTTGACCCGCGGGCCGCAGGTCGCATATACCTGAATTGTACTTCATCAGTTGGGGGTCCTTTGAAAGGTTCCTCAATAGTGTGAAGAAACCGAGTAGGCTACTTGCAATATATAGTCAGTTAGAATACATGCAAGACGTGTGAATATATATATATTTATGAATGACTTTTTTCTTGTTCAACAGGAGCCAGTCGAACAAGATCTGTTTGAGCCATTAATTTGACTTAATCGCTTTAAAAATCTTTCATCTTACAGGGATTTTATTGGACGATCCATAAGTGTATGTACCAATATGGAAGTAACTAAGTTTGTTCGCCTACTTCACTACATCAAGTTGTGTAAAGGGACCTAAACCTATGGGCAGGGGGGGTATATTCACTTGGCTAACACAGACAGTTCCCGAACTCGTAATAGAACAAAAATAAGGAAAGGCGGAATAAAATTACTGCCTAACTCTAACCAGGTATACATACTACGCAAGTATCTTTTAATGGATGTGACAGCCTGCGCTTCTTAGAACAAAACTTCTATTTACTAACCAATATGCTTTAATTATTTGAGCAAAAACACGAGTTCGAGCATTCAGTATTTATTTAACAAAACAGTCATACATAAAAAGTAAAAATTGAACTGATATTGAGTAGCCATTGAAAGGTGGTGAGAAGGGAGAAGAGAGAGAGAAAGGAGGAAGCAAATAAAAGAGGTTGTTTTGGAAATCCTAATAGAGAACATGTATATTAATACAAAACAATTCGCAATAACAGGCATATATAGAACAGGATCAGAGGTTTTATTAGAGAAAAAAGTGGAAATGATCGCAAGAGAAAGCCAAAAGGAGAAAATTTGAGAAGTTATTCATTATTGATACATGCAAAACCAATGGCTCGTATTTTCAATGTGATGGAAGAAAGAGAAAGAGGCAAAAGTAAGAGAGAATTTGAAATAGAGAGAAAAGTGGAAGCGAAAAAGGAGGTTAAAATCCTTCAGAAATCAGAAAATACTTGTGGAGGAAATTCTTATTAATCAAAATCATTTTCAATTAAAGGTATAGCATAGGATTGAAAGATTTGATAGAGAGAAAGAAGAAAAGAAAATGATAGTAAGATAGAGAGAGATAAGAAAAGAGAGAATGAGAGAGAGAGGGCGAGAGAGAGAGAGAGAGAGAGGGAGAAAAGGCAGGAGGTCAGAGTCATTTGAAGAAAACGTTTCAAATTAATTTGCAATAAACTGTATGAAGCGGGATTCGGATATTTGGGAAAATGAAGAAGTGAAAATAATCATGAGAGAGGGAGGGAGAAAATAAGATTGAGCAGATAAACACGCAAACATGCAAAACCCAATGGCTCTTATTTTCAATCAATTTGGCGACTCGGACGAGTGAATTTATATCGCTGAAGCGGGAACTTCCATCAAGAACTTGCTGAATCCTGAAAATAAAATCTCAGATTGAAGAAAAATAACTTTCATAATTTGCTTGGCTGCTAAAATTGCATATGAAAATAACAAATAATTTTTATGCAAACTACCAATTGTTATCTATATTATTTTGATTATTAGGCAGAAAGTGTATGTTTTTCTACAGCGGGTCACTGCATTGGGTATAAATGTTATTGAATATTAGTTTAATTGCACAACGATATATCTATATTTTATGCCGAGGATAATCCAAGTGAAAAATATTGCATCTTCCACCTTCGTAATTGAGACTCCCACTGCTATCTTCTTGACCTTTCATAACTTGTGAAACTTCTGCAGATGACAACTTTTCTCCTGTAAACGGGAAATATATTTTTTTATTATTTTAAACATCACAAACAAACACTTCATACAAATATAATATTCGCCAATTTGTCAAATACCTTAGCAAACTCGACTATTCAATCAACACAAAATTCTAAAAGAATGAGTTGATGATATAGGCTCATAAAGTCTTGAAATTTCTTAAAAGTGCAAAGGGAATTTATCGATAATCTATATTGTTTTCCATTCACAGATGTATTAAGTGAAGTAAAAATACCTAAACAATTACTCATTAAAAAATAACAAATCTGGTCCAGATATAGTGAGGACTGACTTCATAACAAGATTGAAATTGTAAAGGGACACCTTGTATAATTGTATCATGAACTGTGTCATTTAATATCAAAATCATTTTACACCATGTTACCTAAAGTAGTGAGAACGTGTCTAATTTCTGCTCCCATGACGGTACCGTTGCCGTCTTTGTCGAAAACTCTCAAACCTTCGACAAAATCTTCCATGGTTCCCTTTACTGATCCTTGCATAATTTGACCATAAATTGGGAGGAATTCTTCAAGACACAACTTCTTTGCCTTCATGTCTGTATAAAAGCAAATCATAATTGTTAATTACAATCTAGTAGAATTTTTGGTGTATTGATCGTTCGTTATTGTGGTGCTGCAGTTATTAGTATCCATGTTCTTGTTGTTGTTGTTGAGAAGAAATCGCTTTTCTCTTTAACTACTGGACCAATTGCTTTGAAATTTTAAGTGGTTAAAATTGTTGTTGTCACTAAAAGGTTATTACTTTTATTTATTTTGAAAATTTTTTGGGCTGTATAGAATTCGTTTTTCACTTTAAAGTTTTGTGTGATGACGTCATCAAAATTATAAATTGCGCACCGTGTGGCTGTTCCCCGATCTCGTGGTCAGCGAAGTCGTTTTTTTGACTGTTCGTTATTCATACAGTTTGCAAAGTGCAACTTATTACTAGGTAATATAGAAACTTTTTTACCTTCTTTGCTGGGGTTTCCCATGAATTTTTCGACATCTTCATTGGTCGGACATTCACCGAGGGCGCGTACAACATCACCAACTTGGTAAAAGTAAATGTTGTTGTCTCCATCTTTGTCGAAAAGTTCGATGCATTCTTTGATATCTGAAAGTAATAGATCGCGAGAATCACAAAAACCGTTTTGACAGTAGGCCTACATTGTGCTAACTAAACGGTAGCGAAGCATTTACCATCGCATTTCCCATTACTCCTGCTTGTAATACACAGTAATGATGCAGTCTATGAGCTACATTGTATCCGGTCTGTAATGGAAAGCTTATTGAAAATCATGGTTTGCCATGCTGCCGCCGTTTTGGATCAATTCCCAACCCATCGAAAAAAATAATCTATATTTCAGGACAGTACTAGTTATCTTTTCGTATGCAAATGAAATCAGTATTAAAAAAATCAACGTTTACACAATTCTCACGAACGAACCATTTTAGTGATACAAGTCTAAAAAAAACTTACCTTCGAGTTGTTGTTCGTTGAATTCTGTGGCGGCCTGTTACATAAAGGAAAGTAAGTATTAACAAATTGTAAAGACCTCACTTTTGATAAATACATGTATGGAAGTTAAGGGAAACATATTGATTCAAGTGAATGAACGGTAAGTGGAGGCACTGTAGTACATATAGCATTTTTCCATTCCGTTGGCAAACCCAATAAATTATCACTAAGGATAATACTTCAAATAATATAGTATAAACGCTTACAATCTTACCATTTTAGATATATTTTTTGAACTGCTGTTGAAGCTGTAGAAGATCCAATGATATCCAAAAGATGAGTGATACCCATCATTCATCTGAAGCACAATTTATACAAAATTTTGAGAAAACACAGTTGTTCTTCGCACCTTTACCGAAGTACGATAACAATATCGCGCCACGACGATTAAAATTTGTTGACACCTCACTTCGGCGATGACAGCGAAACTATGTCTTTGATTTAGTAACGACATATGTTTTGTCAAACTTAGACACCGCTTGAGTGACAACTGCTCAATCACTGAGATTCCTTCTTACTATCAGGCAGATGGTACACAGGGTGTCCATAAAGGCCCTATACAATTTCAATTTTGTTGAGAGGTCAGTTCTCAATATATTTCGATTAACCCTGTTTATTTTTTTAATCAGCAATGATTTAAGTTTTTTCACTTCAGTTAATATATTATTATGGTGACCGTACATTTGAACCCACGTACATTTGAACCCATGTGTATATCCACGGGTTCAATTTATATGCGGGTGCTAAAACCCATGGGTTAGGGTTAGTGTGGGTTCAACTATCCGAAAAACAAAAAAAATTTCTTAGGTGCAATAGCATACAGGTGCAATTGCCATGGGTTCAAATGTACGTGGGTTCAAATGTAATGGAACCTATTATTATATCTGTGAGGATCAAACAATATATGGTATCAATAAATTCCCCTTGCAATTTCAAAATTCAAAATTCAATTTCAAATTTCAGGATCTTATGGACAACCTATACAGTCATGCCTTTCGAGAGGCCAGCATGTTTCCAAAATCTGACATATTATATCCCATTTCTGTTATTTTTTCAACGATATTAGGGCAATATATACAACATAGCGAATTTATATTTACTTTTGTTATAAGTGTCGCCTTCGCTGAAACTGAGTATTTTAATATATATAAGGGATATTAAGAGAAGGGCTGCAGCAAGTAATTTTATCGATAAAATACAGCGCAAGACGGTGATGGTAAAGCAAGTGCTTGGATATTTCATCTAGCTCCAAGGTTTCTCAAAGTATTCCCTGAATTTTTTCTTGTGACATAATTCCTAGGTTAAATCAGCATTGGGGTAAATTGTTGGTGTTTGATTGACAACGGAATTATCAAAACGCTATTAAAGATATTAGTACTATAATGACGTGGGGTTGGCTTGCGGTATTTGAGTGATAATAATTTTTTACCGGTCGGTTACACCCATATATCTGCGTAGATTGATTCAATTGGTAAAAAAATATCCCCACGTCCGACCATGGATCCCGATAGCGCAGTTACATTTATAGTAGTTTTAGCTATGTGGTAAAGCCGTTTCATCGCCCCCACTGTTTTCAAATACTGTGTACGTTGAATTTACAAACTGTGCAATATGTAAATCCTGTCAGTCCTATGTCGGCAGTAACACAGACGCGCCATAACAAGAAATGCAACAATATGGCTTGCACAAATTTTTATTGAGATCAGTCTAACCATGAGAAATATTTTAAGACAATAGTTATTGCACAGAAATCAAAATATGAAAGTTCTACATTATGAGTTACATGAATAAATAAATGTCCAGAACAATTCGATAGCTTACAAACAAAACAGTATTTCAATCATTTGGAACAAGACTGTTTTTTCTATTTTTAAAGAAAATTTGCAAACAAATAATCAACATATGTGGTACAAAATGCAACAGACCCTAAACAATTACTGTTATCTGTATAAAGAGAGTTTAATGTTTGAATGCCGAAAAAAAAGTCCATAACAATTTATCCTGTCGAAATACGAATCATGGCTTCATATTTTCAGAATGCACTCACTTGCGGATAAGCTTAGATTGGATGAGATGTAATCAGAAGATGGAACTTGAAAATATATACAAAAAAAAATACTGCTTAAACTCAAAGGCATATTGACAGAATCTAAATTATGTAACAAAAGGCAAAAATAATTCAATCGGTATTAAATCCTTCACCGGAGCCTGATATTTATTTATTTAGTTGGCGTAACTCTCATCCTGAAAGTACGAATTTGCATAGGCGACAACGTGACATCAAAAGGTTCTTGAAAGTGCAGCTTGTTGTCTGATGGCACTGCATTTGTAACAAAATGCGTTTATTTGAGAAAAACAGTCGAAGAACAAAATATAATACAAGTGCATCTTGAACAATAATTCTAATTCGTTCAGATTGGATAGTTTTTCATAAGATAGAGAAATGATGTAAACCATGCACTCATTTATTATCTGCAAATAGACTTGGTCATAAAAATAAAAGAGCTAGAGCAGATTGCTGTCACTGCAAGATAACCAACTTTGAATTCCACCATGCTTCCCCAGTAAAATCTTTTTCTCATAATTAATGTTACATAAATATTTTGGCGCTCCCCAAGTATGTGAACCAAGATGGCGGACATTGTTAAACAAATTTTAATATAATATTAATATAACAAACAATTTCTAACGCGAATATGATCATTTTTGGTACTCCAGTAGTGTGTGTACCAGGTTAGGGTTAGGCCATTATTATAACTCCAATTTTCTATATTTTAGTTCTATTACAAGTTCGGGGACTAGCCAAATGATTACCCCCGTAGTATTTGTACCTGAAATTATGACCAAACCCTAACCTGGTACACATACTACGTTCAGGTGTCCGCCATCTTGGTTCACATACTACGGGGGTAGCAGTATTTTTTACTGGTTGGAAAAATAAGATTAACTTGGCTTGGCATGGAACGAGATTAGTACACGCATGTAATTGAGAAAAAAATTTTATTCACCATATATTTTCATCATAAACAAATTTTAATATAACATTAAATCACTCTAAAGTATCTTTCCATTAACATTTCGAATTTGAAAGGCATAGATGGACTGTCATACTAATGGAAACATTTGATATAATTAGACATACTATTATATGTCCATGTCGCTTTATCATCTTAAAAATTCATTACCTGGATTATTTTTCACGGCTTCACTCCACAGAAGCCTGACAACATCCTGTTTTAATGCATTGGCACCAAGAACTAATTCTTCAAGAGATGTTACTTCATATCCAACAAAAAGATCCTAGATGGTATATGATTATTAGTAGGAATACCATTCATGAAATTCAACCATACAAAATTACATATCTCCAAATAAGTATTAAGGTCTATTGCAGGGGTCTCAAACACGCGGCCCTCGGCCCCAATTTTTTGCGGCCCGCGTCATGGTTGGGATTTTTCCAAAAAAACTAAAACAGTATGATGTCAACTATTAGTAGGTTTTATCATGTCATTTATCATCAAGAGTCCGACAAACTGTAAAAAGTGAAGCAAAATTCAGATACCCATTTTTGTACCTAATTTCTTGGTGTGCGGCCCGCGTGGTCAATAAATTTCAAAACGTGGCCCGCGACATTTTTGAGTTGAAGACCCCTGGTCTATTGTATGCCCCACCACTACTTTTATCCTGAATTGTGCAATTATTTCACAAAATATATCGGCCAATCAGAAAAAATGTCAGAAAAATCAATGGAATAAGCTTGCATTATTATAGAATAGATTTTCATATTTATCTAGAGGAAAAGAATAATAAGAAGGCTTAATCATAAGGGGGGTCACCGCCTTTATTAAGCATAGGAGTAATAAATAAAGTTGTTCAATTTTGTTTACTACCTCAAGTAATAATTTCTCAATAGATAAGGGTGTCCATAAAGTAATAAATTTTTTTGAAATTGCAAATTTAGCAATACCATATATTGTTTTGGCCCTTACAGATGTATTTAATTATGTAAAAATACTTAAACGATTACTGATTAAAAAACGAAAACCCTGGTTAACATATACTGAGACCTGACTTCATAATAAAATTGAAATTGTGAAGGGACTTTATGGACACCCTGTATAAGTGGGACAATAAAAATTCTGTATACAATGAATATCCAAGCTATAGTATATTAATATAAGCTTCGAAATGATAAAATCTCATTACTTTAAATGAGACAGTGACAGGCTGTGAATACGTTGGATCATCAGATTTTTGGAATTGATGTTCAAGTCTGATAAGAACCGACCCATCACTTGTTTCAGTTGATAATGTCAAAAGATGAACATTTTTTGGAAGACTTTTTGTCAATGCCGATTTCTGGAAAGAAGAATTTGAATTAACGAAGATTTTCCATTTGTAAAAATTATTAGAAGCAAACATAATTATAAACTGGTGTTCAAAAGCAACTTAATGTAAATTGCTGATTATATACAACCGACAGAACGACATCACATTATTATTTTAGGATATGGTCTTATATATCATTGAATTTTCACTGTCAGCTGAGTGACTTGTTACCTCTTGAGTAGTATTGTTTAATAATTTTATTTCAACCCTCATACAAAAATCAACAAAACAACTCAAAGAAGCTGAAGGCAAGCATAATCTAGAATACATCTTTTTTTGTTCAATTACTCAAAACAAAATATGTATTCAAACACAAAATCAAATAGTACATTCACTTCCATGTAATAATACCAGGTCAACAAGTCAGGAATTATATGCAAGTTCCACAAATGAGGACAGACTATAATTTAAAAATACAAAAATTATTTGGCAGAAAACATTACTCCAGAAGTTGTATTGAACTGTAGACCTACTTTCTACTTTGGACACATATGCAACCGTTGTCACAAGGATGCTTGAACGAGATAGTATTATAAAGATAAACAAAAATATTAAAATTAAGTTACATCTTGTTTTGTCTGAAGAAGCTAGACTATGATCTAATGCGGAGGTGTGTAACCTGTGGTCCACAGACCAAATGCAGCCCACAAGGAAAAATTGTGCTAATTTACAATGTCTTAACAGCTAGCTTGTGCAAAGCATACAACACATGTCATGTGATCAATAACCAAAATTATCGCTAAATAAAAGTGCGGCCCATGGTTTCACCCAGATCTGGCCCTCCTGTATTGAAGGTTGCACACCCCTGATCTAACGAAAGCTTCCGCAAATACTTGCTATTTAATGGAAACAGAATACGCTATTCTTCTACATCTTACGACTTACAGGAAAGCTTTCGAAAGATCTTCTGTCATTGGTTGACACATTAGCATAAAATGAAACAAGCGGACTCATGTAGATTTCTTCAGCAAGTAAGCGATGGTGTTTTGCAGCATCACTCAATGAATCAACAAGAATGAAATGTTTGCCACGAGCAATTAATCCATCATCAAATTGTCCAGTTTCGTTCAATGGTTCACCAACACCTTTAGCATCATCACCGAAAAGTCTTCTATGCATCTAAATGAATAAACAATTATTACTTAAATCTGTGAAAATATAAAATATAAGATATAACAGAGATCTCTCCGTGTGGTGGTGTATATATAAGAGAGAAATCTTTAAAATGTGGCAAATTATGCAAACTTGTTAAACTCTTCCGTTGCTTTCTCAGGTGAAACTTACGAATATATTTATTACGCAAGATTGTTCAAAGAAATGTTACGAGCCCTCATATTAGAACAAATAGAATATAAACAGATACAAAAGTTAGGAGTCACCAATAACAATATCTAACCAGTCAAAAGTTACACGTTGGTACACAGCTACTAATATATTGATAGATATCAATGAAGACTAAATTAAATAAACCCAGTTGATAAATTTCAAGAGCAGAAATTCTTGGATAAAAAACTTTTCACAAAAAAGCAGAAAAGCAGAAACCACAACTACAGTAGATGGATGCAACTGGTAACTAATCAAGAGAATCCACCGATTAGCAAAGTCATATTTTGGGGGGATCAAGGGGAGAAATTTCAGACAAACACAGAGCCCATTATATTATTTTTTTCTTTTAGAAAAAAAGCTTACTCTGTGATCAATCAATGGCACTCCAGAAGTGTGTGTACCAATATGGAAGTAACTTACTTTGTTCGCCTATTTTACATAAAGTTGTGTAAAGTGACTACGCTTATGGGCAGGGGACTATTCACTTGGCTAACACAGACAGTCCCCAAACTTGTAATTGAACTAAAATAAGGAAAATTGGGATAAACTTATGGACTAACCCGGTACACATACTACAGCAGTACCCAATCAAACTGGCTAAAGTACAACTGTTTTCATTTTAAAACTATATACTTGCATTAAATAATGGATAAAGTTGTTCATACCATAAGTTCCAAAGTTCCATTAAACAAACTGCTTCCTCCTTGGGATCTGTCTGTTAGTATCGTGAACTGAGTTTTGGTATCATTGGTATAAATACGAGAATTAACTGGATAATAATTTCCAGCTACAGGTTCAGATTGATTCAAAGTCCATGTAGGTCTGAAATTCTTTCTGTAGAAAAATTATTGACAAATATGAAATCTGCGACTATTTGCAGTGGTTATGATAGCCCAGTGCTTAGCAGGGGATTAATCTAATAATATTAACATCACAAAATTTAGATATTACAAAAATTATAGTAGTCTTCTCAAGGAGTGTTTTCTCTGAACAGCATTAGATTCAACTGGGTAGGCATCACACATCTTGGATTTAAATCCCAAAGGGGCAATAAATTGGGTACGCATTGCCGGATCGCGAAGATTCTGGTACTTGTAAATGAAGAGTAGCTCATTACATATCATTGTATGGCTGTACAGAGTCTTGTTAAGAGCAGTCATTTAGAAAAATTAGAAAACCAAAATTTTATTTTATCTCAATTAATGTGAGACTTACTTTCGTTTCAATATCTCTCTCCCATTCGCATCTGTGTAAAATTCACCATTTGTTTGCAGCGGAAAGTAAAATCTTGAAAAAAAGTAACATTCAGTTTTCCGTAATTTGAATAATTTCAAACAATATTATGTTTAAACACTTGCTGTGTAGGCTACTGCTATGCTGCTTAGTGTCAGGATGTTGTAGTTGTGTTCTAATTAGACTGAATAATAAGTACCCTAAAAATGATAATTGATGAATTATTTTTAAACCCTCTTTATATATGAATGCCTAATTGTAGATTAATCTCAAAGTGATATAAAAAAAACCTATCATCCTAAACAAAAAAAGTCAGAAGTAAAGTTCCAGGTTGTTCATGAAAGAGATGTCTGCAGTCTTCTTATGAAACTACTACAGTCTATTTATCTCAGGTAAACGCAAAATAATTTCAAACCAAGTTGGCCCTTTTTATCCTAATGCCTAACTGAACAGCCATTCCAGAACAATTGAACAAACCTTGAAATAATTTCTTTCCCATATCCATCATCAAAAGGAATTGGTCCGATCGTCCATTCAGCCTCAATGTATCGCATACCGGAATATAAACGAACAACCTGTATGTATAATAAATGTTTGGTGGTTCACGAAAAAAGGGAAAATACTTTTGATAATAATTCATTAAATTAAATATTCTTGTCTTTGTGAAATCCAAACTAATATGACTATTGTGCTGTACATACTGCAGACATTGGCATGATTTTACCGAATCTATTCTTCAATGATGAGCCAATAGAAAATTAAAAGGTTATACCTGCCATGCCCAATCACTGAATTTTTGAACAACTTCTTGGACCAATGGAGTGTCGCCCTGTCAAATAATGAACACGTCGTAAAAGAAAAATAATACACACCTCAAGAGTGGTTCCCAACTATTTCAGTGCCATTGACCATTTTTCTGATTTGCCTAATTGCTTTTCATTGAATAAAACAAGGCAATACAGTTATGTATAAGGATGGTCTCTATTGAATCCACCTTGGCTGGTCGTTAAAGCATTGGACGCTACTCTATTGTATTCAACCCATACACTAAGGTGGGTAAACCGAGGCTCGCCGGAATTCTTATGCGACTCTTCTCGCTGGCAATAATTCTATATTATCCAAATTTAACTAAAAGAAATTTTAGCATAACAGTTTTTTTCAATCCATTAAGCGGTTGAAGAATATATACTTTGCAATTTTGTTATTAAATACGTTTGTGTAAAGTTCTTTCAGTTTACGGTATTCTGATATTATTAATTTCAAAAATTATGTGGCTCTCATATATTTCCGACTTGCTGCATGCGGCTCTTATACTAAAAATTTTTACCCAATCCTGCCATCCTGCCATAGACCCGTCTCACTCAATGAGCAATAAACTGAGTAGGCAATGTTGAACCGAAAAGATAAGTCTTTCCAAAAGTATTGTATTTCGTTCAGAGCCTTATTCAGAGTGAAGGATGTATAAAACGATGTATCATAAATGTGTATTTAAATTGATCACATGGCAGTGGTTTGATTTGGGTAACAAAAAAAAACTTAAATCCCATATTAATATTAAACATCCAAACCCAACAGGTTACCTGTAACACTTCTAGTTCAATCTTGCCATCTTGAGTGCAGTGAAAAGGAGTTGATGAATTTGGTCGAAAAACATAAGCTCCTAAAAATGATATAAAATTTTTTATCAATTATCTACAAAAAACAAAAAATTTCGAACACTATTGACATATACCAACGTTTCCCAACTCAAGAGGAATTCGTTCTGAGAAAGAAATTTACTGTTCTTAGGACTAAATTTTATTTTGTATTTATTTGTAATTTTACCAAGATGGACTCATTTAGTGGCAATGTAATACATATTTATGCATATATTTCAAACTATTGCAGGCCCTTCAGAAGTGTGTTTACCAATAAGGAGGTTCCTAATTTTGTTCCCCTACTTCACATCAAGTGTGTAAAGTAAAGGGACTGAAACCTATTCAAATTGACCAATCTAAGTGCCTGGTATTAGAACCCCTACCTCTGAAATAAAACAAAAATAAAGACACATGTCAAAATAAGGACAAAAAAATTTTCTAAGGCAAAACCTTCAAAATAAGGACAATCTTGAAAATAAGGACGTGATGGCAGCCCTGCCTATACTAAACACTAAAAGAGAATAGTGAAATCTAATATATTCACCAGATTTCTGGAGAGAAATGTTGTTTCCCATGCTTGCATTATACCAGAACATTTGCTGCATGACTGGAAGCGTAATTCCTGATTCGATATTAGCGATTGTTTTCATTTGGCCGTTGCTTCCGTCAAATACAACTTTGAAATACTGTAACACAAGTAAAATAGTAGTAATTCATAAAACACTAAATTTATGTAGAATATTTGAGGGCAATTTTTATTTTACATGTCAATTGTTAATGACATGATGAAAATCAAAAGTCTGCATGAGAGATTTCAACCCGCTATTAGGTTTTGACCACAATACCAAACACTAATACAAGGGTTTCATAACGAAAAACGAATATTAAAATTCTGAGAAATTATATTTAAAAAATATTACCAAACAAACATAGAAAAAATGCTCTTTGAGCTGGTGTACTAATCAAAGTTCTAAGCCATATTCAACAATATGAAAACAATATTTCAATAAAAAGTTAGAGATGTTTTAAAATGAAAACTATATGTTTTTCTCATCTTTTCAAAAGAGCTTTTTTCAAGTTTTGCCCTTTTGAGTTAAAGCCCTTGATATAATATATGCTAAGCTGTTTGTACAAAATATTAGCATATGGAATGTTTCTATGTTGAACTAGGATCTTATTTCTGGAAAAACAATCCAAAAACAAACAACTACTATATAAATAAACTCACCTCATTAGCGATAGTCACATCTCCACCTCTAACTCTTCTATGAAAACCTTTGTTGTTAGTTTTCTTATAAACATCAGAAAAGTTGGATTTTATAACCTGAAAATAGTTTATGATTTTTAGATTCTATCATCAGAAGTAAATACTGAATAAGTCAACAAAATAGCATTTGGAATTTTATAAAAAATTAATTTCTTCTATAATTCTTTATTAGATTTGCGATTTATCAAAAAATCACTTAGTATATTGAGGCGTTGGTCGAATTGGTAGTTGGCTTATCATGCAAAGCATAATGTGCACAGCTATACTATCACACCATCACATATTATTAGGTAGGTTTTAATGCAAGAAAAGAGCTGGGAAATGGTTTATGTTTTAATAACCCCAACCGATGCCCCAACAAAGTTTAAATATGAAAACCCGATCCTATCCCGGCAATTTATGAAGTATTAAATATCTTACAGAAAATTCAGAGAATCCGAGAGGTGGGATATTATCTGCTTTAAACACGAGCTCCGAGTCTGCATTTCCTTTGTTCCTTCGGACTAAAAGTGTCGGTTGCGTGACAGGAACAATCTGGAAAACAAAGATACAAATAATGTTAAGTGATTCAAGAGTCTTGCTGCACACTAACACAAATATATTTCTGTAACGTTTCGTCTGACCAAGGTCAGAATTCTTCAGACATACATAGTTCAACTATAACAAAAAAAGCAGTCGGATCCCTTGGCACAGAAGCATAGAAGAAGTAGTTAGTCTCACAGAAACCAAATCATCAGCACAATTATTCTCTTGATTCAAGAATCTGTACAATGCAGATTAGATAATGGAGCTACTCAACTTGAGAAAAATATAATTGCGCAGAATTAGGCAAACAGCATCAATAACCAGGCTGATGTGGGTTGAACATTAATTAACTAGTTCTAGGACTATGATTAAATTGAAAATGGCATTAAAAGGTATTTTAGGTTTTGTATATATGGGTTTTAGGTTTTTAGGTTTTGCAATATAATGCATGATCCAAATTCAACTATTAACTTTCAGAAGCTATTATGATATGTACAATTGTTAAGCATTACTAGAGTGGGTACTTACAGGGTACTTTTGTTTTTCTGAATGAGTTAAGACTATGAGTCTATGACCATACAAAAGCTCACAAATATAATGCTATTTCACAGAGATTATGTTATTCATACTAACTTCCGATTAAGTTATTCAATAAACAAAATGACAATATACCTGGCTCCCAACATACATTCCCGTCAACTTATCTTTCACTGTGAAGGTTCCACTATCATCAGATACTGGTAATCTCACATATGTTGGAATATTTCTCGCAAGAGGGTTGTAAACAACAACTGTGAACTGAAAAACAGTTGATCAAAATTTTTTATGTGTGGAATCTCCATATTCATTTTCAGTCCACTAGATGTCCACTAAATTTAGTTTATTTGAAAACTTGAAATTAACTTTGAAACAATGTTTTCTGAAAATTCAGTCAAAAGTATAGTACTATTCTTCCTAGAAAATTGCCATCTGGTCATCAAAAATTTACGCTAAATTACGCAAGCCTAAATTACTAAAATTTAGAAGCTCACATGACTTTGCTGCAAAATTGTTCCTAAAGTATCTTACATGCTGTTGCACAGCTATGATATTCTTGGAATAAGATTATGTTAACTTAAATAAAAGCACATTTCATAAACAGTGGTATTTTCCATTGTCTTTCAAATGTGGCTTATGCTTAACTTTGTTGCGTTTGTTTACAACAGTAATTTATTTGCTGAGACCCTAGAAACGGTGGCGACCCTGAAAACGGTGGTTTACTGGTGCTTCTTTTTTGTGTGCTACTGTTAGGCACTGCTAATGTTTTAGTAAATTTCAGGCCTAATATGGGCGCTTCAGAAGTGTGTGTATACCAATATGGAAGTAACTAATTTTGTTCGCCTACTTTACATCAAGTTGTGTAAAGGGACTGAAACCTATGGGCAGGGGGTATATTCACTTGGTTAACACAGACAATCCCCGAACTCATAACAGAACTAAAATACGAAAATTCGAAACAAAATTATGGCCTAACCGTAACCTGGTACACAAACTACGGGAGTACAGTCATATGCATTATAAACCATTCCTAGATCATGACACAAACCTCGTCTGTTTTCTGAGTGAAGTCACACAATGTGATATTGAGATAATCACAGAAATGAAGATCATCTGGATTTCCCATCACTGCAGTACTGATCACAGCTTTACAAACTTCACGACCTGAAACAGTATAACTTAACATTAGACAAATGGGTATAAATGATCACTGAAAGTAGAGAGTGAGAAAGATTATATTTTCACAAACAATGTTAAGAAACTTTTATAGAATTACAGTACAGTAAACTATTTAAACATTAATTTGTGTAGGGCAGTATCGCAGGTCATCATGACCCCTGACCTTTTTTTACACTGTGAATGAATGAATGGCAGGAAAATGAGACAGCAATTTTCTAACACTTCCATTTTCTGAATGATTTTCATATAGATCAGGCACAACACAACGGTAATCACGACCCTGTATGGAATGTCTCAAAAATAATGTGGGACACGTGGTACAAGGGTGACATGTGGTACAAGTGGGACATGTGGTACAAGTGAGACATGTGGTACAAGTGAGACATATGGTACAAGTGGGACACCGCTCTGTAAGAAACTGGGGTTTGGGATGATAAATCCAACATTGCAAAGATAAAATGTCAACGTATTAGATTTACCTTTATAAAGACGTTTGGCATAATCATTGGCAACATGTTGTTTTTCCGTTCCAGATACTGCATCATGATGTTGAGCTACTCCCATTGCTTCCCCTGTCAAAACGAAAATAATGAAATACGACTGTAAACACTAAAATAGAAAACATTTCCACAGCAATAACAGGAATGGGGTTGATTAGAAGGAATTCATCAACATTTATGAAATCCTACATTATTTCTGCTCGAAATAAAAGTTTGATTGTGAAACATAAGCCTGCAATTTAATTTGGTTCAAATTTAAAATATTTGTAGATTCTTCAATATTAAATGCGATCCACAGGTAAACTTTTGTAATTATGATAGAAAAACGAACTATTTCCACGAAATGTCAAGCATATTTATTTGTTAGCTTTCGTTGGAACTTCTCAGACAAAAGTTATTATCTTTGGTAAATTCCCACATAATTTTTTGTTCAAACGAAGTCAAAAATATTTACTTACTTAGTTTTTGCGATGAAACTGTCCCTGTTTTTGCTTGTTTGTTCCCAGAGGAAGAAAAACCTTGAGTCAAAGCTTCCATTTGTTTGCAAACCTGAAGAACGTATGTAAATAAAAAAAAAAAGGGCCAGCATAAATATCACGCCAGGACAGATGAATTCAGAAAAGAATAATGTAGAATGTGGTTGATACAAAATATTAGACAAATAGTCAATGGATGAGACCATTTCACATACAAGAAATAGAACATGGGCATCAATACCCAAAATGAATTTAGAAGTACTATATGGATGAAACGAATTAATGAAAAATAAATATCTACATAGACTATCTTGATATTATATAAATTTGGCATAAAATTGTAACAATAGACATCCAATTTTAAACTTATTCAAAAAAAATCCGTAAATTTTGCATTAACCTGCAGAAGTTTGTTGCTTTCTCTGACGTAACCTTTCAAAGCAGGTCGACTTGTGAAATATCCAGTCCAGAACTGGTGAGGACTGTCTGCATACGGGAAGAAATCATCTGTTTTAACATTCCATTCTTTATTTGCTTGATTCAAAGCATATAGATAACATGATGGTGTGGAGTAGAACACAGATATGTTGGAATCCTTAGCAGAAAGAAACATATTGAATGCTAGAATTGTATGATATGTATATATACAGTATTATAAATGTTTTATGCTCACTGTACAATAAGTAAATTATTGTCAAACAACAGGAAGACATCATTGGCAAATGCAAATTTTAACAAAAATCTATCCTACATAAATTTTACCAGAAAAGGTAGGAAATGCTAAACTGCATACGGTTGATTACTAGTCTGGTACAACACAGGGGTAAAATAATCATTGTAGACAAATGTACAAATGTGCAAATCTATAATCACAAGTCCCCGACATAGATTTAGCTGAATAGGATAGAATGAATTTTTCATATTTATTCCAGGAAAGAAAAAGGGCAATAAGACGGCTTGATCATACGCCGTACCATGGCCTCTCATCTGGTTATCAGCGCATGTCTGATATGGGATTAGATTGACAGTTATTTATTTCAGATGGATACAAATGGATAAATGAAAATAAAACCGAAGAAGCCAGGAATCCTGGAATATAGCAAGGGGAAGCATGGTAGTTGCATTTATGTGGCTAAATATAATAATACAATAATTAGATTCACCTTTGCAGCATTGACATATTTGATGAGTTTATCCAGATTCTTGTACCATTTATGAGCGTTGCTGTACTGGAAATCAGATCCCATTGTCATCATTATATGGTTGGTTTTGAAATGACCAGCCTAGAAAATTAAATATTTAATACTGCGAAGTGAGCCCTAGCCAACTATTCACTTCAAAATGCTATCAATATGAGAAAACTATCTTCTAACAAATTCGATCAGGAATTCACCATATGCTTCTGATTGCATTTTTGAGAGTTATAAGTACTGACCCATGCGATTCAAAAAAAGTCAAAAATTTCAATGAAACAAAAAAGGATTAGCAAATCCACAGTTGTCAATGTTGAGATATGGTTGTCCCATTGTCTGAGTTTTCTTGACCCAAAAATATTTCATTCTAAAGTCAAGTGTTGGAGACATTTTTGAATGGGTCAGAGTCACATGTCTCTTAGAATGAAATTTTCTCGTACTCCACAATCTTGCCTTGCGCGTATCGGATAAGGCATGTCACTGCTATGCTAGGCCGAACAGCAGTTTTTGAAAAGTGTACTTGCCTGAAGTCTAGCTGCATCTTCAAAATATTTCACTTTGTCTTCAACATTATTATCTTCCAAATTAGGATCATCCATAATAGGATCATCACTACAATACTCATCAAAACAAAACCCTTTTGGAGGTCCATAACCATTTTCATTAACACCTGGATTGAAGTATAGCAAAATATGTTTTTAAATGGTGTATACGAAATTCAATTTAGTTTAATGCACACCAAGGTTAAAACTCAAAAAAGTATCCAATACATAGTGTACATAAAAACTGAGTAAAAATATAAAAAATGCATTTCAGCGTGAAGGAAGAAACCATTAACCATTAATGATTATCTAGCTGCACACATATGATGAGGGTTAAAAACATTGATATTTAAGCAACCCAACCCGATATTCCTATTTCCCAGTGTCGCTCGGCCCACATGAGAAAATAACTCCAAGCATGACAGATTGGGTCACTATGACCACCACAGTAAATAGAATACAGAGACGTAGTTATCCATTGGCTGGGGTACAAAACAGGCTAGTTTTTGTGCGCGATACCACGTTCCAGCAGACAGGATTAATGAATTAGCCACCACCACTCACAATCTGAGAGATGTTTGAAATATACTTCACATTACCAGTCAGTAGATCTGCAGAAGCAGAGTCCAAACTCTCACTCCCTCTCCATATTTCTTCCATTCTTTTCTTTTTGGATCTCAATTCCTTGTCAGCAAAGTCCAGACGACCAAAGAAAAGACCATCGAATCCCATCTACAATGAATATAACAAATTGAGACAAACAGAAATATGGCACAGTGCTTCATTTTTGAGAATATTGATAATCAACATAGTTTTCTCGAAGCAACGTCTCGTCAAAAGCTCTCAATCAAAAGTGAAAGCCATGGAGCAACAAGTAGGTTTACAAGGGATAGTAGTTTGCAATAAAAGAAAATGATTCTGCAGTAGTATGGGGAAACTCAAAAAAAAATTTGGAATATAAGTTGAAATCCCTATTGGTTAGTTTTTAATTGTGGGTGATTCACAGATACAAGCAATTAGCTCTGCGTATGAACATCTTATGGGGGTTGTTATTAAATTTAGATAACTTGTTATGAAACAGCTTTACTTCATGACCATGTGTAATTTTACAGGGTTTCAAGCAAGATCAGATGATGAAGTGCTAAGTCTTTGTATGAAGTTAAAAAATTAAAATTTAACATTAAATTTTTAGTTTTACTTAAGACTTAAAGATGAATTTCACCACATTCACACTGGTGTATGGGGCCTTCAACACTATCTTATCAAATGTATAGAATTTGACCATTGTAAATGAAAATTTTACATATCCCTCATTTTCAAAAAACTTACTACACAAGTTTGAAAATGATTGTGATTTGCTCTTCTTATGTAGGATTATTCATTTTCAGGGTAAAAAGAAATATTTTACTAAATATTAGACTCTAAAAACCTGAGCAAAGAGAGATGCTTGCTCTCTTGAGTGGCCAAATGGATCAATCTGCCAAGCAACTCGTGGTCGAGCACAAACCCCAAATGTATCATTCAGAAATTGCAATCCAAGCGACATTTGATCAATTATTGCATTGTAATGAGTTGCAGCTTCATCATTCATGCACCATCCACCAAGAATAAACTCGAGTCGTCCTTACAATAAGAAAACAAAAAATTATATTAGCCTACTATAGAAATAATAAATCCTGTCAAAGCTCCATCTCATGCACAATTTGTATGAAATACAATGGAAGAGTGTTCATGCAAGACTATTAAAATGAACAGAAAATATGTCTTTGATAAATTTTATCTTTGAGTAATACCAGTATGTTAGATTAAATATGACAATATTTAAAAAAAAATCAGTATATTCCTTGGTAATGTGTCAATGTAATGAATATGAGACATGAAAAATATCCAATTGAATGAGCATCCATGGAGCTATGAATCATTCCTTATTTTGCAAAATTATTGTTTGTGGCTTTTCTCCTTTAACTGTGAACAAATGGCTTTCAAATTTTCAGCAGTTAAAAATGGGATTATTGAAATTCACACCGTTTTATTTAACATTTTGCTAATTAATGAAAGTATTTTATTCCCAGAATTTATTACAGCAGGTGCTTAAAAAATAGCACCATGAAGTAAATATATTTGATCATTGACTTATTGTTTTACATGCCATGATTATATAAAGGAACTAGCCATTTGGAAGTTAATAAGTCACGACTAGAAATGACAAATTTTGACTTTAATAATGCTAGCAAAGCCACTATTATTCCTTATGTCATCTACATCGGCTCAATATCAATGCTGAAAAAATTGAATAGTGAACGGACAATAGTCAGAAGTGTGAAACCTTGATTTACAAACTCTTGAACTTTAGATTGAACTTCAGTAGTTTGCTCTTTCCACCAACGTTCAAAAAAAGCAATTTCAACATAAATAAATTTTCTTGCGGGATTACTATCCAAACTTGTCACAATAGTGTCCAAAATGTATTGTACACCAGCTTTCGAATAATCTTGATAATCTACTTTGCCGAATTACAGGCATAATTATATCGCAAGAATTTGGTAAAATTAGCAGAGAAGAAGAATTATCAAAACTGTAATTGTATGGTGTGAATTTAAATTTTTTGATTCAAGTTACATAAGTATTATTCGAGCAGAATTAAATAAGTGATTGTGAGTAATTGGGTTATGATGTGGTTGAAGCATGCAAAATGAAAAGGTGAATATATGTTAGAACATGTGAGAAATAAGCAGAATATAAAGGGGTGAAGAAACTTAAAGACTGTGCAATACCTGACAACATTCAAAAACAAATAAAAGATAGCAACTTGGCAAAGGTGCTTCTGCTATATGAAACCAATTTCAATGTGAAATAGGACAGTAACAGTTTGATCGTCTCTGTCAATATTCCAGAGGTTGCTTATTGCGTAATAATTGCATATTTAAAAGGTAATCCATAATTCTCAATTTTTCAATTAACATTCGGCTTTTTGAAAAAAAAATGAAAACTGTGATAGGTTAATACAAGAAATATTATGGTCTTCCCCGAGTGGCTATCTTTAACAAAAATTTCTATTGCACATTCTGCACCAAAACATGAGTGTTTCTAACTCTCAAACCTTGCTGCACTAAAGATTGGACAGTTTCTCTCATATCATCACTCTGTTCATCCCACCATCGTTTGAAAAATGCCATTTCAACATAAATAAATCGTCGAGATGGATCTTTAAGAAGCTGAGGGATAACTGAATCCAAAATGTACTGGACACCCCCCATCTGTATTGTTTTATTGGCTAGAAAAAGTACTCTCCATTATGTAAAATCCTCATTATATGACCAGGTATTTAGTATTTAATAACTACAGGAACAAACTTTGCTTTGAAATAATTTAAACAGAATATCTAGCATAGAAAGGTGAAAAATATTCACTTGGCACAAGATAGTTCTGACAATATGCAATCTATTTTGAAATGTAAAATTGAAATCTAAAGGTTCATAAATATGATAATTACCAATCAGGCTATATATATTTTAGGACATCAATCCAGATAATCAAATAACTATATTAAGCTTAGTAAAACAATTTTGAAATAATATTAATGCAACAGGAACCAGATTAAATATTTCAGTTTATTCATCTTCTAAAGAAGTAATTAATTTTCACTCATTTTTACAAATGACTAGAAATAAAACTGACCATACAAGCAATAAATAATACAGACCGCCATAAAAGTATTGATCCACTGTTTTCAACCATCCAACATCATCATGTGTGTGTGGCACGAGATGCACGTTGAGTTTAGTAGGATCTCCAAGATTACATGACTGAAATGTGAATGAATCGTACATCAGATTTTGTATATAAAATTCAATAAATTAGAACATACGATTTTTGCAGAAAAGATCATCATTACATTTTATAACATCAGATTAGAACATTTTGTAATTTTCAGATATTTTTGGGGGTCTCGTGAAGCAAACGCCGTAACTGCTTAAATATCCTCAACATAAATGTGGTGTGAAAATGAATGCTGTAAGTGCTTAAATAATGCCAAACAAAAATGTGACATGAAAATACAACCCAAATTTCCATTTTTTTTTAAATGTAAGACTGTCTCGCTCGAACACAATACACTAAGCGCATGGGACAAACGGGAGGCAAACATTTCCACTCAAGAGAGGGCAGATGAGTCGTCCACCTTTTCGCATTTTCGACGGCGGCGTTTTAAGGCAATACGGTGTAATTTCGATCTTTTTATAGTTTTAGGCTACCGGTACCTCCGAATTTCACATCACATTTTTGTTGGGTGTTATTTGAGCAATTATGGTGTTCATTTCACATCACATTTTCATTAAGCATAATTTAAGCCTTTTTTCCTTGATCACAGTTCACCAAATCAAATATCTTACTCAAAAATGACTGAATTACAGATAATTGTGTTACCTGGTATGCGCCACCGCAAGTGGTTGAAGCAAGAGTCCATACACAAGGAATAGCGAAGCAGAATATAATGTGAAGCAAAACGATTGACTTCATTTTATCCTGTTATTGATATTCAGCAGGTGATTACCACATCTCCATCTATATAGACTGACAGAATGTTAACAAAAAACTAAGAACTGCAAAAATCAGAAGATATACTAACAGTGACAGACTGAGGTACCGTATAATAAGGTACCGGTACCGGTAATGGAGTATAAAAATACAGAAAGTAAAAATATCGGAAAAAAAATTAAAACTATTTGATGAGTTTGTAGCATTAGGACCTACAGACCTAAGACGGTCAGACAGTATATCTGTACCGTATATACAGATACCGGTATATTTTAGTATTTTCAACACCTATTTCGGTGATAACCGAACAGACAAATTCAGATATTTCTTTTCGGCTTGCAACCAATATCTGAATATTGTAAATTTGAACAAAAAATAAATACATTGAAAACAAAACGTTTAAAGCCTGAAAGCCTGTCACGTTCAACTTGTATTAACATAGCTGACATAGGCTACCGGTACCGGTACCGGTATAACATATTATATTTCAGTATTTGTACTGTGGTAAACTTTAAATTTACGGAATAGTCTAGCTAGCAAAAGCGAAATACGAATCTATTTTCCGTTTATGCACAAATTACAATACTACGAGCAAATTAACTTATACTTATACTTAAATAGCACGCAAGTCGCAGGACGCCACTGCAGAATTGCCACTTTTGTCTAAATCAGTGGTTCCCAAACTAGGGTCCGCGGACCTTTTGGGGTCCGTGAAGTACTTTCCGAGGGTCCGCGAAAGAAATCTGTTGGATGGCTCAAAGTTTGATAATGCAAAAATTAACTGCTTAAATTTGGAAAGACACATTTATCGCATTATGATGCTTTACAATCTCTGCTGAGGACACTGATTCTTCACTTTTTGTTTCGATTAGGCTTTCCTGATTGTGACGTCACAAAGTCATGGCAGCTCCTGCCACGAACAAACCGCGGCGTCTCATGCCATGGTTTAATGGCGCTATAATTTAGTAATCAGTATTATCGGCATATTAACAAAGTCATGCGCCGTATTTTTGTTTAATATACCAAAAAAAGTACCAACCTACTCATTGTTTGTCACCAACAGGGGCAGCCCTGCCAATACATCCGACATGCCTTGGTTACGGCATCAAAATTTTACCCGACATGATTTTTTAATTTGCTGCCGTGGTACCGGTTTGGGGCAGCTAAAAAGTCAGTCGCCGTGGTTTAACCGGAGCTCCAGAAGTAATCTATGTGCACCAAGATGGCGCACAACCTGAACATGGTATTATGTACCGGTTAGGATTCAGGTCGTGCGACATCTTGCTACATATGCTTGGAAATCCCGCTAAATACTTAAAACTGCACTTGGAGGTGTAGATGGCGCTGCCTTTTTGCATGCTTGTTGTTATAGGAGAGAATTACAGTAGGTAGTTGATAAAGTATGCCACTCCGTTTCTAAATGATGATTTACGCTTTTGTTTTGAAAGGTGGATAGCGTTAAATATAGCGCAGTCAGAAAGGCACTACGTTTTAGTTTTTAGATGTCAAATTTAGTCTTTGACACACGGTAACGGTAGGCATATATTTTTACGTTTTCAACTCTGTATTATCAATTTCAAAATGTCTTCTAAAATTAAAATTGAGATAATCGTATGTAATTTTATCGTGATAAATGCAGGTGAAGATATGTTTTGCACTACACCGTGTGGAGCATTTATTTTTGTTGTGATCTTGTTTTATGTGATATCTTTCTGTCTTTCTTTGATAATGTTTTATTTTAGTCAATTAGTGCACAGGGCCGCGAAACAAAAACAAAATTGCAAGGGGTCCGTCAGACAATTTTTTTGAAAAAGTTTGGGAACCACTGGTCTAAATAAAAGCATATGATCCCTTTCCCGACCTTTGACCCCCGGGAAATTTTTCCCATACTTTATCATTATAAAACTTCCGGTGTTTATCAACGACTAACATACCGTGTTTCTTTTAAGAATAATTTCGCGAGTTGTCACCTGTAAAATGGGGTATTTGCTTCAAACCATCATACTGATTCATAGTATTCAACAATCTGTTCTTTAAAAGTACCGGTAAAGAATTTTAGCCTAGTCTATCACAGCTATTTCTACATCAATTTTTGATTACTGCAAATAAACCTAAACTTCTAGGAAGACAAAGTAATCATTGAATTATTTAATTTATATTTAAATGTCCGAAACACAACTGAAAACTAACGAATAGAATTCAAAAATGCAAAAACGAGTCATTTTTTACGACCACGCTTGAAAATCTGTCTGATTGAGAAAAGTGTCTGAGCGAATGCATTGTAACGTCACGTTTTGCATCTTGCTGGTTGGCCAATGTCACGAAGTAAACAAAGAAGTAATACTTGGGGAAACATCCTTAGATTGACCTCAAAAAATATCTAGATATCAAAACAAAACATCCAAAAATTATATTTAAATATGGAGTTATCCAAGTGAATGAAAAATAAACAGAACAAAAGAGTACAAATAGCTCATTAAATTACATCATACTGTCATCGTAGATTTCGAAGATTATTCGACAATGAAGTTGATGCTGTTGCTGTTGGATTTTCCATATATGTTTCTGCCGTACATATATTTTTGAAATCGAAACAGGTTTCTTATAGGACGTGCAACAACCCCTGGTGTAGACCATTACTTCAAATCGCTAAATGTACTTAGGGTTAAAGATATAATTAGGTATTATCGTTAGTTGACTTTCATAATACACGCTTTTTTCACCTGCAATTAGTTTACATTTCAATTAATAATATATTTAGAAATATAATATGTAATCAGGGCATGTTTAGCTGGGTATGTTTGCCTTATTCAACAATAATTAACATACTTAATTAGATAGCTGAACACATTCTGACTTTTGCATGTTTTTTTTTTTAATGTTGAATTTTTGATATAACACATAGCCTACATGGCTCTTGTTTTCCATTTGCGTGATTTATTTATTTATGAGGGATGTAGACCTTCTAATATAGTTCCTGTAAGTTAACTAATAATTGCAATTAGTATAGCAGTGAAGCTATATTGGATTATGTGCTTTGTTTGAACTGAAACCGAAATTGAGTATTTTTTGCAAGGTTTGTAAACAGCTAATTTTATACTTTTGGGTGAACAAAAACGTGCCTCTTTATTTGACAACACCTTTCAATCTAAAATCTGTAGAATTGTGCCTACTGAGAGGATTCAGATTCGTTACTGTTGCGTACGGAGATCAACAACATCTACGGAGGAACAAAAGCTAAGTACTTACTATTCACGATTCTTCCTAACCTAAGCGTAGGGGCCTTTTGCTAAAATTAATCGCCAATTTTTTCCAGTGCCGACGATCAAGAATCAACACAACGAGATGACAATGCAGTAAATTTAAACAACAATTAAACATTGGCAGACGACTACGGAACGACAAGACGACGACTATGACGACGGATGACAGACACTCGAAATGAACTTTTAAAAGAAATTTATGAGGTGAAAAATCCACGAAAAAAATAATCAAAATGATGAAATATTGAATGAACAACAGACGAAGGGACTTTTCGAAGAAATACGGTAGATCAAACGCGCCCAAACAAATTATTTAACGCGACAAAAAACGAAAAGAATTTCAAACGTAATGATATGTTATTTTTATGTTCATAATTTTGATTTATTTTAACTGTTTTAGATTTTTCATCTTGGGACCTGCTTCATCCTTCTCATATTCTTAAGGTAGAATTCTTCTATTTCTCTCTGGCGTTTAAAATTCGGCTTCCAATTTTTATGAATTCATTGAAGGTAAGGTAATTCGGATGTTTATTCAAGTGGCATAAAATCGTTAGGCCAAATGATTGTCCAACAGAAATAAATGTTTAATTGCAAATGATTTTCATAAAATTCATAGGAATTGAAATTAACGGTCAAAAACAACCCCATTTTTGATAGAATATGTTTCTAAATCACTGATAACTTTTTGAAAAGATGATTCGGAGAGAATCACACTTTAAGCTCGCCAATATATTCGTCTAATTCGTCTAATACGAATATATTGAACAAACACATAAGCAAAGCGCTCTCATTTTTTTCAACGCCCACAGACGGCTTACTATTTTTTTCAACGCGCTTCTAACCCTACAAGGGGATATCGAAGCTAACAAAGCCATTACTCGCGAGTTGTAAGGTTAAGGTGTGATGAAATATGTTAAATTGAAATCATTGTTTTGACGGTCAATATCGAATTTAAAACAAGAATACGCCGATCTTTTCTAAAAGCTTCTTTCACTTTTCTATTTACCTGTTCTTTATTTCTTTTCTCTGTCCCATTAAATTCCATATAACCATGAATATTTTGTTTATTACTTGAAGTACTAATAATATTGAGAAAAAACTCAATTTTAAATCTAGTCAATTCGGAAATAAGTTGAGAATTATCATAAAACTTTCCATGTTATTGCAAATCAAATTAATATTTTATCATCAGGGATAGCCTTAAATTCACTCAATTTATTTTGTTATAATTTCAGTGTAATCTTACAATTTTATGTTTTTTTCGTTATCATTTTGTAGAGATCTGTACCATTCTAGACACGTTTATTATGCCGAAAGCCCGAACTCCGTTCTTTAGGGTCGAATTATTATGTAGGGGTTATTAGTTATTTAGACCATATTTTTAACAGTAATTTCTAGTTAGGACAAGATTTCTTCTTAATTTGAAAAAGGCAATGCCGAAACGATTTGACGATAAGTATTTAACTAGTTTTCAGAACAACTGCGTCAGTTGAAAACACGCTATCTTGCCCTTGAGCAAAACAGACTTGGAAAAGCATGTTTTTAATTACCCTGACCACTTATAGCGAACTAGGTAATTGGCAACTGACGACGTTCTAAATTGGTTTAGAAGAATTGCAGAGATTTAATTACGGGACTTTTACTTTATTTATTATAAATAACAATACGTAAGAATCACCCCTAAGGCATAACATTCGTGTCATTGTTACTATATAAACAGTAAAATATTGCCCTAATGTTCACTCACTGGGCTGAACGTGTTATTATATTCTTCTCGTGTCGTCTAATACAACAAATAAAAGGTTGGTGACTTTGTAATATATTCGTTGTCTGCTGGGTTCAGCTCTGCCCTAACTGAGTCAGCGAGAATCGTGTGCTGGGTTAAACTCTATTCAACTGAGAGTTTGTGCTTTTAACCAAGCTCTATTTAGGATTGCTTTTAATATAACTTTTAGGGGGTAAAAGAGTATTTTATTTTATTTCTGTATTTGCTGGCTAAGCTGTTGCTGTTACCTGATCTGAAGAAGACATACTACTGGTTCCGAATACATGTATTGCAATTGTATATTTACACATACAAAAGACAGTTCAAAGTCATGACTGATAAGCCAGATAAAAATACTAAGTTGCACTGCAGGCCCGAGTTCGTTAATTACTTGTCCATCGTTATCCTTTTTTCTTTCCTAAAGAATGGTCGCTTTTATGCTGGTTTTGGTATCCTTAGGGCATGACGCCTTATTGTCATCGTACCCGGGGCTACTCAACTATTTTTACCGAAGGTCCTCGTACAAAACTTCAAAAATATTTGGGTCCGGACTCTCCAGAAATTATATTTCGGCATTTTTAAACACGCAATTCCTCGGCCGACTAATGAATATTAGCTAATCAAGATTGTTTGATATGACGTTATAATTCTTTTCATATATATTTTTAAATCTATAAAAGGGATTTTATGAAGAAAATTTTAAAAGTGGAGCTAATGATTCAAAAGAAGATTTATGCGCGGTCCGAATCGAATACCCGAAAGGTCAGGATTCGGACCGCGGTCCGCCAGTTGAGTAGCCCTGCCCTACAGGACGTCTAATTGTTACGTATTTTATGACTGAGAGATTGCTTCTAATTTCAAGATTGGTATGACTTTAAGTTTAAACACGTAACCTATTAACCAAAAGCAGCAAAATGACCCAATATCCTATACTATGCACCTACTATAGCTGCGGAGCAGTGGCCAAGCTTGGGCGTGCAGTGAAAAACAATACACAAAATGCAACAAAATTCATAAAATCATAAGAAAATTGAAATTATGATTATGAGACAGAATGTGTGTGTGTTATACAGTGTATGGAGAGAAAAAGATTTGGCGTTGGTTTATTTTTAATTTAGGTGACAGATTACTACCAATGCTTAGCTTTAATACTCTTCGTTTCACATTAATAAATTCTGAAGCGCTGAAAAAATAAAAAAATACGCGTGTTGCGTTGATGAGCCTTTCCGGCTATAATTGTGATGAGCCTCTTTGGGCGTTTAAAAAATAAAAATGAGGATTTTACTTGCGTTTATGCAAATAATCCTAAAGCGCTGATTCGAAATACGATCGTATATGAAATCATGTTTTAAAAAAAATGTTAAAGTCAGCGTAAAGTATATTTAAAGAAAACGAATGCTAATATCTGCCAAAATCGAATAAATTAGATATTTTTGCGTAACCTCGTTGGGTTCAATACCAAAAATAAAACGCCTTAAAGATTAAAAGAAAGAAAATATGAAATACTTGTGAAGAAAAAGAATGTCTGTCCATTCTGTAAACGAAATTGAAATAATTATGATACAATATAAAATGCTACAATCGCACGGTTTCTTGAAGTTGATTCGCAGGCGTTTCTTTCTGAAGTTCTTTCGTTTCATATCTTTTTCATCTGTTTTTGCAGTCAAGAGTTCTGACTAGTTTTTAATTTTACAGTTTTTTTCTGGTGTGAAACAGTTCATATAGTGTGAATGTTTTACACACATTTTTTTATAACAGTCCATAGTCCATATAATGTGAATCTCATACACATTTTTAAATCTAACAGTCTTTTTCTTTTTGTCGCAGTCTTTGGTTCTTTGCTTTTATTCCTTGGTTTGTCATACCGTCTGAATCTTGATTTGGTTGTTGTTTTTCATTGTCCTTGATCTTTTTATCCTCGGCTTGCTTGTGGAGTTGATGTATTTGGGGTCACTTCCAGTTCCAACGGTTGCTTTTCAGACTCCATCTCAGAAAGGCGCAGTTCGTCTGTCGGGGATACCATTTTTAGGGGGTAGGGCATGACGCCTTATCGTCATCGTACCCTACAGGACGTCTAATCGTTACGTATTTTATGACTGAGAGATTGCTTCTAGTTTCAAGATTGGTATGACTTTAAGTTTAAACACGTAACTTAACCAAAAGCAGCAAAATGACCCAATATCCTATACCTTTCAATATAAAATCTGTACTTACTCGAGGTTAATTCTCTTGATTCTGTAATCAGTTTCATTTATTTTGTTTTTATAATTTTTTTTCTCGTCTTCCATGCTGATTATGAAGTCAAAATAAACCTATTATTAGGGAGGAGGGAGCCTTAACCGACCAGCGGTTACGTGAACCATTCTACGGAAGCAAGTAGTCCAGCAAGTACATAAGTATTCCCAACGGGATGCGAACCAATAGAGAGTGATCCGAGATGCTGTGGCAAGCGTATTTTAAACAATTGTCACGATGTGCCACACCGCTAGCAAAAGTATGCCGAAACGAGGTTAAACCTTGGTGGCTGCGAAGTTGAGCTATGAACGGAAACAACCATTTTTGATGAACTGTGGGTGTAAATACCTATTACTTTAAATACCTGAGTGTGAAACTGACATGGGCAAACTACGGCCCTCTGGCCAGCCCGATGCTGACACAACCAAGGTAAAACCAAATTTTGATGTTTCAGCTAAAAAAAATAACTCAGGGAATTTGTTGAGATTGCATTTAAATTTAGTTTTGGCATTGTTTTCCACTTTTGCTCTATAACAATGTAAATATTGTTCATAAAATGTAACTTTTTACGTCACACTTACATTGCCCGCCAGTATAGGTGGGCAAAATTCATGGCCCATGGTTCAACACCCTTGCCCACCACTTGTGTAAAACAATAACAACAATGGAGTAAAAGTGTACACTGTACAAGATATTTATTGCAATATACAATGTAACTACTCAAAATTCGAGTCCTGTTTTTATTGAAGACTGACTGCAAATAGCAGTGTTTTATTAGATCATGCGAGATGAATCGAATAATAAGGGAATATATATATCACAATTTACAATAGGATTCACGTTTTAATTCAATAATTATTATTGCGTGCGGCTAATGGATTGCTACAGGTAGTTTCCTATTTGACGGCTACACTTTCCTGTATAAAATTGTTATTTTATCACAAACCGAAATGTGAAAGATAATATAGCTGGCCATTTTGGTTTCATGGTCAATTCATTGTTTTCCTTCTAATGAAGAATTAGCATGCAAAATTCAAAAGAATAAAGTTGAAAACACAATTCACTGGTGAAGTAAATCTGCGGAGAACTGAAGCTGGTTAGTATACTGCGATTCTCAAGGATTAAATATCTAAAAAATCATTTGTAATTTTGATTGTCAGATCATTGTACTGTACTAAAAACCTTGTTCAGAGCGTTATAAGAGTGATAGGTATAAACTCTGACATAGTCAATGCCACCTACAATGACAGGCTAAAAAAGTAGGGTTTTTTGAAGGTGAAACGATAAGCGTAGGATCACAGCCAGACTTGTAAAACACCGATAAGGAACAGTAATGTGTAATGAATGAGAAATATAGTAAATTGATATAAGGCTTTATTCAACTTAAATTTAAAGCACTCCTGGAATGAATCTAAAGTAATATAACACAAGCATATGTTATTAAACAGAAACTATTTAATCTTGGATTTAAATGGTGTTTTTTCAACATTTCAAAACAGATAAATTTGTTATTCGCATGAGTGACAGAACAATGTCCAGATTGGGGATTTTAATGTCCAAGCAGGAATCTACTTGCCCAGAGACTCTATCATTCAGATTCATTCACCAGTATTCCACAACTGCATGGACTGCAAATTCATACACTTAAGAAATGACTTCTTTCTATTAGTTCTCAGGCATATTTAAACAAATACTTATTAGTGTCAGAAATTTTTTTGGTACTCCCGTAGTATATGAACCAAGATGGCTGACACCGAAAGTAGTATATATGTGTACCAGGTTAGAGTTTGGCCATGATTTTATTCCAAATTTCCCTGTTTTGTCCCTATTACGAGTTCGGGGACAAGCCAAATGACTCCGTTGTATTTGTACCTAAAATTATGGCCTAACCTGGTACACATACTACGCTCCGGTGTCCGCGATCTCGGCTCACATATTACAGAAGTACTATTTGTTTGACGAGAAAAGAGTCTCATCTCTAGTCCTTTATTTGACATTTCGTTGTTTGGGTGGGAGATTAAATTTCACACAGGACGTATGTTTCCTGTTCATTGAGGTTGATGATGTATTGGTATGGGTTTGTCAAAGTGTCTTCAATCCCGACATACACATGTGTGTAAATATGATGTGGCCCCTCATATTTTGGAAACCCTTTCCACCATCTTAAACCACTGTCTGATGCCGAGGTTCCGTTTCGGTAATTGAGAATCTGATTCTAGAAAAAAAGTGGACCGGTTAACTTTAACGAGTTATTATTAAAGTAGTCAATTTCATGAAACTTTTACTCGGTTAGTTTAGCATCACATGTCAAAGATCTTGCGTTTGTGAAATCTCGAACAATAAATTTTCTACCAGACTTCATTCATAATGACTTATGGAGCAAATGTGACTTAAGGTAAGAAGGGGGAATGTCAATGCAAAATTGGGCATTCTAGAAGTGTGTGTATCAATATGGAAGTAACTAATTTTTTGCCTACTTTACATCAAGTTGTGTGGCGACAGAGGATATATTCTCTTGGCTAACACAGACTGTCCCCGAACTTGTAATAGAACCAAAATAAGAAAAATCGGAATAAAAGTATGGCTCAACCCTAACCTGGTACACACACTACGAGATTTTCTAAAATTGTTTATATAAATACCTAAAATTGAGTACGTTGAGTTCACTCAGTGAGAAATTCTTATCTAAAAAATGACTTTTCCGATTGAACTAGTTTTTCACGTTCGAAAAGACAGCCAAATAGAGCCCTATTTGAGGCAAAGATGCAAATCTTTTCTAAAAATAATAATCTGTTTCATACCAAAGCATAGCAACTGACAGTTTTCAAATTACAAACGATAAACTTAATCTATTCAAGAGTCTTGCTTCATACGAACACAAATATATTTCTGCAACGTTTCGCCTGACCGAGGTCAGACTTTTTCAGACAAGCAGAAGTCTGACCTCGGTCAGACGAAACGTTAAAGAAATATATTTGTGTTCGTGTGAAGCAAGACTTTACACACTCTTGCTACAGCATCCTTGCGAAATACGCACACGGATCCACCTGCGCAAATGCATATATATATATATATATGAAGGAAAGGTAGTTAGTTTCACAAAACCCCACTTGTTAGTTACGACAGCGCCGCGACGCAATAGTGCGCCGTGACGAGTTGCTAGGTGCGTCGCGAAAATTTACAGAATTGTGATAAACATAACTGAAAGATGATTGAATATTCTACAAATTGTATTAATTTAAATCTTTAATTGTTTCTTCTTTCAAATGCTGTGTATATGAATCAATAAGTTCATTTCACCACAATTTGCTGGAATTTCGTGATCTGCAGTTCATTTATCTCCTAAATCGAGATTTTTTTAGCATTTTAAATGATATTGCAAAGGCCCACATGTCTACAAACTTTAAAAGGCATAAAGTAATATATAATATAATTGAAAGCAGCATTTTTTTTTTCGTGTAAGTGCGCCGTGAGTTTTTTTCCTTGGTAAAATGGCGCCGCGGGAACAAAAAGTTTGGAAACCGCTGAGTTTCGATAAAGTTAATGATTGAAAAATCATAATGATTTTAATTGTGGAATACTAGCAATGATAATGGATACAGTATATATATATGTAACTTACAACAGTGTCATATGTCATGCCAAGAGAAAATTTTTTGAATCTTTTTTTGCCCATCTTGTTTTCTCGAATGAATGTCATTATTTTGTTCAGGTGATTTTGGTTGTATATATTTGCCAATTCTCCGCCTAATTGTTGACATGTGGCAATTGCTGCTGCTCTGTTAACCTCTTGACATGCCCACGGTATATATTTTCTTCCGCCATAGTGAACAAAATCTGTAAGTTAAATAAGCAGCGATGGGTAAATGATGTGAACTATCACCCATTTGCATATCTGGTTGACCTTGATGGTATACATCAATGTGCTTTGGTTATTTCCAGACCATGGGAACGACGAGATACTTGATACAAGTACTTGATAAATCGTATTGCTTTAATTAAAATTATCTAAAAAGTTTCCACGATTCCATAATGACCCATAGACTTGAATATTAAATTCAAATATCGAAATAAAACGCAACGCAAATAAAAACGTGCTCCAGGAGTGTGTATATGATGTATGTATACTGGTACATGTGTGTATACTTTACATCAAGTTGTGTAAATCCGATGGACAGGGGTTATCCTCACTTGGCTAACACAAACAGTCTCCGAACTCGTAATAGAACTAAAATAAGGAAAATCGAAATAAAAATATGGCCTAACCCTAACCTGGTACACACAATACGAGAGTACCGATAAAAACACAAATCAAAATCCAATAAATTTTAATTTTTTTAATGTGACAAACCTTGTTCCGTGACCTCAGGAATGATCGACCGGGGAGATAACTGAGCTGCGGTCGCATTCTCTTCCAATTTCTCTATTCTTTTTAGTAATTCGTTTATAGTTTTGTTCAGTCCTGTTCGCTGTTCTTCCAATGCTAAACGTGAGTTTGGGATAGTTCATTGAATCAGTGCAAATCGTCTTGCATTTATTTAAAAAAAGAGAGTTAATGCACGAATATATGGACTCTAAATTTCAAACGAAGTAGTATGGGCGTCTAAATTTTAATAGTAGTCTTCCCAAATTTACCGCACGATTGCAAACACGGAACCTAATTGAACAATTCTGATATATGAGCCAACACATACCTTTTCTCAATTTATTTCCTTCCTTTCTCTTTATTTTTGCAATCACTTCCTTCTTAACTGAAAATTAAATTTTTAAAATATTAGCTTAATTAAAGAAAACTTTATGGAAATTTTTATCAGGGAATATTGTTACTTTTCACAATTGACATTTCAAGGCTTCTGCTGAATGCACCAACGTTCAGGAAAACTTGTTTGTTGGATTTCTAATTTCTCACAATCATTTTACTAGTATTATTAAGTGCCAAGAGTTCTCGCTGTGAATGAAAAAGTTTTTACGATCGAATTGTAAGATAGTTAAGTAAGTTGAGTGACTAATTTATTGACCTATTAATAATTCTAATGAATAATCAATAGTATGACTCCCTTACTCGATTTCATAATTTCCCTAATAGTAGCATTAGTATTCTCATAATCCACTATACAAGCAGACATCTTCCCATTTCGATCATTTTTTACTGGACTTCCCTGAAGACGAGTATTCGATGCAGAGTCGATGTTTTCGTTCTCAGATAATTCCTCATCAACTGTGCAAATCATATGCTGTTTCACACTTTTCACTGAACTAGCAAAAAGGACACCAATACTCGCAATCAACACGGTACTGGCAGAGACTTTCATTGTAAGAAATAGTTTAATTGAAAATCCAGTATTTAGTAATACGCTTGGTAATTTTCTGTAGCCTACCGTACCATTTGAGTATATGGTACATTGTGTAAGAGGAGTGAAAAAACAACAAAATCAAACAAAATGTAATATTTCTTTTTATCTATGAATGAGAAATTGGTTGAACCAGGTGTGGAATTCAAACGTTTAATAACGGGTTCGCTTTTGTTTCAAACTCACCAACAACGGGTTCCCTCATTTAAGAAAAGCCTTTGAACTTATTATCCTCAACTATACGTCATATTTAGTAATTTATGTTGTTAAATAAGCAACATTTAACATGATTCGCATTACATAAATCTAATACATGTTCTTCGAAACGCCAAACATGAACACTTATCGACAGCTCAAGAAAGAATTCGATGATAACCATGCATGAACGCGTGTGAGCCTCCTAGATTCTTTCACTGGGTTGAAGATGCGACATTTTTTATGAGCTATTTTACACGATCAAACGTGCACATTTCTACAATAATCTAATTCATTAATAGATAGCGCATCAATATTATTTGAAAACTAGAATAAGTTTACGAATTCTAGCTGCCAGATTCTGCCATCTACTGATATAGCAAGAGCTCTCTTTCTATTCAATAAAATCAGATATATTTGATTACCTCACTAGTTGAACCAAAAGCCCTGAGTGGGTAATCTGTTTGAAATACTTTCTACTGGTTATAGCTTTCTACGCCGTTCTATTCTCCTTTTAAAAAACTTATAGTTCATTTTCTTCGCACTTGCCTGAAAAACAAAATTGACATTTGAACAAAAGCAGGTTATATTTAACCTCTTTACTCGAAATCTCTGACAAGCTAATGACTGTTTGAGGCGGCAAAGTCTGAATAATCAGTACAATAAGCCAATTAGTACATCCCTCATACAGACGTTTCTACTATATTTGACCCCTTGTTAGCCCGAACCGCGTCTGTTTAATTTTGTTTTGGTTGTTATCTAGTGTTTTTCCTACTTTCCTACTATCTGTTTTTCCTACTTTCGTACATTGAGTGAGTGACCTAAAACATTTACAGTACCATATATATATATATATATATATATATATATATATCATTTGTTAATATATGGTCGCCTGAATGTAGTCTTTTATCTTCATAACATTTCCGCATGACATCTGTGGACCACCCTATGTTTATTTGTTTCACCAAGTTTGTATTATTCAATACTTACCATACTCTATTTACTTCTTCCGAGCACGAAATGAGGCAGTTTGTTTCGACACGAAAATTAACTTGAAGTGGAAACACCTGCCCTGGGAATGCGCTAATCGTATTATTGAAGTAATTATTCAGACTTTGCCCCCGAAATAGTCATTATCGTGCCGGCGATTTGGCATAAAGAGATTACGTGGACGGAAACAACTTGCACTCAAATGTCGCATTTTTTTTCTGGCAAATGCAAAGAAGTTATATTATTATATATTTTAAAAAAAGATTACAATAACGCAAAAGACTGTGATCAGTAATAAATATTTTAAACTGAATAGTCTGTCAGAGCTTTTGGTTCAAATTGGATTGATAGGCGGTTGTTGTACATAAACGTACAGAAAATATATCCTATTTTATGGCATAAAAAATAGCGTTTGCGACAAGCAATAAATAGTTATACAAAATCTGAGAGATAGAACTCGTAAAACTAGGATAAGATGGGATTTACATATATTAACCCGGGGGGAAAAGCCGATTAGACGTCTTAATCATATATGGCGAACCACGATCTCTCGTGCGGTTACCAGTCCTTGTCGGGTATGAGATTAGTTAGCCATCGTTTATTTGTTTCAGATGCATGGACTTGATGGTAGAAGAAGCCGTAAACAACCAGCAGACAGTATTTTGGCTTTCAAACAGTACCATATATGGTATCTATATTATTGGAAAAGGTTCAAAATGATTGCAGATGTAGACATGCGATGGTGTAAAACAGCTTGTAAATACTAAGAAATAGAATATAAATTATTTTTATTGATAGACATGAAAAAAAATTACATTTTGTTTGATTGTTTTTTCACTTCCGTTTAACAAGGTACCAAACACTTAAAAGGTAAGGTACAGAAAATGACAAAGCTATATTTTTAAATATTAGATCTATAGATAAACTATTTCCCAGAATGAAATTACTCGTCAGTACCGTGCTTTTTGCGAGTATCGCTGTTCTTTTCATCGATCCAATGAATTGTACTAGACAGCGTGTGATTTGTACTGTTCCAGGCAAAAATCCAAATGGCGAACAGGAGGTGTCTTCTTGCACATTAGATTATGAGAATATAAATGCTACTATCAAGAAAATTATGGAACAAGGTAAAAGCTATTGATTATTAATTAGAAATTTTGACAGGTCAATAAATTCTCTCGACGTACCTATATTATAATTTTATCGTAAAAACTTTGATTCGCCATTTTATTTTCTCTAAAAGATACTGAATTCCATTACATCGTTTTATTTCATTATCAGTGAAAACTCTTCGCATATACCAAAATAATATTATTCTGATAGTACTAAAATACTGGTAACCGTAACGTTGATAATCAAATATCTACAAAAAATCAATAAATGATTCTTTGTAAAATGTAACAATATGACCTAACAAAAATTGCCATAAAGTTTTTTTAAAATAAAATGAAACTTTAGAAGTCTTTTTCCCTTTTAGACCTAAATTACGTGGTTCCAATGATAGAGGGAGAGGAGAGAAGAAAATTTAAAATAGGTGAGTATTTTCCCAATTTTAGTTCTATTACGAGTTCGGGGCCTGTCTGTTTCAGCCAAGTGAATATACCCCCATAAGGTTTCAGTCCCATTACACAACTTGATGTGAAGTAGGCGAACAAAATTAGTTACCTTCATATTGGTACACACACTTCTGGAACGTCAGGATCAGAGCTCACCCAATTAAAATGAAAACTGATAATTTATATTATCAATGATTAATATTTTATATTAGAAAAGTGAGTAGAAATGCTGGTTTTTACTATATTTGAAAACCCAAACTCTCCTATTGATTCCGCCCGTCTTATTTGCTTTAGCTTGATATTGTATATTCTTAAGAGATTTTATATAACAGAGAAAAAAGGATATCCAGGTGTAGTTATTATAGCTACACTCAGCCAAGTATCGAAGCGCCAGACAGATTTAGAGACAACATTGCTATTTTCATAATGCTATCATTTGCGTTCAGCAATGGAGGAACAGCGAGTAATAATGAGCAGAGCAATAAGTGAACTACTCGAAAGAATCATTAAATTAGAAGAAATTGCAGCTGGAGCTAATCAATCTTCCCCGTTGATTCTTCCTGGAATTACTGAAATAGGTTTGTTACTTTAATATTATTTGCGTTGTTTGAGCTTTAGCTTTTATCGCAGTAATTGTATGATAAACGCCTAATAATTAACTTTAGTAAACTGTGACAAAATTGTAAAAAATAGGTCGCATTTCACTGATTAACTATCCAACTTTGTTTAGAGTAGGGAAGTCCAACCCGCGCATGTGGCCCGCACAAAGGATTCGTCCGGCCCTCTTGACATTATTGTTTTAGTCATGCAGCTGTTTATCTTGTGACCTGTGACCACATGACAAAGCTGAAGATGAAGTCATATACCCAAACCCGATATTAAAATTTTTCTTCCTTTCCCTATGAAATCGCTTTTTTTTAATTTTTGGACCAATTGCTTGCTACTTCCGGTGGTAAAAGATTGTATTTTGGGTTAAAAGGCTATTGTTTTCATTCATTTTAAATATTTCTGTGACCTCTATGTCTGGGGTTCGCTTTTTGTGTGCTATGACGTCATTAAAATCTGCGCATCTTGTTGCGGTTCCGTGGACTCATACCAGCGGATATTATGCTTAGCAAACGTCGGCGGAACACCACTCACCGAAAAAACATCGAAGATTCCAGTCGATAATAAAAACCTAAGACATGGTATTCAAAAAAAAATTAAAAAAAAAAATTGGATAAAAAGAAAATAAAAAGGTTGACAACGATGGTCCGCCTCGTGGCCCATCGTTGTCACGCGTTTTTATTTTTGGAAAATTCGATGCTGCTTGGGACCAACGTTGTCAGGCTTAATCCTACACGCACAAATGTGTTTCCTGAGTTTCTAACTCACTACTGGTTTTCATGAGCAATATCTAATAAATTCAACATGAAAATGTTCTATAAATTCTCCATGCTACAAGTTCAACCACAAGCAGTATATTTATAATAATGATAAGAGAATATAGAATTGGATACGAAAATTTGTTTTTACGGGTAAAAGGTAATTTAATTGGAAAATGCTGCTTAACTGCTCAGTTGTCTGGACACTCGTGCGATGCCGGTACGGTACCGTCTGACCGTACCAGTACCCATGCAATCACTCATGAAAGAATGGGAGATACGGATAGTCTCGTAGAATATAGTCTACTGAAACACTCTCTGCGCCTGCCCCATACCGTACAGCCGTAACGTACCGATCCAGACAAATGATAAATCGCTCGTGCTCAACCATTTATTTCAATCCATACCTCGATCCTAGTAGAATATTGTGAGTCGAGGTATGGATTGAAATAAATGGTTGAGCACGGGCGATTTATCATTTGTCTGGATCGGTACGTTACGGCTGTACGGTATGGGACAGGCGCATGGGCCACCATGGACATGACTGGTCTAGAGTGAAGTGCGTATAAATATCACGAAGAAAATCGCGATAAATAAGAAAATAAATAAAAATAAAACAAGATTTCGATTTGTTATTCTTATTTGCATTGCGTTTATTTTACTTTTTCATTTAAATTGGAGCCTATGAATCGTTGAGAAATTATCAACGCCTATTTTGAGATTATTTAAAGCATAACTGAACAATTTAACAAGTTTTGGCTATGGTTTCCACGCTATGGAAATATCCATGATTTACACCGGAGTAATTCGCGGTCGAACACAGTCAGGGGTGTGCAACCTTTAATACAGTCAGGGGTGTGTAACGTTAGGGTTAGGGGTCAAACCGCGGTCAAATTTTTGTTTTCGATCGTATGACATGCATTGTTCGTTTTGCACAAGCTCTTGCAGCGCAAAGGCATTGGAATTATTTTCGCATACTAGATTAAACTAAATTAAAAACTTGTTTCAAAGGCACGCCATTCAAAATTGGCACTTAACAATTCCTTCTTGTGGGCCGCATTTGGCCCGCGGACCGCAGGACGCATCGAGGACAAATGAGTCATAACACAATTAGTTCAATTCTCATGATTTATCTAATGTTGCTTAATTGAAATTACAGATATTGTGCGCTATGATGGAAGAATATATATACCTTGGTTATGTGAAAAGGTTGACATGGCATCAGCAATCGCCAAATGTCAACAATTTGGCGGAGAACTCGCAAATATATATAACCAAATTCACATGGACAATATAATGACATTCATTCGTGACAACAAGTTGGGCGAGAGACGATATAAAGATTTTTTGCTCGGCATGACTTATGACCCTAGGGTAAGTTATATATGTAAGTATTGTCAGTATTTCTACATACCGTTTTTATCAACTTTATCGTCTGTAATGAATAAAAAAATGTATGTTGTGATAGTAAACAAAGGTTAACTTTTTGCGAAGAAGTATGTTTTGAGTCTCTACGCCCACTATTGCGTACTCCCGTATTATGTGTACCAGGTTAGGGTTAGGTCATAATTTCATTCAGATATCCCTTTTTTTGGTTTTATTTCGAGGTCGGTGACTGTCTGTGTTAGCCAAATGAATATTATCCTGCACATAGGCTTCAATCCCTTTACATAACTTGATGTAAAGTAGGCGAACAAAATTAGTTAACGTCATATTGATACACATACTTCGGGAGCGCCCACAATTCTACATTAAAATAATTTATTCCAAAGCCACTGTCGCCCACTTAAGTGATTACGAATCTTTCTTGAAATATATAGAATTTAAAGATAGAACTATTGAATTTACAAAAGGGAATTTAGAGCTTAAAGGTTAAGAACCTTGTTCTAGATCGACTCAGTCCGTAAAACTTATTTTTTAGCACTGATAGACCATATCTCAAAATAATCGGAAAAACGTCTCTTAAAGTTTAAATATGACTGCATTGTAATGATAATTAAGTATTGTTCAATTTCTTCTTTCTAGAATCAGATTCTTCGTCTCCGAAATGGAACAGCGATATCACAAACTGATTTCAGATGGTCCTACCATCATCCATACCGCGGAAAGAAATTTCGTAAATACAGGAACGTTTATGTCGTAATTGAAAAAGGTTTACTAGTCCCATTTCAATACTTCATGAACCTCAAGGAAAAAAAGTCATACGGAGTGCTGTGCGAAATATAAATCAATCTTCATCAATAGCGAATTGCCAAATGTACAACTAGAAATAAAACGAAAAACTCCTTTCTCACCAAACTGTTAAATTCTGACACAAATAAGCATTTGTTCAAATATACTTAGAAACTAATGCAAAGATTCCTGCCAAGTGATTCTTGTAGCGTTCAGTTTGTAAATTTGTGAAATACTGGTGAAAACATATAAATAGTGTTATATCCACAACTGTCACCCATACGAGAAATAAATTCGTCTGGTTTGCCATGGGTACCAGTAGGCCTACCTGATATTGTTCTGCCGTTAAGTCACCGCTGGCGATCGAATGCATTCTTTACTTCATCAACTAGCGTGCTAATTTCATTTTATTTATTGTAACTGGTTTTTTTTTTTTTCGGTATTCATTGCCTAACACTTCACTATACAACCACGTTGATGGCTAGGTCACCTTCAAACTTCCCCAGCTATTTTGCAGAACAAAACATTCGTTTCAGGTATCCCAGTGTAAACGGAGATTCGCTGATCTTACGGCTCATTTAATACACGGTAATTTCTGGTAATAATCTTTAATAATCGATGTCTGTTTGTTAGTTGGATAATTTGCAAAATTCAGAAGGTTTTTACCATTAATATATATCAGTAATTTTGAAATTCTCCGCCCCAATCTGTTGAACTAGATTTTAGGACAGCCGCTGACACTGCTCGATAAACAGTTTTGGTTCCCCGCGGCTTCCCTTCCGCAGTAATGTAAATATTTATCATTTTTTCCTATTTTTTTTGCATGATATTTGTTTTTTACTTGTTGCAAAAAATAAACTTGTCTTGAGTTGAATGCAAGACCAAGTAAAATTCGAACCGCATATCAAGTCTGTTGTAAGCGTTTTAAAAATCTGGTAATATCCTCTTTGAAACCGAAATGTTTTAGCCTGTCCTTTAATACGGCATTTGATAGTTTTATGACTTGTTTATATCGCCTTAATATTACCTCAAGCAATTGATTTTGCAGTAAAATATATACCAGATATATTACCTTCCACATTTTGGTTGTGATAAATTACAAACTTACATCGAAAAGAGAATATTCACTGAATTCAAACCTGGAACCTATTGTAATATTCTTTATAAAACAGTAAAATTTGTGGCCAGTCCTCATTAAAAAAGAACTCAAAGTTCAAGTCATTATATTGATTATAGAAATAAATGCTGTACTTGTACATATTTTACGCCATTGTTGTTATTGTTTCGCAATTTGAAGTAATGATTATTGACATCGATAGCTAGGGTTACCATATTTTTGTGACTTCCAATCGGGACACTTTCAAGACAACGACTCCTTAGCTGTGATTTTGTATCTCGACATTTTCCGAGTTTACTACAAAGGCCTACATTTAAAGCAATCTCGTCTGTCTTCATTGACCATATTGTCATCGACAGTTTATGTGCATATTCTCTGTCTAAATATCGGGTTCAGGTCGAAAAACAGAACGGAATTGATGTTAACGATACCAAATAATTCGAATTCAAATTTTTTATGTACAACAAAAGGAGAATGAATAATAAATAGTCTGCGACTTTCAATCACTGAGAATTCACTTATTCGCCTAATCATACTTTTCTGTTTCTATCTTCTACAAAAAGACGTTGTTCAATATTACTTACGTAAAAGTCAGAGCAGGTGATAGGTTCCCTAACAATGAAACAAACAAAATAACGCATTCACCTTCAGTAAGTAGGCAAGCGCTGCGCTGCAAAGCAACAGCAGTAACCAGAACATGTTAATTGGTAATGTTCGTGTATTATGCTGGATGGCTGAACGCCAAAGCGAGACTTCTGGCTGACTTGTCGAGACGGCGGGAAAAAACGCTAAAAAGCAGGTTGTCATACTTTTGCAGTATATTGTTGACTAAAGTATGCTACACCTTTTGCATATAAAAAAAAAATTGGATATTGAACGTAACGTAAGTCATTGCATATACAGTACTACATTATAGACGTAAGACCTTTCACCAGTGATTCCCCTGCACCCAATATAGGGAGTGAAAACCCCTCTAAAATTTTGCCGTTTGAGGGAGGTATTTTGCTTTGTATTTACTGTCGTATTACCAATATTTTCTAGGTATTTAATACAGTATTAATATAATACTTATTCGTGAACACGTAATAAACTGCGTAAACTGTACAAAAACAGGAATGCGTCTTGCGCATAACACCAGATTGAACAAATAATGTAGGCTAGCTTAGGGACGGACAAATAACGAGTTCCGAAATAGGCAAGAGAAGGAATTTTATGAAGAAGGTTGGAAACCACTGGTCTAGTAGATGCTCTTTGGGGTTCAGCTGCCGAAGCCATACTCACCAATGATTACAGTTATCTAAAACATAATTCCCGACCTCATCAATTTAAAATTAGATATTGAACCTTCGGCATCGCTGCTTGATAACCCGTTTTGGTTGGTGACGAAAAAAGTTGGGACAACTGGTCTAAGATGCTGTTGTAACTCACCTATGATAACAGTTTTCTAGAAACCTAATTAGATATTGACTCTTGGGGGTCACTGCTTGATAACCAATTTTGATGGCCAGTAAACTGTTTGATCAACTTCATTTATTTTCATTTAATATTTTTAATTTAGTAAGTGATTTTTTTGAATAAACTTGACTATGACATATATTTCGATGCAACGCTGCTAAGAAAAGGGCGTTAAAATTGCAATAAAATAGAGACATCTTGGGATATAATTTTTGTTTTATCATAAAACCAAGCATTTTGAAATTCGGACAATGAGAGGATGCCACAAAGCTCACAGAAATCATAAGGTTAAACCTCCAATTGACTGACTTTTAAATATTTATCAAGACTGGCAGCTCGTTAATCATACCCAGTATGTGTAAGAGGTAACTCCATTACATGTTACGGCCTCTGTATTGGAAATGTATATAAAATATAGATAGCTCTGATGTCACAGCCTGCTACCTAGTGATGGGCATTTTTTGTATGCAACTTTTTGAAAAGAGAATCGCTATTCATCGATCGGAATATGGAAATCAAATAAGTAGTAATATTGAATAGTAAGTCCCGCTTTTTCAGTGAAATTTCCCGTAGTTCCCGTCATTCCCGCATTTTAGTTTTTGCAATTTCCCGTCGTTCTCGCATTTTAGGGCATTTCCCGTAGTTCTCGTTTACCGCATTTTAGGGTTGCCCGGCCGCACAACATCCAAAATTGGCACTTCTCCGCGAGCCGCACAGTTTTTTCTCGCGGGCCGCATCTGGCCTGTTACATCGAGAATCGCATTCGCTTGATTTTTTGTATTGACTTAGAATATTGCGTCCGTTTAACTGTGTAGTAATTTATTTGTTATTGTTGACGCCGTAATTTACCTTGATTGACCACACACTTTGTTACAAAACAATTGATGTCTTCGTCGCAATTGCTTGCCCAGACATGTCTCGCTTAGACAGGGATAGTTTCGGTAATTTGCTTTAGATAGCGCTTTACTCTTGCAGAGAATGGCACTCGTTTCGTTGTAATTTGAAAATAAGTTGAAATTGTTCAGCGACCTTGACTTTCTATTTTGACAGTAGGACGATTAAATAATGTAGATTATGGCTGCCCCACATAGGCCTAGTTTAAGGATATTTTATGAGCATTAGATTGCCTTTGTGATTGTTTTTACAGGTATAGTTTATTTAATTGATTTGTTCGGATTTCATTGACGAATGATTTCATGTTCAACTTATGATAATTTAAGCCTGGAATAGCAAACAAATTCGGTATGTTATAATTTGTAACTCTTTCGGATTTGAAGGCTGCAAGTTATTTAATAGTAATTTGGTTCGGCTTGTTAATTAACTATGTTTGATAATTATGTTTATAAATTTGAGTAGGCTTTCTAAAGGCCGAATTGTGTACGATTATTTATTTATTGCAAATATTTTGTATTGATTTGTTTTCACGTTTGTATTATAACCGTTATATTATTATAACCATTATAACCGACAACCGTGTCAACTGTATACTTCGAGTTGTGTGATTTTCTGGATTGAGGATACAAACTTGGGGTTTGAAAGACCGCGTTATTGAACTGTTAATAAATATCTAGAGTGCCGTCGGTGTCGTCCAGGTCACAAAGAATGGCTGTTACATGGCCCGCGGGCCGCACTTTGCACACCCCTGGTCTAAAGTAAAGCCTGAAAGTCTGGCACGTCCAACATAGGAATAAAGACACTACAGAAATTTAACATTATAACATATTATATTTGTACCAGGTAAACTTTAAAATTACGGAAGTGTCTAGCTATAGCTGTGAAAATCTAGCAAAACCGAAATACGAATCTATTTTCAGTGTGTGCTCAATCTACAATACAAGCAAAGAGAACGCAAGTCGCGGGACGGCAAACCATATAGCGTCACCGCAGGATTGCCACTTTTGTCTGAATAAAAACATATAGATCGACCTCAAAAAACATCTAAAAATATCTAGATTTCAAAACAAAACATTCAAAACATATATTTAAATATGAAGTTATTAAAGTTAATAAAAAACAAGAGAGCAAATGGACACGTTTGACTCTACCGGTATTATCAAAAAATTCCCGAATTTTTAGTGCCAAGAATTTTGCAGAATCAAAACGTACAGCCAGTCAACACACGAACTAAAATCCATGTTCCCATGGATAAAAATAACACAGCGGAATTTTGTACGATATATCAAATTTCATAGAATTCATGCAAAATTCAGAAATAAATAAAAGTGATAGCCTTCTAGAAAAAAAATCCATCTTTAAACACTGATAATTTCAAAGCAATTAGTCTGGTCTGGTTTTTTAATATCGACGAAATTATGTGTTAAAGAACAACAACAAAAAGAAGGGTGCCAGCAAAAACGGAAAGCGATCGTTATGTCCACTAACGTGTCCAATAAACAGAATAGGAAAGTACAAATAGCCGAATATATTACATCATACTGTCAAGTCATAGAAGAAGATTATTTGACGGTGAAGTTGATGCTGCTGCTGTTGGATTTTCTATATATTTTTCTGCTGTACATATATTTTTGGAATCAAAACAGGTTTTTCATAAGACGTGCAACAACCCCTGGCGTGAACCACTACTTCCAACCGCTAAATGTACTTAGGGTTGAAGATATGATGAATTATCATCGTTAGTTGACTTTCATAATACACGCTTTTTTCACCTGCAATTAGTTTACATTTCAATTAGTAATATATATATCTAGTACTATAATTTGTAAGCAGAGCATGTTTAGCTGGATATGTTTGCCTTATTCAACAGTAATTAACATTATTAATTAAATAGCTGTACACATTCTGATTTTTGCATGCTGTTTCTTTTTTAGTGTTGGTTTTTTGACATAACACATAGCCTACATGGCTTTTGTTTTCCATTTGTCATGGGGGTTGTAGACCGTATAATGTAGTTCCTGCAAGATAACTTGTAATTGGGATAGCAGTGAAGCTATATTGAATTCTGTTTATTTGAACTGCAATTTTGATTAACGTTTTGCTGTAAAGTTGACATAATGATAAACTCGTGGATGGTTTAACCAAAATTGAGTGTTTTCGCATGTTTTGTAAACAACTAATTTTAAACTTTTGGGCAAGCGAAAACAGGCCACTTCATTTGACAACACCTTTCAATCTAAAATCTGTACTTACTCAAGGTTCTGTTCGTTCTCCTGATTCTGTAATCAGTTTCGTTTATTTTGTTTTTATCAATTATTTTATCGTCTTTCATGCTGATTATGGAGTCAAAAAATCTAATATTATGGAAAACGGAGCCCTAATCGACCAGCGGTTACGTGAACATTCTACGCAAGCTAGTAGTCCAGCAATCGCACATAAGAGAGAGTGATCCGAGATGCTGTGGCAAGCGTATTCCAAACGCTTATCACGATGCGCCACACCACCGGCAACAGCGGCCGAAAACAGGTTAAACCTTTAGTGGTTGCGAAGTTGAGCTATGAATGAAAACAACCATTTTTGATGAACTGTGGGTGAAAATAACTATTACTTCAAATATCTGAGTGTGAAACTGACATGGGCAAACTATGGTCCCCGGGCTAAATCAGGCCCCCTGGGTAATTCAATCTGGCCCGCCCGATGCTGCCACAACCAAGGCAAAACCAAATTTTGATGTTTCAGCTAAAAAAATAGCTCAAGGAGTTTGTTGAGATTGCGTTTAAGTTTAGTTTTAGCACGAGGCTTATTGTTTTCCACTTTTGCTTTTGTAACACTGTAAATATTGTTCATAAAATGTAGCTTGTTACGTCACACTTACATTGCCCGCCAGTAGGGGAGATGCGGGTGACTTGTTCCATCCCCAGAATTAGCAACATGCATTAGTAATAGAATGATATCGCGTCCTCTGTTGGTAGGTTGTGTCATTACTTTATATTTGGCTGAGACGATTTCATGATCGCAGGTAATATGTTTACTATTACTAATATTAAAGGTCGTGGTTCAGTCACATTTGGTCATTGTGTAGTCTATGCTGGGATGCTCTAATGGAGTCTATTGCCGCGCACGTCGAGTAGTCATTCGGCAGTAGCGGAGCTCAAATGAGAAGTTGGCCGATTATGGGAGGGTTTATCCAGCGGTCACCAGGAGGGTTGCTCCGTGGCTCAACGCTCTTGTATTGGATATTTCTTACCCCATTTTTTCTTTTTCATGCCGCAAACATACAAAAGAAAATCAACCCGTGGAAGTGATCCGGCATTAGTCGAAAAGGCGGCAGAAGCGGTAAAAAAGGGATGCAGTATTAGAGCCGCAGCGAGAATATTTGATGTGAACCGAATGACGCTTAAGCGATACATGAATAAACAAAAACATGACCCGCTTGGTACAAGCGGATACAAGAATTGCAGGCTCAAGAATATGATATTCAGTCCTGAAATGGAAGCTGAACTAGCTAGTCACATCAAAACACTTGCACCAAACCATGGCCTATCCAAAGATAAATGCCGATGTTTGGCGTATGAGTTTGCAGAAAGAAACGGTGTTGATGTGTCAGAAAACTGGAAAATCAACAAAAAAGCTGGTCAAGGGTTTGGCTTGTATTGGAAGCATGCAAAAACCTTGCAATTCGAAGTCCAGAAGCTACTTCATTAGCCAGAGCAACGGCGTTTAACACAGTGGGGCTGTTCTACAAAAACCTTGCCATAGTAATGGACCAACACAAATTTGAAGCCCAAACGTATATAACATCGACAAAACAGGTGCAAAAGCCTGAACGCATTATTACGAAAAAGGGGGTTAAGCAGATTGGTTCTGTCACATCAGGTGAAAGAGATGAGCTGGTAATCGTAGTCGATGCGATCAACGCTGCTTGTGGATTTATTCCGCCCTACATGATATTTCCCCGTGTCAATTATTGTAATTACTTTATACGAAGTGTGCCATCGGGATCTGACGGTGCGGCCACCAGAGCAGGTTGGATTAACGAGGAAACGTTTATCAACTATCTCGATCACTTCAATAAGCATACACGCTGTATACCCGACAGAAAGGTATTGCTCATCTTTGACAATCACGATGCCCACGTTTCACTGAGAGCTGTTGACATGGCAAAAGCGAACGGAGTTGTGGTGTTGACCATCCCTCCACACACGTCCCACAAACTCCGGCCTTTGGACAAGACTGTTTATGGACCATACAAAAGAGCCTACGCGCGCGCGATGGATAATTGAATGAGGTACAATCCGGGTAAGACTGTGGGTATATACGATATAGCTCATTTGGTGAACGAAGCTCACATCTGCGCATTTGTACCGCGTAATACCCTAGCTGGCTTCCACAGCACTGGTATTATGCCTTTCAACAGCGACGTATTCTCAGATGAAGACTATGCGCCATCTTCAGTTACAGATCGCGAAAGTCCAGTTTGCTCGGCAGTAGACAATGTTGAAAGCGTGTCAGGTTTACAGAGAAATCCCGATACTCCCACGAACCAAAAAGATAACACAATTCAGTCAGCAACTGGCGTTGAGAGCAATACTGGTTTTACTAGAGAAGTGCAGACTAGCAACGCGGAGACTTCATATGTGTCTCCAAGTGATATACCACCTTTACCGAAAGCAGGGCCAAGGAAGGTGAAAGCTTCCAATAGGAAAACAGGTAGCACGAAAATTTTGACAGACACAACAGTTAGAGATGACATAGCAGCGAAATCAGTGGCTAGGATAGAAAAAAAATAGAGCAAAGAACTTCGGTCGGGCTAAAAAAAAATGCTTTTTGCAAACAAGTAAACAGTTAGAGTGAGGGTAGCACCATCCGAGTGTAGCACCTCTCCTAGCAAAAGTAAATCTAACGAGAATGTATTGTGCGACGATACTGATGACTCAGAGGAGAAAGATCAAAATATTATCGAGGGCGGTTTTGTCATAGTAAAGATTAGTGGAAAATCTCGAATTGTTCACTACGTCGCAAGAGCTAATGCTTTCGAAGGAGAAGAGTTCGAAGGAGTGTTTCTCCGCCGGGTTTTAAGCGTAAATGGTCGAACTACCTTTATTCTGAATCTCGAAGATGAAGCACTTTGGTCGAAGAAAGACATTGCAAAAAAATTACCCATCCCCAGCATTATTGGAACTTCACGTCGCACCCGGTTCACGTTCTTTTGTGACCTCGATGAATGGAATCTTTGATTTTTACATACTCTGTCACACGATATTTCAGCTTATGAATAAACGTTTCTTTCCGATTTCTAGGTGCTACCAAGGTGTAATAAAAATGCTTCGATTGTATATTTCGTTGCATTCTGTATTGACTGACAAAAATTAATAAGATTATAGATGCATTGACTCCTATTTAAGATTAGCTAAGTTAAATTTGCCCAGTTGCCTCACGGTTCCGATACAGAAGTATTTGCATCCTTGTGAAAGATACTCTCCCGATTGCAACTTAAACGCTACTTCCCGTGCCATTCTGCATGTAGCGGCTCAACTCTCATCAATGGTATGCACAACTCTCCTCAACGTGCAGGAGACTTGTGACATCTGCTGACATCCCTTTTTAAAATTGGCATAACTCAGAAACGGTCAGTTGGATTAAAAGAGACATAACTGTAATATAGCAGAGGTAATGACCTTCGAATGATATGAGCGTCTTCAAGTTACTACGAACGATTGTGGAGCGATATAACTGAATATAACGAACGATATAACTGAATATATAAAAATGAATCATCTCTCCCGCATCCCCGCTGAAAAATATAACTTTTGTGAAGGAACCGGCTGAAAAAAAATTTGAATCCCACCACTGGATGTAACCTTATAATATAGTTTCTGCAAGATAACTAATAACTGCGATTGGGATAGTTCTCGTCTTCCATGCTGATCATGGAGTCAAAAATTATGGAGGAGGGAGCCCTAACCGACCAGCAGTTACGTGAACCATCCCACGAAAGCACGAAAGTAGCCCAGCAATTGCACAAAATTATCCCCCGGGAAAGTGTATTCCAAACGCTTATCACGATGGGATAACTACGGCCGCGGGCCAAATCCGGCCCGTTGGGTAATTCGATCTGGCCCGCCCGATGCTGCTACAACTAAGGTAAAACCAAATTTTGATATTACAGCTTAATAAAATAGTTCGAGGAATTAGTTGAGATTGCGATTAAATTTAGTTTTAGCACGAGGCATTGTTTAGGTTGCTCTGTAACACTGGAAATATTGTTCATAAAATGTAGATTTTTATGTCACACACACATTGCCCGCCAGTATAAGTGGGCAAAATTCCGGGTCCGTGGTTCAAAACCCTTGCCCACCCCTGGTGTAGAACAATAACGACAATGGCGTAAAAGTGTACAAGATATTTATGGCAATATAAAATATAACTACTCAAAATTCGAGTCCTGTTTTTATTGAAGACTGACTGCTAATAGCAATGTTTTATTAGATCATGCGAGATGAATCGAATAATGAAGAATATCACAATTCACGATAAGATTCACGTTTTAATTTAATGAGTATTATTCCGATTTAACGGCTGCACTCTTTCCTATATAAAATTGTTATCTTATCACAACCCAAATTTGAAAGGTGATATAGCTGGCCATTTTGGTTTCATGGTCAAATTCATTTTTTTTTCCATCTAATGAAAAATTAGCATGTAAAATTCAAAAGAATAAAGTTGAACACACAATTCACTGAGGACATGAATCTGCAGAGAACTAAAGCTGGTTAGCAAAAAGCGATTCTCAGGGTTCTAATATCTCATTGAACATTTGTTATATTGATTTTCAGATCATTGTACTATACTGAATACCTTGTTCGGAGCGGTATAAGGGTGATAAATATAAACTCTGACATAATCAATGCCACGTTCAATGACAAGGTAAAAAAGGTAGGTTTTTTTTACGGCAACGCCAGACTTGTAACACGCCGATGGTGAACTGTATATTAGATTTGAATGCTGTTTTTTCAACATTTCGAAACGGATAAATTTGTTATTTGCATGAGTGACAGAACAATGTCTAGAGTGGAGATCATTCGGGTTGAAGCAGGAATCTGCTGGGGCAGAGACTCTATCATTCAAATATATTTACCAGTATTCCACAACTGTATGAATAGAAAAAATTGAAAATTGGCACATTTCATTAGTTCCTGGGCATATTTAAACAAATACTTGTTAGTGTCAGAATTTCGTTTGACGAGAAAAAAGTTTCCCCTCTCATCTGTAGTCCTTTATTTGACATTTCCTTATTTAACCAGACGATTAAATTTCACACAGAACGTATGTGTCTACTTCAATGAGATTGATGAGGTATTGGTATGGGTTTGTCAAATCTCTGTGAATCCCGACATACACGTGTGTGTAAACATGATGTAGCCCCTCATATTGTGGATACCCTTTCCACCATCTTAAACCACTATCTGATGCCGAGGTTCCATTTCGGAAATTGAGAATCTGATTCTAAAAATGAGAATTGAAACAATATTAAATTATTATTACATTGTAGTGAAATTCATGAAATATTTGCTTGGTAAGTATGACAAAGATCTTGTGTTGAGTAAAACTAAATAATACAGACTGCGTCATTCTTAACCTCCATTCATCTACTAATTTTAAAAAAGTTTACTTTAAGACTTTATTCGTACTGACTTATGGAGCAAATGCGACTTAAGATAGAAGAATTTCAATGCAATATTGTTTATGTAGAGGCCTAAAATTAAGTACGTTGAGTTCACTCAGTGAGAAGTAATGAGATAAAACTAAAGTGAAATTTCCGATTGAAGTAGTTTTTCGACTTCGAAAGGGCAGCTAAGGACACCAATTTGAAGCGTAGATGCAAACCTTTTCAAAACATATTAACCTTTGTTTGTGTCCAAAGCATCGCAACTGACATTTTTCAAATTACAAACGATAAAAATAATGAAAAATCATTATGAATCAAATGATGGAATACTACCAATGGAATTGTATACAGCAGGGATTTTAAACCAGGAGCCAAAAATTTTGCCTACTTAGACTGGCGGGCCATGTAAATGTGACGTTTTTTATGAACAATATTTACAGTGTTACAAAAGTTATTTTTAGCTGAAACATTCAAATTTAGTTTCAGTTTGGTTGTGGCAGCATCAGGCGGGCCAGATTGAAATACCCAACGGCCGGATTTAGCCCGCGGGCAGTACTTCGCCCATGTCTGAAATACAGTGTTTGTATATGTGACTCACAGCAGTGTCATATGTCATGCCAAGCGAAAATTTTTTAAATCTCTTCTTGCCCATCTTGTTGTCACGAATGAATGTCATTATTTTGTCCATGTGAATCTGGTTGTATATATTTGCGAGTTCACCGCCTAATTGATGGCATGTGGCAATCGCGGCTGCCCTGCCAACCACTTGACATGCCCAGGGTATATATTTTCTTCCGCCATAACGAACAATATCTGTATTTTAAAAAAGCAGCAATGAGTAAATGATGTGAACCAATACTGTTATCACGTATTTGCATATCTAGTTGGCCTCGATGCTTTATATCAATGTGCTTTGTATTTTTCCAGAGCGATGAAATACGAGATACTTGATACAAATATTCAGGCTTGTCCGTGGGACATATTTTTCTGTCCCATTCCCATCCCATTCCATGAGATTAGCATTGGAATAAAATTCGTTAAAAATTGTTAAATTTAGGTTTAGCGTCTACTAAATAGGACTACATGTACGAAGCGACATGCAACACAACAATATTTACGGACTTTGTTAACTTTATATTCATAACTATTATGCATGTGTCGATCAGCCCCTTCACGAAGTATATTGTTAGGGCTAAATTGCTCTTTATAACTAACAAGAGAGCTATGCTCAAATATATGGACACGAAATCCATAACAAAATGTTTTACCATCCCCTGAGAATCATACGGTTTTTGTGTCCCACGTTTCTCGTGGAAATACAAATGTGTGCTGTCCCATCTCATCCCGTGGAACGTTTCCATGGGATTTCCGTGGGAATCCCATACCCATGGACAAGCCTGCAAATATTTGATAAATCGTCTTGCTTTAAAATCATCTTAAACGTTCCCACGATACCTTAATGATTGAGGACTCAAATATAAAATGCAAATGGAAAAATAAAACGCAACGCAAATAGAAACACAAATAAAAATTTATTGGTTGATATTTAGATTTGAACTCCCCGTTGTTTTTGCACTGTCCCAAATTTTATTTCTCTCTATTTGAAAACGACCCAACAATTGCCAACGACTATTTTTGTGCATGCTGTCGCGTTTCTTATCATAGTTGAAAAATGCTTGTCTGAAGAAGTCTGAACCCAGGGAGACGAAACGTTACAGAAATACATTTGTGTCAGTGTGCAGCAAAACTCTCGAATCAAATAGTATAAATAAAAATGTAGCAAACCTTGTTCCGTGACCTCAGGAATGATCGACCGGGGAAATAATTGAGCTGCGGTCGCATTCTCTTCTAATTTCTCTATTCTTTTCAGTAATTCGTTTATTGTTTTGTTCAATCCTGTTCGCTGTTCTTCCAATGCTAAACGTAAATGATAGTTTATTAAATCAGGGCAAATTCACCTGCATTTATTTAAATAAAGGGCAATGCTCAAATATATGGACACGAAGATAAAAATGAAGTAGTACGGGTATCTGATACTTAACAGTACGGTACTGTAGTCTTCCCAACTTTGACTAACCACCGCATCGCACGATCGCGAACGCGGAACCGGCACAAGATACGCAATTTTCAATTTTGAAGACGTCATCACACACAGATACAAAAACAAATCTCATACAGCCCAAGAAAATTTTTGAAATAAATGAAAGTAATATTCTTCAACCACTGAAATTTCAAAAAGCAGTTGGTCCGAAAATTTTTCATAACTTTATAACAACAAAAAAGACAAAAATAAAAGGAAAAGCATTCTGACACCAGCAGTATACCAAGACGATATAAAGGTCCACGTCGTGTCTAATAACAAAACACGCAAACTGATTGTTTGCTGGAAATAGAATTCAATTGCTACATACGTTGAACATTAATCGATAATGATACGAATTACCAGTTTCCTTTTCTATTGAGTGACGTTAAGTCTGAACAAGACTTTAAACAAGCGTATGTTTTTTGGGGGGAGGGGGGAGAATGAAACAACTCACACTTGATTCAATATTTGAGTTACAACAAAAATGTTCACAAATATTTCTAATTGAATAATTCCGATATATGAGCGAATACCACCCACCTTTTCTCAATTTATTTCCTTCCTTTCTCCTTATTTTTGCAATCACTTCCTTCTTAACTGAGAAAAATTGGAAAACAATAGTTGATTTTTAATTAAAGAAAACATTGTGACAATTGTTATCAGGTAATATTGTTACTCTTCCAAGAGAATTATTGCAAGGATTCTCCTTAAGTTGTCAATGAATTCACCAACGTCCAGAAAAATTTGGATATTGGACTTCTGATCCTTCACAATCATGTTACTAGTAATATTTAAGTGCTAAGAGCTTTGTTTTTGCTGTTATTAAAAAATAGCACGTGTAATCAAATAAAACTTTTTCTGGGAGAGAATATGAGCGAATCGAAGTTTTTTCAATCGAATTATAACAGAGATAAGTAAATACATTGAGTGACAAATTTATTGACTTATTGATATTTAGTGCATCAAAAGTATGTGTCATAATATGGAGGTAACTAATTTTATTTGCCTATTTTACATCAAGTGTGTAAAGGGACTGAAACCTATGGACAGCAGGATATTTACTTGGCCATGATGGACAATCTCCGAAGTCGTAACAAGACTAAAATAAAGAGAATCGGAATAAAATTATGCCCTAACCCTAACCTGGTACACATACTACGGGAGTACCGATTTTTCTTATTAATAATTCAATAGCATGACTCCCATACTCGATTTCATAATTTTCTTTATAGTATCATTAGTATTCTCATAATCCACTAGACAAGCAGGCATCTCCGGTTCCCCATTGGGGTCATTTTTGACGGGACTTCCCTGAAGATGAGTATTCGATGCAGAGTCGATGTTTCCGTTGCCAGATATTTCCTCATCTACTGTGCAAATCATACGCTGTCTCGCACAATTCACTGAATTAGCAAAAAATACAGCAATACTTGCAATCAACACAGTTCTATCAGAGACCTTCATCGTAGAAAATAGTTGAAATATGAATCTAGAATTTAGAAATACGACTCGATAAATTTCTGTACCGTACCATTTGAGTATTCGGGGTAATGGAAGTGAACAAACAACAAAAATAATTAAAAAATGTAATATTTTTTATATCCATGAATGAGAAATCGGGTTGGACCAGGTGTGGGATTCAAAAATTCAAGAACGGGTTCGCTTTTATTTCAACTCACCAACAACGAGTTCCCTCATTTCAGAAAGGACTGTAAACTTATAGTTCTTAACTATACGTCATATTTAGTAATTTATGTCGCTAACTAAGCAACATTTAACATGATATGTTTCACATAAATCTAATACATGACAACTGAAACGCCAAATATAACACTAGTCGACAGCTCAAGAAAAATTCGCTGAATATCAGGCGAGCCTCCTAAATTCTTCCAATTGGTTCCACGCAACATTCTTTATGAGCTATTTTACACCATCGAACGTTCACATATCCGCAATAATTTTAAACCTAATACAATAATAGATAGCGCATCAATATTAATCGAAAACTAGAATGAGTTTACAAATTATAAATGTAATAAAATTAGATATTTTTGATTTACTTCACTAGTACACTCTGAACCAAAAACTCTGAGTAACTAATCTGTTTGAAAATACTTTTTACTGATCATAGCTTTCTACGCTACTAATCTCCTCTTAAAATTTATAATACATTTTCTTTGCACTAGCCGGAAAAACAAAGTTGACATATGAACAAAAGCAGATTATGATTTAACCTCTTCACTCGAGACCACTGGAAAAATGGGGTCACTTGGGCAGAGATGTTTGGAGTTGGTCAAGAACAGTGAAATCTAATCCAATGAAAGTCTTATCAGTCGAGACCATGCCCTGACATTCATTCTTTGCACTAGCCAGAAAAACAAAGCTGACATATGAACCGAAGCCGGTTATAATTAATGACTGTTTGAGGCGGCAAAGTCTGAATAATCAGTACAATAAGCCAATTAGTACATCCCTGATACAGACGTTTCTACTCCAAGTATACAAACCGCGTCTTAGTAATTTTGTTTGGGTTGTTATCGAGTGTGTTGACCTTTTTCCCTACTTTAGTACATTAACTGAGTGTCCTAACTAGAGTACCTTATATATACATATATTTGTTAATATATGGTCGCCAGAATTTGGTCTTTTATCTTCATAACGTTTCCGCATGACATCTGTGGAACCCGCCATGTTTATTTGTTTCACAGAGTTTGTATTATTCTATTCTTACTCTTTCGAGCACAAAATGAGGCCGTTTGTTTTGACAAGAAAATTAACTTGAAGTGGAAACATCTGTTCTGGGGATGCGCTAATCAAATTATTGAGGTAATTATTCAGACATTGCCCCAAAAACAGTCATTATCGTGCCGGCGATTTGGCGTGAAGAGATTACTTGCACGAAACCCGCATGCACTCAAATGTCGGTTTTGTTTTTCTGGCAAATGCAAAATAATGGTATTATATATTTGATGAAGAGATTACAATAACGCGTAAGGTTGTGATCAATATGAAATATTGTGAACTGAATAGTTTGTCGAAGCTTTTGGTTCAAAATGGATTGGAGTTGTTGTATAAAAACGTACAGAAAATATATCTATCCTATTTTATGGCGTAGAAAAAGAGCGTTTGCGTCAAGCAATAAATAGTTATACAAAGTCTAACAGTAAGGATTCTTAAAAATAGGTTAGGATTTACATATTTATATCGGGGAAAAGAAAGTCAATTAGACGGCTTAACATATGGCGAACCACGGACTCTCGTGAGGTTACCAGTCCTCATCGGGTATGGGATAGTTAGCCAGTTTTAGATGCATGAACTCGATGGTAGAGGAAGCCATAAACAACCAGCAGATACTATTTTGGCTTTTAAACAGTATCATATGGTATCTATATTATTGGAAAAAGTTCAAAATTATTGCAAATGTGGACATGCGATGGTGTAAAACAGCTCATAAAAACTGAAAACCAGAATATATAGATTCGAGATTTCATTTCCCCTCCTTATCCATATATAAATAGAATGATTACATTTCTTTTTGTTGTTTTTATATTTCGTTTACCAATGTACCAAATTAAAAATTAAAGTACAGAAAATGACAAAGCTATATTTTTAAATACTAGATTTATAATTCAACTATTTCCTAGAATGAAATTACTCGTCAGTACCGTGCTTATTGCGAGTATCGCTGTTCTTTTCATCGATTCAGTGAATTGTACTGGACAGCGTATGATCTGTACAGTTCCAGACAAAAATCCAAATGGCGAACGGGAGGAGTCTATCTGCACATTAGATTACAAGAATATAAATGCTACTATTAGAAAAATTATGGAACAAGGCAAGAGCAATATTAATTAGAAATATTGATAAGTCAATAATTTCACTCGACGTACTTACCTATATTATAATTTGATCGTAAAAACTTAGATTCGCCATTTTTCCCTCAGCAAAAGACTGAGTTCCATTACATTGTGCTATTTCATTGTCAGTAAAAATTGTCATTGCCTCTTCGCATTAAAATTATATTTTTTTATACCAAAATAATACTATTCTGACAGCTACTAAAATACTGGTAACCGTATCATTGATAATCAAATATCTACAAAAATCACTAAACGATTTTTTGTAAAATGTAACAATATGACCTGACAAAAATTGCCATACAGTTTTCTTCAAATAAAATGAAACTTTTGAAGTCTATTTTCCCTTTCAGATCTAAATTACGTGGCTCCAATGGTAGAGAGAGAGGAGAGAAGAAAATTTAAAATAGGTTTTTTCTCAATTTTAGTCCTATTACGAGTTAGGGGACTGTCTGTTTCAGCCAAGTGAATATACCACCATAAGGTTTCAGTCCCATTACACAACTTTATGTGAAGTAGGCGAACAAAATTAGTTACCTTCATATTGGTACACACACTTCTGGAACGTCCGGATCAGAGATCACCCAATGAAAATGAAAACTGATAACTTATATTATCAATGATTGATATTTTACATTAGAAAAGTGAGTAGAAATGCTTGCTTTACTAAATTTGAGAACACAAACTCGTCCTATTGATTCCGCCCGTCTAATTTTACTTTAGCTTGATATTGAATATTCTTAGGAGATTTTATATAACAGAGAAAAAAAATTTGTTGGGACAACATTGCTATTTTCATAATGCTATCATTTGCGTTCAGCAATGGAAGAACAGCGAGTAATAATGAGCAGAGCAATAAGTGAACTACTCGAAAGAATCATTAAATTAGAAGAAATTGCAGCTGGAGCTAATCAATCTTCACCGTTGATTCTTCCTGGAATTACTGAACTAGGTTTGTTACCTGCTTTAGCTTTGAACACAGTAAAGATAAACGTCAAATAATTCACGTTAGTGAACTGTGAAAAAATGTGAAAAATAAATCGCATTTCAATGATTAATTATCCATCTCTGTTTAGAGCAGTGGTTTTCAAACTTTTTAAGCCATGTCCCATTTTAGAATTTGTTAAGTCTTGCCCCGAAAAAAAAAATTAGCTATCAATAAGCTACAAGTACCGGGTAGTATGTGAAAAATATGTTCCATTCAAAAAATAGGTTGAAAATACGTGCATGGAATCGCAGTCTCTAGAGTAGAAATGTAAATATCCAAAATAAGGCGGTCTAGATAAAATCTAACAAATATTTGTATTTTTAATTAGCTTCACGTTGTTCGTTTGCACAAGCTCTTGCAGCGCAAAGGCATTGGAATTATTTTTGTATACTAGAATAAACTAAATTAAAAACATTTTTCAAAAGCACGACATTTAAAATTGGCACTTTCCACGAGCAGCACAATTTTATCTTGTGGGCTGCATTTGGCCCGCGGGCTGCAGGTTGCACGCTTCTAATATAAAACGTCAAGGGCAAATGAGCCATAACACACTTATTTCAATTCTCATGATTTATCCGTTGCTGCTTCTTTTAAATTACAGATATTGTGCGTTATGACGGAAGAATATATATACCTTGGTTATGCGAAAAGGTTGACATGGCAACAGCGATCGCCAAATGTAAACAATTTGGTGGAGAACTCGCAAATATATACAACCAGATTCATATGGACAATATAATGACATTCATTCGTGATAACAAGTTGGGCGAGAGACGATATAAAGATTTTTTGCTCGGCATGACCTATGACCCTATGGTAAGTCGTCTGTACCGTTTTTAATACCATTGTCGTCTGTAACCAATGACAAATATCAGTTGTGATGTCGTTATAGTAAACAATGGTGAACCTTTTGTAAATAAGTATGTTTTAGGTCTCTACGTCCACAACTGCGTACTTACTCCCTTAATATGTGTACCAGGTTAGGTTTTATAGAGATAAAACAGATTTAATTTTGAGATTAAACAAAACTCATGTTCTAAGTCGACTCAGTAAAACTTGTTTGCGGGAACTGATTGACCATAACTCGAACCCATGAGTTTCGATATATGATTTGAAAATAATCGGGAAAATGTCCATAAAAGTTTAAATATAAATGCATTGTAATATTAATTGAATATTGTTCAATTACTTCCTCCTAGAATCAGATTCTTCGTCTCCGAAATGGAACAGCGGTATCACAAACTGACTTCAGATGGTCCTACCATCATCCATACCTCGGAAAGAAATATCGTAAATACAGAAACGTTTATGTCGTTATTGAAAAAGGTTTAACAGTCCCATTTCAATACTTCATGAACCTTAAGGAAAGCAAGTCATACGGAGTCCTGTGTGAAATTTAAACTTTCATGGATAGCGAATGGCCAAACGCACAACTATAAATAAGACCAATAACTCCTTTCTCGCCAAACGTAAATTCTGACACAAACAAGCATTTGTTCAACTATACTCCAAAACTAAAGCAAAGATTCCTGCCAAGTGATTCTTATAGCGATCAGTTTGTAAATTTGCAAAATGGTGAAAACATATTAATAGCGTTATATCCACAACTGTTACCCATACGAAAAAGAAATCCCTGAGTACCAGTAGGCCTACCTGATATCGTTCTGCCGTTAGGTCACCTCTGGTGATCGAATGCATTTCTTTACTTCGGCAACTAGCGTGCTAATTTCATATTATTTATTGTACCTGATTTTTTTCATTGCCTAACACTTCACAATACAACCACGTTGATGGCTAGGTCACCTTCAGCTATTCTGCAGAACAAAACATTCGTTTCAGGTATCCCAGTATAAACGGAGATTCGCTGGTCTTACGGCTCTTAATACACGGTAATTTCTGGTAATAATCTATAATTAATATTCGATGTCAGTTTGTTAGTTGGATAATTTTCAAAGTTCATATGATTTTCACCATTATTGACAGTAATTTTAACATTCTCCTCCCAATCTGTTGGATTAGATGTTAGGACCTCAGGTGTCACTTCTCGATAAACAATTTTGGTTTCCCGCGGCTTCCCTTCCGCAATATTGTAAATATATATCTTTTTTTGCATGATTTTAGTTTTTCAATTGTTGGAAAAATAAACTTGACTTGGGCTGAATGCTAGGCCAAGTAAGATTGGAACCAGAGATAAAGTTCATTTCAAGCGTTTTAGAAGTCTGTTAGTTTTCTCTTCGAAACCCTTAGCTTTTTTAGCCTGTCTTTTTATGCGGCATTTGGTAGTTTTATGACTTGTTTATATCACCTTAATACTACCTCAAACAAGGGATTTTGCACTAAAATATATACCAGATATATTACCTTCCACATTTTGGTTGTGATGAAATTACAAACTTATATCGGAAAGAGAGAATATTCACTGAATTCAAACCTGGAACCTATGGTAATATTCTTTATAAAACAGTGAAATTAGTGGCCAGTCCTCATTAAAACAGGACTCGAAGTTTAATTCATCATATTCATTATTGGAATAAATACTGTACCTTGTACATATTTTACGCCATTGGTATAATTTCGCAATTTGAAGTAATAATTATTGACATCAATAACTAATAAAAATTATTGTTGCAAATCAAAATTTCAGCTACCTGACCAGTGACCATACAATTTTAAAATCGTTTCGGCATACTTTGGATATTGAAACGTAACATAAGTCATTGCATGTACTACATTATAGACATAAGACCTTCCACCAATGATTTCCCTATACCCAATATAGGGGGTTAAAATCACTCTAAAATTTTGCCGTTTGAGGGTGGTATTTTGCTTTGTAGCCTATTGCTTTAGTATTATCAATATTATTTAGATTTTTAATACAGTATTACCATAATACTTATTCATGAATAGGCATGCACGTAATTTACGGATTTACGGAATTATGGGATAGAATTGTGTTGAGACCGATGGATGCCAACACACCTGGTTTCAACTTCTTCGGGTGAAATGACTAAAGAATGTAAGAGGTCAACTTACCAAACATGGTCTATTTGTAAATGCCGTGATAATTAATGTCGCGCTTATCAAACAGCAATTTGACGAAGGAAGAGAAATTGCGTAATGAACCAACGCAACTTAGTCTTTTCGGCATCGGTAAAGCGATTCAGACGGCAGAGAAACAACAAAAAGACGGGATTTCCCATGTTTATTCTGCGCGAGATCCATTTTCTATTACAAAATCTTGATGTTCTGTTACCGGTTTTATCGTTATATATCTGTCCGGAATTGTCCTTGTTTTCACAATGCCTCGCGCTATTTCGGCCAAATATGTCTTTACCAAATGCGGCAACTTATTTTGATTTATCGTCGACTCAAATACCACCGGCACTCGACCAAACTTGTGTCAATCTTAGCCGATAGGATTGTCGACTTGAGTTAGAAAAGTAAATTAATATTTTCGTGAGTGCAAAATAAATGTCACCAAATGCATTGTTTTGCGATATAACTTTGTATTTTCGGAGAAGGCATGTCATATAAGTACGGTATTTAAATTATGCGCAAATAATTAATATTTGATCTAAATTTATCGCAAATAATGTTATAACATTTAGGCCGCGAAATGATTTAATGTAAAATGAAGCATGGTAATCGGAAAATCGTCGGCATCAATAATTATTATAAAATGCTAACTAGGTAGTAAAGTCGGATAATGTAAAAAAACGGTACAATAACAAGTCTTCGTCGCGAGGCAAGCGCAAGTATAATCAAACGAGAGAATACGCTCGTCGTTGATTTATAAATTAGAAACCCGGAATTTTTATTTAATACGAAACTCGTATTAATACGTTAATACGATTAAAAAAAATTAAACTATCGTTTCATAAATATATTACCACTTACCAGTGTTGGTAATGATAAAATTGATCCCATAAAATTGGGTGATAAAGTTGATAAAGAAAAATCAAAGCTAACACAAAAGATAAAAATCAGAATAAAATTAATTTGAATTCACTCCTTGATATTTGTCTTTAGCATCTGTCGCCGGCGTGTAGTACTGGCGGAAATATGGAAACCAAACTGTCCCAACTGTCGATGTCCCATTCGGAATAGAAGTGGATTAAATTGGTTGTTATGATAGGTTTAAAAGTGTGAAAAAATATCGCAATTACGGGGTCATTACGTAATCGATTTGGCCGTAATTACGGAATTGATTTTTGTCAATTACGTGCAAGCCTATTCATGAACATATAATAAACTGCTTGACCTGTACAAAAACGGGAATGCGTATAACACCAGATAGAGCAAATAATGCAACTTAGGAAGGGAGAAATAATGAGCTCCGAAATAGGCAAAAAGAGGAATTTCGCGAAAAAGGTTGACCTACTCACCAATGATAACAGTTTTCTAAAACATGATTTCCAGCCTCGTAAATTAAAAAATAGATATTGAACCTTGGGCGTCGCTGCGTAATAGCCCGCTTTGGTTGGTGGCGAAAAAAGTTGGGACCACTAGTCTAGTGGATGCTGTTGTACATCACCAATGATAACAGTTTTCCAGAAACTTAATTAGATATGGACTTAGATAGATAAACTTGATTATGACATATATTTCGATACATCGCTGCTAAGAGAAGGCCGTTAAAATGGCAATAAAATAGAGGGATCTTGGGATATAATTCTTGTTTTATCATAAAACTAAGCATTTTGAAATTCGGACAAGAGGATGCCACAAAGCTCACAGAAAGCATGAGGTTAACACTTCAATTGACCGGCTTTTAAATATTTATCAAGACTGGCAGCTTGTTAATCATACCCAGTATGTGTATGAGGTAACTCCATTACATGTTACGGCCTCTGTATTGGAAATGTATATAAAATATAGATAGCTCTGATGTCACAGCCGGCGCTGCCTAGTGATTGGGCAATTTTTTGAATGCAACTTTTTGAAAAGAGATCGGAATATGGGAATCAAATAAGTAGGAATATTGAATAGTAAGTACTATTAGCTAATTACAACAATACTCCAAACAACATATCAAAGACTTCAAATGATTAATTAATTACTTTTGAACTGATAATTTATAAAACAAAAATTGTATTGGGAACATTTTTTCGGATGGAACGCTGATTTTTGTATGCAACTTTTTCAAAAGAGACGAGCAAATCGCTATTTATCAATCGGAATAAAGAAATCAAATAAATAATATTATTGAATAGTAGGTACTAGTAGCTAATTTTAATAATTTTTTAAACAACATACTACTTCAATCTTTCAAAATTTGTTTTGTATTGGGAACATTTTTTCCGGATGGAACTTTTATATTGAATCGTAGACATTCGTCGTTCTCACCTCGGTCAAAGGGTTAAACTACTTTCTGTTGATTCTTGTTTGAGTTTGCTTGGCTAACCTTCCAGTATCCGTGAAGATGTCGCAGTTGGATGAAGATGCGATTAGAGACCGAATAAATAAACAGAGAACTGCACCTTTTGATCCACGTTATCCGAATTGCAACCAAAGCCGAAACTGTTTCCAAAACTACATCGACTTCCATCGCTGCGAAAAAGCTCTTGAAAGAAAGGGAGTAGACATCGGCTTGTGTCAGCTTTTCCGCAAGAACTACAAATCTCTATGCCCAAGTGAATGGGTTGAAAAGTGGGACGGCCAACTGGAAGAGGGTGTTTTACCAGCGAAAATTTAAGGAGCATGCTGGTATCTTAATTTGAGAAATATTCATGGACATGTTATGTTTAATCTAGTCTATTATTGTAAACTTTGACAAATCTGCATTAAAAGTGTTGAAGGATTTTGAAATACTTTGTGACTTTTGTTAGAAAAAAAGTTTTCATTTGAGGTTAAGTTTGATACCGTATACCATACTGATATAGATATCAACCTGATACAGTCTGACAGTGCTATCAGTACAGCAGTATGATAGAACAGTGGAATGGGAACCTCTGCACTTGCAGGGCTGAGGGTGTTTTTTCAGGTTTTAGGCAATTGATGAATTTATTAACTATGGGGAAAACTTGTTCTGTTGTTAGAGACTTATTTTTACAATTCTGGAATGAAAGATTTAGACATTCGCAATACAGAAAATATTAGACTTTGTGAAAGCTAATATATTTATGTCTTGTAAATTACCGGAATAAATAGTTAAAGTGTATAATCGGAATTAGGCGGATAAGAAATAAACACTGTAGTTATGAGGTTATAGGAAATGATAGTTATATTCCACCTGATTTTGGTAGCTCTTTGACAAGAGAACTTTTTTCATAATCGCAAACCTCGTATAAAATCTGGAAATATATCCTGAATTGCCAGAATGATTTGATCTTTGTCAGAATTTAATGAGGTTTCCGCAATTCCTTTAGTAATTCTCAAAGACTTTTCCCACAAATTAAATATTAACACCAATATAATGACATTTAGGCAGATATAGAAATATTCTTATAATATTAGCAAGTTGGCTTAATAATATGGTGAACCACGGCCTCGCATTTGGTTACCAGTCCCTGTTGAGTATAGGATTAGTTACCCAGCTATACTGTTGCCTTTTCATTTTGAACGGATCATTCTAATGCATTCCAGAACTAATTTAACAGTTATGTCTATTGCTTCATATCTATCAATACTAATGTCTTGCTTGTCATTTTTAGAAAATTACATGTATGTATCCACTTCAAATTCAGAGTATGTGCTAACAAATCATTATTGATGACCAATTTCACTCACAGCATTTGTACAAATAGGCCCTTTCTGCTATATTTTTTGAAAAACGACTTAGAAACGCATTGAAATAATGATCTGTAAACAATACGTGAAACATTTTGTCCCAGTGTTTGTTACAAGCCCCTAAACCTCAGTCATGGGTTTCTGGCTTAGCAAATTGTGAAGCTCGAGTCACTAGTAGAATTTCTGCTGTTTCGACTTATAGTAGACTTCATAAGCGACAATAAAATGAATAAGGGTCTTGATTCAAACTTTCCATTATAGCACATATTGAATCAGCATCATATTGTAAAAAAACTAGGATTCAATCATCTGTTGATATCATTCAAATCTGCATCAATTTGCGTATTCAGATGGGGTAAATCCTACCTAACCTGAAATTATTGTTGTTTATAATTTAATTGTCAGTTCTCTCTGGCATTACTTGAGTCATTCTGGGATGACTAGAGAAAAGTCTCCCAACACTGAATATTCTGTTCTATATACGACATTTGTTTATTTTATGGTACAGTATTTTTTCTTAAAATTCACTTGTGAGTCTTATAAGCCAGTGCACCTAGTGTATGGATGAGGTATTAAAACTAGCACTAAAACTGGTTGTGCCCTATAGCCCGGTGCGTCTTATGTGCAGACAAAACCCCAGTCAGAGCAATTTATTAACGATGCGTCTCATGGTGCGTAAAATACAGTATATGACAAAATCAGAGAATAAACTCCATTAACATTAGGCTCATGAATGAGCCTTTTTCAACAAAAATTTTGGTTTAGTGTATTCCAATAACATAACAACACCTAAACTGACTTTATTAAAACCTTGTGCATAAACCTTCGTGTGCACTTCATGAGTCTAGAGGACCATGAACCTACATCTTGATGCTTGTCTACATCTCGCACAAGACTATATTTAACCAGAAAAATTATCATCAATTACATTATCACAGGATAGGTAGATAAATAAAAAAAATACAGTGTAAAGAATTGTCTCAAATATACTTTTGAATTGCAGTCTAATTAATATGCATATTATTGAATCATTTTTTCAATCCATGAAAAATATACCTGGATAAACATACATGCCAATCATATAAAGTAAACTTTTTATATAAAAACATATTCAACTATAATGATGTAGCAATTATTTAATCTTCTGTCTTGAATATATCATGCCTCCCTAGTTCCAGTATGGTGATCTTTGGTGAGTGTTCCCAGTCCATTTAATCATAATGACCAACAGTTGATAAATTTCACGCAACAGGGTTTTATTATTCGGTTATATTGAATATTTAAAGCAGGGGTCGGCAACCTGCGGGCCGGATCCAGCCCGCGGAGCAATATAATCCGGCCCGCGACGCTTCGCTGAATTATAGTAACAAATTATAGCTGTTTTGTCGATTATATTCTTTACGCAAAAGAATTTACGTGTAGAGTCTGTAGACTAAATTATATTATAGCGTAACAAGTATAAAATTCACAATTACTCGTTTAATGAGCCTGACAAATGACAACAAAACGCAGAAAAGTTGATGCTAAGTGCAAATGGTTTAATGGCGCAAAAAATATTCAAATGATCAGTCTTCTCGCGCTGCTTAAAATTTAACTTCTGATCTGTGTGATAAAATGTGATTCATCGGTCATCCATTAGATTTTTAACATTCAAAAAATATGTGCGGCCCGACAATGACTTGCAACCTTTAATTTTGGCCCGCGAACGATAAAAGGTTGCCGACCCCTGATTTAAAGCATTCATCATAAACCGATAATTCTAATTCAGTAATTGAAGTTCAAATATTGGTGCACCAGAAGTATGTGTACCAATATGGAGGGAACTAATACAATAATTAAGATGATGACATCCTGTAATTTTCACAAACCTTTTATTGTAATGAATGTGTCAACGAATTTTTCTTAGGTAAGTTATGAAAATTTTCATTAGACAGTAATAAGTGCTTTAAAACAAACAGGCAGTTACACAATAATATAATATTTTTGAGTGGTAAAATAGGTAGTATATATTTGGAAACGTGGGCAAATGGCTTTTATAAATAATTGAAAAATCTCTTTGTGGCAGATCACATTAAACAATCACATTCTGGAAGGTTGTCTTCTTTCGTCAGGACGAACATACCCAACTCGTGATGTTGTCATGAATGAGTTGTATTGTGCTTTGTCTTCTTCATGGTCTAATTCTGGTTGGTGTCCTGGATATGCTCTCGACTCCTTTCCTGCAGTTTTCAATACTCGTAACTGCTTCATGGACTCCTCTGTCACTTTATTGTTATTCTTATAGTCTGATTTGCATGTTGTATCAAAATAATGTGCATATTGTGATGGGAGTGGTTTTAATGTAGCAGCATCTCTGTGCATGTCATATCGTTCTTCATTCCAGTTGCCAATCAATGTGTTCGTGCCATAACTACTTTCTTTCGTTGTGCTTCTCCATCCAAATTGCGTAAATTTCAACTCGTCGTGAGTATGAGTCCATACTTCTGCCAATCCCGATGCTCTGATGTCTGAGCGAAAAGCAGGAAATCTTTCTGTTTCATGTAATGACATTGCTTATTTGTATTAACTTAAATTCTGAAAGAATTAATATAAATATAAGACCCCTACTTCCGGGTTTATACAACCTTCAAGAGGAATTTTAAATTCGAACAGCACCATGCCTGTGGGATTGGAAGAGGAAGAAGAGTGCTTAAAAAAAGAGGAATAAAATTTTACATGACTGTACACACCACAATGCTGTTTACTGTGGCATGTGGACAGATATGTGTGAACATTCGGGTTTTGACTTGGGCTATTACAAAAATAAAAAAAATCTGAAGTGTTGATTTGAAAAATCTGTTCAATCTTTTCTAAAATACCTCAAAGCTCACAAACAAACCTAATTACAATTTTCTGCTTTTATTATATTGTAAAGACAATAAGTTATCTATCCACATGAAAATTGATTTTACAAAGTAAAATACATTTCATTCTGTCATTGTCAAACAGTTACCGTAAGTCATTTTCAAATATAAGTCAGTACTCAGTATATCTTACGATTTATTGTTTTTTAATCAGTAATTGTTTTAAGTATTTTTACTACACTTAATTCATCTGTGAGGGCCACTACTATATATGGTACCGATAAATTCCTTCGCAATTTAAGACTTCATGGAGACCCTATATTATTGTGAAACCAATGTAAATTGGATTCAAATATGTGCGATTGCTGGAATGGTTTCATATTTTGTATTTGACGAAAGCAATAAATTTTCTCTTCCTCTTTCTGTTCAAACTATATATCATAGTAAATCTCACCAACAGTTATCCATATATGAAAATTATCGCCTAATCTATCAGAAACCTACTTGCGAATTTTATTCTATTAAATACAATCTCAACATGTTTCAAGAAAAACTAACAAAATAAATGACAGAATGATTGGGGCAACTGAATAAAAAAATTTACAACAGCAAATTCAGAATTTGATCAAAATAAACCCAAGCATTGACAATGAAAAGCAATGGTAAGATTTATGAGCCTGTGAGTAGGCTACCTGAACGCCAGTGCATAGTAAAACTGTCATATTTCAGTAACAGTTGCAGTGGTACAGAGTTACATAGTACTGCATAGTACGCTAATTCGGTAATTACCACCAGCTAATGGAGAAGTCGACTTGCAAGTAATTGCATGAATTCTTCCAATTATGCTATTGTAAAATTTCTCTACTAAATTTGAACACGCTCGTATATAAAATACAAAACTTAATAGACGCAGAACCTTGCATACTAAAAAACCACGATACAGTTACCATGGTTTCCGTTACGCTTAAATGCTTTTACATTTGGAAGATAAGTGCAGTTTGATTTTTGGTACGTAACGTTATCAAGCAAAGGCACGTGCACGAAATTGGTGAAAATCATGAAATTAACCAAATCCCTCAATCTAGTTTTAAACACACAGGGAAATAGGCGCTTCGATTCACCCACCTAATGCAGTCAAAATGTAGATGAGGTGATTCTACGTGTGTGGTTGATGGGTGATTCAAAGTCTTCCGCAAACCACGTTATATGTCTGTGCATCGTCAACACGGAGAGGATTCGACCGTCTTTTCTGATTTAATTACAGCAGCTCTCAGTTAAAACAATGTGTAACAAAGTAAAATGACGGCATTAGCAGTGAATATTGCTTTGGGTATTCTCGGCTCGTCATCATCGCGCGGAAAGGAAGTTTGTTGCCGGCCGTCATATAACCATTCGTCTCTGAATGTATTGGGATTATTTACATCAATACCGGTATGAATTTAGTTATAAATTCGTTATTTCAGGTGAAATACATTAAAAAGACTGGAAATTGCTGATTTCGAATTTCTCCAAATTCATGAATTTGGACGATATGGGGCCCGTTGTGGTTTGACAAACGGATGACAACCAAAAGTATGATTGGATCGATGACATATGGTAATTAGTATTCCAACTCGAATCGATAACCCTAATGGAATCGATATCACCATACGCACATACTATGAATAAGGTTTCAATCGGATATTTAGGAAGTTTGATATTTAAGGTGATTTATTGAAGAGGTCTTGTATTTGGAGTCAAGTCGTCTTGATAAGTGTCGTCTCGTCTCTCGATGTTCTAATGTTGTCTTCATCGTTTTGTTCTTCTTGTATATTTATAACATGAAACTACATCAACAACGTTCAACAACATGTTCTTATATGCTACGTGTTCTTAACTGGCTAAAATGGTGACCCCGAACAAAGAATTGCAAGCCTTCTGATGTGGAGTCGAAATCGCTAAAGGTGACCCAACAAAACAACAACAGAACATACCGAAGAAGTAAAATATCGACAACAACACAAACGATGGCACTGCTATGACGAATATTGAGGCATTACAGAATACAATGGTACGGAATCGGAAAGGAATCAGACGTCGGATAAAGACCAAGTCCGCACAATGAACGATATGAACTTTTGTTCGAAATCAAAAATACAAGGTGAAAAATCGTATCAGGCTAAATTAAACTGATGATATAATACAACGAACGATAAGGTTTATAAAAGTACAAAGGAAGCGCACGCTTTTAGATATTTTTAAATATCATAGCGAAAAATGATCAAGCAAGACAATCGAATGAAAATATTGTTCAACAATTTGTTTTACTTTGTTATATATACATACGATTTTTTTCATACTGGGACATTTATCGTACTACTTCTTTTCTCAATGTATAGTCTTTCTTTAACTTCTTTGGCGATATGAATTCGGATCTTAATTTCTATGAATTGCTTGAAAACAGACTTTGAGTGTTTACTCAAATTGCAGCTAATCTTATGGCCAATTGATTATGCAATGAAGGTGAATATTCGATTTCAAAATGCTTGCCATTTATAATATTCAAAATTTGACGGATGCAAACTATTTCGATTGGATAGATTTCATCAACACTGAACTATTTAAAAAAAAAGACGATTCAAATGAGTCACTCTTTTAAGCGTTTATAACATCGTCATAAGAACGGTGCATAATTGAGCTCATCAATATATTCGTCAAAAACACGAGTATATGACAATTTTTTTAACAAACTAACCGCTATTTTTCATTTTTTTTTCAAAGCCCGAAGCTGGCATTATCAACATATCGCAACAAGCGAACTCACAAGGCGCTATTTTCACCCAACTAGGGTTATTCAAAAACATGAGCGATCAGTATTTCAGTGTGACGAAGTATATTGAATTGAAAGATCAGTTTTATCTGTCGCAATCAAATTTGAAAAACAATAAATCGCCTTTTCTTTTCTAATATACACTCTTATTCTCATCCTACTTCCCTCTCATTCTCAAATCTCCTCGTCCCATATTTTTGAATTTTAGTATGTATATTTTTCAATTGTGTTTTTTGTCTTTTTCAATGTTTTTTAATGTTACGTATAAACGTTAGGTGACAAATATGCTCAAAACCCCGATCTCCGATCCAAACGGCGTAGATATATTTAGGGATAAATTCGTTATTTCAGATGAAATACATTAAAAAGACTGGAAAGTTCATGAATTTGGTCGATATGGGGCCCGTTGTGGTTTGACAAACGGATGACAACCAAAAGTATGATTGGATCGATGACATATGCCATATGGTAATTAGTATTCCAACCCGAATCGATAACCCTAATGGAATCGATATCACCATACGCACATACTATAAATAAGGTTTCAATCGGATATTTGGGAGGTCTGGTATTTAAGGTGATGTATTGAAGAGGTCTTGTACTTGGAGTCAAGTCGTCTTGATAAGTGTCGTCTCGTCTCTCGATGTTCTAATGTTGTCTTCATCGTTTGTTCTTCTTAAATATTTACAACATGAAACTACATCAACAACATGTTCTTATATGCTATTGCTACATGTACTTAACTGGCTAAATGAACACATTTTCGATATGTGTCGCGTCTAATTCCTGCATGGGTCGCGTCCAAATCCAATCTCTATCTTTGATTTCCTTTTATTGTCGTCGCAAACGTAAAAATAAAATATACATCGCGCTGTGCTGGCGAGAACGAGATTTCTACGAGGTGGTTTAACCTACCTGGCGTAGAGCGATCCCTTCTTTCCGCTGCTCAAATGTCATTTGTGCTGCCCTTTTTCAAAATCAGTAAATCATTGTACTACATTGTACCTCACACGGCTTTGCAGTTTCAAATTTGTGTGAGATACTTGTGTGCAGCAGTGGGCTTTTGTTGGGGCCACCTAAAAGGGTTTACATAGATTCACTCGCGATGACTATATAAATATGAAATAGAGTGTGAATGATTTCGTTCTCTGGCCGTAATTCATTTATTTTTCTACATTCCGTTGTTAGTTCTGTTCTTTTTAAACGTGGTGCAAAGAATACTTGATGTAAAAAAGCTAAGTATTTTTGTAGAAGAGCAAAGGCCCCAAGTGTTGAAAGTCTTCGGAAGGATGTCCGCTGATCATGGAAGTTTAAGAACCTCGGAACTGGTATTGTCAAACTGGTATGGTTTGTCAAATTTGGATAGAGTTTTCCTTCAAGTAGATACTTTTTATAAAAATCAACTAGTGATACATCTCTAGAATATAATATGGATTTTATTTCCTCGTTGCATTGCATTAAATATTTTCTACGCCATTGGAATGCTGCACTCAGCATCAACTTTTCTGCGTTTTGTTGTCATTTGTCTAATTAGGCTATAAGAATGGTTGAATTGTAAGCGTATTAAACGAGCAGCTGTTCACTAAATTGTTAGGTTATAATATAATTTAGTCTACACGATGCACAATAAATTCGGTTACGTAAAAATATAATTCTAAAAAACAGTCGTTTTGTCGTTATAATTCAGTGAAGCGTCGAGGGCAGGATGATTTTACTCCGCGCGCTGTAGGTTGCCGACCTCTGATATAGCTGATCTTGAATTTTAAGCGATCGCGTGGCTATAGGTTCACATATGATTGATTCATCTTGTTGGCTTTCCCTCTTCCTAATCGAAAATTTCTATTCTATTCAACGCTCTAAGATCAACAGTCATAAGCTGAAAAATATGGAAGTTGCACTTTCTCTAGCGCCTACAGTTTACGAAATGTTTCTTCAATAAGCATCATTAATCCGAACAACATATATATATATATATTACTAATCAACTAACACTCAAATATCTCGGTGCCCAAGGCAAAAAGATATTTTCTTAGTAATTTGTTTGGTCTTCTTACTTTGTTATAATCTGTTACATTTATAAGAGGACAGACAAGGACAGATACTAGTGTTGGTTAAATTTATCGGGCTCTTGGTATTCTCTCTCTCCCTCCCTCTTGGACCAAACGGTTTTTGTTGTTTTGGTGCATATATAACTTTTTGTCATTTTAGCATGCTAGCTTTTAACACAGGGTTATGATTATGTTTTCCAGAATGTGTACTTTTGTCTCCTGAAAAGTACAAATGTGCAAAGAAATGAAGTTGGCACCGCTGCGTAAGACTTCTATTGTATATACCTTTCCAAATGTGATAAGACGACAAATCGACCATAAGAATTGAGATGTACCCGGTAACCCTATTGCATTGGTATTTTCATGTATTCAAGGGGCACGCCAAAAACGCTATCGCGTTTAAATATTTTTATGTTAAGGTCAGACTAGAATTGCATTTAAAATCCACATTTAATTATTTGGCAAAAATTGCCAGGATTTAGCAACATGGAAGAGAAGGCTCAAGTTACCAGTGGACTAACGTAGAATTTCAAAATGATATGTATACGACAGGAGTGAACAATGCACAGTTTGATATAAACAAAGAATGTCGTCGTTCTTTTCGATTCCAAGTGAATTCGGCTTCATTTGAAACAATGGGGAGCGATCTCGGGCGCATCCAGCGTAAACGCCCCTTTAGTTTGCCTTTTTTACTCACAAATAACCGTATTTTATAGTAATATTGTTAGCGTTAGTGAAATTAAATCACAAACTAATGTTGATAAATGGATTTATGGAGGCGATCGGGGATGGGATCGGATTAAGTCCAGTTCGATAAATTTCCACTTGACCTACAAATCGTTGGCGAAGGTCTTTGCGTAATCATTTTATCCAGCTCCTCCAATGAAATTTGCTTCATTAAATCCTAAAAACTTCAACCCACTGACCTCTTTTGCACACATTACATGCGAACATATAAAGTATTACTATTACTCTACACCGGGAAGCAATTGTTGCCAATCAAACATGCAATTATACAAAATTTGCTGACAATTTAGAAAGCTCGTGCGTTGTTATTGTAACCCAATAAAACAATTTGAACATGTCCAATGGTTCCGGCGGGTGCACGAAGCCGAATGCGACTTTTCTTCACTGTTGCTTTTCTTTATTTTTGAATTTGCAATCTAGAAGGAGCATATAAAGAGGATTCACTGAACTACAATTATTTTTATCAGTAACAGCAATTAAGATAAAATTGACAAATTTAATTTTTATACATAACGGCAGATTAAGTATTAATTTAAAAAAAATAGATATTATATTACAAAAATTGTAGCATCCGCCGTGGAACAGAATGGAAATAGAAACAACTACAGCAGCTAATGGAACACTGGACGATAATTTCAAGTCTTCTGTTTTATCCAGCGTTGATATAATCGTGATTGTCCTATATTTTATTGTCACGTTAGCGGTTGGACTTTGGGTTGGTATACTTTTCGAGATTAATATAATTAGGGAAATTTCCTCTTTTTTGTTTCTTCTATTTTATTATAGTTTTTGTAAAAAAGGACAAAGGTCTCCTACATTATAATTGGAAACAAATGGGCGAGAAGTACCAGGGAACTTTATTCTATATCAGGGTGGTCCAAACCAGGCCAAACATGTGGCCCGCGGTTTGATTATCTGTGGCGTCACATTCGGAGGGTAATCAAAAAATTGCATTTGGTGTAGTTTCGTCATAAAATTAACCAGGTCAATCTTTTGATATTCTAACATCACACATGTTACATCACTAATGTCATTGAATTGGCTAGTGTTATGGATAGCTGAGGCAACTAGCAAAGTTGAATAATGTGCTTGGCAGTCTAAAATTGTTATCTGGCTTTCTATCTTTTTGGTCGGAAATATATGCTAATAATTTTGGCATCATAGAAAACTTAAAATCAAATGCGGATTCTATTAGCATATGTTGACTATGTCTGATAACTAAATATCAATGTTATGGTCTAACAATATAAATGCTGCATATATGTCAGAAAATTTAGTCCTGTACCCACATTTGGTCAATCTTCAGTTATTTGTAAGTTATTTTGTAAACATGAGTTTGAAAAGAAAGCTGACGAATGCAAACAGATTTTCAACTGGATGTGTGTGTATGGGGTACCACCACAATACGTGCTTGGTATGTCGGCGAGTTGTGTCGGCGACAAAAGTGTAGAATTGAAAACGGGATTTTAGCATCTCGCGAGCAATGAGCCTTTTTCAAAGTTAAGATTTTGCTTTGAAAATCTTATCGATGTTGTGGAAGCACAATCTTACGCTAAATGTATATATATATAGAAAGATTTTTGTACGTTTTAGTCACACGTTTTACCTTGATATATGACAAATACTGATCAACATGTTTGCACAATAAAATTGTTTGTTTTGTATTACACTGTTTACCTATTTTTGACACTATTGTGGCCCGCGAACAAAGCAAAACTAATTTTATGGCCCCGGAGCCGACAACCTTGAACCACCCTGTTCTAGATCGTCTAGTTTTGCTGGATAAATGGAGCAAATATAAAACGCGTATTTGAGATGAGTCGTAGGATTCTTTTCCTAAAAATAATTTAACATCGAATTCATACAAACGAAAAGGTAAATTATACATCTATATTTCTAGGCAAGTCGATCATCATCGCGTAGAAGTGTAAAAGGTTATTTTCTTGCCGGAAGAAGCATGTCTTGGCTTCCTGTCGGAGCATCGTTATTTGCATCAAATATTGGAACTGGACATTTCATTGGTTTGGCCGGCACAGGTATATTATCATTTAGGTACTCCTGAAGTATGCGTACCAAGATAGCGGACACCGGAACGTAGTATGTTTACCAGGTTAGGGTTAGGCCATAATTTTAGCTACAAATACTACAGGAGTCACTTGGCTAGTCCCCGAACTCGTAATAGAACTAAAATAGGGAAAATTGGAATAAAATTATGGCCTAAGCCTAACCTGGTGCACATACTACGTTCCAGAGTCCGCCATCTCGGCATTTCCACAGTTATAAGAATTTTATATTTGTTATTTATTAAGTACTCGTAAATTTTGACTCTCGACTCGACATTTGTAATATATATGTAAACAAATAATAAGCATACTAACTGTTACAGTATTATTTGTTATTCAGGGGCGGCAAACGGAATTGCCATAGGATCATTCGAGTGGATTGCGCCATATCTTATCCTTTTACTTGGATGGGTGTTTCTTCCAGTGTACGTTTCCTGTGGCGTGAGTTTATGTTTTGATTTTTTTATTACCTATAAATATAATGAAATTATTAAAATGAACACATCTAGATTGGAAAACAAAACATTCAAAAAATATATCTAAATATAAAGTTACTAAATTTAATAAAAATAAACATGATATATAAATATGCTATATATTACCTGAGAAAATAATATTGTGAAAATATTAATCTGTGTGCTTTAAATTTATCTCAAGCCTTATATTCTCATAAGTCATAACTCGTCGTATTTAACAATGTCTCTTTCTTTCAAGGCAATGCTTTTATTACAACCTTTTTTATATAACTTTACACAGGTGTACACGATGCCAGAGTATTTACGAAAGCGATATGGCGGCCAAAGGTTGAGAATTGCAATGTCTGTTATATCAATGATGTTGTATGTTCTAACAAAGATAGCGGTTGATATCTATGCTGGAGCCCTATTTATTCAATTGGCTCTTGGAATAAATATGTACTTGGCCATAGGTAAGGTAATTTGGGTGTTCCAGAAGTATGTGTACCAATATGGAGGTAACTATTTTTTTCGCCAACTTTACATCAAGTTGTGTAAAGGGACGAAAGCCCATGGGCTGGGGGTATATTCACTTGGATAACACAGACAGTCCCCGAACTCGTAATAAAACTAAAATAAGAAAAATCCGAATAAAATTATAGCCCAACCGTAACCTGGTACACATACTACGGAAGTAACGTATTTTGTGCGTTGTTAATCTTATGTACCTTGTGTGCCATAAACGGGCGACCGACAAATTCATATTTTGAATCCATATGCCTGCAGAATATTCTCCCACAGCGCGAATTTTTGATTAAACTCGGCATTTTGATTTGACGCTGACGCTCAAACGTCTCTAAATAGATATATATATCAGATCTGAGTAATTTATTTGCATCATTCTAATTTCAGTATCTCTTCTCGTTGTTGCATCCGTATATACGATCCTGGGAGGTTTGAAGGCTGTCATTTACACTGACACGATGCAAACGGTGGTAATGCTTATTGGAGGAGTACTTGTTATGGCGATGAGTAAGTTGAAGTAGTTTCTTGAAGTAGTTTCTGAAATGTTTTTGCAAAATTGAGCCATGATTATATAGTATTTGAAATTTAAATGACAGAGTGGACGTAAATAGCAAAAATGACACCAAATGAAGCTATGTTTTTGGACGTTTTTAAAGCATTATCAATTCAAGGTCATTACTAAGTTGTAAATCTAATTCTCGTTTAGGTTTTGCCAAAATCGGTGGCTATAACGTCTTGGAAGAAAGATATATGAATGCAATTCCTAAAACAACAATTGATAGTTGGGGAACATCAAATTCCACAACATGTGGAGTTCCGAGAGCTGATTCATTTCACATATTTCGCGACGCTGTGGATTCCGATCTTCCATGGCCTGGCATGTTGTCAGGAATTTTTCTTCTTGGAACGTGGTATTGGTGTACTGATCAGGTACAAAGCTGCACATATTTGTACGACTAATACTGTAGTAATTTTTGTGCTTTCAATAACGTTAGAGATAATGACTTTAAAGCATTGAGTAACAGTAAATTTAAACCCCTTATTACAAAATCTGAATTAATACTTAGGAGTTTGCCTTAGTACGAGCAATAAATTTGTGAACTGTTTTTATCTTTTCCCCAGGTTGTCCCCATTGTCCAAAGACGATAGACAAAGACCGTAAACATAGTCATAGAGCATGAAATACCAGCAAATTTATACGCTTTAAAAATTTATACGCACCCTAAAAACGTTGTGCATCTAATTTTTTTGAGTAAAAATTCAGCCACAAAATCGTATTGCAGAATCAGAATTAATATTCATAAATGTTTACATCTAATAGCAATGATTTTGTTCCATGACATGAGTAGAGACATTGACTCATAAAGCATATAGCAGGGATGGCGAACCACTGACCCGCGTTTTATTCGTGACCCGCCAAGGCACGAATAAAATTTTAAAAAAATGCTAACATATCAGTGATAAAAATTGATAAAACCGGCCTTAAATTAATCTAACAATAACTAAACTATTATAATGTACCGTCAGTTGGGTAGTCAGTGCTGCGATCGCTCATATTCAAATTGGTAATTTTTGGGTCGGTATGGTTATTTTCAAAACCCCTAATCTTGGACGCATGTCTGCAACGCTATGTAGCGTTATTCAGCTATTGGCTCTGACATCGTTTATGACATAACAATGCAATTGATCTGTTCATTTCTCGCAACGTCTTGTCACTTTCGGAAGTGCATCTGCAGGCTGTTGTACGGGTTATACGGGGAACTAGATGCTACTTTGCATTTTATTAGTTTCTCGCCTTCAATACCGCTGAGAAAAAAAAATCTTTCATACTTGAAATAAAAACCTAGAAATCTGAAATACCAATGGGGCAGTATAAAAGTGCCTTAATGTGTGGGAAGCTGATCGAAAAATATAACACTATATCAGAGTGGAATTCCCTCCTAACTCTTTGGAAACGTAAAATAATTTGCCGCATCATTCAAACGTTTCATGTGCGTAATTCATATACGTGTTTTCGTACTCTAATTTCATAAAATCAAGTTCCATAAAAGTTTCTGAAAGAAGTGCTGCACAAGTAAAGCACAAAACTACACCAACACCAACAGAAGTTTATAAGATTTCAGAAGTTTCTTAAAGATACAAACATTGATTAAATATCTGTGACCCACTCTCTTCTGTTCCGCGATAAAAATATAATTTTTGACCCATTCATTGAAAAAAGTTTGCCATCCCTGGCATATAGTAACATTAAATTGGGGTCGCTTTTAGGACATTTTGAAACGTTGTGCATCTTCCCTTCGTATTACAAAATCGGATGCAAAAAAAACAAAAATCACAATTAATTCGGTACTCTCGAAGCATGTGAACCAAGATGGCGGACACCAGAACGTAAGAGGTGTACTAGGTTAGGGTTAGGATATAATTTACGGTACAAATATCACGAGAATCACTTGGCTAGTCCTCGAACTCGTAATGGAACTAAAATAAGAAAAATTGGAATAAAATTATGGGAATAATTCTAACCTGGTACACATACTACGTTCCGGTGTCCGCCATATTGGTTTACATACTTCGGGAGTACCATTAATTCTTAGGAGTTTTACTTAGTTCGGGCAATAATTTCGGTCAATGTTTTCATTTTCTCTAAGGTTATCGTTCAAAGAGCATTGGCATCGAACTCAATTCAGCACGCGAAAGGAGGATGTGTTTTAGCTGGATACCTTAAACTGATTCCAATGTATATTATAGTGATGACAGGTACGATACCTTAGTTTAATATTTATTTTACTACAATTCATTCGGCGCTCCAGAAGTGTGTGTATCAATATAACTAATTTTGTTCTTCTATTGTACATTAAGTTGTGTAAAAAGACTGAAGCCTATGGGCAGGGAGTATGTTCACTTGGCTAACACAAACAGTCCCCGAACTCATAATAGAACTAAAATAAGAAACATCGGAATAAAATTATGGCCTAACCTTAACCTGGTACACATACGGAAGTACAAATCATTCTGTTATCTTGTCCACATTGCAGAATACAATCAATGCATACCCTGAAACATGATTTCGGAATTGATTATTTTCAAAATCAGAAATAAAATCTTTAGTAGCTGAAATTTTGAAATATTCAAAAGGCAGTACTGTACGCCTCAGGCTGACCTATATCAGTCTGCCACATTTTTCTTTGTTTTATATCCGGTAGGTAGCATGTTGAATTAACCTATAATCGATTGTACTCCATCGTATCTTACTACGTGTAATCTCCAGTCTTGTCCATGGAATGGGACACCACACATCTGTGTTTCCCATATAATAGTTCTGAGTTTCCAGAGTTGACAAAGTCAATAAATTTTGTCGTTTTGCATGTTCCTTTGTACAGGTATAGTCATATTTAGTATAAGACGCTAAACCTAAATTTAGCGATTTTTATCGAATTGCATTCCAATAGGAATCCAATGGGATGGGGTGGGACAGGCATAAATTGCTATGGAATATAACAGAAAAATATGTTCCATGGCAAGCCTGGTAATCTCTACCACAGCAACAGTTGAATTAGAACACAAGATGTGTCGGATAAAATGTTTATCTTGGGCCGATTTTATTTGAACCCAGGCTGAATACAGATTAAATAGGGTGCTTTCGAAGTATGTGTACCAAGATGGCGCACAACCTGAACATAGTATGTGTACCAGGTTAGGGTTCAGGTTGTGTGTCATCTTGGTACACATACTTCCGGAGCGCTTTAAATAGGACCCTTAATCCGACCCTACTACTCGAAACTTTGAAAGAGCATTTTGCACAAAGCCATATCTTCGGTATTTTTGCAGGAATGGTCAGTCGAGTATTGTTTCCGGATGAAGTTGCATGTGTTGAACCAAGCGAATGCGAGCGAGTTTGCCAAAATCCAGAAGGTTGTTCAAATATTGCCTATCCGAAGCTTGTTCTTGAGGTATTGCCAACCGGTAAGTATGCAAGGTGACAATATCAAATATTGAACACGAATACATATGGGTCGTCTTACTAACGTCTTATCGTAGTTGTTGGGGTGACAAATATATCTTCTTCGCGTTTAATGGAACTCTCGATTCATATTTTCCATTTTTTAAAGGTAGAAGAAGTCGTTTAAAGGTCATTAATTTTATTATATTTTTAAATGCCCCTGAATCCTATGAAAAGGGATATTCACCAGAAATTTAGCTGCTTCATTTTGCTTTAAGATGAACACTTTTTGTTTCTCATTGCGCGATCGGAAGCTTTCGTACAAAGCCCCCGCCAACTCTCAAAATAAGTAAATATCCAGTTAGGGTTAGAATGCAGATTTGATTTTTCAAATCATTCTTAGCCCTCGCCCCAACTGAATAATTATCAGGTATTTTATTTTTCATTGCTCGATCGGCCTCCCCCTCCGCCCTCTTGATCTATTTTAAATTTTTAGTAATTGAAGATATAAAGGTCGCTAGGCGTCTTTCACTTTTATTTTATTTTGTTCTAAAATAGCTGTGACCGAAACAGGCAATTAAATTTCAGTTTTTCCTATCCCAGGCCTGCGAGGAATCATGGTTGCAGCAATGCTTTCTGCTCTTATGAGTTCTCTGACATCAATCTTCAGCAGCACCAGCACAATTTTTACACTTGACATATGGACACGCATTCGTAAGACTGCGACTGAGAAAGAACAATTGATCGTTGGCAAGTAGGAAACTAAAAACAATAACTTTACCAAACAATATAATAGTTTAAAAACACTAACCCTTGATTGCTTAAACCATTATGACAAGTGGTATATGTCCAGTGTGATAAAGTTTCCGTGTGTTTTTTTTTCACTCGTTTTTCTATTACGATATTTGCTGTTTTGGTTAAATGTGAAGTCGCTTTGATTGGTTCCCCGAAACGTAAAAATGTGCACGGAGTTGCCTCGTGACATGTTTGCCTAGGACCTGAGAGAGATTCTTGAGAATTCCTAAAATTTCCTTGAGTTGAGAACGCCCATTTGCGTTAATTTGTACATACCGTGTTTCCCCGAAAATAAGACAGGGTGTTATTTCAATTTTCCTCCGAAAAATAACTCAAGGGCTTATTTTCGGGGGATGACTTATATTTTCATTTATCAAAAACAAAATTACAAAGTAGAAAATTACGAGATTTTCAAATATACAAAATATGAATACCGATATAAAAAAAAACTGCTAAACATAGCTTATTAATCATTTAAAACGTGTAGAAAGAATTTCTTTCTTGAAATCATTTTTAAAATTCCAGCTAAGTCTTATTTTCAGGCTAGGGCTTATTTTCGGGAAAACACGATATGTACTGAGTCATATCAAACTGAAAAGTGATATTGAAATATAGTCGAGGTCAAACATTTTCAACTTCTGATTTTAGCATATCAGAAGGATAACGGGAAGGAAAATCTGCGAAAGCGGATGGACTTCCAGTATTACTCAATCGTATAGTAGTGAGCATTCTTCGAAAAATTCCCCGAAAACTCTAATAAAACCATGTTTTCAGAATTACTGTCGTTCTTCTTGTTGCAATATCAATACTTTGGATTCCGATTCTTCTGACGTCAGCCGGAGGACAACTTTTCATTTACCTTCAGGGAATTCAATCTGCTCTCGGGCCACCTATATTCGCTATATATTTATATGGTATTCTGTTTCCAAGAATAAATGAGAAGGTAGCTAGCGTTAAAATACGTAAAGGCCATCTTTTGCTACAAAAATTACAATGTTTTTTATTAATATTGCAGGGGGCTTTTTGGGGTTTGATTGTTGGGTTTTCCGGAGGAATTATTCGCTTGATTCTTGACTTCTCCCACAAAGCACCACCATGCGGAGATGATGAATACAGACCTGCCATTTTGTATAAGTATAAAATCCATTTTTATTACACAGCAGATTAAACAAATTTTTGAATATGCTCCGCCATAGCAATTTTGTTTACTGTATATTTTATACATCGCCAATGTATGTTTGCAATAAACAAAATTTACAAAATGAATGAAAATCATAAATCTTCACACTGGCGCAATTACTTATGCAGCTTCTTCCGACTCAAAATTGTTTGCGATACTCTTTGCAAAAAAATATTAATATTATTATTCGGAAATTTTGCATGCAATCAGGTGCTTCACTAAAATATGCACCATCATATGCAATTCAAACTGTCATCAACTTGAAAAAGTTTTGATGTCAAATGTTGCAAAATTTGGATCTCAATAAAATATCAAACATTTTTCCCAAAACTAGTTTGGCAAGACTCTTCATTAAATTATCCAACCACTTCTAATCAGCCAACCACTTCGTTATTTTCAAATCACAAATTATCGAGTATAACTCTGATTCAAAACTTAAACGAAACATTTACGAGTAAGCTTTTTGTGTTTAGAATAAACTACCTCTACGTAAGCTCAATTGTGTTTGCTGCCTCAACAATCGTTATATTCACTGTAAGTTATTTGACTGCTCCACCTAAAGAAAAAGAGGTTTGTCACAATACTTATAATTATAGAGCAAATTTATGGTGCGAATTCTGTTAGGTTAGGGCTAGGCCATAATTTCACTCCGATTTTTGTTAATCTTTCCGAACTGAGAATATTTTAGTTCTATCCCGAGTGCAGGAATGTCTGTGTTAGCCAAGTAAATATAACCCCTGCCATAGGTCTTAGTCCATTTATACACAACTTGATGTTAAGTAGGCGAACAAAATTAGTTACCTCCATATCGGTACACACACTTCTGGATCGCCGTAAATTCACCCATAAAGCATAAGTTATTTCAAATTCAATTCACAGCTCTATGGGACGACTTGGAAAACAATTCATAAGCGAATGGTGGAGTCTCATAGTAGAAAGCCTTCACTTGAAGAGAGAGTTGTTGTCGAACCATCTGGTAAGAAAACTATTTTTTTGATCTCCATTAGCATTTATCTGAATTCAATTTAGATTCTCACCAGCGGTTCCAGTTGTGGTACAAGTTTAGTAATTTCACTCGTCGGAAGTAAAATTTAAGGGCGCTCAAAAAGTATGTGTACCAATATGAAAGTAACTAATTTTGTAGGCCTACTTCACATCAAGTTGTGTAAAGGGACGGAAGCATATGGGCAGGTATATTCACTTGGCTAGCACAGACAGTCCCCGAACTCGTTATAGAACAAGAAGTGGGGACAATGAATTAAAAATCTACAACAAATTCACAATATAAAAAATGCATACAAACTATTAAGTTATAATATATTATATAATAATTTTCTATTCCATCAGAAAACGTAGAACCGGAATCAAATGAGATGGTTGAGAAGAAGGAAGAGGACATAAATAATGATTATCGTAAGTAAAAAAACCTCATATGCATATTTTTATTTAGCCAAAGTACGAACATATATATACTCATTAAAGTTCATCATTGTACTGTAGTAAACGCCTCGTGTATCTGTCTAAAATCTAATTTTCTTTCAATAAGTGCAATACTCCGTCGAATATTTTAAGGGACTACTGACAATCCCATATATCCTTTTTTCCCGAGATCTACCTATTTCACAATGCATCAGTTGAGGAAAATTAATCAAAACTACAAACGTTTTGTATTATAAATCGTGTTTGATAATGGCATATGTATATTCGAATGCTTATTTTGTCACTTCTAGTCTCATGACAAAAACAAACCAGCGTACTTTGCGTACAAAGTAACGTAATATAATTTTTAAATCCAGGAGCGGAAACAGACCAATCGAAGCCTAGCGAATATCACCTGAGTGATTTGTATGAAGACGAAGGCTATGCTTTCTGGTTGAACGTAATTGCAATTTCTCTAATCATAATCACAACCTTCTTGATGGGATATTATGGATAAACTCAATCTACATCAATCAAAATTGATTACTAAAATTCCGGTTTATTCCGATTTTTGCTAGTTTCTTGTTCGCTTACACCAATTTGAATGTAACGACTAATAAATATGACTATTGCAAACAAAGAAAACTCTCATTGAATATTTTGATATATATTACACTTAAGACTATAAGTAGACAATGCGGCAAAAATTCCCGACATTTTAACATTTGAAGCCCTGAATGAATAAGTAAACTCAACTAGGAGTCAAATTATATGCATCATTTTATGCATTGGCTTGAGGGTTTATATTATCCAGGCTATTCTTCGAAAACCACATTCTACTTTTGCATTATTAATTTTGATTGTTCTTTTGTGATTATTACTCTTGTAATCAACGCAAGAATAACATCTATATTATACCATGTAGTTCATTTACAGACAATTATTCATAAGAGATTTTATTTTACAATGGAATATTTACTTTCACGTTGGTATTATACTTGGTGTAGCTATACAGTGAATCAAAAAAAGACAAATAAACAAAATATGCCCAAGTATTTTGCTACATATTCTTGATTATTATAAAAAAATATTATGCGACCTACTCCAATGCTGATGTCAAAATAGTCATATTCTAGTTTATTTTTCCATCTAACAATAACATGCAAAATTGCCAAAAAAATAAAATCAAACACACATTTATACTGGGGAAGGGAAGTCGCGGAGAATCAAGATTTCCGCGAAACCCAAGATTTCTAATGTCGTAAATTAAGTTTTTCGAACACTGTTATTATAGGTGAATATGGCTTTGGCAGCTGAACCACTAACAGCATCCACAAGACATTTTTAGCTCCAATTTGTTTCGATTTTAATGGGTGTTGCTTCAAATAAAGCACGCTTCGCACTCTGCATCGTGAAACAGAATATAATAAATACAATTTGAAATAAAAAATCGAAAATCTAATTCAATTAGCAAACCCATCATGTTTATTTCGATATTATAAAAAAATCGCACCTTGACTATTAGGGTATCAATCTGTTAACATTTGAAAAATTGTGTGCCTTTCTCGTGGGTATGCATACGGAGACAGAAATGGGAATTAATTTTGCCACAGTGCCGCAGATCTTTGCTGGAGATATAATTAAAATATCATTCGCACAAGTTGGACAGCCAAGTACACGAAAATCTGCAGTTCGCAATCGCAACTCCTACTTGAAGTCTAGTTTGAGTGCAATACCTCGATTAACAGCTTGTTTTTTATTTATTTATTTAGTTAATGATTACCCTACTACGTTGCTGCTTATATCCCACGTGTTTCCGTGCAGAGCAGTCTGAGTTAGTAGTTATCAAATTTATTAGCGTATTATGTACATTAAAACAATGAAATCGAGAAATTCTTCGACTGAAAGGGTGAAAAGTCCAAGATGTTAAAAAAACTAGAATACAAGTGGTATTTTGACTACAAGTGGATTGATTATACAATGCATATGCATATCAGGGCAATTCTGCCATACAGTTAGTGCAATATAATAGCATATTATGCTATTTTAGTCAGTTTCCAAAAGTCTTAAACAGACTCGTATTTGTTTAGCTGGGCATGAAAGCAGCTTTTTCTAACTCCAGCATGATACGCTAGGTGTCCACTCTACACTTTTATCGGTACTTTCGTAGTGTGTGTACCAGATTAGCGTTAGGCCATAATTTTATTACAATTTTTCTTATTTAAGTTTTATTATACGAGTTCGGGGATTGTCTGTGTTAGCCAAGTAAATATACCCCCTGCTCATAAATTTCAGTCCCTTCACACAACTTGATGTCAAGTAGGCGAACAAAATTATTTACCTTCATATTGGTACACACACTTTTGGAGCGCCATTTTAATTACTTGACTATCAGCACAGTTTTGAGTAAATACAGAAACAATCCATTGTATTGTCAAATGCTACATCCGAACTTGAGATCCCGGAGTTGTGAATCAAATCCAACGTGGGTGAGGTCTTTTTCTCGCCCGTTATAATAAACTTCAGTTAAAACCGTGACAAATATACGTTTACAAATTTTTTCGTTGTCCACATAAAATTTTAAACATATAAGTTTGATAATTGAATAGCAATATCCTGCTAAGCTCAGATTTTCGGTAACTTGCTGATAGAGTTGTGATAAATGAACAATGTCAACCGCAGCGCCAAATTTAAATTGGACTACAGCTACCACAGAACCGAATGGAGATCCAGCATTGTCAATCGTTGATATTATCGTGATCTTTGTTTACTTTGCTGTCATTCTTGCTATCGGATTGTGGGTAAGTCACTGTTGCTATTGGATTGTGGGTAAATCAATATTCCTCTATTTACAATATAGTCATCGGCAGACATGGCAGGAGCCATAGGCGCCGTTTGGACAGGGGCGAAAAACGGCGAAAGGTTTTAATCGTAATTTGTGTCAATAAAATAATTTCAAATTGGAAATAATTGAAACTCGTATTTTTAGTTAAATAATAACGTACACAATTCAATAACAGTCGTTAAAAATTGTCAGTCAGCGATCAAGGAGGCGCACGCATTTTAAAACTTTGCCATGGGCGCGATTTCACGTAGATGCGCCACTGGATATAATACCTTGATTACATGTAGTGCTTCTGAAATATAAATCAAGGCAATGTTATGTATTATTATGCTATTATATTCTGGTATCAATTTACTGGAATATCGAATCGGGAACGCTTGTAACAGAAATCGGTACTCCCGTAGTGTGTGTTTCTCGATTTTCCTCACTTTAGTCCTATTGCGAGTTCGGGACTGTCTGTGTTAGCCAAGTGAATATACCCCCGCCCATAGGTTTCAGTTCCTTTACACTATTTGATGTAAAGGAGGCGAACAAAATTGGTTAACTTCATATTTGTACATACACTTCCGGAGCGCCAAAAAATCATCATCTTGAATTCCAGTTCATCTCAGAATAAACAACGTGACTATTTAACAGAAAATAAATTTGTTAAATTTGCTTTTGCTTGCTCAAATCGAACCGTTGTGATAACCATGTAGCACAGATTGAAACGCATTTGAGAGTATGTAATTTTTGTCCAATAAAACTAATCTGTACTAAGCTGTGCAAAAGTAAAAGTATGTAACCGTTACTCATTATAAAATTTCGTTATCTAAAATTGCAATCAGGCTACGTTTACATCATCGCGCAAGAGTGTGAAGGGATATTTCCTTGCCGGCAAGAACATGGTATGGTGGCCTGTCGGCTGTTCTCTTTTTGCCTCAAATATCGGTGCTGTTCATTTCATCGGCTTGTCGGGTACAGGTAAGGATTTCATAAGAAAACTGACAATAATAAATATCATAACTATAAGTTGCGCAAGACTAACTACCTTTCCCTGCCTTTGCGGAAGTGGATCCTTATGCGTGTAACTCAATGCTGCTGTGGCAATGATTACGATGACTATTCTATTTGATTCATGAGGGTTGCTGAACACTAACACAAATGTATTTCTGTAACGTTTCGTCTGACCGGGGTCAAACTTCTTCAGACAAGCATTTTCCAGTTAATAAATATCATGCAAGTAAATAATTATATTATTTTACTTGTGTTTTCATTCATTTTTGCAGGCGCAATTGCCGGAATCGCTGTGGCTTCTTTTGAATGGTTGGCATCCTATTTGATTCTTTTGCTTGGATGGTGCTTTGTACCCATATACGTATCTTCTGGGGTAGGTTTATATTTTTAAACATTTGATTAAAACAGGTCATCGAGTTGTATTTCTGATGGCCAGAGATTGCGTATTTTCAAATAATATGAGGATGCCACCATGGTAAGTTGATCTGCACCTCCAATTTCAAGAGGTTGAAGCATTAGACTCAACTGTGTCGGCATCGCAGATTACACACCCCGGGTTCAAATTCCATGACCACTGACCTCACCCAAGGTGTAATAAATTGGGTAGGCAACGCCGAGCCGGAAAGAATACTATTTCTCCAAACAATATCGTTAGATATCAGTGACTACTCGTACAGAACTTTGTTTGGACCGAAAGCCACGGATAGGCTCCGTATAATATGAAATAATTATCTAGTTGAAACGGCGATAATCTTTTTTAGCCAGTGGTGCCAGTGGCGCCCCTGTCCAAACGGCGGTCATAACGCGGGCCTTGGCTCCCACACCCTAGATACGTCACTGGTGCCAACCTATGACATGGAATTTGGGGTGACCGTACATTTGAACCCAAGTACATTTGATCCCATGTGTATATCCGCGAGTTCAATCTATATGCGGGTGCTAAAACCCATGGGTTAGGGTTAGTCAAATATCCGTAAAACAAAAACATTTCCATAGGTGCAATAGTATGTAGATGCAATTGTTGTGGGTTCAAATGTAATGGAACCGGAATTTGGCCCTGACGCCAAAACTACAAACATCATTATACCTTTCGAAATAAACTCATGGCGAGATAAACTTTGCTTATATAAATTTCGACACTTTTGTCTTCAAGGTTTACACGATGCCAGAATATCTTCAAAAACGATACGGAGGTCAACGCCTGAGAGTAACAACAGCTATTATATCTATGTTTTTATATGTCACCACAAAAATTGCTGTTGACTTGTATGCGGGAGCTCTGTTTATTCAGCTGACTCTCGGAATTAATCTTTATCTGGCAATAGGTATGGAGATTTCGGCAGTATATTCTAGTAACAGTTTGGTATAACGGTTAAATGGTAAATTTTCGTTGATGGATAGTACAGGGATAACTATGTAAATCCTATCCTACGAGGATATATGTTAAGTTAAGTCAGGTATAGCGCAGAAATTGTTACATAACACCGTTTTTGTAATCAAATTGTTAATTTAATTTAGTGGTAATACTGAACATAGCCATACCCATATATAGCTTTCATGAATACAATTCTTTCGTTAGGTGGTTGGCAAAATGATGAAAAATATCTTGTCGTACATTCGATATCACCTGTTGCTACACATGCCATTAGGAATGAAACGTCATGCTTATTACGGAATTCAACTAATTCACCATAGAAAAACCACATCATACCCAAAGCCTGTTGTCTTGTGTTTTATAAAACGTGCCCGTTGGGAGCATACTCGCTCGAATGTCGTACTAGATTTTATTTTATTAAATTCGTTTCCACAGTTTCATTGCTGGCAGTTACGGCGATTTATACAATACTTGGTGGATTGCGAGCAGTAATTTACACTGATACAATGCAAACAGTGATTATGGTGATCGGTGGATTGATACTTATGTTCCTGGGTAAGTGTTGCCAGAAAACGTTTCAAGCAAAATATGGAGAAAAAAAATTCAGATATTATTCAGCGAACTCCAAATATCTACAGGTTTTGAAAAAATTGGCGGATACGACAAATTGGAGGAAAAGTACATGAATGCAATTCCGCAATCAACGTTGGATACGTTAGGCACAGAAAATGCGACTTCATGCGGACTTCCACGATCAGATTCGTTTCATATGCTCAGACACCCTGTTGATTCCGATTTGCCATGGCCTGCAATGATATCTGGCATCGCTATAATTGGAACGTTATATTTTTGTTCCGATCAGGTTGTGATACAAAATTATTGCAGTACTCAGAATATTTTTACATCAGTTAACAAATATATTGAATATTCGGCAAAATTTGAGCGCTCCAGAAGTATGTGTACCAATGTGGAGGTAACTAATTTTGTTTGCCTACTTTACATCGAGTTGTGTAAAGGAACGCAAGCCTATGGGCAGGAGGTATATTCACTCGGCTAACAAAAACAGTCACCGTACTCGTTATGGAACTAAAACAGGAAAAATCGAAAACCTGGTACACATACTACGGATTGTCATATAAAGGACATCGAAAAAGCACTTAATATTTTGCGTTACTATATAAAATGAAACGCACGTTTCAAATGTAAAATACATTCAACTTTAGGTGATTGTGCAACGGGTTATCGCTGCGAATTCTATACAAGATGCCAAAGGTGGATGCATACTCGCTGCTCTCTTAAAAATAACTCCGATGTATCTGATGGTGATGACAGGTAATAAAATATTAGATAAAAAATTCTAAAGTTGAATTTCGAAATTATGTATATAAAATAATGAAATATATATATATACATATATATAATAAATAGATATACGTATATATATATATTGTTAAAAATGGAATCATATGGTTATCAGACTTGCTACACTTTAAAGACCACATGCTTTGACAGGATTATGGTTGTTTGTATATATATTTATAGTTTATACAATTCAGCCAATAATAGACAACTATGGCACGGAGGTTACTCGAATCTCTGAAATATTTTATTGGGTTTCCGCCCCACCCAAACTGTTTTAAACCACTGATTTAAACAGTCGTGTAATACATCGTCCATCTTTCATTCAATTAGGTATGATTAGCAGAGTGTTGTTCGCTGATGAAGTGGCGTGTTCAAATCCTGCGGACTGTGAAGAAATCTGTCAGAATCCGCAAGGATGTTCTAATATTGCGTACCCTATGCTTGTTCTTGGAGTTCTGCCTGCAGGTAAAGTTCATTTAAACAGATTTTTATTTTAAAACCGTACTTGTCTTGATAGTGTTTTACGGAGGCGAACACCAATGAAGGATTCTAATGCACGGAGTTTAATATTATTTTACACCAAGATATAGATTATAATCAGTGGTGGGATTTGGGGGGGGGGGGGGGGGTGTTCGGATTCGTAGTCATAGGTTCTCAAAGTGCTCCGTACGTAGCCCAAGGGATCCGCGAGAGAAACCCAGGGGCTCCGCGAGCTATTCGATTACTCTTCAAAATACTGACTCAAAATTTTGTAACTGTTCAAAGAAGCAATAACAGCTTTGATAACATCTGACAACAATATAGCCTCGAAATATGGTAAAGCGGCGGAATTAAAAAATGAAATTATTTATAAGCAGGAGCGCAGCCAGGATTCTTAAGAGGGAGGTGGTTCAAAATTGGGATCGGAAATTTCCGCGCAATATTCTTCGCGATTAAAAAGGCGGATAACTAGATTTCTGTTGCTAAAATATTCAATCCATGACCTGTGCGAGCATTTAACGTGTTTTGTCGTTATAATGTAATTGTGCTCATCGCTACTCACGTTTAGTTAGAGATTACTTTCAAGATTACTAAAATGAAAGAATACTATTCTGAAATAACATAAAATATATATGTGATAAGCTGCCAACTATAAATAAATTGGAGTCGTATTTTTGCGATCTTAGGATTTGTCAAACTTGATTTGTTCTATCGCACTTGAAATTATTTTTAAGCAAGATATCGCCGTTTAAAAAATCACAATGTCTGGGCAAAATACGAACAATTGGAATTTATTTTATTGCATTCGGCTTCGTCGGTAGTTTCAGAATGAAATAGAGGTACATCGCGGATCGCGCGCACAATTGATTGCGTGTGGCTTCGTCGGTAGTTTCAGAATGGGATAAAAAGGTACAACGCTCGCACAATTGACTGTGTTTCGATTTCGCAGTTACTACGATGAAAACCTAACATAACATCAAATTTTGTGATTTACAATGTCTATAAAAGCGTTTTCAATCTGATATAAGTCTGCTGAAACCAAGCATGTGATCTTCCATTTTAAGTTTCAGTTTTATTATTTTAGAATGCCGTTTTTCAATCAAGAAATTTAAAGTTGCGGATTTACCTCTTTATTAATTATTATTTTTAGCATTTCGTCTTCGATGACTATCATATGGTAACATGTTTTTCACATTGAACTCAAAATTCCCCACGAGAACAAAAAAGCATTTAACGTCGTCATTGTGTAACAATACATATATATGCCGAGGAAAATTTTTGATTTAGGGAGAATAAACAACGACGTAAAGATGTTTAAAACACGCCATGCTGACGAAAAAAATAGGCGATTGTAACAAAATGAAATCGCGCACATTATTAGCGCCTTTCAATTAAGTCTTCCAAAAATGTCAAAAGAAAAAAGATTCGACCCCTAATCTATTAATATGTTCGTCAAGTGTCAAATTTACAGCTTTAGTATAAAATTTAGATTTATTTATGACTTGTGTTAACCCTAAAAAGGTTCAGCATTTAAAATAAGTAAAGTAATTTTAACTTGCTCAGGAATATTAATCTGAAGTAACAATTTTTACATTTATTTTGGTGCTCCGCGAATAATATTCAACCTTTCAAGGGCTCCGCAACACCAAAAGTTTTAGAACCCCTGCTCTAAGTAATCTAACCCGTTCTTGTTTTGTGTTTTAGGCTTTCGACGACAACAGGTAACGTGCGCCGCAGCGTTGTATTTTTCGTCCGAATGTTATGTATTAGAATCATGTAAGGCTTGTCATGTCAATACCTGCTTACGTAGTAGCATACATATAGTTTCTGAATTAGGGAACCTGTTGTTAGTAAGTTCGGTACAAAATATAACCAATACATAAAATTTTGAATTTCCATACTGGACATGCGGTTGTCAATATCAATTAACCACTAGAAATGTTTTTTAATACTATTTTAGAGTCAAGCTTATTTTTTCCAACCAGTAAAGTACAAGAAACATGCAAAAAATAAAGAAAACAAGCCGGTAGGCGCCCAATATGGATCTTCGCCTTTACTTGAGGCCCGCGTAATTTCAGTTTACTAAACTAAAGGATAATCTGGAGACGCCATTGTAACGAGAAAAGTGTACCAAAACTGCCAGTTCATTTTGAGCGCTGTGCGTCTCATCGGTATCCGTGTGCATGGTTATGCTGTGGCTAATAATTAAAACACGTTCACGAAAATCCCTAAGGCTTCCTTAGTTTATGGATCTAGATGGAAGACAACTAGTTAGAAAGAGTATTTTCCTCTGCTGAAGGTAGCGTTATTGGAATTTCAAATTTCGACTTGATTCACGAGAAAACGGCGATACATTGTGAAAAAATGGAAATTTCATAACGATCGGCGTGTTTTTTCGCTGTTGCCATGGAAACGAACCTCCAATCCGGACTTTCTATAAAACGCGCATTACTAGGGCGACAAGATATGCCACCTGTGAAATTTCATCTAAATCGGCCCAGCCGTTTAGACGCTATGGCTTGGACACACAGACAGACAGACAGACCGATAGACAGACAGATAGAAAAACCTATACCTATAGCGGAGATCCAAAATGATATTTACATTACTGGGGAAGGGAAGTCGCGGGGAACAAAAACTGGTTATCGAGCAGCGACACCCAAGGTTCTAACATCTAATTTTACAGTTTGGGGAGAAGAGTTTCAATTGATAAATACCATATGAATTTTGCAAATTAGCCAACTAATATCAATTGTTATAGGTTATTACTATTCATTATTTCTTAAAGTTATTACCCAAACATTCAGGACTCCGTGGAGTTATGGTGGCTTCAATGTTATCAGCCCTGATGAGCTCACTGACATCGATCTTCAACAGCACGAGCACAATTTTCACTCTCGATATATGGAAACGTATCAGGAAATCGGCAACTGAAAGAGAACAGCTAATCGTTGGGAAGTCAGTTACATCTTTTGTTATTTAAAAATGACCACTAGGAAATTTTCCAAAAACAGTGCTACAATAATACGATATGTTTTATATCTATCTTCACTGACACATATCTCCAATGCACCTGACCTCACCTAGGGTGTAATAAATTGGGTAGGCAATGCCGAAACGAAAAGATTTCGATCCTTCCGAATAATAGTAGTTCTTGCATATCATGAGATATTCGTGACTGCATGCATAAGGGCTTGTTCGGGGTACTCCTGTAGTAAGCAAACCAAGATGGCGGACACCGGAACGTAGGATGTGTACCAGGTTGGGATTAGGCCATAATTTTATTCCAAATTTCCTTATTTTAGTTCTATCACGCGTTCTGGTACTAGCCAAGTGACTCCCGTAATAGTTGTACCTGAAATTATGGCCTAACCCTAACCTGATACATATACTATACGTTTCGGCGTCCGCCATCTTGGTTCACATACTACGGGAGTACCTTTTTCGGAGCGAAATGTGTGATTTCCCGTCGTATAAAAAAAACTCTTACAGTTGAAATATACAGTCAGGGGCGGGCCTGGGGGAGTGCCATAGGGGTAGCCTACCCGGGCAGCATGCTGTAGAGATTTGTTGCCTAATTTGATGATTTAATTATCAATAATACAAACATTCCACTCTTACTTGACCTTAAAATTTATTCATTCTAATGTTTAACAACGTCTATAATTTCTTTATTCCTCGAATTTATTGTATAGAGGGGATTATTATCAGAAACTAGCCCGGGCAGCAGGAAAGTTTGGCACGCTCATACATGCAGGACACTTCTGTTAACAAATAAATTCATGCCTTGATTCTATAATAGAGCACAATTCAATATGCTTGTGCAGGTTGACCGTACTGGCTCTTGTTGTAATATCAATTCTGTGGATTCCGATTTTATCATCTTCGGCGGGAGGACAACTTTTTGTTTACATAAATGTAGTGTTAGCTGCACTTGGATCTCCAATCGTCTCACTTTTTATTTACGGTATCTTGTGGCCAAGAGCGAATGAGAAGGTATGATAGTTCTTCACACCACAACACTATATATATATAAACATCTTTGTGAAACATGTATTACAATGCACTTCAACAACTGCTAGTTAGTCAAAAACTATGGCATGATAGATTTGCATCGCCATCCTATGCTTCAAGGGTTTGCGCGTTTTTGAAATGTTCTAATACTCAGCTGAAACGTTCTTGCTTTTAGTCCTATAAGTTGAGTCTGTTTCTTGAAAATAAGACAACATGTTCTTTGTAAGTTCGATACAAAATAGAACTTGTTCTCAAAATTGGGAATCCCATCCCTGCTTGTATCTAAGATTATTTCAAAATCACTTTTGCTCTTGCTTACGTTTTTATTTACACGAAATCTATATCAATGAACGTAGTAAAAATAGATTGAACATTCTTTTGTAGGGCGCATTTTGGGGATTGGTTGTTGGATTTACAGTCGGATTGACTCGTTTGATTTTAGAGTTATTTTACGTCGCCCCATCTTGCGGAGAACCCGAAACGAGACCCCCAATCATTTACAAGTTAGTATAATTTTTGTAGGATCATGACAGATTGGTGGGCTTTGAAATTTTCAATGCTCAATGTAAGTTACAACGACAAGTGTTCATATTCACGATGAAAATGATGAGATGAAAACAAGATAAATCACATGTGCTGCTCGATTTCGTTTGTCCAATCCAATATCTTGCAACTAAAATTTGAAGTGCAGTAATTTTAACATATCTTCGCAGCTATGCTTTCTGGGCGCTGCAGAAGTGTGTGTACCAATATGGAGGTATCTAATTTTTTTTTGGCCCACTTTACATCAAGTTGTCTGAAGGGACTGAAACCTATGGGCAGGAGGTATATTCACTTGCCTAACGCAGACAGTCCCTGAAACCGTAATATAATTAAAATTATGAAAATCGGATTACGGAGTACCGCTTTTTGTGTTTCTTGAATTAGGAAATTCATATTGCATGACTACAAAACAATATCTAAATATAAATATTGGATAAACATGAACTTCTACAATTATTCATAAATATCGTGTTTACCTGATTCTTTTATTCCAGGATAAACTATATGTACGTTAGTCCGATTGTCTTTGTAATTTCTTCCGTCGTTATCATTTGTGTGAGTTTTCTTACAAAACCCCCGCATGAAAACGAGGTAAGTTTTTGTTCGTCATTATATATATATACTTCAAATTATGAACAGCAAGTGAAATATTATTTTGACCTGTTCGAGGCAATTTTATACCAACATATATAGAGTGTCTCTGGAGTCTCAAAAATCTTTTAAATTGCAAAGGGAATTTATCGATACCATACATTGTTTTGGCCCTCACAGATGTATTAAATGAAGTAAAAATACTAGAACTTTGACTTATATGCATGCATCATTGTGGGTACGTTTGAGGTTTAGCTAAAATGGATTATCCCAACTTTCTCGTTTAGTTATACGGCACCACGTGGTCAACGATAAGAAAACGGAAAACAACAGTTGCAAATAATTCATCTGGAGATTTAAATATGAGAGAAATGGAAGCAGGTCGGTACATTGTAAAAATACCAATATTTTCTAAAATTTTTAAATGCTTTTGAGTTTTGACCATTTTCAGCCGTAATTTGCTGTCGAACCACCGTGATATACCGATTATAACTGCTTTGTTTGCGAAAGATCGTCTGATATCCACATTTAAGCTTTAATATATAGTTTTCTTCATGAAAAAATAATATCACTATCGGTTTAAAAAAATGATTTTAAAAACTGACTCTTGACCCTGACTTAGCAATCTTTTGCAAAGCGTTAGATGAATAAAGAGTTTTAATACTACAGGCGTTATTGGTTCCCCGAAAGAAGAGGATGTTGAAAACGAACTATCAGCTTTGGATGGGATGAATAAAGATGAAGGTAAGAAATAAGTTTTTATTTACCATTGTACAGGTCTGCTCTAGCTCGAAATTCATTGTTGTAAGTTTCTTACTGATCATGCATTGGTTGTCACTAATTTGTAATGTATTAAGTACGAGAGTTATAATATCATAAAAATATAGGTACTCCTGAAGTATGCGTACCAAGATGGCGGACACCGTAGTATATGTTACTATGTACCAGGTTAGGGTTAAGCCCTAATTTCAAATACAAGTACTACGGGAGCCACTTGGCTAGTCCCCGAACTCGTAATAGAACTAAAATAAGGAAAATTGGAATAAAATTATGGCCGAATCCTCACCTGGTACACCTACAACGTTCCGGTGTCCGCCATCTTTTACGCGTACTTCAAGAGTACCAAAATATATGCTATGAGCATGACATGATATTCTTCTAAATACCTATGTTTTACTGCTTTTTCAGGGTCAAGTGTTTCTGTTTCTCTTCAAGAAAACCAGTATTTGACTGAACTGTACGAAAACCCTAAGTGGTCGTTTGTTCTAAATACGGCGGCAATATGTGTAATGATTACCGTTGCATTTTTAGTCGGACTTCACGCGTAATACACCATTTGGAAATTCTGAACAAATTATAATTCGGAACAAGGGGCTTCAGTGGCGAAAGAAGAAAATTTGCAGGGAGCTGTTTGTATCTTTATGCTATCGGTGGAAATGCTTGATTGTTTTGTTTTTTTAATTTTCGGACAAGTGGGAACAGACGTTTATGAAATTGGTCGATGTATTTTTTTGCTCTCGAGAGCCACACAGGAAATTAAGCGGATTTTCGACATAGTACAGAAGCGTGGCAACTGACTATCAAGATTATTTCAAAACAATGTGAAATCGAGACAACATATCATTCCAGCGAGGGATTAACAAAATGGACTGTTTTACTTCATCTGAATTGTATTCACGATTTTGATGTGTAGTATTCAAAATTTAAGTTCGATGAAAACCTTTTTGATATTGACAAACAAAATCACAAGTCTGACGATTGGATTTTGCAACACTCATTGTTTCAAACGTTTTTATCCTTGCGGAACGCGTGAACTCCAATCGGTCCTACCCAGTGCTTTTCAGTCAAGTGTATAGTACACCCCAAGACATGTCGGAATGTTTAAATAACATGCCGCAGCGATAGAGAGTACTAGGGTGTACCACATAAAATGGACAGAACACAATAACTTGTGCATATTTTGCAAAGATTTGGCAAACAAGCGTACCGGTAACTTATATGTGTGAATAAATTTTTATTGTGTCGTTCCAGCCATTCCCGGCTTTTATTTGTAATCCTGTCATAGAGGTATGTCATTTCAAACCCATCTCACATGGACGTCAAATATTTCGATGTCGGACACTCAATGAATGAAAACAATGAAAAGTTATTGCAGAAGATGACTTCAACCTACCATGCGATCGCTTAAACATTTTCCTTCCAATTCTCGACCAACTGCCATAGGCCTATATCCCACAGATCACCTAACTTCGACCAGTTGCCTTATCTTCTTCGGTCTTCTCATCCTCGGCCCACTGCCCCATCCTTCTTAAACTTGCCAACCGTCCTACCCCCCTCATCCTTCCTAGCCTCGATCCACAGCCCTATCTCCCTCAGCCTTCTTATCCTCGACCCACTGCCCTATCCCTCTCCGCCTTCCTATCCTCGAACAACTACCTGTCTTCTCTTAATCTACCTATCCTCGACCCTCCGCCCTATCTACCTCAGCGACCCCATATTCAACCCCCTATCCTATCCCCTCAGTTTCTCTAGCTCCGTCCAAATGCTTTAACCTCTCAGCTTTCCTACCCTTTCTAGAATGAAGTTTTCTTTGTTTTTGAAGTTATCAAAAAAGTAATATGTAACATGTAATACACATTATAAACTGTATGCGAGTTTTTTCCCGCCTTTCTGTACTTTTTACTGTCTGCTTGTTAATGTTCATTGATTTATTGAGACATCTCCCGTTCGAACATTTTTTTTCACCCAGATACACCGGCTAATGGACCTTTCCCCGACCTTTAAACCCCGAAAAATTCTTCCCATTGCAAAGTTTTCGGGGCTATTTTAAGAGTGCCTTTGCGAGTTGGCGCCTGCCTATGTGTTTCAAACCATCATTATGATTCATTGCATACAACAATATTTTTTTTAAAGGTACCGGTAAAAAAATTTAGCCTAGTCTATCACAGCTATTTCTATACTAATTTTTCATTACTGCAATTAAATCAGAACTCCTAGGAAGACAGAGTGATCATTAAATTATCTGATTTCTATTTAAGATTCCGAAACACAACTGAAAACTAACGAATAGAGTTCAAAAACGCGAAAACGAGGTAATGTTTACGACCACGCTTGAAAATTTGTCTGAGTGAGACGTTAGTAAAGTGTCTGAGCGGATGTGAAAAGGGAGCATTGTTACGTCACTTTTTCATCTTGCTGATTGGCCAATGTCACGAAGTAAACAAGGGAGTCGATGCTCGGGGAAAGCAAAGTCCGTATATACGTGGGGGAAAGGTCCATTGCATTGGATCTCGGGAATTCAGGAATGCAATTTTTGTTTATATCGAAAATTTTAGCCGCATGTTACCCAAAATTAGTCAGTCTGAACGAATTTTAGTTTTTGATTTTTATCGTTGGTTTAGCTAAAAAAAAGACTAATTGATTGATCATTGAGTTGCCCGAACCTCTGCAGTGATTGAAATTCACATACCGGTACGGTATATTTTTTGATTTATATGACCTCAACACCGACATTTCATTTTTCTTTTGCTAAAAGAGTTCATATTAAGTTTCCGACCAGCTGATCACCGCATGTTTCGCTATTTGAATAAGTGGATGGATTATTGTTTTGTGCGGGTCGGTGTGCAGGACCGATTAAGGTCATCTAGGCTCCCGACCCTTGTGTATATGCTGTATATTGTATATAAGCTTATCATGGCATAATATAGTACCATGGGTAAATGCAAATAGAATATAAACAAGATAAAAAAATGAGTGAATGAGTCGGCAATTTAAAGTTATTATAATTAAAGTTATCAAGGGGCAATTTGGGATTTTGAGAGGTCATGTATTAATTGAGACCGAATGCTGTACATATAAGATGGGAACTGGAACTGAACTGGAGTCGGGATCGAAATTGTTTACAACTCAGAGACCAGTGAAAATGTTTTTAGGTCACATACGTCTTGGACTAAGGGTGGAGATCAAAAAGGTAGTTTAACCTCGAATCGGAGTTTAACTTTGAATCGGCGGTTTAAGTCCGGATCAAAAAGGTGGTTTAACTTTCTGTGACGTAAATCTCGACTTAAAATCGGCGCTTATTTAAACCTGGTCTGGAGGTGGTTTAACTCGGTTTGTCGAGTGCTTTTGGATTGCGGCGCTTGTCGTGTTGGATGGCTTACCTTACCGTACAATCTATATTGTATTCAGTGGCGACAGAATGTGTAGCAGGGAACTCTGTGCAAGCGTCACGACGAAAAAATAATTGTATATTGGTACTACGAGGCTGCGATATGCAGCATTTGCGGTGGTACCGGTACCGTAACTGCTGTAGACTGCGGCTGTACTGGTACCGGTACCGTACAGTCGGTACGTACTACTGTACTATAGCCGAACAAAATTTTTTACAACGTGGAATTGGGCTATACTACTATAACAAAACCAGTAAGGTAGGTAAATAGACGACGTTCGGTACGGTACCGTTCTTGGCGTATTAATATATTTTTGTATTTGTATAAGTAGCCTATTGTGTTTCTTTATTTTTGTAGCAGTTTTTTTGAAGATTCATTTTGGCTTAGGTTGTACAGTTGTACCAGTACCGGTATAGTTTATCAAAATACAGAAAATAATATTCTTATTCCTGTATTCATTACAGTGTCTAATAATCGATAATTTATCCATAAAGCAGTAAAGTAATGGCTAGGTCAGCGAATTTTGTCAATAGCGAAAAGCAGCTCCTTGTCCAGATAATTAGCGAACATCCCCAAGTGGAGTCAAAAAGAACGGACAAGGTGTCAGTTGTGCAAAAGAATTTGGCTTGGAAGCAAATCGAAGCCAAATTCAATGCAACTGGCACCTTGTGTCGCCGAACTGAAAAAAATCTGAAGGATGCGTGGAAAAACATCAAAAACAAAGCAAAGCAAGACAATGCCCAACGCAAACGCCATTTGAGGCAGACAGGAGGTGGGCCTGGTGTACCCACCGATGAACTCAGCGAGAAAGTTGAGGGTATGTTATTTGCTGTAGGTGTGTTCCAAATATGGCGTACGCAAAGTGATGCAACATATGAAGTGTGTTATTATGAATACATATTATGGAATTCACATACTGATTATTTAGGATATGTAAATAATCGTAGTAATTGTCTCTATTTGGTATTGAAATGTTAATTTTCACCTTTTTTTTTCAGCTCTCATTCCTAGACAAATAAATTGCCTTGCGAACAACTTCGATGATGACAATCAAATTGAAAGCTCGCTCGAAGAACAAACATGTATGTTATTAACAGCATTTACTGCTTGTAATTGGTGGCATTAAAGTGATGTGGCACCACAATATAGTGGTTTTTCATGCTTCTTCTAACCCAGAAATACCAGTTTTGCTTTCTTCTCCTGTATTCATGAAATGTATTTCGCGTACGTGTGCAAATTTAACGACTTATTACAGAGGATTCGGTATTTATAGCTTTCACATAAATTTAATAATACTGGTATTCATAATTTTATCAACCAGCCTTTTACAATATTAATGAGCGGTGACCGTACATTTGCACCCGTAAATCCACAAGTTCAATCTATATGCGGGTGCTATAACCCATGGGTTAGGGTTAGTATGAGTTCAAATATCCGTAAAAGAAACTAATTTCCATAAGTGCAATAGTATGCAGCTGAATTGTCGTGGGTTCAAATTACGGGTGTAAATGTCTGTGGGTGCAAATGTAATGGAATCTTAATGAGCAGATATAAAATCATTTTGTAATAATACATGCAATACACATATATTCATCGCCTAAAACTAATTCTTCATTTGTTTCATCACTATCTGCAGTTTAACTGATGACATGGTGTGATCAGAATTCCCATTTTTTTCAGACACACTTGTTTCAGTAGCTGAGGAATCTTCATCTTTCTCAGATGGTAAGTTCAATTAAAAAAGATTACTCAGACACTCCATATCAGACAAAGCTGGATTTGACAAAGTGTAATGAACTATGATGGCAAACCTTTTTTATGAATGGGTTAAAATTTTTATTATGAAACGAAGACTTGTGGGTCATTCAATCAATATCTGCATGAATGAGAAACTTGCTCTTGCTACTTATAACTTAAAGCTTTACTCATGGAGCACTCATATCATGTCTCATTGCAGAAGCGATTTTTGGTACTGAATTTTGACGGTTGACTAACAGTTTGAGGTCTAGTACATTGAAATGTATTTAATTCGATTTCTGTTTTTCAGGTAACGAATCAGCAGTTTTGCAGACATTGAGTACAGGTAATCTAGTGATAATTGCTATCCAGATTCAAAACATATTCCCACAACAGGCTATCGCTGTTTGTTCAGATCTTGTCTATAGTTTATTCACATGTTTAGGAGGTTCACGGCTTTGCAATGTATGTTTCAAAATCACCCCATGATTAAGTAGCGCAGCAGTAGCAACTTTACAATGTACTCAGATAAACAGAACAGCGGTAGTATTTAAAATTTAAGCAGTATTTAATTTGAGCTTTTGTTATTGTGAATATTAGTACAGACCTAAAGGCAGGTAGGCATTAAAATTGAAAGCAGTTTTTTAGTTTTTATATCACGTAATGGCAGCAAATATTAGTTGTAGCAACATAACATTATATCTAGATAGACAGTGTAGCAGCACAATGGATGATTTGAGAAGAAGGGTGTTGACAGAGAAGTTGGAGGCAATGGCGGAGGAGAGGAAAATGAGAAGGGAAGAGCATGATATAAAAATGGAGTATTACCGTAAAAAAATAGCTAAGTTAGAATGAAGGATTTTATTGTTTTATTTGTTTTTGTTGCAAAATGGTTAATTAAAACAAGATTGATACAAGATTGTTAATTATTTTGGTGGATGTACTGAGATATATGTTTTCCCATACTTTGCGTCCTTCTAGTTTTTATGAATTTGGATCCCACAGTGTTTCGGCTTCTCGTCATAATCTAAAACTGTCATCAATATTAAGGTAGGACCGTTGCAGGACCCCAATAGATGTCGCGTTTCTTGCGACATAGGTATTACTGATTAGATACAACTGGCCTCCAAATATTGATGTGTTTAAGGTTTGCTTTTTGACATGCTATAGTGACATAATCTGATTTTGAAGTGCTTTGGCTGCGCAATTACATATGGGGCTAAATTGTGAAATCGACTTGAACTATACCTCGGAAATTACGAAAGAAATCATAAATGTAGAAAAAAAGCTGGTAACAGAACAAACTTGACAAAATATTTAATAAACATGAACTGAGAACGTGCAAACTGGTGGATAACTAAAAACAACACCATGTACACAATGAAAAATAGGGTATCTTAAAAATAAGTATAAACTTTCAATTTTGATTTGCTTTTCAGGTACTCCTCATAGAGCGTTGATTCCTTCACGAAACATAGTATGGATAAGTAGAAAAATACAGGTATTGTTTGCATTTTTATTAACCCACGGAATTACAACAAGGAGACTAACCCAAGAAATGAGGTTCAAAATTGCTGTTTTGCAAGAAGCATATAAATTAGTAATTCGTAGTCGGCGCCTCTTCAACAGATAATTTGGAATTATTGATCTCCTTCAACACAAATATTTTATGCGATTTGTTGTAAATTTATGAAAACTGGATTTGTAGTTGATGCACAAAGATCAGGAAGACCAAGGAGTGGACGCTCCGAGGAAAACATTCTGAGCCGAATTTATTTCTAAATTCTTCGCTGAAGAGGTGCTGAGTTTGCCTAACTGATTTATATGCCAAACAGCAGGTTTGCACCTCAATCCTTCGGTTAATCTACCGTATTTGTCATTCTGTGTGTTGATAAATATGCAAACAATACCTAAATTTACTACTTATCCATAACTATGTTTACTGATGAAATGAACGCTCTATGAGGAGTACCTAAAAAGAAAATCGAAATAAAAAATGTATACTTACTTTTGAAACACCTTTTATGTTACCTATTATAAGCTAAGCTAGCTACAGATCAAAAGTATTGGTCAATAATGTTTGCACGTGCAAGATGACCTGCTTGGGAAGACTGTATTTGTTGACTTGGTTCTGTGTCATCGCTTGTAGCTATGGCAAGATCGTGTTCTAATGGCTGATTTGTTTTCATGGCAAAATTATGCAAGCAAGCAACTGCCACTATAATGGTTAGGGTGTTGTCCAGCCTTGTCCTCATTTTACTCTGCAAGACTCTAAATCTTTGTTTCAGAATACCGAAACACTGCTCAATCCTAGCTCTGGTGTGGATGTGCGCCTTGTTGTAGCGATTTTCTTTGCCACTTGTAGGGTTTAGGAGAGGGGTAAACAAATATGGTTTACAAGGGTAGCCATTATCCCCCAACAAATATCCATCAACTTCATTTCTCTCTAATTTATCGTGGATGATGCTGTTGGCAAAAATCCTAGAGTCATGAGTGGATCCAGGCCATCTTGCCACAATATTAGTAATCACTCGGTTGGCATCGCAAATCGCCTGTACATTTATGGAAAAATACCCTTTTCTGTTACGAAACACCTCTGCATCTTCACCCCCTGGCGACTGAATTGACACGTGCGTGCAGTCAATCGCCCCAATGACAGATGGAAAGCCAGCCACATTGAAAAAATTTTGCTTAACTTTGGAAAGATCTTGACCCAAAAAATCAATAAATTTACGTTTCTGCTTGGCAAAACAAGTCGCAACTCTATGGATAGATCTCCGAGCAGTATGTCGACTCATTCCCATCAGGTCGCCATCTGTCATCTGAAAATGACCACAAGCGAAAAAACGCAGTGCGGTGAGAAGTTGAAGAATTGGTGGGAGGGAATGCTTGCGGACAACCATTCCAGTATCATTTTTTATAATATCGAGTAAAATAAGCACGCTGTCTTTCGAAAACCTGTACCGTTGTGTAAACTCATTCTCGTTAAGTAATTGGAATGGGTCTTGTACGTCTCTCAAATATGACCTTGAAATCACTTGTCTCTCCTCGCCTAATTCCTCACTGTCTATCATTTCCAAAATATCAATTACGTCCATTTTGTACAATTATAATTTTATTTTGCTCTTACGTCTACAACACAGAACATGAATAAAAATAAAAGAAACACCGACATGGACCACGAGAAAAAGGCTTGTGCCTGTTCACTCACACAAGTGAAAAAACATTACTAAACTGAATTAGTAAAAATAATGCAATAGAGAAAGTAACATTCATGGGCGATTTTATATCGTTTATATTTAAACGCAGGTTTGCATGTCTTACAGGTTTTAGGATCGCGCCTGCCTGAAGTACAGACCTTCTTTATACCTATTTTAGCGCGATCTGTTCTGTAGCTGAAAAAAACACTCCTTAATCGGCTCTCTTCAGCTGTAGCAAAGCGACTATATAACCTCTTTGGGTCGCAGACGACAGTTCACGAAGCCATCACCATGGAAATACAGGGTCAAAGAGCAACATGCCACGACGTTTCGGTGAAATGCCTCGTGGCGTCCGACTTAAACTAGGATTAGTTAAGTAACCGCTAAACTAGGTTTTTGATCTCCGGTTAACTTTCGAAGTTAAACCGAGTTTAACTAATCCGAGATTAGTCTTAATCTAGGTTTAAGTTAAGTGAGGTTTTTGATCTCCACCCTAAAACTTGGAAAACCGGACAAACAGGATTGAATACAGACTAGCTTTTATATCTTTTATACATTGGAGCTGCTTCGATAAGAATTGCGTTGATCACTTGTAACAAGTGATTGAATCTAAGGGACTTCGAGGAAACAGAAATAATCGACTTAGCTGCCGACACTGGATTGGTCAGTAAATTCATGCGAGAGAAACAATTCATAGGAACAATCGATGTTCAACACAACAAGATGGAAGCTCCGGAATGTTGGACATTGCAAAGAATAAAAACATTTACTCCAATTTCTACGAATTCGAACCAATTTTGCAACAAGAGAAGCAACGCCCGAAACTAGTTTTCGTGTTTTTATGTTTGTTGTTTACTTTTTAGTTTTATTTGTTTACAAAAAACAGCAGCTAATCAATTAATTATTATTATTGGTTTTCGCATTTCGGCACAGGCACCGTCACATAACTTCTAAATGTTTTTGTATTAATCACGACTTTCACTCATCAAAATATTTACAACATGACAAGTAAGCTTTGCCCGTGAAATTTATTTTCTCGTGATTATGTACTCTGTTCTTTAATTTATTCTAGTATGATTGTCTTGGTGTGTTTCACGTGTGTGAATGTGGGTGAATGGGCATAATCGCTGGTTACAGCGTTCGTTATAAACCTTTATATAGGTTTTGCCCACTTTCCCGATCTTTCAGTTGACCTTGTCTGTGTTCTTTTTATTTGTGTTGTAGACGAAAGATCGAAATAAAATTGTATTGTATTGTGTCGTCAGAAGCACGGACTTACGTCTGTACGTAAAGTGACTGTAAAGTTATAGTCACTTTGGGTTGTACCCGGTCTTACTACTTACTGAATACAGCGCGAAACACCGCAAAGAGCGCGAAACAGCGCAAAAGAGCGCGAAACAGCGCGAAACAGAGGGAAACAGCGCAAAATATTGGGGAAACAGCGCAAAACAGCGCGAAAGAGCGCAAAACAGAGGGAAACAGTGTGAAGCAGAAAAAAATTTTGCAATGAGTTCGGGGCACCTTGTTTTGAGTTGGATTACCACGGCAGCAAATTAAAAACACAAACCAACGTATGTAGCCAGTAATGCTGTAATGGCAGGTCTGCCCCTGCTGGTGACACATTTTGGGTACCATAATTTAGAACATTTTCCATGTGGATATGGTTGGCTTTAGGGTTAGGGTTAGGTAAAAAGGGACCTCCAGAAGTATGTGCACCAAGATGGCGCACAACCTGAAAATAGTATATGTGTGTGTGTGTGTGTGTAGCGCATTCAGGTTGTGCGACATATTGCTGCACATACTTCTGGAGCACCAAAAAGGTAGATAAAATTTCGCATGATGACCTATAATCCGGTACATAACCTTGTAAATATACCGGAAATAGCGCCATAAAACCATGGCGAGAGGCGCCGTGGTTCTTTCGTGGCAGGAGGTGGTAATGACTGCGTCTCCTGTTTTGCGCTGTTTCCCTCTGTTTTGCGCTGGTTTCCTTCTGTTTCGCGCTGTTTTCCTCTGTTTCGCGCTATTTTGCGCTGTTTCGCGCCCTTTTGCGCTGTTTTGCGCTCTTTGCGGTGTTTCGCGCTGTATTCAGTAAGTAGTAAGACCCGTTGTACCGGTATGTTAGTCGTCGCTTTGGGTGTACGAGAGAGGTCGTTGTTGAGAGTTCAGTTTCGCAGGCGCTATTGCAGTAATAAAGCATTATGCTGTCATGGGCGATCGTCGCTACGGTATACTTCGACAAGCAAGACCTTTACATGATTGTGACATTATTTTTAGATGACGTGGGCAGGGCAGGAGGGGGTCACGATTTACTAATGACATGTTGTAAAATTGTTAGTCGAAGTCCACTACCGTACAGCACTAGAAGTACGGTACCGGTAGTCTGGTACCGGTACCTAGACAAGTTGTCGATTTCTTCCAGTGCGAGATAGAAAAATAAAAATTTGTGCTGTATTTTCGATGCATATTTTTGTTTGGCCTTATTTGAGTTGTTATTGTGTTTGTCTCGCTATACAGCTATAACCTAGGCCTATACTGGAAGTACATACTGGCAATTGTAAATTGCAAATTTAACATAACGAAGCGAACACATCCTACTGCTTTTATCAATACCCTCTCACCTAAAATCTGTATGCTTCAAACATTACTTGAGGTTTCGTTTGCTTTTGCAGTTTTATTTATTTTGTTTTTATCACTTATTTTATCGTCTATTGATGATTATAGAAATTTTCGAAATAAACTTATACTTGTCTGACATATTGGAAAAGTAAGCACAAGTACTGAAGTACAGACAAATCAGAATATTGATTCTCGCAGTCTCAATCCTGTAATGGGAGGTTTTTTGTAACAAGGCCCAAATACACACACTGACAATCATTCTATATGTTCTGTAATTTCATATTCTTGTTTAGTGTTATTACATTCTACATATTGACATTGGATTAGTAGATCGGCTCAGTTTTTAATGCAACACCATTGGTGACACCTTTGGGGGTCTACCATAGTGATTCAACCAGATTTTTGTACAAAAAAAAAACAGAAATGTCACAAAAAATTAGTGCAAGAAAGCGCAGTCTGCCCAATAATTCTGATTCAGAAGACAAATCAGGGGGTGAAGTAATTGCAAAAAAAATTTCCAAAAAAGCAAAACCAGAAATCGAGAAAGAAGATGAATTTCAGCTTGCCCTATACGTGCCAGCGTTACTGGCAGATCCAGAAGGTAGCTCACATCTTGGGGAATACAAAAGGGTAACTAAAGAAGAAGCGATGAATGTACGACCACCCCATCGACCAGTTCGAGTCTATGCAGATGGGATTTACGACATGTTTCATTCTGGGCATGCAAGAGCCCTTATGCAGGCAAAAAAGCTTTTTCCTCACACTTACCTTATCGTTGGTGTATGCAGCGATGAGTTGACTCATAAGTATGTTTATTATTAAAGTATTGCCTAAATGTCATGCTGGATAAGCATAAGGCTGTAAAGGGTTCTAAACTTTTTCGATGAATACCTTTGGGGTCTGTTTGTGTTAGTCAAGTGAATATACCCCCTACCCATAGGTTTCAGTCTCTTTACAGAACTTGATGTAAAGTGAGCGAACAAAATTAGTTACTTCCATATTGATACAAACACTTCTAGAGCGCCATTTTATCTATAAAATATTTCATATAAAATATATATCAGATAACACAAGTCCTTGATTTTCCACAGATTGAAAGGTCGAACTGTCATGTCAGAATGGGAAAGATACGAAGCAGTTCGTCATTGTCGATATGTAGATGAGGTTGTACGTGATGCTCCGTGGTCATTATCACCAGATTTTTTGAAAAAGCACAGAATTGATTTTGTGGCTCATGACGACATACCTTACAATGCTGGGACAGGTATGTGCACCTGGTTCTAGGAAATTTCGTTGCATGAAAATCACGCCGAAATCACAAATACTTGTTTTACAGATAAATGCTCTTACGGCGAATTTTCCTATGAGGCGAGATTTCCTGCGACGAGTTTTTAGAACATGTTTGCAGCTTATGAGAAATACCCAATAATCTGATTACTTTTTGTTTGTTATTAATAACCATTTATCTCAAAAATCTTTGTATAGTTGCAAAGATCGTCCTATATTTCCTCATTTCTAGTTAGGTTATCGAGGGATAATTGAGGTGTTCCCACAACCTCAAAAATGTCACTGTATGTTACAAATAATCTGCTAATATCAATACCTAATATATTTATAGCATATGGAGTGTTAAAAAATTGCTCTTATCACTATGTAAGTTCTTTGCACTCAATTGTTTAATGACTGAGTTAGATATAAATGCTTATGTGCTTTAAACGAACTTTTTTAAAAAAATTAGGTAATTCAAAGAATTTGGATGAATAGGTATTGTGTTTTTCTTTTATTTAAAAATTTTTGCGTTGAATCTCTGTGCTGTGTATATTCGGAATAAAATTTTTCATAGTCTCTTGATTTTTCTGTACTAAACTATCCTGATATTGAACTTAGTAAAGTTTAGCTTATATATTTCAACTAAGCAGATTTAGTGAAACAAACTTTTAAATAATGATAAAAATAGTTTGTTGACTGAATCAAAACAGTATCTTTCAAATATGCAATTCACAATAAATATTAGAAAATGAGGTATTAGTTTTTCTGGTATTCTAAAGTGGAAAAATTTACATGTTTTGAAGTGTTTTTCCAGTCATATCTTGTTTTGATTTTTTGAAAAGAGCCAGCAGTATTGTTCCATACCCAATTATAAATGATATGTCTTCTGTCTACCTTGTCATCTGCAGAAATAAATTATTAACCAGATCAATCAATGACTTAATTACCACATGTCATTCATCATTCAAAACCTACTGTAAGTCTGTAATTATCAGTGATTACACAACACAGATTCATCGAAATTTTTAAATCTTATAAATATAATTTTATACTGTACTTGTATTTGAACTTACGATAATTGAATAAATATTCAATTGTAATTGTAAATTGTTATTAGAAATCATCTCAATCCAACAAATTCATTAACTTTGCCTGATTTTGCTCCACAAGATTATGTTTCAGTTCAATCACCACATTGTAAAAGCCCCCAAACCCACAGATTGTCCGAGTCGAAAGTTGAGTATAAGTCCGAGTCATTTCATTTAGTTCAGTGGTCCTCAACCTTTTTTAGTTTGCGGACCGGTACAATTTCAAAACTAGTATTGCGGATCGGCGAACTTTTAAAATCGTCCCAACATGTCATGAATGTAAATGAATGAATCTGAATGTAATAAGACAAAAGTATGCAATTCATAAGCAGACAATTCCATTTAATGAGAAATTTGCTGCTGTCTTTTTGATATCATACATGTAAAAGGTGATTCTAATGAAGTCAATAGGAGTTGAAACAAAACAAATAAGCAGGCCATCAATACCTTACATTCTGCAGTTAAGATATTCTATTGGAATATATTTGACGGACCGGCACCCCCCCAATACTGTAACAAAACAATGTATTACCTTTCCAAAACTGATTGTAGATGTCTAACAATAAATTGTTGTTTCATTTGCAGGTTCATCATCTGGAGATGTTTATGCTCATATCAAAGAAGCAGGAATGTTTTGTGCAACTCAAAGAACAGAAGGAATATCTACTTCTGATGTCATTACCAGGATTGTGAAAGTAAATAATTAACCATCATGTATTATGTCTGTATATTACAGGTACCATCATCACATTATGGACTTTTCACCTGGGGGGGAGTGTATTATTTCATTTATGAAATTTGCAATTTTATTCATGACAATTTCATTCACTGTTCTCATTCTTATGTTTTTTTATCGCCACCATGTTATTGTGCATCAGTGAAATGCCATGATCTTGTAGTTATCCGTGTATTGGAAAATGATTTTATCCTTTATATTATATACCGTATTTTAGGAAAGTGAATTATCATTTAGTAAGAATGAAGTTGGCTGTACTGACATACTCTTACATTAAGAATATTCACTTAATTACACTGTGTGATCAATTTTTATTTTTTCTTATTAACAGGATTATGACATGTATATTCGACGTAATTTGGATAGGGGATACACAGCTAAAGAGCTCAATATAAGCTATATGAGAGAGAAGAAGATTGTCGTGCAAAATACAATGGATAATGTGAAGGTACTGAGACTTGTATATCCTCCATTGATCTGATCAATAATAACATGTAGGCTATATTGTTAACTTCATTAACTCAGTATTGAATTTAAATATTTCATTTGTATATAACTACACTGAACATTTCCTATGGTCTCTTAAAAAGCTTTTTCTTGAATTACATTTGTGAAATATGAAAATATGATATATACTTTTCCCTTGTTGCAATATCAACTCTACAAACTGTATAAAAAATTTCATTTTAATTTGAAAAAATTACAAAAAAATAGCTGTATTCAGGGCTAGTTTTCAAATCAAAGTTTAAAGCCATATTCTCCACAAAGTATTTCGATAAAAAGTTAGATATGTTTTTAAGAGTCAATAATGTACGTTTCTCTCGTTTTTTTCTCAATTTTTGTCCCTTTAGTTTAAAGCCCTACTATGTATTTGACCAATATTAATGTAACTATTTTTCAACTAAATCAGGCGAAAGTTAAAGACATGGGAGAAAAATACAAGACTGTGGTGAAGAATCTTGATGACAGGAGGCAAGAAGTTCTTGAAAAATGGAGAGAAAAATCAAACGATTTTGTTCGTAATTTTATTCAAATGTATGGGACAATGAATCAATACAAAGATCAAATTATTGAGGTTTGTTTTGTAAGTCTTCATTTCTCGCAACAAACAATTCATTTCGATCTGAAAAATTATCTGAAAATTTTGGGTCTACCGTAATTTATATAGCATTTTCTTTTATTGAGTATAGAAAAACATATAATATCTCTGTGCTGTGTGCCTGTGTTTAAGCAAAAGCCTATCGCATGTGAGATTACATAAATTGCATAAAAATGTTTTAAAAAAATCATTCGTTAACATATAAGACAAAGTGAATTGATTGCTCTCTTTCAGAGTATTTCAGTAAATCATATAGGGATTAAGTGTTTTCAAAATATTATCAGGCCACTGCCGGTCCCCAAAAAATCTTATATGTATAATATTTGTACCTGCCATGCTAAATCTGCAGTGAGGCAATTGTTAAATTACCAAAGAAATATGCTGGAATAGTGTTTGAACTTATATTTCTCATTTTGCGGAATATGCCCATTGCAGCACCAATGGATAAATTCAAGTTTTTGCTGTTTCATAAATGAAATATTTAGATATGAAAACCACAAATTTGTGTCAATGCCCTGTGTGACGTCTTTTATTTAAGTTGGTTGAAAGCTATGCAATAATCAGGTTTGATTCCTGTCTTATATGAATTATTAACTTTTGGGACCATTTGAAAGTCTCAGTTTTCACTTCAGTACATTGGACACTGGTATATTTTTTTTACCATAAAAGGGATATATTACTCAAATCACTTTAATTTAGAATTGTTTATTTTAATCCAAAATATAAAAAATTTTAGGTTGGTATGGCCAATAGAATGTATCATAATTGTCACAGTCTTGGCAAAAACAAAGGTTATGGTACAAATAGAAATCTTTAATGAGTTATAAAATTCAATCAGGCCTACTTAACTCTGAACAAAGTTGAATTTTTAATTCAATGAAGCAGTGAAATTGCTTTTGATAGTTGAGTCATTTCTTTTAAAAAAGAACTTTGTTCAATGTGTCACGTTGACACACTCATCTCTGCTATTGTTGAACAATATGCTGCTACAGTGCTACGAATTATCTTCAATGGTGTTCAATATATTTTGCCTTTGTCATCAAGTTTTTTCGAAGTTTTCTAGCAGAACAATGACTTGATAACTGTAGTAGGCCCCACTGATTATTTTTAGTACATTGTTCCCTCAAACAAAATAGTTGAGGCGTAACCTTACATAATTACATACTAGGCTCAACAATTGGTTGGACTTTGACTCCTAAAATGATATTGCGTAATGCAAAGAGTTTTTTGTTTTGTTCGGCCATAATTTTATTGCATTTTGCTGATCCATGGCAAAGATTGTTAATGTGGTATGTGCACTTAAGATAGGTCTAAAGTACTAGATCAGAAATAATTTATCTCAAGACCAGAAACATTGAATTTAAAAAGTAAACAATACTAGAAAATGGAAATGTCTGGGTGTATGCTTGTTCTAGTGTGTCATCTGCAACCTTCTATGCATGTTGTGGCCTTGTCTGATCAAGCAGACTTTCTCAGCGTTCACAATAAATTTGATTCTTATAATATTCTTGAAGATATAAAGGTACTGATAATCAAGTTCAAAATATTGACAACTTCACTTGTATTTCATTTAAATTCGCCCTCTTCTGATACAAAGTTGTACAAGAATTGTTTGCAAGCTGTTAATCTTTGTACCTTACATAATTCTGTTGATTTATTTTGTTGGACTTTGTTCTGAGTTGGAACAATATTGTGCAACAAATAGATATAAATTTTATTTGACTATATTTATGGTCTGTGGCTTAAAGATAAATCTACACAATTAATGCCAATATTTATTTTATGTTATGAAATCCCCACATGTGTGTGACATCTTGAAAGAAACTGCAAAATGATGTATTAATTCATGTTTTGTCTACTTATCAATATTTCATTTTTCTGCCAATTTCTATTAAAATTTGACAAGCCGTGTTGGTCATCAATGAAAATACAAGCAGAATGAAACTTTCTTCAAAAGGAAACAATATTTTTTGTGATTTGGATGTTATACTGAATTCTATTATTTTGGAAGCAAAAGTATTTTAATGGAAAAAATGTAATATTTTATTAGTGGTCTGATATCCATTTTGTATTTGAAGTGTTTTTAAATTTTTAAATCATCTGTACCCCGTCTAATATACTAGAGGCATACACACCACGAATCATTTTGAAGTACCGGTATTTGCAGAGATACAGATAGGATATTTCAAAACAACCTGTTTGCATATAGAGTCATTGCTTGCTCAGCATTGGAGACATTTGTCCCTGCGGACTTTGCTTTGCAAATAAATTGTGTGAACGATTTGATGACATTGTTATCAAACCAATTATATTCATTAATGATATGATCATAGTTCAGCTTAAGTTAACGTGATATTGTACATATTTGATTAAAATCACGCCATGAGCCAACATGACAAGTAATTTCACGCAGCGATCTTGTCATTGTTGATCATAATGACTCACAATATCGGCTATTACAAATTCTCGGAACAAAACTTATATCTCTGAAAAATTGTTGGATTAACTAATAAACCAAACAACCTGCTTGTCTGAGGAAGTCTGATTTTAATCGGACGAGAAACTTTACAGAAATAAATATGTGTTAGTGTGCAGCAGGACTCTTGATTTGCATAGTATGGTGTTTCTATTCCTGCTACAACATCCTTGCATTATACGCATACGGATCCACTAGCACAAAGGCATTGAGGAAGGATTGGGAGTTAGTCTCGTCACTCGTGCAACCTCTACTGATAGTTAAAACATGCATAGTTAGTATTCCAGGGATGCACAAAACTGAGCAATATACTTTTTTAATATTCTGACTGAAACATTCTTTTTTGGTATTGCATATTTATATTCAATTCAGTAGATAATTTATGCAAATCATGATATATTACTTTCTTTGTAACAGAAATTTGATTCTGTTATGCTACAGCCGCAGGCTAAATCTGGTCCGTTGGGTAATTCAATCTGGCCAGCCTAATGCTGCCACAACTAAATTAAAACCAAAGTTTAATGTTTTGTCTCGAAGAAATTGCAATTAAATTTAGTTTTGGCATGAGGCTTATTGTTTTCCACTTTTGCTTTTGTAACACTAAAATGTAACTTTTGTGTCACACATATGTGGTCGCTATTCTAAATAGGCAAAATTTTTTGGCTCCTGATTCGGAAACTTTGCCCACCTCTGTGTTATGTTATTCTCACCAAAATCTGAGTAAAATTTATGCTTCATCTTACTTTCAGATGCCGAATGCCAAAAAAGGCAAAAAAATTTTCCCAAAAAATCAGAATCTTTCACTATAATTACCAATATTCAATTCTCTATTCAGGCAATGTCACCAGGACGCACTAGTCCCAATGGCGAAGGACCAAGATCTCTATCTCCAACACTGTGGGCTCGTTCTTCATTTTTCGGGAACAAACCGGAATTATCTGGTCAAGTTTCAAGAGAAGATCAAGATTCTGATATTTCAGACGAAGAATAATAAATTGCAGTATTTACTGGTTATCTTGTAATCATAAGGAAATGTTGAATTCATAATATAGCTGTCAGAAACGGGTATAACCACATGTAACATTGTTAACTTCATTTGGTTATAACCGTAGAAGTATTATTATTAGAAATTTCGTTCATTTTCACGAAGTGCATTGACCTACAATAAAACAAATTTGGATCTATATATTATATATTTACATACAAAATAGGCTTTTAATTCGCATGCACTGCTTTTTCCATGTGCAATACTGCTATTCTATTTTCGTTTTCAAATATATGTGAGTCATTGCAATTTATGAGTTCCAATCTCTGCTCAAGTATTTATCCATTTTTGATTGTATCAGCTACACATGTTCTTATAAAGGAACTTTCAATGTAGATGTTTCAGCACTCCAGAAGTATGTGTACCAATATGGTGGTAACTAATTTTGTTCGCCTATTCACATATCTGTTTAAAAAAGACTGAAGCCTATGGGCAGGGGTATGTATGTTCACTTGGCTTACACAGACAGTCCCCGAACTCGCAATACAACTGAAATAAGGAAAATCGGAATAAAATTTTGGCCTAACCCTGACCTGGTACACATACTACAGGAGTACCGATGCTTCTGAATTCATTTCTATTGTTATGGAGCGGGAATCTGAGATTTGAAAACATTATTTAACAGCATAATTCTTAATAATTCCCATTCACTGCTGGTTGGGAATATTTTTTTCAAAGAATATATTTTTACTTATAAATGTAATTTCATGTATATGTGGTGTTATAACCATAAATGTAAGCACATTAAGGCTTGCCATCATCGATGTATTATTATTTTCTCATAATTTAATTATTTTCCGCTACTGCAAGTTCAGCACTAAAAATGTTAGTTTAGTTACATATGTAAAGTTTTTTTTTGTCATTAATTTGACAATTTTATTGCACAATAACGTGTGTTTGTTTGCCTAATGCTGGAATGCTGAACAATATCAGTACTTACTACTTACCTAACTTGCTAATTAGATTGAAAAATGTTTTCTTATGATGAATAATTCAAAGAGGTTCAAGACAAGACTTTTAAGGAGGCTTTGGTATAACAGGCATATTGTGGCTGAATATTTTTAGTTTACACTTTTTGCTTCTTTTTTCATAAAATAGCTCGATTAATCATTGAGAAGGAATTATTTGTGAGACTAAGTTGGGTGTCCTCCATGAAATATATAGGTCTGGTGATCTTTTACACCCGATTCCTAATTTTTTATATGGTTAACAACTGTTGATGGGATTCCAAATTTTGAGAATGGGAACTCACTAACAAGAGGGTCCCTTATTTAGAAATTAAAGCCAAACTCATAGCTCTAAAGTGCAAATTGTTCACCTAATATCATCACATTCCGAAAAACGGGTTTAAGAACCCCTTAATCCCATCGCTGTTAACAACCTAATTTACCTAGATTTGCTCAGAAGAATTTAACAAGAGATCTAGTTGGTTTGATCACAGTAAACTAATATGTGTTGCTTCATTTGATTTTTTGTATATATTTTAAATCTCATATTGATTACCAAGCAGTGCAATATTTTAATCAGAACATTGCGTAATTTATATTCCCACAAACATAAGAAGAAAACAAATGGCTTATAGACAATGAGGTACTGCACTCTTTTTTTAAAAATCCTAAAATATAATGAACTCTTTTGCTGATCAATTTTAAGTGTTACTTTCCAGTCTTTGTTGGATTAATTTATAGTATAACTGTGACAGACATGTAAATTTATGTCAGAGAGGAGACAATATCCTTATTGTTTATTTCAAAACCAATATTAGTACATTGGAAAGTAGTATGGTACACAAACTGTTTCTATTGGTATTTGTGAACGATTTTAGGTTGAAGTTTTTGAAATATGAATTTAAAGATGTAGAAATACCTTCTTGACAATATTTTTCTGTTATGGTCATCCTATCTATAGTTCGTAACTTTGTGAAGCACACAAAGGATATTCCTATAGTATTATATTGCCTGCCATTTACTCCCAAAATGATCAAAATTTCATTATAATAAGCCAATTTGTATCAAGTTGAACAATTTTTCTATGACATTGTTTTTTCAAAATATGACCGTTTCACTTGCTGTTCTTATGATTGAATTTTTGATTGTTTCTATCTGATATCAATGACGTCCATGACATTAGAAAAATTCAAAGAGGTAATTTAGGTAGTAGAAAATGTGGACTTGAAAACTGAAAACAAATGGAATAAATTTGGAGTGAAAAGGACTCAATTAGATAGTAAATACCTTAGATTGAACGGTGATTTTGAGTAAAGAAATCAAGCCATTTTTGAAATTGTAAAATTGTCATAACGGGCTGGTATTTAATTTCAATTTGTTCGATATATTCAAGTCGTTTTGTACAGTTCACTTATTCACATGTATTCTACTGTCAAACAAAACCATATTAAATTCTAGTTGGATTATTACTGCAAAATGTCAGTATTTCAATGAATGTACGTACAGGTTGCAGTCACTGCCTAGATGAGAGTAATTTATTTTAATTTGTTATTTCATTATTGGCTGTAATTTTCTTCGCAAATATAAAATTATTGTTGCTCTTCCGTTGTTATTCTATGTTGTACTGCGAAATGTATTCTAGAGTGATCATTCACCGTTTTGCAGGCATGAATTTTGAGATCAGATGAGATTATTTCAAACTTTTTCTTAGCAGCACAAATTGACTGAACCTATGAAGAGTCAAAAATATAACAACAAACTTGTCACAATGAACAATTAAATAAAACGGATTGGATGGTTGAAACTCAAAGTGCGATTACGATTGCCGATTCCAGTAACTTTTTGCAGTAAACAACTCGTTCCATAAAAATCCCACTACAGACTATGTCCAGTGTTTAACCCTTTTTTTGTAGAAGGGAACAGAGGCGCACAATTAATTTTAGATTTGTTTTGTCAGCATTGCGACTCGGACGAATATGGGCTACTTCAGACTGTGCTGGTTAATGGTGAGCTTGTTGCAGATACGAGAATACAATTTTTCGAAAGCTCTCTTTATTAGTTTGAATAACAAGCTCCAGACGCAAGATAGAGCAGCTGTACAGGTTAACATTTTATCTTTCTTAGTCACGCAGGTTCAGGGAAGTCGCGAAAGCTGTAGTTGGAAAGTGTGAAGGCAAGCACACTAAAGAAACTAACAACTGCTCCCGCGTATTTGTACGCCCGATGTTTTGCTATTGAATCTCTTTTCTGTAATTTCATCCCGGCTGCCACAGATCGTGTTTACGTACCTTCTTAAGTGGATGGAATGCACGACAATCTAAACTTTGTGTTCTGTACTTTGCGTCCACTTGGTTGTTTAGCTCAGGGCTTCCCAAACTAGGGGCCGCGAAGAGAACACCAATTTTACACATCTATATCACACAGTACTATATCTATTGCACTTTTTCACTCTTGATTTGAAATACAACTAATATTAAAAATAGTGTAAAACGATAATTTCACGATTCCGAGTGAATATACATCATCATATCGTGTTTTCCCGAAAATAAGGACATTGTCTTCAATTTTCTTTCGAACACTGGGGCTGATTTTTGGGGGATGTAGAGAATAACGAGATTTTTTTAATATACAAAATATGAATACCGAAATATATAAATAATATGATAAAATATGATACCAATTTAATAATACGTTTTCATTTAAAATAGCTGCTACCTATAGATTATTAACCATTTAAAAAGTAGATTTCTTTTTATCGACTAGGACTCGGTGGTTTTCGAACCTCATTGTATTGTGACGCCCTCCAGAAATATGCTCAAGTTGCGACTTCCCGTTAAACATACCGTACGTATTGATACATTTCAATATAATACATTTTTTGCAATGAGTTTTATATAAACGAACGAACAAAACCTAACAATAGTCAGTGAAATCACATTTATTGGGCAATGGTAGAAAAGCCTGCTTTATATAAATACAAAATCGCAAAGGAGATGGGGTGCGCAACGCTTTTTAAACCAAGGAAAAATAATCGTTATCTACAGAAAACCGAATTTTCAAAATTAAACTTATTTATTATAAAACACCATCACGGAATTTTGCGACGCCCTAGTAGAATTGAAACTTCCACGGGATTAGGTGAACAAATTGCGCTATCGCCGAAGCCTTTTTTCAAGGCGAGCGGTTGAATTAAAATCATTTTTAAAATTCAAGCTTATTTTGGGGGAAACACGGTAGAATCGTCGCGCTTGCATAACAGTGCATATTCTGATCTTTGACCCGATTTGCGTGCTTGCATACCAATGCCGACTTTTAACGCTAAGCTAGCGGTTCCGGAAAGCAATTTGCTCAGTGTGCCTTGAAACATATTACATATTATATTCATTCCAAATGTTTTATTGTTTCTCATTAAAGCAAATGGTGTGTATATGAATCAAATTCATTTTACCGTTCTATATTATTTACTTTCTGTTACGTTGTTACGTAACAGGTAAACCCTAATGCTGCAATTTCGTTGGCCGCAGTTTATTCATTTGCTGAACCGAGTTTATCGAACGTGAGTGAGTTTTAAGCATTTTAAAGAAAAGCTAGGCAGAGTAAGGCCTACATGTTTATAAACCTCAAAAGGCATAAAGTACATATTAACGATGACAAACTTGTGTTTTATTTTGCGGCAGCATATTTTTTTAGTGGAGGTGCGCTATTAGTTTTTTCTTTGATGATTTGGTGCCGCTGAAAACCGCTGCTTTATGCTAAGTTTGATCAATAAGAGTGAACAATTCCAGATTAGGACCAGGTCGTCGGTGGGCAGACATCGTAATTTATTATTAGGCCTGCATAAACAAACATTGCGCCACGGCTGAACTTGCTATGCAGCAAGAAGCATTCGCACCCATTACATTGAATAATCTGAGTACAGATGTTTTTGTTATTGAGTAGCCCTATTAAGTTGAGAATTAGCTGTGTCAATAAAATATCAAAAATGCATATTTTGAACTGTTTAGCATCATTAGCGTGAACAAGGGCCGCGAAAAATTTTAATATATTAAAAGGGGCCGCGAGCTCAGAAGTTTGTGGAGCCCTGGTTCAGCTGATAAAAGTGACATAGCACCCTTACTTAATCGAAAAGGCAAGCAGTAAAATTCAATAACAATTTATTTGACCCCTTAGGAATGAATGATAGAACTCTTTTAGTTGGTTAACGGTTATTTATTTTGACCGTTTACTTACAGATCACCTTTATACTGTATAATTCCTTCAAAAATGATTAGTTCATTGCAATTTTAAACTCCGTGGTGTTCCATTCAAAAGAATATTACTGACTGTATTCGTTAGCACCAAAAGTGTGAAGAATAATTGTGGTATCAGTGTCGATGATTATAAAAATTAGACAATAATAAGATTCAGGTTAGAAAATATTGTTCACGATTTTATTACAAAGCAGCTGTCTATTCCATGTCATCCAACAAGTGCGCATACTGCACCAGAAATATATAGCAAATCGACATTTTCTAGAAGTAGTGATGAACGCTTTGCTTTGAATCAATAAATTTTCAGTCGTGTAGAAACACCATCCAAGAGCGTAGTCACCTCAAATGTATTTGTATAGTGAATTAATACGACGCTTACTCGTGCATTTTTCTTCGAGCAAGGCTACACAAAAGCAGTCACTGATATCTAACAATATCCTAAAGAATCTCGGTACAGACTTACTTCGCTGTCGAAGTTATACAAGCGCGCATTTTCATCTATCTCGGTTGGTTCGTTTGATGAACGGATTATATTGATAGCAAGCCAGGAAAAGTCAGTTTTTAGTAAATCGTTCGAAATTAGTGTAAACGGTGTTGGAACAGGCGTAAGAATTTATGTCGCAAAATTGCATTTCAAAATAAAAATGTTGATGCTTTGCTACGCCTATGCTCGTATCACTTATTATGGGACTGATAAGGCTAGTAGCTCCTGATCGCAGTTGATGCTGTATATGTATATGATATCTCAAAGAAGAAGTTGTATCACGAATACTAAAAGCTTTGTCATATAAATTAATCCAACCTATTCAATTAAACTAACTCGCGCAACCCAACTCAAAGTTACCTAATTATTAGTATGATTGCTACCGTACCGTACTAATTATAAACAGAAATGCATATCACACATTGTGCTAACTTGTCTTGATACCAATATCGACCGGCAGTCGAAATACTTATTACAGGTGACACCCACAAAACAATCTAATCAATCCTCATAGTACCTACCCCTTTCTGAAGGGTCATCATCATACCCCTGTCATGCGATGTTACAAATGTATAATTAATTGTTGTCTGAGATGTCCGCGGTGAACTCAATTCAAATAAAACTCCGCGGAGCAGTTTTCCCTCTAAGGTGTGCGCGTGTGCGCGCGCACACAGCTTTCAGGGTTTCACACAATTGCAGAATTGTTGCTTCCTATGAAAAATATCAAAATTACGTTTCAAAATTGTATCGGTATTGCCGATACAGACAAGTTATTGCGAAAGCAGTAATCAGTAATTATTTTATCACCACAAAAAAAAATACACTTCATGCTAACAATAGAAAGAAGAGACTTGAATATGGCATATCAGGGTGAAAGGTGGCGCGAGAAACCAAAACTGTTTAACGAGCAGCGACACCCATGATGTAGTCTAACAATAATTAATATATAAAGGAGAAAAGAGTCAAACAATACATCATGAAAAAAAAGTTTACAGCAGAACAGAAAACAAAACCGAATACATACAAAAATAAAAACTCCGAGTACCGTAACCATAGGAACGGCATTCCAAAGCCACAGCGGCACTCGTTGCATTACAAAGCCGTTTGTATGCTAATTGCAACTGTCGGGTCTTTAGTCTTTACTACTCCACAAAAATCGACATCACACTTACCTTCAATTAAAACTTGAATTTTCAAAATTGATTTCAGAGCTCGTTAAGAAGTGGCATTGGGCACATGCTGTCCTGTAAACAGCATAACTTCGAGACCACCTTTAAATGTAGAAGAGAATTGAAAAAGGCGATAAGAAAGCAAACGAGATTTCAGTGTTAAAGAGTAAGAAGCTAGAGAACAGTTTTTGCATAACAATTTTCCCTTTTCTTTATATATTGAAAACAATTAATATTTTTGTTACTCCCTTAGTAAGCGAACCAAGATGGTGGACACCGGGACGTAGTATATGAACCAGGTTTGGGTTAGGCCATAATTTCATATACAAATACTACGGGAGTCACTTGGCTAGTCCCGAACTCGTAATAGAACTAATTTAAGGAAAACTCGAATAAAATTATGGCGGTTCACATACTTCGGGAGTAACGAATAATGGTGTTGTTTCATGTTTCTTCAGGTCTGATTTTGGATTTCAACCGTATACCTTTATTAAGGTTTAGGCGTATGTTTCATCATATATGAATCATTTTCATTCGATCTTACAACTTTACAATTAACCAACATTTGGCATTACAATATATTATGTGCCTATTAGACCTCTGAAGGAGTTGATTTGGGGTTTACGCCGCCAAGGTACGTTCATTAGTACCAGAGAAATAAAACGCTAACTCATCGTTTTCTATCAATAAGAATTCCGCATATGTTATTGGACAGGCAGTTTACATACGGCTTGAATTGTTTTCGTTGTTGTTGCTGTCGTTACTGCTGACGTGAAGAACTCACAGTTGAAATCGCAAGGAGGCTATTACTTTAATCTTTTCACCTAATATTTTGCTTTTTCGTTTTAATTAAAAGGGAAAGCTTTCAATACGGTCTTTTTTGTCAACACGCAAACAAATGTGGTGTAGTGAGGGCAATCAAACATTAACTGGGAACTGTATATTTAACCAATATTTGAACAGCGCACAAATTCTAGACCGTGGGTTGAGCAGGTAAACCGTCCACTGTAATTGATAGTGAACATATAGAGCAGGGTGGGCAAGGGTCCCAAAAATATTGCCCAACTAGTCTGGAGGGCCATGTAAGGGTGACGTAAGAAGTAGCATTTACATGAACAATATTTACAGTATTACAAAGCAAGGATGGAAAACAATATGCCTCGTGCGAAAACTAAATTTAACTGCAATCTCAACAGATTCCTTGAGCTATTTTTAGCTAAAACATTAAAATTAGGTTTCAGTTTGGATGTGGCAGCATCAGGCGGGCCAGATTGTCTTACCCAACGGGCCAGATTTGGCACGCAAGCCGTACTTTGCTCATGTCTGATATAGAGTCTGAAAATTTTTCAGTAACTCCGAAATGCTTTCTATTTGGTCGATTTTTTTCAAATTCTACGTTCTGCTACAGGGTATACTCTACATTAAATCGATCAGCTGGAGTCCGTCCAAACATCAAATTAATGCTAATTTTCGACATCGCGCTATTTCCATTTTTAGATCGAAGGACGATATCAGATAATCATGTGGCTAATTTAACTTTAATGCCCTCCAGTTTCGTTGTATCAGGTAGTCAAGTCATTAGGTCAAAGTCAGTCGGATAATGTTTTGTTAAAGAGATGTAATTGTCGGCGGAATTTTTCAGTTGTATCAAAGTATTTGAAAAATGAAAAAAATAACCCCGAGGCATCAACGACTTTTCGGTCAAAACGTTCTACGTCTCATGATGTGACGACATTTGCAAATTCAGCAGCAATTTATGTTTACATTTGGCTGGCTGATGCGAGCAAGTCAGATTTTGCAGAGCATAGAATAATTTATATTACTGTATGTATATGTATTCGTCAGCAAAGGTAACGTTTGGTATCATTTTTTAATAATGATTTGGTTTCTGCGGGGCTAACTACTTATCCTTCGTCTATGTTTTTGTACCGATAAATCCGCATGCATATATATAATGCAAGGATGCTGAACTGCTTCACACATTCGTAGTCGTGCTGATACTTCTGTGCATCTTAATCATGGAGAGGATATCTTTTTACTATAAAATTCTTATAGAAAAGATTTTCACGGCCTAAATTTGGGCAAAAGGATAATTTTATTTACAAATCGAGGGTAAAATTTAGATAATCTTTATTGTAATGAGTTTACTTAGGATAGTTATCTTCACTCTTGCTACAGCAGTATATGCATACGGATCCACCGACACAAAAGCATAAAAGAAGGAAAAGTAGTTGTAATCTCGCAGAAACCAAATCATTGGCGCTATATTGTCATATTCGCTATTTTTTTAAGTCCACAAAGATTAACGCGGGTCAGCTGATATGTTGATCGGTATATTGTCTCTATTGTTGTTTGTATTAACTCTTTACTATCTCCAAATATGGTGGAAAGACAAGCAGCTTCCACCCGGACCAATCGGGCTACCATTAGTTGGATATCTACCATTCTTGGGACGAAACCCAGCCTTAACTTATTGGAAATTGTCGCAAAAATATGGCCCAGTATTTTCTATTCGAATTGGATCAAATACGATGGTTATTCTCAACAGCAAAGAAGCTATTATTCAGGTAATTTTAAAAACATTTTAATCTATAGCACTTTGAAAAATTAAATATAAAAAAATAGATTTCACTGAACTACATGGCAAAAAATCGGCGCTCCGGAAGTATTCGAACCAAGATGACGCACAACCTGAACCAAGATGACCCTAACCTGGTACACATACTATCTTCTGGCTGTGTGCCATCTTGGTACGAATACTTCGAGAGCACCAGAAAATCGGCATACTTTAAATATATAAATTTGAGTTGGGTTACAGAAAAACATTTGTGTTAGTGTGCAGCTGGACTCTTTAATTGGATAGAACTTTAATTATATACTTTATAATTTGAACGGACTGATATTCTAAAACATACTTCGTAAAGCTTTCAATTTTAGTCTTTCTCGGATAAAAAAGTGATGATGTGGCGTAACAATGTAGCATTTTTCCTAAGTTTATATACATTATAAGTGTTTGTGATGTGTTCATTCACAACCTTGCCGCAAACAAGGCCAGAACAAGAGGAAATGTTTGGCATATGGATCTGTCGTCTAATTCTCCCTCACTTTTCAGGCATTTTCCAAGCAAGCAAGGTTGACTGCCGACCGACCTTATAATCCAGTTTTACTCGAAATGTCACGTGATAAAAGTATCTCCATGACCAGTGGTCAACGTTGGAAGACGGGTAGAACTCTGGCAATGAAATTCTTTAAGAAGTAATGTGAATGAATTTTTTAAAGAACTATATAAAGTCAACACAAATCCCGGTGGAACATGCGATGACCCTACATTTGAACCCATACATTTGCACATATGAGGGTGCTAAAATCCATGGGTTAGGGTTAGTATGGGTTCAAATATCCGTAAAAAATTCCAGTGGTGCAATAGTATGCAGGTACAATTGTCGTGGGTTCAAATTACGGGTTCAAATGTACGTGGGTTCAAATGTAATGGAACCGGAACATGCAGCCAATTTAATCAGAAATTAGCAAAATTTACCTGTAAACGTCTATGGAGAACTGATTGCACTGCTCATCAAATTTATTTGCATGCATTTTAAATTACTTTGATTTTATTCCAAATTTGGATAAAATAAAACTAAATTAATTAAAGACAATCTGTTACATCTGAACTTTTTTTTCAAGTTTCAACAAACAAATGATTGAGCAAATAATAACTGAAGAATCTGAATATTTGTGCAACGCATTACGTGAAACTGGAAGCAAACCAATGAAAGACCACGTAAATTTTATTTCTGCTTCCTCTGGTAATCATTAACGATCGTACCTATTTACATACATGATAAAGTACATAAAGAGGGATAGTTTTAGATCCGTAAACGCAGAGTTTGTTCGAGATATTAACTATGTTCAGTTGCTCCACCAAAACTGTGGTTCCCAAATCGTGACCTGCGGGGCCAATTATGGCCCGCGTAACGATTTAATATGGCCCGCCGAACCTAAGTGAAATAGTTCAACACTTTGTTGTTGGTTTTTGCGTTCTAGATACCGCCAATTGTTACTTCATCATCACAGTTTAAGAGCGTGTATATTCGTAACAATTCAACTTTAACGGTAACTTAATTATATACACGTTTACCGGTACCGACATCGGTTCCTCGCGGCCGCTCCCCTCTCGCGACCCGCGAAAATCCTTCCGCTTCTAATTGTGGCCCATGGTCAATCAACTTTGGAAACCACTGCTCTAAAATCAAACTGTATAAACAAAATACTTTAAAATGAATTGCTTCCCTAGAGCAATAAATATGATATAATCCTTTATCACCCGTTTTTATTTTTCAGACCTTGTTTGCGAAAGTTGTTATAAATGTGACGTGTAGCATGTTGATTGGTACCAGATTTTCTTATGATGACCAAGGGTTGGGCAGACTGCTTTCATACACATCACAGTAAGTAATTCTATAAATAATCATACCTTCAATACATGTTATACTAAAGAGCTTTCTTCGTGGCCGTTTTATCGTAATTTGACTTAGACGTCAAATATTCTGCTTATGCACCTGCTACGGCCTCACGTTATTGGATTTGCGATTTTAAACGCTGTATGGGCGTTACATGCTGACGTAATAGGTTATAAATGACTCTGAGATGAGTTCCATAGTCCAGTTTCTCCTATGAAGGAATGCGAATGGTGCCGGTCAGCCGGGCGCCATTACGGCATTGATGCCGTTCTTTATAAAACTCTCATTCACGGCATGCCAGAAATTATTGAAGGTATACACAAAGTCTCAAATTTTTTTTAAAGGGCAAAGGGAATTCATCGATACCATATATTGTTTTAATCCTCACAGATGTATTAAATGAACTAACAATATTTGAACAATTTGTTAATAAAAAACAACAAACCTGATTAAGATGTATTGAAAACTGACTTCATAACAAAATTGAAAACTGTAAAGGGACTTTATGGACACCCTGTACATTACAGTATACCATTTTACCCCCGATGAATGAACGAACTCTCCACCCGTTGCGTGAATATTAGCAGATGTATTCGAGACAATTGAGTGAATTTGCAAATCTGTAGAATGGCTGAACATAACTATATGTGATTTATTTGAAATTGTTGTAACGTTTACTTCAGGTTGTCAGATGAATATGACGGTGATATTCTCGGGATACTATTGATTGCTCCTTTCGTGCGACACCTTCCCTTTTTCAAACAATCATATAAAAAGTTGTTACAGGGAGTAGTGATTATTGAAGGTAATGAAAGTTTCATTGATTAGTGATACAAACCTGAAAAATGTTATGTTGGTGCATAGTAGCGAAGTTGTCAAATGTGACAAGTCGAAATTATCTCTAATAGATATCGTATAAGATATGCATTTCCTGCGGTCAAAAAATATAGAATTCATGCCAACACAGCGGTGATGTTCAAAAGTTTTTTTAGAACTCATCCCACGGCTCCGTTTATGCTTCGAAAACATTGATTTAATCATAGATCGGAATAAAAATTATTTTCATTTGTTGCATTTATTAAGTAAGATTTATTCAAGCAAGTAAAAGTATGACTTCCGAAACGTTTTGAAAATCAAAGCAAATTTCAGGACGAAGCTGTTACGCATAGTTTCTAGCTAGACAACGCGTTGAAGGTAGAAAACAGTTTAAATTGATGGAAAGGAAATTACGCTCTCATCAGGTTTATTGAACGAAAATGTTTAGATACTGTATTTCTGAAAATTTCTCCTTTCATTATGTTATCGGTGCCTGGCATGGAATCATTTTATTTTTATTATTTGGAAAAAGTTCGAAGAATTTTCACTTATATTATTATTAGGAAAAGATATGTACGTCAATATTAATTGGACGTATAACATTATATCACAGCGGAAATGGATAAAATTATAAAGGAACATCGACAATCATACGATAAAAATTACTCTCGTGATTACGTCGATTTCGTTTTGAAAGAATTGAAGAGCAGCTCCACTCTCGATGACAAAGATTTAATTGAAGTGAGGATTTGCTTTGATGTTTTGTGTGTCTAATTTTTTGAAACAGAATAATTGTCGGTATGTGTAGACTGCCATTTTAGAAAGTGACGATCGCATACGTGGCAAAGTGATTTTAAACCAGCATAGATTTCGGTACTCCCGTGTGTGTACCAGGTTTGGGTTAGGCCATAATTTTTCCAATTTTCCTTATTTTACTTCTATTTCGAGTTCGGGCACTGTTTGTGTTAGTCAAGTGAATATACCCCTACTCATAAGTTTCAGTCCCTTTACACAAATTGATGTAAAGTAGGCGAACAAAATTAGTTACCTCCATATATGATATTGGTACACACACTTCTGGAGCGCCGAGATTTCTCCACTGTAATTTAGCATAACAATATAGTCGCTAATGTCATTATGTCGTCACTGGTATTCCATAGGTTCAGGATTATCAATGATGAGTCTTGTATAAAATTTGATAATCACTGAAATTTGTTGCCAAAAATGAAGCTCTTTTAGATGTCATGTGAACTTGTATGAAGAATGTAGCGTATTCATTGTTTTTTTTATTTTAAATTCGTTTCAAGGATCAAGACAATTATATACAAACAGCCTTCGATTTGATCGTAGCCGCTACAGATACGACTTCCAGTACTTTACGATGGTGCTTACTTGCGCTGATCATTTATCCTGAATGTCAGAAAAAAATTTCATATGAAATATATGATGTTATGGGTTTGTATTAACGTTAATGGAAACTAATTTTTGCAATAACCAAACCTGGAAGACCGAGATCTCTCGAGATATTTTACGTTGGAGTATTCATTCAAGGCCCTCGATTGTCCTCTGTATTGCTACCGTGTACGCTCTATGGCAGGGGTGTGCAAACTGCGTGCAAACAAGTGCCAATTTTGAATGGTGTGCCCGCGAAACAACTTTTTAGTTTAGTTAATCTGGTACGTGCGAGCAATTCCAATCCATTTGCACATTTTTTGTGCCTGAAACTATACCAGTACGGATATATATTTTAAAAAAGGTGCGGCCTGCGGCTTCACCCAATTACTTGGATCTGGCCCTCCTGTAATAAAGGTTGCACATCCCTGCTCAAATATGGCTTCAAATCTCATATAGACTGTAGTGGGCAAGATGTTTATTACTTGTCAAAAATAAAGAATGCGAAAGACTTGTTAACATATTAAAATAATAATATATATATTATACTAAATACATTACTACGGCGTTTTTCGTCGTCTTTCGCTAATTCAAAGAAGACTGTAGCTGATTTCTCTGATATTTTGCATACAAACTCAATGACCTTTTATTCAGCTATGTATTGTCTTTTGGTCGACTTCTTGGAATTGCCAGAACTAGCTCTGTGACAAACAAAATTCGCAATATAGCAACTTTTTTTAAACGTATGTATTGATCCTCAGGCAATCTGACGAAAATTTGTTCTTCACTTTATCATAATTCTACTTGCATATTGATTATAATTGTGATATTTTGATTGCGACAGGTTCCAGTGGGAAAATTGAAATGAAACATCAGGACAAAATGTCATATACTCGAGCCTTCATTCAAGAGATATTGAGATATCAGTCACCGGTACCTCTTGCTATTGCTCACAATACAACTGGTGAAGTCAACATTGTAGGATTCAAAATCCCGCGAAATACAATGGTAAGTACATCAGTATTCGATATGGGGGATATTTGGGTCTATGCCTTCTATCTATCGTTGTATGTGTATTTATGCTACGACTTATTATATAAATCAGTAGTTTTTCACGCATAGCGTTTAATTAAGCAGAAAGCCATAATGATCTACAATCTACATCTAGGTATTCCGTCAATATCAATAGTTCCCAAGCTTTTTAATCCGCGCCCATTTTTGGAATTTCAACTTTTGTTTCAGATTGTTCCGAACCTTTGGGGTTCACAACGCGATCCTGCAATTTTTCAGAACCCTGATGAGTTTCAACCAGAAAGATTCATCGATTCGGATGGGCAGTTTGTAAACAATGAAAATTTTGTATCATTTTGCATTGGAAATCGTCACTGCGTTGGAGAGCAGATTGCCAGAATGCAATTATTCATATTTATTACAAATATTGTACAAAAGTTCAAAATTTGTGCGTCGAAGAATGAGACTTTGCCATCTTTCGACGAAGGAGTGTTTTCAATTGGCTACAGTCCTCATGACTTTGCAGTTGAATTTCATCAAAAATAGGTTTCAATCATAGCGCGATTTATATATGAATAGCTTATTGAGATGGCGTCAAATAACAAGAGCAAAACAACAAAATAAAACGATAAAAATGTAAATGGCTTCGTTAATTCAATGTTGTCCTTTCCGGCTTATTCTTCTTGCGCCTAGTATGAATGTATTCTGGGAAGCTCAAGCAAAATAAGCACTTCAATCTGTATAGCTTATAAAGAATTGCGTTTAGATTGAATATAATTAGGAAAAATATCTCGCAATTATTCAAATTCCATTATGAAATACCAATATATCAATGACAACATTTAATACAAGAGTTGTTGAAATTATGATGTTTGACTAGAAACAACAATTACATTTTTTCCAAGTAAATTATTTACACATTTCCGGCGAAAATTAATTCGGCCAGTGAAGCGAGGTCAACCATTACAGGCTTTTCGAAAACTTTCTGGATTGAGTTTTATCCATACATGAGGCGAACTATAATGCGCAACCGGTACTGGTAATGGTTTTGAGTGTAGGCACTGACGGGCCATGTAAGTGTGACGTAATAAGTTACATTTATGAACAATATTTACAGTGTTACAAAAGCAAAAGAGAAAAACAATAAGCCTCGGGCCTAAACTAAATTAAATCGCAATCCCAACAAATTCCTTGAGCTATTTTTTTTTAGCTAAAACATCAAAATTTGCTTTTAGTTTGGTTGTGGAAGCATCAGGCGGGCCAGATTGAATAACCCAACGTGCCGGATTTCACCCGCGAACAGTAGTTTGTCCATGTCAGCATTAGACGCTTCTACTCATTTTTGAGAAAATCAGTATTTGAAGCGCCGCCTCATGGTCTGTAAAGTACCTTTTTGTCATTACTAACTTTTGTTGTAGGTGAATTTGGTCGGGGATGTTCAGAATATTTTAAAGTATTCAACTGCTCACATCTTCGCTTGATTACTGTAAACTTTGATTGATGCATTGATTGAACAATTAAATTTGCATGCTTGCTACGTGGCTTCAATATTACAACAAAAAATATATAATATTCAATGAAATATGCTGTAAACTGCTGTTGCCATCTCTGCAAACCTGAATATAATATACAGTTAGATGTCGTTATATCGACAAATAGTAAGACTCGCACGGCCGAGAAAACGCCGTTTTGGATAATAAACCGTATTTCTGTTCTAGCAAGCCGTTTGAATATCGACCATGCAGGTTGAGCAATACAGTTGATTGATCTCTAACTTCATCAGAAAATTGATGAAACTGATGATTACAAATTCTTTGCAAAGGATATATTATATATAGTAAATTGAAGTTTCAAATTTTGATTTAATCATCTAGTATGTGAGTATAAGTTGGCGATGGTATGGAAATGAAGTGACTTAAGCCTCGCGTCGTCTGCAAACTTTATCTAAACACTACCAGCAACTATTTGGCTAAAAGCACAGGCTCACAGAAATGCTCGCAATTTCAATTGTTTTTTTTTTTCTTAAAACTTTCTAGTTTAGAAATCGCAGGTATTTTAAATGCGGATTAGATTGGCCATATTCTCCACATAAAAAAATCCGCAAAAGGGCTTCAAATTTATATATAACGAAATGCTGCTAGTCAGAAAACTCTTTGAGGCGATTGTGTTTAAAATGTTCTGGATTTACCATATACACCGACAATTAAACAAATTTCCAGATGGACTAATCCAGTGCTTGTCGCGTCCCTGTGACCAGTACCGGATTATGGCCTTTAAAGGCATAATATATATAAATTGTAACTAGTGTTATGTGTTATCTAAAATTGAAGTAAGTTTCAGTATTCATACATACTGAAGGCCAAATTATGATTAATTCACATGATATTTTTGGAAATATTTCTCATACCTACAAACATTTATAAAGTAGTTCAAGATGATAATTTAGTTATTCCAAACATGCCAATTTTGAGGTCCGAATCGTCTGACCAATCATTTCGTTAAACACTGAAGCACTATGGTGCCCTAAGCACGTGCTTATTTCGCTCAATGGTCAAATCAGCCCTGGCAACAATATCCTTGCATTATTATGCGCATGCAAATTAGAGATGTACCGATACCACTTTTGTCGCCGATACCGATACCGATCCGATACCAGCTAAAAAATCCGATACCGATATGCCGATACTACAGAAAGGCCGATATTACCGATATTCCGATACCGATACTATGTAAATATTACTTAATTAGGTGTGCTGTGTAGGGCAGACGGGTTAAAACAATGGTCTTTGAGCGTTGTTCATAGTACACATTATTTCAGATCGAAAAAAAAAATCACATAATATGAAATTAATGCTTGGTGTTTGCTTTAACTGATTAAGATACACTGTACAGTAACGCTAGTAATCTCGGTGTTCAATTAGAAAACTCATAAGCCGGGATGTTCAATTTGAATTTAATGTTAATATCGCGACCTTCGAATATCGTTATTCGTGTTTAAAAAAATATCGAATATCACCCACACATTCTAGAGCCGCCGTCCTACGTTCAAATTAAAAGCATTTTTCAAATATTTTATTTCGTGGCTAATCGTAATCGTCGACGCAATAAGTCAAAGCCAACATGAAAGAATATCAATCAGCACCGACCAAAAGAAGGCCTACATATAACCGTCGAGGATGTTTTTTTACTTTACTATTTTATATTATTATACAATTGCCATCATATATTTTGAGACAGTCTAGGCCCTCTGGGGCTAGGCGGTCATGTCAATATATCTATAAAGAAATTGTGTAGTTAAACAAAATTAATATCTGCGTAGAGGGATAATTGTGTCGGAATTTAGTTTATCGATGTCGTCGGACTAAATGACACTCGTTCTTGACGACAAACAGTCAGAATTTATACCCGTGCCAAAAGTCCATGTGCCGTTAATAAGGACCCCAATTCCACTGTATGATTTAAAACTGGGCGCCTAATTGCTTTTTGTTATGTGCCGTGTTGATATATTTCTTTATAATTACTATGTAATATAAAGCATGTCAATATAAAAATTTGACAGCGAAAATAGCTAAAAATACGTGAATCCTATTCTCTCGCGGGGGTAGGGACATGTATGGCTCATAGATCACGATCTCTTCAGACAAAAAATAAATTAAAAATTGGTATTCCAACTTATCTTTTAATACATTCTGGACCATATCAAAAAGGTAAATATATCGGAAATATCGGCCTTAATCTAACCGATACCGATACATGGCCGATACCGAAAAAATGGCCGATATTGCCGATACCCGATACCGATACATCGGTACATCTCTAATGCAAATCCGTCAGCATAATAGAGTAAGACTAAATAGAGTTAGTCTCGCGTTGTAACCCGAACTAATACCTTTAGTAAAACGAACATTAACAGTATTGAAAATTCGGTGACGCTTTTAACAGTATTTAAGTTAGGTTGAAATGTTATTTAAACGTTCAACGTCTGACCCTTTTAACGGTATCGAAGTTACGGTGAAATGCTATTCACGCGTTGAACGACTGGCGCTTTTTAACAGTACCACATTACTGTCAAAAAGCGCCAGTTGTTAAATGTTTTAAATAGCATTTCATCGTAACTCCAATACTGTGAAAAAGTCGTTTAACGTTTATATTCCCGGTGATATATCGTCAGTGCTGGATGATGATTGAATTGAAACAGTAGAAATGCAGTGTTCCACGAGTTCATGCGTGTTTCACGAGTACTTATACAACCGTGAATAAATAATAATACAGCTGGATATCGATTTCTCCGTTGTGTATTAAGACAATGTTTTCAGTTATACCACCGTGTTTGCAGTGTAGCGAATATACATTGTGGGTTGATAGTCTTTATCCCTAAGACCCATCATCATCTCTTTCTCCCTATAGCAGTGTGTGTTTATGTTACATTAACGATACATGTTCATCTTTTTATCAAGTGTGTGTAACGGAACATATATTTCTACGTGTTTGAACATTACTGAAATTTCGCCAGTTTTACCAATATTCTGATTCTGTGTGTCCATTATTTTATGCATGTTTTCCGAGGAAATCAAATAAACGCATACTATACTTATACTGTACTTTGATTTCGTATATAGGTGCTCGTTTTTAAATTTGAAACCTGGTCAAATAAAGTTGTTTTGTTTTACATATATTTCGTCACAATACAATATATCTTCAATATGCCGGAAGTTGGTAATTAAGTCCTTTGCTAGTCATATATAGCAGTGATATAGAAAGCTTAGCAATCGCGCTCACATTTTAAAAAGCAGAAGTTGATATGCTATGATAGTTACCACCCTCGATCGATGTTGTCACAAACTCGAATCTTAGTTTACACTGAAAAACGGAACGTGACTATCGAAGGTTTACTGTCGGTCAGTTACTCGACGTTTCAATCCATTCCGATCCTCACGCTGCTGTCGTACGAACGCGGGACGACAATAATCTCGTCTCGCATTGCTTTTTTCAAATATCTTGTATCCAACTGATTCTATGTTGGATTTCAAGGGAAATTAGGATTAATACGGTAACATTTCACAGCGTCGACGAATAGACAGATTTATTTGGTATTACCACCCTGTTTGTCAGATTAGATAGCTAGATTTATTGATTTGTCAACCAAAAACAAACAAATGAAAGAAAAAATACAACAAAATAGCACATTGTCAACTGTTACCAAACCTACGAAGCGAACTCCTTCCTGCGTCAGAGAGAGAGAGAGGGATTTTATTTCCGTCATGTTTGCAGTTCGTATCATATTTAATCGAGTTGCCATGTATTTAAATTCTGAGTATGTCCTATTGCTATTACGGACAAGTTGGAATGAAATCACGAAACTATCATATTGCAATTGATTTACAAGCTAAGATCAGAAGATAGGCTACCGGTAATTAGTTTTATTTTAAATGCTTATTAAAGTTGAACGGTCCATTTTGCATTTTAAAATGAATTACTGTGTTTGAAGGTAGACTACCTACCTTCAGACCTTTGGACATTGCAAGCGACAGGGAAGAAAAGTTAATACAGTAATATCAGAATATACGGTACGGTACCTAGTCTAGTACTGCAGTACTTGAGTTGTTTGTCTTTCAGTGTGTACCATAGTAGACTACTTAAATACTAAGGAAATAAATTCTGAAATTGTATTATATGAACTGACAGGCCGGCAAAGGACTGAATACAGGAATCATGGTATGTCTGTATGTCCAGATGTCCATGTCAGTATGTGGTCCTAAAGTTATAGCAAATTTATTGCACCTGGACAATTACTATTTATGGAACAGATTCATTATTGCTTCGAATTCATCATATTCTGAATAGCTTTTGAAACTTCTGAAGATTGGTAAAATTGATCAAGATGTTGAAAAATGTTGATTAAATGAATAACTAAGTTTCTCATCGTGTTTAGTGCTTTTTTATTTCAATTTTTGACTCATTTTAAATCTTCGTGTCGCAGGCTTATGATGACCATTTTGTGGTTCTTCACGACTTCCTGTCAATTGCGATGAAATCCGTTACTGTATTGTATTATAATTTGTGTATGATTTCTTGCATGACAAAATGAACGTATTGTCTATTGCTGTATTGTCAATTGAATTTTGCAAAATACAGAAATATGTTTATGGTGGGTTACCTATTTAAGTTAGTCTACCTATTTAAGTTAGTCTACTATCAAACCATAGAATTAAGGTAAAATAGTTTATATTTGATCTACACTACACTAAGTCTCCATGTAACCTGCCAACTTTTACACCTTCTTGAGTGTCTTATAAAGATTTGATAAAAGTCTATTCCAATTCCTGATTTAGTTAAATATGGATTTCTCGACTCCAGTCACATTCAACTGTTTTAAAAACAAAAATTTTGTTCTAAATATTTCATGCCGGTGAAAATAAATATGATATTAATTTTTTTTTCTTGTGACACAAAATCTTCGAAATCCCTGTTGGCGTCAAAATATGACATTTTATCATACTTATAAATAATGCAAACACTTTTATCTTGAAAAATTTTACATTTCTGCATTCAGAGCAACGGTGATGTGTGATTCTGATTTGTGAGTTGCATGAAATGTAGATGAAATCTTTCTCAGTTGATGTAGTGAACTGCTTCTTTCCAACTAGAGTTAGTAATGACTCCGTGTATGTAGCTTTTAACCGACATTGTGTTCCACCTTCTATTTCATTTTTTGATGTTGTTTATAAAATTTAGAAGTTGTAACAGAAATATGTGTTTGTTATATAGTATAGTTTTGAAACATTGCTTTGCTTATAAAATGAATAGGCCTACCTACTCTATATGGTATTACAGTATATTATTATTTTATTGAACTCAATTTGTCTTGTAAAAGTCCTTGATATTTGTATGGACACAACACAATAACTACCGTATATATTATATTTCACAATAAAACTATCAGAAATAAACATAACGTACCGGTAGTAGATAATCACCCGCTATAGGCATTTATTTTTAATAATGTTTCTAAGTGAGAATTAGTGATAAAAACCTCAGCTTTGGTGATTTTTGATTCTTTCCTTTAAATAATTTCCCCATTATCTTTTTATTCGAAGCCCCAGGCTGTGGTTTAGTTTATATCCGAGTAACGTGATATTTGAAAGATGAGGTTATAAGTTCGAGCGATTGTCTAAAAATAATTTGGACTTTCAACGCATTGCAGATCTTAATCTGAACGTGGATTATTTAATTCAATCCTCGCATACTGTTTTTGGTCAGTAAAAAGTGTAAATCAAAAAATTTACGAATCAGTAAAACTTTCTATTTCAATTCTGTCAATCAGAATTCAGAATTTCTATCTCAGTTTTTACTTCAACCTTAAATGGGATACTTACGGTATATATTAAAGATACTACTTTAGCTTTTTTGGAAATATTCAGAGAAATAGCGACTGAAAATGAGGGAACTTAATAAAAAAAAAATTCAACTACTTTACTTTACTACTGAATTTTTTTTTTTGTTAAATTTAAAGTTAATATCCGTATTTTATGTAATTTCGTACAATGGAAGGGCTTGAAATATTCGAAGATGATATGTAGACACCTAATTAGATACGAGCATTCCTATTTGTATTGATGTATTGATATTTTAACCTGCCGTAGTGTGTTTGTATGATAATGAGGTAATTTTAGGCAATATTCTCTTGTCAACAACAATCTCCCAATGGGGATTCTAATTAGATTGTCACACATGTGGGTAGTTTATTGGTTTATTGATATCTATTACTATATTTGAGAGAACCTTCCTTTCCTAGTAATTGGAATATTTAGTTCACTTTGAATAAATTATAATCCATTTCTTAATTTAATTGCCTTAATCATTACAGATTGTTTAGAATGTTAGCAAAAAATTCAATATTATTATGTGATGATAGTTTTATTTAGAAAGTATCTTAAATGGAATCTACATTGGATGTTGTGAAGTTCAAAAAAGAATCTGATAACACATCAAACATTGATGATGCTTTGAATATTAAAATTGCTATGAATGAAAAGAAAATTTCCAAAGATGTACGAGAAACTGATTCTGATGTTTTATTCGTGCATGGAAGATCATCTAGCCTACCAAGTGCTCGTTCCTTTTCTCCGAGATCTGAGGTTGACAGAAAAGGATATTCTCTTGATTCAGGACATCCAATAAGTTTAGGTCAGCCGTTACATCCAAGACACAAGACTGAATCAATGAAATATGGATGGTGGTGCCTTACTCCGTATTGCCTCCAACATCTGCTCAATAATGCCAAAGCTTTTGTTTTTCTTGTTACTCTCGCCAATGTTTTTCAGGGTGTTATTGTCAATGGTTTGTTAAAGGTAAGATCTGAGATATTGGTGTTTTTTTGTTATTCACACTTCTGCACTTACGTATATAGGAGAACAAATATCCCCGCTTCTCTAAGCTCAGTATATGATAAAAGAATATTTGTCTGGAACCTTGTTTGGATTGAGGGTATAGAATACATTATGGAAAAAAACACAATATTTGTGTTATCTTGCGTTTTATATTAAAATAATGATTATTGAAAAATCAAGAGTGAAATAAATAATTCTAAGAGAAAATAACTCACTTTATCCCAGTATATGACCTGTTACAATATGTATTTTTAATTTAGGTAAATGTCACTACAATCGAACGTCGATACCGTTTACTCAGTTCTGAATCTGGTTTCATCATCAGCAGTTATGATATTGCTGGTTGTCTCTGTCTGTTGCCAATGAGCTATATAGGTAAAACAATTGTATACATAACATAATTTTAAATTCAATTTATTTCACTGCTCATTCAATAATTTTGTGCACTTGAGAATATTTTTCTAGCACTTCGTCATGTAAATTTTTTTTATGCTTCTTGAAAATCACAATGATGGCGATGATTTTCTTTGAGTGAATTGTTATAGAAGTTTGTCACAGATTGATAGATGATTCGTTTAGAACCTTGCCATAATTTTATTCCGATTTTCCTCATTTTAGTTTTATTACGAGTTCAGAGATTGTTTGTGATAGCCAAGTGAATATACCCCCTGCCACAGGCTTCCGTCTCTTCACACAACTTGATGTAAAGTAGGCGACCAAAATTAGTTACCTCCGTATTGGTAAACATACTTCTGGAGCGCCGAAATTTCTTAGTTGAGTAGCTACACTGGGTGGTATTACATGACACATTTTCTGAAAAATAACATTATGCACTTTTAGTGTTTTGTACCTTCTTATTTACGGTTAACATTTCCAGGTGGTCGTGGTCACAAACCGAGATGGATAAGCATCGGCGTTTTGATGTTGGGACTTGGATCTCTTATTCTTGCATTGCCACGATTTTTGATTGGACCTTATCAATATGAGGGATCAGTGTATTCGAAGATTTCGAAAGATGAAACGAACGGATTATGTCAACAACGCTTGGATGGAAATGTTCCCAATGATAGCAACAATGATGTTATGGATGGTAGGTGTCTCATTTTATGTTCAACATAATGTGTTAATTAGGCATCAAAATTTATTCTTGCGATATTGATTTGGTTTCTGCGGGACCAAGTGCCGGTTATCTATATGCATATATTACAAGAATGAAGATAACTATTCTGATTCAAGAGTCTTGCTCTAACACAAACATATTTCTGTAACGTTTCTTCATACTTCCTGTTATATACATAATTCACCTATGTTTCAGAAATATATGTGTGTTAGTATGCAGCAAGACTCTTAATCACTCCTTTTTAGGAAATTATGACGTATTTCTAGATTCCTAATAATGACTATTTCAGATCTTTGTGACGGTTCTCATTTGAATGATGTTTATCTTAAACAAATGAAGTATGTTTTCATGTTGGGACAGTTTTTCAATGGCATCGGAAACACTCCACTTGGTGTTCTGGCCGTGACGTTCATTGATGAAAATGTTGACAAAAGGGTTTACCCAATTTATATTGGTAAGTAAACTGGAGCCATTTATCGTGTCAAAGGCAGCACTGTCGGAGTATTCTAAGAAAAATTAAACAAAACAAATTATGTCATAATGTTTGTTTTGCAATGGGGGTCAAGTCAACTCTTATTAATTAATGCTGCACAAAGAAAATGAATATATTCTGTTGGTTGTCTACGAAAAGTTATTGCAACACCCCTTATTAACATATCTTACTAGTTTTTATATATACTATTTCTCTATACTTGTATACTTATCTTACTCTCTCATTAGAAAAATGATGTGATTTACATTAATGTATGGGAACCTCAAGTACAAAGGAAATGTTAAAAGTGTTAATGAGATGATTTTTAAGTACAGGAACTTAATTAATCTCAACCACAAAATTGCTTTAAAAGATTTTTTTATCTTCAGGTATTTATTACATGGGAGCTCTTCTTGGACCAGCTTTCGGATTTGTTCTAGGAGGTCAGCTACTGACATCGTTCACAAATCTAGGAGAAATGTGAGTATTATTATTGTTGTTGTTGTTCAAAAGAGTGATATATAAAACTGATTTTATTGTAATATTCCCTTCCGAACAATATTTCAAGTGTTATATTCAAATTGAATAGTTTATATAGATAAATAGCAATCTATCCAAGTTACAACCTTATATAGTTTTAATACAATTTAAAATCACTATTTTCGGAATGCACTTTATTTCTTTACTGTGCGTGGGTCACATTGATCCAGTGATAAGCTGTGTCTTTAGTTTGACATGCTGCCAACACAATTCCCCTGGGGTGTGCAGGGTCAGCTCATTTTTTTATCTTGTCAAAATGTATTAAATTGTTAGTAGCAATGCTATTATGTGATAAGTTTTTTTCACAACACAGTATCGCTACCTATCCAGGCGCTTGGCATGTTTAGAACCTGATTTGAATTAAATCGAAAAACTGAGGCTAAAAACTAAAATAACATTTTCTATTACTAAATTACACAAGGATTAGGTATGTACCATGCAATTAATAGTCGATTGTAATGAATTTGGTTTAAAAACTACTTCAAAATGTTGTCAATAGTAGAGGTACGTGGGGGGGGGGGGGGGGGGGGGGTTGGGAGTTCAGTCATAAATTCTATTTGTATTCCTTGTTTCCTTTTTTCTTAGTGGCAAACATTCCCATTTATTACTGGTATGTATTTAATGTGCTATTAGATTTGTTTACAATGCAGTTGCTAAGTATTGAAACATGACCTAAATAACTAATAACCAGTAGTAAAGAAATTAGCACAAGCTTGGCAATTTTCACACCGGACTGGAGATGAAATATGGCTTTGGTCAAAGCTGTGTAAACAATTTGATAATTTCGGAGAGTTAAGATGAAATGCTTAATAATGTGTGTGTGTTAGGAATTATATCGCCGGATGAGAACAGAAGGGGCCTAAGTCACATTTTTGGAAAATTGACTTTTTTCAATATTTTGGGGTTTTGAGCCATGCACTACAAGGTGGTGGTCTTGAAATCCTAAATTTCTCAATAATAAAAATTTTAGCTGGACTTAGGCCTAAAATATTTCAGAACAGAATGGGCCTAAGTCCAGCTAAAATTTTTATTATTGACAAATTCAGGATTTCAAGACCACCACCTTGTAGAGCATGGCTCAAAACCCCAAAATATTGAAAAAAGATAGTCTTAAGTTCCAATATGATGGGCATGAACATCAGAAATGAAATGTCCGAAACTTACATCCCTAAAAATTTGTTCAGTGCAACTTAGGCCTAAGTCACCTTGTTTTACCTTGCATCCCATACAAAAAATTTCAGAAGTTGTTGAGAACAGAATGGGCCAAAGTTTCTTATGGGGGTAAAAAAGCAGGAAGGAATTGAAGCTGAAGTGCCAAAAAATATTGATTACAAAGATATTCACATCCACATTAAAATAACCAGAGCTCAGGACTTTACTAAGTGTGAATATCTAGAAATTCGAAAATAAAAAAATTCCAAATTGTTTTTTGCGTTTTTCTCAAAACTCAAAATTGTGACTTAGGCCTGTTCTGTTCTCATCCGGCGATATGTAAATTGTTGATTGAATTTAAACACTATCATAATAAACTTAGCTGATTCAGTATTTACGAATATGAAATGAACTCCAGCCGTTGTCTGTATTTTAAGAAGCACAATGTTGACATGATGCATGATGTAGCATGAACTGATTTACCCCTCAACCTCTGACCTGTTATTGTAGTCAGGAATTTTAAAAATTCATGGACACATAAACCAGGTGCTTTATCAGAAAACCTAAGTTCGAGTTCATCCTTGGTTCCTTACATGTATTAATTTACTTCCAATAATTTCATGTGACCAAGTTCATGCTTTTAAACAAAATTTTACTAGGTATATACTGTCTGAATGGGTTGATGTTTAGAGATGCCGATATTGTTAATTTAGTTGTTTCATATTCTTATCAATCTACAAGCTAGGCTTACATGAAAATGAAGTATTTTTGTATTAATTTGAGGAGTGTATCTAACACGATTTCCACGGTCTGAATGTTAAACACAATGCATGACTATCATGTTTATTGGAAAGTTGTCTGCGGTTTGCAATGTTTCCAATCAACAAATTCTGCTGGGTATATGTGTATCCTGTATATTTAGGCCCTTGTTTCTGAAAATAGATTTCACTTACTGCTTTTGGTGCTTTTTTCACATCTGCATCCTGTTTACAAATTCTCTACTCAAGTACATAGAGATAGGCTGATTGAGACAACTGGCGCCATTCTGACTTTTATGATGCAACAGTTATAAATAATTTGTATGAAATGTCATTGCTTTGAGAAAATCCTCCCAGTTCAGACTGCTTTGTCTGAAAATTAGATTAAATATTCAAATACATTCAAAATTACTTGTATTCCATGAAATAAAATATTGACTGATATTTTTATTTTCAAAATTTAATTTGCTGATTTTTGGCATTCTTATTCAGACCAACAATTATATATCTAACTCATCAAGACTGTAAGACTAATAAAAACAATGTCAAGCAACTTTCATCAAGCTTTATAAATATATAATGATAAAGCATAATAAATATATAAACATATAAATTTGTGCACATTTCTTGTTGTCCAATTTAGATTAAAATGAATATTCGCAAATTAAATTAAAATTAATTCAGAAAATTACATTCTATTTTTTTGCCATCCTCGTATTGAATAATTTGTAACATCGGATTAGTATACTCGTTTTGAGTGCTGTAATATTAATTAGTTCATACTTAATTTAGGATAACCAATCTTGTCATAACCTGCTAAATTGATGTTGTTAATTAATATATTTTTTTGATTGACAAGTTGGTAATTGCTCTCAACTCATTTGGGAACACAGGTGATAATTTGACATGAGATTCCGCTGTGTACTTCTATCAATAAAACCAATATACCAACGTTTAATTGACACCTATAACCTTCTAGGAATAAATCTGGTAAAGCAGTGGGGATATCAATTAGTAATGCACCGATAAAGTACAATATGTCATAGGAATTTGTGATTTTTGGTAAAGCAGCAATGTGACAATTAAAATTTCTTATTTGCCTCATATAACAATGGTTGAGTTGTGTGTAATCACTTTTGATGATTTATCGATTTTTTATGAATTAATTATTTACAATGTACAATGTGCATTCACACATTCGTATTCGCGGCATTATACATTTGATTATACAGAACATAGTGAATCAGATATACCGGTAATTCTAATTGCCGTACTTTATTCAAGTTGGTGAGAGGAAAAATTTGTTTCTAAAGTGGGAATACTTTATACAACTTGGCCATAGAAATACATTTAATTGCAAAATATGATTATTTCAGATCATTTCTTTAGAATTCATTTTCACATCAAATACTTTGAATAAATCTTGTTTTTGCTCCAATACAATCTGACATAAATCATACTTTGGTGCAAAAATGGAAAATTTCTAAAATTATTATGATTTCGATATTCTGAATTAATAAAAAAAAATATCTGCTTCGAAAAAATTATATTATATTTCTTTGAAGTAAATTTTCAATCCAATTAATTAAAATACTGACAACCTGCCTCTTACAATATTTACCAATAGCTCAACATTTGTAATCAATTATGCAGTGTTCAATAGTTCATTAACCAATTACTGCTTCTTTTTTAATTTTTATGATCAAAATTTTGGGTTTCAATCTCATCTTGGAGTATTCTAAGAGCTTTGTTGTTATTATACAAGGTTTAAGATTATTTAATTCAGTGATTATCTGTGATTATCCTGCCTGTAGGAAGATTGATCTTAATATTTTGTACACACAGGATATTGATTCTTGCTTTATAAAATTGGATTATAAAATCAAATGCATTTTGATTATGTTGCAGATAGTTCTTCAAATTCTTCAAAATGGGTACTCCCGTAGTGTGTGTAACCAGGTTAGGGATAGGCCATAATTATATTCCAATTTTCCTTATTTTAGTTCTATTACGAGTTCGGGACTGTTTGATGTAAAGTAGGCAAAAAAAATTAGTTACCGTACCTCCATAATGGTACACTATACAATATTCATACTTCTGAAGCGCCAAAAATTTTGTTTATTATTTATATTTTGTTAATATGTTTAGGTTTGATAATCGTTGCTAATATAGCTCCTTTTTGTGGATGGCAATTTTAATCTTGAGTTTTTTGAAGTTTTTTTTCTCGCGTTCATTAACCAGTTTTAACCTTCTCATGCAACTTAGTCACATGTCTTTTTGCTTGTTATATTTTCAGGCCAGAAGATATTTCACTAGAAAGTCCTAAATGGATTGGAGCCTGGTGGGTGGGATTCATCATCGCTGGCATTGCCACAGTGCTCTTGTCTATCCCACTGTTCGGTTATCCAAGGATATTATCCAGCCATCCTAGAAGAAGAAAAGTTAGACATGGTTGCTGCTACACTGCATGGTGGAGAAATTGCTCAATTGATCAGACTGGCAGTGAAACTACTGATGAAGATGATGAACACCATGGAAAATATTATTCCAAAAACAGTAAGTTAAAAATTATGTTGATATTTTTCAATTGAGGATAAATTGTCATTTTTATTCCGGGGGTGAATTAGGTCGATGGAATAGCTCAATCATATGGAAAGCCACGCCTTCTCGTCCTCTTATCAGTCCAAGTCTAATATGGGATGTTGGTCAGGTATTTGTTTCAGATGCTGGACTTGGTGGTGAAGGAAACCATAGATGACCAGGGGTCAAGGATGCGGAGTCTAGCAATCCTCTCGGCTTGTGCACATAATTATCCCAACGGATTCCCACAGAATTAGAACTAGCATGTCCGTGGAGGGAAATCAGAGTTGCGATGGCAATCGCATTCCTTAATAATAAGCTTAGTGCAATGCGCCAACCGCCTTCAATTTATATTAGCTAGATTAAACGTTTTTGCAGCTTTTTACAGCTATCCTACTGGAAAGCTATTGCTGTTTTTATTTATTTTTCAAATTCAAATTGATATGAACGTCTTTGTAGTATTCTACATTCTTAATTGAATGTAGACCGGAATGACCGTTTTGCTAATTTGTTGATGTTCTCAGAGCTATGTTCTCTTCAAACTATGCGCAATATACAAACCCCTGTATAAAGACGAATTCAGTTTGTCACTTTATCTAATTAGCCTTGTTGTGAGAATGGAATTTTCTTGTTCGATAGTAATAGAATTCATAGTTTGTTCTTATCGATTCCCGATTTCAATGTTCAAAGCCTGACCAACCAATCACATTAATAATGCAAATTGAATTCGTAGCAAGTCGCAAGCACTAATTACACTTAAACCAAGCGTAATATCTTCATTTTCAAACAGTCCCTACTTGTACCCAATGTGACATGTTATTAAAAATCCAATACTGATGATGAAATTACCTGGCCTTATAGGTCACACACTCAAATCAGTTATATGTCAGCTGATTGAAAATAAATTGACAACAAAAACAAACCTATTTGGGTCACTCATGCTGACTTTTGATGGGAAAAATTACTAAATCGAACTTTTGCATCCTATAATTTTTGTATTACTGGCTTGGCTATGTACTCATAGATATTTTAAAAACCAAAGCTTCATCATTGATTACAAAATTTCTAGCTTATTTATTGATAAAAGCTCAATTGTATCACTTTATTGCTGTGAATAATGGATCTCACTGTGTAAATTATCATTTTCTTGTAAATTGTGCTTGTGTTATTTTTTTAATGGTTTGAAAATATAAACTTGACTTTTTTTGGTAGAATGGTTTAAAATTTTGCTTTATTAATTTCTTGGAATTTGACAATAATAGCCTATCCAATAATATGACATAAAATCGCTATTTACTATGACTTACCGTATATAACTAATGATCATTTTCACTGTTTATTTTTCCAAATGGGTTAATTTAGTAAACAACTTAAATGAATGCTCAAATTACTGATCCAATTTGGAAATGATTCTGGACTAACAATTATACTCTAACAATACCAAAGGAAAATACTGAATCATATGGATAGCAAGACTTTGCAGCCTTCAGCTGTCTGAATAAATATCAAATTTGTCGGTGGACAAGCGTGACAGAATAAACTGTTTCCATATTTGATGAAATGAATTTATGTGAATTAAAATAAAACAGCAAAATTTAGTGCAAAATAGGTGTTACTGGGATTCTCAGGAAATTAAAAAAGTTAATAGTCTTATAGCAGCAATGAAAATTTCTATTCGCTTCGTCCGTTAGTGAAGATCAATCTTTACACAACAACAATATTCTCGACCATAAACCTGACCACAACAAGATTTTCCATAGGCCACCTCCACAGCAAAGAAGTAAACACAGTATCATACCTTATTATCACAATACATACCCATAGGCGCTGTTGTTGAAATTGGAAAGATTTGTTTTGATTCAAACCCAGCTATTTTGGCATGCCATTGGTTGGTTTACAACTTGCGTAACTTTTTAAGTGCATCATTTGTTTTGCAACTCAGTTTCCAATGCCAGTAACCACAAATGAAAACATATAAATTCGTTTCCTGCCTACTCATTTATTTTTAGAAAATTGATATTTTCTAATAACGTAAGTCTCCCACGCAACACAGACCGTAATTGTTTTATGTAAATAAAACGCTAATATAATCCTCTTTTTTTTGCGAAATCTTTGTTTGAAAACAAATTCTATATCGGCAACTAAATCTGGTTCGAAGTTATTACTCATAAAATATTCAGAGTTTCGTTGAATTTTAGATTCTCATATTTCACGGTTTTGCATAATTTATGTTTAGGTATCAGACTACTTAAATGTTTTGGCAACATGTGTATTGCATGACACGGCATGAACTTTATTAGAAAGAAAATCAATCCAATTTGATATATGAGCTCAATGTTAATAACCTGTTATAGAAAAAAGTAATTTTGCCATGAGGTTTTTAATCAGGTATCTTATAAACTGGCCATATGGAGAATTGGAAATTATGTAGACAAAGTCAGCTGTCAGAAATTACTGACTAGTTTTGGTGGACACTACATATTCTGTGTACTACAATTTTAAACATGCCAATAATAAAGTAATTTACTGTGCTATCAAGTTGTTTGTTTCTTGCAGATCCTGAAACATCATTCAATTTGCCTATTGATGAAGCAGAATGTCAACCAATGGTAATGCAACAACAAGAACATGTAAACACACATAACGAATCAAATGATCCGATTTTACGTACTTCTACTACTGCTGTTATTCAAAATTTTTTCAGGTGAGTTTATTCAATTCAAATTTTAATAGTAAGTGAAGCATCCCTGGTTGAAATATACATTTCACCGACTCAATGATTTTGAATTGAATCCACATGCTCGGAGACTAATTCAGGAAGTAATACATTGATCTGCACTCCGGAAGTATGTGAGTCAACATGGAGTCAACTAATTTTGTTCGCTTACTTTATATTAAGTTGTGTGAAGAGACTGAAACCTATGGGCAGGGTGTATATTCACTTGGATAACACAGACAGTCCTCGAACTCATAATAGAACTAAAATAAGGAAAATCGGAATAAAATTATGACCTCATTCTAACCTGGTACTGGTACACACACTACGAGAGTACTCGTAGATCAGAGTGTAATAATTTCAGTATGCAATGTAGAACCAGAAAGAAATTAACCTTTCCAAAAATATGAGCTTCTTGCATATCATTGATGCTTGCAAACAGCCTTGTTCGGGGTGAAAAACACATAATAAAATGATCATTGCTGGCCACTGGGCTATGTCAGAAGTTGCGATTTTTTTATCATAGGCACAGTAGCTCTTTATTTATTAGTGCCTGCTGTTGTGAAGCATTGAATCTATCATTCAAAATTACTCAAATGGTATTCATCATACCGTATTGCTATATTTGCTAATATTGCAAGCTGATATTATTGTATTTGTTTTTAATATATTTCTGATTGAAAATTTGTATTCATTCAAACACGTAATATCAATATATTCTGATGGGAATAATATTACTTTATGTGTGCTCAGACAATTGTGACGTTGTGTTTAATTTCAGCATAATTGAAAAACATTCCCCTATTGCCAAGCAATAACAAATACCGTATTTCCCGGCTAATAAGTCTACCCCGCAAATAAAAGAAAAGCCTATTTTTATAGCACTAAAAAAGGGTTTTTCCATATTATAACCTTCCACTAAGACAGGCAAGAAAAATTGATTTTCTAGTGGTCAGTTAAGAACTAATGCGCTCATAATTTTATATGATTAAAACCAGGTCATGTTTGTTTCAGATAGAATCATACTCACAGAATTAACTGTTCTTAACAATAACTAATTTCATCATTAGGAACAACCCATTAACTGCAACATTGAAATACCCTGTGAATATGGTGTCATGAAGTACTGCGCTGGACCTCCATGGGTTAGTTAACAGTCTGGTGTGTTTTTCCCTGAATCCGCAAAACCAAAAGGGTCATAAATCAATCACTTTATCTGGTGGTGGCCCTTTTCTATTTGAAGTACTAATATCAGGCATGGATAGGGAGCATTATACCTATACGGCACTGGCCAGTTTTTATAAAGTGAAAGACTAATAACAGCTGACAGTCTAAAGTGAATTAATTAATGTGTTTAGCAGACAATTTGGCGTGAATACATTATAAAATATAACAATCCAGATACAAAGTTCACACAAATCATATTTGAGAAGACTCATGCAAAAAATAAACCGGCCTTTAAAAAAATAAAATGAGCATAGTCAGCCAATAAGACGTCCTCCCCCCTCTAAATCAGGCAAAAAAATTGGGTCCAGAAAAGCGACGACATAGCCGAGAAGTACGACTTAATAGCCAGGAAATATGGTTTAAAATGAATCAAATATTCAAGTGAGTTTGATGTCAGAGATTATACAACAGCTAGTCACAGTCTTAAATTAATATTGATAATGAATTATCTTGAGCCAGTCACTTCTATTATTTAAATTTTTTTTTTTCAATTCAAATCTATCATAATCACCTACTAATCAGATTATAAGTGATTACGTCTGGTATTAACGAATTTAATACTGGAAATTAATTCATCCGTATGCATATTTCATGTGTATTCCAAGATCAATCATTTATCAATCCAATTTCAGTTGATTCCTACGTGGGAAGTTAGAAAATAATGAATAATTCTGTTCTGCAATGGATGATGATGAATAAAATTCCCCATATTGACTAAGTTAGTTATTTATCTCATGAGAGATTTGCTCAAATCAACGTCACACTCCACTCCAGATGTTAATGAGCTCATCTTTGAGGGATTCCAAGAACTACCAAAACTATAACCTAAAGACCTCTGTGCAGTAACCGTATTAAGACATAGAAAAACATATTTTGAATTTCTAATCCCCAAGAAACAGAAATGGAATGACAGTTACATTGCTTTTGCATTTCCGAAAGTAAATTGTTACAGCATATTTTTGGAATGGTAAACAGGTGAAGAGTGCTAAAACGGCTGGAAGTGGGTCACGAACTAACCAACCAAGGTTGAGAACCACTGCCATATAGACTCTTGGTGACGCATTATGTGCTTGCGGATAAAAGGTTCAAAATAATTAATCAAATAATTATGGTAACTTTCTATGGGAACTTTACTAAATGCTAAGGGATTAACCACCATTACTTATTATGTATTGACTTTAGAATCATAATTGATTGATTGGATTATTCGTAATGACTTTGCTTTCTAGACAAAATTATGATTGATTTCATAAATGGATTTTTCAGCTTAGAATATGTCTAAGGGTATGATTTTAGCTTGGTTAAGTTTTTCTGCAAAAAATGGGAAAACATGTTCAATAGCCTAATGGACGTATGATAATAAAAATTGATTACTTTCCATTCTCAATTGTACACTACAGACTGTTTGTTCAATTTTGGCGGGTTTTTTCATATGAACATACGGTATTCGTAAAATGGACATTTGTACTTGTTTAATAATGGATGCCTGGAAAGAAAGTTGTCTCGCCCTGTTATCAGATAATATTATTCACTTTTGCTGGTTTTCGTATTTTTCATGACCATGTTTCCATCTCTTGATATGTTTTGTTGTTTTAATTAAGTTTGTTTGTGCTGCCAGCTTTGCTTGCTTTAATCTTATTATACATTACACATATTCGCTGCACAATGATGTAAGATCAATACCATGAAGCAGTTAATCCTTATAATGATTTGAAATTGGTAAAATACAATGAATTGTAGCTCGCTATTTATATGTTTATTGAATACAAAGTGAACTTCTCTTTAACCACTGATACAATGCCTTTCAAGAATAGATACTTGAAGAATGCTTCCTACAAGGCTATTGGAATTGCTTTTATTTTTTTCAAATTATCCCTTGTTTTTTCCTAAAATTATTTTACAATTTTTAAAATTGCATCTCCACATCGATTTTCAAAAATTGATTTCAGCGAGCTCTGTTTGAAACTGAAAGTACAGATAATGTTACTCTGTCATCTCCAAGTATTTGTACATTTCTCTCTTGTTCTTCAATATGATTTTATTCTGCATCCATTTCAAGTTATTATATAGGAAATTCATGATTCCATTTTGGTGAAAAAATTAAAATATTTGTAATCTAGGGTATGTGGTGCAATTTATATAAAATCTATATTTTGTTTGGGATTGTTCAATCAAGTGGTTCTCAAACTTTTCAAGCCGTGCTCCCTTTCAGTATTTGTCAAGTCTCGAACCCCACCTCAAAAATAACTATCGGTAGCTAACAATAATCTACAAATAACAGATAGTATGGCGAAAGTATGTTTTATTCGAAAACATCTTATTAAAAATGCGTGGACGGAAAGTAAATATCCATAATAAAGAAATTTAAATATCCAACATAAAGGCAAGATCAAATAACAAATTTTTTAATTAGCTTCACGCCTCCTTAAAAATTGTCTACACCCACCTTGTGGGGCGGCCCCACTCTTTGAGAACCACCAGTTTAATCTCAATACTGTTTCATGGAAAATTTGCAAAAAGTAATAATTTTACTATTCTGTTTCTTATCAATATCAATACTGTATTCATTTGCAGGGACATCGTCTCAGTTGTATCAAACCGAGCATTCATATTCTTGAGTCTATCTGCTGCTATATTCAGTACTTTAGTTTCTGGCTTTTCAACATTCGGACCGAAATTTATTGAATCGCAACTTGGAAAATCTACATCAGATGCCGCTAATTTATTTGGTGAGTTTACAGGAATGTAGATTACTTTGTTTTTCTCCACTGTAGAATCCAAATTGATTGAGATACCTCCCAAATAAGAGGGCTTGTTGAACTCGGAAGGGCCCATTTCAATTGTTTTGCTAGATCAATGTTGTTAGGATTATTGTTGATGTTAATTTTTTGTTGGAAATAAATCACTTTTTACTGAAATCGATTTCAAAGCAGTGCTATATTTTTGAGCATTGCTCCCTTGTTTATGCTTTTAACGATTAGGAACCATTCCAAAATATTGAAAGAGAAATAAATAAACATGTCATACTAGTCGTACGCAGTGGTGGGATTCAAATTTTTTGTCAGCCGGTTTCATCACAAAAGTCATATTTTTCATCCGGTTGTCAAAAGTCGATGTCTCAGATAAGATGCAAATATCCATTGACAGTGCAGCAGTAACCAGTAATGCTAACCGATTCGCTGATCTCATAAAATTCCTTGAGACGGTTCTATAGAACTGGTGCGAACCGGCCGAATCCACTGGTCAGACACTATAACAGCGATAACAGTCTGTGATCTATTGCGTGTTTACACTATGACAACACACATTATGACAGCAATAATGGTCTGTAATTGGTTGTCATACACATGATCACTTGTGTGTTTACACCATGATGGCAATAATAGTCTGTGATTGGTTGTCTTACACATGATCGCTATGACAGCAATCATAGTCTATACTTGGTTGTCATGATTGCTTGGGCTTATATGCAAATTTTTATAAATTCACCAGTTCAGAGCTGTTTTTATGGGGTAGACTTATATGCGAGGATATCTTGTACTTGAGATAATTGCTCTCTTGTATGGGTATTGAAAAAGAAATTAACATGTCATAATACACACCATTTAATGGTTTAAATGAGACAATGGTTTCATTAGGTACACTGCCATTAGTACTCACTCATCAAACTTTTTATTTGACAGGCTACATCTGTATTCCTGCTGGTGCTGGAGGCATGCTCATTGGAGCATTTCTTATGACAGGGCTCAAAATGAACCACAAAAGCGCCTTACAAATGTGTATTGCTGTCAGCCTTGTTAGTCTGCTTGCTCAATTTGTTCTTGTACTGAGCTGCGAAGATCTGGATATTGCAGGAATTACTCTGCCTTATACTAACCATTTTAATACAGGGTATGAAATTAACATTTTATTGTCATTGAATCATTGGATCATGGTCCTGATTTGACAAAAAAGTTTCATTTAAGAATAGATATGTTCCATGATTGCGAAGAATTATAGCATTTTGTGCATTTTATGTTTTTTTGTGATCGGTGTCAATTAGTTTGTTTGAATATTATATGACAAAGATGTGATCTGTCTGAAAAATACTTAAGCATTAACTTAAGCTCGATCATTGCAAAACAAACTTTCTTCGTTTTGAAAAGTTTCATAGAATGATGATCATGAGTTTGTTGCGAAAGGACAAATTTCACTGCAAATACAGTAATTTCAACATCAAGAAATTTCAATGTTAATTTTTCTCAAAAATTCAGCAAATTTTTTTTTCAATTAAGCATGTCAAACAGTAAGATATTTAAACTAAAAAACATCTTATTTTCTCAATTAATAGGATATCGGACATTGAAGAGAATCTCTTAAACATGACATCTTTGTGTAACACGGACTGTGCATGTGATCTGAACCCTCATTTCAATCCTGTATGTGGAGGAAACAACATCACATATTTCTCTCCATGTCATGCTGGCTGTTCTGCTGTTAATCTAAATGGAGAAAAGGTGAATATTGCGTATTTTATTGCCAAACGCTTGAGACCAATCCCAAGGCGTGTCGTACATGAAACACCAATTGTCTAATAATCTATAAATTAGGATAGGCTGATACGGGTCATGGATTTTGTAAAATTGATTTTTCAATAATATGTTTTCACGCCTTTACTGTCACACTAAATCCACCAATATTTAAGAAAATAATACTATCTTTGGAAAACCTGAATCTTTCTATTACATCATGGACCACTCAGTTTTTGACATTCTAGCTAAAGTCGTAGGTGATAATGAAATGGAGTAATCAAAGTTCTATTACATAAAAGAAATTAAATAATATTTATTTAACACCTTCCGTCTTATCTAATAGTTGAGTGTTATTTTTGTTTTATAATTCGTTTTAATTAATAATGCCAATAATAAGTCTACTTCTAGTTTGCAATAGAGAAGTTTACTAATTTTGCTTCTTTCGCTTGGACTAACACACAATCAATGAAAATCAAAGAAGGTTTCACTGTCAGCCAGAAAATAGTAAAGCGTTATTTTTGTATTTTAGGTTTTCAGGAATTGTGCCTGCATTGCTGAGGCTGGTGAGTTGTTGTAATAGATATTACCTGATTTGAACTTTATTTGCGTTTGACCATAACCATAAACGATTAATGATAAAGACAGTCACCTTCATTCAACAATAAAATAATGCAATTCTTTAAAAATTGAGGGTGATTAAACTGTCTCATCACCTGAATGAATATGAGAATCATAACCTTGCCCTAGATCAGTGATTCTCAAACTTTTCAAGCCGCGCCCAATTTTCAGAATTTGTCACAGAATTTGCGCCTCTCAAAATTAACTACCTGTAGCTAGCGATAAGCTACAAATAGCAGATAGTAAGGCGAAAGTATGTTTTAATCAAAAAACTCGTTGAAAATATGTGGATAGAACGTGAATAATGAAATAAATGAAATGTTTTGAAATGTAGATAGCCATGAGGCAGGTAAGATCAAATCAAACAAATATTTTTATTTTTAATTAGCTTCTCGCCCTCGTTGTAGGGCGCGCCCCACCATTTGAAAACCACTGCCCTAGATAATGTATTAAGAATAGGTTGGCCATGGGCTTGAACCAATAATGTTATTACAAATCTTATAATACAGCCATTATTTATTGTTGGTTTTTCAGATCTCAACTTTGTTCAACCAGGAAAATGTTCAGTAACCTGTCAATGGCAGAATCTGATTTTATTTAGTTTGTTTGTTGTGATATTGACAACGTTTGTTTGTACTGTACCAGGTGTAGATTTATCACTAAGGTGGGTTTGTGTCTTCTCTTATATTCAACATTTCTGAGAGAATGATGATTTACAGTTGAGAAACATGAATTTTGCATTTTTTATTAGAATCGGCATCTTAGCGCAAAGCATTTTTTTTTAACATATTGATAAAAAAATTGCAAAGATCACTAATTCGGTCTTTCGGTCCGTTAATTTTTTTTTTAGCGTTATATGATATTCATGTATTTTTATTATATCTCTTATAAATAATATAATCTCATAGTTCAGACCATGTATTATGTGTATATTTATATAAACATTCTTTTTATTTTAAGCTAAAATTCCATTTATAATATAGATGTTTTCGTTATTTTAGATAAAAGAAGATAGGAATTTATTTCGAATGTATCTATCGTTAATAATTTAAATGTTTGGATAAAATTATGTATTATATGCGGTGAAATACAGTATTCTGAATCTTATTATCCGCATTCTTAGGTGTTTTCCTTATCGTCAACGTTCTCTAGCAGTTGGAATTCAATGGATTTTGATTAGAACCCTCGGTATGATTCCGGGGCCAATTATATTTGGAGCAATGATTGATGGTACCTGCTTGTTATGGGAAGAAGCAACATGTAACTCTGACAAAGGATCTTGTCTTATGTATAAAAACAGCGAACTATCGTTAAGTTTTCTTGTTCTTTCAGTCTTTTATAAGGTATGTATTGGAATTTAGTTGTCTATTTACATTTGAGGGTTGTTATACAAAGGGCGCAACGGGCTTTAAGACGGGCTAAAGCAATACCGGTACTGGTTTTGTGTGTACGCAATAAAGCATAATGCGCTTCCTGATCCTTACTTTAGGCGCACGCGCCTTATTGTCTATATATTACTTTAAGCATTAAAATATGTTTAATTTTGAAAAATCTTAGTTAGTTTCGAACGTTGCCAATATAAACATTCTGCCCATGAAACCGAAATTAAAATCTCACTTTAGACGAGTTTATTAGTTCACTGTGGTTTAGGAATAAAACTTCAAACCTAATTTATGTTATTTTTTGTTCTAGGCTGCTGGTATCATTACATTGTGTCTAGCATTGTTTTACATCGAAAGATATACACCGGCCTCTTCTACTCACTCCATGCAAAACACAAACAAAAGAATTATCGAGTTGCCAATGGCGACAACAAGTTCCAACCACCAGTCTACAAGTGGTCTGAACACCAATGCAACCACTACTTCATAATCTTTCACTTCACATCTTCAGTGTTCAATTTTAATAACTGCTTGCCTTCATTCACCATCGTGTCTATTATATTAATGATATAGTACGTTACGAGTTGTCAGTATGTATAAATTTCGTTCCCAAACTTTACCACTGATTTTAAATGAAATCTAATTACTGGAAGTATCTTTTTTATTCATTTTAAAATAATACTGCACATATATATTGCACTGTCTGATCTCTCTAGAACTTAACATTAAATATTGCCTTTAAGTACATGAAGTTTTTATACTAATCTCCATTGGTGTTTTCAATTGTTAATCGTTACTATTACTCTGGTGCATCAATATATTTCTTCGTTACTACTAGCTTATAAATTTTGTGACCACACCAATCTTGGGAGGAACTGATTTTCAACATTTATTGTTTTCTGCGACCAACCCAAGTTTAATAGTCACCTCAAGTAAAAAAAAATTTGCGAAAAACATATTGTGTGGCCAAGCGGTTATTCTCTGGAGTATTTGTTTTTAAATGGGTAGCAAACATTGCTACATGTAATTTTTTACCAATATTTTATTTTTAAACTGGTTTTCATTTTTCTTTTCATTCCTTTATTCCAACATCATTGCGGGTTACACAATGTTAATGCAAAACTAATTTTCAATTTAAATTCACAAAACTTAATTTAGTATTCATGAGAAAATAAATAAGTTTTGTTTACACCAGTTGTTAATACTATTTGATACAAAAGTCCAGCTGCATACTAACACAAATGTATTACTGTAACGTTTCACATGACTGGGGTCATACTTCCTCAGACAAGCATTTTTCAAGTAGCGGTATGTCTGAAGTCCGACCCCGGTCTTGCGAAACGTTACAGAAATACATTTGTGTTAGTATGCAGCAAGACTCTTGAATAAAATAGTATAGTCATCTTTATTCTCGGCACAGCGCAAGGTATAATTACTTTGCCTGGCATGCCGCAAGGCTGCTCACATTTATGATCTTATATTCAATTTTCATCATTCCACCTTATATTGTTTTTCATTTGTGAATGTTAAGTGTTGTTTTCATATAGGCAGGACTGAATGCTTAATTAGCCAAACCAATATACCAATCTATCTTGAAAGCTGGTCTTTCGATTTGGATTCTGCAACTATGATTTGCTTTAATCATTGTCAATTATAAGTCTACTTCTAGTTTGCCATATAGAAGCTTACGAATTTTCCAACTTTCGCTTGGACCTAACTCACACACAGTCAATGAAGATTAAAGAAGGCTGTCAATACTCTTATTATAGCGTGAAAATAAGGTGTTAAGTAGAACTTATCTCGACCTTTCATTTGAATCTAAACTATTTTTTAATGTTAAAGAAATTTATTCTTAAGTTCCATTTGTACTCTGTCTTTTATTTTGTGCTGAAGTATTCAGTTTTATTATAAGAAGTATTTTGTGTTTTTGGATGGATAGTTGCAATATTTAGCCCCAAATGTATTTTCTCCCTGTGACGTTAATTTGGTTGGCACGTGCGATAGGCAAAGTTTAAATGGAGTGTGCCAATAAGTATAATTTTTCAAACAGTCAAAAAAAATTCACAAATATGCTGATTAATAATTATATACTACCTGATTGGTGCACTTTCATTTTGTCCTATTCTTTTTTTTTCAAACCCTTAGGCGCATTTAGCAGGCTGGCCTGTGTTAATGTCTTTTATAATTCGGAAAACCTGTTGAAAACTCATGTATAAAATAGCTGAACACTTGAGTGTAAATTTCTGCTTCATCTGCATTTCATCATTTTTTTTTTTCAGTGGTTTGTATGTTTCTTGTCATTCATAGTAAGAGTCAAATATATCATATGTGTAAAAAAGTATCAAATTCATTGTTCGTTATTTTTTTTCTATTAAAGTTTGCTCGCTCACTCAACTGTTCTGGTCCATCTAGATCAGGGTCGTCCAACCCGTGGCCCGCTGAAGAGTTCCGAGTGGCCCGCGCAGTATTTTTCGAAATTGAATAAACTAAACCTAGCCCGATGTCTCCCACAAATTTGAGCCACATTTGACACTTTCCATGAAAAATTAGGGAAAATAATATTAATAAGATTATGCCTCGTTGCCCAAACGCGCGAGAGATACCACTAAATAAAAAATTTCCGAGACATCGCTTTTATTTTACCTCGGCTCTATTGAGCACTTATATGGACAATTTGTCTATATCAGCCTGCGTATCGTGATTTTGATTTGTTTGTTCCGGCCATCTACATCTCAATATCGGTTCTCGTTATCATATGTACCAAATCTTGCGCTCTGGTCGACATCGCCGTTTTTTTATTTCTCGAAGGACCGCGAGTTTTGCTCAATAAAATCGAAAGCTATTGTGCGATCATTGGTCGAGGAAAATAATCCGCAACCCAAGTTTCATTCATTATGACTATTATCTTTCGTGTAGGCTTTGATCATCCTTATCGTCACCGTAAAATTAAAAGTGTACAGTACAATATCTTTGCTACTGGCTTTTTGGTATTTTTTGCTCTAAACAAAACTTCTGAAACGTGCATATTGTGTTCAGATTTTGCAATAGGTTTGTGCAATACTGCAATCCAATCGTTTGATTTTAACGTAAATAAGAACTGTTATCTGATATATAATTATATATATATATGTTCGTGGCCCGCAATGAGTTTCCTTATGTGGAAGTGGCCCGCGCACTAAAAAGGTTAGACATGCCTGATCTAGATTCTAGTTCAGTGCTCTTCAACAGGGGGTCCGCGGAACCCTAGGGTTCCACAATACATGCAGTTGGGTTCCGTTTTTTTTTTTAGGGGATATCATTTCTTGCTTCAGCATGTTGATGCGTCATTATAAATATTCTTAGATCACCGTGTCGCATTCAAACTCCAAGTAGGCCAGTTCGTTGAACAGAAGGTTTAGTCGCAGTGCAGTTAATAGACAAAACAGAAATATATTTGGTTGTTGCGTCACTTTAGTCATTGTTATGCAACTAACAAGAACGCTATTGTTGCAATCACATAAAATGTGGTGGTAAAGGAAAATCCGCCAGAGTTTTTGAAACACTGTGTGAAGAAATAGATGCTGATAATGTTACTCTTTTGTTACATACAGAAATTCGTTGGCTGTATGGGGCAAAGATTTGGCTAGTGTGTTCAAATTAAGGCGGGAAATATCACGATTCAAGAAGATTGCAAAGAAAATGCAAGAACAACCTAGTCAATGAACTTCACGCTTGTTACATTCTTTCTGTTTCGTTGTTAAAGTAGAAATAGTTGAATTACAAATATTTTGCGTTACGAGTTTTTTTTTAATTTTGTTAATTGGGGTTCCATAAAAAACGAAAAATTATATCAGGGGTTCCACAATAACAAAAAGGTCGAAGAGCACTGATCTAGATCATTGGTTCTCAAACTGGGGACCGCGAGCCAACTCGGCACAGAAGCACTTTGATTTGAAGTAAAGTTTTGATGTCATGCTTTTACAGTGTTTCTCCAAAGCACGACGCGCTCTTCAAAAGACATTATTACGTAACAAACTTTGGTGAACGGGGCGAGTACCGTAAACAATGCCTGGGCGTCTGATTGTAAATTTTCCCGGGGTAATTTAAAAATGCCCCCCTCTCGCCATAAAAAATAAATTTAGATGTAATTATTTATATGTGAAATTTGGTTTTCTGCAATTAATTGGAAGAAAAGAAAAACCACAGTAGCACCGTCCGATGTTGCTAAGATGGCAATAAAAACGCTCATTCCATTTGCACCAACCTAAGAATGTGAGGCAGCTTTTTTTACGTTACTCGCTATTAAAATAGAATGACCGTGAGACACGATATGAGAGTTGCATTATCCAAAGTGTACGTTTGTAAATAAAATTCAAACAATTCGCAGCCCCCACGATTTACTGTAGGAAATGTATCTTGGTGTAACAAGCACACGTCGGGCATAATGTCTGAATAGCTAAAATTAAGCCGCGACGTCTAGTCTTTCTGCCGTCTGTCTGATTACCAAACGCTCGCTTGTAAATGCACAAATTACAACCGCGCGCTGTATGTATTAATTATTATAGGCGTGACTCGCCAATATTTGCGCATGATAGAACAGTTTGGAGCAAATTGTCATTATTTGCCTTTTGAGCTGATGAAGAGCGAAGTTGGGTGTTTTGGTGATTCGTTAATTTGCTTGTGCGTTGCCGTATTTTTTTTATCTGTAAGACTTTTCCTAAAATATAAAATTTTCTTTGTAACACTCCAAATACTTACCTAGCTATGTCTGTATTAATTATGGAGACGGATTTTCATGGCTATGAGCATTTGGTTGATTCTGAGTACGAAGAGAAATTGATTGAGGAAGTTGAGAATTGTCAAAAGCCAATGGGTTTGACAGAGGGTTTCAAGATGGTGGGACAAATTCTCCATGCCAGGAAACCAAACAAAGCGTTACTAGCAACGACCGTTCAACCGAAGAATCAATCCAAGAGATATAGCCACTCTAATGTAACGGTAAACTATTATCGAATGCTTTACCTCAGATTCGGAATCAAAATGGCCGTTCTGACGGTTAAAGCAAATATGGAATCTATAGTCCTTCGCTTGGAAGAAAAGCTCCAAATAGGTCAACACATCATTGTGATTGACCCAACATGTGATAGCGAATGGAAAGGTTTGCCCGTTATCAAAACCACACACACCCTTTTTCCTGCAACAGCTCCTCTGGTTCCTATACTTGTGGAACTGCCAGTCGGGCTATTAGCAACGACAAACATGAAATCGTATTGTTTTGAAGTTAAACATATCACAATAATTGAAGCCACTTTTGTGGAAAGCTGCGCAATGCGATGGTGGTTATGGGATTGATTGCCCAGGCAGTTTTGCAGAAAAATGAATGCTCGTTGCCAAAATTTAGATTGACATTCCGGGAATATATGTTGATTGGCAACCATATAGTAGCAGGACATCGACTATGAATTTTTTTTTTTGATCGGTCATTGCTAGTAGTGTCCGCTGCAGGGAAATATCTCACAATGCTGGGTTTTCTTAAGACTGCATTGAACGCCGCAAAAGCTTCCGTATACTTGGTTGGGTCAGGCCGGAACAAAGCTCTTCTGATACGTAACCAGCAAATTCAAATTGCGCATCAATGATCTGAAGATACTGGGTGAGAAATTACCACAGTTTCAAAATGAGGAATCTGTGTCGGAAGAAAAGCCAGCTAAAAGAACTCGAGTTGATGAGCCATCAACGTCTGGAAATGCTTGACTATTATACTTTGTTGCATTTTTCTTTACACGTTTGTTCTATTATTGTATGTGTGTTGACATTGCATTTTATTAAATATGTGTTTGTAATAATTTTTTTGTGAAATAAAAAACTCATGCTTTAATGGTTATTTCATTTAATATTGAAAATATATTAATTTAGTTGGGGTTGCGGGAAGCTAAGCAAGACTTCTGAATTAAATAGAATGTTCGCATATAAAGTGCGGTTTTTCAATATCAGCTATAGCATACGTTATGAAGTGCGTGTTATATATCTACCTTTGCAAAAAGTTGGGGGTTATCAATAATAGCATTAAGAACAGCACCGCATAAGCTTTGCAGATTACAAGATTTTAAGTTTCGTCAATTTTGATAGAAACAAATAACATCCCTAAATATATATCCTAAAGCACAGGGTGATCGCTATAGAAATAAAGAAAATTTGAAGGGCAGATGAGATCACGGATAAAATGAGTGCTTACTCATTTGTTTTCGATACGTTTTGACTTCTTTTAGGTCTTAGTTGTTTTAGGTTCTATTTGAATTTTATTTTTACACCCAAAACTGCTAATGGGTATTTTGAACGTCTATAACTTTTTATCATTTGTGGGTAGCGTGTTGACGGACGATTCAAACAAAAGCAATTTAAATCGTGAAGTTAAAAAAATTATTTGAAATATAATTCTGTCGGAAAGTGCAATATTGATTTTGATTTGACTATGTTTTTTCTGCACTGAGGCGAGTTATGACTAACTCATTAAACACCGACGTCTGTTAGCGAAGTTACTCTCTCGCCCTGAAGGTTCGCGGTGCAGAATCGATAGAACGAAAAAAATATATAATGGTTTTTTGAACGTCTATAATTTTTAAACAACTATGGGTAGCCTATCGACGGAGGTTTCAAACAAAAGCAGATTAAATCGTGAAGTTATAAAAAATGTTTGAAATAAATTTTGTCGAAAAGTGCAGATGTATGTTTCTAAATATGTTGTTGGTAAAAGCGGCCAATCAGGACGTGCTCCTCTGAATGTGTCTGAATCAGATCCTGATGATTTGAGATCTGTGATACCTGCAAGAAGTCAAATAATGCAAGAATGGAATGTAGTCGCAATCTTCCAAAAATTCCCAGCAACCTAAAGGACATATGACGTCAGCAACTGGAAATGCATTAAAAGCCTCTTTCATGTATCCTATGTCATGAGTCCCAACGAGCGAGTTAAATGCATGAATATCGTGAGTACGATCTAGAAATCTACATGATTCGTTATTTAATTCCATTCCACGCCACATATCCCTAATTGTGATTTGCAAGGCTGACCAAACTTTTTGAGAAATGGAACGGTTTTGACCGGTGAATGACAATATAGACCAAAGAACACTCGACCAAGAGCACAACCATGAGGTACAAGTGGAATTAAAATTGGAACTTAAGTACTTATAACAGAGATCGCACAGTAACGACCTACATGTAGTTGAGTTGCTTTACAAAGTTTAATATTTCCGTACTTTTTACCTGATTCCTGAGATCTGATACGTAAATTAATATTATATTTAGCTGTATTGCTTCTGCAGCAATTGTCACATTCCCTTGTGCCATGTACATTTCCTCAAATATATATATAATGGATATTCTGGTTTATCTGACCGCCCCATCCGCTGCGGTATGCGATTGGCAGAAGTCATTTGTAAAGTAAAAGTTCGTAAAAAATCGGTGGCAGCTTGTTATTTTGACTCTGCTTCTAATGGCGCTTGAGCGTCTGTGGGTGAATTTGTAAATGTTTGTAGATTGGGAAAGATAGCCCAAAACGTCTGATTGGATTTGGCTAGCATCAACGAAAGTTTGTGGTCTTTTCCATAATGAATTCTTACACCCACATCTGCATCGAAGATATCGATATAACTGGACAGGCAAGCAGATGCCGCTTTGTAATGTACGGGAGTTGGTGGACAATCGGCCAGTGTGCCAGTCTTATGAAGAATCTGACGGCATGGGCATGACTAGAAAAATCATAGAAAGTCATATTTGGGTATACAAGGTAATTAAAGTGAAATTCACGACAAAAAAATTTCGTCACGGTTGAGTGAACACGGACCCTAAAATTGATAGAAATCGACTTCCATTAAGAATGGTCAGTTTATGACGTGCTATTAAAAACTACTTATGTATGTATGTATGTAGGTATGTATGTATGTATGTATGTATGTTTATTCGTCTCGTAATAGTGATAAAAAAATAAATGAACGATTATTATTATGTAAGACGGGATGCATGCACAAGACCGTACTGGCCTAAAACACAAATGTGCGGCATGTACCCTTTTTAACAAATATAAAGCAAAAAACATTAGATTAAATATGTATAGTATGGTCCCTTATATAGACAGTTGTGCAAGGTGGGGCAATGGGTCGTTTGGTGTGGTGAAAGTGGTAAGGGTGGAGTATACAAAACTGGGGGCTCCAGAAGTATGCGCACCAAGATGTTGAACAGCCTGAACCCTAACCGATACACACATACTATGTTCAGGTGGTGCGTCATCTTGGTGCGCATACTTCTGGAGGTCCCAAAACTGTTTATACAGGGAAGTTTATAAGACAAGACAATATATATAAATAGAGACAACACAACACCAAATAAACATATACATAACAATGAAATCAAAATTTAGGCGCAAATACAGCGCCTTTGAGTGGTGAGACCATATAGTATTAATGGGCGAAGTATAAGAGATAAATTTGCGGTTCTTATGTCTATATGGCGTCACTCAAGGGCGCTAGTAGAGTCTTTGATAGAATATATCTATTTCAGCAAAAATGTGAATCATACAGATTTTGTTGAAATACTTCAGTCCGAGTGTCAAATTCTTAGGTATTCATGTTTTATTTATAAAATTGAAGCCGAATGTGGTAAGAATTGAAGGAAAAATAAACTTGAAGAAAAGCATTTCAACAAAGCCTGTCATGATTGCATTTTTGCCAGAAGAAAATAAATGTATAAAAGTACTATTTAATTAAGGCTAATATTTTATAAAAAGAAGCATTGTTTCCATGTCATGGATTGCCCTAATTGTATTATGATCACAATAGAGTAATGTAGTTTCATGGGGGGAAAGAAGGGAGGAATATATTTGATTTTGTGCTATGACCTATATGAGGAAGAAAGGGCCCAGCATGCTACTTTGACAAAGAGAACTGTTTCTATTGATGGCTGGATTCAAATTTGGTGTGATTGTAATTTATTATCTTTAGCCTAATTTGCTGTTTCTATTGTCTTTGTCTAACTAAGCATGATAATAAGATTAGAAGGGTGGGTTAAAATATTAATTCAGTTCATTGTTTCATATTGCTTCCAGCTGAGGTAGCCTGCGGAGTTTGAAGTTTTACTTAATAGACTAAAGTGGCTGGGGGCAGCGCGCCGGACGAATTTCCGCCATTCGTCCAGCGCAACGACCCTGGTGCATCCATGAAACTGATCAAACAACCACTTTTTTATACTCAAATCTTTTCTTTACATTTTCCCTCGCGGTTAGCGAAGCGACCGTCCTTCGATAGGTTTTACCTGTAATTCGTGCGCGAATTTGTTGGTGTTGAATTTGCAATATATGGTTTCAATAAGGAAAGATATACCAATTCGAACCGGCTGTATAAGGGCAGAACAACACTGCCCGTTGAGATTACAGGTTGAACGTCGGTGGCCATCTGATGTCCAGCCACATCTCGTAGAATATGCGCGATTAGAAGGTTCGTTCTCCTTCGGGTATTTAATGATTTCATACTGCAATTGCATAAGCTTATCTGCAGAGGCTCTATCCCTACAAACTCCGATATTTCATAGAAAGTCCCCGCGATTTGAGAAAGTAGTAATCATCCAGTTCGGGTTACAAAAAATGATAAAATTATCAGCGCAATCTGTATTCTTAATTAACTGGATAATTACTAAATTTTACTAAACTCTAGTCATGCATTGGTATTTGTAATCACTGTATCAAAAATACTGCACATATATATGCGACAAAGCTGACTGGCTATTTAAAAATGCTCAAATCGTATGAAAATTTTCACTCGGGTAACTCGGTTGAATAAATCTTTGAGTCAAATATCTGCTGAACCCGTAGCAGGTCTGAGGTTACATTGACAATGAAACTCAGCAGGACTGATTGAATAGGACGACTATTTTAATGTAAAACTTCAAAGAGCTGTTTTAGCCATAAATATGGATGGCAATGCCTCATAATTTAAACACACCACTCGGCTTCCACATCGTTACCTTCTGTAATTACACTATGCTGGTTCCATGGACTGGTAACTGGACGAGAGGCCGTGGTGCACCGTATGATTGAACCGTCTTTTCAGATTTTCTCTCCTCGAGATAAATATGAAAATCCCATACTAGCCCAAAAGTAATCGGGTTTTACGTTAAAAGATGTGATGTAATGTCAACTTGATTAATGAGCAGAGCTCACTTTACGTTCCTAATTAAAAGTAACAAACGCGTAATAGTATATTCTGCAATGCTTAGTACAATATGTCCCACTTCAAACCCGGACTTGAGGACATAAAAAACGTCGGCCGCATCGTGCTGAACGGTAGAACTACGCTCGCCACCGCACCTCTGATTACCCCGCGCTGAGGTAACTCGACTAACTGCGAAATATCCTTCTTGTAGATACGATTTGTGAACCGATATAGAAGTTGAAATATATACAGGCAATAACAATATTTATTCATAAGGCTGTAAAAGTTTTACCAGAATCACACTTGAAATGAAAAGCCACAAAAAAAAAAGGTTTCAACAATAAAAAGGGAACTTGGTATAGATGGGACATTGTGGGTAATTGACCCATTTTGTTAACAATTTAAGAAACATTAGAAAATTCCATCAAAATTGAATGAATCGTGATTTAATTTAGATTGGGAAATAGTCACAGCAACCAAAAAAAATACAAATTGAAAATTTTATAAAATCCCAGACTATACGGTTATCCACAAAAACTAGTTCAATTTTAAATAATAAATTTGGAAGCATATTGTGAGTAAGCAAGAGCTCGAGGAAAACATACATAAGTGTGTTTGCAGTATCTCTTTAAGGTCAAACAAAACAGCAAAATTATTTGAGATTAAAAGATATAATTACGGCATCAAGATGTTACAGAAACTAAGGATATATCACATGGAAATACAAGCAAAATTATTTAAAAAAAGATTAAAATTACATAAAAAAGATTAAAGAAATCACTAATATATATTTAATTATTTGCGGCAGTGCGCTAACGCCCTTGACTGAAAAATTATGAAAATTTTGAGGATTAAAAAGCGACAAATGTAACAGTATAACAAGATGTTTATGAAGAACCATCATTATCAGTGGCATAAATTTGCAGAGATACTGCAAACATGTATCCCATCTCTGTTATATTGTTTCAATATTATGCAAATACTGCTACACTTTTGAGGAAAATAAACGTACATATATACTAATTAAGATAAATGCAGAATAGAATCTGCTCGCAAAATCGGAAATTACAAAGATCATGAATTCATATTTATTCCCTGTCAATGTCAGTCCCATCAAATACCTTCTAAATACCACTGAGTTTAGAATATATATTCAATATTACACTGAATACCATTTTTTCATAATGCCAGTTTAATGAGTTTAGTAAATTAAATACCCATAATTTGTCTTAGCCATTCCTGGTATGTGCCCGAATATAATTAGTTTTCTAATTTTTTCAAACTGTTCCTGTAGTTTTTTGTATTTGATAAATTATGTTATTCATAATAATTAGACCATAACTATTCATAATAGATACTCTGGAAGGTAAAGCATCGCACTCGGTTATATATACTACATAATAATGGACAATACAACTCAAAGATATAAATCAGTAAAATCTGCTTTTACTTTGTCTAATTTATAGGCCAAAACATAGTACTATACAGATAGACAAATTGCACTAAAACTATATTAAAAATATAAAACTATGTACAACAGATATTGAAATATAAAAAAATAATGTTTTACATATGTCTTCGGGGCTCGAAGGCGTAGTGCTGCTGGTGTGCTAAAAAAAAATGAATCATCGATATAGTCAATTGAAAATTGTTAAGATAAAAAATTTTCAGAGATACTTGAAGATTAATTCAAGCATATTTAAAAATGAAACTATCATAATCTTGAAACTATTTATTTATTTAGACATATTAATGTAGTAAGATAACATAATGTTAGGGGAAAATACAATTCTAGCAGAGCTTCTGAAACTGCTGTAATATTCTCAGATATAGTAGAAACTACAGAATTGTAACTAATGGAAAAAAAAACTTCCTCCTGTGGCAAATGTAATTGAATACTCACGTTTATAAAATACTGTTGGAAATGTTACATCTGGAAGAAGTTCTTTCAATTTATCTAAAACAGTTGCTGCAGGTTCAAGTTCCCAGTTGTAACTCCAGATTTGAATAAGATCTTCATTTTCTCTGATACTCACACTTACACCCATGATATCATCACCTGGATAAATAATCATTGTAAATAACTCGCCATCTCTGGTAATTGTGAATAATCGTCAAACTCCTGACAACACTACAACGAGCAGGAGTTGAGTAATATCGATTAGCAAATTGTCAGGGACGAGAGCTATGAAGAAAAAATGGTACTCCCGTGGTATGTGTACTCAGTTAGGGCTAGGCCATAATTTTATTCCGATTTTCCTTATTTTAGCTCTATTACGAGTTCAGGGACTGTCTGTGTTAGCCAAGTGAATATACCCCGTGCCCATAGGTTTCAGTCCCTTTACACATACAAAACTAGTTACCTCCATATTGGTACACACACTTCTGGAGCGCCAAAAAATTTGTGACCATTCAACAGTCTTTATGAGAAATCATAAACTTACTATAACCCAATATAGGAGATGAAATCAACCACAAATCAAGCATTGAACATCTTATTCAATAGAACAAAGAAAGAACCCCCATGATACGCTTAGTGCCTTGTGATATACCTTGTTTATTTCAAGCAATTTGAGTAAATGAATTAAATATGCATTGACCATGAAATGAGCGATTATTCAAAAACATGGATGATCTATATAAGAAATATCAGTAATCAGTATTTATTCTTTCACCATGCTGAAAATACGAACTATACATACAAAAAATTAAAGGAAATATACAAAATCGCATTCCAGGGTGAAAGGCGACGTGAAAACTAAACCTGGTTATCGAGTGGCGAAATAGAACAACAAACTACCTTTTCCAACATTGTCACTGAACTGTTCTCCGATGACTGCAAGTAGAAGAGTCTTCCAAACTTTATTCTGAGAAATAATAGGGCAATAATCCAGAATTAAAAAGTTTTTAGACACAATACTTACAATTTGAGGATATTGAACAAAAACATTGTTAATATTTAATTATAAGAGCAAAATATTTCTGACATGATTTTTGAGATTTACATCTAAAACTGGAGTTATGTATTGAAGAAAATGCTTGTTAGTGTCCTTCATAAAATTGGCTTCTAAATATATGTGTGTCTCAAAATATATCAGCATCTACACAGTAAATAAACATAATAAGTGCACTATGAGTCAGGACTTTATTAATGAACATAAAAATTCTGAATGTTCAGAATTTCTAAACATATGAGATAATCGTTTCCAGTAAATCAAACTATTCTGTTTCAAACATCCTATACCTATACAAATTTGTTTATTCAAATTTTCAATCAGACACACTTACTGTTGCCCATTTGTGACATTTTAGTTTCCAAACACCTCCATTTTTATTCACTGGATCTTCCCTTTAAAAAAGAAATCATGTTTTCAATAACCAACTTACAAATTGCCATTGGCAGTAAGTCATAAATTGGACACCTAAACTATATCAAAGAGAAAATAATATATCATAAAAATAGTGCCGATTTTAACTCTATCAAATCAAATTCTTGTAAAGTAATGATTAAATTTTATTATGCTATATTAAACACTCTAATTGTAAAAGACATCATGCTTTTTATAGGTGAAATATAACCACTATATAAAACTAAGCCACAAATAGCCCATATCTGACAAAAATTTGGACTGAAAACTTACAGATTGACAACATGGGAAAAGTCCAATTTTTTATATTTATATTTAGTGTGTAGTGTATCTAATTTTTCAAAAATATGCGTGGTATTACTTGACCTCAGTAACAGAGGTCACAAAATTGCAAAAAAAAACAATCACAATTTATAAATATTATCCTGAGGCAATTTTAATATTGAAAGATATGCAACAGTAAGCATAATTCTGAAAATTTTAACGAAAAATACAAGCAATAATAGGGAGAAATAGTCTAAAAATATTTAATCAATTTTATCTTTTTGAGCATCTACTGTACGATGTATTGATAAGGTGAAACATCTGCAAAACATGCTGGGTAGTATAGTAAGGCAAATAAACAAGTTAGAAAATGGCATCAACAGTTTCTCATATAAAAAATAACTGATCGAAATATAATTGATGCATTAACAGTTTGTTCCCAAATCCACCTTACAAAATCTACAAATATTTTTATTTCATATCTTTCGTATTATCAAATTTTTTGGTATTTATCATACTCCACCAATTAAATATATAAATTCTAAAATGAAACTTTCAATTTGTCTACACAAAGTTTGATTGAATTAGGACATATAGACCACACCGTAACATTTTTAAATATAGTACCGGTATCTCAATGATATGTTATATTTATTTCAATTTTTTAAAAACTATTGCTCACATATTGGTCTTAGTTTAATCATAATCATATCAATACGAACCACATTGGTTTAGTTTCATTTCTCATCAGATGGTAGCTGTATCTTATCAACAGTGAACATGGTTCTGGTATATTGTTGTAGACTGCCCAGAAACTCTGAACAAATAACACTTTATAAACATGATCCCTCTCCGGTTACCAGTCCATGTTGGGTATGGGATTAGTTATCCAGTTATTTGTTTCAGATGCATGGACCTGATGGCGGAGGAAGCCATAACCGACTAGCAGTTACCTGAACCACCCTACGTTAGCGAGAAGTCTAGCAATCTTCTCACACATTGTAAGAAATGTTTCCTCAATTTAATTATGAGGCACTAGGTTGTGTTCCAGAAAAGTGTTTCGTAATACCTATTTTTCGCAATCATGCCAGTCTTGCGATAATCGTTCAATTTTATGAGCGTAGTACATTCATATTCGGTCAAATGAAGTGATTAATATCCAAAATTTGATACTAATAATTAATTTCATGTATTATTCCCATGGTTTATACGTGATGAGTCCCAAATATATATTCTATTGAGCCAACTTGGCTGTAATTTCTGAGCCATAATCTGGCATCTGTGAATCCTCTCGCACGCAGCTCTCTTCTTTTCGTGGTTTCGGTGAGCGCACCTCCGTCGTTTAGCTCTTGGGATTTGTTATTTTGGAAGTTATGTTTTCATGTTTGTTTTTATTTATTTAGTCAATATTTGGAGTGATGTTCATAGATTAGATTAAATTGTGTGTAATTACTGAAATAAACAGACTCATCGATGTTCATTACTACTGCGATGATGCAATAAAGTCAAAGCAACAAATGTTGGATGAACTATTTGGGATCGGGCTTTTTAAGTATTTCTGGTGTTACTCGCACATTGGATCACACGATATCACTCCACATCATAGTTGGGTGATAGCACCGCTTATTAGCTACACACTTAATTATCCCCTACTGGATTCGAATGTGTGAAGCCACAAAAGATAATCAGAGGTGCTGTAACGAGGTATTTCCAACGCTTAGCAATGTGCGCCAAAGCCCCGAGCCATTGAGACATAAAAAAATTTAAAATATTAATATATCAGCAGGGATAATGATACTCAATCCCATTTTTATAGACACCTTTCAATAAATTGTATTTGGGGCAAGTTTTCACTCATTATACAAAACCGAATACATATTCAGAGAAAATATATTATAACCAATAAATGCATTTTAGCAGTATTCAATGCAGTGCACATCATCCATATTCCATAATTGGTGGTAGAAAATAAATCAAAACATTGCCAAGTTTGAAGAGGAGACTATGCCAGATGAAATAAGTAACGTAATAATAATAATAGTAAATTAAGGATTTTTTTAATTGGAGGACAACTTCCTAATTCATTAAAGTTAAACCAGGTATATAGATTTGTTTTGTTTTCAATGTATGCTGACACAGAGATAGCAATACAATACATATTTTAGGCAGTCAATATTAATATAGTAGCCTACTCTAGAATGAATGTTTAGTAACGCCTCGAATAGAACAATTATATCAAAGAAAAAAATGAATTAGACATAAATGTTTTTTAATTAAATTTGTATAAATTCTGTTTGTGGACAAATTTCTGTCACAGATGCTTTAATCAAATTTTTCAAAACAAACCTCAACAGTGGAGCAGGTGTAGACTTTTCTTAGTGTAGCTTCATATTCACTTGCGGTTGTTCTTGGGATAGATCTGTAAACATGTTAGGTTTTACTGAGAAGTCCAACTAGACATTTGGGAAAATACAGTTTATTTTCAATAATAAACATTTATTTTAACCATATTTCTTAGTAGCGATTACATTTTCTCTAAATACATCTTCCAAATTCTGATATTATTCAGGTATTGCAGCATGTAATATATCGGCCGCCCCTGCCGACCTGTGGGTTTGCTCAAAGCCTTTTTAACGTCTGAGTGGATGCAGAAATGGGGTAATGGGTACAGTACGAGATATTTCACTCAGTGGCTGCTAGTGGTTATTTGGAACTTTGATCAGAGAGGAGCCTTCTCAACTTTTAGCTGCGTGTGTAATCTTGTTTTAAGCAACTCCTTTTATAGTATTACATGCAATAATAGAGAGAGAGAGAGAGAGAGTTTATTTCGTTTTGTCAAACCGAGAAAAAAACAATATATACATACATATATAAATATCAAATAAACAGATGTTTTCGGTATATGACTGGGAAGCAACGATACGACCTTTGGGGGTCATCAAAGTCAGTTACCACCCAATTGAATTCAATTAAATAAGCATAAAAAGAAATAACAGGTTCAGTGTCAATATATCAATACCTCTCATTTTTGTTTACTATATACAATATTTACATGTAATTACCATTTTTCATTATCCATTAAATTTCAAAAATAGATTGGAGCTCAGGCACTCAGATACAAATTATTTAGGAAATGAGCTATTAGCTTGGCATATTGACTTTATAAAATGAAGAATGTTACATTTTATAACACGATTTGGGACAATTTGAATGTGAAAATTTAATAGTCATGATCGAATACATAAAATTATATGAAATGATTTTACAGAGTAAGTATCATGAATGCAATATAAACTTGGCATATTAGCCTTTTGAAATAAAAAAAAAAATGAAGAATGCAACATTTTATAACATTCACATAACACTTTCAATATGAGCATTTAATAATACTATAGTAATCAAATATAAAAATAGAGAGTTAAAGTTGCTTATGAAATAAATCACGAATCATGGCACATAAAATACCATAATGCTACACAATAAGAAAACACCGCACATATTTATGTATTTCAAAATTTGAAAAAAATCTGACCTGTCCAGCCACATGGTCCATGGTGTGTTCAGAGGAATTCCAGACTTTTCTGTATCAGTCAAATCATTGTGAACTTTTCTTGAAAGTCTTGGGGATGCTGTGGAAGGTGAAGGTGTTTTTCGTTCATGAGCTTCAGCAACATAACTTCGATCAAAACCAGGGTTTGGTCGAGAAAACATCGGGCTTGTCATTTTTCATACAATTTTCTGACTTTCGATATTTTTTGGGGGTGACTGGGTAATCAGTTTGAATAATAGTTTTTTTCGAATTCTGGAATTTGCCACTCTCGAGATTTTCCCTATATTGTTGTCCTACGCTTTTATTACTGTATTAGAAAAATTCAACTCGATTAAAAAAAAATTAATCTCAATCTGTCAATACAAATTGCTCTGTGGACTATAAATCCACAATATGACTGTCAGGCTTTTTATATACTTTATGCCAACTATATAGATTAAAATTCTGATTTCTCAAAGAGGTAAATAACCTTTCTGTCGTATATCCACAGTGAAAGTAAAAGTAAGTTTCATTTGAAAACAAACAGGAAGTAGGAAGTCTATCTGATGCGTCGAGATCTTTTATTGGAATTGCTTTGTTTACAGCTGATCCAGCATGACGTCACAGTCAAAACAAACGTGAAAATTAAAGTAACTCGCGGCAGCCTAGAACTGTAGCGATATGCTATCCAACATTTTTTTTAAAACTATTTAAAGCCTGAAATTTTTGAAAAAGCAAATATTTTAATTAAAGTATGTATTTTCCTTCAAAAATTTGCGCGCATAGTTTAAAATACAAATCATTTGTCGATGTAGGTTGCGATGCCTTTAAGTTATGCATGCATGAATGCACATACAATTGTGATTATACTTGACGCAACATATGTCATACAAGGCACGTGACGGTACTCTTTTTGGCCACGGCGATTAATGGATGACCGTGTTAATAGTCACATGCTAGAATGGAATGCATTTGAAGTACAATTCACTCATTCAAAAATGATTTCAAAATTGCGCAATGGGCAAAGCAGCTATGTGAAATGAACTAAGTGTGACACTAAAATTTAACCTTCTTAATCATTAGATGTATGGCATTGTGATAATACACTTTTAGTTCTGTGTTCGATGAATAAAAAGATAAGCTCCGTTCTATGTCGTGACAGGAAAAGTAGTTAATTTACTTTTACAAAAAAACGGACGTTCACGGTTGGTGATGCATCATGATTAATGATGATGGTCGCCAATGAGAGTGATACGCCCACTTTAAATACAGGATATAACTGTATTTGGGCCTACAGGAAATGAGCCCTGAACACATGAGTAAATATATATACTAATATATATAACCATAGATGACTTGGTAACAAACTCAGATATCCGTCGTGAGTGTCAGTTTTTGGTTCGAATTGTAGCCACCATAAATGGTAGATTAGATATCCTACCCTGGTATTTATGCGATGCTCATAGATGGTAAAAACGGATGCGCCGCGAGGTCTGATGTCCAAGCATAGATCGCTGTTGAACTAGGCAGATCTGGTTGTGATAGATAGACGCAGTAGGATCTTCCACTCCCTCCGATGCGCAGCGCTCGGTAGAAGCTTCCACTTCATCACATTCCAAGATTCTCGCAATGAAGTTAGTTGTTATAGCTCTAACCTTCCAGTTGGTCTCTTGTCCGTTATCAGGTTCAAAGAAAAGGTGAAGTGTAGATGCCCCAAGACGAAGATCTACCTCGGCGGCGCATCCATGTATCGGCACTGCAAGGGGCAGTATGCCATTCCTTTTAAACGAACCGAACATGGGAGGTATGCCATAAATACTTCCTAATAATATATTATAAAATATATCGTCATTTTCGAGAGAAGAAAATCGATAAGAAGGCGCACCCCTATCGCTAACCAGGACCTGTTCATGTGGGGTTAATATGACTAAATAGCTAACGTTCTGGGCACCTGTGCTTAAATAATGGGGGGAGAAGCATAAACAACAAGCGAATACATGAACTCCCTGCTTAGCGGGTTTGCTGTTATTCGTTGCATTTTCAAAAAACTCGAAGTCGTTAATTAAAATTTCTGAAAGTGGGTGTCCTACATTTTTGGTTGGATAATTAATAAACTTCCAATAAAACGATTGAAAACGTTCGCACGCGCACCGCGCACATTTCCCAATATCAAATTATCTTTTCTATTGTACGATGATGCTTTCTATTTGGTATCGTTAAACGTGGCTCAAATCCCCCCAAAATGATCTCCAATTGTGATAAAAGAAGCCTATTTTTACGGATTTGAAAAAAATAAATTTTGTGTTCATAGCATCATCTTTCCTGAGCGATGACATTGAATAACTTGCGTGCTACACAACGAGGCGTAACTATAACTAAAACATTGCGTGCTACACAACGAGGCACATGACAGCATGGAATGCAGGAAACGGCTAAATTGCATTGTGGCTTTGTGCGTCATGCGCAGGGTGTTCAAGACACCGCTAAGTGTATTCTGCATTCTAATTCTGATTTCACGTTGCACTCGAAACTTCCCAATAATCGATTATCGATATGAATTAGTGTTTACTGCGTAACGGCACCATTGCATTTTTTTTTTATCTGTTTTGTGCATTTGTTTTAAATTGTTAGTGAATTTGCGTTTTTCTAAAAGCAAACGATGTGTCCTATAGCTTTCTACTTATTCGGATTTGTGCTATACAGTACACACAACCAGGAATTCCATAGGCCTACACAGTATTTTAAATCGGCTTTATTTATATATTAATTCTGGTGATCTCTCAATAAATCCTAATTGTTTTCAATATACTGCCCGATTCTAAATCGCGTTTTTCTGTGTTTGTTTTATTTATATTTGGTGGGCGGGCACGTACATTGTACGCTTTTTAACTTATGCCCGCCTCCCAAGCATCTCTGCATTTTGTTTCGTCCGTTTACTTTTTGTATTGTTTATGTGAGAGAACCAAAATAAATGATTGATTGATTGATTAGTTTACTTATTCGGACGACCGATGATTCGTGCCTGTTTTGAGGATTCGCTTTGAAGGAACTTTCAGGAGAAAACGTAAAATTTGAAAATGAAGGGTTTGAATGGTATATTACGTACAAACATATATTATATATATAGGGTGTCCATGAATAAATGAAACCCGCAAAATTGGTAATCGAATTAATAGGTTCCATTTATTTTTGGACAATAATTTTAGTCTAGTATGAAATATTAAACCGCGACACCCATACATACAAACCGAGCATGTAGATGTATGCACAAAAATCGGAAATGAATAGCTGAACAGTTTATGCAATATTGCAAAGACGAGTGAATCATCAGTATTCACCAAAACCTCCCCTCCTGGAAACGTCACTCAAAATATAAACATGATAGAAATATTATTAATATCTGACTGCAACGCGTATTCATATGCCATGCGGACAAAATGCGGTTTTGTAGACCTAATTGTCACCTCCCAGTTGTATGCAAATCAATTTCGAAAACGCTACGAGACGATTGCGGTTCAATAAACGACTACATATCAGATAGACTTTGCTCATTCGCTGTTGGAACGGTAATCTCGTAGTATATGTACCAGGTTAGGCCATAATTTTATTCCGATTTTCCTTACATTAGTTCTATTACGAGTTCAGGGACTGTCTGTGTTAGTCAAGTGAATATACCCCCTGCCACAGGCTTCCCTCCCTCTACACAACTTGATGTAAAGTAGGCGAATAAAATTAGTTACCTCCATATTGGTACACACACTTCTGGAGCCCCATTTGCTAGAGCTAGATACTCGGCAGTGATGGAATATTATTACACCAGCCATTTTTAAAGTATGAAATCAATAATAATGCATCTACTACTTTCACATTTATTAGTAAATTCCTGCGCCAATAAATGAGGCCGAACAACAAAATGAGAACGATTAAAAATATATAATATCCAAACGATGTGCTCAGTAACGAGAAAAATCATTTTTCATTCAATTGAGACCAAAACAAAAGAAAAACCAACGATATGATGTGAACAATAAACAAACTGAAAAAACAAAAATTTGCATTTGTGTACACTGAATTATATTCTTCATTTTTCATTATATTCTTCATTTATGTTCTGTTTGTAAAATATCTCGTAAAAACCAAACAAGTATGGTGTATAGAATTTAGCAGAAAGAAATATATTTTTCTTCTATTCTCATTTATAACTGAGTCCATATTTCATATAATCGTAATTGACTATTTGTAACTGGGGTAGTCGACCATTGCAACAATGTCACATTTTTTACAAATTGAACGATTAAAATGCCGAAAACAATACGGTAAGAACTTAGATGCAGAAACAAGTAAAATTAACGAGCAAATTGAAATGAAATTTAAACACATCGCGGCCTATAAGTCCAGTCTTGTACACGTCACAATTTTATATTCTTTCAACTAATTGTCTATTATAAATTAAACTCATAGTAACGAGGTTCATTATAAATCGAATTCAATAATCATATAGAAATTCTCCTTAACTCGCTGTTTTGAAAACCGTCGGAGGTAACAAGTCAGCTAATGAAGAGCAGGGCAGATCAGAACAGGAACATGGGAGTGGTGTAAGACGTAGTCACTGACACTATGGAGCAAGGTGCGCATTATTGCTTTCAAGCCACGCGAGCCCATTACAATCATGTCTACCTTCTCCTCCTCAGCAATCTTGATCAATCGATGTCCGATTGATTGATCGCTGTCAATAATTTTGACGTGATGAGGAATCTGAAACATAAGAAAACCATATTCAAATTGAATAATGGTATTAAATAGTGCACTAGCCTAGATCTAAAACAAAGAAGTAAGTTCTGTGATGTGAATCGAAAAATCGATGAACTTAGCGAATGGCCAACTCTCGCCCGGATAACCTAGGCCGAATTGGTCCACAGAGGGCCAATGGCCCGCGTCACATTTGCTGGGAAGGCAACAATCTGGTGGTAAAGTGTTAAAGGGATGAGGCATGTTCTCAATGAGCAGTTTCCAGGTTAAGGGGAATGTTCCTGAGCTCCCATATTTGCTAAAGCTATTTCTCCGTTATGGAGAGACTGAAATTTTATGCAACGAACAGATTGGAAGACGAAACATTGGATGCGTGTTTGCGACTGTCAAAGACTGACATAAATGTTTATATAGCAAGATTGATCAATACTAAATAATGATAAAGGTGTTTCTACAATAATTTTTTTTGTTTTATATCGTTGTTTACATATTCCTTAGCACTGATATAGCACCTGATTCCGACAACCTTGGGCCACCCGTCTTTGGCGGTTATTAGAACAGCTTTCATACTAATCACTCAAGATGAATTAACATAAATCTAACTTGCCTTTTTCAATTCTAATTCGGCAGTGTATTTATATTCAACCTCATGTGCTTTCTTGTTGTGATCGTGCATAACTTTCGCGATTTCCTCGGCTGGATAATGACCTGCGGCTGTAAATATATTCAGTTCATATTGAGCGACATTACATAAATCTACGTTCTGTGGTATTTCAACCACACTTTTGGTATTTTGATGTAAAGATTTATAATACGCACACAAGCGATCATCTAAGACAGTGGTTTTTAACTTTCCCGGTGGAGCGCGAAACCCCGCTAAATCATTTCAGAGACTTCAGGAATCCATGCGGAGTAGTGCAATTGTCTTACACGAAATTATCATTTGATTTTAAACTCTTTGAATCATAAGAGCAGGTTTTCAGGATTTCCCGAAGCGAGAACGTCTTCTGACGCTGAAAGTCGGTTTTTCGGCTTCGGCATCCCGTATGAGGTATGCAAATTTGAAACGTCACATCTCGCGGACCTTAACATTAATTGTCTCACACAAAAAATAACATCTGATCAATGAATGTTCATATAAACGAAAACTTGGTACCAGCAAATCACATTATTTTCAAAGTGTATCAAGTGTAATATTAGTGTCACCCTAATAGGTATTTAATTTACACAATATACATATGATAATATAGACCCCCGGATTTAAATGTAAACTTACGGAAGCCCTGGACTGTATTGGCGGAATCCTAGAATGCCGCGAACACTGGTTGTAAACGAACACCACTGATATAAAGTCAAACCCACTCTGGCTGGTTACACTGGACAGAGTTTTTGACCGAGAAATAAATACATGTCGCAGGATGATATATAGATATCATTAAGTGTTTGGTGAAATAGCACATAGCATTTTCGAATAGCACAATTCGAACGTCGCCCAAGTCAGTTAGTTACCGTAGTTAACCAGTTGATTTCGATCGCAACAGTCGGTCGATTAGCGGTGTGGTTATTCTTTAACTTAACTTAACAATTATTGATTTAACCGCGTGAAAAATCCTATTGTAACTACTCGTTCATGCCCTACGTCATGTGCTTTTGGTAGTACCGCACCGCAATACATTCAGGGAGGCTTATAATATGTGTACGTCAGTAGACAACAACTGACAGCGAGGAGATAAAACACTCAGACATATTCACTTCGAATAAGAATAAACGGACCTCCTGAAGTATGCGCACCAAGATGGCGCACAACCTGAACTCAGGTTGTGTACCAGGTTAGGGTTCCGGTTATGCGACATCTTGGTGCGCATACTTCAGGAGTACCGAAAAAACAAATATCAATGTTTTGGTTTGGAATTATTAGCCTGATAATCCATGCCATCGATACCACAAATACGCGTCGATGGTTTGAAAATCATACAAGAAAAATATATGGAGCTCAAGGCAAATATTGCGGCTCGTCCGATCGAGTTATAATAAGTTCATCAGTGCTCATTCACGTTTGTTTTGTTTTATCTTTTGTCAAAAGTTGAAATACATTATTGTGGTTAGTGCGAATTTCATAGAAATCGAGATAACAAATCAGAAACGACCTTGTTGAAATGTTGTAGTTAAGAATCACACTTAAAATTGAAATAAATATGTTAACGAATTGATTTTTAATGGAAAACAAATTCAGCTAAAAGATAATAATAAATTATTAAAAGAAATCTCGATTTAATATAGACCCACCAAGACATAAAACACGAGTTGGTCATTTATAACATTCAAGTCGGGCCAATGATCTTTGGTGACTGCTAAACCGCAAAATAAGTATTATTATTTTACTGCACTCAACCGTATAGCCATTGAATCACTTGTTACAAATTACATCACTGAAGGCATGATTACTTACGAAAGGACTTTGTAAAAAGGTACCGATTCGGCGCGCAAAACAAATTAAACATGCCTAAAAGTATGCTGAAACCCGCTGGCAATATTAAAATATTTTACCTTTCCAAGAAAATGTTGGTAGATTCGGCTTGTCAGGGCAGTGTACAAGAATAACACCAGTACCTTCCTTGTATATGTTGTCAAAATAAACTAAAATGTGATGATATAGAAACACGGTTATTCGGTTGTTTGTTGAAAATCTAAACAATTCTAGATAGAGAAAAGAGATGCTTCAAATTTTATGCAAACGATATTTATCTGAAATGCAGACGGCCACACTCCCAAAATGAAGCCGGTAATGCATATTGCAATGTAGTTTTTAAGACATTGGAAATTATTTACATCTATCCTGGCGCATTGCCCTTCTTTTGCAACTATAAAGTCTCATAAAGCCAGGAAACCCCAATACTCACATTTGAATGCTTTATCGGTGGCATCAGAGGCATCTATGGCAAACAGAATTTTCAAGCGCGTATCAGCAAACGACAAAGTTGACATCTTGGTGGTGGACAATTTGCTAGACGACATTTTCGCAATGCCTGTATCCCAGCTTCAGTATAAACAAGCTCAGCCTAACACCTGAGATCAGTGTGACAATAAAATGTATACCAAACAGGATTATCAATTTATGTTGATGAAGGAAAAAGTGAATGATCAAACCAAGTATATGATTAAACTGAACTGGAAATATATCATGGCAGCGGGGATTGTAAATTATAATTCTACGACTTGTCTTACGTTAATAAATCACGGGGTATGTGAACAAAACTATATCGCAGGAGAACACGTACTTTGGATGGTATAAATCATGTGAAACTTGAGACTAAGGTGAAATCTTTCTTCCAATCTGCATTTTGGGATAAAAGGAAAATGCGCGAAGGCGGTCTCTCTGCGCGATAAATTAAATAGCCTTTGCATGTTATTTTGTGCCACTACAAATTGGTGTTCCCGAAGTACAGCTGTCAAAAATGGCATACTAAGCCTGTAAATCGTGACCACTCGTGAATATAACAACAAATTAACAGTTATGGCAAAGAACTGTGTAGAACTCTGGACTATAAAAACATTTGGCAATGCTACATGATAGAGGTCTAACAAGTAGTATAGGGTTCCATTATATTTGAACCCACGACAATTGCACCTGCATACTATTGCACCTACTACCAACCCATACTAACCCTAACCCATGGGTTTTAGCACCCGTTTATACATTGGACCCGCGGATATACACATGGGTTCAAATGTACGGTCACCGTAGTTTAGCAACACAAGTACTTCTAATACGCGTGGCCTGACAATTTTCGCAATTACATAGAGTCCATGGCACTCGTAAAATACGTGAATCCAAGATCACAACAGCGTTACGACGCACATAAGGTAAACAACGTAGAGCAAACAGTAGATTTATAAATATGACGTAACAAAGTTTCGGTATTGTTTGTTGCCAGATTTTTGCCTACAATTAAAGTAGGAAATATTTGACAAGTAACAAATGTTTCTTCGATTTTTTCGTTCACCTCGGTACCAATTAGCAACATGAACGTGAAGTCAACACATTTCATTTAAACTAACGCAATAAAGATTTGGAAGTTAATAACCTTACTGGGTCTATAACTCTGTGACAAGTTGACAACGCAACACTTCAAAACCTAACACCAACCACTTAAACCGACAAAATTGGTACTCAGTGCTTGTCTACGGCAGCCAGATTGGTACTGTAGTTTGATTCTAACTAACAGTTCCACAGATTGAGATTAACTGGAAACGCATGTAAAATTTCACAAAGCGGTCTAAATGCAAGCAATCACATGTCTGCCTACCCATTTTACCTGTTAAACAAATATTCAAGACGTGCCATCGATATTTTCGTCTGTACAAATTTTCATTAATTTAATCGGTACAATCTTCTATATATATCATCCTTAATATAGAAATTTTACTGACCCAGTGTACATCAAGTATTACATTGCGGAATTATATATAAGTACGCCAGGATAGGATATTCTAGTTCATAATAATTTCTCAATCTGAGTTACACCACCGCATGGATGAATTATTCATTCAAAACATGAATAACCTTGGTTTATATGGGTATGCGCGATAAATATCTCCATGTGCGAAACCCAAATCTACAGTGCTTGAAATGTTACTTTTCAGGTTCACTGAAATTTAAGAAAATTGACTTCACCTTAACATGATTTCCCACGAAACTGTACCGTATAAGTAGGCATTAAGCCAAATCACTCTTCTGTAATATCAAATATTCATGAAAATTTCAATAATCACGACGTTCTGCGGCTTACATGGTCAGAATTATTCATATTTTGTCTGAACTTAGCATTTATTTAAATGCGTCTTCCCTAATTTTTCATCATACTACTGTATAACTAACTGATCTTGCTACTTTGCGGTTGTACAAGCTGTATCAATGATAATGTGCAATATAGGCTTCTACCAAAGCAAAATCATTTCAAATGCGTAGTTGACTCATAATTGTTCTTCACTTATTCGGTTATTACTTTAAAACGATGACTTCCTATGCTTTAACTGACACGGCTGGAAACACCATGCGATATTGCATTACACGCAAACGCGATTTTCACTGAAAACTATCGTAATCATCACCGCAGCCGTTATACACGAATGCGCTGACTTCATTGTACAAGATCAACGATAAGGCTTCTGAGCAAACCTCAAAGAATTGGCTACACTATAGTAAATGGTACATCTTCTGGCTTTGCGGGTGTTTAAAAAAACATTGAGATTGTCTTTCACCGTCTCTTTCAGTGCATTCTTTTCTTTTTGTAAAATATCAACCTGATACTGTAGCAAGGTCGAATCACTGTATCATGCTGTTCTAATTTTGGCGGCAGCCACGCGGGAATTAATTTTTTGAATACCGTATAAATTCCGATTGGTAATTTTGCAAGCAGAAACATTTTCTAACTGAACGTGAAAAATAACTTCCCTGGCGCCAAGTATAAAGCCAAAGACTGTTCATAAAACCAATCGCTTATAAGCACGTTGACGTCAATTAGGTAAACAGCGAGTTCAACAGCCACACCTACGTAATTCGAGAAATTAAGCTAAACGCATTGCGCTATCCGTAATTTTTATACAGAGACATATAAACCAGTGAGCACTTACTTTGTATAGACTCCATTTAACCGTTCAAATAACACATAAAGCCTTAATTCTAGTTCTTGCAAAATGGGGGAAACATTAACTCACTCGGCAATTCATTTTATCTGTGGCTGAAAGCAATCGTGTGAAACAAACTCACGGTAATAACCAATACGTCTATAGGATTCGCTTGAATGACTTTGTTTGCCGACGGTAAGTTAACCAAAATGTGTGGTTTGCTAAATAGTAAGCTTATGTACAGGCCACGTTGCTGGCCTACGCTTCCTCGAATACTTTTGCTAGATTGAGTTGGCGGCATCGAATATAGACATAGCTTAATCTTGCGAAATTGTAGATTGCCACAAAAAACTAAGGTTTTTCAAAAACGTAGCAAAAAATTAATATTGCTATTAACGAATTTGAATTGCAAACGCACATGCACTTCATAAAGGAATGGTCTTTGCTCGCTACGCATACCTAGTGACTACCTACACTTGTAGCGTTGACGCATTGTAGATTGACACAAAAATGTCACCGAATGTCACTAATGTCACCGAAGAAAAAGGCTAACAAATAACATTGATATAACCGAATTTGAATTGGTAAATGTACAAACACTTATTGAAGAGATAGCCTTTTCGCACTGCAAATACCTCATGTCTACGCCTGTAGACAACTTATACCTATTACCGTACATCGGAACCTATCGGTCTAGCCGCAATGTTATTTGTATGCGTATTTAAACATAAATTACCCTATTTCCACGTAACATTACATCTGTGCGCATCTGTTGTTTCATGTTCAAGGCGCTTGTTTGCGGCATATCGAATTGCCGTGAACGGTTTTACATGGATTTTATAAAATGCTAGAATAAATTGCAATCTGAATATTTTGGATTATTATTGCGAAGTATTTCTTTTGGAACTGCCAAGAGACTATCAAAAAAGTGTATATATCTGTCAAATTTGAATTGTACTTAAAAATCAACACGTAAAATATCACTGTTCTTCAAGTTCAAGAAGAACGATAAAAATTTGCGAGACAATAAAATTCCACACCCTACGTACCTAAAAATCATCGCAAAACATTTACTATAAGTCCAAGTACTCCGAAGCCTTGAGTCTTTTTCTTATTTTGTAGTACTGCGCATCTTATCAATGAAGAGTATACGGTCCCGAATCAGTTAGCCAAGCTGTCTGACTCTGTGGCGTTAGTTCGGAGGGCTGCAATTTCCACGCACAAAATATTGGTGTCTCGCTGAAGTAAAAAGAATCGGTTGCAAAGTATTGCAGATGTTATTGAGTTTTGCTATATTAAAAACTGCTGGAAAAACTGTGTTATTTTTTTTTTCTAATTAAACAACGACTTGACTATACAAAAAAACAGAGAAATTGTGCAAGCTAATGGAAGACTTGTCTAATACAAGTGCTGTTAAATTTTTACATATATTTCAGGATATATATATATATATATTGCTAATGATAATGAAGTGCATGTTCAAAATTTTGCAATATATATAATAGTTTTGGTTAATTGTTGTAGTTGTTGTCGTTTTCGACGAATATTGGACCAAGCTATTTCAAATATTCTCTTCTCGAAGACGGAAGAAGTCGTTGGGAGACTATTATTTTATTTATTATTATTTTTCAAATATTTCTGAGTCCTGCGGGGCACAAAATCTCACACAAAAAAATTGGAATTCGTTGGGAACACGGGCATTATATACAGGGTGTTAAAAAGTAACGCAAAATTAACAGAAGTTAAGATGAAATGCTACTTAAAACATTTAACGACTGACACCTTTTAACAGAATTGAATTACGGTAAAATGTCATTTTTACATTTCACGACTAACGCTTTTCAGTTGCTTTTTTAAGGTTACCATGACGAAAAATTTACCTTGATTTTCGTAACTTTTAACACCCTGTATATGTCATCTAGTTGCTAGTATACATCTTCAAATATGTAACATATCTGGTAGGTTTTTTTTATCATTTGACTGAAAGTGCAGTAGTCATTTGACATTGGTGGTCATATTTGCACTGTTCCACCAGTCTTAAATAATTCTGATAAGGCATTGCAGTATTTTATAGATGTGCTTCCTATACATCCTGTTGAACAACTTGTCTTGTGTGACTTTCTTCAAGCTAAATCGGAAGTAAATTAGTCGCGACTTCCCTTGAGATGTGTTCGTGTTCCGTGTATCAATACCGCAGAGTAATTTGCAATCTCTTGCTGTCATAGTGTTAGTGCGTGTAGGATCACTGTAAAAAGACGCGAAGTTGCCTGGTGTCATTTGTATTTCAGTTAAGGAAATTTAATTTCTGCGACATACTGTAATATTTAACGCTGTCAGTGTAAGAACTTCGCATAATATTCTTATTTCCTAGTTTACTGAATGGGCAGTACATATACTCAATGGCGCGCGTACCCGTTCTTGGAATAATGTGATAACTAGCGAACCCAGTGGTGAGCTGTAGCCGGACCGGCGTTCCGGTTTTAGACATTTTATTGCATTTGCGTTCCTGTTGTTAAAATAAAATTTTGGTTAAAAAGACCTTTGACCCCGTGAAAATTCACATTATACCTTTTCAATAATAACATTTGTATTGAATTGCTATGAATATTCTTGTAATTTTATATTTAAATATATTTCAAATAATTTATTCATATTTCATTGCAGTTCTTCGACTCTATCTTAGGACAGACTAAACTTTCTGTAAAATCCGCCTCGTGTTGTGAATATATCAAATTCTTTGAGAATTAGGTGCGTTCTGGTTGTTACGATTTTCACAGCTCATCACTGAGCGAACCTCATTTTTATTTTCTGTTTTAAACATTGGACGACGCAGCTAATGGTTGTACGCAGCTAACGACTTACATTATATTTGGCGTTTGGAAAGTTATGTAGTACATTTATGTAAATCATGTCGTGTTAATATAGTGACATACATGCATTTTCTGAAATGAGTAAACCTATTGTTATGAGTCAGATATACGAAAGAAACCCCATTATTGAAATACCGAATCCCATCACTACACACGAGTTATTGATGCTCAAAATTACCTTGTGTTTGTTATCGTTATACAGGAATGTCTGAATCGGTAACGAATCTTTATCGATTTCAGACTGAAAATATTCGATTTACATGACAAATATCTTTGTTACATTTCATTTCAGCTTGGAATATATTTAATCATGGCGGAGAATACATCGTGGCTTCTTGGAGGAAGTTCCCATAACAAGCAACAAATTCGAACAGACTGGACAAGATGGCTGGTAGCAATATTGCTGGTAACCAGTGGTTTTTTGTTGTCCATTTGTAGGCGCATATTTGCGGTAGCTAACAATGTAACTATAGGCGATCTTCATATCTCTAACCAAACGTTCTACCTTTTGACACTTGCTGGGGATATTGGAATGTTGATTGGATCACCCATTGTGGGATATATTGCCATGGTAAAGCAAACAAGAGTGAAGATCTGGTTTATTGTAATATTTGCAATATTATGGATTTCGTTCGTGATATTCGCACTTGCATTATTTCTCCAGTACACGATGGCTTTATGCATTGCGGCACAAATTGCCATAGGCATCGGATCAAGCATATATTTTATGCTTATTCCCCTTTCTGCTACAGTTTGGTTTGGTGAACGAGAGCAGGCAACAGCGTTCAGTTTAGGTTGGTCTGCTATGCTATTTGCAGGCTTGTTCTGTTCCTTTTTACCGGGTACAATCGTGTCCAAACTCTACGCCATAAATGGAGATGACACCCTCAGTCGTACCATGGCACGTATGTTTGTTGCTCTTGGATTTTTGAGTTCCGGGTTATTGATGGTTGCTTGCGTCAACTTCCCGAATTTCCCAGCGACACCACCTTCTTATGCTGAAATGCAACGTTTGGCTCTTACGAAGCAAATGGGAAATGAAACTCTGTCTTATGCGCTGCGTCGTTTCCTAAAGGAAATACGATTTCTCATTACGGACAGGACAAGTTTTATTCTGGCATTATGGTTCAATCTCAATATCGCTATATATGTAGCGGAATACACTCGCTTTCCACCGCCAACAAGTCCCGATTTACTAGCGTTTTCATCGGGCGGTTTCTTTGGTTGCATATTTATGGGAATTGCCCTCGACCGTCTAAAATCTTACAACCCACTTGCAAATATCATGGGAGTATCAACAATAATTAGCAGCATATCAGTGACTCTAAGCTGTGCTTCAAAATGACGGATTTATTTATCGTCAGTAAAGTATTTTACGGATTCACCATGATGGCATCTTTCCCTTTCATACTTGAAATATTGAAACAGCATGTTTATCCCAGAATACACGACACGACGCAAGGAGTTTTTGTAGCTATAACAGGAAGTATTCTTCACGCAATCGTTCCGCCTTTGATGAGTATCGCTACAGACAAGTACGGGAAGGTAGCGTTTTATGTTGTCACATCGATTTTGCTTTTTGTCAGTGAAATTTTGATACTTTGCAATAATCCTCAGCTGAACAGATTCACTTTTGAAAATGATTCCACGAAAAAAGAAGATGAAAGAGTACCGGTGATGGAGGGAGAACCTTCACATTGACATTTTTAGTAATAAATGAGGATCTAACGCAGTTCTGCTCAAAACTGCTGTAACCCGATGTAACTTCACTAAAAGTACTCTGCGCTATTGTTTCAGGCGAATCATTTGACAAAGAACATGAGGACAAAAATGGCTGTAGCGAATTGGTAAAACAACATGGTTTGGTGTGTGCAATTTTGCTGCAATAGAATTTCATGTGAAGTTTTTTTTTTCATCACATTTGCGTTACATATTTTCCAGAGTTCAGCACGAAATGGTTTATATTTCTTCAAATAATAATAAAATAAAATGTGTTCTGAAATCATAATAGAATTACCCCAATAGCACTGAATTCCGACAAATATTTACCGTTATGTGAGATCTTCGTTTGTTCAATATATATATATATACAAAACGGAACTTCATCGAGATTACAAGAGCAACAAATGCTACGACAAACCCACAGACAGAAGAAATTGATATGTTCCTCGGCTGTATGCATCAGCTGACGAGCTAATATTCGCTTGGCGGAAAGCTCAAAATTTAACCTCACATAGAAGACCAAATGCTGGAATGATTCAAATTATTGAAAGCGAACAAAACCGTTAGTGGTATTTTAGCCCAACTTGAAACTCCACACGGCTGTATTTGAGGTGTTTTATCAGCGGTTCCAACCGGGGGCCACGGAGCAGTTGGAGATGCCACAATGCTGGGCGCAAAACTTATTTTACTTTTCCCTTTTGGGGAAAAATCCCTAGCTTCTTAGTTTCATTGCTTGACAAGGTTATTTCACGGGGTGATTTCACTTTGTTGGGCATGAATTGTTTAAACCCGATGGGATTTGGAATACACCGATCAAAATACCACTATGAATACCATTGAAATATTAACGGGGGGGGGGGGGGGCATGAGTGCTATAAGCCTCCGGAAGGGGTTCACGAGCCATAAAAGGTTAGGAGCCACGTGGATGTACATCTGAATCCAAGCTTAGGACCGAGCTATAGCGATCGAAGGAAGTAGAATTGCATGAACTACCCGTGAATATTACAACATGCCTCGTTATAATGGGAAGATTCGTCATTGAAGAAGTATTTCATGCATTCAATACAGTTTAATTGTCATATTATCAAACTAAAGTGATGATGAACAGTGAGAATAAAAGTCAATAAAAATAAACCAATCTGGTCGAAAGTTGAATAAAATAATCAGTGGATGAATGTTTTACTTGAAATAAAATGGAAACCTTTTTATTCTGAATAAGTTATATTGAATTAATGCGAAATTATCGGTATTTTATGCTGTCAGAATAAATAAAAATGTTGATTTTTCATCGGAAAATTATAATTTAATAACATTCATTAACATCTTCTTATGATCGTACATCGTTGTCTTATACGCCTTATGCTGATCTGTTCTTTGGGTAATTGTATTCTCCATCTTCATAAATGACCTGGAGAAGTGGGACAGTAGGTGGTCGAGTTTGATAGGCCTTAGTGTTGACAGAAATGGCCTGAACTCTTTGCATTGGACGTGCTATTGCGTCTTCTATTATAGCTTCCTTGTTTGACCGATCAGCGTATCTGTTCCATTCAACTTCTTGTTTCTTGCTTGAACGAATTAAGATGTAAGTTGTGAATGAAGATGCAAGCATGCATGATCCTATGAGAGGCCACAGAGCACGGTGGTGAGAGTATTGACGGAATGCATCTCTGAAGAAATCCATCTTGTTTATTATTATGATATTGAGTCTGAACAAAGCAATGTAATATTAAGAATACGTAAATAGGGGTTTCATGTATCAAATATAATAAACTTTTCTGTTGCAAACAGGTGTTCCATCTCGCAGTTATAAAACTGAACTGAGAAATCACGTAAATTATTCGATTTAACTAAACTCCCAATAAAAACATCAATCCGTTTCTCGCAATCAATAATGGCAAATCTGATTTAAGCCTACGCTCTCAAGATGGAAATCTAAGTTATTGTTTCAAAATTCGGTACAATTTAACTTGAGGCAACTGAAACTAAATATACGTTATTGCTTGCTCAACCTGATATTACCATAAGGTAATATATATGAACAATTTGGAACTTCAATTTCAACATGAATCATATACGAGAATTACTTTTGTATCAGTAACGATAGCCTTTTCTTTTTCCAAATTGCATACAAGAGTAATGCGTTTTTATACTGATGCGATTATCAATTCCGATTTATATACTTAGATGGCTTACATTTTTTTCTTTTTCAAATTCGCGATGTGATAATATAGATTAACAGATGTCGCAATATGTGATAACATCTGTTACATGATGAAGTGCAAAACTCAACAGTATTGGTAATTGAACCCCGCTTCGAAATTTGGAGAGAAAAATTTATGTTGGGAATATTTTCAAAACGCACTACATAAGATAGAAACTGGCTTTATCTCAAAGTAAGTGTTGGTATGTGCAGAAATATATAATGAAACACTTTCAGTACTGGTTGTCCTCAATCGACCGCTATCTGGATCTATTAATCGTTTTCAATGTAGCATTCTGGCGTGCGAGCACTTTACACTATTATTGGTGACGAAATTCCTTTTTTGAGCGAAATGTTTCTTGCATTCTCGCGTTTATTTTGCGCTCAGAAAGTTAAAGCTTTGTGGATAATTAATGCAAGATGAACCCGCGTAAAAGATTAAAATAATTTCGAGATTGTCCAAGTTACTTACACATGGGCATCTGTAAGAATCAGAGCAACGAGAGGTTATTGCTGACGGTGCTCGTTTTGGGGGAATATAATCGTCAAAGTTGATTTTGTCAAGATTGTCAATTTCGTAGAATCAGGGGACAATAAGACATTTTGATGACGGCAGTGGCGTAGCCAGGGTGGTGGTTTTGCGGGTCGGAACCCCCCCTTTTGAAATGTAAAAAAAATAAAATCATTTTTCTGTATCATAGATAGCAATTTTCCGTAATAATGCCAACACACCGAAGTACTTATTGGTGAAATCAAACTATTTATTGTACTCACCTTCTACTGATCTTTTCCTATTTACAAGCTAACAGACTTGTTGCTGGCACCGTTCTTCCCTAATAACTTATAGCCTAAATGAGGTTATTTTAAAAATGCAAGAACTTTTATTTTGTTATTTTCATTATGACGTCACAAAATGTCGCCGAATGAGAGCAGAACAGGCCTAAGTCACAATTTCGAGTTTTGAGAAAAACGCAAAAAACAATTTGGAATTTTTTTATTTTTGAATTTCTAGATATTCACACTTAGTAAAGACCTGAGCTCTGGTTATTTTAATGTGGATGTGAATATCTTTGTAATCCATATTTTTTGGCACTTCAGCTTCAATTCCTTCCTGCTTTTTTAACCCCATAATGGACTTTGGCCCATTCTGTTCTCAACAACTTCTGAATTTTTTTGTATGGGATGCAAGGTAAAACAAGGTGACATAGGCCTAAGTTGCACTGAAGAAATTTTTAGGGATGTAAGTTTCGGACATTTCATTCATGATGTTCATTACCATCATATTGGAACTTGGGACTAGCTTTTTTCAATATTTTGGGGTTTTGAGCCATGCTCTACAAGGTGGTGGTCTTGAAATTCTGAATTTCATAATATTAAAAATTTTAGCTGGACTTAGGCTCATTCTGTTCTTAACTTCTACAGTCCTAAGTCCAGCTAAGATTTTTATTATTGAGAAATTCAGGATTTCAAGACCAACCTTGTAGAGCATGGCTCAAAACCCCAAAATATTGGAAAAAGGGAATTTTGCAAAAATAATTTTATAATAACTACCCGTTATTAGGGTTCGCGCTAGGTTATAACAAAAGCTCAAAACCGTTTCGTCTAAGCTAGGGTTAATTCAGTTATTTATAATTTTTACTATCCGTATAGCGGATATATCTGTATTTTACTTAAACAATGTACTCTACTTTTTTTTCGAGGTTAGGCTTCTTACTTGTGTGACCATATATTTGCTGTTATGTTAAAAGAGGGTTATCACGGAACAATTTTTGTGGCGAAATTAATTCTATATCATTTTTTAGAATATTTTTGTGTTTACCGCTAACGTAAAGTGGGTCCCGTTAGCGAGATACGAGTTTTCAAATTGACAGGTAATTAGTAGGGTGGTCCGCTGATGACCATACACTGAGAACCCGTCAGTACAGTTTTGCATTCGGTTAAATGCCATTATAAGATTCTGTGTTCTTATTTTGAACCGCATGATAGTAACATTGTATTCAGCAAACGCCGCAGTGGTTTAAATTCATACCAATATCTTCAAATAATATCGTTGCATTATTGGAAATGTAAGTAAAAATATACTCGATCTCTCTACCAGAGTCAAGTGAACGAGCAGTGAGCCCATTTATTACATATAACAAAACTCTGGTGTTATCCCAAACCATTTCGTATCAGCATTGCTTCTCTGTAACACATATTTTGTTTTATATTCATTATGTATGTATATATATCGTCACGCTAATAACCGAATTGCGTAAGTCATTTTCAGCAGTTTTGAGAAAAACGTAAAAAACTTCCTAATGATATTGTTATGCCATTGGGAGTCAATAATTTACCATGGTTCAATTTTTTGATCGTAGCCGGATTTAAGTTAACGCAATTTTGCAACTTTACTATATGCACCAGTCCTGAAAACTAAACATTCCAAAAACGAATGCAATTCTCATTATCTACATTACAATGTCTAATCCCCAAAATAGCTAATCAGTTTCAATTACATTTTTTTATGTTTAAAAATATATATTTCATCAATATAACACGTTCTGCACACCCACCGAAGTGAGACTAAGATTAAATATAAAGAATAAAACAGCAATGCACCCAATATAAAAGCCAACCAATGTGAATTGGACTCGGACAGTAAATATCACAAGTGCACGTCTTCCTATACTGTAGTATAAATTCAAATTAATACGCACTAAGCTAGAATCCGAGATGCAAAAACTCAAAAATACTTAGCAGAGGTTATTTTGCCTTTGTGACGTCACAATAGTACTGCGGTAACAATGATATTTCATTATGACGAAACAATTGCACAAATGTGCATGTCATACTGAATCTCCATTTTTATGGGTTTCAGAATTCTTAAAATAAAATCTGAGGTAACAGATAGGTGCGCAGCATTACATAAATACCTATTTTATGAAAAACTCAAAATCGCCAAAAATGTCTTACGCAATTCGGTTATTAGCGTGACGATATATATATATCCCAAATAGCCTACATTCATAAAATGAGTAGTTGCTGCAAACACGTCGTTCAGCTTAAATTACGTGAAATTATCCGATATAATTGGAATACCCGATAAAAATATCAATTATTTCTTATCACGCGATCAATAATGAAGCTCTGATTTAAACCCGCACCCTTAATCAATACATTGTGTTAATCTATTAGTCTGATGGAAAATCGAAATTATTGTTATGGAATTAGTTACTGTTACTCTGATACAAATAATTGTTAACGTAAGCTATATTATCTTGTCGCCAAGGGTTTAGCACAATGGTTAAGAATATAAAAATGTGAAATGCAAATTCGACAGAAATTAGTTTCTTATATATTTCATTCTTTTAATATGAAGCTATCTTCAATACTCCAAAACCTCTAACTTCTACTCTGGCCATTTGAGAGATCATAATTGAATCTGTACAGTTGGCCCTTTGCTTTTCCATATCACATAAAAGAGCATTTCTTTTCAATGCTAATGCTTACGAATTCCGATTTATATATGTAGTTGACTTAATCAGTGCGTGATATAGCAAATTAACAGATGCCTCTGAAAAGTGACAAAATCTTTTATATACCAGGAGAGCGATAGCCCAAACATACTAAATTCAGGCAAATGTTACATGAGATATTTTTTTGTTGGATATTACAAAGATGAACTGCGGAGACCTCACAATGGAAATAATGCTGGGGTTCGCTTCCGCAGGCTGGCAAAATGAAAATATCCCGACGGTGTAACATCGCCATCCGTGGCAGCACATATTTTGCACCCATGATATTTGCACTTGCATACGTTTGCCCTTACGAAAATCTGCGCCCACAGCTTTTAGCACCCCCCAAAGTTTGCACCTGTGTACATTTGTACCCATAAACGTTTGTACCAATGGAATTAGCAAATACGTATCCTTGCAATCACGGAGATTTTCACACTCTGGCATTTCCACCCGCACAGGTTTATTATCAACCGCGACTATATATTTATATATATATATATCCTTCATTTATAAAATAGTTACGATCATTTTCATTCAACGTAATAATGAATATAAACCGTGCATCTGTGGTGTTTGATTGGTACACGCGAGCAAAAAGATATGCATCCCGTCAGAGTTACATAACAGCTTGTGTAAAACGTGCTGCGACAAGCACCTAGATTTAGAAACTCAAGAAAGCACATTTACGACAGACGTACTTGTTTTTCATTGTTATGTCATAATAGTATCTAACGTTGCGATTTGTTTCCACCTGTTTCAAGGTTTCACGATAACTCCGTTGCAGGTGTGAATCAAAATTAAATGTGCACAGCGAGTTCGTATCTATTGAAAGTTATAATATTTGAATGTCCAGCACTCGCCTGCAGATGGCATTATAGTCCCTTACTGCAACCTTTTTCAGTTCGCGATCCGGTAAAATTTCAAAACAAATTTTGCGGACCGGCGGACCTTTAAAATGAACCAAAAATGTCATGAACACAAAAAATATTCAAAAGAATGCAATTACGACAAAAGTAGGCGGTACAAAAGAAGACAATCCAATTTAATGAGAAATTTGATGCTGTCTTTTTAATATTATACGTGTTAAACGCGATTCTAATGTAGTTTCTGCAAGACGGAGTAGAGCGTTGTCTTCCCCACTATTTCGTTAACTTTGCTGGTTTCATTACGTCGTTTGAAAGAATTTTGGCGCAAACTAGGCACATAGGAATCGGAACTTTTTCGCTGCTGGGAGCAACAGTGAAACTTAGCTCCAAATACTTCTTGGTTTTCGCCGCTGGGTTTCTTTTGAAAGAACTGGATAATACTTTGCTGTTTGTTTGCCTTTATTTTACTATCAAACCTCGCAAAATTATAGGCCTACTGTCAAATTACGGAACGTGTGAACTGCGAAGTATCGTACAATGTGCTATCAAACTCTTCCATTATGACGTTAGCTGCCGTTATGAGGTCATAGACTTATCGAACATCCAGCCGTTCAAGGTTGGATGTGGGCAGAGTACCTCTCACCAAGTTTGATTGTTAGACGAATACCGGTACTACGAATCAATAAGAGTTAAAAAAATCACAAAATATTCGTGGGTGAAAATGTCGAAAGATGCAATCTTTATAAAGATGCTGCAATCGGTGTGTTCAAATGTACTGGGTGCAGTTTACAGGTGAACGATAATGAAACCTATGCTATATTAGCTGGCGAAGTCATTTTTGCTTAACGAAAAAGCTTGAGAACAAAATTTCCGCTTGCCGATTTCGAGCTCAACTAGAGCGCACCTTATATAGCGGGTGAACACCCCTCCCCCCTCCCACCCAAACACCCCCCTAATTTTCAGGTGTGACAGCATATATACTTCAATTCCTAACGCAGATAAACAAGTATTTGAATATTCAGAAAGTGGGGTCACATGCCGATGAAGATGATCAGTCAATTACATAACATAAATTCGTTATTTCAAGTAGAATTTATAAAAAAGACTACAAATTGCTTATTTCGAAATTCTCCAAATTCATAAATTAGATCGATAAAGGGCCCGTTGTAATTATACAACAAATGCCAACCAAAAATATAATTGGATCGATGACACCAGATGCTAATTAGTATTCCAACCCGAATCGATAACCCTAATGGAATCGATATCACCATACGCGCATACGTATAAAAAGGTTTCAATTGGATATTTGGGGGGAAGGTATTGAAGAAGTCATTATTGAGAGGTCTTGTATTAGGAGTCAAGTCGTCTAGAGCGGTGTCGTGTCGTCATGTCTTCATCGTTTGTGCTCCGTGTATATCTACAATATTAAACTACATCAACAACGTTCAACAACATGTTCCTATATGCTACAATTTCTTACTTGGCTAAAATGGTAATCCCGAACAAAGAATAGCAAACCTTCAGATGTGGAGTCGAAATCGATAAAGGTGACCCAACAAAACAACAACAGCGCATATAGAAGAAGAAAAATATCAACAACAGTAAAGATGGTACAAAATAAAGGTATCACCGCACGAGAGAACAAAGGTACGGAATCGGAAAAGAATTAGACGACGAAGGATACGACGACGAAGGATAAAGACCAAGTCCGCACAATGAACTTTTGTTTAAATTCAAAAATACAAGGTGAAAAATTGTATCAGGCTAAATTAAACTGATGGTATTATACAACGAACGATAACTTTTAAAAAAAGTACGAAGGAAGCGCACGCTTGTAGATATTTTTAAAGATCACAGCAAAAAATGATCGAGCAATACAATCGAATGAAAATATTATCCATCAATTTGTTTTACTTTGTTATATATACATACGATTTTTTTCTTACTGGGACATTTATCGTACTACTTCCTTTCTCAATGTATAGTCCTTCTTTAACTTCTTTGGCGATATTAATTAGGATCTTAATTTCTATGAATTGCTTGAAAACAGAGTTTGAGTGTTTACTCAAATTGCAAATAATCTTATGGCCAATTGATTATGCAAGCAAGGTGAATATTCAATTTCAAAATTCTTGTGATTTATAATAATTGAAAATTGACGGATGTAAACTATTTCTATTAGATAGATTTCATCAACACTGAACTATTTTGAAAAAAGATGATTCAAATGAGTCACTCTTGTAAGCGTTTATAACATCGTCATAAGAACGGTGCATAAATGAGCTCATCAATATATTCGTTAAACACAAGTATATGACAATTTTTTTAACAAAAAAAGCGCTATTTTTTTTTTTTTTTTTCAAAGCCCGAAGCTGGCATTATCAACATATCGCAACAAGCGAACTTACAAAGCGCTATTTATTCAAACACATGAGCTATCCGTAATTCAGTGTGACAAAGTATATTGGATTGAAAGATCAGTTTTATCTGTCGAAATCAAATTTAAAAAACAATAAATCGCCTTTTCTTTTCTAATCGATACTCTTACTGTCATCCTACTTCCCTCTCATTATTAAATCTTCTCGTCCCATATTTTTGAAATTTCATTATGTATATTTTTCGATTGTGTTTTTTATTGTCATATTCAATGTGTTTTTGAAATTTACGTATGTTAGGTGACAAATATGCCCAAAACCCCGATTTCCAATCTAAAGGGCGTAGATATATTTAAGGATAATTCGTTATTTCAAGTAGAATTTATAAAAAGACTAAAAATTGCTTATTTCGAAATTCTCCAAATTCATAAATTAGATCGATAAAGGGCCCGTTGTAATTATACAACAAATGCCAACCAAAAATATAATTGGATCGATGACACCAGATGCTAATTAGTATTCCAACCCGAATCGATAACCCTAATGGAATCGATATCACCATACGCGCATACGTATAAAAAGGTTTCAATTGGATATTTGGGGGGAAGGTATTGAAGAAGTCATGTATTGAGAGGTCTTGTATTAGGAGTCAAGTCGTCTAGAGCGGTGTCGTGTCGTCATGTATTCATCGTTTGTGCTCCGTGTATATCTACAATATTAAACTACATCAACAACGTTCAACAACATGTTCCTATATGCTACAATCTCTTTAATGGCTAAACTATGAATAACTATACAGTACTAATTATGTTATTTGTGTAACCGGTGTCGCGAAGGACCTAAAAGGTCTTCAAGCAGCAACAACTACAGCGCTGTTACAGGTTAGCATAAAAAGTAACATGAGTAATAAAATATATGGTTCCCGTACATTTGAACCCACGACAATTGCACATGCATACTATTGCACCTATGGAATTTTTTTTTGTTTTGCGGATATTTCAACCCATACTAACTCTAGCCTATGGGTTTGAGCACCCGCATATAGATTAAACCCGCGGATATACACATGGGATCAAATGAACGATCACCAAAATGTATGAATCCTAACAACGAGTCACAACTGATGCAAATTCAGTAGTTTTGACATTAGAAATATTTGAGATTATGACACATAGTAAAACTAGGAATATGTAACAATCTCGGAATAATTACTAATAAAAATGCAAGGAAAGCAGAATAAAAAAAAAAAAAAATTATAGAAAAGGCAAATTTGGCAAAATATACAAACAACTAAAAACCAGACAAGGCAAACACCAACACAACACACGGTAAGGTTTTGTATGTGAACAATAAAGCATGATGGAGGCTTGATAAGTATTCGAATGATTTCAAGGTTGTTTAGCTACACATAGCCCTGCAGAATTCTGTGATAATTAAAGCAATAAGAGGTTATTGATATCAGTGTTTCTTTCGGATGAATATAATCGTTAAAGTTAAAGTATCAGAGGGCCAGTCTGACATTTTGATTATGGACTTAGAAATAGGTATGGTTTTCGAATAATGCCAACACACCGAAGTACTGGTGAAATCAAACTATTTATTGTAGTCACCTCCTACGGATTTTTCCCTATTTAAAATCTAACAGGCTTGCAGCCAGTAGTGGGATAGAAATTTTTTGTCAGCCGGTTTCTAGACAAAAGTCATATCTTTCAGCCGGTTCTGTTACAAACAGAACATTGACAGTAACCAGTAATGCTAACCGGTTCGCTGATCCCATACAATTCCGTGAGACGGTTCTATAGAACCGGTGCGAACCGGCTGAATCCCACCACTGCTTGCAGCTGGTACTAATACAGACAAAAATTATACTGTATTGAATTAACCCATTAGTTTTAATTACTTCCGATAATCATGTTTAGACTTGCTCTCATTTGTTTGTTTTTGTTAAGAGCCCAAGACCGAGAGAAAGTGTGACGTTTTTGGCCATGGTGGTGCAATATTCTCTTTTATCAGCTGTTTTGCATCCATGTGCAGGTTGTTATTATTGTGTCATACCTGCTTCCCTATTTATTTGTGTCAGAGACGGTGCAATGAGGCACTCTTGTCACATAAATTTCTTTTTAGATGCTTCGGTTACCTAGCGGCATTGATTTGCAAAGTGTAGGGTTTTTAATTCTACTAATTTAGGCCTGCTAAAATACTTAGGCAAGTTTGTAGTTCACGGCTATTTAGTAATTTAGGTTCTAATTAATTTTATATTTGAGGCTAATTATGATATTTACTTTTTGTTGCGTCTTGTAGTTAAATTTGAGTGCCGTACTGTTTTGTTGGACTGGAGACACAAATATATTGTAGGCGGTTCCATTACATTTGAACCCACGACGATTTCATCGGCATACTATTGCACCTATGGAAATGTTTTTGTTTTACGGATATTTGAACCCATACTAACCCAAACCCATGGGTTTTGTACTCGCATATAGATTGAACCCGCGAATATACACATGGGTTCAAATGTACATGGGTTCAAATGTACGGTTACCATTGTAGGCCTAAGTGTAACCATACGTTACACGTATATACGTCATACATACATACACACATGTATCCGTCGTTTACTGTGCTACACTGCCGTGCTTTTACCTGATTGTGGAATTTCACTGAAATGTGACTTGTATATACTGTACATATACTTTTATTACAAGTTCATTCAATACAAGTTGGATGTGTTATGTGTGCGTTACAATCCCAACGTAAATTTTTCTCTACAAAATTCGAAGCGGAGTTCAATTATCAATACTGTTGAGTTTTGCACTTCATCATGTAACAGATGTTGTCACTCACGTATTGCGACATCTGTTAATTCGTGTTATCACATAATGGATTTGAAAAAAAAAATGTAAGACATCCAAGTATATAAGTGAGAAATGATAATTATTCGAATCAGTATCAAAACGCATTACCCTTGTTTGCAATTCGGAAAAGGAAAGGCGATCGGTGCTGATACAAAAGTAATTCTATATGATCAATGAAGGAGTTAAATTTCCGAATTGTTTATGTACCTATTTATGGTGGTAATACCATGTTGAGCAAGAAATAACGTGTATTAGGTTCAGTTGCACCAAGTTAAATTGTTTATCAATTTTAGAACAATACAATCCTTCTGAGTGATTGAAAGCGTGGGTTTGAAACAGAATTGTTCTTATTGGTTGTGTGATACGGATTATTTGATATTTTATTGGGTTACGTAATTTCTCAGTTCAGTTTTGAAATGGCGAGCTGAAAGGTGCTTTTGTAGCATCTAATCGTGGCAGTCACGTAATAAGTACAGTTAGCACCTATGTAATTGAGTTGAAATGAATTCAAAACCGGGGTCTATCAAAATATGTATGACGGTCTTCTTCTCTTAACTTGATGGGGTCTGAAGAAATCGCGTACAATATTTCATCGAGTATATATTTATTGCTAGATCCAATACCCAGTCGAATATAAGTCGCGGATATATTTTCTCCTTTTAAATGTGAAAATCCTGGTTTGGTTCACCACAACAGCTCATTTCCACATAATGTTATCTCATACATGATACGCCTATTTACGTATTCTTAATGAATATTACATTGCTTTGTTCAGACTCAATATCATAATAATAAACAAGATGGATTTCTTCAGAGATGCATTCCGTCAATACTCTCACCACCGTGCTCTGTGGCCTCTCATAGGATCATGCATGCTTGCATCTTCATTCACAACTTACATCTTGATTCGTTCAAGCAAGAAACAAGAAGTTGAATGGAACAGATACGCTGATCGGTCAAACAAGGAAGCCATAATAGAAGACGCAATAACACGTCCAATGCAAAGATTTCAGGCCATTTCTGTCAACACTAAGGCCTATCAAACTCGACCACCTACTGTCCCACTTCTCCAGGTCATTTATGAAGATGGAGAATACAATTACCCAAAGAACAGAGAGCAATCATCATAAGGCGTATAAAACAACGACGTACGATCATCAGAAGATGCGGAATTAATTATAATTTAACAAATTCATGGACATTTTAAATTACCTGACTACTTGGTTCGCCGATAATATTGCAATATATGCATTTTATCAAAATTATTTCAATTGTTTGAATAATCGAGTAAAACACTTATTCACTGATTGTTTTGCTCAAAAAAACTGATAAAATTGGTTTATATTTTAATCAGTCTTTCTTTACACGTTTCTTTATTAGGCTGCTTTTATAATATGATAAATAAATTATTGTATGAATAAAATACATCAATGAAAGCCCATTTAGACTGTAGAAAGATAATTTCCAAAGACAAAGCAGGCGCAATTATTTCAATTGCTAGCTCGGTCTGAAGTTTGGATTCGAATGTACATCCCGCTGTCGTGAAGCGTCTCAGGTGCTTAACGAGTTTTAAGTAAGGCCAGTCCCCTCAGTTGGAAACGAAATCGTCAAGCAAAAATTTTGATCTGAGTACTCAAGTTTGTGCAACGAGCACCATGCCCTGCTTACAGTTTTAATCGATACTAATTTATTTGGATCTCCCCGGGTATTTGCATTTTATTTGACGCGAGGGTTTAACTCTCTAACCGTAAGAGCTTTTCGGTAAGCAAAAATGACTTCGCTAGCTGATAGCATAGGTTCCAATACCGTGCACCTGTAAACTGCACCCGGTACATTTGAACACGTGGATTCCAGCATGCTCGTACACCCTTGGACATTCGCGTCCACAGAAATTTGCACCCGTAGACATTTGCATCCACTGAAATTTGCACTCACAGATTTTAGTATTGACACACAGGTTACACATTCAGAAGTTCGCATTCACAGACATTTAACCAAGGTTTATACCACAGTGGGACTTGATAGCATCATACTTTGACTGAATATTGTATCAAACAGCCAATAAACGAAATAAAGTGGTAATAAACTGACTCTAGAACCAATTCTTCGAAGCCTATTGCCGGACTGTCAACACCGGTGTATCTCTATGTATAAGCATTTCTGTTTAACATTACAGTATTAATCTTTATGACAATACGCAATGAAGAACTAGAGTTAAATGTCAGAAACAAAGGTTAAACACCCTGTTCTCTGACTCTCGAATGTGCGATGAATAGAATATCTAAATCTAGTTCTGAAAAAACAAATGTTCTGAACAACTTGGATGCCGAGACTGTGAGAATGATTTTTTTGAGACGCGACCAAAAAGAAATTGCTGTTCTTTGGCTTATGACAGGAGTGTCGGTACTCCCGAAGTATGTGAACCAAGATGGCGGACACCGATACGTATTATGTGTACTAGATTAGAGTTAGGCCATAATTATTCTCCAATCTTAGTTCTATTACGAGTTCGGGGACTAGCCAAGTGACTCTCGTAGTATTTGTACCTGAAATTATGGACTAATCCTGAACTGGTACTAATACTACGTTCCGGTGTCCGCCTTTTTGGTTCACATACTTCGGAGCACCGAAGTGTCAAATCCTCAGTCGCCGTTATGAGCGTGTTGTTTCACATTCAACATGCCCTTTTTGCACTACCTTATCTGATATAAACTCGCGTGAATAACAAAAACTAATAGTTTTCATCGGTTCTTGGCTTCTTTTTAACGTTTATTGCAATAAATATTTGATTACGACATAAAGTAAGAAGAAACGCTTTTTTCAGTTATCCAATCATTAATCATTTTTAACATAAAAACCCAGTGATGGCAACAACCAGATAATCGGAAAAATTTCGTTGTTCCTTCAGAGATGTTGATTTAAGTATAGGGGGAGCAAGAGAGAATGTTTCATCATTTAGGTATTGTTTACAAAATTTTACATAAATTCGATGATGCTTGTTTGGTACCTTGGCATAATTCACGATCCAAAGACTGTTTTTTGAAACTGTGATAGCCTAATCTAAGGCTTTACCCACATGGTTCGTCAAAGTCGCTCGCATAGTATCACAAGTAGGTAATATTTTATTTAGCAATATTCAATATATACTAGAAAAGAACAAAATCACTTTTGAAATGACACGCAGTAGTCGTCAATGCTGGCTGTTTCTTATATTTTCATATGAATATTCTCCGTCACCGTAGATAGCTTGTCCTAATTGAGCTAGGATTGGATCGGTATGGAATAGAGCCTTACTTGAAGGCAAAACTTGAAATTTTGTCATTGGGTTTTGAGCTGCATCGTCCAGCATTTTTCGGTAATTAGAATTGTCCTTCCATTTCCACCATTCAACTTCTTGCTTCTGACTTGTTCTTGCTAGGATGTACGCGGTGAATGAAGATGCAAGGACACACGATCCAACTAGCGGCCATAATGCCTTATGGTGATTAAGTTGTTGAGAAAGAACGCGAAAAAATGGCATAGTTGATTGAAATTTTGGTTACTATTATATATATATATTAATATCACAGCAAATTTAACTAAATTATGTGGAACAAATATATAAAAATGTCATGAGTAGATTTCAAGAAAGGTAAACAAAGAATAAAAAACAGGTAAATCGCAAATATTGTCAAATAGAGAGTTCGGGGACTGTCTGTGTTAGCCAAATGAATATACCCCCTGCTCATAGGTTTCAGTTCCTTTACACAACTTGATGCAAAGTAGGCGAACAAATTTATTTATCTCCATATTGGTACAAACACTTTTGGAGCCCCGAAAATTGTATATCTATAAAATATCCTGTTAATTGACTATCATATTCGCGGTATTAACTAAAAGACTTCGATTCTAAACTCTCAACCCGAACCCGAAATTCACGAATCTAAAATACGTATTTATTTCCCGAAGTGGAACCAAACGATCAAATAACGTATTTGATTCAATAGCGCCCATTATTTCTGACGTGGTCTGTTCTATAAAATTGCTGTTAGGAGATACGTTTTGAACAAAATGTTGACTTGTTAACAAACTACTCTGAACGATACTCCCGTAGTGTGTTTACCAGGTTAGGGTTAGGTCATAATTTTATTCCGTTTTTCCTTATTTTAGTTTCATTACGAGTTCAGGAACAGTCTGTGTTATCCAAGTACATACCCCCGCCCATAGGTTTCAGTCCCTTTACACAACTTGATGTAAAGTGGGCGAACAAAATTAGTTACCTCCACAATGGTACACACACTTCTGGAGCGCCCTTTGAACATATACGACATATATAATACATTTATATCACTTACCTACAGCAGCGCCGATTTCAGTCTATTTTTTGAGCCAACATGTTGCATTTATTTCACAGTATTACTGATAGAAATCAAATTTGTATTTTTCATATATATATCTGTAATTTATCTAAACGCATCCTCTCATTTTCCACTAACGATGCTTTATTGCAGGGGTCGGTCAACAAAATGCAGAAAAGTTGATGCTTAGTGCAAAGGGTTTAATGGCGCCGAAAATATTCAAATGGGATTTTTTGAGATGCAATGCAATGAGGAAATGAATCTATATATATCCTATTCGAGATATGTATCACTGCTTGATTTTTATTATAAAAAGTATCATCCGTTCGGTTTTCAACTTTCTAAAAGTATGTGCGGCCCGTAAATGACTTGCAACCCTTAATTTTGGCCCGCGGGCGACAAAAGGTTGCCGACCCCTGCTTTATTGGATAAGTAAAGCTCGAAATAAATAATTCTACGTATATCTAAACAGCAGCGCATACTGCGACTGCTCGCCATGCTAATAATAGTAAAGCGAAGGAGGAAAATGGCGAATAAAATGGAAAATAACTTAAGCCGCCAAATATGCCAGCCTTCGTTCTCCCGCTTGATGCGAATGAGTTTTCTGCCTAATCAAAATATAAGAACAATTCTATCAATGCAGTACATAAGCAACCATACCCATATCAATAATATTTTTGAAATCGAATAATTTTACTTACTCGATTCAAAAAAGTGCGAATTTTTGTGTTTCTGAATCAAATTCGGATTTTTGAAAATTTATACGCAACATGAATGTGGCAACATGTCCGTGAGGTTTCAGATTTTTTTCGAGGTTGTGTCTATTAAATATAAAATTTCCGTATATTATGTAACATTTCAAATACTAAGTATGCGTTCCAAAGGAACACCATAAATCCCCGGGCTAACTATCAGTCTGCTGCCTACTTACTAATAGTGTAGTTTGTAGTAGAACAAATATATTATTTAAATCTTCTACGAACCACTCTGTAATATATTCAGGTTGTCCTCGATCTTACAACTAATTCTCAATATATGTCTAAGCGTACGGTAATCGATTATAGCTATGTCTATCTACTTAATAATAAATAAGTTTCACAGCCCAGATATACACCACACCTTAAACATATATGATTTATTCTGGCCAAGACTGTTTCTTTTCAGAGGCAGAAATTTAAAACTCATTCACGCCACGTTGCCCGACAACCACTAATGAAAGGTTCTGGCGGTGACACACACAAAGACGTCCGGCCGTTACTCGGTTTGTCATCCATCGATTATTACGCAATGACCAGTGATCCCATTGCATCGTTTTTAATTTTCAAATGTTTGTATTTCCAACATCTATTTACTCATTAGTGACAGATTAGGCTATATTATGAAATATTTCCGCTCCGATCTTGCAGGTTTTGTGACAATTAGACCTGGAAAACCGGTTTAATTTTATCAGCCGCCAGAATGATCCGATGTTGCGCAAGGTTGCCACGGGCATTGCGTAATATAATGACGGCCTGACGTCAGCCATATTGCGTTCTTCGACCGCCACGATGACCTCTCTCGGTCTATTTTCGTCCACCATCTTGTCTGAAAATCTGATAGAAATATACGAAAATCAGTCACGCGTGTGTTTCACCTTTAGTCTATATTAAAAGCGAATCGCGCCTCAGTAATAGCGAACTTTTCTTCAGATATCCATATTGAAAACGACTTACGCGAACGTACGGAAGGACGGGTGTGACGATCAACAAAATGTATGTGTCATTCCATAGTAAGTTTAACAACGGGTTAATTTGGGTGCATCCCCGTGCATATTTGTTTTATATTTGGCCATATATACTTGAATGAAACTCGGGGACAGTTGACTTTTGTCGAAGTGAATGTGCACAAAGACCAAAACGTGGACGGTTGAATTACAGCGTTTTTGATGACGGTTGAATTATCGTAAAATAACCTTCCCTTACAAAAAGAATAACAACAACTTACAATTTTTATTCTATTTATATTAGATATCACAGTGCTTGAAGGCATTTCATCACAAAAATATGTTAAAATAGTATTTCATCATAAAAAGGCAGTGATATCGAAATGTACAATAATTTTACGTAAACTAACTATGATTTTTCTTCATAATCTCAACGTCAAGTTGAACTCGTTCGACTTCGTGACGCAACAATTCAGCTGCGTGACGTAACAATCCTACGTCGATATCCTTGATAGCACTTGGCATCTTGCTAGTATTTATATTTTTAGGAGCCACGATAGAAGACTGAGCAATCGTCTTGAACTGGCTAAGGTCTAACGGGGGAGTTTTCGAAAAGTTTCCTCCGATTTTATCAATCATTGCTTCCAAGATTCGGACTTTTTCTCCCAATCGAGACGCTTTTTTCATGTCCATGAGTAACTCCTGAAAAGAGCATTGTTTTTCTATTTATTTGAAGAATTAAGGTGTAAAAGAATTGTTGATTTCAATAAATGAAAATGTGATTTTCTATTTGATTACGTGTATGATGTACCCGAATGTCTATCATTTATCTAAGTCTCCGCAACTCATAAGCAATGACAGAATAACAACGACCTCAAGATGGTCAAACCGAAACACCAGCGTCAATTGGAATGACTGCATTTCATATTTGTGAGGATAATGTTTTATTAGGTGTTTCAATAGTGTGGGCAGGGGGTATATTCACTTGACCAACACAGACAGTCGCCGAACTCGTAATAAAACTAAATTAAGGAAAATCGGAATAAAATTATGGCCTAACCCTAGCCTGGTACACACACTACCGAGTACCGAATTCCCTTTCCAATTTGAAATATACTTCATGTACCTGCAAATTTTTAGGTGGAGTTAACAGATGGAAGTTGTTATAATCATTTCGGTTGTTACGTTTCTCAAATAAATTTTCTTCGTCGATGTCACAGCAAGATAAAACAAACACGCATTCCTTGTGCGTATCTATTTGACGAGTGCTCCATGGAATCTGAAAATAAGATATTTCAGATGCGGTAAGTTAAGAAATCTACATCAGTCATTCCCAAAGTGGGCGATATCGCTCCCCGGTGGGCGAAAACAATACAGAGGAGGGCGGAAAAGTCGAAGGGGGGGATTTCGCGAAACCTGTTTTTGGTCGGCGCATCGTGCACTTGATTACTGTACTCTGCGTGCCTTCGTAGGTTTGAATCGCGTGGGCGATGTCACACGCGAAAGGATTGCTGGACTCGTCTTCGCAGTAAGGTACGGTAGTTTGCGTATCCCAGTGGTCGGGAAATCTGTAAGCCCAGGACGCTTCACTGAATGGATCTCTTCCCGACCTTTGTCCCCGGAAAAATTTTCCCATACTTCACCATTCTAAAATTTTTGGTGTTCATTTTAAGAGTGGTTTCGCGAGTTGTTGCCCATAAAATGAAGTATTTGTTTCAAACTATCATTCTATTTAATACCATTCAACAATTTTTTTTTTTAAAAGTACCGGTAAAGAATTTTAGCCCAGTCTATCACAGCTATTTCTACACTACTGTAATTAAACTGAAACTCCTAGGAGGACAGGGTGTTCATTGACATATTTTTTTATAATTTCCGAAAAACAACTAGAAACTAACGAATAAAATTCAAAATCGCGAGAATGAGGTAATGTTCACGACCACGCCGTCTGTCTGAGTGAGGAATGTGTCTGAGCGGATTCGAAAGGGGCATTGTTACATTTATTTTTGCATCTTGCTGATTGGCCAATGTCACGAAGTAAACAAGGAAGTCTTTGCCAAGGGAAACATCCAAACGGCGGTTTAAACGATGAATTAATTTTATTCATTATTTACGCTCGAGGAGTAAATTACCGTACATCTTTTTTTTACGTAACAGAATTTATCGTGATACACGTTTAGACTAAATTTATTATATCCTAAAAATTGTATTGAACAGCTACTCGTTTAACGAGCCTACAATTTAATTATAATTAGACAAATGGAAACACGCAGAAAAGTTGATGCTGAGTGCAGGGGTTCAATAGCGCAGTAAATATCCGAATATATGCAATAAGGAAATCAAATTCATATTCTATTCGAGAGATTCATCACTGCTTAATTTTTGTAAGAATGTATCTTCTCAAAGAAAATCTTCATCAAAATTTCACGACCCATGCAAAATATTCACTTCGATGTTTGGAAGTACATATTTGTGCGAACAATTATTTTTGCAAATGAACATTACAAAGAACAAGCAAAGAACTAGGATTAGTGATGCCCATTTAGAAAATCTTCCAATCTTGCAACAAGACAGTGTCACATTAAATGTCATTGTAATAATTTTTTAAAAAGACGACTGAGTTGAGTTCACGAATTGTCGCAGTTTTTGCACGATGTTCCGTTTTTAACTTTCAAAAAATATATGCGATCCGCAAGAGAACAGCAACCCTAAATTTTGCCACGCGAGCGACTTAAAATTTGCCGACGACCCCTGAGCCATCCGAGTCTACGAATTCAAAACAAATGGCTGATTAATTCTATGGACTGGAGGACGTGGTAGGATGAGGAATGGGGAATGAATTTTACCGAAGACCGTTATATATCATGTATTTTGGTGAAGGTCGTCAGGCTGTAGGGATGAATGAGATGTACCTAAATCATTATTATAAGTTTTAAAAAATTAATTTTGTTTTCATTATTTTAATGTGAAACGGGGTGAATTTAGGGAGTTAAATGATATAAGGCAAGAGTACACAGCGGTTTTTGAGGAGGTAGAACCCTGGATTCTTTCATTCCGACCTCTGATATGGTGAAAAAGGGGTTTCAGCCGTGACACTATAGCAATCAAAATAACTAAATCGCCTTTCCATCAGTAAACGGGGTAATTTTAGATATAATAAAAAACTCGCTGAAGAACACCAAGCTCATCCATCTCAATAAAAAACACTATAAACTATGATTTGTCTCCTTATTTGGTCCGTAATATATTCCTTTCAGACTTTCAATTTTTTTGCAGTGCCGGGGTTGTATAAACTAGTATAGTGTAGTATAAGTTTATTTCGACTCCATAATCAGCATAACAATACATTTGACAGATAAAAACAAATAAATAAAAACTGATTATGAAATCAGGGGAGCAAACAAAACCTTATTTAAGGTTTATAACGTACAAAATATAAGATGGAAGGTTTTGCCAAGAGGAAGTGGTACGTGTTTACTCACCTAAAATTATTAAGATATTTCACACACGCTCACATGCACTCACCAGCCACACACACACACACACACAACCACTGAGAAGTTATTTAAGTAAGAATAAAACGCGATAAATTTAGGGTATACTATAGAGTAAACAAAAAAAAATAAATACTAGAAGAGGAAAAAAAACTATTTGCCACACCATATTGATAATTTTGTAATTGTTGCCATTGCCAAATTGATCGATCTTCTAATCGTTAATTAAAATGTATAAGTAAGATTCTGTTGAAAACATATTGCCAAGCTGATTATGGTTGGAGTCAATCAAATGCCAAGTTGCCCAACCAAAGTTGCCAGAATTGGGTGCATGAAGAGGTGGGCGAGACCATTTCATTCCCCAAATTACAGCCTATTATTGCCAAATTATAGTCCAGATTGTAATAAGTAATTAAAATTACCGGTAACAGTAAAATTACTATAATTAAGTAAAGTAGGATATGGAAATAAATTGGTTACAAAGGGTGTGAGGTTTTTCATTCTTGGGTGTGTAGGGGGGCGATGGTACAAAAAGTTTGGGAACCACTGATCTACATCACGACTTTTGTAATTTTACTGGTTGGAAAAAATAAACTTGACTTTATTTGGTCAGAAGTACAAGGTTTGAAACTTTAAATTCTTCGGTTTTTCGTCCGTCCAGTTCTTTAATGCAGTTAATCTCACGCAGTAGACCAGCGTTTCCCAAACTGTGTTCCGCGAGCAACTTCGGAGTGTTCCGTGGAAAAGGAATCAAAAATACGTCTAAAATGGTCGCTATGGAGATTTGTCGATTACCAAATTAGGGGCCGCGAATCGAATTTTCGGGGCCGCAAAGAGAACAACAATTTTACAAAACATCAAAAATGCATCTTTCGAACTGTTTAGCATTGTTAACGTGGACAAGGTCCGCGAAAAAATTTATATATCCAAAAGGGGCCGCGAGTTTGGGGAGTTCTGATCTTTGAAACGTGAAGTTGTCGCCCAACTGACCGTTCAATATCGCGTCACCGTCAGCCTAACTGGGAAAGGGTAGTGGCGTTTTCGATAAGTCATACAAAATTACGTACGTACAAAAATACGTCGGCCTAGCTTTTTGACTGTTATTCATTCATAAGTTCATTATCAAGTTTACAACAATCTTTTTGGTTTTGCTATAGGCAAACGTGTAGGTCTAAAGAATAAAGGCAAAAGGGTCAACTCTTCTTCCTCTGTATCAGCCTGGTTTTACTTTAAAATGCTGAAAAAATCACTCATTTTCGCTAAACTCTATTAAGTTGATAAATAAACTGCGGCGAAATTGCAGCAAGTACTTCTACCCCCATTGGACGTAACATTAGAGGCAAACACTACGTAATGGAAAGTAAATGACATAAATGGTAAAGTGAATTTATTGATTCATATTAAATTAAGAAAACTTTGGCAACATGTAAAATATTCGAGCATATTTTAAGTATGTTCAACACAATTCTGTTAGTTTTCCCCGCGCATTTGACAACTTTTACTTTATCAATTTTACTCTTTTATTTTTTTGGTGTTCCGCAAGGCGAGATAAAACGTGGAAGTGTTCCGTGGCCGAAAAAGTTTGGGAAACGCTGCAGTAGACAATAAACTGCACGACCAAGAAAAAGATTTCGCTCATTCATTTCTACCATGGAACTACTCATGTTAAGCCCGTGTGAAAGGGTTGATCGCATAAGGAGCCATTTAAAACTTACTGAGCAGTATTCTCGAAATATATTCAAATATTTTCTTATTTTCCTAAATTATAAAATATTCAAATAGTTGACATCTGAAATATATAGAAATGGCGTTTGTTCGCTGAATAACGTCTTTGTTCGAGCAGTGTTTGAAGTAAATAAGTTACTACGATACAACATGGGTTGAAATATTAAGCTCTGAGCAATGATTTGATAAACGTATAGAATAGGTTACGTCGTTTTAATAACTTGTGAATGTAAATTAATGTAACTATTTATTTATACAGTTACAGTACAGCGATGATTGTTGTAGAGCATTTAAAATCAGACGGTTATAATTGCTGCCCTGTAGTGTGTTGTTACTTCAGTCAACTTTACCCATTTTACTATATCGACCCCCTTACTGTTAGCGTCAGCATAATTCAGCTGCGTATTTGTTTTTCTTCTTTAGTAACATTTACTTGTGTTGTATTTTAGTTTAGATTCATTCTAAGTGTGCTTTAGATTTAGGTGGAATTATGCCTTATATCGAGGTTCTCAGTTTCTAATTCATTACGATCGAAAAATTTATAGATCGTACAAAGCATCTTTTCACTAACCAGATGACTCGTAAACCCGGCATATAAGACCACCAACACTTACTGGCATAAAGTATATCATATAATGAAGTTAACTAAAAGACTTAATAGAGATTGATATATATATGCTGAATAAGAGAGATACTGAGCTCTTTTGAAATGATGTAAAACCCTTCCCCCAGAAAATAAAATTCCTCCCCTTCTTTCCTCCCCAATGAAAAAAGCGCGCGTGCGCCGTCTTGACACGTACCGATAACGGCCTCTCGAACCAATCACTTACGTCATTTCATATCGTCATCGCCTTGACGGTTTTAAATACAACCTAGAAATTTCGTGATTTTAACAAATTCTGGTTTAGAGGAAGGGTTTAAATCTCGAAATCACAACCCCGGCTGGAATATCTAAAAATAAACTCAAAAAAAGTTGTGCCAATAAATACAAATGTCTGTATTCTAAAATTGTTCAGCGGTTCGCATGGAATGCACGTGCCAGGGTTTGGACCACCCTAATGTATAATATACAAACCTTTATATCAAGTTTTAGGAATTCGACACTTCCTCTCCCTCTTCCCGGAAGTCTTCCGTTATTTCCGCATCCAGTACCATACACTGAACATCTTTCCCATGATTCAACTACGGCCAGTGTATGATTTAAACTGGAAAAATGAAAAATAGTCATGCCGAAGAGACTGTCCATATTGATTTGGATATATAAAATAAACTGTAACGCACAATGCGCAAATTGAAAAATCAGTAAGCACGATTTTGCTTTCCGTAAAATATACGTAAATATATCGACTCATGCATTAGCGCTTCGCGCAAAGTTTGATATCGTGGCTTGCAGCGTGGTCCAGATTTTTCATATAATTAGGTCGTTTTGTCGACTTTCATTTTCTTTAAGAATGAATACAAAAAACCTATCCTATTTGATTGCATTTGATACTTCTATTATGTTAGTTGGAGCGACGATACACACAGAACCTATAGAATATAGACTGAGGAGTATTAACCCGTTTTTGACTACGCAGATACGCCACTACATCAATTCGAAATGCAATTGAATACAAAAACACTTTCTAATTGGTTATAAATACATTTGAATTTGCAATATTGTGTTTTTGAATTAGTCTATTTTACCTGCAATGCAAAATCCTGATATTCTTATTGCACAAGACTTGAGTTGGATGTGTTCGATCCATGCGATCTCCCGTGCCAAGTTGTCCGCATCTGTTGTTTCCCAAAACAAACGCTCGTCCATATTCATCGAGAAAACCCATATGACGATCTCCGATTGAACATTGTACAACCTATGAAAAGCCACTTGGTTAATCATCACATGCGCAGTATCTCTTATTTTGCCGGTTGTTCGAATCAAGTGAAAGGCCCGTTTCAACTTATTTTCGTTGAAATCAGTCTCTCCCAGTCGTCCCAGACTATTTCGTCTGTCTCTGTTACGAAGCTATGTGACCGGAATCTTAAACTTCTTTTAGTACAGAAATCGTATTTTTGATTTTTCCAACCAGGGTGTCAAAATTTTTGACTCTCGGAGACGAGAGTCAGAAGTTCCGATTCGGGAGCCAAGTAGACTGAAATAAAACTTTCGAGTGCGGAGTGTCTATTTTTTCACAACCAGTATTTGAAAGCCAGAGTCCGAGTCGAACTTTTTACAATCCGAAGTCAGTAGCTATACCCTCCATACATTTGCTGTCTCAATTTGGCTTGCACATAATTTACGAAATAACGGAATTTGTTTTCAGTTACTTCCACTAATTTTGAATTACGTAAGTCGTAATTATTAACTGAACGAACTCAGTGTTTGAAAACACCCTCGCAAAGCGTTTACTCAATTCGTGCTGCACAATTCTTTCTATATATATATGGTATCTCGCGAACAAACGTTGAAGTCGAAAAGAGAATTCGAGAAATGTGCGACACTGCTTGAAACAAGGTATCATCGGACACATTGCCATATACTTTGCCGAATTTTGTTCTATTACGTGCAAGCCTAGTCTTAATTATTTTTCTAGTTACCTTGGCAATATGCTGTATGGGAAGTGGAACTCCTAATCTTGCTGAATTTTCTCTTCCAAATAAATCGTAAAATTCACCAGGTCGTTGAGCGATGATATGGACTTTACCTGACACTGTAAAATGATCGATTTAGTCAACAAAAACATAAATGTCATTTTGGTAAGAACGAAACAGAAAAAAATTGCAAGTGAGAGAGTCGTTTGACACCGTAATATAAAATATTTTTTCATTTTACAAATGCCCGCTCTTTGAAAAGCTCTAGAAATCAGACACTGGAGATGGCACATACATATTAATTAGCCTTGGTGGTAGCGGTTATGAATAACATTATGTGTGTACTACTGTGTAGTATATAAAAGTAAATAAAGCTTTCAACCATTGAATTATTATGCGTGGGATCATTTTAAATCTTTTAAATACTAATAATGTTCTTATATTTTACAACATTTTCCATAATGTTTGTTGATGAACAACAGAACTATTCGCAATGTAAAAGACAGGTTTAGTTAACAAAAACATAGGTGTATTTCTTAGTAAAAAAGAAAACTAAAACGAAAAACTCTCTCGCACAAAATAGTCGCTTGACTCAATAATATAAAACATTTTTTTTTCGTTTTTATTTTTTTAAACACAGTACAACCTCCCAGTTCTGAAAATCAGTCTGTGGGTCCTCCAACTAGGCCCCCGGCTTATTACGTATAATCAAACGTAGCGAACAAAATAGCAAAAGTATGAATTTCTACGGAAAACGGTACCTTAGATTAATGGGGGTCACACTTTAAATCTGCGATGTGAATATCTCTTATAACATCACGTTGAATATTTTTTCGTTAGTCTCATTGAACGACTCAATTATTTGGATTAAATTAATAAATACAATAGTGTGTATCTTACCAGTAATGAATGATACAATCCCGACACTGGTATTGATGGCTTTGACTTTTTCACCCAGACATTTTGACGCAGATTTCAAAGTTACTTGGATACCTTCTGTACCGAGATTCAGTAATGATGGCTCAAACAAATGAAGTGAATAAACCTAGAGGAGAGAAGTATTTAAAAATCGCTATTATGCATTATAGATCCCTAAACACTTTTAGGTACTCCCGAAGTATGTGAACCAAGATGGCGGACACCGGAACGTAGTAACTGTACCAGGTTAGGGTTAGGCCATAGTTTCTGGTACAAATACTACGGGAGTCACTTGACTAGTCCCCGCACTCGTAATAGAACTAAGGTAAATTGGAATGAAATTATGGACTAACCATAGCCTGGTACACATACTGCGATCCGGTGTGCGTCATTTTGGTTCACATACTTCGGAAGTACCCAATTTTATATGGTGTTACGCGTTGGGCACGAAATGGGCCTACCGGTCGAGTTGCATATTTGTTGTTGTTCATGTTGCGCAAAAACCGCCCTTCTTTTAGCTACAAAACTAAATTGATAAAGTGTATTCTGGAAGGCTTTCACGTTCACATTTCTCATATATAGGCTTTGTCTGTCTCAGGCCGTTGTTTCTTCCTTAATTTTGCTAGTTTAAAAATACTATGTAATGTACTAAAAGTACTGTGTGTTCGTATACTTTTACATTGATAACAAAGTTTAAATGATGAGTATTCTTTTAAAATGATTTGAAACGCTTCGTTTCTGTCTATTTTATTCTTGTGTTGTAAATCCATTTATCGGAAATTTTACATACGTGGGGCATTATGACATCATAATATTTCGCGGTGCTCAGATATCGTATACCGTAATCTCAAGAAATACCCAAAAGTGAATAACTATTTAATGATTTAATCCATTATGGCCTACCAAATGTTCAGATACCAAATAGCAACTTTAGCGAGAATTAACGAAATAAAACTGACTGTTTATGATTTACACACACGATCAGCATTATTAGAAGAAATGACATACTTTTCCAGCGTCAGTTAACATGAACAATGTCTTTTGTTGAGATTCAGCAGAAGTTAATTTCATAGAAGTAAATCTCATTTCCGGGTCGAAGGTCATGTTGAAAACTCGTCTGCATGATCGTTCATCGAAGACATCGATTTTGTCGCCAGATGATGGCACCCCATACTTGTTCCAACTGAAATTATGAAAATCTATCAAAAACTGTCATCAAGAGAAGATGCGGAAAGCTAGAATGATTCTCACGAGCAGTCAGTACTTCAAAATTTATTCGGAAATCCATAAACGGGTCGTGGCACATGATACAAAAATGTTGAACTGTTTATATTTTCGTTTCTAAGAAGCGCACAATAACCCCGCGTGTCATACGCTCAAAAATAACTAACCTGCTGATTTTGCTTGTATGTAGAATGCTTACGCGCTTTTTCACTTACCCGTCCTGAACCTGATTGCTACTCCGTGTGTTCGGGTGAGATCTCTTGTTCAACATCCCATTACTTTGACTCAACACATAAACGTATCTGCGATGGGTGTTGTCGTATCGCGGGTCTGTTGTAACCTGAAACAATTCATTATTATATTCATAATTGTTAGATAAACAAATCCGGCCCGTTGGGTACAATCTGGACCGCCTGACACTTTCCACTTTTGTAACACTGTAAATATTGTTCATAAAATGTAACTTTTCACGTCACACTTACATGGCCCGCCAGTCTAGGTGAGCAAAATTTTTGGTCCCTGGTTCCAAAAACTTGCCCAACCTTGAACTAACGTATACAGCAGTGTTTTCCAACCTATGGGTCGCCCGAAAATATCCTTGAGTCGGTTGTTTTTAATCAAAAACTTACCAGTTATTGATTTTATTTTTTAGTAAATTTTATTGTTCATTTTATACTTGGTATTGAAGTGTTGGTTTAATAGTAATTGTATACATGTGAATTATCACAGCGTAGAACTTGGCTTGGCTATTTTGCCTGAAAATGCTATTTTGTTATTTTGACACGACACTATGTCAAAAACTGGTTGATGGCTAATCAGAGCAGCCCTCTCCATTTGCAGTGTTTTCTGGGAAATAACTGTTATGTAAAAATGATTGTTTTTACGTTAGTAACGTAATTGCACGGACATAAAAACACTACATGCCGCGTTTAGTATTTCAGCATATCGCGAGACCTAACAAAATTTATTTATTTTTAAATTGGGGTCGTATGAAAAAAAGGTTGGAAGGCCTACAGCAGAACTTCTGCCTTTCGCATTTTGTTTGGAGGTCGTATTCCACAAATACTGCATGTGACTTAGTTATTTTGACATTGCAGGTTACATATCTCTGGTTCAATGCCGATATCCGCCACCGCCATCTTACCCAGAGTGTAAATAATTCAATAGTCAATGCTGAACCGACAAGATTCTAATTCTGCCAATAAATAGTGTTTGAATAAATATGAAAGAATATTTATATTGGGTCTTGGGTGATCCCGTAGTGTGTGTAACAGGTTAGGGTTAGGATATAATTTTACTCCGATTTTCCTTATTTCAGTTTTATTGCTCGAGCACTGTCTGTGTTAGACAAGTGAATATATCCCCTGCCAATAGGTTTCAGTCCATTTACACAACTCGATGTAAAGTAGGCGAACAAAATTAGTTACCTCCATATTGATACACACACTTCTGGAGCGCCGGGTCTTGATAAGAGCGAACGGCAGGAATAAGCGCCGTATAAAAATGTGTATGACATTGATTTTGTCAGTGGTTTTCTCCGAGTCGAATCTAACCGACTGGATATTATCTGACGATCAGCTTATTAAACGGGAAAGTACTGCTGTGTGCATTGATATTAATTTAATTTTAATACAATATTTTCAGCTTGAGAAAATTTAAATTGGTTTTCAATTCGCCCTCGTCCACTGGATTGTTTTTCCTTGCGCCGCACAGCAGTAAAAAATTTGAAACAAGAGATTTTCTTACGTCAACCACATGCTTTGAAAATTCTCGATGCCAGCTTGCTCGTTTATACGTGAATTCGTTTGTCACAGGATCTCTTTCCCATCTGCTTCTGACAACAAGATAACTTAGCTCAAATATTTTACAATATTATACACATCCCGGATTGTTCAAAAAAGCAAAATGTGACATTAAAAGGTTGCATTACATTGCCATCCGGGCTACAATGCGTGTAAACATTTGCTCATAATTTGCACACAACAAACAATCTCAGAATATGCGTAATAATGAATCTGATATGAAACAATAGTCCATTTATTTTCTGTACCAATCTTTGTGCATAATAAACGATTGACTGACAGACTGAACAAAATATTTTTTTGCATAAATATACGATATATAAACGAATAATTTCCCATAATAACACGAGCGAAAAAGACGTTGCGCCTAACTTCGTCTGAAAAGATGGCTGAAAAGCAAAAATATTGACTATGACTTCGTATCCGTATTCCAGTATAAATTTTAATGAATTTATAATAGCGAACTTTTAGTTTTCGGTGATGTCAGTTTCCTTTTTATTAACGCTCTGCAATGCAACCAGATAAAATATCACAAGGATGACGTTAAAAGTGCAATTGATAATTGCTTATTATTACGTAACAAGTCATCACGATATTGCTAGAAATATATTTTTAATGGGATAAATTGACGATTTTGTTGAAAAAATACAAATTTACATGATTTTTCATTCGGCCAACTGATTTTCAATTAGCAATATCGCGTACTAGCAACCAGATGTCGAACAACATATATTTAAAATAGGGTGATATTTATAATAGAGATATTTACAAAAGTATGACGTAAGTAATCGACTTGGATTTACGGTGTTGGTTGGCAATGCGGTAATTCATGATTAAACAGTTAGTAAAATTTCCTATTAACGGGAAATCTCTTTTGATAAGAGAATCGAGAACATGCAGAAGCAAATATAAAGAAAAACACTGACCGGTAGACGTGTAGAATTCCAGAGAAGTCCAATGCAAATACATGATCTCTGCTACAACACATCTTTTTAAAACCATACGCAGAAGGTGTGTCCATTACTTTGTTAATATTTTTACCTCTAGAGCTACCAAGGCTTTGATAGTAGAGGGCTTTTGTACCTGAATAAATGAAATGCCAATATTTTGGATTGTGTTTTTTCTACGGCGGGACAGTAAGCGATTAATCCTTCGTTAAAATATCCTTAAAGAGAGTATCCGACTTGAATAATTAATTCATAAGTCAACTATGTCTGGTTCTCAAAATGTGCGGCAAGTGCGTTTCGAAGCATTAAGGAATTTTTCTTAATAATTGCTAAATTATATGAATCAGTTGACAACTTGGAAAAAAATCTTCAAATCTGTTGAATTTAATGTTGAAAGAGAAGTACACACGGATACTTTGGACATTCAGCGACGTTAGGATCGGGTATGTGTGCAAAGCAAGGTCACGCATCGCTATATGATTAAATTTGCATATCTCATAGGAATGGGGAATAATGCATTTTGGACCGTGAGTTCCAATATGACATGTGGTGTAGCCATTTTGAAAGCTATCCTTTCCAACAAATTGTTACCAAAGTGGCCTTTTTTCGGCGCGTCGTGATTTGTATCACAGAAAGTTAATTATCGTTAGGCTGATAAGTTTGGGAACATCCAACCCGTGCCTACATAAATTACGTTTAATTTAGCTTTAAGCAAACATTAAAACATCTACAAACCACCTCGATTTAGATCAGAGGATTGATGAACTTACTATTCAAAACATATTGTCGTTTCCAACAATTTCCTACATAAGGTTTCACGTTGTTTGATGTTGAAGTCGAAGTATTGGAGTCGTCAGCAGTAATTCCGTACGTACGATCGTTCCACACCGGAAAAGTGCTCCTAGATAGATTTCTCCAGACAAAATTTTCACCAATGATCGAGCAGATTCTCCGACAGGTGCAGGATAAGCCTCCGATTTCCTTAGGTTTCAGATATTGTACTAAATGGGCAAGCTGCAAAATGGATGTCATTAATTTAAAATAATGGCGAGCGAACACGGTTTGAAGGGTGACATAAAACAAGTTGCGAGAATCAGGAGAGTTGTACCTCGAAAACTGTTTTACGAGACCAAATCATGGATCGAGTATATGAGTTTGAATAGTTCACGTTCACCAATGTAGAAATTAGATTATTATTTCTATATAAACTTGACAAAAATAAAAATATGCGTTTTACAAAATATACCGAAGACTAGGCCGACGGACCTAGAGATAATTTGATCCACAAGCTCAACGGGCTAAGCGTTAGGAATACGCTCGCCACCGCACCTCTAACTACTCTGCGTGGGTTCGCAGGTTCGAATCCCATGCAGGGATGGTTATGTGCGAGAGGATTGCTGGACTCCTCGCCGTCGTTGGGTGGTTCACGTAACCGCTGGTCGGTTACGGCTTCCTCCACCACCAAGTCCATGCTTCCGAAAAAAACAAACAATACAGTAAAAAACTAATCCCATACCCGACTTGGAATGGTAACCGGACGAGAGGCCGTGGTTCGCCATATGGATAAGCCGTCTTATCGGCTTTCCTCTCCCCCGGGATAAATATGTAAATCCTATCCTATCCTAAATTGAATATTGGGAAACTACGACGCTCTCTTCTGTTGTTAGTGTTTTTGTATAAAACAAGATTCATAACAAACTCTAACAGTTATGAAAACCAGCCATCAAAATATATTACTTACCAGCTCGTTTGGCAAAGTAAGCATAGGAGAAACGGAATCGTCAGTGTTAGTTGTAAACTTGAGCTTTCTGCAACATCTTTTAGATTCATTTGAATGTGGATCAGTTGGTGTACTTGTTATATCACTACCGTCTTCATTCACCTGGACATCGTCATCAAATTCCTTGACATCCTGTCAAAGTAATCAAATAGGCAATCAGAGTTGGCAGCCACATTTAGGAATAGATTGCTTGGATTAAAAGCGAAGTGAATTGAAGATTATAACTTCTTCTAAATATTTATTCTCTCACCTCGGAAGATCTAGGACTAAATTTTCGTTTTCGAGACATTTCTCCCGATGAGTGAGAGAAAGTATATTGGTCGCTTCCATGAGCATGTTCGGCGTTCGTATCCATCTGTAACAAAATGGTTATTAGTCTAATGTTTGGAATGGTGTGAAAATTTGTCTTTGTACTATGCGAGTCGTAATGAAATGAGTGTATAGAGTCTGCACTCATCAATTTTTTTGAGTCTGCTGGACTATGAAAATTTGTCTGATGTTCAATTTCATAGTTTTTAGGCGGTAGGCATAGGGGGCACAATCCTAGGACTTATTGAACAACATTTTAATAAAGTCAGCAGCGCATACCAATAAATATATACTTCAGCAATAAAATTGCCAATTTTTTATATTCTCATAGGGTGACCTAATATTATCCGGACAAGATCAACGGGACGAAATCTTGTCTCTAGAATTGAGAAGGAATCGTTAATGACCACAAAAAACACTTACATCACCAGATGAATCCATTCTTATTGAAATTTGCCTTCCCAAGTTCTTCTTGAGCACCGGAAAAATACATAAAGTGAAATGATACAGCGTTGTTAATGCCATTGTTAGGCAGGAATTGTGATGAAATGCTTTATCGCGTCACAATTTAAGTTCCTTCTTGTATTCAACTTTGCTCCATTAAAGGCCGGTATACACGACAGTGTGCAAACTCACCGCACCGTATTTTCTTTGTTTGTTTTATTTTATTCGTCTGCGGTGATCTGCGCTGAGTTTATCTACGTTGGCGAACGCTCGAGTAGCGTTTTCTGAACGCAGTTCGCCGTACTGACAGTCTTGCTCCGCTCGTCTTGGTGGTTTCCGAATGGAAACTGGTTGTTTTTCATGTGATAAGTGAAAGTTTTGAACAATTTTCCTGGTTTTCGAGTTGGCTTTTATAACTATAGGCTTCAGAGTGTAGAAGTTCAGAATTACTAGAGCGATTTGTATCATCTGTAGATAGTAGTAGTACCTGCGGGTTCGGACATGGTACCGGTACCGGTACGGTACCTATCCGCCCATGGTAATTAATTTTGTGCTGGGTAGTGTGTTCTTATGGTTTACCACAATCTGACAATATCGTTAGACTACCGGTATTCAAATCATCGAGCTTTCACCAATTTGGATTTTTTTCAGCAATTGAATAGGTGCGGTAGTCAATTTTAATTTAGGAAAAACTCATTGCTCTAGTTGAGGAATATCCTTGCCTGTATAATACCACACAGGACTCGTACCGCCGAAAGGATTTCAAAGGCAATGCTTGGGCAGAGATAGCTCGAGAGATGGGTATGCCATGTAAGTAGTCTGATTAGTGTAGTTAATTTTTTTAGACTTGGCCTATGGCTAGTCCAATATGGCTAGTCAGGAACTAGTCCAATTTTGCAGCAAATGAATTGTTTTATACTGCTGAAAATGATAGTAGCCTAATCGATGTAAATAAGCTAAATGATGACTAGATTACGAGGCATCGGTATTGGTTAATTTAGTTGAATCGCCTTTAAAGAAAGTGCTATGTTTTGCTACAAAGAACTAGTTTCCTCTTCATATTCTGTAAAGGGCAAGAATGCGAGAATAAGTGGAAAAACCTTCGAGATAAATATAGGAGGGAAAAGAAGAAAAGGGCAGAATTGAAATCTTGTGCGGCGGCAAGTCATCGGGTTGAGTGGAGCCTTATGAGATCCTTAGAGTTCCTTGAACCGTTTACAGCCATGAGGAGGTGGGTGTTTGAACAAGGAGCCTGCATTTTCTACATATTGTCAGTGTATCTTTTGATAATAAAGCTTTTACCAAGGAAAGGCTGTTAGTTTAGACCAGAATCGTGTTTTGTAGTTGACCAGGATATGCATAAGGGTAACTTTCAGGGTACCAACACTAAATAATGTACTATTCGAAGTTTATACAAAAATTTTATTTTTGAGTATGGTATCTTTATCAATTTCCAAATTAGATTTCATATTAAAAAATATGAGGCAAAGAATTAGGAAATGTAAAAAATTATAGTTGAACATATTTCAAACAAAATTGATGTTGAATAGATTTGGACATTTTATACATATTTAACATCTGTGTTCTTTACAGTATATATAGTTCTTATACAGTATGTCTGTGTAATTTAGGCATCAGTACTTAGGTAGCTCAGAACATTCTTTTGTATAAAGTGACCAAAATTAGGCACTGTAATGTAAGTACAAGATAACGTCTTTCTGCACAAACATTTACAGTACAACATCAAACCTGCCAATGCCGGATACACCATCTTCGAGTGATGTTGATGTTACATTGGAAGCGGTATCAGGTAAGCACCAAAATATGATTTTAAAATATTTTATAAATTTTAATTGTCAGACGTATAATACTGTATTATGAAATACCCTAATATCATGCACTGTTGCAATAAATAAGTTGTATTCGCTTTTCTGAAAAAATGCTTTTGAATTCTATACTATTATATGATCGAATATGCCATTCTTTTTTTAGCAGATGAAACAGACCAATTTCAACCACCTGTGGCAAAAAAGCGTAAAAGCAGCCGGGATGACCTCAGTGCTGTGTTAGAAAAATTGCAGCAGTCATCAGGTAAGTCAAGTCGAGCAAGGAGTCTTATAAAGTGAATCGCGGTTCATAACTTGGATGCCTGGAAACCATCTTGAGTCGCTATTTCAAAAAAATTGGCGCTCCCGTACGATGTTAACCAAGATGGCGGACGCTTTGAACGTAGTGTGTGTATCAGGTTGGGACATAATTTTATTCCAATTTCCCTTATTTTAGTTCTGTTAAGAATTTGAATTCTAGCCAAGTGCCTTCTGTAGTATTTGTATCTGAAATTAGGGTTGAACCTAAACCTGTCTGGCATCTTGATTCACGTACTACACGAGTACCATGATACCTACATTATTTTAGTTTAAATTGTTGACTTTCTCATTTGTGTAAATAATATTTGGTGAAATATTTATGCTTCAGATCACTCAAAAAAATATCTACTTACTGGTACGTATCAAACCAAAATTATATATATATATAAATGTTTCTTGTTTTTAGAGAAAATACAGGAAGATCCTGATGAACTCTTCTTGTTGAGCATGGCTCACGAGGTTAAGACGATGAGTGTGGAAAAAAGATGGAGGTTCAAAGTTGGAGTCATGAATCTCATTAATGAAATTAAATACTCTATTGAATAAACTATTGATATTACTTAAATATAAATTTTCCTGAATATTTTTTTTGTTTTAAATCTTGCCAACTAGATATCATTGCTCAGTAGCTTCCGTACATCCTTGTAAGTGCTAACCCAATAGTGTACCTAAAATGTCAACCAGTCTGGTGATTTACCCTCGTAGTTGCTATTATCTCCACTGCGGCAACATATATAAAAACAAGATGAAAGATTCCGCTAACCAGGTCGGAAGCAAAATTTTTTTTATTCAGAAAAGGTGAAACGAAGCAATAAAACCAAAAAATGATAGGGGGGGATAGTGCATTTAGATCATATTTCGACCACTCGAGAACACATATTTATCCTGCCATGGCAGTGCCCCTTTCTCACTAACAAAATATTCGCTGAATTGTTCTCTAACTTTTACTGCCTCCTTCGCACTCGGCCTTCCAATCTTCCTGATATTTAACATTGCTGAATTTTCTTCGGCCTTCCACCGCACTGCATCTTCACTGACCTCGTGATCTACGAAATCCGCCTCAAAATAATTAGAATCATATCTAAGAAAGTTGTGAAGGACTGTGCATGCTTTAATGATATGGTTTGTTCTGGCTGGTGATACGCATATAGGCCTGCGGAAAATTCTGAATCGAGATACCATAATGCCAAAGGCATTCTCCACAACCCTGCGAGCTCTCGAGAGGCGATAGTTGAAAATACGGGACCTTCTTGATAATCCGGTACCTGGAAAAGGACGCATCAAATTGGTTCTTAAGGGAAAAGCCTCGTCACCAAGAAAAACGTGTGGTAGTGGCTCCATCATCCCTTCCAATATGGTGCTTTTTGGCAGGTCTAATGAACCATCCAGGAGTTTTTTTCCAAAAGATGATGAAGCAAAAACATTCCCATCACTCTGCCGTCCATACGCTCCAACATCCACGTAAATAAATCTGTACTTTGCGTCTGAAACTGCAAGCAGTACCAGACTGAAAGTTTTTTTATAGTTGAAAAATGATGAACCACTGTTTGCAGGAGCTTGTATGACAACATGTTTCCCATCAATACTTCCAACACAGTTTGGAAATTGCCATAATTGTTTAAAATCGTTTGCAATAATCTTCCACTGATTTTCACTTGGGACTGCCATGAACACAGGCTGCAGGGAATCCCATATTGCAGCGCAGGTTTCTGGAATAATTCGCGATATGGTCGTTTTATGAATCCTGTGAGAGAACCCGATGGTCTGATATGAATCCCCCGTCACCAAATATCTGAAAAATATATAATGTTGTATTTAGCGATAAACTACCATATGTAGACTAACGTTAGGTACTGTTCATTTATATTTTAATCAATCAATCACGATTTCACTCATACTGTGGGTTAAAACCCTATTTCAAAATACCTCAAAGTGACTGCAAGTCGTTCCTCAGGCGGAATTGGTTCACGCATATTTGTAGTTTGTTTCACAATCTTGCTCTCTATCATATTCAAAAGACGGTCAAATGTAGATGGTGTCATATGGAAGTACTGTTTAAAATAGGCTTCTCTTTCCATTCTCATCTCCCTAACCAATCTGTAGTATTCTCCTGAAATTAGAGGCAAAGAAGGTGAGTATAGGCTTCGTGAGACTGAGACGTATGCATTTAGTGTATTGTAAAAAAAAATTACCATGTTCCTTTCGTCTGCAAAGTATTGGGTGCATCCACAATCTCTTGCCGACACAGCGCTCATCCTCTTTTAATCGAATACAGAGAACCCCAACAATAACTTCAGCTGATGTCGGTACAAGTACTGCTTGTAGCGCCGTGACCGAAAACGACTTATTCTTCTTCGCGATACGATACCCATTTTAATAAAATTAATCTTGCAACGATCCCCAAAATATCCAAAACAGAAATAATACAAAAGACGAAGGACAAGTCCGTTTCCCGCCTGACCTCACGTCACAGTACACTGCGCAGAACTGTGGTTCCGTGCACACTGCACAGTGCGGAGAGTCGCTGTGCGGTGAGTTATACTACTGCCGTGTATACCGGCCTTTACTCGTAAATTTACTTTGATTCGATTAATAAAGTGCTAAAAACTGTACAAAGGGATATTCTGACATGCCGCTAATATATCAAGTCATAGATCATATCATAAAAGAGGTAAATATATTAGGATTCGGCGTGAATCCGGTGTTAATCGAATGAACTTGGCCGGTAACAATATTTCAATATTCGGCATTATCAGAGGGTACTTATCGTGCAGTGAGCGACGCGGAAACAAGGGGAAAATAAATACGAATGTTTACAATCCCTCGTCACGTCGGTGCTATTTCTTGTGATCAGCCGAACGTGCAAAAAACGCAAACGGGTTGTCATCATTCTCGAGTTAATGTGGAAATATTTAAAGTCGTGCTGCTTAATTTATGTTATATTTCTCATTCAAGTATGGTGACCTATTGTAAGGTAAAGCGATGTTTCACTTCATAATGGCAGAATGTAGAGTAGGCGCCGAAGTATTCGGGATATTGCTACAGGGTGATTTCATAATCAGTTTTTATTCATTTGTTTTTACCAATCATTTTATTGTTAAGCTGATTATGAGCTATGAGTCGAAATGAACTTATACTTATCAGGATATGTAAATCTCATATTGCTGTATTGCGCGAGTTTCGAATATCAATTTCTGAATTTAGTACCTATCTGCTCGCTGATTGATATTCTGTGTGATAATAGGCTCTCGCAACATTGTGTTGCAACGCAAACGGCTTGACCTCATTTGATCTCAGTGTGCTGCATGGTGAATAATGACCAGTAGACTAGTTGAAAATAGTGACAATACTTAGCGTACAGTCTGACAGTCAGCATTACTGCATTATCAGTCTGCCGTGGCACTGGTGCTGAAAAAAAAATATGTTTTGTGAAAGCTCGCATTTAATGAATATATTTTTATTTTGTTGTAATACTGACCTGCTGCAGTGCTGACAGTGCCAGTCTGTTTTGTCTGTGCACTCTGATAAGTTACCTCATTAAAATGAAAAAAACATTTTTTCCAAACCATTTGCAGTAATACCGTAGTCACTGTACTGCCATGTAGTCTAGAACTGTAGAAAGGTATATTACAAATGGTCAGATTATGCAGTCATGAGACAGTGAGAGGGGATAGGTACATGGATAAGATCAATGGTTTGTACATTTAGAAAGGTGATCCAGAAATAGGAATATGGTATAAGGAAATATGCCTACCGGGTGATACCGTATGCCTTACTTCCAGACTTCGGAAATTTTCTACAGTTTTTCATTGCTTGGTTGCTATTTTGCCTCAATTTTATTATCCCAATTCCGCTTGTTTCAGTGCGCATAGCCAATTTTTTCTGTATTTTTTACAGAGACGTTTGTGCCAAACCAAGTTAAGTATGAATGGTAAATTTTCATATTCTATTGTAAGAAAATTGTTGCAATAATGATTCATACCGAGCATATACATGCTAGTGCATTTGACTTTCAAGGATTTACCAGAGCTTACAGCACATATAACAGATATCGGAAAAGTTTGAAACGGATTTATCGTGAAACAAGCGACCTTTATTCAGGGCAACAATGTGGCGTAAAAGCAAGTGAATGTAAGAATTGATAGTTTATTAAATTGTATTTTATTATTATAATGTTGGTTTTTCAGATCATATTTTTAAGTTTCGTACACTATTATGCAGGCACTTTATCTATCGCTATTTATGACTGGCATAACAATTGTGCTGACATATGAATTTGCACTATAAGACCTCTATCACGTGCAAGTGAAAGTCAATTTCTTACTCTCCTTTTCATGCAATAGGCTGGGGTTTGGCTGCATTTTGCTGTTTTCACTTGTTGAGTCGCAATTTTCAATAATCAAAGCAATCTGAAATCTGGAGTCTTCTGATCTAACAAGCCACAGTACAATAACCAAACTGTGACCCAATGTTGTTACGATATCAACTTTAAACTGTCATAATTTATTCAAAAAGCTAAATTTATAACCAAAAATTTATCGCATATTAACTATATTTACATATATATCCATTTAATGTAATATTTTGTAATCCTTCGCTCTATTGATTTCGAGTTTCATTTAAACGAAATTGTTTCAATCTCTTGATTTTGAATTTTAGATTTGGATCTCGAGCAGAAAAAACTGACAGTGAATGAAGATATTCTTCTACAAAACACAATACAAAATTCTCTTGCAGTTGTCATAATTGGGCAAACATACAAAGCTAAATGCGTTGTAAGTTGACATATTATTGCCTAAGATAAATCTTGTTGTGATGTTAAATAATGTAGTTACAGAGTAATTTTTGTGTTTGTTTAAAATATTGTTTTATTTATCATTAAATAACTTGCACTTGGCCCACGGCAAACAATGAAGAATTTTCAGATCCAACTATATTGGGTCATTCATGAAGTATAATACATTATTTGAAGATTTGTTTTCCTCTTATAAAATGGGGAAACTATCGCACAAAATATAGTTATTTTGTGTATTCATATAAAATGCTGTTATATTTATCACTAAATGAACTGTATATTATTACCGTATATATATATAACAAGAGTTTATTGCATTCACAGTTTGCAAACAAGCTTCTTGCCCAAGATGTTTTACCAGTTGCCAGTCGTACATGGCTTCATCATGCAAGAATGACGAAATTCAAACATGGTACAAGACCCCAAGTTTCAATATCTTTGCAAGACAATTATGTCATCATTGAACCTAGAATGCATTCAACGGCAGGGGAAGATGGTGTTAACTGGGAACATGTGAGTACTTTGAGAGAGAGAGGAAGAAATTTATTTTTCGTCAACCAGAAAAAATGATCATTGTAACAATAAAAAGATATACACAACACACGCAAAGTTTTTTCGGTATAGACTGGGGGGAATGATATGACCATACGGTCATCAGATTCAGCTCCCCCCAATTTGGATTCAGTTTAATTATTAAATCGTTTGTATTTGGTTGATGTGTTTTACTAATCATTCCGTCAGTTAATTTAATAATGTGAAAAATTTCTGTAAATTAATGTATACCCTTGCATAGAAAAATTCGCATATAAGCCGCCCCCATAAATCGCACGCTTTTATTGTGAGAAAATAGCATGGTTCGAGTTGTAGCTGTGGGAATTAAGTTAGCACAATGTGATTCTGTTTGAGTGCAATCTGAGTTATGCGCATATAAGACCCCCTAAAAAGTCCCTAAAACGGTGAATTTATAAAAATTCGCATATAAGCCTCCCCCATAAATCACACGCTTCTATTGTGAGAACATAGCATGGTTCGAGTTGTAGCTGTTGGAATTAAGTTAGCACAATGTGATTCTGTTTGAGTGCAATCTGAGTTATGCGCATATAAGACCCCCTAAAAAGTCTCTAAAACGGTGAATTTGTAAAAATTCGCATATAAGCCTCCCCCATAAATCACACGCTTTTATTGTGAGAACATAGCATGGTTCGAGTTATACTGTTGGAATTAAGTTAGCACAATGTGATTCTGTTTGAGTGCAATCTGAGTTATGCGCATAAAAGACCCCCTAAAAAGTCTCTAAAACGGTGAATTTGTAAAAATTCGCATATAAGCCTCCCCCATAAATCACACGCTTTTATTGTGAGAACATAGCATGGTTCGAGTTATACTGTTGGAATTAAGTTAGCACAATGTGATTCTGTTTGAGTGCAATCTGAGTTATGCGCATATAAGACCCTCTAAAAAAGTCCCTAAAACGGTGAATTTATAAAAATTCGCATATAAGCCTCCCCCATAAATCACACCCTTTTTCATTGTGAGAACATAGCATGGTTCGAGTTGTAGCTGTTGGAATTAAGTTAGCACAATGTGATTATTAAGTTAGCACAATGTGATTCTGTTTGAGTGCAATCTGAGTTATGCGCATATAAGACCCCCTAAAAAGTCCCTAAAACGGTGAATTTATAAAAATTCGCATATAAGCCTCCCCCATAAATCACACGCTTTTATTGTGAGAACATGTCATGGTTCGAGTTGTAGCTGTTGGAATTAGGTTAGCACAATGTCATTTTGTTTCAGTGCAATCTGAGTTATGCGCATATAAGCAAAATTTGCGCGATTAGAGTTATGCAGTATAAGCCGAACAATGGCAATTTTGGCAATTATTTTTTTTTTTTTTAGTTTTAAACTCGGCTTATGCGAATATACATGGTAGTTATTTTAATATTGAAATTGCATAGAATTGGCTTTTATTTATATATTCTGTTTATGAATGTAGTGAATCAATAACCTTGGAGTTTGAATCACCCTTTATGCATAAATGTATAATTTAAATTACTAAGCTTATTCATAAATATAGATTTCAAATTTTTCATAGTTGATAATTTCAGTTTTGGCTGAAATTGGCTAACTCTTTGTGACCCTTTATTTCAGGAGTTTTCATTACTTGAAGAAGATTTAAAAAAGGTTGACGGTGGGGTTGTTGAAATCACAATCAATCACCCTATGTTGAGAGGATGTCAGGTAGGAAGGAATAGGGATAATTTCTCAATATTATATGACAGTCGCAGAGTTAGAAATTTATACATGAAATTGCTATTTATACTATTTTATGAATATTGTTTTATTGGCGCTCCAGAAGTGTGTGTACCAATATGGAGGTAACTAATTTGCCTACTCTACATCAAGTTGTTAGGGGGGGTATATACACTTGGCTAACACAAACTAGAGTCGTAATAGAGCTAAAATAAGGAAAATTGGGAATAAAATTATGGTCTAACCCAAACCTGGTGGCTGGTACACACACTACGGGAGTACCGTAAACTGACTGTGTCACAAGTTGCTATTATTTTTTATTAATAGCTATAAACTATCAATTACTTTGTGTACATATACTGTTGGTCTGTGGCTTCATTCTGATATTTCTATTGAAGCTTATTTCCTAATTTACTGGGTTTTAATCAACTAAAACAAAAATGTGTTATTTTCGATTTTAGAATGTATTCGGAATTCCAGATTCGAAAACATTATTTTAGAATGTATTCGGATTAGTTTAGTATTCGGAAATGGCCATCCCTGGTTAGGACATAGTTTTATTCCAATTTTCTTTATTTTAGTTCTATTAGGAGTTCGGGGACTAGCCAAGTTACTCCCGTAGTATTTGTACCCAAAATTTTGGCCTAACCCCAACCTGCTGGTACACATACTACGTTCCGGTGCCCGCCATCTTGGTTCACATACTACGGGAGTACCAATTTATAACCGTGTAATATATTATTATAATTCTAAAAGATAAGTCATTCAGTGCTTGCCATGTTATAACAAGAGTAGCAAAACAAATTATGTGACCAGAAACATTAACGAGATAGAAAATCATAAAAAAATATAGGTTTGAAAGCAAATACGATAGTAATACTAATAGCTTATTGGGTGATCAAATAAAAAACAGATTCCAGGTCATTTGGAACAAATTCTAAAGAAAAATTTTTCGATTGTTCTACGGAGAACAACTTTTGTGCAAAGCGCTCTGAATTACTGAAACTTTCGGGCACAATCATACATACGAAAGTTCAACAAGTGTTGAATGAAGTTTCTTCATTTTCGTAGAAGTAATTGAGAGTAATTCTGTTTTCTTTGGCTATATTGGCACAACCAACTATCACTAAAGCTTTGCTAGACTTGAATATATAATTTACAGTTTTGTATATGTGGATAAAAATGACAATAAAAGACAAAATATAGTTTAAACTCGTGATTGTTTAATACACTATTATAATTTTAAACGATAAATTAGTCAGTGAGTGTCATGTCAGAATACTAGAACAACCAACTATCACTAAAGCTTTGCTGTACAAAATTGATTTTTTGATTTCTAGCTCAATGTCAAAATCAAATCCTTCAATTCCAGATTATATTATGTGGCGGAGATGACTCATTATCAGATGTGTTACATGACGAAAAACTGGGAATTCAAATCGATAAAACACAATCACTTTGTACAAATGGTATATCACCTGTGTTCATCTATGCAATTGAAAAAGAATGGATGTATTTGAAAGAAGCACAAAATTTAAAGATTCTTCAACACCAGTATCCAGATAATGCAATCTTATTCTCAATGCAAAATATTGAATATGAAGCGCTTGATGATCGGCCATTTGCAAATGGAAATCCTATCAAATCTCTTACTCCACATGATAAATGTACCCAATGTGATAAAACACATGTGTATAATGGCTCGTTGGATTCTACCTCGGATAACAGTGACCATTCTGATTGCGCAGCTGTGTCCGATTTCTGCAACAATAAAGTGCCAAAAACATTGAAAGATATTTCACATGAGCCTATGTGTCTTTCTAATAAGAAATCATCAAAGTCAACATCCGTTCTTAAAACTGCGTATTCCGCAGTTGATACATGTGTAGATCATGGCGAATTCACGAAATCTGTTCAAAAAGTGATTCGTGATCTATCACTCATTGGTTATAACTTTGTATGCACATGTAGAGGGGGTCAGCAATATACCGTTCCCAGGAACGTATCATATGATTCTGACTGGGACAGTAGTACAGAAGAGGTTATATCACCTGACTCGTGTTCACAAACAAATCCAAGTTACTCAGCTTTGAATTTTGAAGTTTTTAGTGATGCAAGATTGCACAATTTTCCTCCGAATTCAGTTTTTCTCATCCAACAAAGACAAGATAAATTACAATCTCGTGTTCTTTCGTTCACTCGTTCCGTGGCAAAATACTATCTTGTGAGAGCAGCCAAAGTTTTGCACAGGCAAGTAAAGTTGAATGTTACATTGAATTTGAATGTTAATTTGTTTCTTTTTTCTTAGTCACATGTATATGAATCTGCTCAAGCTTTCAATAATAATATTGCAATTGGGTATGGCCACTTTGTATTGTTAACAAACTATTTTATATTTTAACGTAATGAGATTAGGTAAATAAATAAGCTATATTTTACCTAAACCTGTTTTATTTTGGATTATTTATATTGATTTAAAAGCATTTATTGTATGACATCTGAATACACTTTTTGGCATACTCATACAAAATTATGCAAGGGAGTTTTGAGTTCATGAGCATTTCTCGAGAAACATATTTTTGACTTTCAAACATATCTTAACTTTTTATTAAAATACTGAATATGGCTTCAGATTTTGATTAGAAAAACAAGTTAAAAAGCAGCTTTTTCTTTCTAATCTTATTCAATTGAAAGTTTTCCAAAATTTCAACATACTTGAAAATATTTTTAATCTATAGTTTTTCGAAACCATCATACTGAATGAGATACTGTGCTATGCACTACATCCACATGCACCATTTTCACCTTTCTAATCCATTGTATAAACAATTTGTCAAATTGACAGAGAATAATTTTCTTGTGTTTATAGCACAATGTTTATGACCCAGTTTTGTGTTTGTGTTAAAATAAACAACTCACAGCAATTTCCTCACTCTGTTGTTTGTTTAATTTAACAAACACCAAAAGCAACAGGTCAAGTGATGCACTGCAGTGATTGTACATGCAATGTTGTTTATCACACTTTTCTATTACATTCTATAAATGAAAATGCGTATTATAGCAATATAAATGAGCGGCTGCAACAACTGAATTTACACATAGTTTTTGCTAGTGTTGCATTTGCTTATAGCTTCTAATCTAATCATTTAATTGATCATAATCCTGTAAATTGCAACTTTGAATTCTCTCAGGCAAGATTAAATTGAATGTTGTTTACATGAGAATGTTGCCCTATGAACTTTACTAATATAAACTTACTTCACCTCGTCGCAGGCATATGTTAGTATGAAACTCTGATTTAAACCATTGTCTTTTGCTAAGAAATCTTTTTTATGTACTTTGGTTTTACATTTTTCACTTGGGAGATTTAATTAAATGTTGTTCACTAGGACAGGGTACCTTGTGAATTTAATTATTGTGAACTAACTTCACCCTGGCACTATAATACATTGTCATGACATGACCCTGGTTTAATGAGACTTTTAATAAGATTTTTTGATTACAACAATCCATATACTATTTAACTTTGCTTTTGTGGTATTTGTTTCCAAATTAACTTTTTGAATCTTCACATTGGCTACTAGAAATATTTTGATAAGAGAAATTTGTTTTTTCTACGTCTAGATTGCATTCTGGAATTCTTGACAACTCTATAAGATACGCATTTCAAATGTCTCGAGATTTAATGATTACTCCAAGAAGAATGGAATATGCAAAAGATCAAGAGAATCAACTTTTTAATCAACTTGTTGATATCTCAACTAAAAAACAAACTGAAATACAAGTAAGTTTATTTTATGATTTATACAAAATGTGTCGGTTAATTTGTTCTATGTTTACCATCACAACTGGTCACAACCGAATGATTGATCTACAATTTCCAATATAATATTTTTAAATATGGAATGCTGAATATATTCTAAATTTGGTTATTTTCAACAGACAACATGCTGAAGCCAATGTCGTGAATTTGTTCATTAAAACGCTTATTTGGTCGATTTCTTATTCTATGAATTATTGGTTGTACTATGATACTTCAAATGCATAATCTAACATGTTTTTAATAATATTAAGTTCTTTTGATGATCATTTTGCGTATAAGTTTTCAAGCATTTGACTGTTTTCAATCCATGATTTAAAAAAAGTTTAATTATTTTAGGAATTAATCAGTGGAATAAAAGTAACATTGAGGGAAAATATATTAAATGCTGCTGAAAGTTACATTATCCCAGGTAACATAGAATTCATTTACTCTTGTTGAGATATATTCGTTTGTGATTATTTTGTTAAGAGGAGCTGTATATACCAGTCTGGTTATTGTACATACTATTATTTTTTTTCTCTGTCAGTTTTCATATTGCCCAACTGTTTATGCACATAAAATTATTTCTGTATGTACGTTTAAACGGTTGGGCAATGAATGAGACATCATGATTTATTTCAGACTTTTTATTTTAAAAGTTTCCTTATCATTGTGGTTTTGCTACAAAATTTCATGACGAAACATGATATGTGATGGCCCGAGATTCTTGAAAACATATTTTCCCATCCAATTAAATTTTAAATTTCTGTTAAAAATTGCTTGTGCTTTTATATACATCCCATAAATATGTAGATATACAACTCTTTTAGCAGAAACATCAGTGCCTTTTCTACTAAGTGATGATGTCTATTCGGGGGATTGTTTCTTTCACTCAAGTCATGTCTTTTGACTTTAGTGTAGCTATAATGCATTGTCAAATTACTGTATAAGGTTTTGTAACTTTGAAATTACAAAATTTCTGTGCGCTTAAGATAGTGTGATGAAAAAAAGTGGAATTTAGAAACAAGTTGTTAATGGTCATGTTTTCTTTCAGTTTTTGCAAGTGCGAGTTTTTAATGGTTTCATTTCTGTTAGGCTTTTCCTCCATTGTTCAAATTTGTCGCTAAAAATTGTTAGTTTGTAGTACAGTTTTATTAATGTTGATGTTTTGTAACGTAATAACAGTTAACACTATTAATAATCTTTGGCGATCATAACATTGATGTTGAAAATAAAACAGCCTTAGGCTAATATCCTGCATCGCACTGCAACCTAGTTTTAAATAGATTTATAGAAATGGCACACTTTGCATCAGCTGCATCATAAATTATGATTTTTAAACTATTTCACAATGTAGCTGTTGTGTCATCATTTGACCTCTTTAATTATTACAACCTTTGGTCATATGATGCGCAGTCCTTTCATAATTATAATGTAATTGAACACTTTCACATGGCTAAATTATCCAATCAGTTGGTATCAGGGTATCTTAAATGAATCACATTTCAGTATACGCCGAAATTGGCAAATCGTTAATATTCATTACTGTTACATAACGTGTTACATGTTATTTGAAGAATCTTACTATTTTTTTTAACAGTTTAATGCACCTGGTTTGTCCCATATGATGCAAGTGTAGTTATGTCATACAAATGATATATCAAATCCTTATTAATATGAACTTTTACTCAATTTTATGACTAATAGCAAAGATTCCCATAGAATCTATCTAACATCGATTTACTTTTATATACTGTATAATTCATTTTAATTTATATATAATTGTCTGAATTCTCTTTAACAGCATAATGCATCTGATTTGCTCCATATTATGCATGTTTAATAATGTCATATAAATGATCTATCTTTTGAATTCATTATTAATATGAACTTTTGCTCCTATATCCATTCCCTGGTATTTACTGGTATTTGGTATTACCTGTGATATTCATATTCACTGTTTTATTTTTGTATTCTTTCATTTGTTTGGCTTATTCGATATGGACCTTAATGATTTGGAGCAGTGGTTTTCAACCATTTTTGTGGAGCAGAACACAAATGAAATATTCCATAGGCTCGAGAAATGTTGTACATTTGAATAGTAGAATAAAATTGTATAAAATATGAGAAGGTAATATTGACAAAACGAACTGATTTTCAAAGTGTAGCAAGTCTAACAGTAGTAGCAAAACTTAATATGTATTTGAATATACGTATAATGATATACATTATCGGATTTGAACGTAACTCTGCGGAACCCCTGGACTGAACTGACAGGTCCCTGGTTGAAACCCACTGGACTGAAGTATTGAACAATTAAATTGATTTATATGACTAATAGCAGGAATGTCCAAATTCCCAATGATTGGTACTCCCGTAGTAAATGTACGGAGTTGGGCCATAATTTTATTTCGATTTTCCTTAAGCTTTCTGGTTGTACTAAGAATATTTTAGTTCGATTACGAGTTCAGGGATTGTCTGTGTTAGCCAAGTGAATATTCTCTCTGCCCATAGGTTTCAGTCCTTTCACACAACTTGATGTAAAGTGGGCAAACACCATTTCCATATTGGTACATGATTTATCTTTATACACTGTATTTTTTTCAAGTAACAATAATCTGAATTCTCTGTAACAGATGAAGAAGGTTCATTCAGACAAGTTTCAATTGTGAAGCGAGATATACAAGACCTGGTGCTTCGTCATATAAAAGTTGCCACTGCAGAACGATTGTACAGCTCAATTCAAGTCCTCAGGTATTTTTTGCATGATTTTTTTTATTTAAATTTTTTATTTATTTGCTATTGTAATCTGTTAGGTTTAATATATTGACTTACAATAATATATTTCTTGGTGGGTGAACTTCATTATTATGTTGATTCAAGACCCTATAATTATGTTTTGATGAAATCATATCTCTCTATGCCAATATGCATATTAGGTGGTTATGTGTATATCAGTTATAAAGCTTCACTGCCCAGATAATTCTCAATAGGTTAATTATCTCTTCTACAAATTAATAGTATTTCAATACCTAATTCAATTATTTGGGTTAATTAATGGAATCTAGTTTTGAAAAATCCCAGATCATTTTATTACAGTCTAATCAATTTTTATTACAAGATTTCCTTTTTGTCAAAGTTAATTTAGACTTATGTTATATATAATGCTTCTGTTATGGATTGGGTCATGCATGGTGCCCCAACGTTGTCACACGTAGAATTGAAAAAAAAATTTCAAAACAATCAAAAAATAAGGAATAGGATAGAAATTGTATTGATTAATGAAGAATAGTTTAGATAGGAATATCATACCATAATGAATAGCACGTAACTATCCTTTAAGTTTTTCTTCATTCCGTTAATGTATTGATAGGAGATCGTTTGATCATAGCCGTAGGCTACAGGAATGCAATTTTCCGAGCCACTGCCTTGCCTCTGTTCGTGTATGCAAAATAGAACACATTATTATCAATTTGATATTGCCGACAGGTCAAACAAGTTCACATTCCATATAGTCACAAGACCCACAGCTGCAAATTTAACCTCATTTATCCTCCTATCTTTTATATAATATTTTCTAATTTATATTTTTTAACCTATTATTAATTTAACTTGTTGTGCCACACTTTCCATTAATTTTCGCAAGAATATGTCAGTTCAATAAAGTTCAATGTCTTCATTTGCTTTGACAATGCATTTGACTTATAACAGCTCTGCTGTAGATGATCTCATTTTCTTTGTTTCTTACTTCCTCATTCCAAACAGTTTTCTATACTAGCTTTCACGCATTACTGCTATATTCAGAATGTAAGATGATCTCGTATTTTTACTTCATTTTTTAACTTCTTGACTGACGTGGGTATTTAAACCATGGTAACAGCACATTGAAAACTGCAAGCATTTGAAACGTCTTACGAAAATTCTTTTAAACTAATTGATATTATAGGTTCTTTGCCATCTTTGTTATATATAAGGGTGTCCAGGAAGTCTTAAAATTTTTTAAAATTGCAATTTATCAATACCATATATTGTTTTGGCCCTCACAGATGTAATAAATTAAGTAATAATACTTGAACAATTACTGATTAAAAGGCAACAAACCTTGTTAAGATATATCGAGAACTGACTTCATAAAATAATTGCCATTAATTGGAATTGCAAAGTGACTTTATGGACACCCTGGTATATAATATGGCTCTCAATAACAATCATATATTTTTCTCTCAGGGAGAGTTACATTGGAACATTATCAAGATGCTTGGAATGCCTGGAATCATCTGCTGAGGAAGAATCACACAGAGAAAATTCTGGAGCTACTAGCAAGCATTTGAAGAGGGTAAATGTTCTATTCTTGCATTTTTATTGGTTGATTTATTTGTCAGGTCGATTAGCTTCAGCAGAATAACAGCTTTATATTCATAGTTTGATTGTGATTCATATTTGAATTAAATGCCAGTATTTTTCTTTTTTTTTGGATGGAAAATATGAATACTAAACAGTTTTTACATGCTTTAATCAATTATTTACTATTGTTTTCTTCTTTACTATCTTCTTCTTATTTACTATTCTATTCTCTTATTACTTAAACCGTGAATATTATTATTTTAATTCTTCAAAGTAAAACAAAGAGATTCGATGATCTTGATATAAAAAAATTCTATTTCTGGAAAATTATTGTGTCATACAATCACATGATATGGATAAATCCAGATGAATAGTCAATTGCATTTTAAAACTAATATTCTAAAATATGAACTTCTGAATATATCATAAATCATATATCAAATTCTGAATATATCAGTCATGTTTAATAAAGACACTCAAAATATTTATTTTGTAATTTTTGTAGCGAACCTACTCATTTGGCATATCACTACTCATAGTAGCATTTTCCTATTTTGCGATTATTTCTTTCTGAGGCAATTTATTAGAGCACTATTGGGTAATTGGATACTTCCGTAGTATGTATACCAAGTTAGGGTTAGGCCATAATTTTTTCCGATTTTTCTTAGTTTAGTTCTATTACATGTTCGGGGACTGTCTGTTTTAGCCAAGTGAATATACCCCATACCCATAGGATTCAGTCCCTTTACACAACTTGATGTAAAATATATAAACAAAATTAGTTACCTCCATATTGGTACACCTACTTGTTGAGCACCGAATAATTTTATCAAATATCGAATAATTTTTGAGTCATAGGAAAGTTTTTCATGTACAAATGTAACAGATAAATTCTGTGTGTTGAAATACTATGAGTAATACTATGCGAATGACATGATTACTATACGTGTTATCAATACATGTCATAATGCTTGTCATGCATTACTTTCATTTATATAGTTTTACTCCGTATCAAAATAATCGTGATTGATTGCGAATTTTGCAAAATATTGCATCAGCTGTAAAACAAATAACAAATACTTTTCTGTGACATTTCGAAAGTTGATGAAGTAGCCAAATAGAGTTTTTTTTAGTGAAACTTCCGATACAACATTTGAAAATACTTTTGTTTTATTATCATTTTTATTAACGATATTCAGTAATATGCATTAAAACATCATAATCTAGTATTCCAATATTTTAATTTTTTTCTCTTGGAATTCTGACCATATCTGCCAAATGTGCTGAAAGTTGCAAATGGAAGAAACTTTCCTCAGTTGCAAAATCTAAGCGTTGAACTGTTTAATTCAAAAAACCGAAATAATTTCAAAATTTCATTTTTTATGATACTTTTGTTATAACTTTTAAAGCTAAAGCAGATGCAACTTTTGCAACCAGTGGACAATATGTAAAAAAATATATTGTCTTCTGCAATATAATGTCCTTTTGACTCTATGAGATTAGATTTTATTCCAGCGGCTTTCCGCCTCAGCCAATGTTGTGTAGACGTGATCAATAAAAAACTGAATCTGGTATTTTTAATTCCAGATACTGCATGCTGCATACAACGTTGAACTCAATATTCAATCAAGCTCTTCTCTTGCTAGAGTAATGATTGATAAGTTACGAAAGGTTTGTCTGAAGATTATTTGTATTTCATTTTAAGTGGAGATTGTGAACAAATTAGCACAAGCAAATGAAAACTGTTATATGCAATGTGACTTTCCTACTGTATATCTACAGTACTACCTATTCAATTTCATTCTGAATGTTGTGATGTTTAGGATGAAGTGCTGGACCATGTTGATTCAATCTCACAACATACTCACCTGGGTAGTAATAAACTGGGTTGGCAATGAAAAACTCCGGTTCTTCCCAAAATTGTTCCTTATGTGATCAAAGCTTTTTTGTATCGAGCCTTATAGAAGTGTGCCATATAAACTATTTTAACGGAGAGAGAGAGTCATAATTTATTTCTGAATGCACATTTAACCCTTTTCATGCAATTTTTATTTTTTATTAAATAATCGTATTTGCTACGCCGATTTTATGCATTTGTACCCCCACAACTAATCGATCGACTAACGAAAAACTAATGATCCTCTGCTGCTCACTGACGGCTCGTTGGAAAGCTTATTCAAAGAGCTTGCAATTGGCAATTAAAAATTTTTTTCAAAAGTGATGGTCTGAGTCACAAACCGGCTAGTAAAAAGGCATTTTTTTTCTTGGGAGTTGAAACTTCAAACCGTGATAAAAAATAGAAATATTCGCTAAATCCTTTACTGTTACCGCTTCGTGGTTGGCAAACAATAGCATAAAATTGCTGTAGCAATTTCGTGATCTAACTAAAAATACTTTGGTAGATGGAAGGGATAATATGTCTTCTATTACTACCCAAAAAACACCGAAATTTGCATAAATTTCAAAAACACTCCCTCGTTCCGCCGCAAATAAAATTCCTGTCGTAAACGAAAGCGAGATTTACCGTCGCTTATGTTAATCTCGAAGAAGACTTCTTATCAATGAACTAAAACCCGGAAAAACTAGACCAACAGTTTGCGACCGATTGCTAAATAAAACAGTGGAGTACATCAACGTACCCGCCGCAATCTAGCGACTTTTGTCGTGGGTACGTATACGTGCCCACCGCACGGAAAGGGTTAAAATATAGTGTGCTTATTGTGATTAAACAAAATGACATCATTCGGCAATCAGAAGTGCACCAGACAGTTAGGTCAATGTAGTCGACTAGCCCTAATTAATATTATGGCTTTCATACAAACAATAGGATTATAGCGCGAGAAAAAAAAAATCAGATTTTCACATTTAAAAAAAACAATTGATTGTCATAGCCCAATCCATTTATTTTAATAATAATAACAACTTACTGGACTACATTTGTAATATTCTTTCAATTTCCAGTTATTATCCAACCTACCATGGCATGAACCACCAATCATGGATAGAACATGGAGAAGAAATGTTGCTTCTGATGTTCTTGCTTCTTTAGATGATTCAAGATTAGCAAGAAGTATTTGCTCACAATTCAGGTTGGTTAATGCTTAATTTTCATTTCAAATTTCTGGTGTTGGTTTTTAATTTTTAATGATATTAATAGGCTATTTTCAAGGGAAACAAACCATTTTTACTTGCATACTGAAATTACATAGTTATCATCATAATTCTTATTTTCAATTGGATTATAAATTATTCAAACCAAAATATTTGCTCTGTATGTAAATTCCCCCTTTTATTATTGTATGTTAAGAGCAAAATTGTGTATTCAGATGTTATTAGCCAAAAGCTATGGCTTTCCAATTTGAACAAGGCACAATACATGCCTTTAGGAATATAGACCAAACTAAAAAGTCAGCTAACCAGATAATATTGTACCACTGGTAAGACTGACCCCCGAATCCCCAATGAATTTGCCGATCTAACAATCCATATTTGTAATGCAAAGCTTAAAAAAAACGACAATATGTTAACTAACCCAATTTACTAATTTCAGAGCTCGTTTGCATCAGTCACATTCTGCATTTCACACATCTTTGCGGCAACTCGAATCGGCACATTTATGTCGACTCGAACACACTGAGGAGAAACGCCATAAAGTTGCGAAAATTGTTGCACCTCACATCGCTAGATTAGCACTCGAGAGTACTTCTTTGATTGATAGTGTCATGTTTGGTAATAAATTTTGTTATAATAACATATTTTAAATTCCATTACAATGTTACTGATCGATTAGATTGAACAGTGTGAGTACACGTTGTCAAAAATCTGTTGCATTTGTTTCCTGAACCTGTCGTGGTTTAGACAGATAGATACATGAACAATGAACATACAGCGTAACGTATCTACATGAACTTTCCAGTTTTAATATTTGTTGTTAGTATACATTGGATCAATAATATTGAACCTGATATGGCATTGCAGCATCGAACATTTTAATTTTCTGAAAAACCAATCTTGAATAATAAATTCTTGTTGTTCAACCTAATGTATTATTGCGATATCACAGGATGATATTGTTATCAAGGAAGACATTTTACTGATTGATAACAATATTTTAAACATTAATCGGTACATGCTGCTTGCACAGTTTCCCCATGGGAGCGAAAGAGATATTAAGTAAGAAAGTTGAGAAATTTAAATAAGAAATATATTTTGTAAGATATTCATCAAGAATACATACTTTCTTAATTATTAAGTATGAATGCTTTCAACTTTTTTGGTTTTCAACTATGCTACTACTTACTATATTTCAGGTATGCCTCGAATGGGACGGGAGATTGGCCGAGGAATGTATGGTGTTGTTTACCAATGTGATTCGTGGGCATCTTGGTCTCCTTGTGCTGTTAAATCTGTTGCACCGCCTGATGAAAAACATGCGAATGATTTGTCTTTGGAATTTTATTACACAAGAAGGTAGAATATTTCTGGATTCAATTGTGACGATGAATAGTGTGAATAGCAATAGATCATATATTTGTTCAGTCATATTTTTCAGCTAGTTAGCCAATTATTGTGGATTCAATATTTGTTCGATTTTCTGGGGTCAGCTCATCAGGCAGCTCAGTGTGTTTTATTTTTTCTATGTAACTGCAGAAACTATGAGTAAAATAAAACCGATAGAAATAGAGCGCCCATTGGTGCTTGATGAACTAAGAACTGCCTTGGCTTTTTGGGCGATAATACGAAAAACCCTCATTTTTAGTGCTAGAAATTGGTTTCGGCTTATTAGACGGTAAAAAAGGTATGTCTTCCATTTGTCATTAGAATTCTAAAATAGTTGTCTGTGATATTTTTAATTCAGGCTACATCAGAAATTGTAAAATTCAAATCACTTATATTGATTTTGTAATATTTTAACTAAAGATTAGCATAATAGCAATACTGCCTTATTTCTGAAATGTTTGGATAGAACCTTATGTAATAAATGTTTATTTATTCACGGTTTGTGTCTTTCCTTGCTTTCTATCACAAATCCTAACGAATATGTTTGTTTATTTTCAGTTTGCCAGAACATCCCAGAATAGTACAAATTAGGGGATCGATTGTAGATGAATCATATGGGGGAGGAATAGGCCCTCCTGCTGTATTGCTGATTATGGACAGAATGCACTGTGATTTGTATACATCTATAAAGGTATGTTTTTATGTATTTGTTTAGCATAGATAGCATGGCAATTTCATTGAGCTATTCATAGATAAGAATTCAATAAAATTTCATCACTGGGTGGTCTGAATAGTTTTATTGATAAATGAAACTGAGCCTGCGTTGTACTTTAATAACCTCACAGGTGTGTGAAACCAGCGGAGAAAAAAAGATTTCCATTTTTCGGTCAGACTTCTTATGGTCATAATCAATGTCAAAATCACCGAAGACATGTAAATAAGGCTTTAAGTTAACTGAGCATTCTGATGGGACATTACGAAGACTTGCATACCCTAAAGTTTTGTGATTAAAATTTGTTTTTTCAGCTCTAGTCGACACTCAAAATTCCCTTCAATCTGAATTTGGTAGTCAGAAGTTGAAAATTTGCGACAATCAGAAATCTAGGTCGGCTCTGAGTTTGGGATGTTAATTTTCACCAATGCTACAGGCCTACAGCTTTGATCAATCACTCTATTATTCTCCTGTTATCGCATTTCTTTATTTTACAGAGAGGAATAAGTGAATGCAACAGAATGCAAATTGCTGTCGATGTGATTGAAGGAATTCGATTCCTACATAGCCAAGGTCTTGTGCATCGAGATATCAAGTTGAAAAACGTTCTGGTAAGTTGTTGGATTTTTGTCCATAAAATGATATTTATGTTTGAAATCTTTTATTTGGTACTGCGTAATTTATTTTTTGTTATGTGAAGTAATTATAGTGTCCTATTTGAACTGCTAGACCTGTCTTCTCATAGCAGAATGCAATTCTTTTCAATGCGCTCAGCACTGATATTTTTTAAAAGTCTGGAAAAATTCAATTTGGCAAAGACCACCTAATTTATTACGCAATCATTGTGGTAGTAGGAATATGGGTTGGAAGATCTCCGACTTCCAATGCTAACAGACCCAATACAGGTACAATGTGTATACAAAAGCAATCGGATGATCCACCTATAAGTATATATTATAAACCGCAGCGAGAGAGTAAAATACCTCATAAAGTAAACTATATGTGAAAATTTTATAGGTTCATGTTTGCGACGCTAGAATCATTAAAACAGGGATGTCCGTAATTTTTGGCCTAAATTCGAAAAAGTATGCTCAAAATAAATGACCATTAAAGGGTGTAATATAAATACTCTACTAAGGAATGCAGGTACCGGTATATGTGTTTTGATATAAAATTTGAACAACAATTTATCTATGAGATGAAATTTCAATAATATGGCATATTATATATTTATTTATTATTTGTACCTACCTCTGAGGCAGTGTCTCTTCCAAATAAATAGGCTATCAAGTTGAGAAAATTTAGAATATTGAAAAATTGAGTATTATTTTAAGATTGATCATCTAAATTGGACCAATTACTTTCAAATTATTATGAAGTAAATATATCTGTTGGAAGTTTCCGTTGCTTATTCAACAAGGTTGAATTCGATTTAAAAAAAAGGAGGCTTCCAAAATAGAAACTCAAACACCTTTTATAATGATGTATAGGATCTCCATAATGTCTTAAAATTATTTAAAATTGCAAAGGGAATTTATCGATATCATATATTGTTTTGGCCCTCACAGACGTACTAAATAAGGTGAAAATACCTAAACAATTACTGATTAAAATACAACAAATCTGGTTAAGATATATTAAGAACTGACTTCACAACAGAATAATTGTAAAAGAATTTTATCTTACATGGACACCGAGGTATATGTATATAAAAACAAATCTTAAACTCCGCTCATATCTCTGTTTTATATGGTTCTCTCCACAATGTTTAGAAAAGCAAATTGTAAAGCAATCTTTATCATAGAGAAAAAAATAATATTTTTTTATTGGGTTTGTGTAACCGATAGATTTTATTATTAGTTCGTTTATGTAATGGTTATAAGCCATTGCCAAATATTATTGATTTCTTTCAGAATCAATCAATATACTTGATGTAAGCATTTAATAAGCTCTTGTTTCTTCGATTTGAATATGCATGAAAATCGTCTCATGGTGTTGTCTTGTCAGCATATTATTCTTATCACACTTGATTGTGATTTGGTGTGTAACCAATTAATTTTATTATCAGTTATCAAGTATTATTAATTTCTCATTAAAATGATTTAAAGTCTATGATGTAAGCATTTCAGCTCTTATACTTGGATAGATATCATTCCAGTAAGTGTAAAAAGCATCTCATTAAAAAGTGATATACATGTGTCAGGCGTATCTTTATCACACTCGATCGCAATTACAAATTTGTATCAAGAAATAATGTTTATTGAGGCCATCATTTTTATTTATGCTATTTTTAATTCTAACAGCTGGATCGGAGAAATCGTGCTAAAATAACCGACCTGGGATTCTGTAAACCTGGTGCCATGATCAGTGGATCAATTGTTGGAACTCCTGTACATATGCCACCTGAATTATTCACAGGTTAGGGTTTTGAAAAGCTTTCGTAGTCTCGTGTTTATGAATATTAAAACTTTATTTCCAACTGTTTATTTGTCTATAGCCATTAACAGAAAGAAAATAGGTGTAAACTGCACATAATGCTATACTTCTTGTACTGCCTCAGTAGAAAAAGCATTTACATTCAAGTTATTGGCAATACATGATATGCCGTTATAAATATACGCAATGTACTGGAAATACATAAAATAACAGAAAAAATTGGGGCAATTTATTGTAATACCAAACAAAATTGATATTTTTGGGAAAACAGATGTTGGTTGGTTATGTGTCTTGTTCTCAATATAGACGAGACTGTTACATAACATAGATATGAAAATAAAAAGCTTTATGCATTTGCTTTCCATATAATATGATATATGTATAAATATGCTTGGTATAGAAATATCCAAAACAGATTGAATTATCAAATATATAATTTTATAAAATTTTGATCTTAGGAATATTTGAGAATAGATTCATTTGAAAATCATTATTTTGTGGAAATGATCTTCCATTGTACTACCAAAAATCCCTTCATTTAATTTCTGAAAAAAATGTTTAAAATAGGGGGGAAAAACTGTTATAGATATAAAATTGAATCACTGTTTATTTTAATTTTCCTGCTTTTCAAAATGAAACTTATCGAATATGCATCAACTCCTATATGTGCTTTGTTGAACATGACCCTAATTTTAAAATATAAGTTATTTCAAAATATTCAGGATATAGATCAGTTTTCGATATTTCTAGACCTTCCAACAATACCCTAATAATCATGTGAAATTTTGTTGTTTATTTTGATTAAATTAATTTTTTTTCCTTAGGGAAATATGATGGAAGTGTTGATGTTTATGCATTCGGTGTATTGTTCTGGTATCTATGTGCTGGTGTCACAAGACTTCCAAGAAATTTTGAAATTTGCACAACTAAAGACCATCTTTGGAATGCGGTTCGAAAAGGTATTTTTACCTAGGCTTTGTAGGATTTTATATGAATACTATCTTCTCTTTTTTTGCTATTTGCCTAAAAGATATTTAAATGAGATAAGATTGGAATCAGAAGTGAAAATTCTAAAAATGCTTTTTGGGATAAACACCATGCCATTTTTGTTGATAGTTTTAAACCACGTCAAAAAATGTTTGTATGTCTTAGCAAACTGAGTATTTATATGGCAAAGCTATCATTCAGCACCAATTTTGTAGATGTTATTTCAGCTGTAGGTTTTTAAATTTGTTTCTGTTTCACTTTAATAGTGCAAACTGTTAATGTAATATAATCGTATCTTCAAAGGGAGCAATATAAATTTTTTGCTTCTATAATTACATGTAGTGCTTATAGTACAAAATAACTACCGTGTATGCTCATTTAACCGCCTGATCTTGATTAAGGGCCCGTTTGAATAGCCGCCCGTGTGAACAGGACATAAAAATAAATAAGGGCCGGTGCTTGAATACCCGTCCGATGTAAAAGCAGATTTTTCAGTGGTAGAGAACAATAGGAAATAAGCACTTTTGTCACAACGCTGTTGAATTTTAAGCGCCGGTAGATAACACTCACGCCTTAGGCGTCCAAGTGCATACCAGATTGCATTGATTACGCAACACCATGGTTCTCAAACTGGGCGTCGCGACGCCCAAGTGCGTCGTTTCAATATTGATAGGGCGTCGCAAAACTTTTTTTTCTTTGTGGATTTGTAACTGCAGTGCGTAGAATAAGTCAAAATTTTCGTTATTCTCGTTTAAATCATACTTGAGAACTGGAAATAACAATATATTAATTATTGTAACGATCGAAAATAACAAGCGCCCGTGCTTGAATAAGGGCCGGTTTGAATAACGGCTCGGTTTGTGAGTTGGTTGAAAAAAATATGGGCCCGGGCTACAAAACGAGCAAATACAGTAAGTACATAAATTACAGAAATAGACAATGCAAAACATTCCTGGTATCCTTATTAGGCAACATTATTGAAACTTATTATTATTATTTTTTCTGCATGGTTGCCACAGCTATTTTTCGTGCAAAACTATCTCTTAACCATTCTTTTTTTTTGCATAAAGGTGTAAGACCTGAGCGTTTACCAACATTTACCGATGAGTGTTGGAGTCTGATGAAAGCCTGCTGGAACAGCGACCCATCTAAGAGACCACTGCTCGGTAAAATCCAACCTCGGCTCGTGATGATTCATAACAGATTGAAACGAAAGGATCTCGTGTGAGGAACGAAGGAAAAATTGAGTTAGGTTCCAGAAATAAATGAATGGTGGATATCAACAATCTGAATTTATATCCAACAAAGGACGCCACATAATCATGATAATGGTAACGAAGGTTGAGTGATTATTTAACAATGAGTGAAAATATAACAGATGATGATTGGACAATGATAAATTAAGTTTGTTGCTGTTGTTAGAATTTTTACTGGATGAAATCCAAACCAATCAAGTCGTGGAAAGAATTTCAAGTTTTTGAAGTGATTGTAGAATGACTTTGTTTTTTGTAGACTGGATGTTTCAAACGTTACTTTGAGATTTATTACTGCAATATGTTCCTGTTAATTCTTAGAAACAGTTAATTTTGGTTGGATATTACCAGGATTTTTCATGTTATTTCTGTAAAATTTTCTATTTGATTTCACTACGGTGCCAACAAATATCAAACTTATTTTTCAATATACATAATGTTGCAAATTTCACAATTTCGTTCTTGTTTATTAATACTTGGGCACCAATTTGAAGATGCATCTTCAACATTCTTGAAACCATATTTCTGTTTTCGAATCTAAACACGAACTCCTATGAAGTGTCTGTGGTCTCCGGGTTGGCAAAAACAGAATTATCTATTCCGAATACATTCAGGAATAATGTTTTTGAATATGGAATTTATTTTAAAATTGGTCATATCCGACTAAGGAATTTACACAAACCATGGTCAATTTATGAAAATTAATTGGCTGATTCAGAATATTTGAATGTGTTTTGTGATATTAGAAGAAACTCTTTGGACGCATCTGTTAACTAGCCCTTTTCTAGCAGACAGAGCTACAATCATAGTATTACTGTTACAACATGCATATGCATTTTTCTTTTTTTGATGCTAACTTCTTTACAGTGTAAAAAGTGAAAGTAAGTTTATTTCGTGACTGACCGTCATATACCAAATTCCCATAATGATATTCCAAATGAAAATATTCCAAATTAATCGGATATTATAGTTATTTTTGACATCCTCCCGTGGCACAGATTCTTTTACTAAGTATGGATTTTGGTATTTTTTGTTGAGGAATGTGATTGTAACCAATTTAGAAATTTTTTCAAATGTATTCAACCAATTTTGCATGCTAAATGCATCCTTTACTCATTCAGCACTTTAATTTTTTCAAAGTAAAATTGTATTGCACCTGGTTGTGCTTCAGTGAAACTTTTTGTCACATGGTAGAAAGTGTCATGTCGGATCTATGAATCTACTTTTGGCTTAATATGCTCAGATTCATAGTCTTGGTTTTGAATCTGTATTTCGGAATCATATATAAACGTGCCCTAAAGGAATTGTCATGAAATTTCATGGATATTATTGCTGTTAAGCTTTTTTACTTTTCGTATAGTTGATCAATATTCGAAGATCAAAAAATTTCCACATTTCTGTTTTTGAAACTACTTCGAAGATCAGGATAAATAAATCGTATTAGTGATTGCACGTATAGTATAAAATTAAAGATTTTTGTTTTTTCGAAGTCTATATTCCCCAATTCTGAGTTGACGGTTTTAATATGATCTATGTTTGAAAAAAAGAGTAAACATTTCGCCTGAAAACTAGGAAGCATTCATTGGATTAGAATGCAAACAACTTTCTGTATCATTTTCTGACTGCAGTTTATATATATTTCTGCATCCAAATTATTAAGTGAAGTTGATCTCCCGTTAGAAATATTCTTTCGAGCCTAGAACATGGTACTTGGATGTAACTTTCTGTATTTTTGCACAATATACTTTCTTAAAATTTCTTTCTTTTTCATAACAATTTATGTATGTAGCTGTTCTTTTCCCAATTGCCTAAACATTGCAAGTCATTTTACTGTGAATCATGTTGTATCTTTTTTCAATGAGATGTAAATACAAGTCTGTTGGTTTTACTTATTGCTTTGATGTAATTGCGACACCTAATGCTGCTTTTCTACAGTTTGGGTGTTATACCCCCTGCCATAATGGAATATTATACACATTTACATATTGTCTGCTCACGCTTTTTAAATTTTTGCAACACTTTAACACACAACAACTTTTTTTGATTTTAAAGTTGTGAGACGTTCATACCAAATTTTAGATAAGCTGTTCAATTGCCTATCATTTTATCAAACATTGGACATAAGGCTTAGTTTCTGTGATAAAATCGAATAATAAATTTGATTTACTAACTAAAAAAAATAATCATGTCACAACATGCTATTATTACAATGGTTTTAATTATTTGGTGTCAATCAATCTTATTCCTTGTGAAAATATTACATTTTTGATATGTTAATTCAGAAATTGTTTTCTTTTTTTATAAGTTTTTCTCAATTGTTGCAATATGGCCATTATCAAATGAATCCTTTTTTGTGACATTGGAAGAAACTCTTTGGACGCATCTGACTAGCCCGTTTCTAGCAGACAGCTACAATCATGGTATTACTGTTACCAATATGCTTATGCATTTTTCTTTATTTCTTGCTTCAATTTCAGAGTCATATTTGATTAGTGCTAAATACATTGCAGTGTGCTCACAAGTTTTTTTACTTGTTTGGGTGTGTTTCGGGATAATTCCTTCGATATTTAGTGTTATTCCTTACAATTTAAACCATTGTTAACAATGGGGTTACTAGGGCATTGTGTTTTATATTGCAGCTCAATTCAATGTTTTCGTTAACACAAGGATGCTTGAGCGAGATTTATTACAAGGATAGATTGATAGGCTCTTTCCACGAAATATATATTTATTCAATATTATTGGAATAGAAAGAAAACAAGATGGAAGTTGATTGTAAAAAGCAACTAGAGCAGGGGTCGGCAACCTTTAGTCGATCGCGGGCCAGAATACGGGTTGCAAGGCATTGGCGGCCGCACATATATTTAGAAAAGTTGAAAACCGAACGGATGACAATTTTTCTAATAAATGAAGCAGCGATACATCTCTCGAATAGAATATAGATTTATTTCCTCATTTCTTTGTATTTTCGGCGAAATTGAACCCTTTGCACTTGGCATCAACTTTTCTGCATTTTGTTGCCATTTGTCTAATTATGAATAAATTATAAGCTCATTAGACGAGTACCGTAATTGTGAATTTCATACTTGTTAGCTTATAATATAATTTAGTCAACACCACACGCATTTCACAATGAATTGTGTAACGTGAAAAATATAATCGTCAAAGCAGCTGTTTTGTTACTATACTTCAGTGAAGCGTCGTGGGTCGGATTATGTTACTCCGCGGCCCGTGGGTTGCCGACCCCTGAACCAGAGGTTGTGCATTAATGTGATAGGTGGGAATAGGGATTATGAGATCCGTCTGAAGAAAGACAAGTCGGTGAGACTGAATCATAGGACGGAATAGTAGCAACATTCTTGCAGTCCTGCACATTATCGAACATTCGATTCTTGAAAAAGTGCGGCCAGGTGCCATGAAAGTAATCACTCTATAATAGCAAAGGAGGGACCACTGACGTTTCCTGAGCAAAAAAAAAACAGCGACAAATGTGTAATTTGTGAGGAGCAAGGGGTTAGGATATTTTTAAAATCGTCAACAACTTGGTCAGGTTGGGTTCACTTCAATTTGAGGCGAAGGTTTCAAATCGTTGATTTAATCCGAGACGTCTATAGCGTCAAGAATGATTTTACGTTCACGTTACCGGTTGGCTACTGGTTTCAGGATCTGGCAGTGTCACATAGGTCAGGAAGTAACTTGACAACATGACGCAGACACATTGAATTTGTAACACATTACAAGCTAAACGAGGATTTTAGTCATTCCTTCTTCAGAGTGATACCGGTATTAGTTTTTGAAAATATTCGATATACAATACAACTATCTACCAGGGTAGGTATGATACCGTACTTACCGACCATGCCATAGACATAAAAGATCACATGTTACAAGATCGTCCGGGTGAAGGGTGACTGGCAGACTGCTATAGCAGTACGGTAAAACCATTATATTATTATATATACGCGTTGGGTAAAACCATGTGACTGTATGAGGAAGTTTCGATTGCATGCGACCAAGCCTTCGACTTTTGAATGTTACCGTAAATCTGCAAATCTACTAAAAACAAGCAGAGAGAATGAATTTTTATTATACTGTTATAATATGAGCAGACATAGACGATCTCATACACCAGTATATAGGCCAATCATGTCGTAATAATTTCTATGTAATGCCAATTTTGATATATTATATAAGAGCTATTATTATTCTATAATTTATACTCAATAAGGCGGTGAGGAAAAATTGATATCTTCTGTTTAATTTTTGTGTTCTTAAGGTAGGCCTTTGATTCAGTCTTGGTTTACATTTTTTCAATAAAAAATGTACCTACCTTCAAGTTTTTTTTATATAGATTACATATGTCTGTATGTTGTTACGGTAGGAAAGATTCCATATCCCGGTGGCTTCCTCCTTCCTTCACTCTCAGTTACTAACAAAACTAAAAATCCTAATGTTTTTTAATTATAATTAAGTAGTGACTGTTATTCTGTACTCTTTTTTACTCTGTCTTTATTTTTAACTGTTTTGATTATGCATTAACTTCGCAAGTTCTGGAACCAATATTCTGCCAAGTGGTTATTAATATGTACTTATACCAATGTGGTACTATATGCAATATCCCACTTTTAAACAGACACTAAGACCCTCCTAATACTTGTTACATAGTATCAATTGATGCAATCATTTAAGCTCTCTTCAAGATAATATTTTATGTAATACAAAATATCCTGATTCTCATGGTATCAAGCTAACCTTACTTGTACATATGGAAATCTCAAGGCGTAATAACAATATGATTAGGGCCAGTTCAGAAAGTATTTTACAGAGGAAAAAGATCTGGTTACGAGACAAAATAGAGGAAATAAGGACTTCGTATAACGACACTCTATGTGCATTCCGAGACAAACTTGATGGTGTTGTGACCGAGGTATAGTGGAGTGGATATATTTCAAGATATAATCACAACTTTTCAACGTTTCTGCCATGTGTATGAAATACTGCAATTTTATCATTCTTTGATGATATTCTTTATTTAGTATTAATGTCCTAAATTTTTGTTTGATTTTTCATAATGCCATTCCATACTGGAAATTAGCAAGTAACATTTAACAATATAAAAAGTGTTTATGAATCACAAACTCATGGGTAGAAAACTGTAACTGGAAGCCAAACAAACACAAAATCCTACATTTCACACCCATAGTGCGTAGCCCTAAATCAAATTTTCACAAATTATATGGATAATTGTTTCAACTTGAAGCCATTTTCTTGTGAAGTGTCACATAGGATAAGGTGGAAGATGTACCAGGATTTGAATTAGCTTCTATTTACACATGAAGCCAGAACACCCAAGGTATTCAAAAAAATAGACTCAATTTTAAAATGTTTTTTTTTTCAGCCTGTTAGCAATGCGAGTAATATTCTTGATCGACCGGACAATTCATTGTCTTTGCAGGATATTGCATCTGCTGGAAACCTTTTACAAGAATGCAATAACAAACTGTTTGATTTACTGTTAAGCATTTGCCCCGAAAACAGTAACATAGGTGAAGTTTTTCTTTTGTCTATATTTTCTATTGGTTTGAGCAGTTAAAGCCAATGCGGCAAAAAACAGCAGCAGGGAATTCCACATGACTGAATTACATAACTAAGACTTTCTGATATCCCTGCTTTTTTTCTAACAATTCATCAATTCTCCTTTGTAAGTGCATTTCAGAAATTTTGAGATAATAACTAAGTAATGATCAAAATGAATCATTTTCATTTCATCATTTTTCTGTTTCCATTTAGTAATTTTTTTTTCATATTTTCACATTTTATTCTCATTGAGTTTTATCCCATTTTGAATCGTTACTTCAGGTGGTAATGATGGCCAGCAGTTGAGATTGTTGGGAATTCCTACAGAAATGAATGATGCTCCTGTTATTCTGCAACCGGCGGATGCAATTCATATAATGTCAACAGATCATGTATGAGACCCAAGTTTGATAATTTCTGCATGTCTTAGCTAGACAGTTGGCACATTATGTTATGCGTTCGCAACACGCTTGCCATCGCACCTCTGATTATTTTGCACAGGGTCATAGATTCAAATCCTGTGGTGGAAAATTATTTGTGAGAAGATAAATGGACTTTTTATTTCACGACGGTTTACATATCTGCTGGGTCAGCTACAGCAGCAAGCTGATGTATCTTAAACTAATAACTGGCCAACTGTTCTCATGTCTGACATGGACTGGTAACCAGACGAGAGGCTGTGGTTCACCATATACCGTAATTAAACCATCTTGCTCTGGGGTATATCGTATCAATAAAATATTTGAATCTCATACTCGCAAATGGAGACTAATGTTAAGTTTATTTCCAGCAGGTAAATGTCGACTACATGCAGTTAGAAGCAGCATCGGTAGATGCAAATAATAATGCACCACTTGTTCCTCGTAGCAGTTTGAAATATAGCACTGAAAGTGATTCCAGTGTCTTTGAAAGATCACCTGCTCCTGGTAAGTAGTGTTTTCCACGATAACTTGGCTAAGCTATGAAGTTCTCCTATTAATCGGTTTGTTTATCCCAAAACTGCCAAGAGATAAATAAAGTACAATAATGTTCATAAGTCAGTTTTGAAAATGTTGTCCAGATTGGCTAATATACTCGAATGAATGCATCGAGAAGTGTGATGGTAATATGTACCCAGGATTGTGGGACATTAAGAACACAGATACCTGCTTTAATTAAGTATGTCAGTGAATGCTGTTCTACCAATGAGTCATGTCATTATTGTGTCTTTCTGTGGCGAAATATTCCAAATTCAACTCTTCTTGAAATAGAGCAACAGGGGCGAACTATTTTCCTAAATTTCATACACTTACGTCTGTAAATTGGACTCGACATCAGTATTATTTTTTTGCATAATACCTGATACCATACACATGGCTGTACAAAAAATGAATTTGTCATTTCTTCCACAGCTTCTCATTGTAATAGCAATGTGTTAATGCCGGGTCGTAGAGCAGTATCAGAAAAAGAAATTCCATCCTCAGATTTGGTGAGTTACATATACCGGTAGTTGAAGGTTACAAGTCATTATTCATGTAATCTTGTATAAAAAAATTTCTTTAGTGGAACTTATTATGATTTATTATGGTGGTACTTATTATATGAGTAGCTTTGTGTGTAAATGGATATTTTAGGACAATATATTTTCCCCAATGGGATTAATTCACATCGTCTTGCACTCTTTTCACTTCGACATCTACAAAAATAATATTGAGGAAAAAGCATTTTTCCATGTGAAAATATATTTCCAATGGGACTAATTTATATAATATTAACTTCTACGTCTGCACAAATAATTTGGACAAAAAAACTTTTTTCTCACATGGAAGATACTCATAGATAAGCACTATGTTATTATTCAGGACTTGACATTATCATCAATTCTACCATGCGATCCACATTCAACACCAAAGAAAGAAAACATCATGGTTCGTAAGAAATCCAGCAGCCTTACTCAAACAAGCTCTGATATTTCATCTGATGTTAGTAGCTCTGTATTTCTAATTCTACCCCAATAGAGAAAATTTAACTCTTTATCGATATATTTCATAAGCCATGTGAGGGACAGTTCTGTCGTCCATTTTGAACGATTCAAAGCAGGGATGTGCAACCTGCGGCCCGTGGGCCAAATGCAGCCTTCAAGATAAAATTGTGGCTCGCGGAGAAGTGCCATTTTGAAATGATATGCGGCCTGCGAAGCGAGTTTTTAATTTAATTTGGTATGTTCGAGTAATCCCAATCCCTTTGCGTTGCAAATCCCCTATCTGAGTCCAATTTAATATCTATGCCTATGACTTTACAATGCCTTAACAGCTCGTGCAAACAACACATGTCATAAGATCAATAACCAAAATTTTTGTGCCTACATACTGCAACTACTAGCCAGCCTATGTTTCACCCAATTATTTCTATCTATCCATTCTTCAGCATTTTATCATTTTGCGCCTGAAAAGTTTGTATTGCTATTTTTGTTCGTTTTGATACTTGAATCATTGTTTTAGATCTCTGCCTTGGATCACACACCAACTAGACGCACTTACTATGCTTATTCAAGTGAGGAGAGAGAAAACAATGTATTTCAAGGAACTGTTAGTGATGTGGTGTCGCCATCTCGGTTCAGTGTTCAACCAAAGCAAAATATGCGAAGGATTGAGAAACTACAACACGATTTAAAGTAATTACCATACATTTTGTTATTCAATGATGAGTCCATAAGTTCTTATGAGTCCATACTTCCGAAAACAAATAACTGGTAATCGGCAATATGATTAAGTCGTCTTATCGACTTTCCTCTCCTCCGGGATAAATTTGTAAGTCCTCTTTATTATAAATCGTAGGGAACTATGATATTGTTATGCCATGATACCAGACTCTGAGTCCTATGAGATTCGTTTTTTGTGTGCGATGATGTCATCAAAATTTGCGCGCCATGTGGTGATTACGCAAACACATATCAGCGGATCTCGTACTCAGCAATAATCGGCGGATTTTGTGTAGGGATATATTGGCTATTTGTTGATGTTATTTTTTTGAATATCCATTAAAGTTTTGAACTTGATCAGGAAAAACCTACCCATCTTTATTATCATTTCTCCCAAGTTTCATGAATAAAATAAGGGGTTTTGGGTGCTTCGGAGGAAATTTTCTAAACATAAAAAATGCAAATAGGCACCAGGAAAGCATTCCGAACTATAGAGATACTCCATATTTAAGATCTTCTTATTTTCTGTTTCAAGTCGATTCTATGAGCAACGTACAAAAGAAATATCACAACTTGAGTTCAAGTCACCTCCCCTTCCTGGCGAATATTGTGCAGTGGTTTATCAGCCTGATAATAATTGGTACCGAGCTCTTGTTATGGAGGCATCCACTCAACCTACTATTATGGTAACAGGAATTCAAAAATATTACGTATTTTTCATATGCTGATTTAAAAATGACATAAAAATAAATAAAAATAAAGATTGACCTGGTTTTGAAAAAGTCATTGTACATTTTCCTTGTGTCATCGCTTTGAAACAAATTGATTCAAAGTATCTCATATAAATTTATAGCAGTTTCATCGTGGTCACTATCAGCCATATTTCATGGGCTATCGTTGAGAGCAATGTCAGGAACACTTACTAAGAAGTAAAGCAGACTTGTATCTAAGCAAAGTTACAGACGATCACTTTATGGTTTTTACGATGCTGCATTATGAAAAGTAGTGATACCGGGAATCTGTTTAAAATATATCTTTGTCGATTTGTGATTCATTTATCTCATACTGATTCAATGTCTAGGTTGAGTACATTGATTATGGAAATATGGATATAGTACCTTGGACATCTGCTCTCAAATTACATCCAAAGTTTTCTCAACTTCCTAGACAATCAATTTGTTGTTGCCTAGCTGATGTAAGTACCTTATAGGGTTTTATTGTTTAGAATTACCGTACTCAAAATATTACTAATTATTTGCTTTTGTTGATTGGGTAAGTAATGGATGCGTAGCTTCGATTGATTCACTGGACAGTGCAATGAGGGATTTCATATATTATAGGGTGTCCATTATTAAGTCCTAAAATATCAATAAAATTGCAAAGGATATTTTTTGATACCATATATTGTTTTGGCCCTCACAGATAAAGTAAATACTTGAACAATTACTGATTAAAAAACAGCAAACCTCGTTAAGAAAAGGATATATTGAGAACTGACCTCATAACAAAATTGAAACTATAAGGGGACATAATGGATACCTCTATATGTAAAATATTTATATGGATTCAAAAATATTCATTTTGAGTAATCTCCACAAAATGAGTGAACAGTCATTCATTTAATTTCTGGGACCCGAAGAAAATACAAAACCAATCAAATCATTGTTCATCTCAACCATCATGCATTCCAAATTTATTAATTTATTTTTTTTTGTTCAACATGATGCAATTTGGAACATTCCGTATTTGGTATTATTTGACATTTCCATTTACTCTTTTTTTTAATTGTATATTACTTCTGATTTGGGTAATCGAAATCCTACCTAAAACCCACTGAAATTGGCCTAGTCATGACTGAATATCTGCATTTATAGTCCGGTATTTTTCACTGTTTTTGATTGAATATGTGCATGATTTTTCTACTTTTATTTGAAGGTGAAACCTTTGTCACCAAGAGATGTAACGATTGATGATACAGCATATGATTCAGAATGGAATTTACCAGCTATCGACTTCTTTGACAAATTTGTATACAATCAAACTTATGAGGTATACTGGTCATTTTCTTCGCTAAAACAACAAAATGCCTCCTTGATTATAAAACTCTGGTATATTGCCTGAGAAAATTTATATCCATTAGTCGGCTCATTCAGTTGGTGTCAATGGTCTAAAACTGACAAGGGGGCGTTATTTCAATCTTGCCATGATGCTGCCACAATCAAACTAAAACCAAATTTTGATGTTTTAGCTAAAACTTTCTCAAGGATTTTGTCGAGATTTTGATTAAATTTGTTTTGGCACAAGGCTTATTGTTCCTCACTTTTGCCAACAATAAATATTATTGTTCATAAAATGTAACTTTTTGTGTCACACTTACATGGCCCGCCAGTCTAAGTGGACAAAATTTTTTAGCTCGTCCAAAAACCTGGCCCACCTCTACTATGAAATAAGGTTGTTATTTATTCCAGCTTGTCACTGTTGAAAATCCATCATCTTCAGGAAGAGTCAGTGTGAAACTGTTCTATGTGGAGATTACAGAGGTTAGTGTTATAACTGGATGGTAGAAAAGTGAAGTTTGCTTGTGCCACAAAGTGACCTATATAAACAGTGGAATATCCTTCACCTGACTCACTGACTGTCTCTTCCAGTAGCATCAATAAAATAATATTTCCAGTACTCTCGTAGTGTGTGTACCAGGTTAGGGTTAGGTCATAATTTTATTTCGACTTTCCTTATTTTAGTTCTATTACGAGTTCGGGGACTGTCTGTGTCAGCCAAGTGAATATACCCCCTGCCCATAGGTTTCCGTCCCTTCACACAACTTGATGTAAAATAGGCGAACAAAATTAGTTAACTCCATATTGGTACACATACTTCTGGAGCGCCCTATTTTCTCTGTATTTGAGCAGAGTTAAAGTGAGGTTGCTTCTTTTCAGTGTTGATTGTTTGTTTGAGAACCCCTAGTTTGTATTTTGCCTATGCAAAATATTTATTGCCTTAATTAATCTTACTAAATATCTTCTTCTAAATGTGTTTTTATGCTCGACAAAAACATATTTCTGAACAAAGTCTGTTGTTAAACTTGACCACAATTGATGCAAAATTTATCTGACCATTATCCCTTTTCATCACTGTAACTATTGGCGCTCCAGAAGTGTATATACCAGTACGGAGGTAACTAATTTTGTTTTCCTACTTTTCATCAAGTTGTGTAAAGGGACTGAAACCTATGGGCAAGGGGTATATTAACTTGGCTAACATAGACACTCCGCGGACTCGTAATAGAACTAAAATAAGGAAAATCTGAATAAAATTATGGCCTAACCCTAACCTGATTTTTATCTTAGAAATGTTGATTATCGCAAATTTATACCATAAAGTAAATTGTTGCACACGATCAAGTTACGAATTTACATTTCAGGGCAAACCACCAATGGTGAAAAATGTTTCCAATATATTGGTGAAGGAAGGATTTGCAACATTTATTGAAAATGAAAAAGTTCCAATAGAAAAACTTGATCAGAAATGTCTTGAACAGGTTTGTTTCAATAAACTTTTCTAAGCTTTGGCGCTGACAAGTAGACCGAATGATCATTTGACGGCATTCATTTGCATGAATATATATACAAATATTTTGTGATCTTGCTTACCCTGAATGGCTAATAAAAACGATTTGATTGATTGATTGAATATAATTATATATTTTTATTTGCTCCGTTAATGCTAAAAATAAACTGGATAGAACTAAAATAAGGTAAATCGGAATAAAATTATGGCCCAACATTAATAACCTGGTCCACACACTACGGGAGTACCAAAGTGTAAATATACCTCATTTTGTCAAGCTCGACAGATTGCATCTCACATCTCATCGAACAGGCGGTCAGCTAAATACTGGTACTGGCATTCTACCTTCATGTCCTTCATGTGTGTTAACCTGTTTGTCTTTTTTCTAATTTGGCGTTAGATTAAAAGGACGAATAAAAATTTGAATGAATCATCACGTAATCCAGAAGTGTACAAATCTTCCGCAGATGATAATTCTACTAAAGCACAAAGTGATGGTGGTCTATCTACTTACAGCAAGAAGCTTGACGCAGGTATATCATGCATGTATAAAGTCAGTTCTCAATATATCTTTACCAGGTTTGTTGTATTTGAATCTGTAATTGTTTGAGTATTTCTCCCTCACTTAATACAACTGTGAGGCCAGAACAATATACGGTATCGATAAATTCCTTCGCAATTTCAAAAAAGTTTAATTCATGGCTTCATGGACATCGAACTACTTTACTATGCATGCAAAATGTACATCGTCTTTTCATGAAAAATACATTATTTATTTCTTACAAAAATTTTCTGAATTGCGAAATAATCAACTGTATTTGTTTTTAATTCAAAAATTTAGTAATAATAACTAATCCAATTTATTTTGAGTAATCCTGTCCATATTACTATAACAAGATAACAGAAACATGCCATGTGTTCGCACTTTGCAGACTTTTCTGTGAAATTTATTTTGAATAAAATATTCAATCAATTTTATTGTTGTTCAAGATTGTAGTGTAGTTCATTTATCAGGAAACGCTGTTAGTGTTTGAAACTTGCTCCTTCAAACTGTTTTTATTATTCATATAGTGTACAGTCAGTGATGTGTCAAACTTTCCTGCTGCCCAGGGCAAGTTTCTGATAATGCTTCCACTTATACCTAACTTCAAAAATAATTTGGGTGATAGACAAATTATAGATGTTGTTATACGTGAGAATAAATAAATTAAAGGTCAAGTGAGAGTGAAATGTTCGTAATATTATTATTTAAATCGTCAAACTAAGCAACAGACTCACACTCACCCCTATAACATGATGTCACTTTGGCAGCTCCAGACACGTCACTGCATACAGTGTTGTATGTAATATACGTATGTGTTTCTCGTTTCTTATAGGAGATGCAAGCAGGCGTATTCATCCATGTTCCAGTAACAGGCTTTCTATTACGCCGCCTATATTACCAAAACCTAAAGTGAACGAAGCGTCAAGATCAATGTCATGCATTCCAGCTGGAATGGAACGAACCCACCATAATTATGCATCAAGACCAAAACATGCGAAAACTGCCTCAAAATCTAGTGGATATTATGAGCGCAAGCCACCCCCTATACCCTCGTCCACAAAATACTCTGTCGGGGGTCAGAAGTCTGCTACTTCCACCAGTTGCTCGGATAGCATTAGAAATACAGAGACGAAAAATGACTTACATCCTGTGGAAAATGAAGCCACTTTGCCAGAGGGACCAAGATTTCTGACACCTACCTCTTCTGTTAGTACAATGCTTGTAAGTACACTTCTAGTGATTAATTAAGCAACATTTTTTATGAGTAATAGTAGGTAATCCAGAATTATTTAAAACCCATTGAAATTCAATTATTCTGGGTTACAAGTTTCATATCAGTATGTCGTCATGTCATGCCATTTGTGAAGAGCATCTCATGAACTCTCGTACTTTTTTAGGGTTCAATTATTGTCAATATAAGGTTTGAAATTTTATATATAAATACATTCTTAATTGGATCAAAATTCAAATTCTATAACTTGAAATTTTTTTGCATCAGTTTTTGTGCAATTACTATTTTATTATTTCAAGAGCAATAATAATCAGAAAGCCACAGAAGAAGATAAAAAAATGGAGGAGTGGAATCCTATGGAGTCTGATTTTAATTCTTTGAGAAATTGGTAAGCTTCATCTAAGTTTTATATCAGCTCGAACTTTGAAAGATTAGTGTGTGTGACAGTATGCCTTTTTAATGACCTTTTCATTACCGGTAAGTTTCTATTCAGAATGAAATAATTTGTTCAACGACAATGTTGTCAAAAATTAGTTAGTTTGATGTTTGTAAAATTTTTTTTTACTCCTAAATTTTTCAAGGATTTTTTAAAATACAACAAGTTGCCTTGAACCTATGATTTTCGCCGGTAAACTCTGAGCAGACAATATTAAATGCTCCTAGTGGCTTTATCAGATTATTTTAGTTCAATGCGGATGTAATCATTCTTTAAAATGCAACTTGACTCCATGAGTACTGGAAGAAGTCCTCTGGTAAGGTTCTGTAACGCGTTTAAACAGGACTCAATACCATGGCTTAAGTTTTGTCTATTGACATATTAATCCATGGATTTCATGATTTTGTCTTGTTTGTTAGTTATGGAGTTGATGATGAAAATGCCTGCGCCGTGACGGAAGGATTCGATCCTGAAAAAATGAATGTTTGTCCATATTATGTTCGTGGAAAATGTTGGAATGGGGATAAATGTATAAACAGTCATCCAGCTAGATATCAAAATGGTGAACTCAGGAATGAAACCCAAGTAAGAATGTAATCTGTACTTAATAGTGGGTAAAGCACTGCCTTAGTTATTTGTTACAGTAACTCTTCGTACTTCCTGTAGTTTGACTCTGAACTCAGTCGCTGAGAATAGAATTTAGAGTAGACAAAAACTTTCAGATAACGTTTGTTTGTAAATAACAGTGACAAAACTTGTTTTGTAGCGTAATAATGGGCGCTCCCGTAGTATGTGAACCAAGATGGCCCTGAGGACACCTGAACATAGTAATATACCAGGCCATTTTATTCCAATTTTCTTATTTTATTTTACTACCAGGAGTTCGGGGACTAGCCAAGTGACTCCCGTAGTATTTGTACCTAAAATTATGGCCTAACCCTAACCTGGTACACATACTACGTTCCGGTGTCCGACTGTCCGCCATCTTGGTTCACATACTACGGGAGCACCTAATATTCTGCTCTATCAGGTGTTCCCTCAGACATATTTGACATATGCAGTACCGGTACCGTATTCTCCCTTTTCAGAACACAAAACAGTCATTGCATCAATATGAGCTGAAAACAATTTTTTAGCCTGTTTTTTAGGTTTGCTCAACGTCATACATACACTCCCTATACTTTTGATGTGTTGGCCACGCCTGCTTTCTATTGGTTTTATTGAGTTTTTCTTATTTGATCAAACTTTCAGACATTTTCTGCTTCTTCGTTATTGAAGTTAGAGTTGAATGAAGGAGTATGGTGTATTGTTCGAATCACAGTTTCTGATAGAACAGACAACTTTTACGTACATGTTGTAAAGATTGTTGGCAATATGAAAGATTGCATAAATCTTGGGAGAAATATATCAGGTTTGTCCCCAATGTCATTTTTTAGTTAATGTTCAGTTAATTACGGTTTTGATGTTCGGTTAAAAATGGGATCGCCATGCTCCAACAAAATATATCCTTGCTGTTGCTATGTCTTTTTCACTTTTTTCTTTTTCTTTTTCTGATTGTTTCCCAGTCAGTATTGACTAGAATTGTATCTACTAAATTATTTTAGTTTTTAGGCTGTAGGTCAAACAGTGATTGCTGATATCTCTGTCACAGCATTGCGATCACACATAAGTCTAGCTTCTGATTTTATTGTTTTTCTTTTGTAAGAGATCTTTACACTTTCTGCCATATTACGTAAGACTACCTTGTTTTTATCAAACTTCATGAAAATTCTTCACCAGTTTGTAAAAATAAACACAAATTGTTAAAGGTAGACTCAACAGTTTGCACATTATTCTAAACGCTTGTCATCAGAATGGAATTCTGGGTTCTGCTTGGTTATGACTCCCTCTACCATGTATATAGTCCAAGTACATGTATATGAAACGTTTGACTCAGCAGTGTGCTGCAGACAGCCCACGAGCGACAGCCCGTCCCACCAAGCCATTCAGTGTGGCCCATGTTAACATCAGATTTTTCCCCATCAAGCATAAAATCCTAACTGGACAGCTCATTTTTGAAAAGCTGCACACATGGGTAAAAATACATAATAATTTTGCTCTTGTCGCTGCTTTAAATCTCTTGGCATTTTGCCTGGTGCCTTTATTACTGGAAGGCTAAGCGATAGCCATGTTCTCTTGCATTTTTCACAGCACGCTGGCTAATTTTTTAATTTGTTGTGTACATGGAAAAACTATAGGCCCAGCTAAATGTCTGAAGTTGGTTATATGACCTAACGACTAAAATGTCACATTTCCTCTCCCATGTGATAAATATAAATGTCCTATTCTTGAATATTTTTAGTTCTTCCAGAAATATCTCCAGATCTTGGCACTTTAATGTCTGACATGAAGCAATATTATTCACAAAGTACAAGAAGGTAAGTTGTGATGATAGTGAGTGAAGTATGTGAAGTGAACCAAGATTGCGGACAGCGGAACATAGTATGTGTACCAGGTTAAGGTTAGGTCATAATTTCAGGTACAAATTCTACGGGAGTCACTTGGCTAGTCCCCGAACTCGTAATCGAACTAAAAAAAGGAGAATTGGAATAAAATTATGGCCTAACCCTAACCTGGTGCACATACTACGTTCAAGTGTTCGCCATCATGGTTCACATACTTCGGGAGTACCCAAGTAAGACCCAATTCTGAATGAATATACCTGTATGCTTATGCCATACTTAATTTTGTTTGGCTTCAAGGTTGAAGGATTTGATTCAACCATGCAAAGGAGAGATGTACGCTGTCCATGTACCAGAAGAGAATTGTTTCTACAGAGGAATGATATTAGAAGTTTCTTATTCTACTACTTCGTTTACCACTGCAAGGGTATTTGGGAATCCTAATAGATTGTAATGATGACATGGTCGCCTTACCACAGTCCCTAAGTTTTTTTTTTCATGAGATACATATGAATATCAAATATTATTTTGATTCAGTTTGTCCTTCATATGATAGATAATGGTTTGATTTCACATGTGTTTTCATGTTAAGGTTTAAATAGTGTGTTTTTATGTCTACACAAGGCACTGAACTAGAATTAATTTAATCTGACTTGGAACATGTTTTGTTTAGACTTATTCTGCGCACAAAATGGAATCTTTCTTTGTAAGCTATGAATCATTTTTTTGCATTTTCAGGTTTTCCTTGTGGATTTTGGAAGAGAAGTCATGGTCTTGGAAAGGTATTTACACCCAATGCATTCAACGTTTATGCATTTACCAAGACAAGCTGTTCAGTGTTGTTTGAATGAGGGTGAAGGTACGTAGATATCGCATCTGCTAGGGAAATGAGATAATGACATTCTCAAAAAGGCAATATTCTAAGTTGAGGAATGGACCATTGCACCGATCTTATACTGTTACAATTTTGCTTGCACTGTTAGAGTACATCCTCATAAGTTCAAGCTTTGATTTCCTGTGATCATTAAATTTTAAATTATGAAAAACATGAGTCATTTCGGCGCATAGGAAAATCGTAAATACACAACTATTTTTGAATATAAACAGTTTGGGTTAGGTCATGCTCTTAAATACTGAATCTTTTTTAAATAAGACGATAGACGATTTTTCATACAGTGTTTTTCTTATGTGCCGAAATTTCCTGCGGCGAATTTTCCTATAACCGAAAAACATTTGTAATATTTCATCAGATTATAAAGGTGAAAATTTGGGTTCAAATGGAACTCGACCACACCTAGCAATGCAGATTCATGAAAAATGTGAGGAGACTGATGGACCGCTAATAACATCACTTTTCAGGATAGATAAAGTAAGCTGAATAGCACGTCATGCCAATGCTCTGCTCTCATTTTCAAACACATGCTGATAAGCAAGTTACGTTTACCTATATATATTTTTCTTATATAGATTATAGTTGCTGTTTGCCAAATTTCTTATGGAAAGTGTATTGACTCGCAGTTTATTTTTCCCAGGATGGTCTTCATCGTATATCCCAATTTTAATCTATGATGACTGTATGGGAGTGGAGTGAGAAATCAAAAGACTTTTTTGAAACTGGTCGAACTCTTATGTATCGATTAAACTTTGTAGTGATCACAAAGTGTGATCCGATGCCTTAGTGGGGTTCTTATGTTATTATTTGTGCCAAGCAACATTCACAAAAGGAGTTTCTTTCCTTTCTTTCATGAATAATAAATTCATATTCACAAGTTTTCATTGTTGTAAATGACTGGGGTAGAATGACGTAGGAGTTTCGTATTTGTATTGAGGGGGATGAACGCCTATGATGCAGCATGGTGTTCGTTTCACTCTAAATTTGACTTTTTGAAATTTACGCAAATGCCATTCTCAAATTCACTAATATGAAGTTCGGTTCGATAGGCTACCATGTTAGCGTGGGTCGAAAATGAGAAATGGCGACATCAAAAAGAATCGTGACTCTGGTGGCACAACAGCATGTTGATCTGTTTAGCAATTCACCGAAAAGAGATACCGATCTCGGTGGATTCCGATATACTGTATTAAAATGAGAGCTTATGACGCATGTTGTGCTGATTTGGCATATTTAGGATCAATATAATTTAATCAATCACATTAGGCCTCGCACATAATTATCGCCCACGCCGTTCGTGGTCATGCAGGGTGAGCAGCTCTGAGGTCCCTAACGAATTGGATATTGATGAATCGTACGAGAGTTGTTTTTCTGTTGCAGTTGGGCATGGAATAGCGGATGCGTGTGTTCTAACAATAGGTGTCTGGGCTTTGTGAATATAAATACGCATTTTGATGCTACATATATTAAATTTTCCCATTATTTTCTATTTTATTACGCCTTATTAAGTTTTAGTAATAAAAATTCTGATCGATCAACTTTTGTGACTTTTGAACTGGATCAATAGCGCCACCAATCCATTACCTTGACAACGAGCCGGCGGGTTTGTTTTTCAACTGACAGTTTTGTTGTTACTTCTTCGCTCTGTAGGCGCTTCTTGTAGTTTTGAACGTAATTAGGAAGAACAAAAAAAGATAATTATGGTATGTTCTATTTGAAATTTATTCTTTTAATTGGAAAATAAAGTTATCGTGAGTTTCTATTGTTGTGATCTCAGAACGTTTTTTTGTTTCTGTTTTTTTCAGTTTCCTGGATATACACAAGAGTACATCGAACCTTCGGTTGGTATTTTCCCTTCTTGAACATTTCCACTCAATATATAAAGCCTAATTAAGAAGAAGATATTGCAGTATTATGATACGAAGTTAGCTTCAATATGTCACTCAATTGAGTTAAAATCTTTATATAGGAATACACTTGTCTGCTTGTCGTGAAATCACTGACTATCTGTAGTTCTTAGCTTAAATTAGCTGTGTTATTGACTTTATTGCCTGTGTTGGATAATTACCGGTACAATACAATTCAACAAATGTCATTGGTCCCTAATTTTTTTTTATAAAATTTTTATTTTATTAACTATTGCACTGTGCACTATACAACTTTGCAAATAAACTTTATGAGACTGAGCTCTAGTGATACATAAGCATGATGTTTTGAATAGATTCAACATATCCTTCACAACATAAAATTGCGAGTGTTTGTATTCGAGGCACTATACACAAATCATGTATGAGAAAAAATACTTTATTTCCATCAAATTTTCATTCTTACAGAAGCAAAATTTTTCTGTCAATTGTAGTTTTCGTCGGTTAGTCATAAAGTTTAAATTCCTTGAATGCTAAATTTGCTTTTTAATTGCAACAGACTGCACAAGATCAGCGGTACAGCTTTATTGCAGAATGGTACGATCCGCAAGCTGCATTGATACGAAGATATCAATTTCTTTTTTATCCAAAAGATAACAGTATAGAAATGGTATGGATATTTAAAGTCTTTGATATTTTTAAAAACTCACACTCAAGATTTACTCAATGATCGACTGTTTTCTTTGAGAGCAAACATGGTCATCAACTCGGATACCGTGTAGAATATATAGTATTTCAAAACTTGCAAAAAATAGTGTTTCTGGTACTTCAGGCTGATATACAGCCCAGAAGTTTTCCATATTCATCGGTGAAATCATATTTTAATCCTTTTTAAACAGTTAATCGTATCAAGTTTCTATTTGGCAATTAGTAGTATTAAATCAGCATTGCAAAATAGCAGAATATTGATATTCTTCATCAAAATTTTGTATCTAGTATGACATCAAAAACAGGCGAAAGTTTTTAAGTCGAACCAAATCTGACACTGTTAAATTGGAAGACATGTACATTGGAAGTAAAATTCATGTCTATTCTCGTCAACTAACTTTCGTGGATTTTGGAGACAATTTCACCGAAAGCAAAGTGGGAACAAAGAATGAAAGGTATATAGAAAGAAAATTTTTTTTTATGTCAATTTATAATTGATATAAATAAATAAGTGTTTCTTTGACTCCAACAAGATGATTTGGATAGGATTTACATCATATGGCGAACCACAGCCTCTCGTCCGGTTACCAGTTTATGTCGGGTATGAGACTAGTTAGCCAGTTATTTGTTTTCGAAAGCATGGATTTGATGATGGAGAAACTGACCAATGATTACGTGAACCACCCTACAGCGGCGGTGAGTTCATCAATCTTCTCGCACATAACTATCCCCACGTGGTTCGTTCAGAACAATCATTTATTTTTGTATAATGCTACAACTGCTTTATGGGGTATGATATCTTGGTATTCCTAGAATGTGTTTTAAAGCCAAGCCCCCTAATCAACCTTAAGTTGTTCCTTATTAGATTTGTTTTGTTAATTAATTTTTTTACAGTCATGGTGGTTTTGAATAAATAGCAGTAAAATTCTATCTTTTCTTTTATAATTTTGAAGTTTCTACATGGTAATAGAATACCATAAAAAGCTTGCCGAAAAAACTAATCGAAATGCATTTCAGATCTCTTTAGTGATCATAGACTGAATTTTTATTATCTTGTGATTCATTATCTTACTTCTGACAAAAACTCAAGAGCCGTGTTTAAATATCAACTGATATTTTGCTTTGTAGAACACTTGCAATCATAAAGCCAGATGCTGTGAATAAAGTTGGTGTGATCTTGAACCTCTTGAAAGCAAATGATATTCAACCATGCAGAGCAAAGATGGTAAAACTTGTCAGGAAGAATGCATTGGACCTTTATGAAGAACACCGATCTCAACCTCATTTCAAGTAAGTCTCAAATTCCCTCAATAAATTCAAGTAGGTATATTTAACAGTAACATTGTGTATGTAGAAGTCTGGAATAGAAGTATCTCCTGTTGGAAAATTCACATTTTTTAATACTGAAGTATTTTTCAGTATTTTTTTGGCTTTTTTCCACGAATTAGGCTTAGATAGAGCTACCAATATATTGGTTCTATACATATTTCCCTGGAAAGCCAATAACACCTACTGCCTCTCGTCTGTTACCAATTCATGTAGCGTATGGAAATAGTTACCTAGTTGGCTTCATGATAGTGGGGAAAGTTGTAAATGGCCAGAGGTTACATGAGATGCGTTATATTGAGGTAGAAGCCCAGCAATCTGTTCGCAGATAGGTATACTCCCCACAGATTTCGAATCCCCTTAAGGTGCAATGGCGTGCTCCTTCTGTTCAGCACAATGCCCAATCCCAAGGAGTAGGAACTGGAGATTATCCTCCTAACTAAACTTAAGGCAATTGTAGTGCTCTATAACTTCCATTAAGCAGCCTTCTTTATTATAAACATTTTGAATTTTCCACTTTTGCAGTACCTTGCTGGATTATATGACAAGTGGCCCAGTAATTGCAATGGAATTGATGGGATCCAATGTAGTTAACCAATGGAGAAGATTACTTGGACCTGTAGATTCTGGGAAAGCTAAAGAGAGCGAACCTGGAAGCATTAGGGCCAAGTTTGGAACTGATGGAGTAACAAATGCAGCACATGGATCAGAAAATCAAAACACAGCACAGAAGGTAATGATTGTTTATAACCTGACATTTCAACCATTTTGTTTTATAATCTCTAGCAAACAGCAGTTTCCAATATTTCGTTGTTAATGATAATCCTGTTTTTTTATTATTATTATATTGTTGCTATAAAAGGAATGTGTCAAAGGTTAGGTTTTTGCTAAAACCATAATAGAAGTATTTTTGTTCGGGCTAATAAAACAGCCAATATTTGTGGAAATATTGAAAGTCTTTGCCATGTTGATTCTACCTGGTTAATTTCCCAGAGCCTAATCTTCCATAACATTTACTTGTAGAAGGTTTATGACATGCTAATTGGGTATTGCAAATCTGCCATAAAGGTTAGAGCAGGGGTCGGGAACCTTTTTGGTCAAGAGAGCCATAAAATATACATATTTTCAATTGCATTTCCGTGCGAGCCATAGCCTATAGCATTTCTTCAATTAATCAGACCTAAAATGTTTACTCGTAAGTCAACACATACAATGTCAATATACATTTAATGTGATTTCTGATGCTGCATGTAGGCACTGCGGGCCTTGAACGGTTGCTCACCTGCAGCCCAATGTGGAAATCTACGATACTCATCACCCTTTTTCGTTTAGACCATAGGTTCTCAAAGTGCTCCGTACGGAGCCCCAGGGCTCCGCGAGAGAAACCCAGGGGCTCCACGAGCTATTGGATTACTTTTCAAAGTACTGACTTGGCTAATTTAAAACTGTTCGTAGAAGCAATAACAGCTTTGATAAAATTTGACAACAAGATATCCTTGAAATATGGCAAAGTGGCGGAATTAAAAATGACAATATTTATAAGCAGGAGCGCAGCCAGAATTCTTTAGAGGGAGGAAGTTCAAAATTGGAATCGGAAATTTACGCGCAACATTCTTGGCGATTCAAAAAAAAACGGATAACGAGATTTCTGTTGCGTAAAATATTCAATTCATGACCGATGCGAGCATTTAAAGTGTCTTGTCGTAATAATTTAATTGTGCTCATCGTTACTCACGTTTGATCAGAGATTACTATTAGGATTGCTAAAAGGAAAAAATACTATTCTAAGATATCATAAACTGCGTGATAAACTGCCATCTATAAATAAATTGGAGTTGTATTTTTGCGATCTTGGGATATGTTAAACTTGATATCGCCGTTTGAAAAATCACAAGGGTTGGCAAAATACGAACGATTGAAATTTATTTTAGTGCATGCGACTCTGTCGGTAGTTTCAGAATGGAAAAATGGTACCTAGCGCGCATAATTAATTGACTGTGTTTCAATTTCGCAGTTACCACGATGAATAACCGAAGAAAACCTAACATAACACCAAATTTTGTGATTTACAATGTCTATAAAAGCGTTTTTATTCTGACGTGAGTCTGCTGAAACAAAACTTATATACAAAACTTATCTTTCATTTTAAGTTTCAGTTCTAATATTTTAGAATGCCGCTTTTTAATCAAGAAGTTTGAATTGCGGATTTACCTCTTTATTACCTATTATTTTTTGCATTTCCTAGCCGATGATTATAATATGGGAACATGTTTTTTAAATTGATTTCATAATTTCCCACGAGAACGAAAAAGCAATTATCGTCGTCATTGTGGAACAATACATGTATATGCCGAAGGGAATTTTTGATTTAGGGAGAATAAACACTGGCGTAAAGATGTTTGAGGTTTAAAAACACGCCATGCTGACGAAAACAATCGGAGATTGTAACAAAATACAATCGCGCACGTTATTAGCGGCCTTAAGTCTTCCAAAAATGTCAATAGGGGAAAAGATTCGACCACTAATTTAAAATTTACAGCTTTAGTCTCTTACAATTTATCTTTGAAAAAGGTTTAGTATTTAAATTGAGTAAAGTACGTTTAACTTACTCTGGAATATTAATCGGAAAGTAACAATTTTAACATTTATTTTGGGGCTCCGTGAATAATAGTCAACATTTTCAAGGGCTCCGCAACACCAAAAGTTTGAGAACCCCTGGTTTAGACATCTCCGTAGTGTTTTTAAAACTATATCGCTTTGTGATGTCACAATATATGTTCCAGAATCCCCTTGTTTGTCACAATGCCTCTCTAGTAAATATCTTACATAACATAGACATGTGCTGGACGCGTGTTTTGGAACGTATTGGGAATTTCCTGCCAAATTCGGCTATAAAAGAGTTTGGGATCTCGTAACAATAGTAAGCTTAGTCTTAGAATATTAGATTTTTCTGGGAGCCATATGCCGTCACCAAAAGAGCCATATATGGCTCGCGAGCCACGGGTTCCCGACCCCTGGGTTAGAGACTATCAATCCTGGGCGCTCCAGAAGTGTGTGTACCCACATGGATGTAACTAATTTATGTTCGCCTACTTTACATCAAGTTGTGTAAAGGGACTAAAACCTATGGGCAGGTATATTCACTTAGCTAACACAGACAGTCCCCGAACTCGTAATAGAACTAAGATAAGGAAAATCGAAATAAAATTATGTCCTAACCACAACCTGGCACACACACCACCCAATCCTCTATATTACATTCTGGGTGACAGAAGTAGAGTTGGAGTTAAGCTCCATCCGATTCCCTTGAGCTAAAATCTAACTTCAGCACTTCTGACACTCGCTTTGTAGATAGCCAAATTTTTAGTTTAAATTCCTTTCAAAATACTTGAGATTTTTACTTTATTTTTTAAATTGTGGCTCCTTTATGAAAATTTGTACTTGTGACTTCAACCAACATGTTTTACCTTACGACTATATCTCCAGGATGTTTTGTCACAAGACTCTAATGCTAGCAAAAATGCTCAATTTCAGAACCACAGTTCCTGGTGCACTTTGCTAATTTAGCTGGGGGCAAACTTGGCCGACTGAAGAACGATTATGAGTAGTTTTCAATCTTACACCACTCCAATCTGTCTGTGGTCTGATGGCTTCTGAAGACAATTTCTAGAAATATATATTAATTATGTAACTCGGCAAAATCATACGGTGCTCACCGACAATAACAGTAGTTTCGTGAATAAAATTCCTGATCTTTCTAATTAAAACCTTGGGTGTCACTGCTCGATAACCAGGTTTGGTTCCTCGCGACTTCCCTTCCTCAGTGAAATTGTATGATTATGCCTCTTTTCCTGAATTTCGTATGCGATTGTTTTTTGCTGGTTGGAAAAAATAAACTTAACTTGACTACTCAATCCCTTTTAAACAGGAGTTGGATTTCTTCTTTCCACCAAATCGAAATCCAAAATTTGAAGGCACAGCTCGACTCAGAGATTGTACTTGCTGTGTCATCAAACCTCATGCTATAAGAAGTGGAATTGAGGGAGATATTATTGAAGTGATTCAGAACGCAGGATTCCAAATAACAGCATTACAAATGGTGAGTTTAATTTAAATTTTTCGGCGCTCCAGAAGTATGTGTAACAATATGGAGTTAACTAATTTTGTTTGCCTACTTTACATCAAGTATATTCACCTTCGCACTTGCAATCAATCAAATCAATTTATGAAAATGACTTTCTTTCACAGTTCAATGTTGAAACTGCAAACGGTGAAGAATTTTACGAAATATACAAAGGAGTTGTCAACGAATATCAAAGCATGGTGACTGAATTGTGCAGTGGACCTTGCATTGCTTTGGAAATCACAGGTCAAGGAGAAGAAACTGCATCCAAGTTCAGAGAACTTTGTGGACCAGCTGATCCGGTATTATTTTGTTTCTTAGGCATGGTTGTCTTGATAACGAATATTCGAAAATAAAATTGCCGCAACGGTGTGGCTCATCATGCTAAGCATTAGGAATACGCTCGGCACTGCACCTCTGATTACTCTGCGTGGGTTCGGATCCCATGCAGGGATAGTTGTGTGCGAGAGGATTGCTGGACTCCTTCTCGCCTTAGGGTGGTTCATGTAACCGCTGGTCAGTTGCGGCTTCCTCCACCATCAAGTCAGTGCTGGTAGAAACAAATAACTAGCTAACCCCATACTTGACAAGAGCCTTGGGTTCGCCATAATATTAAGCTGGTTATCGGCTTTCCTCTCCCCGGGATAAATGTGTTAATCCTATCCTAAAATATTATTTATTTTCAAACACAGGAAATAGCAAGACATCTCCGGCCGAAAACAATTCGTGCTATGTTTGGAAAGGATAAAATCCAGAATGCTGTCCACTGCACAGATCTTCCGGAAGATGGCATTCTAGAAGTGGAATATTTTTTTCGTATTCTAAATAGCTAGCTTAATCGCAGTTCATTTATGTTTAACAATTGTAATGTATTGGCACAGATGATATTTTTGTACAAATTGAAAATAAGATTTAACATTATTCACAGTCTATTCAATCTAAGTGAAGGGTTGCTTCTGGTATCTTTGAATCAATGATGTGTTAGGATGGAACTTTCGTTTCGCCCCCCCGAGTTGCTGATGAAGAACGTTTATTAGAGGCTCCTTTGCATAGACATATTCTAAGTATATGTGATTTAGAACAGTGGTTTTCAACTGGATTTCGCCAGTACAGAGGGCTTCCACAAGTTTTCAACCGAGATACTTTGAAGATAGGTTTGCTTTAACTAGAAACCATCAAGGGTTCCTCGATCCCCTGAAATGTTTCTTTGGGGTTCTGCTTTACCAAAAAAGTTTAACACCACTGGTATAAAGCCTCAAGCCAATTTTAAGTAAAAATCTCCCAAGTTTACAGGGTATTTTTGAGGGCTTGTAGATAGTCTAGATCAGTGTGGTCCAAACCCAGGCCCGCCACAATCGCATTTTGTGTTGTTCTGTAATAAAATTATTCAGAAAAAACTTTTGACATATTGTTACATCACTAATGTCACTAAATTGCCTAGTGTTACGGCTAACTGAAGCAACTAGCGAAGTTTGATGAGGTGCTTGGCTAGTCTAAATTATTATCTGGCTTTCTATCTTTTTGGTCGGGAATATATGCTTACAATATAGGTATCATAGAAAACTAAAAATAAAATGCAGATTCTATTAGCCTGGGATGACTATGTCCGATAACTATGTGTTTGTACAATGAAAGTGTTTGTTTTGTATTGCACTGTTTACCTATTATTGGCAGTTGACACTACTGTGGCTCGCTAACAATGCAAAAATGATTTTTTGGCCCGTGGAGCCGACAACCTTGGACCACCCTGGTCCAGATCTATGATGTAATGCAATTATGCAACCAAGGAATATAATACCTCCTGTAGAAGTTCAAATAATGCAGTTCATAGTCATGCATTTGGGCACTGGGCATAAAGTAAATCACCGCTATTACTGCTTGTTTAGGCTTAGGCTCGCAATTTATGTAACATCAAGGCTATTTAAAAAAGAACATCCAAACCCATTGCTGAACTCAAATGACCCTGATGAACTCTTCTTGCAACTTGTTACGGAATCACAGAATTTTACTTAATGTATTAATTACTGTGATAAAGAATGAAAAAGCAACAAACTTTGTGAAGAAGGAAGATATGAATATGGAAAGATAACCATTCATGAATACCATTTGTCGAGTCTGTCTTTGCAGAAAAACTCCCCAGACGGTTCTTTCAATCCCTTTGGTAGCGTTGATAAATAAATAGGTATTTTTGCTCCTTGATCAGGTGTTCTGGTTCCCCTGTGATTTGTCATTTCAGTTTTTACGTAACCAGATACTTTGCGTAACGAGATACTTTGAAGATAGGTTTGCTTTAACTAGAAACCATCAAGGGTTCCTCGATCCCCTGAAATGTTTCTTTGGGGTTCTGCTTTACCAAAAAAGTTTAACACCACTGGTATAAAGCCTCAAGCCAATTTTAAGTAAAAATCTCCCAAGTTTACAGGGTATTTTTGAGGGCTTGTAGATAGTCTAGATCAGTGTGGTCCAAACCCAGGCCCGCCACAATCGCATTTTGTGTTGTTCTGTAATAAAATTATTCAGAAAAAACTTTTGACATATTGTTACATCACTAATGTCACTAAATTGCCTAGTGTTACGGCTAACTGAAGCAACTAGCGAAGTTTGATGAGGTGCTTGGCTAGTCTAAATTATTATCTGGCTTTCTATCTTTTTGGTCGGGAATATATGCTTACAATATAGGTATCATAGAAAACTAAAAATAAAATGCAGATTCTATTAGCCTGGGATGACTATGTCCGATAACTATGTGTTTGTACAATGAAAGTGTTTGTTTTGTATTGCACTGTTTACCTATTATTGGCAGTTGACACTACTGTGGCTCGCTAACAATGCAAAAATGATTTTTTGGCCCGTGGAGCCGACAACCTTGGACCACCCTGGTCCAGATCTATGATGTAATGCAATTATGCAACCAAGGAATATAATACCTCCTGTAGAAGTTCAAATAATGCAGTTCATAGTCATGCATTTGGGCACTGGGCATAAAGTAAATCACCGCTATTACTGCTTGTTTAGGCTCAGGCTCGCAATTTATGTAACATCAAGGCTATTTAAAAAAGAACATCCAAACCCATTGCTGAACTCAAATGACCCTGATGAACTCTTCTTGCAACTTGTTACGGAATCACAGAATTTTACTTAATGTATTAATTACTGTGATAAAGAATGAAAAAGCAACAAACTTTGTGAAGAAGGAAGATATGAATATGGAAAGATAACCATTCATGAATACCATTTGTCGAGTCTGTCTTTGCAGAAAAACTCCCCAGACGGTTCTTTCAATCCCTTTGGTAGCGTTGATAAATAAATAGGTATTTTTGCTCCTTGATCAGGTGTTCTGGTTCCCCTGTGATTTGTCATTTCAGTTTTTACGTAACCAGGGCAAGCACAATTAATCAATGTGTTGGAGCGATTGTTTTCCCGCATTTTTCGACCCATTATACGAGTGTATGCAGTAACTCCTAACTTTGACATTCCATAAGCCATACTAGGAAAACCTATTGCTTCATGATTACCGTATTGCGCAGCTTGTACAAACTCGTCCATCTTCTGCAAAAGTAAAACCTCGGACAAATCGGGTGACTTGAAAAATGTCTGAACTTCAAGACTGCACTTATTAAGGGCCATCTTTGCCACCATTGATGATAAAGTGATAAATCGTCCTTCGTCTTCCATGGTTGGCAAAAAAGTATCACATAAATTAACTAAGCTGGTAAAATTAGTTGAAACTGTCACACTCGCTTGCTCAGAAAATGCTGCCTCATCATTTCCAGTATATGCGATCCCAGCATTGTGAACAAAAATGTCAACGCCACCATGTTTTGAGATCACGTAATCCTGAAGGCATCTGATGCTTTCAAGACTGGTAACGTCCAGCAAGTGAAATTGTGGATGCAATCCTTCTGTCTCTAAATCCTTGATAGCGTTTTGTCCACGTGCCTCATTTCTTGATGTTAGATAAATGTACCCGTTCAATCTCTTACAGAGTGCTCGGACGATGGCAAGGCCAATTCCTTTATTGGCGCCAGTAACGATTGCAACACACTGTCGGGCAGACATTACCAATAATTGATTAAAAAGTGATGGTTTAAAAATATATTGGAAATAACTGCATAATTTAATTGTTCTGCTAACAAAAAGACATTATAGATCAAGTATCTTGAAGCTAACATATGCTACAAATTCTTTACGAGTACCACTTGCGAACTTGTTTGTCTGAGAAGAATTCGCCTGTTGGCTTTGAACCTTTAGGCAGAAGTGCGATGTGGACTGGAGTTTCAGCGCCTTCGTCTGGAGTTTTGGTGCCTTTATGGCTTGTCATGTCTGTGATCACATATCCAGGACAACAGCAGTTCACAAGTATGTTGCTTTTACCCATCTCTTGGACTTTTTTTGCTAAAATACGAGTGTACGCTGTAACGCCTAGCTTAGACATCCCATAAGCACTACCTGGAAAGCCCTTTTCTATATGAGCTCCAGTTTGTGCAGCTTCAACAAACTCATCCAACTTCTGAACAAGCTTTTCAACAGTTAAATCTGGGGATTTGAAGATTGCCTGGTTTTCTTTGCTGCACTTTTTCAATGACATTGTCGAACTCATTGACGATACAATAGCAATCCTCCCTTCATCTCTCATTAATGGCAAAAAACTTTCACATAGCTTAATAGTAGCTGTGAAGTTACTTGGAACTGTAACTCTGGCTTGTTCAGCAAAGGGCGCAGGGTCAGCGCTTTTAAACGCTATCGCAGCATTATGGACCAATACATCCACACCACCATACTCCTTGCGTATAAATTCCACGAGAGTCGCAACGCTCTTTTGATCAGTTACGTCCAAACTATGGAATTTAGGATGCAGACCTTCTTTTTCCAGAGCATTAACAGCGGTATTTCCACGTCCCTCATCCCGAGCTGTTAAAAACACATCACCTTCAAATTTCTTACATAGCGCACGCACAATTGCAAATCCAATACCTTTGTTGGAACCAGTTACAATAGCTACACGCTGAGCTGACATTATATAATCAAACACTAAAAATACTCAGTTTACAGAAACTAAAATGAATTAAATAAAATACTCAATCAGAAACCACATGTTCAAGTATTCTACAAAAATACAAGCACTTGATGTTTGAAGTGAAAGGGAGCACAATGTATAGAAAATATCACAAAATTGATGGTAATAGTTAATAGTTCAAAATTATTAAAAAATTAAAATATTTCAAGCTAATTATTTGTCTTTAAATGGGACATTTCACTACATAATTTTCTAAGTTGAGGTAAATAAATTCTAATTCAGTGGACCATGATATTTAGCAACCGTCGTACCACTTGTCCAGTTTGTCTTCACACCAGAATTCCCCTTGTGGTTCTTTTAGCCCAGCTGGTAATGTTGCCAAATAAACAGGTGATTCAGCACCTTGATCAGGCGTTTTATGGCCTTTGTGACTTGACATATCTGTATTAACATAACCAGGACAAGCACAATTCACCAAAACATTTGGTTGAGCTAATTTCTGAGCTTTTCTTCCCATTATGCGAGTAAGTGCCGTCACTCCCAACTTTGACATCCCGTATGCAGAGCTGGGAAAACCCTTTTTCTCATGCTCCTCTGTTTGAGCCAATTTGACAAATTCATCCATCTTTTGTACGAGTTGTTCTTCAGTGAGATCAGATGATCTGAAGAAATCCTGAACTTCCTTGCTACATTTTTTAATCGTCATCCTTGCAACAAAAGACGAAACAGTAACAAATCTTCCCTCTGCTCTCATGACAGGTAGAAAGGTGTTGCACAAATTCACCATGCTCGTGAAGTTGTTGAAAATTGTGACACGAGCTTGCTCAGGGAAACCTGCTGGATCAGCTGCTTTGTATGCCATTCCAGCATTGTGTACAAAAACATCCACACCTCCATATTTTGAAACCAAGTAATCTTTAAGAGCTTGAATGCTTTGCTCATTGCTCACATCCAAGATATGAAAATTTGGATGCAATCCTTCTCCTTCCAAAATCTTGACGGCGTCTTTTCCGCGAGTCTCATCTCGTGAAGTAAGATACACTGCTCCATCAAACTTTTTACACAATGCTCGAACAATGGCTAACCCAATTCCTTTGTTTGAGCCAGTGACAATTGCAACACGTTTGGAAGTCATTTTCTATTTAAATGATATGCTAAGAACAAGATGAGAATTGTACCTTAATTAATCTGAATTCCATACCAAAGTGTAATGTGTGGGTGTATGTCAAGCATTGTCAGGCTTGATCATTTCTGTAATAATGGCTGAACAGCAGTAAATGGTGATGTGCCCTAAATAACAGTTCTCAGTTACATTTTTTAATTCAGATATAAATTAAACAACTCGAAAACCATTCTTGTCTCAAAGTAATTTCACTTACAGTAAACTAAATTCCATAATTGGTCATGTTCTGAAAAATGGGTATTTTAATTAACAGGCATAAATCATAAAATGCAGTTTTATAGTCATTCTTTATTTCAGTATTATTTGTCGTGGATGATAGCATGGTATGGAATATGATTAATAGGAAAAAGAACACAGCAATACAGAAAAATAGAAAATATGTCAAATTGACATAAAACTATGATTGGGGAATACACATAAGCAATAGAATACAAAAGTAATTTATCATGCTAAAACTAATAAAAAACACTTCATGCTAATGGTGGAAATACAAATTTCCTTAGCATGCATGCATCAGTCATTTCAAGATAATATTCAAATTTATAAACCTACCACCCACAAAAACGTAACTACTATATTGAAAAAAAAAACAGAAATTTTTTAGTGTTCAACGAAGCAAACTATCGGCCAAAGCAAAGAACTGAATAATAAAAATCATATGAACACTGATCTGAATTCGAATATTACAGTTTTATTCAGACTCAGCTACAGTTCATGTGTTTTAAGCTTTGATTTTGTATTGTCTCTTATTTTTATGTGTTGTATTCCCCTTTTTTTTCAAAATGATGATTAACTCTTCGATCAAAAATTTTCTCTTATAAGTAACAAAATAACATGATTGGAAAGAAAATATTTTGGTAAAGTCACTTCATCAAACATTCGACCAATCGACAACTTTAAAATCTTTGAGAAACTTTCCATTCGGTTCTGAATCATTTATTGGAATGAGTCCAAGCATTATTGGAATTCTGGCACCCTGGTCAGGAGTGAGGGGAGCCCTTTTGCCACCCATTTGTGTGTTCACCCATCCAGGACAACAACAGTTAACAAGCACATTTTGAGCTTCTAACTGGCAAGCCCGGTTGCCAAGTAATTTCACAAGTACATTCACACCAAGTTTTGACATTCCATAGGAGTCATTAGAAAATCCTTTATCTCTGTGCTGACCAGTTTGTGCAGCTTCTACATATTCAAGCATTTTTTCTGTTAACGCTTGTTCAGTAAGATCTGGAGATTTAAAGAAGTTCTGATTTTGAGTACTGCAATTTCGGAATGCAGACAAAGACAGCATGCTTGATAGAAGAACAAGTCGTCCATGGGACCTCATTATTGGTAAAATTGTGTTACAAATATTTACAGATGCTAGGTAATTTGTTTGAATAGTATTTTTGGCTCCCTCTGCAAATGAGACATTATCTGATGAACCATACATTATCCCGGCATTATGAATAAAGACATCAACACCTCCATAATTTTGAATGAGATATTCTTTCAACTTTGTAACACTCGCATTATTTGTAACATCCAGTTGGTGAAACTTTGGCTTCAAGCCTTCTGAGTTTAAAAGCTTCACTGCTTCATTGCCCCGTTTCGCATCTCTTGAAGTTAGATACACTGTACCTTTAAACTGTGTGAGAAGACCCCGCACAATTGAGAGACCGATGCCTTTATTCGATCCAGTTACTACTGCAACACGTGACATCACTGTTTGTTCGTTGGGTGATATAATAATGTCTAAATGCAAAAGTGTAATGTAAGCATACAGACACTGTATTAAGTAACAGTTGCCAACAAGGCAATGTAAATTAGCATGATATAGAGTAGATATTTTGATGGGTACTATTGATAAAATGGCCAACAAGCAAAACCTACTAGGAAATTTCAATAACTCTATATAGGATAGGATAGGATTTACATATTTATCCCGGGGGAGAGGAAAGCCGATAAGACGGCTTATCCATATGGCGAACCACGGCCTCTCGTCCGGTTACCATTCCAAGTCGGGTATGAGATTAGTTTTACTGTATTGTTTGTTTTCGGAAGCATGGACTTGGTGGTGGAGGAAGCCGTAACCGACCAGCGGTTACGTGAACCACCCAACGACGGCGAGGAGTCCAGCAATCCTCTAGCACATAACCATCCCTGCATGGGATTCGAACCTGCGAACCCACGCAGAGTAATTAGAGGTGCGGTGGCGAGCGTATTCCTAACGCTTAGCCCGTTAAGCCACACCGCCGCGCCGCATAGATACAGTCGAGGCCTATTTACGAAAAATCTGTTTATTAAAGCAAGCATTGTTTTATGTGATCTTGAGATTGAATTATTTCATTATTAAGTTCAGCAAAATGAAGTAGCTGAATTGTGGGATGAAATATTACTTTCAACTTAACTGTTTTCAACTTTACTCAACTTTTTTGAAAATGCGAGAAAGTTATTGTAGGTCAATGGATGGCAGGACTGCAGGATGGGATACGATTTTTATTTAGGCGAACAGGCATCCAATCATGCTCCATCGTTTACGGTACATGCTAATTATTTAATTAAGCCTTCGACACTGCTACAAACAAATACAAACTCACCTGCTTATCTATAACCAGTCTGTCCCAGCCCTCAAACCACTCGCATGCAAGGAACACAATAATCGGAAAGCGCGATTGCAGCAGAAGTTATATGACAGCAGAATTCCGTCGAAAAGCAATGTCATGATGACTAGACAATTTCATTTGAACGAGAAAAAGTCAACATGCGAGTGGCGCCATAGAAACTTGTGTAATTGTTACCATTGTAACTTTTAACGTTTCGCTTCAATACCAACATTTAAGCCAATATTTGAATGAAATTAATATTGATATTGAGAGTTTGGAGAATATATTTCTTTTCTTTCGGTAGATGCCGCTATAAAAAAAGTGATTCCGTTGAACGTGTATTTGTTAAAACGCTGCAAAGCAAAATACATGTATCACCCGTGTTTGCACATTATCACCTGTAGATTAGAATATTACAATATCCTAGGCGGCGAACTCATGAAGATTTAACACAGACTCGGCATTGACATAGTTCTACAGGGGTGGCTATGAATGTTGTTGATGATCTTCTAAAAGATGCGGGTGATTCGTCCATAAATGTTGACGTTTTACATGTCCAGTATGAAGAAATTAAAGGAGCAGTTCAAAAAGAGGAACAAAGCTCTAAAGGTAACTAACTGTTTGATACCCCGCGCATACATTGCCGTCCTCCAGGTCCTGTAGCTATATTTAGTGAGCAAAATAAAATTGATTGATGTAGACCAGTGGTTCCCAAACTTCTTAGAGTTTGGACCCACTATTTTTTACCACAGCTTATGGCGACCCATTTAACTTTAATAAATTAATAAAACATTGATGGAGGAAACAAATTTAATTTCTCAAATTGAATTTTCAGTGAATCTAGTGAGAAAGATGAGATTGTTTCTTGTTATTTTCCATAATAGACTTGACATTAAATTCATTTTCAGATAGTTTTAGACGTAAAAAATTGAAAAGTTGCAGTTTATTTTGAAATTTGCTTTGCCACCGATCCTAATAACCAGTATAATTGATCAAAGCTTTCTACATCTTTTCAGGACCCACTGAGTTTCCTCTTGCGACCCACCAGTGGGTCGCGACCCATAGTTTGGGAACCGCTGATGTAGACTATACAGGCCCATCATTTGTAACCCTAAAATCTTCAAATGACAACATCTTTCAATCTAAAATCTGTAGTTTTAAACAATTAGCTATGATAAATCCAACAATGCTAAATCAAAACAATTGCTATTTTATATAAAATTGGTAAATCTGTAACTAATAATAACACATCTTCTTGCCACAAAATCAATAGTAAAACATTATCACCTGCAAAAATAAGATTTGCTTGAATAATAATATACTTTTCTTGTATTCAATGAATGTCCTGTTCATATCTTATATTATTTCAAATCTTTTACAGCTGCTTCTGAGATCTTAGTGGAGTTCATGGAAGTTGCAATTCATCAGATTCTCTATTCCAGAAAGCTATACCCAGAAGAAATATTCATACTTCGCAAAAAATATAATATACCTATACATATAGCCAGCCACCCTGGACTGAAGGACTACATTTCTAGTACTTTATCATCAGTGCAAAATCTTCTTCAAAAGGTGGGATGTAATTTCTTATGGAGATTCTTATTTTAGAGGCATTTGCTAGTCGCTACCCATTTCGCAGATGCGAATACTTTGATAGATGACTATATTGAAGAACATTTTTGAACTCCTCGCTGTTACGGGGTGGTCCTCTACCACAGAAGTCTATTCTTCTTTTTTGTTCTATAAGAGGCTGTGGTTTTCGATTTGAAATCTTATCTTATATAAAAAAAACTTTAAATTGTTTCAATACGAACAAGATGTAATTGATATTTTCAAAAGTACTTATATTTTTAATAAAGCCTTTCTAAAATTTACTTCACAGAAAGAGATCTGTCGTGTATCGTTACTTGTAGAAGATGGTGATGTACCTGTTGAGAATTTTCTATTTGAAGTAAATATACTACGAGATATCATGAGGTAATCATATCCATCAATAATAGTAGGCTACCTTATACTCATACCTGAGCATTCGCTCGGCAGAATATATACACCAAGACGAACTAATCATGTGGCGTAGCGCAACCACCTTTGTTATCAGTTTATCCTTTCTGGTGCATGAACCTGCCCACATGGTTACATGAGTCACCCCGTACATAATCATTAGTACTCCCGTAATATGTGAATCACGATGGCAGACACCGGAAAGTAGTATGTGTACCAGATAAGACCATAATTTTATTCCAATTTTAGTTCTATTATGAGTTCAGGAACTAGCCAAGTGACTCCCGTAGTATTTGTCCCAGAAATTATGGCCTGAACCAGTACACATACTACGTTTCGGTGTTCACCATCTTGGTTCACATTTTACGGGAATACTGGATCATCATCTACAGGCTTCCAACCTGTGAGCCCATACATTGTAGTCATTGGTACATCCTATCTTGTAGCACAATGTATTACCAAGTCCACTTAACTAACAGAGTTTAATTCCATCTCCATTTCAGAAAGGAATTTGAATATTCAGAACTTGAGCAATCGCTAAGATCATTCATTCTGAAAATTTCAGCAAGCGGGTCACAAATGGAGCCGTTGAAAGATACTTGTACATTTGAGGTCTGCCTTTTCCTGTCACAAATTTTGATCATGTCACACAGGAGTTCAATCCTTTAACAGTTCTCGTAACTTTCAGATATTAGTGGCATGTGCAGCAGATTGCGAAGCTGACCTCAATGTTCTGAGCAACCAAGATGATAATATAAAGTGGATCAAAGTAGATAAATCAGATTTTTCAAAGCAATTGGACCCTAAGAAGATTCTACCGATAAAAAAATTAACGAGTTCCCCCATTCTCAATATGCAACTCATTGTGGAACAAATGCTATAGAGCAGGGTTTCCCAAACCTTTTGGGCTGCAGACTCGTGTTTGTGAATCTTCAGTTTTGATGGGCTCTCATCAGATGCCGTTTCAATTTCTGTGCCTTACCACTACCAGTGAGGAGGAATAATGTTTGATTTAATGTGATTAATGATCATCCGTGCACAATTTACCAATTCTAGGAGCAATTTGTAACAAGCAATCTTGTAAGTCCGACTCTATGACAAGTATTTTGTCATCTTATTGGTAAGAGCTGGAAATGCTGCATCACACATGTAGGTCGTTGCGAAAGGCGATGAAGTTTCATTACTCATATCGTTGCATACCCACTATGCAGTCATCATGGACCCAAAATCTGCAGCTTCACAGACAATTAACAGAGTAACACTTTTTAATCTGTTTAAATAATAATGGTACTTAAAAACCAATTTTATTGAAAATGAGAAAAATATGCGATTTAGAAATAACTTTTCCTATCAGTACTTTAACAGATAGAATCAAGACCAATCTGGCAATAGCAGACTCTGAAATATATTATGCATATTGAGGACTGACAAGGGTTATTCTTGGCCTATAAAAAAGCCTTGTAGAATGTAGTACTGAAGATTACACTAATTATTCATGCAATTTTACAAGTAAATATATATATCCAGTGGAAGCCTGGCTACTGCAACAGTGAAGTAAGTGATCCCATGAAAACAGATGTTGCACAAAGTTAGTTCTGTAAAAATAGGTTCATCACTATGCAAGCAGCCCAAAGTGGAATTATGTACAAAAAGGTCTGCTTCACCAAGCAAATAATACGATTGCTCAAGTGCACCGTACCCGTTGGCGCTGTGACTTGAAAAGGAGGTTAACTTGCAAAAGTTATTACGTAAGTGCGTGGCTTTGAAATCACAAAATATTACACTTCTTTCTTCTTTTGGGTTCAGGGGGTTCTAAAGCAGCCAGAATAGCCTCATCAAACACGTTCTTCAGTCCTTTCTGTAACAAAATACACAGTGTCAGCGAGTTTGCCTTCTGCTTTAGGCGTACAATGGCATAAAAGAATCGTGATAACAGGGGTTAAGAAGCACTTCTTTGTACAGCCTAGTTCCAGTGACATGTTAAGCTATACAGCATTTTGCTGAGTGTGGTATACATATTAGTTTATCCTGTTTTTTTTTGACAAAATGAAACCTTGTCAGCTACAGTTTTAGCTGTGCCATAGACTTTGTTGCTGGGCTTTTTATATAAAAAAGCTGTTCCGAAGTTTATCATCATGACGTTATTTTCATAAATTTTTCAGCGGAAATTCATATCCATAGAAACTATAGTCTTAATTTCAGCAGACACAAGCAGGCCAGGATTTGCCCACCCCTGCTCTAACCCACTGCTCAACTTTTCAAGTAAAAAAGCAAATACGCCTACAGGACATGCAGAGAAAAATAAAACAAAAAAATTACATGCTAAATGTTTTTGATTGGTTCATCGATACCAAACTCAAATTTCCCCCTTGCCAAGCAAATTTCAATCAGCATAAATCATGACCAGAAGGACAACTTTTATTAAAAAGTTCCTTAAATAAAGAAGAAATGAATAGACAATTATCGCATTACAATAGGATTTAAAATATTATTCTTTGTTGCATACAACCATTCCAATTGACGAGATTCTATCTTAGTTAGAGCTACCTAGAGAATCAAATGAAATAATTCTGTGCTATGCTATGTAAAAATACACAGGCTAAAGCGGTTTTAGAAAAGCGAGCTAATGCACATGCAGAAGCAATACACAGCGCCCAGTGTTTTTGAATCGGTTTTTATCATTTGGAGAGTAATAGCTCCCAACAAATTCATTGAGAGACTGTAGAACAAAAGGAATATGGCTTTTGAAGAAAATTCTAGTCTGATTTCAAGAAATCAAAGGTCCACTTGCTTGATTATTATGATAAATCAGATTACAATTATTGATTATTAAATTAGATACAAAATTGCTCAATATACTATTATCGGAAATCTTCACAAGAAAATAAGATAAGTAAGCATATGCAAAGCAAATAAAAATAGCATCCAAACGAAATACAACATGAAAAGAAATATAGTTTCTGTCCTCTATAATCATCATTCAAGAAAATAGGGATAAATTTATGCACAAATACGTAGATAGAACTGAAATGGATGCGGAAATATTGATCAGGCAACCTTCATACCACAATTACGTACAAGATTGTTATAGCAATTCGCAATTTCCTCGTTTCTTCTTTTCAGATGGTGGTTCCAAAGCAGCCAAGATAGCCTCATCGAAAACATTTTTCAAGCCTTTCTGCATGTTGATTAGCACAATTTTTATATTTTGTGATAACGGGATATCAATTAAAGCTATGTAGTACCAAGACTTAATAGTTTCTTACCTGTGTTAAAGCAGAGCATTCAACATATTTTACAGCCTTTAATTCTCTAGCGAGTTTTTCTCCCATTTCATGAGCGATGGGTTTTTGCTTATTTTTGGATAATTTCTCGATTGTTCCAACATCGTCGCGCAAGTCAACTTGTGTACCGACAAGTAGGAATGGTGTTTTTGGACAGTGATGTGTTATTTCAGGAACCCACTATTGAACATAAAAAGTTAAAATTAGATTATTTCTATGATTTAAAAAGTCTGTAGGAGTTTCCAAATTGCTTAGCCCAATAAAAACATCAACTGTTGCTACCGGGATGGAATTTACTTGCTTATATCGTTGCCACTTATAATTTACTCATGTGCAATATAAGTATATAGTTTTATCAGAGCAAATTCAGTCAAGACAAAACAGTAACCTTCACTTTCTAAAACATCCTCACATATTATCAACAAACCACAGCAGCACAAAAGCATAGACAAAATTTAACTATTGGTACGTAGTTCTGCAAATTGACAAAAAAGGGCACTGAAAAAATGCTGGATCTTTAAATCTAGTCTTTATGTATGATCAGGAGTACACATACCTTTTCTTTAATATTTTCAAATGAGGATGGGGCAACAACTGAAAAGCACACCAAGAATACATCAGTTTGAGGGTAACTGAGTGGCCTTAGTCTGTCATAATCTTCCTGACCTGTGAAAGAGAATATTGTGTTACAACACATAATGAAATATTTATAATATTCTAAAGCAGTCCTTCAATACATTTAAAAACTGGGTAAAATTAACATTACTTCCACAATATGTGAACTGAGATGGCGAACACCGGAACGTAGTATGTGTACCAACCAAGTTAGGGTTAGGCAATAATTTTATTCCAGTTTTCCCTATTTTAGTTTTTTTACGAGTTCGGGGACTAGCCAATTGACTCCCGTAGTATTTGTTACTACGGGAGTACCAAATTAACAGCATCTGTTTTGGTCAAAATTTGCTAGCTTGTTAGGAGAATAACTAATTTAACAATGGCTGACAATTTTCATTAGTCGATAATACTTTCACTATGCTGTGGTCTGTGGATAATGAGGCACATTCACAAGAATGTAGTGGGATGCTCAGTGTGTGGCAGCCAAACAATTTTTCCATCGCTCACCGAGTACATAGATTGATTAGGTAGGTATAGAACAGACAAGAACTGAGCTTGACACGGTTGATAAACTAGATAAGCCTAGTTAAACATATTTACAGAGGGAATGATAATTTGAGATTATTGGCACACAACTCACTTATTTAAATTAGTAAGAAAATCATCAGTGGGCGGAAAAACAGTAAAAGAAAACGACTAGTCATTAACAAATGTTTAATTGACAGAATGCTTATCCGTCTATTTAATGAGAGTTTTTACTCATCTCAAATAAATATTTCACCTGCTGTATCAAATAATCCCAATGTATATGGTTCTCCACCAATCATTACAGTGACGGCATAATTATCAAAGACCTAAAAAAACAGATTATATTTAAATATTTTGTCTCTATGTAGATATTTACCAATCTACGACATAGTTCTCAGATTCCAAGAATAGCCCCCATTTCCTAAAGGAGTCTGGGTTGCCATAAAGGTAAAAATGGGCATACCGGCGCTGCGCAGCAAGCTAAAAGAAAGCGCAATTTAAAAACTTCACTATTGGATTCCTCAAAAATAAAGTCAGATTTACCCACAGAAAAAAATTTCCCTGTAGCATTCGGGGTTTTTGGAAAAAAAAGGAAATTTTGGTCACATGACGGCCGACGCATATTAGAGACGTACATTTCAGAGACAAATTGAGTGTTTTATTTTATTGGACCAAATTTCGGGATATCTTGGAATCGGAGAAACCTGACCTACTTTTTGGTACACAATTGCAAATTATTTTCCCTGAACTTTCAAAGCATCAATTTTTCCAATAATATTTAATTCAAATGTGTTATTCATATATAATATCATTGAATAATGATGGCAAATCTGAATAGTTAGAAAGCAAGCCACTGCGGTTGCCAATTTACATGCAAATTTACGTAGCGTGCTGAATATATATAGTTTTAACTATAAATAGCCCGGTCCATCATGCGCCCTACCAATAATAATCACAATGGGTCATTGAATACATCACTAAGTTTTTTTTTGAAATCACTAATCTCGTTTATACCAAATTTTTTGAATATTATGTTACAAACACTAAATATACAATTATGAAACAAACTGCAAATAAAGGCTTATTGTACATCCATGATATTTTTATGCTGTACCAAGAGAGCCATAAAACGACAGAAATTTCGTTGTCTGGAATAAAAATATGCCATGTAGGCACTTGTTTTAAGGATTAGAATATGTTGACAACCTCATTGTTTACTCGCATGAGCTCCCAGTTATTTTAGTCAATACCTGAAAAGAAAATAGATAATGATTCGCATGCATCAAAACAGAGAATAGCATACCGTTGGCACATATTCTGATGGAAATTTATTTGTTGTGTATGAAATAAGCAAACAGGTTTTACCAACAGCTCCATCTCCCACAACAACGCATTTGATGGTTTGCATATTTATTTTATTCAATTAACTCTATGGAAGAAAACAAAAATATTAGTTAGGTAGATTGAACTTATGGGTTGCTAATTCAATTTACTATAGATTGTGTAACCTCTGGTTAGACTTTATAGGCCAAGCATAGCTGCACATTACTTTAGTTTCCACGAGTCTGAACCTGACACCTGTATGGTTACCATTCTTTTTGGATTTTTTTCATCCCCTAATAAGCATGAGAACAACCTAAATCAGTGGTTCAGTAGATTTGATTTTGCCCGCATTATTTCAGATATTCACTTTCCAACCACATATTTTCAACATGTTTTTGAATAAAACACACTTTCGTCTTACTATCTGTTATTTGTAGCTTATTGTTAGTTACCGTAGTTACTTTTGAGGGGCGCAAGACTTGACAAATTCTAAAAAGGGGCGCGGCTTAAAAAGTTTGAGAATCACTGATCTAAATCAATAAATTTAAGTTTCATGACATGTTAGGTTGAGGAAAAATAAAACTAAAATATACTCCAACCAGTAAAGTCCTGGTTTTAAAAGTACTTCAGTAAAGCAATATCATCTACAAAATTTTCATTTTTGACTATCAATAGTTAATAGTATCTATTAATTTCTGATTCCTATTGTTATAGTGTTAGGTCAGACAGTAATATAAGACATTGTATGAAAGACTATGTGCCAGCTTGAGAGATGATTCATCCCCCCACATGAGATGACTCAGGGTATTGGTAGTCCAGAAATCACTGGGTCAACTAGTGTCAGCAGTCAGGCAGAAAGACAGATGTGCGAAACGTACCTATATACTTTTGCGAAACATTTAAATAAGTATTTATGATTCTGAAACATAGCCTGAATCGAGACATCTTTATAAACATGAATTTGAAAACATATTTGTCAATAGCCATGGAAACTGATTTTGAAATTCCAGTAATATCTGGAACTACAGTGTTTTGCTTGGTTTTTAAATTTGCATGCAGTGAAGTAAAAAATAATTATATATATATATGGCTTGATTAGCTGGGCAAGTGCTAATTTTGTTGCAAATTGCACTATATATTATAAAAACAGTGTATTATAAAAATTTACAATATTGAATACACACTTCAACTAATTTTAAGGGTATACAATTTCAATATCACTGGCTGGTTATGTAAGACTTAGGTCCCAAGTTCCAGTTGGCTCTTTTTGCCAGAAATATGTATATTTTAGTAATACGGTAAGTCAAAACAAGGATACTTTTCTTAAACAATAAAATGAAAATCAATTGTACACAAATCATGAGAAAATGATAATTACAGTGTAACTGGGGATGGGAAAATCACAGGGAACCAAAGCTGGTTAACAAGAAGCAACACTTATTATCTAGGACCTATTATCTAATCATGGCACCTTACACTGTTACATGCTTAAGAAATGTCAATGATTTTTTTGGAATATCGTAAATGACTAAACAAGATTTTTTTATATAGTTTTTGCCACAGAATCTGTATCAATAAGCTGATTCAAAGAAGCATATCTGAAAGTCCAATTCATATATAATGGAAGCAGTATTCACAAACAATACAGTTCAAAGTAATAACATTTTATGAGGTTTTATTGCCATGGTTCTAATTTGTGACAGTAATAAACAAATCATGATTGTATTCAAGCATTGATTTTATGGCGATTGTTAAATTTGTAATAAACATGTAATCAATAACAGCTATTGGGGTGTAATAACATAAAAATTTCCCACTAGCTTATGACAGTTACTTTTGTCTACCATCATCTGATCAAAGAAAATAATGCTTGTCGCTGAGGATTTATGCTATGGGTATTACTTAAAGACAAAAATTTGAACACAATTGACATTTGGACATATGTCAAAAATAAGATCTGAGTGCGTGTTCTTTATGTCACTCATATCCATGAATCTTGAAAAGTAGGAATAGCCAGTCTACTTACAGACTTACTGACCTAAGAAACTGAATGTAAAACCGTGTAACTGCAGAACTGTACAACCAGCTAAACACACAGCCTCTATTACACTATGTCTTTAATTTGAACATGAATAGTTCTCATTACCCAATCTGACATAGGCCTATGACAGTACGGCGGTGTGGCTCAACGGGCTAAGCGTTAGGAATACGCTCGCCACCGCACCTCTAATTACTCTGCGTGGGTTCGCAGGTTCGAATCCCATGCAGGGATGGTTATGTGCGAGAGGATTGCTGGACTCCTCGCCGTCGTTGGGTGGTTCACGTAACCGCTGGTCGGTTACGGCTTCCTCCACCACCAAGTCCATGCTTCCGAAAAACAAACAATACAGTAAAAACTAATCCCATACCCGACTTGGAATGGTAACCGGACGAGAGGCCGTGGTTCGCCATATGGATAAGCCGTCTTATCGGCTTTCCTCTCCCCCGGGATAAATATGTAAATTCTATCCTATCTAATATACAGATATAATGTCTGAATGTGGCATCACAGTTTCACACAAAAGTTTAGAGTGGCATCACACTGAACAATTTTTTGTAATTATTGATTATCCTCATTTCATTCAACGTTCAACATATCTCTGTTCATCACATATTCTTTCGACCCTTTTCTTTTGATTATTAACCTAATTAACTTCCGGCCTAATTCCTTCTTGAGTGATAAAATGTGTGTTACTTTCAGCTACCTTGTGCCTACCTATGTGACGACGCTGTTCGAGTAATATAGCGGAACACCTGGACTACGTCAAAATTTGAAATCCGACAATACTATTGTTTGAAACATCGTAACTAAGAAATGATTATCAATGGGTGTAATACTAAAAAACGTAATGGTGGTATTGCCAAGCACAGCAGGTCCGAAGAGCGAAACGTATCAACATAAAGATAAAAGCCAATTGAGGAAGCTAACAAAAGAGTGAGAATAGTTGCTGCGTCGTCTCTCTTTCTTTCTATCTTTCTTTCTCTTTCATCAATGGGCGGGCGAGGCGTTCCGGGTCTGACTGACGCTTTATCAGGGGCAGTATAAATACCGGCGTCGCCGTGAATGAACCTGTCAGAAATGGTTTCGTTACGTAGCTCTCTTGGTCGTGATTTGGCTTGCATGATGTCAGCGCTTGGCTACATCAGCGTACGGTTGTGTACGTTTATTGACGTATTATGTCACAACACGTTATGGATAATTGATGAGATTATACAATAAATTTGTACAATTACATCGAATATTATTTTTATTGTGAATACACCACTTGCCGTGTTAAACAGGCATTGATAACATAAACCATTTAATTTAACTGCGACTTCACCGAAGTCTCTATTATGTCAAGTTGGGTAACAAATCACACAACCTAATTGGCCGTCCATCGCTTCATTTATCGATTTTATCAGCAAGCTTGTGTGTTCCAAGCCATCGTTCGCATAATATTGCAACCTGTAGTTTTTTTTTTTTATTTCTCTCGTACGATGTTTAAGAGTCGGATGTAAAACCTCCGTTTCGGCCTCGCACTGCTGGTGTAGTGGTATCATGCAAGATTCCCATTCTTGCGACCCGGGTTCGATTCCCGGGCAGTGCAATGTTTTAATATTGCAAAAAAAAAAATGAATGCAGACAGCGTTATCGACAATTTCTCAGGAAGTCAAAACATGCATTACGTCATAGACTTGTCAAACACGGAGATTGACAATTGAACAAGTCTGTCTGTGACAAAAACGTTTCAGTAATTGATACTCGAAAATGTTCATTGTCGTCACGCTTTTTCATTGCCAACAACATCAAAACTCATAGCTTATTCATTAACGTAGCACTCATCGACTGGACTACTTTGGATAGATTGTTCAAATTATGAATTGTATGGAAATGACACAAAAGGGAAATCCCGACAATTAAGCAACAAATTACCAATGACAAATACGGCTGTTTCATGGAAGCTAGTTCCCTCGTTTTTTCCGTGACAATGACTAATCGGTAATTCGAATTCAAGCAGAAGCTCACTAAAACAACATACGCACATAAATATTTAAATGACCGAACATTTGCGTAATTAGACATCGAAATAGTGCTTGAACGTTTTTCACTCCGAACAAATGTATTTGGTTTTTGGACATTTATTTTTTTAATTTGTTCGACTTCTTTCTGTATCAAAGTTAAGACTTTTATCACCACGAGTGCCTCAGCTAGATAACCAACATTGTTTTTTCGCGTCACCCTTCTCCGTGAAATGCCATTTTCATGTTTTTTTTCCTAGTTTTTGTTTGCATTAGGTGTGTGTTCATTTTAGTGAAAAATAAACTACTGAATGAACAAGGTTCTGTACAAGAATGCTATTATCTATAAGTAGACCTACCATACGTCCCGGATTGGCCGGGACAGTCGCGGTTTAAACGTCTGTCCCAGTGTCCCGTCCCGGATAGCAAAATGTCCCGGTATCTTACTTTGGTGAAATTTTCAAAAAAATAACTCCCAACCTGATGCAAAATTATGAAATAATTCCGTCCCAAAAGGCATAACTTTGCTTTAACTCGAGGCTTATTTTAATATCTTAATTTTTTATCTTATTAGGCTGCGTAAAATATCGCGCTTAGCTTGAGAAATCCTTTAGTTAGGGAATAATGAGTGACGTTTATTACGTCATTATTCTATTGACTTTGATGATACTACAGCAATTGCTGCATTAGAAGCCATTTTAGGTATGCTTGGAGTTGGAGAAGGCATAATAACTTTCATATGGTTTTGTTTGAGTCATATTATGCTGAAAGTAATCTAGAACTTGAGATTCTTTAGAGTAATGCAATATCAAAGTTCATAAATATAAATATGGAATAAAAATTTGCCAAGCTCAGGCCTTCGGTCCAGGTATTTCCGGGAGCCGTTTCCTGTCAGCAATTACATATCAACACGATGAATCCAAGTTTAGCCATCCACAAATACATCATCGGGTTACAATTCATTTTTCATGAGTAAATATTTTCAAACATCTCTAGGTGATGTCCATATCGAGCTGGATTTTCAACGAATGTGTTGGAAGGACCATATCACTTTTTTTTCTTCCACCCAACGGATTTTAAACTAGCCTTTATTTTATATTAGGCGATTATGAATATTTGATTTGTGATAATTTGCACCAAATAAAAAACAGATTTGACCAAATAGAGTTCCTAAAGTTAATATTTTAAATGAAAGACGACAGCGAGGGTGGTTTGACCATACAACAGAAACAAATTAGTTTCTCACTTGTGATATCATACTAAAACTGTAACACATTTCAAACAATTCATTCTTCGGGACATATTTTAACCATATCCCTCGATATGATTGCCTTCGAGGTATCTCTATAAGTTTGTTTGCCTCAAAATTAACAGCACATTCACATGGACATGATACAGACACAGTTGTGCAACATGTGCCATGCATTTACTCCTCATGTGTTGCCTAATGTCAAAAGGAACAAAAATTAAATGATTAGTCTGTATTTGTCCAGTTTGTTAATATCAAATCACTGCACTTGGAGAACTTACAATGTTCACATTATCGACATTCGGTCACTGATTTTTACAACTCCTACAGTTCATTATCTGGTAATAAAATTCAACCCCTATCTTCACCATATTATAAAGACTTCCTCACTAATCACCATAGAAAAAGTTTAACATTCTTGAGATTGCATACGAGATTTTGGCAACAAAAAGAATCACAGAGCACGCAGATAAATCTAATAATAACTCTCAAAGTCAATATGATCCACTCCACACTCCTGTAATGCTTCTGCCAGGAATCGCCACCAACACTAACACAATCAACTCACATCACTTCATCATTCGTTTGAGAAAGCTATTATGGAGATTCCACAAGTTGGCCACAGTTTAGTCTTACTGCAGAGTTGTACTCTTCCTCAAACCTATTCTTATTCCTGAAGCTTCTCCAGAATATTTCTTTATCTCAGGCCTATATTCACGAACTTGTCCTCTTCTTCGTATCTTTGCTTTCCTGTATTTTTGTCTCATTTTGACACGAGGATTACGATCAATCTTCCGCCTTTTTTGACGAAGTCCTTTGTTCTTGGCAATCTGTTGACGAAAAAAGTTGTAAAAATGAGAAATGACAATGATTAACCAATTTGAAAATAACATAACTCGCTTGTGAAAACAAATCACAGCCATTGGAGGGTGCAAAGTCAAAAACAAAATAATAAAGATGACTTGGTAAAATGAATCACATAAATTATTGATCAGGCTTAACTAAAATTGTGATAAATCAATATGGAGTAGATCATTGTCTTTGTTGAAGAATACAAAATGTTTTACCTCATAATTTATTGCCCTTCGACCATTTGTTTCATCGTCATCATTGTCAGCAATTCTGTGAAAAAATAAATATTAATTAGAATTGCAGCGCAATAAAGTATATTGTAGTGGCATGCCTAAGGAAACTAATATAACCTTCAATTAAATAAAAATTTTCTCTATAAAATGTAATAAGAACTGCAATGAAGAATTGCTCGTTGCATGCCTAAAGAAACTAACATAATCTTCAGTTAAATCAGAATTTTCTCTGTAAAATGTAAAACTTTAACAGATGAAGAAACTAAATATAGTAGTATTGAGTGACCTCTAATGCTCAACATTAAAATTAAAAATTCACAATATGCTTCATAACATATCATATGTATTTTTCAAGTGTATGTTTTAAAAAACACAGAATTCTAGTTCCGGCTGGTGATCCCTATTGAGTTTCAAGTATTTAGGTTCCATTGGTCACCTGACTATTTTTATTTACAATGTTACTGTAGAATTTAAAACAGTTCATCAATGCTAAACGCATATATATTACATACCTGGTACTCCCGTAGTGTGTGTACCAGCTTAGGGTTAGGCCTAATAATATTTCGATTTCCCTTATATTAGTTCTATTACGAGTTCGGGGACTGTCTGTGTTAGCCCCTGCCCATAGGTTTCAGTCCCTTTACACAACTTGATTAAAAATTAGTTACCACCTCAATAATGGTACACATACTTCTAGAGCGCCACTTACCTCTCATCAGAATCATTTGATTCTGCCAGTTTTTCTAACATTGATTTGGAAAATTCTTGCACATCACATTCATCAGTATTTTCCTGAAAAATATGATGCATATATACCAGAATGAACAAAATAATGGAATGAGTTATTATTAATTTCACGACACGAAGAGAGATCATCCAGTAATAAAACAACATGAATTTCATGGGTAAATTTTGCTGACCAATCTGACCCATTTGTGTATATACTTAACAAATGTTAAAATAAGTGGACAACAAACCTTGGGGTTCGACTTTCTTTTACGTTGTTTTTTAAATTCTACCACTTCATCAATTTTCTCAAAATCAGATTCTTCAGAACTAGATGCCAACTTTTCGCCATTTTTAAGTGAATCCTCTTCAAGGTTATTGTTAAGGTTTTCTTCCAAGAGTTCATCTATTTCAGGGCGTAGTTTCTTTTCAATGGGGGACAATTGGTTGATGACCTGCAGAAAACATAAAACCATTCTTAATAGGCATGGATATATTAATGACAACATAAGTTCCAATGGTAAAGGTCTGATTTGTGATATGCCGTATTGCGCAATTCATAATTAAAGTGCAATATTAGGATAGGATTTTCATATTTTTCCCGGGGAAAAGGAAAGTGACCAGCAGCTACGTGAACCACGCTGTGGTGACAAAAAGTCCAATAATCCTCTTGTACATACATACCAGTATTTATTCCCCCACAGGATTCAAACCTGCAAACCTGTACAAGGTAATCATAGGTGTGACAACAATTCCTGACACTCAGAAAAATGCACCATACCTTAGCCAATATTAAAACAAAATTGCTGTCTAATTTGAGAATCAGTATTAGCTAAACTTCCATTGATTTAGATATTTCAGGATATCACAGACAAAATTATATCGTATATTGTGAACTATGTAGCTATGTATGAGACATAAAAACCCTTCGGTGTTCAAAGTAGGCAAATGGATAGCATGGTTTCTTTTGTTGGTCAGGCAAAAACAAGGATATCATCAAAAAAAACACTCACTGTTCTGTATTGCACCAGTCTTGAAACAATTGGATGGTTCTGTACTTGAGTTTTGTTGGTTTTCAGAGCCAAATAAAATGATATGTTAAGTAAATATGCAGAATAGACTCTGTATTTGAGACTTATGTAATCAGATCCAAGACCCTTTGGTATCGTCCCATTCTTCACAAGTTTCATCAGCGGTGAAACTTCATTCTGTAGCTCAGATAATTTGGTCTGAAATGAATAATTTTTTACTATTATTATTGGATTCTGATATATTTATATTATTAACACCACTGCTATCAACCTAACAGAACTCTGTACAGACATTTTCATACACTTTTCACCTCAAACTAGGCTCTGTGTAGGCGGCCACTAAAACAGTGGCTGCAACACATTAGTGTTGCACTGAATGAATATTGGTGTGCCGGCAGGTGCGGCGAAGAGATTTCATTGTTAAACTTATTTCAAGTGATTCCAATCTTCACCTTGGGTGATGCCGTAAACATTCTATGCAACTGTTTATTTACATTCTTACTTTATTATTTTATAGCAAAATGGCTTAATTGGTATAAAATGTTCATGTTTTGTGATAGGCGTGCCACGAATATTTAAAGAGCTCAATAGTGTGTCGCAATATAAAAAAGATTGGGAATCACAGCACTGAGTCTTTTTGATTTGGCATTGCTACCCAATTTGGGTAAGGTAGTGGGCATAAATGCTCTGCTATCAGGCAGAGTCACTTTGATAACACCCTGAGTTTTGAATGAGAAACTGAATTTGTAATCAGAATGAATATTTCCTGAACACAATCGGTGCGAGGCGAATATAATTGAATAAAATTACAGAAGGCAAAAACCTTAAAGTCATGAATCAATCCATCAAGTTCCGGTGATTCTTTCTTTACAAGTTTCCATTGTGATTTCTTGGATAACGAACTAAAATCTGCGTCAACATGAGCCTTTAGAACTTCATCAGATTGCTCTTCTGTTTTAGTTTCCGGAACCTGCGGAAAAAATTAAAAAAATATTAACACAGCAAAAGATGGACATCATCTGCTAGATGAAAGAAGCAAAGATAATTTGGATAATAACCTCATTCAGAGTACTTGATTCTCACAACAGCAATATTACTGAAACCCCATAACGATGCTGAATCCTCCCATTTTCCATTGTTTAAAATAGCATAAAATTTTAATATAGATATAAAAATTTGTGAATATGCTTTTGATTTAGCAAATTATTGGATTCTCCCGTAGTATGTGTAAATAATTTTAAATAATTTCAATTAATTTTATTGCGATTTCCCCTATTTTAGTTCTATTACGAGTTCGGGGACACGCTTGTGTTAGCCAAGTAAATATACCCCTTGCTCATAGGCTTCCGCCCCTTCACACAACTCGATGCATAGTGGGTGTCTGGGCGAACAAAATTAGTTACCTCCATATTGGTACACATACTTCTGCAGCACCGATTACTGAATATCTATCTATAATGACATTCCTATCATTTTTATTGTGTAATATAACATGGGAAATTATTCGAGAGTTTCAATATAGATCTAAAAATTCGTGAATATGCTTTTGGTTTGGCAAATTATTGCCCCATTGTAATCATAACTCACATTCAATATATCCAATCCAAAATCATCCTCATCCATCTGTTCTGCCAATCTTTTCTGAATAGAAAGAACTTCTTCTTCTTCTGCTTTTTCAGCTTCTTCTCTATCAGAACCTTCAAGAAGAATACTTGATTATTATTCAGGGTTGTCCTAAGATGAATAATTTGGCATTCAAATAGTACTACACAGCAGTGGTTTTCAACCAGGGTTCAACTACACACAAGGGCCCCGCCAATACAGTCTACGACAGGGGTTCCCAAACTGTGGCCCACAGGCCAAATCAGGCCCGCGTAACAATTTAAAATGGCCCGCCAAACTTGAGAAAAATTATTAAACACATTTTGTTTCTACCTTTTTGCAATCTAGAAACCTCTAATTGTTGTGTCCTTATCACAGTTTAAGCTTGTGTTTATCATAGCATTTCGATTATTGTATATAAGTATTTCAATCATACGTAGGCTACTGGTGTCAGGATTACATAGACAGTAATTTGGTCGTCAGCCATGTAAGAAACGTTCGAAGACTCGTATTTCAGTATTGAAAAGAATCAAACTTCAGCGATTTGTCCACTTTGCCAACGAACTATTCCAGTTCTGTAATATTCTGTTCCAGTTCAGTAATGTAATAATGCGTCAATTATACAAAGGAAGTTATTTATCTACATAAATCAACATGGACTGAGACATCACACAAGCTCCATGAAAATTGATGATATGCTAATATGCTATCAATCATTGTGAGTGACCAAATTCTATTTAAACTTTCTGAAATTGCAATCTTGTATTAAAAAAAGACCAGACAATGACATCCGGTAACCATTTTACCACAATTATAAAAAAACAAACATTACCTTCCAAGCCATCATATGTGTCTGCACCATAAAATGATGATTTTCTCTTTCCCCAAGCACTTTCACTTGTGATACCTGAAATGAGAGAAAAAATAAGGAAACTACTAGTGATTGTAAACTCATTCATGACTATATAATATCCTATTAATGCAGAAGATATTTGTAATTCAATATTTTTTTTTTAAATGCTCAGAGCTACTTAAAATCAATGAGTACAATGACAGGCGCTCCAAAAGTGTGTGTACCAATATGGAGGTAACTAATTTTGTTTGCCTACTCTACATCAAGTTGTGTAAAGGGACTGAAACCTATGGGCAGTAGGTATATTCACTTGGCTAACAAAAACAGTCCCCAAACTTGTAATAGAACTAAAATAAGGAAAATCGAAATAAAATTATAGCCTAACCCTAACCTGGTACACATACTACGGGAGTACCCTTTCACTAGCTCAAACGCCAACTAAGTGTCTTGAAGCAACAGAAACTGAAGAATGACTTTTAAATCAAAACACTATGCTGTTAAAGGACAAACAGTATATATAAGCAGGGTCAAATGTTGGTCGCTCCAGAAGTATGTGTACCAATATGGAGGTAGCTAATTTTGTTTGCCTACTTTACATCAAGTTGTGTAAATGGACGGAAGTCTACGGGCAAGGGGTATATTCACTTAACTAACACAGACAGTCCCCCAAATCGAAATAGAACTGCATACTGGTACACATGTGACTGTATATCTAGATTTTAGGCTCAAATCATCTTCACCTTTATTTCCAATTTCAACATCATCAGATTCATCTTCTTCATCAATGTCATCATCATCATCACTTTCTATTCCAAGTACTTCTTCCTATAAACAATTTTTTATCTAAAATCAACCTATGAAAAAAGAAGTCTATTGCCAACTACAAACTAGAACTATAGTTAAGTATTGTTATGTCTGTCTATATTAACATTAACAATAAGATGAAAAAAATACTAAATCCAAGACAGTATTTTTATTTATTTTTCAAGCCCACTTTAACGAAAACAAAGAAATCGATGATCTACTCCACAAGGGAGAAAAAGTCAATCTGACAATCTATGACGAGTACATAACAGCAGTAGGCCTACTTAAACTTTTTTTTATCATGAAACTTGGGTGATTAGATTTACATTTATTTCAGTGCACAAAACAACCTTTTTGTGATTCACTATGTGGAAGGTATACTTTTATTTAAGACATGACTATTTGAAAAAATTTTTATAGCAAAATATTATTATAATTTAATTAACCAAAGCAGAATATTGTCATTTATGAACTTCACAAAACATAAATGAAGAAATGCGCAAGCTGACTTGAACTCTCAACAATTATTTTAGCAATACTGTAACAATTACAAAATTAGCAACCTACCATAACCAGACTTTCTACCAACCTCATCGCTATACTTTGAATCATCATCTGAACCATCATCTTCTAATAAAAGTTTATCTCTATTTGCATGAAATTTATCAATCTCATCATAGTAGAAATCTTCTTCATCCTGGAATCAAATTATGTGTAATAATTTAGGCACTTACTCAGACATGGACCACTAGACTCGATATTATAGCCTAGGTATTTACAAACATACCTGTTTTACACCATCAAGATTTTCATCTTTCTCTTTAATACTAGGTTTGGTGGCAGGCCTGATATATAAGAATTATTTAAAAAATTAAAAATGCTGGCAACATTAGGAATACAGGAATAACAGAATTACTACCGGTAGCAAGGCTGCAAGGGAAACACAAAAGAGTCACTCTGCTGTTGGGTCGAAAATATCCTGAACGTTGAACTAGTTTAACATATACTTACCCCTTCCCACCACGTTTCTTTTTCGCCATCGTATCAATGAAAACAGACCACCAGGACGTACGCAATGGGAAACAGCAAGCTTGAAACTGTAAATATTACAATGAACGAGCGTACACATGATACCCTAACGTAACCTTTGACCCTATAGAATCATGTTTCTTTTTCACATGGACCTTTTCTCCGACCTTTGACCCCCGAAAAGTTCCTTATATACTTTACAATTTCAAAATTTTCGGGGCTATTTTAGGAGTGCTTCTGCGAGTTGGCGCTTGTAAAATGGGGCATGTGTTTCAAACTATCATTATGATTCATCGCATACAACAATCTGTTTTTTGAGAGTACCAGTTACGAATTTTAGCCAAGTCTATCACAGCTATTTCTACACTAATTTTATATTACTGTTATTAAATTGAAACTCCTAGGAAGACAGAGTGATCATTAAATTATCTGATTTATATTTAAGTTTCCAAAACACAACAGAAAACTAACGAATAGAGTTCAAAAACGCGAAAACGTGGTAATGTTTATACTTTATTCACACTTTACATTAGATTTATTGTACAATTTAGAGGGCCTGTGTAAAAATTGTATATATATTATACCGTAAATAAATACTACTACGAATAAACTATACCAGGGGTCGGCAACCTTTTGTCGCTCGCGGGTCGCACATATTTTAAGAAAGTTGAAAAACCGAACGGAGGGTAATTTTTATAATATAAATCAAGCAGTGATACATCTCTCGAATAGAGTATAGATTTATTTCCTCATTGCATTTCATAAAATTCCATTTGAATATTATTGAACCCTTTGCACTTAGAATCAAACCTTTGTCGCTCGCGGGCCGCACATATTTTAAGAAAGTTGAAAAACCGAACGGAGGGTAATTTTTATAATATAAATCAAGCAGTGATACATCTCTCGAATAGAGTATAGATTTATTTCCTCATTGCATTTCATAAAATTCCATTTGAATATTATTGAACCCTTTGCACTTAGAATCAAACCTTTGTCGCTCGCGGGCCGCACATATTTTTAGAAAGTTGAAAAACCGAACGGATGGTAATTTTTATAATATAAATCAAGCAGTGATACATCTCTCGAATAGAGTATAGATTTATTTCCTCATTGCATCTCATAAAATTCCATTTCAATATTATTGAACCCGTTGCACTTAGAATCAACTTTTCTGCGTTTTGTTGCCATTTGCTTAATTATAATTAAATAATATGCTCAATAAACGAGTAATTTGAATTATATAATTGTTGGGTTATAATATAAAGAATATATTCGTCAAAACGGATGTTTTGTTACCAAAATTTAGTGGAGCGTCGCGGGCCGTATTATAGTGCTCCGGGATCCGGCCCGCGGGCCGTAGGTTGCCGACCCCCGTACTACACTTTAATCAAGTACAATACGGATCCCACCACAGAACCTGGTTCCGTATAGAAATAGGAAAGATTCAAAATACAAACAGGGCAAAATTAAAATAACAAGAGAGCTACGCTTAAATATATGGACACTTCTATTCGCAGTACAGTACGGTTTACCCAACGACTGGTTTACCGTACCGTCAGATCACAGTCTACAAATATATTCACACCAAGCGAAGCAGTACAGTCGGACACAAAATGGCGTCCGATGTTCGCAGAACGTTACGTTCAGTGACGTCATAGCAAACAAAAACAAATCTTACAAAGCTAACAGAAATATTTAAAATAAATAAAAGTAATAGCCTTCTGGAGATAAATTTCATCTTTAACCACTTGGTCCAGTGGTCAAAGAGAAAAGCGGTTTTTTAATATTTCCACTAGGTGTCTAAAAAGTGTCAAACAACAACAAGAACACCAAGAACAACATAACAACAAAACGATCGTTATGTCCACTAAACGTGTCCAAAAATTGCTTTGGTATGGACTGGGGGGAGCGATACGACCATGCGGTATGCGGACATCAAAGTCAATTCCTACCCTAATTGCTGATGTGATTATGGTTCACGTTGAAAATGGCTATTAGAAAAGTTGGTCTGGCAAATAATACTTCAACAAATTCGATATATGGTAGCCTAATTAATCACAGAAAAACTTCACATTGGGGGAGGGCATGTTTTGTTGAAAACTCATTAAATAATAAAATTTCGTGGGATTTAGATGATGGTAAACAATATTATATACAAACATTCGATATGTGAAAAAGAGCAAAAATAAAGATATATATATATATATATGCCGTATATTAGCGGATGGTGAACTCGAAAAAGGGGTAGAAATGTATCACCAGCATAACAAAAGAATAAATGCATTTTAGTAGAATTGCTAACTTATTTAAGCCAGTAATCAAATATACTATATGTAAAAAGAACACAAGGGAAACTTCTAATTGATCACTATGTCAACATCAATGCTAAGGAGAAAATAATACTAACATGATGAGCAACAACGAAATAGCGAATTGATTGAGTTAAGAAATTTATCCCTTAAATGCCATATTAAGCTAAATGTATGCCAATGTAAAAATGATCTAAGTAGGACATTCAGTCCTAAAGAATATTTTATTTATTTACGTCACTTTTTGCATCTTGCTGATCGGCCAATGTCACGAAGTAAACAAGGAAGTGGATTCTCGGGGAAAGGTTCATTAAACCGATTAAACATACTAATGGGTGATTCCTCAAGCATCGACTTTCTTGTTTAATTCGTGACATTGGCCAATCAGTAAGATGCAAAAAGCGACGCAACAATGCCTCTTTTCGCATCCGCTCAGACACTTTTCTCACTCGGACAGTTTCAGTTTAATCGTAGTAGTATATATTTACGGTTTAATCATATATTTACGGTTTAATTGCAGTAATCAAATATTAGTGTAGAAATAGCTGTGATAGACTAGGCCAAAATCCTTCACGGTTCCTTTAAAAAACATATTGTTGAATGCTATGAATCAGAACAATGGTTTGAAACGAATACCCAATTTTACAGGCGCTAACTCGCTTAACCACTCTTAAAATAAACACCGAAAATTTTACAATAGTAAAGTATAGGAAGAATTTTTCGAGGGTCAAAGGTCGGGGAAAAGTCCATCAAATACAAAAGCGGCTGTTGATATGCATCAATGCACTTAGGTTTTCCATTGCTGCTGCACTGTTGTCTTTGCGCTTTCGCTCGTTGACAAAGGTCTTCGAAATAGTCTTTTGTATGTCAACTGGAAAATATATTTGGTCATGTTATCTTCTATGTTGAAGCAACATCAGGCGAAACAAAGCAAAGTCCGCGAGGAACAAGAACGCAAACGTCAAGAAGCTTTGAGGGCCTTATTTAAATTTAACACGGCGGTAACGGCGTCCGTGAATAATGGAGTCGCAATCGCATACAGCAACCAATGTCAGATTGATAAAGAAATGAAACAACTTCAGGGCCAAGTTTCTCAATTTAATCGATTATCTGGTCAATGGACATCGATGCTAGAAGGATTCCATGCAGCTCTGAAAGAATTAGGGGATGTTGAAAACTGGGCCAAAAGCATTGAAGAAGACTTGAGAACTGTTTCTGCTACATTAGAACACGTCAATAAGCCACCGGATGACTCGTAAGCAAGCATCATTGTTATCAGTTGCATTAACCTTTCTGAACTGTCCAAAGTGATAGGACTGGAGCCTGCGCACTTTTAAATCAATGTCCTGGTACTTATTAGAAGAACTGATATTTTTGTGCAATAATTATTTACATATATTTCAATAAATCGTTATCAAAAGTATAAACAGACACTGAAACATTCTAGAGCGTGAGACATGAAAGTAAAAAAATATATTGCATCTATAGTAAAATGACAGAATAACTGTTGCTTAGGAAACGAGAATGCACTTGTATCACATTGCTAAAAAATAGTTCAACAGTGCAAAAGATATTCTGCATAATCAGCATGTTGCATCAACTTTGAAATTTTACTATAGCTTTATCTATTGCACGATTTACAATTCTCATAGCGAGACGTTCATATATTACGGTGTTTTCAATTTCACTGTTCTGTTCCTTGTCATCTGATGTGGTATTAGAGTCTGCAGAATTATTCTTTTCAGCCCTTGCACTTAGATGCTTGCGCCATGCTCTTTGAATTCTACAAAAATACATATGAACAGACCTTAACACTCTTTTAAGGTTAGATGATTTTGCTTGTAGCATCTTAAAATACATACAGTCCATAAATCCCCTTTCAATTTCGTTATGGATCCAGTTAATATATATTAACCAGGTTTATTGCTTTTTAATAATCGGTAATTGTTTCATTCATCAGTATTTTTATTTCATTTAACACGTCTGAGGGCCAAAACAACACATGGTATCCATAAATTCCCTTTGCAATTTTAAAATATTTCAAGATTTCACGGACTCCTATATAACATACTTTATAGCGAGCCATATATTGTTTCGAACTACTCAAGTTCTATTGACCACATGAGATAGTAAATTTCTTCACTCATAAATAGTTTTAATTTGCGAGACTTACGTTATAACATAGTAAGAGAGCCTTTGAGCTTTATTCCTTCTGATGACATTGTAATCCTCAAACTGAACTTCCAGCTGATGACTGAAAGAATATTAATGAGGTTTTGAAGTATGCTAATGAAAATGACAATACCAAATTCGAATATACAAAAGCATACTTTTCAATAAGGAGTTTTGCTTCTTCCACCTGTTCCATAGTTTTCTCTCTTCGTAATTTTTCTTCCTACAAGTCAGTTAGGTTGAAACATTATAAATATTGGGCACTTTAATTTTGTTCGCCTATTTTAAATCAAGTTGTGTAAAGGGACTGAAACCTATGGGCAGAGGAATATTTGGCTAACACAGACAGTCCCCGAACTCGTAATAGAACTAAATTAAGAAAAATCGGAACAAAATTATGGCCTAACCCTAACCCAACTTGATGTAAAGTAGGCGAACAAAATTAGTTACCTCCATATTGGTACACACACTTCTGATGTTCTGAAGCGTCTATTTTCACTTGTTCAACTTCCTCAAATGTGACAAATAGATACAGATTATGAATAACTTTTTATGATTTAGTCTTTAATGCCCGGTGGTTTAGGAATATAATTATAACACATTTGTTGCTAAAATATCAAATAATTTTTAGTCTTCAAACAGGTAATGTATGAATTGAACAGGTCCAACTCCATGGTGCTTTGTGGATATAATTATACATTTCAACATCATAGCGAAAATCTTTCAAGCCAATAATTAAAAAACACAAACTTTTTCAAATTGTTCCATTAGCATTTCAATATATTTACGTTGACCCAACAATCGTCTGACATGTTTTTGTATCAAAATTGCTGCTTTCTCTTCAGCTGGTAACATCTCGGATTCATTCTGAAATTAGAAATGATCAAAATTATATTTTAACAGATATAGTTAGTGTTAGTGAACTAGCATTAGTTGAGGCACAAAATAACTTACCAAATAACTTGTTTCGTTTGCAATGCGAGTATTGAATCTTTTCATTGCATTTTGATTTCTTTGAAACCTTTGTTTTCGTACAGTATCATAATCTGGTTCCTCTAATGCAGTTTCATCAACTGTAATGGAATAATTAATACGATTAAATTATGTTTAGTACGGTCAAATACAATAAGCTCAAATTATGAGGGTATTTTAATTGGTTTTCTATTTAAATTAGTGTTTTAGAACAACTGGTGATATAAGATGACAGGGTGTTGGGAAATAGCTGGCATGAAAAACTCGTTATGTCAAATATAGAAGGTTGAAGACAAAGCTCATCAGGGTGTAGAAAATTCAAATTATAAATTGATACAAACTTTATGAAACATGGACGTACAAATACCAAAAAACATAAGCAACCTGTCAGCAAAATAGAATAGACAACTTCCCAAATATTCACCATTTGTACAATAAATTTGAAATCCCCGACTATAATGGTCTTACCTACCGTCATATTGCAAGTCTTCCAGAATATGATTTTCAATGTCATCATCCTCTACCTCAAGTTCATTGTCATTACTGTGATATCCGTTATCTTTTTCACCATCCATGTTCGATATTCAAATTTATCATAACTATTCAGTAAACTCTACCGAAAAAGTAAAACAATTCTGATGGCAGAATAATGGTTTCTCACAATATGGATTCAAATTGAATTGGTTAAACATTACACTCAAACCATTCAAGAAATAAGTCGACCATCAATGAAAGAACATAGGCCAAAATGTGTAAATAGAAATAAGGCAGTTTCTCAGAGATTGTCAAATTAAGATTCATTTAATATTATTATTTTCGATCAACAACAAAACTTTACTGTTCAGCTGTAGATTCATGCCCTTTCAGTATCTTCTTTCCCATACCTATTCAAACAATAATAAACTGGAAAATTCTTGAAAGTGAATAGTTTGAATACAGCGCTTGTATTCATCGTTCATATATCTCAGTTCAATGCAATGGCAATGCATTTAGCTGTGCAACTCTTCAAGCTTTTTCATTTCATCCAATTCTTGAGCAAGACATTCCCTCTTTGCTTCTTCTTCTTTGAGAAGAACCTCAATTTCTTCTTTCCTTTTGGTCACATTTTTTCTTGTTTCCTCCTTCCATTCCGTTCCCATTTTATCTATTTTTGCCAAATGCTTAGAACTTTGCAAGTGCTGTGTTAGCTGTGCTTCAGAGTTAAGGCGAACATCGCAAACATCACATCTTTGCCATTGTGTACCATCAGCATCAGATTCAAACTTTTCTCGAAGTTTTTTCGCATGTTTCTTCCCAGCATAATGAGATTGGGCAACAACTGGAGCACTGAGCTCAACTTTGCAAATCGCGCAATACTCTAATTTGCTTTTTTTCTTTAATTCTTCTTCATTTTCTTCAGGATCTAATTTGACGTTCTTTTCACGAATACCGATTTTTACTAAGAAGTAGTTCCGCACTTTCTTCTGATGTTTTTCACTCATATAATGTCCTTCTTGTTGTTCGGGAGTGCTAAGTTCTGCATCACATACTTTACAGCGATCAGGCAAAAACAGATTGTCAGGATCATTCAAATCTCCACCTGTTGAAGGTTCTACAATAAATTTAGTTTTTGTTTGGCAGCATGCCTTTACTTTCTGTGCATGCTTTCGCCCTTCAAAATGTGCATTCACTTGTGAATAACTTGAACTATGTGTCTCACATAAGTAACAATAATTTCCCATTTCCATACCATCCATGCAAAAACCTGATACACCGAACGGTCCAGTTTTCGTCATCCAATAATTGGCAGTAAAATCATATGGATCTTCATTAGGATCATCAGGAATCAAATATGCCATATTTGAGATTACTTTATCCGTCTTAAACAGCAACACAAAAAGATGATGTTAATTTGAACAGTATAAAAGCTGAAAAATTTCAGCTAGCTGGTAGTTGAGAAGACTCCAGTCATCATTTAGCCTACTGGTATCAAAAAAAATCTACTCAATTAATTGACAGTCTGACTTGGCCAGTGATTGACTGGGCACTGGGATAATCTGTGATTTAGGGCCTCCTACCCGACAGTATAATCAAAACAGAAATAGCCAATAGACATAAGTAATTTGGATTTTTCACGACCCTAGACCCCAGGAAAATTTTCCCTATCCTTTACTATTGCAAAATTTTGGATGCTCATTCTGAGAGTAGTTTGGAAAGGGGCAATTGTACTTATAGCTCATTTTAGCATAGTCTATCGCAGCTTTTCTGGAACTAATTTTTTATAATTGCAACTAAACTAAAGCTCATCGGAAGACATAATACAGTAATAACAAATCAAATACTTAATCCTTCATTCACAACTAACTGACTAATGTTTAGAAACACAACTGAAAACTGACAAATAATACGCAAACCCACGAAAACAAGGCAGTTTGGGAAACCCTGCCTTACTGCCCTAGTACCTCTAATTAAAAGAAACAGGCTCGACGAATAAGGATTGACAACGGAAGAAAATGAAACTGGACAAGTCATAAAATCACTAAACAATTTTTTTTTTAATAGCTGGCATATTTTTGTTGCATGTATTATAGACGTCAGCCGGCAAATTTTTTTTAATTTGTTGTTTATTGCTATCAAGGTCTTTTTTGAATTTGTCAAAAAATTGTGCAATAAATTTTGGAAACTATATACCGGTAATTTATATGAATATATTACATACACGCAGCCCAAACTTCAATGCATAACTCTATCACAACATGTAGTGTAGATAGTAGCAGATTAGACTACACAATTCGACCAATATGAAATAAAATTATTTGTCTGATTTTCTGTAAAATAAATACTATATACATGCTTCTGAAATGTTGGGTGTAGATGTCAACCAACGTTTTTAATCTTCCTCGCTCAACACAAAGTGGCGTATGTATTGCTTGGCAAAATTGTTGTGGTTTCATACGATTGCTGTTTAAAACCCTACTATGCCGGATGACATATACACAGTCGTACAATCAATCAAATCGTTTTTTAATAGCCGTCCAGGCAAACGGTCACAAAAAAATTTAAGCAAAATTGAAAATATATACATGCCTTCGCCCAGAAGGGACTGGATGACCGCGAAATGACTATTCGGTCTACTTGTCAGCGGCTACCTTGCAATAGCTGTACAATGTATGATTCATGCACAGTCCATCTCTAAATAGTATTATTGGTCTTTTACAGTTAATGTTCCATAAAAGAGTAATATATTTCACGAAAAAGGCACTCCAACTTCGCCCCAAAATGCCAGTTCTATAAATAACATCGATTTCAAAATCGCCAGTCAGACATGTAAAATTACTGATGTGGCTCAGACAGGAAATGAACTACAATACCTCCTTTATAATGGGTTACTATTGGTTTATTATGTATTTTCATTCATACATTCCATCCCTGGCCCTGTGATGTTTTGAAAAATATGATTTCTACTGCACCATACTTGGTGTAGTTTTTTTTTTTTTTTTTGAGAGGTTGACCCTCGCTACTTCAAATAATGTTTATTTATCCAAATTTCCACTTATATATGAGGGCTACTTGTATATTTGCAAAAACTGCCTTTTATTTGTCAGGCTGATTTATTGCTGCTCAAAATAATAGTCATCGTTTACCTATTTAAATATTGGGTTTAAGTTTTTAATAGGCCACAGTTGTTGTCTTGTTTGAAAGGCTTACTAATAATAGTTATTCAACCTAAATTGTATTTATATATATGACTATCGATCGTATGTTTACCAAAATTGTTTCTTAATTGGGGTATATAATAATTTTTCGGTCACCTATTTGCCATAAATTTTTCTTGTTACTTATCGATTTTAATCGGTAAGTATGTTGATAGATATAAGTCTGTCTGTCTGATGCACGCGATATCTCACGAAAACGAGATCGAATCTGCTCCAGATTTTTCATGTGCATTCATCATATCTCGGACCAGAAGCCTATTGATTTTGGGCGAAGTATATCGTATAATTAGCGAGTTATTAATCAATAGTGATGGGACACAAGTTGTCACTATGGAGTAAGAGCGCTTTTTTGGAGGATCCCCTGACTTTTGATCGATAAGTCCTCGGTCTCTGACCGATATTCTCGTTGGAAGGTTGATTCCTCTCTTGAACCAATTGTTTTACATGAGTACCATGTTGTTTATCTCCTGAAATTCATTCGTACACGTAAGGCTGGCTCCTTGCGTCCAAATCTACATTGAGTATAGTAGTCCAATAGCCAAAATTGTTTTTTTTTAATTTGTGGGTCTTACTCCTCACTTTCAAATCTCATCATTTAAAAATTGATTTCACGGAAAAAAAATTAATTACTTTTATTTACTTCATTTTTTTGTTTGTTTTTTCAAATTTTGTGTCGTGAACTTCAACCATTTCTAATAATCTTATTTTACTGTGAATTTATCAGCGTAAACTTGGAGGGGGCTGACTTCGATGACCGCATGGTCGTATCGCTCCTTCCAGTCTACACCGAAAAAAGCGTACTTTTTTATAGCCACTATTTATTTATTATTATGACTGTTTTTTTCTGGTTGACGAAATAAATCTCACTCTCTCTCTCTCTCTGTAGGTATAGAGAATTTTTAAACGTGAAAAAACGTTAAATTAATGGTAATTTTCACGCGTAACGGCGCACATTAGAATGTTTACGTCTTTCTACGCGCATTCCCGTCGAATAAAGTAAAATTTTGGGCATTGAATGGGGCGTGTGCAGTAATATTTAGAGGTATGACGTCATCAAAATTGTCAATTGAAGCGTTGATCTTGAAAATTTAGTAAATACAATCGTGATTTTCAGAGTAACCATTCCTGATATAATAGTGGTTTTGGTGTTGTTCTGTTGGAAAATACCACAAGAAAACGTTGAAATAAGAATTAATTAATTAGGAATAATTATTAACTCTCTACTAGACACTAAATCTTGCAAGTTCAAGGTTTTTCAATAGAAATTTTGGAAATTTTGTCGTATAAGAGAGAGAGAGAGATTTATTGCCACGAAAACAAAATCAACACTAATATAAACATAGTACAACAAAGAAAATAATTCAGCAGTAATAACAGTGATTGATTATTGTTTTGTGCGGGTCGGTGTGCAGGACCGATTATGGTCATCTAGGGCAGGGGTTCTCAAACTTTTGGTGTTGCGGAGCCCTTGAAAAGTTAAATATTATTCGCGGAGCCCCAAGATAAATGTTAAAATTGTTACTTTCAGATTAATATTCTTGGGCAAGTTAAAAGTACTTTACTTATTTAAAATGATGAACCTTTTTTAATAGGATTAACACAAGCCATAAATGAAGCTGAATTTTATACTAAAGCTGTAAATTTGACACTCGACGAACATATTAATAAATTAGGGGTCGAATCTTTTCTCTTTTGACATTTTTGGAAGACTTAACGTGCGACACTCGACGAACATATTAATAAATTAGGGGTCGAATCTTTTCTCTTTTGACATTTTTGGAAGACTTAACTTATTAACTAACGTGCGCGATTTTATTTTGTTACAATCGCCGATTTTTTTCGTCAGCATGGCGTGTTTTAAACATCTTTACGCCGGTGTTTATTCTCCCTAAATCAAAAATTTCCCTCGGCATATACATGTATTGTTACACAATGACGACGTTAATTCCTTTTATGAGTTCAATGTGAAAAACATGTTACCATATAATAGTCATCTGCGACGAAATGTTAAAAATTATAATTAATAAAGAGATAAATCCGCAACTCAAATTTCTTGATTGAAAAACGGCATTCTAAAATATTAAAACTGAAACTTAAAATGGAAGATCACACGTTTGGCTTCAGCAGACTCACCTCAGATTGAAAACGCTTTTATAGACATTGTAAATCACAAAATTTGGTGTTATGTTAGGTTTTCGTCGTAGTAACTGCGAAATCGAAACACAGTCAATTGTGCGCGCGATGTACCTTTTTCCTAATCCTAATAACCTAGTAATCCTAATACTAATCTCGAATCAAACTTGAGTAACGATGATCACAATTACATTATAACGAAGAGACACGTTGAATGCTCGCATCGGTCATGAATTGAATATTTCACGCAACAGAAATCTCGATATCCGTTTTTTTAATGGCGAAGAATGTTGCGCGGAAATTTCCGATTCCAATTTTGAACCACCTCCCTCTTAAGAATCCTGGCTGCGCTCCTGCTTATAAATAATGTCATTTTTAATTCAGCCTCTTTACCATATTTCGAGGCTGTATTGTTGTCAGATTTTATCAACGCTGTTATTGCTTCTTTCAACAGTTACAAAATTTTGAGTCAGTATTTCGAAGAGTAATTAAATAGCTCGCGGAGCCCCTGGGTTTCTCTCGCGGAGCCCTGGTGCTCCGTACGGAGCACTTTGAGAACCTATGATCTAGGGCTTCTAGGCTCCCGACCCTTGTGTATATGGCAGACGGATGGGCCGGGATTCGGATCCGGACTCGGTTTCGAGTCGAATCCGGGCATTTTTTGGACTCGGATTCGATTTCGAGTCCACGTCGTTTTTACCGAGTCTATAATCAATTTTGTTTTTACTAATTTACGCCTATGTTTGTACTTTTACCCCTATAAATTTCACTAGCTACCTAAAATAGTTGAAATTCAAGGTTAGATATTTAACAATATCACTCGTGTGTATTTTAAACACTCCTAATAAAAACGACGACAGATATCCAGATAATATAACGCAAGGTAAAAACCATTGATAGCTTATAACAATGATGCGCCAGTCAGCTTCAAACTATCTATCCTTTTCTTTTTGGTATACATGTGGTACACAATAAAATATGTGTTAGCGCAATATTTTTGAGTTTTCTATTCACGTAAATAAATATGAAACATGCGCAGGATCAACCCAAGGGGGAATCTCATCAACACCTCTTTAAAATCGAGTTTATTACGTGCAATCCTTTCTCTAAAAAAAGGGAGTAAGGGAAAGCATGGAGCGTTTTAGAACGTTTACATGAACAACTAAATTGCAAGCATTGTATTGACGACGAGTGGCATTTATCTACCATTTGCACACGTGACATAGTAAATTTAAGGTTAGAAATATCTGGAATTATGAGAAAGCATTGTAATCAAAAGCTTTTTATTTTTCTATTTGACAAGTAAGAATTTCTAAATAGCGGCCCAGAATTGACGCAAGGTGGTGGGCTGGAAATCCAGTTCACAGCCAAGGCGCACATTGACCCACGTTTACGTTTGTATTATGGCAGCCAATAAAGAAGAAAAGATTTTTTTAAATTGATTCAACAGCTATCTGCGGAACCATTAGGCAAACAATATGAGCTACGACGTATGTTTGTGAGCGCGCGATGCTGTAGTATGGTCAAAAACGTGTTTTTCTATACTTTTACATTGTGACGTCACGGACTCGGAGGATTCGATTCGAGTCCTTGACCTATTACTCGGATTCGTCGAATCTCTGTAATTCCGGACTCGTCCCATCCCTAAATTATGGCTATGATGCATAAAAGCTTATCATGGCATAATATAGTACCATGGGTGAATGCAAATGATATTAAATAAAATATAAATAAGATGAAGGAATGAGTCGGCAATTTAGGATTTTGAGAGGTCATGTATTGGTTGAAGCCGGTCATGTCCAATGGAAGAATTAAAACAATCAAAGATTTAAAAAAAAAAAAAATTATTTTTATTGGACACAGACCGGGATCAAAAATGGAAAAATAGGACAAGGAAATAATATCATCACAGATTCAGTAATGGAGTGCATGACGTAAAAAGTATCATTTGACACATTAATTAGTTCACATGAAGAAGCAGGGGGAAAATAGTAACAATCACTGAATATTGTATAATTGCTACCAACATTCATAAGTATTTATACATACTTGAATAATGATTGGAATATTAATGTATGATCCACAATTGAATATACAGCTCACTTGTTACACAATGAGTTTGGCAATATTCACTTGAAAACAATTAAATATTCATTTTATCACTTTTACACGATGGATTTAAACAATATAGATAAGTGTTTAAATAAATTTACGAAATGGAAAAAAGAATGAACAGTGACAATCACTGAATATTGTATAGTGGCTGCCAACATTCATAAGGATTTATAAATACTTACATAAAAAAAATATATGTAAAAAAAATATTATATATTAAAGGAGTGTGTTTTAAACATATATTGCTGAATGGAACTCTAGCACACGCCCTTAAGAAGCCATGAGTGAAGCTTTAGGGCTTAATGGTTTATGAAAAAATAATTTAAAAGTAACCCCCGTAAAATGGCGTTGCTTTTTTGTAAATGAAATTTACATCAATTTTTTTTTCTTAACGCGGAGGGAGGGGGTACGACCCCTTCCCCCACTGGCTGCGCCTCTGGGCACCATTAAAAATCCGTTTTAAAATTTCTGTGATGCCCCTGGTGCACTAAGCACGAACCTATTTTGTTTAATTGATAATTCAGCTTCCATAACATCCATACTAAAATGGAAACTTCTCTTTGAGCTTTTGTTATGGGTCGTATTCTGACATTTTAAAAGTAATTTACTTTTTACGCTTCCGATAATAAAATATGGAGTTCATTCAAACGCTTAATCTATTGCAATATATTTGTAAATTATATAATGTGATGGGTCGCGTCAAAAATTAGTCGAAATCCTGTTTTTATGTGACGCCGGAAGGCCTTTGATACCAAAGTTTCGCTTATGTAGAAGATTTATGTACAGGATGGTCGCCAGAAAAAGAGGGTGTATTCCTAACTCTTAGCACGATGCGCCACACCGCCGAGCTATATTTGATTTTATTCTCGCGACAGTTAATTGTTTGACAAAAATGAGCTTTAGCAACTCCTATATATAAACATTACCGTTGAAAGATATATTATAGTCATCAAACATATTATTTTGTTGAAATTAACAGGCTCGCATAGCAGCGGTCATCTCACTAAACATTCTAATAACTCACACGCAGTGAACTCCTTGAACAAATACCCTTGGTTCAAGCCAAACCATTCCTGACATTATGAGAATTCTGCTCATTCAATAGATAAATTCAACGTAAAAAGTGGAAATTACTTTGCTGCCAAACTGAATGAAAATTTATTGCGCCCTGACACAGAACATACACATCATTTCCAAAACGAGTTCTTATAGAATTTAATATTTTCAGTTTCAAGATCAAGCTATAAATTTATTGAAATTTATCATACAGTTTACTTTTCATTTTAGATAGTGAGAGATATTTTGCTATTATCGGGTTAATCGTAACTTATAAATAGGTGTTATGTATTCGCCTGACCATCTGCACTGGTATAAATGCCAAATCGTGTATGATAAAATATTTTTTTTTTACATTCCAAAGGGGGGGGGGGGAATCCGACCCTCAACATCACTCTCCCGCTACGCCCCCACGTCATAATAATGACAAACTATTTAAAGACTTTTTTATTGACATAATAAACCCTCCTTCACATAGGTGACAAATAGGACAGGTTTGGTCTTGTTTTTGTCTCATTATCACTGCGTTTGTAATTGCAATGAGGATGAACAAACAATCACCAAGAAACCACGGACACTTCAAAAACAAGAATTTTATCGATCATCCATCATTGATAGGCTTGCAATCCAACACGGTGAGACGTATGCTCTTGTAACGTGACGGGATACAATTGTGTTACTGGGCAGCAAGACTCTTGAATCAAATTCAATTATATTAGCAACTGAGGTTAGAAATTAAAGTGTCAAGTCCGACCCCAAAATTGAGGGTGTAGGAAAACTTATTATTTTAATGAAAGCATCATATTTATTTCAAAATCAAAGATATTCATTAGATTTGTATGCTTTGTAAATTGTACTCAATTTTATCTTGCAAAATCCAAGCAAGCCATGTAGACAGCACAGAGTGAACGAACAACTCATCAAAAAAGGACAAAGCTATGGCAAGCCTTATTACAGCACCAACCCACGAATGAAGAAGTTTTTGATAGAAGGCCATTTCATTAAACGCGATTCGGTACATTATTTCTAGAAGTCCAACTAACAATATTTTAATTATGGTAAAAATGATAAATTGATAGAAATTGCTGTAGAAAGTAAATATCATGATTCCTATTTCAAGGAGGTTGCAAATGGGTGCAGCAGTTAGGAGATGAGGTCTCGTGACTAGCATTGATGCTCCCAGGATAATCCAAAACATGAGACTCATTCCATAGAAATACACAGCTACAAAGGCGCATGTGTAAATGCAGAATGCTTTTAACAATTCGTCCCGATCCTGTATCTGAAAAAACATAAAAAATTGTTTTGAAAGTAAATTTATTTCAGCAGTAGTTTTGAGTGTATATATATAGTGCAGTAGTTTCGGACCTTTTCGATGACGTAGAACCCCATTGAAACATTCTAGACTCTAGATGCTCTGGGAACCCCTTTGCAATAGTTTAATTGTTTTTTTTTATTATCTGAATCGCATAAACCACATATGAAAGCAAACCTGAAACTGGTGAAACAAAATGTTCTGTGAAGTTTATCAAGTTAAATAATAGGGGCACACTCGATGGGTATTTGATTATATAATCAAATCAATTATTTAATATAGAATATTGAATTTGAATGAAAACTTGCGGAATCCACGTAATGGCGATACCCTGATGTGGTGCAGCCGAATCCCGGTTGAAAACCACTGACATAGGGTTTCAACTTACCATGGAATGATCATGAGATCGGTTCAATTGTTGAATTAGGATAGTGTGTGCGGAGGAACGAAAAATCCCATACGATTTTGTTGAAGTGGTCGATAATTTGAATTTTCCAATCCTTCCATGGTTATTTCAATTTGGCCTTGGACTGGCTGAATTGGATCCGTCGGTATCGGCGCTGGACTTTTTACTGCCGAACACAAGGGACACCCCCTGGAACCAATAATAATCATCAGACAAAATGTTTTAAAGTAGTAGAATTGGAATTACTGATATAATATTTAATAAGCAATAATATAGAAAATGAAACACAATGCTTTGTGATTATAACTGGCATTATTTCATTTGAATATCTTTTTGACAAAAGTTATTATAATGCATTCTGAAATGGACATTTTGAATCCAAGACCACCCAGTCTTAATATTTCTAAGTTTTCACGGAGAGTAGTTCCGGTTTTTTCCACTTTTTGGGGGGTTACCTTTTTTCTTTCTGTAGTTTCTGGTCACATTCAGCACAAACTGTGTGACCACACAATAAAGCATCGTCGGAATGTAAACAGAAACACAAACTACATAATTTCGATTGTGGCAATTCATCAATGCTGTTCAAATCGTGTGGACAACGACCTGGACACCACCGAGCACTAGGCAAAATAAAATCACAATTAATACAAACATTATTATCGGTTAGGAAGGTATGGAGATGTAAAACGTGAACGTACTACATTAGCCAATTATCTATATACAAAATGTCCTAGATTTCTGGAACTTTTGTGAATACAATCATTCACAAATAGAAGTTCATGTGTTAAAAATTGAATGATTTACTTCATTTTCGTAGAGGTAATATAGAAATTTACGGGTTTCGATTTTTTGGGGGGTCACCCTGTGTGATCAAAATAAAATAATTTTATCAACGAATGTTTAAATATCAGCAAATGTAAAGAATAAAAACAAATTACTTACTCTTTTCCTGTTGGCTTCTTCGTGAGGCAATTGAGGCAGTATGATTTTGAACAACATGGCATAAATTTTGAAAATTTCAGGAATTGATTGCAACATGCACATCTTAAAGGTTTGGGAAGGTAACGAATATTTTCAAATAAACATGAGCATATATCTTTGTAACAGTTCCATTACATCTGCACCCGTAATTTGAACGCACGACAATTCACCTGCATACTATTGCACCTATGGAAATTTGCACCTACGGATATTTGACCCATACTAACCCTAACCCATGGGTTTTAGCATCCGCATATAGATTGAACCCGCGGATATACGGATGCAAATGTATGGGTTCAAATGTATGGTCACCCTTTGTAACACATATGCATTCAGACATTGAACATACCAATTTGTAAACAAATAGAAGTTCATGTGTTAAAAATTGAATGATTTACTCCATTTTCGTAGAGGTAATATAGAAATTTACGGGTTTCGATTTTTTGGGGGGTCACCCTGTGTGATCAAAATAAAATAATTTTATCAACGAATGTTTAAATATCAGCAAATGTAAAGAATAAAAACAAATTACTTACTCTTTTCCTGTTGGCTTCTTCGTGAGGCAATTGAGGCAGTATGATTTTGAACAACATGGCATAAATTTTGAAAACTTCAGGAATTGCGAATATTTTCAAATAAACATAAGCATATATCTTTGTAACAGTTCCATTACATTTGCACCCGTAATTTGAACGCACGACAATTCACCTGCATACTATTGCACCTATGGAAATTTGCACCTACGGATATTTGACCCATACTAACCCTAACCCATGGGTTTTAGCACCCGCATATAGATTGAACCCGCGGATATACGGATGCAAATGTATGGGTTCAAATGTACATGGGTGCAAATGTATGGTCACCCTTTGTAACACATATGCATTCAAACATTGGACATACCAATTTGGTAACATACCCAGTCCATGTGTCTAAGCCCGTGTTTGCCAGCCGAAAGAAATTCTTCCCCAGGAAGGAGTTTTTTTGTAGGGGGGAATTTTTCCTAGTAGTATTTATAGTTCTTTATTGTTTTTGAAACACGTAATGCAAACGTTATAAACTACTTGAACTGTACACAAGCGGTAGCGCGAGTAGTACTTCACACTAGCTAAGAATCAAATAAAGACTGAACAAATAAAGTAGTTTTTCTGCATAGTGAGAGAGAAATAACTAGTTCCAAAATAGGCGAATGGGAAAATTTAACGAAAAATGTTGGCTACCATTGGTGTAAGCATTTCTCTCTTATTACCTTATGTCTTCCCGTACTTTCTGGTCACATCTGGCACAAATTGAGTAATCACCCAATGTCGTATCGTCGGAATGAAAGTGGAGACACGAACTACATAACTTCGATTGTGGCAATTCATCGACGCTGTTGAAATCGCGTGGACAACGACCTGGGCAAGTCAACTGAGCGCTGCGCCAAATAAAATCATAATTGAAATTGATACAAACATTAATAATATCGGTTAGGAAGGAATGAAGATTTGAAACATGGGCGTACGCTAGTCAATTATCGGTACTCCCGTAGTATGTGTACCAGGTTAAGGTTAGGTCATAATTTTATTCCGAGTTTTCTTATTTTAGTTCTATTACGAGTTCAGGGACTGTCTGTGTTAGCCAAGTGAATATCCCCCTGCTCATAGGTTTCAGACCTTTCACACAACTCGATGTAAAGTAGGCGAACAAAATTAGTTACCTCCATATGGGTACACAAACTTCTGGAGCGTCCAATTATCTACACAAAATGTCCTAGATTTCTAAAACTTTTGGGTACAATTATACACAAATAAAAGTGAATGATTTGTTACATTTTCGTAGAAGTAATAAAGAAATTTACGGGTTTCGATTTTTCTGGGGTCACCCTATTTGAATTAAAAATTATCTGCGAATCTTCAAATATCAGCAACTGTAAAAAATATGACACAGACTATAAAAAAAAAACACTTACTCGTTCTCTGTTGATTTCCTCGTGATGCAATCGACGCAGTACAGTTTTGAACAACATGGCATAATTTTTGAACATTTCAGGAATTGATTGCAACATCCACATCTTAAAGGTTTGGGAAGGTAACGAATATTTTCAAATAAACATATTTGTCTGCAGATATGACATTTCACAGCTCTGTGAAGCAAATGAAATGTGAACAATAATGAGACCTGAATTTAATTTAAGTTTTGGGGCTATACGTCAAACTATTTCAAAACACAAACAAATAGCAAACAATTATTTGCAGTAAAACGCTGAAACCCGTCAACAAATTATTTTTTCCATTGTCTGGCATACTGTCGTTCTATGTAGGCTACTGATTTCGGGTTGAAAATGTTTGCTTTTGTTTTAGTTCACTAATGTTAAAAGACAATGTTAAGTCAATGTTTATAAACATGCCTGAACGATGGGTAATCCCGAATCTATAAATCTATCCTACTTCTGTACTTACAAACCACAGGTGTTCTAATAATACGTTTTTCATCGCACGTCCCTGCACAACACCCTGCGTGGGTTCGCAGGTTCGAAATATTTAGAAAAAATTACCTATTGTAATTGATTCAATTGTATAATATTGTAAATATTGTATTATATGTTAGTATATGATTTTTAAATTCAAAATAATCAAAGGCGCAAAAGACCACTGAAGTTATAAGCGCCATAAAACATATAACAACAACAACAAGGTTCGAATCCCGTGGGAAATAATTATGTTCGAGAGGAATCCTCACCGTCGTAGGGTGGTTCATATAATCGCAAGTCAGTTACGACTTTCTCCACCATCAAGGCCAAGCATCTGAAACAAATTACTGGCTAAATTCCCATGCCCGAAATGGCGTATACGTCGCATTATTAAGCCGTCCTATCGGCTTTCCTCTCTCATAGGAAAAAGATCAAAATTCTGTTCTCTATCTCATTATGTTTCTGGCATCACTCACCTTCCTTCACCACGTTGTGCCATGCTGAGTATACAATTCATACAAGCAACATGCCAGCATGGTAACATTCTTAAATCTTCTTTGTTTTCAAGACAAATAGGACAGGTTTGGTCTTGTATTTTTTCCATTATTATTGCGCTTGTATTCCCTCAAATCGCCAATGCCGCCTCTTTAGCCTACCCAGTTTCAACTCTAGGTCTACCACAGAGGGATAATAGAGCGGTATACCCCGGGCTGAAGCCTATAGCAGAATGGTTTCTGATGATATTAAAAGTAATTAACAACACCCATTCGTCCTGGTAGCAGTCTACTTTCAATAATCGAACACATATTCGCTCTGATAGTAGTCTACCATGTCAGTCTATTTACAATAATCGAACATCAAACAGAACTATACAAATCTTCTACAAAAGCGAAACTTTGGTATCACAAATATCAATTGCTAATTTTTACGCTTCAGGCGTTTCATAAAATTAGCAGTAAGGCTGTAATTTGGCGCGGACGACTTTTGCATCTGAAGTATAAGAATAAAATGTAATTAATTTGCAAATAGATTTGAGCGTTTAACGGTTTTCGTTCGTTTCAAAAATATATTTAAGTAGCTGTTATCATCTTTCTATAACTTCTAAAAACCTTACACAACAGTCACTTTCTACGAATACCTGTTACAGCTAAACTATCACTCATACATAATAAATATATTCTATTGTTAAAGGCGTTAAAAGCAGACCGAATACGGTAATATATAATTGTCCAGTGCAGTAAAAATAATTTCGGAATAGATTAAGTTATAGCAGGCCATGATTGGCATCATCATAATAAATGTATTTTGTCTATTTCTCACATTCAAACATGCAAAATATTGATCAATGACGTAGACAGCTCGCGCTACAAATGAACAATTTTTGCGTTCAACATATAATCCATTGGCGAAACATTTTGAAACCAGTAACTATGCCATAGTTAAAAAACTATTGAATATCTCACGGTAAGTCCAGAAGTGTTTATGGGTAACTTGTCTTCAGTGTTGGTAAATTGAATGTGAGAAATAGACAAAATAAATCTGAGAATGATGCCAATTATGGTGAGATAGATTTGTGTTAAGGTTATCTATGATGTACCTAAAATGCCAGGGACATTCATACGTTTTAGAATCAGTCCCTAAAGCTAAGCACTAAAGACTTTGGTGTCGTATATATGAAAAATAGTAATAATGAAATCGGCGGTATTTTTTGGGGGGGGGGGGGGGGGGGGGGGGGGTAGTTCTCATACCTACAAACATTTATAGAGAGGTTTAAAATGATATTTGAGAACGAAAAATAAGTAAACATTTCTTTTAACAGAGTCAATATTGAGTTCTGTGTCGTCTGACAAACTCGAATTGTTTCATTAAACATTTCCAGACAATAATGTAAACAGTATCAAAGCAAAACTTTATATCAGCATATTTTATCTACGTTTTCGAATGAACTAATTTCCAAATAATTGATAATGTCCACGACACTTACCCCGGTTCGTGGGAAGGATCATTCCAGGGTAAGTTGAAACCCTACATCAGGGTTTTTCAACAGTGGGTGCACCACATCAGGGTATCGCCATTTCAGGGGTTCCTCAAGTTTCCATTCAAATTTGAGATTCTATTCAAACACTGGCAAACTACTGCCCGCGGGCAAAATCCGGACCGCTGGATAGTTAAATTTGGCTCGGCTGATGCTGCCGCAACCGAACTAAAACCGAATTTGGATGTTGAGCTAAAAGTAGCTTGAGGAATTTGTTGATGTTGCGATTAAATTTAGTTTTGGCACAAAACTTATTGTTTTATACTTTCGTTTTTGTAACATCGAAAATATTGTTCATAAAATGTAACTTTTTACGTCACAATTACATGGCCCGCCAGTCTAAGTAAGCAAAAATTATGGCCCTTGGTCTAAAAACCTTGCCCACCTCTGTATTAATATGATATGTATACTGTTTAACTATATATAATCAAATATTCAAGTGTTCCACTATAGTTTAACTTTATACACTTGAGAGAACATTTTTTTCACCAGTTTCAAGTTTGCTTCCATATGTAGTTTATGCGATTTAGACAATAAAAAACAATTAAACTATTGCACAGGGGTTCCCAGAGCCTCTAGAAAAGGGGTGCACAACACTAAATTTAGCACGCCATACTCTCAAACGTGGCACGCGAACGGATTCGTGAGAAAAAAATTATTTATGATATGCATTAAAATATCACGTTAATATCAAAATCAGCAGTTTTTCGGGACATTAAATTGTTTCAATAAATATTATTAGTTATTATATATTATTATTAAAATTTGTTTGATGTGTGTTTTACGAGAGTTAATTTGCAGTACCGACGATTGTGCATGGCATGCAAGATTATTTTTAAAAATTTGGCACGTGTCCTCATTTGAGTTTTGCACCCCTGCTCTGGAATGTTTCAATGAGGGTCTACTTCACCGAAAAAGTTTAAAACTACTTTTAAAATAAATTTACTTTCAAAACAATTTTTTATGTTTTTGCAGATACAGGTTCGAGACGAATTATTGAAAGCATTCTTCATTTTCGCATGCGTTTTTGTAGCTGTGTATTTCTATGGAATGAGGTCTCATGTTTTGGATTATCCTGAGAGCATCAATGCTAATCACGAAACCTCATCTTGTAACAGCTGCACTCATTTGCGACCTCTTTGAAATAGGAATCATGATAACTATTCTCTACAGCAATTTCTATCAATTTATCATTTTTTCCATAGTTAAAATAATGTTAGTTGGACTTTTTGAAACAATGTATCGAATCGCGTTCAATGGATTGATCTTCTATCGAAAACTTCATCATTTGTGGGTTAGTGCTACAATAAGTCCGCTATAGCTTTTTCTATTTTTGATGAGTTGTTCGTTCACTATGTGATGTATAAACGACTTGTTTGGTTTTTGCAAGATAAAATTGAGGACCGAAAACGTGCGAATATACGAATCTAATGAATAACTTCCATTATAAAATTATTATGACGCTCTATTTTGAAAAATTGTATAAATTTGTAATTTTTTACGAATTTATTCCAATATCTTCACAGTTTAATATAATATTATATAAAAATAAAAAAGTCTTCGAATAATTTGTCTTTATTATGACGCAATGATTTCCCTACACCCTCAAAGTTGAGGTCGGACACTTCAATTCCTAGCCTCAATTGCTAATATAATTGTATTTGATTCAAGAGTCTTGCTGCACATTAACACAATTGTATTTCGTCATGTTACAAGAGCATACGTCTCACCGTGTTGGATTGCAAGCCTATCAGTGATAGCTGATCGATAAAATTCGTGTTTTTGAGGTGTCCGTGGTTCACGAGTGATTCTTTGTTCATCTTTATTGCAATATTACACAATGCTTTAATGAAACACTGGTATCCGCTTTCTTGTATAATTTGGGCTCAGATCCTGTCTTGAAAACTTGGTGGTTCGTGGAGACCTCTGACATCCACAGGGGTCCGTGGCGGTATAAAGTTAGGGAACCACTTGTCTAACGTCTAAAAACGAGAACAGGTTCGCTAATGTCACGACATTCCAATGACGGGTTTGCGCGAATCCAAATACTGGCTATGGGTGATATATATATGCTATATTTATGTTTGTTAGCTGTTTGTTACACAAAAACGTGGTTCGCCACATGGTTAAACCATCTTATCACTTTCCTCTCCCCGGGATAAATATGTAAATCCTATCCTATTTACTAATTCAGTATTCAAATCGGCAATTTTTATAAAATTATTAGTTATTAGGTCGCGTAGCAGCGATCATCTCACCAAACCACGGATTCCCAAACCGCGGCCCGCGGGCTAAATCCGGCCCGCGTAACGATTAAAATGGCCCGCCTAGCTCAGGTAATTTTGGCTCGCGGCTAATAAAGTCTAGAAACCCCTGCACTAAACATTCTAACAATCCACACACAGTGAATTTCTTGAACAAATACCCTTGGTTCAAGCCAAACCATTCCTAACATTATGAGAATTCTGCCTTCATTATGAAAATATAGATAAATTCGTCCCAAAAAGTGGGAATCACTTTATTGTCAAACTTATTAGTATATATTTACGGTCAAACTGAATAAAATCGATTGCGCCCTGACACAGAACATACACATCATTTTCAAAACGAGTTCTGATGGAATTTAGTTTTTTTAGTTTCAAGATCAATCGTGAAATTTATTTGACGTCATCATACAGTTTACTTTTCATTTTAGATAATGAGATTTATTTTTTGCTGTTATCGGTCTAATCGTAACTTATATTAATATAATATAAAGGTGTTATGTATTCATCTGACCACATGCACTGGTATTTATTCCAAAACGCGGGTTTTCAAAAGTCTTAAGGGACTAAAAAACGTTTCATGCTACGAAAATTGCCCTGTATATGGCACAGAAAATTGCTTTTATTTTACATTTTAAAAATGGGAGACCCTCAAAACCACCTCCTCTCTACGCCCCTAAGTCATAATGAAGAAATATTTAAAGACTTTTTTATTTACAAAATGAACTGTAAATTTATTGGAACAAAGCCGTAAAATAATTACAATTTTATACGATTTTTTAGAGATACCTATTCTGTTAATGAAAGCATTATAAATATTTTAAAATGAAAGATATCCATTAGATTGGCATAGCAAGTTCATTAGTCAACATAACAAACAAGCAACCGAGACACTACCCAGTGAACGAACACCTTATCAAAAAAGGCCCAAATTACGACAAGCCTTATTGCAGCACAAATGAGTTCTTCATAGAAATATGATACATTAAACGCTCTTCGATTTTGTATTACCAACAGTGCGTAAGTTATCGCTGTTTCAAATATTGAAAAAATCATAAATTCATTGAGATTGTCGGGGAGAATCATTGATATAATTCCATTTTCAAGCATACTACAAATCAATGCAGCAGGTGTAAGATGAGGTTTTAACAGGCGCGTGATTAGCGTTGATGCTCCCAGAATAATCCAAATAACAAGATGCATTCTATAGAAATACCATATTACGAAGACGCACATGAAAATGCAGAATATTTTCCGTGAAGACTTTATCTGCAACAAAGTGAAAAAAATATTTTAAAATGTTATTTAATTCATCAGTAGATTCAGCTATATAGGGGCTTCAATTTCTTATTAATGGCCCCATCTTTAAACACGGTTACGTCCAGTGGTGGGTACTGCCGACACCGGAACATATTTTGTGTATCAGGTTTAGGGTTAGGCCATAATTTTATTTCATTTTTCTATTTTTTCACTTCTATTATGAGTTTGGGGCCTAGCCAATTGACTTACGTAGTACTTGTACCTGAAATCATGCCCTAGCCCTAACTTGGTACTCATACTACGTTCCGTGTCCACCATCTTGGCTCACATACTTCGGGATAGCATTAATGTAATTAAGCAACCGGTTCTTAGAATGTTAGGATTATCTGCGAAACCGTTCTTTTTTTGTTTTAGACGCCAGACGACCACGGCAAAAGGGTTGCGTGCACCGCAGCTGACACCGCAATGTTGTCAAAAATGATGTATCAGATTTATGTAAAGCGTGCCATGTTAATGCAACGTACGCAGTGCCGTACATATATATGTATGTAGTGAAATAAGTGAACCCGTTGTTAGGTGAGTTCGACGCAACCCGTTAAGAACCCGTTAAGAACCCGCAACCCGTTAAGAACCCGTTCTTAAAATTTTGAATCCCGCCACTGGCTGAGTCTCGTGGTTCCAAAGTACATTAATCTTGAAAATATCAATTATGCATAGATATTATATTCGATAACATTGATCAAATATTCTAATAAATGTTTCGCATTGATACTGTTGACAGTATTGTCTGAATATTTCGTTTGGATTACTCTTGTCGTTTTTAATCAAATGGTAGATCATACCAATGATACAATAATCCGTGCTAAAATTTCCAATTCCTTCATGATTATTTCAACTTGACTTCGAACTGACTGAATTGGATCCGTCGGCTCTAGTAGATTTTCTATTGCCGAACACAAGAGACACCTGAAACCAATAATAAACATCAGGCGAAATGTTGTTGTAAGGTAGGCCTAGTGGAGAAATGGAATTATTAAAATAATATGTTATAAAATAATAATATGTAAAATGAAAACACGGCACATTGTGCTTATATTTTTCATATTCATGTTTTCATTATATGTTTTCATTTGAATATCTTTGTTTCAAAAGTCACATACAGGCCTATATTTATGTATTCAGATATGAACATACCGAATTGGTATCATCACCGTGTCCACGTGGGTTATCCAGCCGAAAGGGGTGCTTCTGGGGGGATTTTCTCTAGTAGTACTATTATCCTATAATTCTTTATTGTTATTGCAATACTTGTTCATGCTTACATTAAAAACTACTTGAACTGTCTATCCCACGTCTAATTACCCTACGTGGGTTCGCAGGTTTGAATCCCGTGGGTACTAATTATGTGCAATTAGATTGCTGAAATCCTCACCGTCGTAGGGTGGTTCACATAATCACAAATCGGTTACAACTTCCTCCACCAAGGACAAGCATCTGGAACAAATAACTGGCTACCTGATCCCATGCCCAAAAAGGACTGGAAATCGGACGAGAGGGCGTATACGTCACATTATTACGCGATCTTTTCGACTTTCCTCTCACACGAGAAAAAGATGAATATTCTGTTCTCCATCTTATTATGTTTTTGACATCACTCACCCTTCTTTTCCACGCAGTGTCATGCGGATTATACAATCCCTACAAGTAACATGCCCGCATGGCAGTATTCTTAGATCTTCTCCGTATTCAAGACAAATAGGACAGGTTTCGTCTTGCATTTGTTCCATTATTATTGCGTTTGTATTCCCTCAAATCACAAAATGTAGGCTACACCTCGTTTCGTCAATAGCGCAGTTATGTTGAACACAACCTATCTGACTGAAATTGCTTGGTAAATCCTCAACCAAAATCTAACTTTCTAACACGATATAAATTGACTTAAAACGGATTTCGGTGCTCCTTTAGCATGAGATCTACCGCCCCATTTAGCCTACCCAGGTGCAATCATAGATCTACCGCGGAGGGATAATACAGCGGTAGACCTGAGACTACAGTGCGTGAGGTAGACCTCACGCTAAACTTCAGTAGACCTAACGATAAGTAGCACCCAGATTTCTTCCGAAGAATGGCGGAATGGTTTCAAATAATATAAAATATCCTCTGTATTTTGTTTGTTCTTTTGTGTTTTGTTTCTATCAGAGTGACCAAATAGGATTGATTGATTGAAAATATATATAATTCTCCTGTACTATGCGAACCAAGATAGCGGACATCGGAACATAGTACGTGTACCAGGTTAGGGTCAGGCCATAATTTTATTCCAATTTTCCTTATTTTAGTTCTATTATGAGTTCGGGTACTGGCTAAATGACTCCCGTAGTAATTGTTCCCGAAATTATGGCCTAACCGTAACCCGGTACACATATAACGTACCGGTGTCCGCCATCTCGGTTCGCATACTACAGTAGTACCTAGTATTATAAGTAATTGACAACACACATCCGCATTGATAGTAGTCTACCATAACAGTCTATTTTCAATAATCGAACATCAAACAGAACTATACAAATCTTCTACAAAAGCGAAACTTTGATATCACAAATTTCACATTTCAAAATGAATTTACTTTTTACTTTTTATTCACACGCTTAATCTATTGCAATCAATTTGCAAATTATATAATGTAATGGGTCGCGCCAAAAATTACAGTCGAAAGCCTGTTTTTATGTAACGCCGAAAGGCAAATAAGGAATAACTCCATCAAATCAGTAATGCCTGATAATATTTCATGACGATTGGTATTTGTGATACCAAAGTTTCGCTTACGTGGAAGATTTTTATACAGGGTGGTCGCCAGAAAACCAGAAAATTTGTCAAACAGCTATTTATTTGTACAAAGAATACATTTAATTTTATAGGCATATATTATATTACATTCATATAGATCAGGGGTGCACAACCTTTTTGCTAATGGCGGCCACATTGCATTTATTTGTATTCAAATACGGCCTCCTTCAAATACGCTTTTGGCTCGTGAACTTTTGGCTTTTATGACGTCATAACCACGTATTTGACCCATGCGAGGTGCAGTCTGCCCAATTATGTAGGACTACTTGGAAGTTTAATATTCGCATTTTAAACGGATTTTTATTTTCGGTGGACCTATTCTTGAGCAGATATGTTGCAGCAAGTTGCATAATGGTTGCACAATTTTGAAAAAAATCGAAAGTCGGGGCGGGGCGATCGCCCCCATTTACTTGTCCCATTTTCTTGTTCACTATCAGGCTTGTCATACGAATCAGAGTCAGAATCAAATAAAACTGCTAGAATTTCCTCGGCTGTAAGTTGTGGATGCCTTGTTAGGCTAGTTTGCTACGTTGCTAGGCTGCCGAACCGCGTGATCAATCCCACAATCTGAACCGTGAAGGGAAATCCCCAACAGATTGTGACGCGTTGTGTCGTCTGACTTTTTTGCAGTGCTTCTGTTTGGCTTCAATATACGCCAGCTTGGCCGCGAAATTCTATACTTTTGAACTTTTTTTTTTGTTTATAGGATTTTGTATGTGAACGGCCGCATTATTTTCTCACGACGGCCGCATTATTTTCTCACGAAGGCCGCAGGTTGTGCACCGTTAATATAGATGCCTAAAATGTCGTCCATGTACTTCATAGTAGTGTTTTAACCTAGAAGTCCAAGGAATGAGTGAGTAAGCACGCATTTTATTCGTGATCACACCTGAGTTCAATTTTTCTTTTTTTCTGGCGACTACCCTGTAGTATTGTTTGATGATTAATTATTGAAAATACACTGTTATGGTAGACTACTATCAGGACGTATGTACGTTGTTAATCACTTGTAATATTATCAGAAACCATTCTGCTATTTTTCGGAAGAAATCTGGGTGCTACTTGAGCGTGGGGAATACCGCGGTTGAGCTAAGATTGCACCCGGGTAGACTACATAGAGAGGTATATCTCATGGTTAATGAGCACCGAAATCCGTTTCAAGTCAATTTATTTCGTGTTAAAATTTTCTACCATGCAATTTACGAGGATTTGTTCAACAAAAAAAAATTTGAGAATGCTACCATGCTGGCATGTTGCTTGTATGAATTGTATACTCAGCATGACACAACGTGATGAAGGAAGGTGAGTGATGCAATATAATTATCGCGCATATTTTGAACACCCTTGATTTGTGAGTAGAATTATTGACTTCCCGCTATTCGTCATTCAATCATTGACCTTTCACATTTTAGGGGAACACTGTAAACGTTCCCATTGCTAGCTTTGATTTGGAACCACCTGTATTGCCTTTGTCATATACCAGGAATGTGAACCCACTGGATACAAAGTGAACCACCATGTTTTTTCGGTGACTCGCCTAGTCACAAATTAAGGCAAAAAATATATTAACATCGGTGATACAATTGATACTATAACACTTATGAATAAGTGAAATGGTGTAGTATACTGTGCAAAGGCACATTTATCGTTGATTTATAGTGTTCCTCAACTTATGGTTAGCGAGTCATGCATTCAGAGTTTAATTGTCAATATTTGTTTGCTACCCGTTCCTGCTTTTAAACGGGTTTAGGTTAAGTCGTGAAGCTCAAATTAGATTCAGGTGTCAATATAGTTCACATTTTATTTTCTTCGCAGAGCCGTGAAATGTCACGAGTGCAGACAAATATGTTTATTTGAAAATATTCGTTACCTTCCCAAACCTTTAAGATGTGGATGTTGCAATCAATTCCGGAAATGTTCAAAAATTATGCCATGTTGTTCAAAACTATTCTGCATCGTTTGCATCACAAAGAAATCAACAAATACGGAGTAAGTGTTACATTATAGTTTGTGCCTTTTTTCACAGGTGGTAATTGTTGAAATTACTTCATGTTGATCCTATATATGACTGACTAACGTACGTACGTCCACGTTTCAAATCTTTATTCCTTCCTAACCGATATTAACTTTTGTATTAATTGTAATTTTATTTTGCGCAGTGCACGGTTGACTTGACCAGGTCGTTGTCCACAGGATTTGAACAGCATTGATGAATTGCCTCAATCGAAGTTACGTAGTTTGTGTTTCCGTTTACATTCCGACGATGCTTTATTGTGTGGTCACACAGTTTGTGCTGAATGTGACCAGAAACTACAGAAAGAAAAAAGGTAATAAAGGGATGATTGCTCAGACAAAACTAGAACTTTACAACATTTGGTCTGATGATTATTTTTGCTTTCAGGGGGTGTCCCTTGTGTTCGGCAGTGAAAAACCCATCACCAACGCCGACAAATCCGATTCAGCCAGTTCAAGGCCAAGTTGGAATAACCATGGAAGGATTGAATAATTTAAATTATCGATCACAACAACAAAATTACGGAACAAATCTTTGGCGAGCTTTGAGACGATTCCGGGAATCGGATCTATCTCGAAACATAAGAAACGAAGAAAGGATGCAAGAAAGCGAGGATGAGCGGACAATGGTATTGTATGCAATATAAAATAGATGGCGCCACTCCAGTATGCGTTCAATCTCATAAAACATTTTCATGGAATTATTTAACATGGAACTAAAATTACTGAGATTACATACCAATGTGACATCAAATAGATTTGTTCTACATTGTGGGACTAAGACACGGATTATCGTATCAGTGATATGACTTACCATTCAAAATTATTAAAAACGATTAAAATATTTTCGAACAATACGGTAAACAGTATCAATGCAAAACCTCTATCAAAAGATAGTATTTACGTATTTGCTGCGGTCGTCTGGCATCTAAAACAAGAAAGGGGTGCGCATTAGAGGAGCGGGTTTGTTGAATCCTACCATTTGACTCAGATCGGTTTAAACATAGGGTCATCTATGAGAAGTTGAAAACTCTTTACACGTAATACTACTGCTGAAATAAACAAGCTTCCACAACATGTTTTACTCTTTACAGAAAAAGATTCGAGACGATTTACCAAAACTACCCTGCATTTTCACATGCGTTTTTGTAGCTGGGTATTTCTATGGAATGAGTCTCATGTTTTGGATTATCCTGGGAGCATCAATGCTAATCACGAGACCTCATCTTGAAAGTGCTGTAGTCATTTGCCGAATCGTTGAAATAGGAATCTTAGCAATGACTCTCTACCGCAATTTCTATCAAGTTATCAGTTATTTTATATTTAACATAACGCTTGATAAACTGCTTGAAAAAGTGCACGCAATCGCGGTAAACGGATTAGGTTTCTATGGACAACTTCTTCATGAGTTGGTTGGTGCTGCATTAAGGCTTGCCGTAGTTTGGGCCTTTTTTATTAAGTTTCTCATTCACGCCGTGTTGATTACATGGCTTGTTCTGTTTCTGAATGATCAACTTGCGGATCGAAAACGTGGGAATATACAAATCTAATGGATATATTCCATTATAAAATAATTATAACGCTTTCATTAAAAGAATTAGTTTTTCTAAAAAATTGTATAAATTTGTATTTTTTTACGGCTTTGTTTCAATAACTTCACAGTTTATTATGTAAATAAAAAAGTCTTTTAATAATTAGTCTTTATTATGACGCAATGATTTCCCTACACCCTCAATTTTGAGGTCACACTTGACATTTCAATTCCTAACCTCATTTGATAATATAATTGTATTTGATTTAAGAGTTTTGCTGCGCTCTAACACAATTGTATTTCGTCATGTAGTATATTTCATGTAGATTTTATCTACCAGACAAGTTACGATTAACGTTAGTATTTACATGAAGCATAAAAGGCAAGGTTATTCACATAAAATTAATCGAGTCAATAATTACCGATTACTGGACACATCGCGTCAATCGTGCTGAATCAAATGATTGGATTGCACAACGGAATCACGGATGAAAACACCAGTTACACGTACTTTTCGCTTAGGTTAAAATTGAGTGTTATATTTGTGTTTTTTGTTTTGTTTATCTATTTGTTTCCTGTAACACCATTGCTCTAATTTTAAATGGTATTATTGTGCGCCAATATTGCATGAATTTCATATCTGTTCAATGAACTATTTGGTATATATAATTCGAATCACCAATACAAAGAACAAAAAAGTAACATTTCAAATTTTCCGAGCGAATATGATATATTAATTTGAATATGAAATATCATTAGTTGAATTCTATCAGATTTCAACGGATACGTAGTAACTATATTTCGGAAGATTTGTTTCGAGGCAAAACAAAAAAAGCGAAACTTTGGTATCACAAATACTAATCGCCAAGATTTACCAGGCATTGCTAATTTTTAGGCTTCAGGCGTTTCAAAAAAATAGGAGTAAGGCTGTAATTTAGCGAGGGTGCCTTTTGCATCTGATGCCTAGGAATAAAATATAATTAATTTGAAGATAGATTTAAGCGTTTAGCGGTTTTCGTTCGTTTCAAAAACATATTTAAGTAGCTGGAAACTTCTCCTACAACTATTGTTATGGACGGTATTCAATCTGGCTGTTTAAAAGTTGTCTACTTTTTACGCCTTCGGCAATAAAATGTGGAGCATTTTTATTATAACACTTATATCTATTGCAATCTATTTGCAAATTATATAATGTAATGTGTCGCGCCAAATTAGTCGAAATCCTGTTTTATGTATCGTCGGATTGCTAATAACGACTATATCAAATCAGTAATGCTCGATAAAATTCTTGGTAGTTGGTATTGCGCCTGTAATACCAAAGATTCGCTGATGTAGAAGCATTGTACAGGGTCGCCAGAAAAACAGAAAATTTTTGAAACAGCTATTTATTTTTACAAAGAATAACTTTTACAAAGTTTTTTAAAGGCATATTATGTTATTATACATTCATATAGATGATGCTCAAAATTTAGTCCGTGTACTTCAGAGCAGTGTCTTAACATAGAAGTCTAAGAAATGAGTAAGCACGCATTTTATTCGTGATCACATCTGTACTTTCAATTTTTTTTTTCTAGCGACCATCCTGTAGTATTGTTTGATGTTTAAATATTAAAAATAGACTGTTATGGATGGTAAACTACTATCAGGGCGAATGTGTGTTGTTGTTTACTTGTAATATTAGCTGAAACCATTCTGCTATTCTTCGGTAGAAATCTGGGTGCTGTTTTAGCGTGAGGACTGCCGCAGTATTATTTTTCCGCGGTGGATCTAATTTTGCACATGGGTAGACTACACGGGGCTGCATGCTAAAGGAGCACCGTAATCCGTTTTAAGTCAATTTATTTCGTATTAAAAAGTTTTATTTTGACTGAGGATTTACCATGCAATTTATGTTAGGTAGGTTTTGTTCAATTTAATTGCGTTTCTAACAAAACAAGGTGTAGCCTACATCTTTGCATTTGAGGGCATACAGAGGCAATAAAAATGGAACAAATACAAAACGAAACCTGTCCTATTTGCCTTGAAAACAAAAAAGATTTAAGAATGCTACCATGCTGGCATGTTGCTTGTATGAATTGTATACTCAGCATGACACAACGTGGCGAAGGAAGGTGAGTGATGTTATATAATTATCGCGCATATTTGTAAGTAGTTTTATTAACATACCGCTATTCGTCATTCAATCATTGACTTCTTACATTTTGGTGGAACGCTGTGAACATTCCCATTGTTAGCTTTGATTTGAAACTACATGTATTGCCTTTGTCATATACCAGGGATTGCGAATCCGCTGGGAACAATCTAAACCACCATGTTATTCTCGGCGACTCGCCAAGTCACGAATTAATGCAAAAATATATTATAATTGATATTGGTTATATAATTGATAATAAAACACTTATGAATGAGTGAACTGGTATAGCATACCGCGCAAAGGCACATTTATTGTTGATTTGGTGTTTGAGAACCTATGGTTAGCGACCCAAAGTTAAAAATCATTTTGGTCGCTTTTTTTTTCAACAAAAGATTATAAATTTTTTTTCTGGTAAATTTCGCTGTTCATTCTATATTTGGTATAGGAATGTTGCTCAATATTAATTGTATATGGGAGGAGTATCACAGCGTGAAAGCTTGGTAACATCTATTTTGATTTTAAGTAAAACCACGCCACTACATGCCGTTTAGTATCAACGCATATCCAAGGGTTGCGAGATTTTACAATTATTTTTTTAATGTGGTCGCTTGAAAGAAGGTTTGGAACTCCTGATCTTCTTTTTTTTAAATAAAAATATAATTTCCGCCATTCGTGTCATATACGATCTTACAATAAGCCGGCACATTTCACAAACACAGGGAATGAATAAGAAAAAAGTATGAATGAGTACAAAAAGTAAGGGGGTAGATTCATAAATTCAGAGTTTGATTGTCAATATTTGTTTGCTACTCGTTCCTGCTTTTAAGCGGGTTTAGGTTAAGTCGTGAAGCTCAAATTCGATTCAGGTGTCAAATGTCAATATCGATTACATCTTATTTTCTTCGCAGAGCCGTGAAATGCCACGAGTGCAGACAAATATGTTTATTTGAAAATATTCGTTACCTTCCCAAACCTTTAAGATGTGGATGTTGCAATCAATTCCTGAAATGTTCAAAATTGATGCCATGTTGTTCAAAACCATACTGCATGGATTGCATCACAACGCAATCAACAAATACGGAGTAAGTGTTACATTATAGTTTGTGCCTTTTTTCACAGGTGGTAATAGTTGAAATTACTTCATGTTGATCCTATATATAACTGACTAACGTACGTACGTCCACGTTTCAAATCTTTATTCCTTCCTAACCGATATTAACTTTTGTATTAATTGTGATTTTATTTTGCGCAGTGCACGGTTGACTTGTCCAGGTCGTTGTCCACAGGATTTGAACAGCATTGATGAATTGCCACAATCGAAATTATGTAGTTTGTGTTTTCGTTTACATTCCGACGATGCTTTATTGTGTGGTCACACAGTTTGTGCTGAATGTGACCAGAAACTACAGAAAGAAAAAAGGTAATATAAGGATGCTTGCTCAGACCAAACTAGAACTTTACAACATTTGGTCTGATGATTTATTTTGCTTTCAGGGGGTGTCCCTTGTGTTCGGCAGTGAAAAATCCAGCACCAACGCCGACAAATCCGATTCAGTCAGTTCAAGGCCAAGTTGTAATAACCATGGAAGGATTGGATAATTTAAATTATCGATCACAACAACAAAATCACGGAACAAATCTTCGGCGAGCTTTGAGACGATTCCAGGAATTGGACCTATCTCGAAACATAAGAAACGAAGAAAGGATGCAAGAAAGCGAGGATGAGCGGACAATGGTATTGTATGCAATATAAAATAGATGGCGCCAGGTTGGGTTCAATCTCATAAAACATTTTCATGGAATTATTTAACATGGAATTAAAACTACTGAGATTACATACCAATGTGACATCAAATAGATTTGTTCTACATTGTGGGACTAAGACACGGATTATCGTATTAGTGATATGACTTACCATTCAAATTTATTAAAAACGATTAAAATATTTTCGAACAATACGGTAAACAGTATCAATGCAAAATCTCTATCAAAAGATAGTATTTAGGTATTTGCTGCGGTCGTCTGGCATCTAAAACAAGAAAGGGGTGCGGCATTTTAGGAGTGGGTTTGTTGAATCCCACCATTTGACTCAGCTCGGTTTAAACATATGGTCATCTATGAGAAGTTGAAAACTTATTACACGTAATACTACTGCTGAAATAAACAAGCTTCCACAACATGTTTTACTCTTTACAGAAAAAGTTTCGAGACGATTTACCAAAACTACCCTGCATTTTCACATGCGTTTTTGTAGCTGGGTATTTCTATGGAATGAGTCTCATGTTTTGGATTATCCTGGGAGCATCAATGCTAATCACGAGACCTCATCTTGAAAGTGCTGTAGTCATTTGCCGAATCGTTGAAATAGGAATCTTAGCAATGACTCTCTACCGCAATTTCTATCAAGTTATCAGTTATTTTATATTTAACATAACGCTTGATAAACTGCTTGAAAAAGTGCACGCAATCGCGGTAAACAGATTAGTTTTCTATAGACAACTTCTTCTTGAGTTGGTTGGTGCTGCAATAAGGCTTGCCGTAGTTTGGGCCTTTTTTGATAATTTTCTCATTCACGCCGTGTTGATTACATGGCTTGGTATGTTTCTGAATGATCAACTTGCGGATCGAAAACGTGGGAATATACAAATCTAATGGATATATTCCATTATAAAATAATTATAACGCTTTCAATAAAAAAATTGTATATATATATATATATATACATTTGTAATTTTTAAGCTTTATTCAATAACTTTACAGTTTATTATGTAAATAAAAAAGTCTTTTAATAATTAGTCTTTATTATGACGCAATGATTTCCCTACACCCTCAATTTTGAGGTCACACTTGACATTTCAATTCCTAACCTCATTTGATAATATAATTGTATTTGAATCAAGAGTTTTGCTGCGCTCTAACACAATTGTATTTCGTCATGTAGTATATTTCATGTAGGTTTTATCTCCCAGACAAGTTACGATTAACGTTAGTATTTACATAAAGCATAAAAGGCAAGTTTATTAACATGAAATTAATCGAGTCAATAATTACCGATTACTGGACACATCGCGTCAATCGTGCTGAATCAAATGATTAGATTGCACAACGGAATCACGGATGAAAACACCAGTTACATGTACTTTTCGCTTAGGTTAAAATTGAGTGTTATATTTGTGTTTTTTGTTTTGTTTATCTATTTGTTTCCTGTAACACCATTGCTCCAATTTTAAATGGTATGATTGTGCGCCAATATTGCATGAATTTCATATCTGTTCAGTGGACCATTTGGTATATATAATTCGAATCACCAATACAAAGAACAAGAAAGTAACATTTCAAATTTTCCGAGCGAATATGATATATTAATTTGAATATGAAATACTATTAGGTGAATTCTATCAGATTTCAACGGATACGTAGTAACAACATTTCGGAAGATTTGTTACGAGGCAAAAAAAAAACGATAGAAAAATAGAAACAGAAAATGACAGCGAATTCAGGAACCAACCATAAGGATTTTGTTAGTTTTTTTTAATTTTACGAATTCAATAAGGACACAAATCAGAATTTATTTGGAAATTTTAATTGCAAATTCCTTTCTATAATTTTCCTCTGCGGATCGTCGCCAGTGATCTCATAATATCTTTCGAGTTTGTCAGAGCGAGCAGTTTTCGATGTCTCAATGATCGAGCGCCCTCGCTATGATTTCCATTGAATTTTGTAAATATGGATTATAAGCTGACTTCGTTAAAATTCTGTTGTTTTCGATTTTATTTCTCCTTTACACAGAGTTCGGTTTTACAGTTTACGCACGTTGAGTCCGCAAAGATTTTCCCTAATATGAGAATAGTCCGCGACCAAAAGAGGTTGAGGAACACTGCTTTATAGCAATATTACACTATGCTTCTATGGAACACTGGCATGCGCTTTATTGTAAAATGTCGATTCAGAACTTGTCTTGAAAACCTGAGGGTTCATGGAGACTTTTGACATCCACAGGGGGTCCGTGCAGTGATTTCTCTTTTCAGGTGTGGCACCATACTTTAATTATTAACGTAAATAAAATTGTATTTGGATATTCAAATAGATAAGGTTTACGTACAGAATGTATATAAGATGGAAGGTTTTGCCAAGAAGATGCGGTACGTGTTGACTCACCTAAAATAATTGAAATATTTCACACACGCACCCACACAACCATATAGAAGTTATAAAGTAAAGGGAACGTGAAAAATTACGTACTGGTAGTTAATAAAAAATAAATAAATAAAAATTACTTGCCACACCCTAATAAAAATTCATGATGATTGCCACTGCCAAATTTATCTATTTTATAAATGGGAGTGAACAGTAAAGATAAACTTTTATGAAAAATATATTGCCAAGCTGACCAGTGGTTACATGCACCACCCTACGGTCGTGAGGAGCACATCAATCCTCTCACACCTTATTTCACGGGATCCGTACCTGCGAGAATGATATCTCGGATTAGCCACAAATGGCATTCGAATTTGACAAGATTCAATTACCCATCACTGAGTCCGGACATTTTTCTAATGTCTGATGATTTAAAAATACAAGAGCTGCAATCCTGACTGCGATGACCGCTTGGTCGTATCGCTACCACCCACTGCTTACCGAGAATATTTTTTTCAATTATATTTGTTGTGTCTATGTTTCTGGTTGACGAAACAAGATAAACTATCTATTGGCATCGAGCATGTTTCACACTGGCCGCCGAGAGCCGTTGAAGAATTAAAAAGGAACACGCCCCACCTACCCCTAACAGTATCCAACCACACCCAACTGGTATCAATTTGCTCTATTCAAATTATGCTGACAACAGAAAAAATAACGTAACATGACAAGAAAGAAAAATAACAAAAATAACATGGAAACTGCGACAATACGTCACTAACGCTGAGAGGTAGCAAGAAAAAATATTGATGAAAGGTCTCGTGTCAAATGTGGCATTTGAGGTATAAGTTAAATCTTTCACCAGGTAAAGCAAAAAATCACCCACAGGTGCTAATACACAGATTATGAGAGCAATGTGTTTACCAACAGAAATGTGAGGACTAAGAACAATTTTATTTGTTCTGGTACAAATGATTACACAAACTAGACAAAATGAATGGAGAAACCCTTCATTGATGGGTATTCAGGTAATTTCATGGCAAGTGACTGGAGCAGTGGTTTTCAACCTTCCTAGTGCAGCGGAACTCCAGTGATGTACAGTAGTTTTATTGTCTCATTTGTTTAACTATAAATTATTATTATTTATATTAACTATAAATAAATATAAAAGAAACCCCAATATTGTCAGAACTAGAGTCAGCAAGTTATAATAGTGGCAAAGCTAATAAATATGTGATTATATTTAAACAATATACACAATGTCCATACAAGTCCCTTTACAATTTCAATTTTGTTATTAAGTCAGTTCTCAATATAACTCAACCATTTTTTTTTATCAGAAATTGTTAAGTATTTTTACTTCATTCATGTGAGGGCCAAAACAATATATGATATTGACAAATTCCTTTTGCAATTTAAAAAAATGTTAAGACATTATGGACACCCTATATATATATATATATTATATTGACGCCCGGATTTGAATGTAACCCTGGACTGGTGGAACTCTTGGGTGCCGCCGCTGTACCCCTGGTTGAAAACCACTAGACTAGAGTCATAAGCGGAACACTATACTTTGCAGTTACGGAATGGTTACAATATCATAATTTCATAAATCAATACCTAAACTGCAAGGCATCTTGAGGTCAGAATATGGAACAAGAAAAAAAAATAAAACACTGATGAGAAGGCTGAAATGGCCCAGCAATAGGATGCTGCAATACCAGGCAATTAATTCTATTTCATTAATAGGGGAACATTATTTTATTAAAAAAGGAACATGGTATTTGAACGAGTCACTGAAACTACCAGAAACAGTATTTTTGCTATCACACTTTGTTGACATAACTTAGATATTTTAGTTCAGATTTCTTTAAATTTACAAAAACTCACAAACTGCCTACTTTTTAAGCAAATTTTAGTTTCACACTTTCAAAAAACTGCAAGGGCGCATAGATTCAGAAAAATAACAGTCAAATTTTATCATCACAAGGCAATCCTAGGTTATCTATCTTAACAATCCAGAATTGTCGAAAATGGTTACTGCAACTAAATCATCAAAATTGATGTTGATGATATCTAGAGTTTTAGAAATAGCAATGTTATATAGTCATAGACAATTTCAATTACTAATCTAAAAAAGCAGTTGCCATAAAATACTGATGGGCATTCATTGGGTTAATCAATTATTGCATGGACAACATATTTCACAGTGAAAAGTTGCAAAAGCACTCTTAGAAACTCCATATTCTCCATCTCACTAAATCTCAAAACCGCACAAAGTAAAAGTAGAATAGAAAATTCAAAGGGATCGTTAAAATTGAATAAAATATCATCCAACTATCAAATTTGAAGAGCACATGTACATGATGTTTTGTTCCACAATAAAATGATAAAAATTCAAAAATTGTTTTTTTAAATACTCAATAATATCTTGTAAAAAGACCACAATGGGGTTACGAATGGTGCTTGTCAGCCAAGCACAATTTAAAGCCAAAAACAATAAAAGGATAAAGTATCAAAATTCTTTAGTAGTTGCAATGAATAGTGACACTGATTCACACAGTATTGTAGGTAAAAAGAAATGACGACAAATAAACGAGGAAAATAAAATGAGAGGAGCATAATAATTAATTAGTGCTCTACAAAATACTTCAAGCAAACTTGCTTCGAACAGCAATGGACAATACTTTAGAAATAAATGTGGTAAAAAATCTTTGGTATACCATTGTATAAGATGGGAATGATACAGGAAATACTGGAAAAACCTGAAAAGCTAACTTCAGAATGCAAAACTGCAAAGATTTTTGCAAAAATAATTCAGCACGAAAAAAACTTTGCAGCTATACATTCTTACTAGCAATTAATGAATAATGTTATAAATATATATATATCTCTTTATAGAATATACATATTTAATATTACGACTATATTAAACTATGTACTACAATATAAACTAATGAATTGCCTAATGTGAAAAAATAAAAAGTAGCAATATGCTGATATAGGCATACGAGTGACATAGTATGGGCGAAGACTAGGCTACTTTTAAGAAATAAATCAATTTGAGAATAAATAAATATAATACTAACTTTTTTTGTTAACTTATTGCAACACTAGCCTGCTATGGTATTCCAGTTTTATTAAATTAATGGTCGCGTGTTACAATATGGAGGTAGCCAATTCCGGTAAAATGTATTTTTGTATCATTAGAGAAATATAGTATACAGAATATTGCATGGGCCAGGCAGTAACAAAAGAGGTAGCGACATTTTTATAGCGATTTTATTGGAGCACAAACGTGCAATATACCAGATATTTAATACTTTTTTAAAAGAGGTGTTTTGTTGTTCAAAATATCACGTTTGTCAATTTTTTTTCCGTACTACACTGCCTTTGAAACGAAACTGAAGAGAAATTAAAAATTCAGTTAACACTGAAAATTGAGAATAGATTTTTTTAACAAAAAAATTTTTCAAAATAAAATCATCGAGGCAATAACGATTGTTCAATTTTTTTGCGCAAAAAAATAACACATTTATGCTAAAAAGATGTGAAGAAATAAAGTTTTTGTAAAACCAGCCGACTAAAATAAAAATAAAATTGGATAAAACAATATTGGAGCTTTTGCAGGTATTATTATGATTGTTAAAATGGCATTTATTTTTCAATCTTCGGTTATCATGATTCTAAGGCGTCATTACTTGAAATCACATATTTTATCGAAATCAAAACGGGTTTATTTATTAGACATAAATTAAGTGATAATTGATTTGTAACAGCCGAATATGAATTGAGGGCTTTAAGCCAAAAGAGCGAAACTTGAAAAAAATGTCTTGAAAATGACAAAACATACTTTTTTGGATTTTTAAAAGGTCTAATTTTTTATCGAAATACTTTGATGACTATAGCTTCAACTTTTGATTAGAAAAGTAGCTCATAAAGCAATTTTCAATTTTCTTAAATAAATTTTTTCCAAAATTTGCCCTTTTTTAAACCCTCAAAATATTACTTCAAAGAACTAAAAACTTATATTTAAAATCTGAATTTATTTGGTTTAGTAAAAATGTATAAATAACACTTTGCCTTCGCCTCATATAATACTAAGAGGTAGTGTGGGGAGGGTGCTGCATCTGTTCGTGGTAGTACCGCCGTTGTTGTTCTTCTTGTTGTGAACGCAACATCTCGGCCTGTTGTTGTTGTTCCCTTTGATGTTGTTGCTCTTGCTGTTCTTGTAGGTACAGTGGTTGTCGAATAAGGAGCATTTGCTCGTCTTGTCGTTGCATGGGGTGAGGTGGGGGTGGTAAAGAGTGAACAGGGTGATGTAGGTGGTGCGGGTGCGGGGGTTGTTGTTGTATTGATTGAGGTTGTTGTGACAGCGGCATGAGATGTGAAAGTTCTTGTGGCTCTTGCTGTGATAAAGCAAAAACAAATGAGTTGAAAGTCTCAGTTTAAACTATACACAGAATTTTACTTTTAACACAAAAAACAAGTTTGATTGTTGAGTTTGTTTGACTTAGGTATTAAATAAGAATAACATAGTCTCTTTGCATGTAATCAAACGTTTGATTAAGTTATAGTCCTATCTAGTTTTGTAGGAAGAAGTTAGACTATGATCAATGAAAGCCTAATAATACCCTCGCTATATGGCAGAATTCTATTATCATTTTTTAGTTATCTTTATAATACTATCTCACTCACGCATCCTTACACATACGAACATTTCGCAGCAATGTTGCATAAACATGGAAATTAGCCAATGTATTGAACTTGAACTCTTGTTCGGATTGTTGCATGATAAGATAATCACCTAATGTTTTATTTATTCAGAAAGGAATGCTTCAAAATTGTTCATTTCGACTGTAAAGCTCACCCTTCATGTTTGAAACATGATATAATCCATACAACGACACAACATACTGTAGTTAAATTCATACCAAAATTATTTTATAATCAAACATAATCGTAATAAAGCAGAAGCAATACCAGGGCTAGCAATTCACGTTGTGGACCAGCGCTCGTCACCCGGGTATATAGTAAGGTATAATATCCTTCCTATACACCAAACTTCCCTAAATTTGAAAATTTATTTGATTAATTTGATTAACATCCTGTTTCTGATCAGATTATTTCCGTATATATTGTATATAGGCTACTGGGAGTTCAATGTAACAGAAACCGTCTCAATATATTCATTCATGTATTTGCATTGGGTGGTAACCGACTAAGGTGACCGTTTGTGATCGTATCACCCAGTCATATACCAAAAACTGCATTATGTGTTGTTTTATTATTTGTTATTGTATCATCGTTATGTTTTCTGGTTTGACGAAAAATAAATTCTTTCTCCCTACATGCGTTGATACACGACATGATATTTTCAAATGTAGCTTCTGGGTGCTACAGTCTTGCACGTAAGCTCTTTTCATTACTGTCAGAACGCTTAGCTTTCTATTCTCATAAAAATAATGAATTGGGATGTATTCACATTAATGAGAGGGACAATTGAATTGAGGTTATTACTTCACTTTGTACAACTGGATGGTGAAATCCAAAAGCAACGTTCGAATAAGACAAATAATAACATATTGTGTCGGCATATACATGTGTACCTTCTAAACAGTGTGTTTTTGGCAGATCAAAAAGTAGGATAGGTGGGGTGTACCAGATTTTAGGTGAAGGATGAAAGGGTGTACCACTTCAAAAAAGATTGACGAGCACTGCTTTAAACTTAACGATTTTGACATCACAGGTTCAAATCCAATTCACGCCCAAATCCATGGGCGAGTGGCCCTTCACATATTGTTTCGGTCAGTGATTCTTAAATGGTGGGGAACCCAAAAGATGGGTGGACAATTTTTTGAGGGGGCTGAAGCTAATTAAAAATATTTTTATCAGATTTGATCTTGCCTGCATTATTTTGGATATTTGAGTTTCTTTATTTGGATCAGAGGTTCTCAACCTGGGGTTTGCGAACCCCATGGGTTCACAGGAAGATTTTCAGGGGTACTTGGATGGAAGTCAAGTTTTTGTGTGTGTTTTTTTCAATATCCTTTAACAAAGGAAAACTAAGTAACTACAAGATGAAAATGCATGCCAATTGAAACTCAGCGTAGATTTTTCCTGATCTAGCGTTGTTGTGATTGTGACGCAAAAATGTGAATTGCACAGTTTTTCAGCCAAACTGTGAAATCTCAAAAGACAATGTGATGCGAGCATTGCAGAAAGAGATATGCATCCAAACTTGAGAGACATCCCAAGAATTCATTAGTTAGGTGGAAGACAATAACATCAACACGAATATTTAATTTAGTTACAGCAGTTGGTCAATAAATTGTCGTTGCAACAAATTGTCAATCAATATATCACAACTTTGTTTGGTGTCTGATTACTGGGGGTTCGCCTTGATTGTTTCGTGACTCGGGGGTGTACTTGACAGAAAAAAGGTTGAGAACCCCTGATTTGGATATTTAAGTACCATCCATGTATTTTCAATGCGTTCTTTGAATAAAACATACTTTCATCTTACTATGTGTTAGGTATTTAATTTTAAGAGGCTTGACAAATTCTGAAAAGTGGGCGCCGTTTGTAAAGTTTGAGAACTACTGGTTTGGATGTCTGTGGCTTCTTGTACAAAGCCTTGTTCAGAGCAAAAAGGGAGAGTAAGCATTGAGTAAAAAAACTACCTGTGATACCATATGAAATGGTAAATGGGACAATGGTGGAGGTACAGATGATGAAGGCTCTTCTTGAGGAGGCATTTGATGAGGTAATTGCTCTTCGTAATAAAGATGACTAGGTCCTGGCATCTGAGATGAGAAAAAGTTTAATTTATCATCAACTATATACAGGGTGTTAAAAAAATTACGCAAAATTAAGGTAATATTTTTCGTCATGGCGACTTAAAAAAAGTATCTGTTAGAAAGCGTCAGTTGTGAAATGTTTAAATGGCATTTCACTGTAATTCAATACTGTTAAAAGGTGTCAGTCGTTGAAAGTCCAACCATGTAATAAGACATATTGATTGGAAGAGTAAAAACCACGGCCAAATACTGCTGAAGATAATATCATGGAAAAAATATTAGAAATGAATTTTGTCTTATCGGTTGTTCAGAATGCCATATTCAATTATATAGTTATATTGACTATCAAAACAATAAACTACATGAGGAGAACATAACAAGAAATGAGCATATCAGGTGCAGAAGTAGTCAAACTGGAGTCACGCCTAGCATTCTCTATAAAGTAAACAAAATGGCAAAATTTCTAATGGAAGATTGACTGATGACTGATTAACCTAATCAGTTTTAGATTGATTGTTTAAATATGGATGCAACCGCTTCTCTTGGTATAGTTGAATTATGTATGTCTGAAAAAGTCTGACCTTGGTCAGACAAACTGTTACAGAAATATATTTGCAGAAAGACTCTTGAATCACTTAAGATAGTTATCTTTACCCTTGCTACAGCATCCTTGCAATATATGCATGTGGATCCACCGACACAAAAGCATAGAAGATAGATAAGTAGTTTGTCTTGCAGGAACCAAATCATCGACGCATTCTATGCGTCATTAGGTATTCAAAATTTTGGATTATTATCAGGACTGATTTTTCACATTGAAGCTGTTTATTTAATAAAACTTTGACATAATTTATCATCCTGACGCAAAATACCTTCATTTTCATTAATCAAATTTTAAATTAACAGGCTTAACAGCAAATAAACTTTTTTGATGACCAAATTGTGCCAATACGCCCATTCTGAAATTCAAGCAGTAATTTCAACATACTTCTTGTGATTGCTGCCTTTGAATCTGTTGCATCTTTTGTGTTGCTGCCAAGTATTGTGACCTTTGAAAACCTTCCCACATCTCAGGAGGCTACAGAAATATTTAATATATTGTTATTGATTACCTGACGCAGGAGATATTTGTCAGGAGACTTTAATTACTAAAACTTCAACTATGTAGATACCTGAGGGTCAAGTTCATTCTGTATTTGAAAACATTGTCTGGTGTCGGACCATTAAAGTTTCATAATGCGAGAAACTAATCTATATTTCGCAATCTAAATATCCACGAGGTGAAAATGTAGAGCGTTATACTAAACAGATAATTTTTTTACTTTTACAAGTGGTTTATTCAAGCCACACTAAGCTATACCCACCCCAATTATTATATTCCAGAATGTGAGAAAAATTAGGTTTTTTCAACATTTCTAATCACTGAATAAAATAGTCACATATATTATATTTTGTATATTCTACAATACGTCACAAAAACAAGCATAATTTTTCAAGTACCGGGTGAATTCCACCCTAGAAATCCACCAAAAATATTCATTTCTTGGAGAAGCCCCCGAATGGCCAATGCCCTTCTATTTATGGAATATTCCTCCCAGACAATTCAATTCTATTCCTAATAAGAGGTTTTCTAATTGATTCTATTTTCATTTATTTTTAGTCTCGCTTGGAAATTTTCTAGGTGGAATTTTTGTAACTATATTTTTACAAGTGAACCTCTCTGAAGCTTGTTTTTCACAATATGATAGAAATTATTAAAGGTTTAATGAAAGCTGAATTTGGATTCACTGAATAGCAGCAGCTTTCTCTGACTTCACTTTTAATTGATTTTCTTAATTTTGTTTTTGTGAATGCAACAAATATTAGAATATCAGGATAGGATATTCACATGTATCTCGAGGAGAGGAAAGTCGGCCTAATCATACAGCATTAAACCAGTAAGTGTCTTGAGAGCTGAGACAAAATTAATTAGAAATTTTTATATAATGATTAATTACCCATATCCTTGGACGACCTCGCGGTCTCTTCGGCGGCCGTTCTACTAACTTCTAGAACAAAATAATAGGAGATAAAATAAGGGAAAGTCAATAATTATAACTCAATACAACCAGCCAGGTTTATTAATATTTTGCACGAACATCTATCAGAAAAGACTCAAATAATGAATTCCGATGTTTGGTTAATGTGTTTGATGTTTATAATTACCGTACATAAGACTTTTACTAAGTTAATAATCTCAATATTTTATACCTATTTCACAACTATGGATTACTACGGAGAGCCATTCTATGTACATTCTAACCAACGCTGATGGTAATACACTAGGTCCTAATTTGCATAAACTAAATTGAAGTAGACAGATCCAACACACACAAGAATATAAAATATAAAACATGAGAACGCACAATAGATACGCAATACTGTCAAGTCACTACTTGACTTTTGCTTGATTGCTTGATAATTTCAGAAATATCAAAACAGATTTCAAATTTCAAATCTTAAATCGGACTCGAATCTGTTATAAAACATTGTTGACATCTGCTAGTTGTAAACGTTTTTGTATATTTATATCAACTAATTTGGAAATAAACAACGTCTGGAAAAGGGGAGAGAACGAAACATATTGATTGTGCTCACCGTAGATGGATCTCTCCTCTGAAAAAGAAAAAATGAATAAAATAAAATCGTAAATTACGCAAACAAATAATGAACAGTTAATTCTTTCTTAATATACATTATTCTTGTTACCGGTATATAAATATTATATTTAATATGGTATTAATTAACCAGCGAGTTTCTCACAAAAACATTCAACAAATTATTTCAGTGATCTTTAACCAAGTTCGCAAGTATCAAAATATCAAACATTTACACCAAATAAAAACACCTCAGCTTGATTTCAGACAGAATGAAAAACCAGGCATAAGGCAGTGTGAATTAACACTAAAAGATGTGTTTATGAGTCCTAACGTGATCTCAATATTAAACAGATAATATTGATAACAAATTTAATTTGATTTATTTGAATAAAAAACTACTTGTCTTAAACTACTCTTCTTCAAAAAATTTTGTGAAGAAGGCTCAGAACAAGCGATCATTTTAACAAGTAGCTGGTATTGAATTATTTTGAAACAATTTTGAATTATTTTTTGAATTTTTTTTTTTTTTGAATTATTATGAAACAATCCACAATTTAGAAAAAAATATTTCATGTTACATTTAAACAAACAACACACCTTTCTTGGTTTTTTATTCTTTGACCCCCTTGGTCTTCCTCGAGGTTTACTGATTCCTACAGGTTTAGGCGGCTGTGAAAATTGGTAAAGACATTATAAATGGCGAAACATTGATTTTACTGCGTAAAGTCGGAGCAGATATTGGCACAGACACAAATTTTCACTCTCGGCCTACCTCACAGTAAAGGTCATCTCTTTGAAAATTTTGAAGAAATAGCATAAAGAAACGTAAAAATTACACGAGTATAGTCTTTAATTCTACAGTAGCCTATCATAAAAGAATTTTAGTCTGCCATTTTGATGCTACTTACGAATGCATTGGAACTACCGGTATATGCAATTTTATTTTTACTATGACAAAATATTAAACCAAACATTATTTCAATATTGAGCATGAAGCATTAGCTTTTAATATACTGCAATATTTTTGCTTTTAATGAGGCTGGTGTAAATGAGGATTCCTAAATTTTAATAGGTGATTTTAATAAGGGCATAATTTGTTCATCCTATGTTTTATACACTGTACAATATCTAACAACTTAATTGACATTGAACAAATTTCAAATTTTTATCGTATGATTATTCCATGACATTCTTCTCCTGAGATAAATAAAAAGAACATTCCTAATCTCAAATGTTTTTAAATAAAATGATTATACGCTCATGGTCCAATATTTAAATTTACATACATGTATTCGAGGTCGGCCAGGACGTTTTACCTCGAGTGGAGGATGAGGCACTGCGTATTGTGGAGGTATGGCCCCAGACAGCCTTGAGGTAGATGGTTCCTGACCTGGAAAAGACGAAAAAAAAGAATAAAAATACATACACAAAACAAATAATTAAACATGATAAAAAAAAATAAAAACGGCAAAAAATAATTGTTTTTTTGAGTTATGCTTATGAGGAATAATAAAATTTCAGAAACTATTTACAATTCAATTTAAGTCTACCGGTGCAACAAGATTCTTGAATCAAACAAAATGGTCATTTTTATTCTTGCTACAGCATCCTTGCATTATATGCATATGGATCCACTTCCACAAAGGCGCAGAAGCAAGGAACTACCCCACTGATAGCTATTTACAATTTTGCCAAATTTTTAAGAAATTAGTCAACTATGATTCCTTGTCTCAAAATTAACCATAAAAATATACATTTCAGAAATATAATTTCAATGTGTCAATTGTTAGGTAGTGCAAGGTATAAAAGCAATACTAAATAATTCAGGATTGAGTTGGAGCGATAATTTCAGAGCGAGAAAAGGCGGTATACCAAGTTCAAAAAGGTGAAAATTGATCTATACTTTCAGTTTGATGTATCATATCAACAACATAATCTTAACCTTCAACAATACAGAACGACAACTTCAATAATTGCCATAATCAGACTGAGAAGATCATAGAAAGGTAGTCCTGTATTGTGTGTACCAGGTTAGGGTTAGGCCATAATTTTATTCCGATTTTCCTTATTTTAGTTTTATTACGAGTTCGGGGACTGCCTGTGTTAGCCAAATCATTTATACTCCCTGTCCATAGGTATCAGTCCCTTTACACAACTTGATGTAAAGTAGGCAAACAAAATTAGTTAGGCTACCTCCATATTGGTACACACATTTTTGAAGCGCCGATCATATAACAGTAAAAAGTAATCAAAAATTTACAACGCAATGAAATAATTTAACACATATGAAATACGTCGTCTGATATTTCCTATGTTTTGTTCCCGTTTTCCAAAAATAAGGTGATTTATACAGGATTTGATTTGTTATTGAGACTACAAGAACCCCAGATTAACATTTGATCCGGTAAGTTACATGCAGTTTAGTTAAAATCAAATCATGCAAATCAAACCCCAAACAAATATTCACACATATCATAGCAGTAACCAACTTTGTGAATCAAACAATAACCTTTTCAAATGCTGCTATATTGGATGTGTTACTTTTTCATCTAATTCAAAAAATTTGCAGCATGGCAGATAATAGGGAGTTCACAAAGTCTTGTTACAATTTCAATTTTGTTATGAAGTCAGATCCCTATACATCTTAATCAGGTTTATTATATTTCAGTATAAGTCTATTAGTATAATTTCAATTCTACTCCATAATGCACAAAGCACATTGAAATTTTTTTTTCCGATTTAATAAGGGACTAATAATGTACACCCTTCATTATTGAGATAGTGAAATATAAGTTGAAGAATAAAAATATAAAATTCCAGTATCAGAAACGATACTTTGTTCTTTACCATGTATAAAAAACACATTGTGCTGATTTGGTATTAATGCAAAATGTTTCTTTCTCACTACGAGCAATGCACCAATAAAAGCCACGAATTTAAAGTCCAACTAAGTGCTCGTTATCAGGTACCAAACCTATATTTTAATAATACCTTTTATAATTCTGATTAAATAATTTTTATTTTGACTAGTTGATAAATAAAAATATTTTACAAAAGAAAGTATTTTCAAATATCTCCATTGTTAAAAAATCTATTTTGAACAACATCAATCTCAAATGTCTGGACAATCCCAATTTGACCTAATTTTGAAAAACATATAAAAAAGATGGATTACAAAATAGCAGTTTTAATACTTCTTGGAAATCTGATGTGACTTTATTAATTAATTTACGGAGTTAGTCCTAAGAATACTTCGATGTATAAATTTTATATAAAGCATGAAACATTCTATTATAGTTTTTCCATGTTCACTTTTATCTTTAGGAACATATCTTGACTTCTTCACTTGACAATGGATATATTTCTATTGAATTATGGTGAAATAATAGTAAAAGTTTTTCTGTCTGAAACTATACAGATCAATACAAGCATTGGCAGTGCTTTGAAATGTCACTTGTCTAATATCTGCATACTCATTAGATGTTCTTATTTATAAACTTTGATGAACATAATTACCCACGACATACATTAGAAAATAATAAAGTCAAAATTTTCAGAATTGCAAATTGGGACAATTCCTCATAAGAAAGTAAATGAAAATAGAATCAAATCATTGCGGCGACGGCCTAATTAATTTGAGCATCAGAATTGTCCATAAATATTTTTCAATAACCGATCATACCTAATATTTGTTTAAAAATATTAATAATAATGACAGTAGATCAATAGGTGCAGCGTAAAATGATGAGAAAAAATACGCGATAATTCCGAGGGTCACGTTATAATATTAAAACCCAACCGATGATGGATAAATTTTGAAAGTTATAAAGATATTACCTGACCATTCAACTAAGACATGGAGATATATACTTAAAAATTTTCGATATAGAGTGCATTTGCATCTATTTTTTTATTGAATATAAGAGAATAGATAATAAAATACAGATGTTATTATCGATTGAGTTTTTGCAGGACTACCTACTACTTCGCGCATGCTACGTATTTTGTAATTTCATATTTTTAAAAAAAAATACTTTTGTATAAGAATGATGTATAAATCTTAAAATTAAGTATGTGTATAGACGTTTAAAAGAATAAAATGGTCACACTTTAGATTAAATTTTCCTTTTGCAAGTATAAACTGATACATCATTACTTACACAAAAGAAAAGCCAAAATAAAATTACTATTAAATTTTTGCCATTTCACTGTATTTTTTTTAATTAATATTGCTGTATATCAAATACAAATATAAGATAAGATCGATCCTTCTTTCATACAAATTTACTTCTATTAAAATTTCATTAAATATAATTAAGTACAATAAAAAAATAACCTCATTTTGTGATCACATGACAAAAATTAGCCAATAAAACGCAACTTTTGTTCTTATTTATTTCGCACAATCCACTTTTGAATTTGGAACATGACCCTGTACTATGTCTGGTGCACTGGGAAATTCCCAGAGATAAATGAAGTAAATTATGCAACAACTGCAGACACAATTTCGTGCGTAGTTGTGAAAATGGCGAAACTCAATGTAAAGGAATTTATGGATTTCAGCCTTGGGACTTGACTGTGGTAATTTAATCCTAGTGGGAAATGAAGTTCAATTTGCGGCATAAATTATATCTAAAGACCTCAATCTGATGCCGTATATTGAAGAAGGCTATAAACATTGCAACAGATTAGAAAATACACCAATTTAGAGGAAAATAAATTAATTTAGGGTTTTAATTGTACATGGCTGTGAAAGTACAATCGAAAAAATAATATAATTAACCTAAAAACATGGTAAATTTGAAACAGAAATGAAATTAGGACAAAATCTAAAAAAAATGACATATATTTCATTTTTGAATTACATTTTTTTCCGTGATTCTGTTTTGTCATGATTGAATTAGCAATGAACTTAAAATACAGAATACCGCTAAATTATTGAACTTTAGATATCTTGAACTTTATCGGACATTTACATCAATCATCTAAATGTCTGAACAAACCTGACATTCAATTTGACCAATAGAGTAGTTAGACAACTTTATAGTTAGACTGCCCGTTCAGAAAAAAAATATAATATTTTAAAATAAATACACAACAACTAGTTATAGTGCCACAGGGTTTGAAATATGTTATTTCCTACTATAGTAGATACAATGTGTTTTGCAAGCCTGGTTCCAAGTGTAACAATTTATATTTGGATGAGAAAAACGTAACATTTTCCGAAGTCTGTCATTATAAAAACATTATAATATTTTTACTTTCGCTTCAACCTTTTCAAAATATCAAGAATCAAGCTCAAAACACAATGGACAAAATGAAGGCATGCAAGATTAAAAAAAAATTGTTTATCAAGACATTTCAGTTGTCTGCGTCGCCCAAAACGTTGCTCAAAGATGAGTTTCCTTTACTTCTGAGTGAGTGTGCATGACCTAGCTTTGAGCAAATTTTCTTAAGAAATACTCAATTCAGGAATATTCCAAGACACACACCTAATATTTTCTGTGTTTAGATGAGAATCCTCCACATCTGAGTGAGTGCGGATGATCTTTCTTAGAAAAAAAATAAAAATACTTGATTTGTGAATATTCGAAGACATACCTAATATTTGCTGTGATTGTTCTTCATATTGTCCTGTATATGACGGCAGCATCATTCTATGACTTGGACCGGGACGATCCTCTTCAGTCTCTTCCGGCCCTGCATACGGTGGCAATAACATGGCACGACTTGAACCAGGTGTTTCTTCAGGTTCTTCAGCTTTCTTAGAAGGACCAGCCTTCTCTTCCTCCTCGCCTTTTCTTTCACTCATAATCTATACAATTTTATAAAATAATTTTTTTTTTTAAAAAAACATACACATATGAAAACATGAATTTCCTACAATTTTAATGAAACTATGGTATGTACATTTTTTCAATTTTTAATGATGCTGATCTCTAATAGTATTAATCTATACAATTTTATAAAAAAAAAAAATTAAAAAAATGAACATGAACTTCATAGAATTTCAAGGCGCTCTCGTAATATGTGCACCAAGATGGCGGGAACCGGAAGTGTAGTATGTATACCAGGTTAGGGTTAGGCCATAATTTTATTCCAATTTTCCTTATTTTAGTTCTATTACAAGCTCGGGGCTTACCTAAGTGACTTCTGTAGTATTTGTACCTGAAATTATGGCAAAGCCCTAACCTGTTACACACTACGTTTCAGTGTCTTCCATCTTGGTTCACATACTACAGGTGTACAAATTTTAATGGAACTATGGTATGTACATTTTTTATTTATTATATAATATTTTTATATTACTATATTTTTAATGGTGCTTATAACTGACATAATTTTGTGCACCAGGACTATGATATTATGGTTGGGTGTTCAAATGCTTCTCCCTGTTATGAGGACGTATTCTATAACAAAAGATATAATTCTGGGATTTGTTAGCAAATTGATAATATTTATGGGGCATATATTCAGTTCTTTGCAATGATTACCGTATTTAAAAATGATCTTGGAACATCATAGCGGGAACAATGTAATACTAAATATTCAGTGGCTTCGTTTTCCAATACGCTATCTATTCAAAAGGAATTTTAAACTAATGTAGTTGTACTACGTACCGATGAATGTAAAGGGAAAAATAACAACAAAATGAGTTTCATACAACTTCTATGGAAATTGCAGTATGTGCAATATTTGAATCTACTCAAAAGAAATTATAAACTAGTAGGACTGAACTATTTCGTTTTCAATAAATAAATGATAATAGAAGCGGAAGAATTATATTTTCATAAGCTTCGCAAAAACTACCGCAGTTAATTCATTACGATTTTATCCAAAATATAAGAAGATGACTTCAGGACAGACTAATAATTAATCACGATAATATGAAGTAGTTTGAAATTCAGTTTTTGAAATATTGAAAAATACAAAACATATTGAAAAATGTCAAATATTTGTCAAGCCACACAATTTCACCCATTTTTACCAATTCAAAACTTCTATAATATAGTAACATTTGAAGGCTAGAAGATAACATTTCAAGCATATGAAAAGTTCAGAAAAGTAATTTCATAACACAATACCACGAAATGAAAACATGAATAATTTAATTTGAAATACTAAGAATAAATTAACATTTAAGATACTATGCATTACTCTGGTGTGAACGTATTTCAATTGCTTGAATGGACTTGATTTTTACCGCCTCAACATATCCAATAATCAATACAAGGAATCAAAAAACATTTTCCTATCGAGTATCATATTAAAATGACTATAAGTCCATTGAAGATTATCACCTCCAGAATAAATATATCGAATTATTTTCAAGCAGCAGTAAAAAATTGATACCAAATCTCAAAGCAGCAATTCGCTAAAAATTCATCCCGTAAACTATCTGTCAAAATTCAAGAAGATTGGAGTAAATAAAGATTAAAATACTGGAATTAACATAATGAAATGAAAGCTAATCCACTAATCCATACTTGAAGTTGAAACAAGAAAATCTTCTTGCATAATCCTGGTGTAATTACCTATGTACACGTTTAAAAAATTTGTACATAAAAATATACCCAATGCTGCTATTATTAAGTAAAAATTTTGAAACGAACTCTTACAAATAAGATTTTAAAATCAACACTCAGTACATTGACGTTTTGTTGTTGGACGAAAGCAATTTATCCCTTCCTATAACTCTGTGGTTAACACCATATTTAAATTATGCCGAGATCGAATTCTCATGAATAAATATTAGAAAGAGATAGAATTTCAATGAATGTCTGGCGGTAGAATATTGCTTTGTAAATGCATCAATTTTGAAATCAGCACCCGAATCTACGGTGAAATTTTGATCACTGCAAATATCTCTACAATCAAGACTTTATTGTATCGAATATAACCAATTTATAATGTATTCAAATATTCACTACTTTTTGGACAAACTTGTCAAAATACTGGCAATTTCCTAATCAGATTCATAATGAGGTGAATTTCAATTCTAATCCTAAACAATCCTACAGAATATCTAGAAGACTATAACTCAGCCATTTCTGGATAGGACGTTCATAACAATATTTAGGTATATCTTTATCAAGACTCTTTCTTCAATTTACTTTTAATTTCAGAAAATTTTAAACAGATTTTTTGCACAGGAGAGCGATTCATAAGCTAAATTAAGCCCGAAAAATTTAACACAATTTATGATACCATTACAAAATCGTAGATTTTACAAAATAACTTTGAATATCTGATTTCACAAAATATAAATTGTACAAATGAAACAAATTTATATATTTGTCCTGACTTATCACTTGCGCCTACTGAACCTCGCAATATTTACAAAAAGACATTCACTGCACGAAACTACAGCAATATATCAATCTAAAATTAATCAACTACACATAGTTCGACCAAAATTCAAGTTTATGTCCAATTTTGATCATTCAGAATAGAACGCTGCATTGATACCTAATACCCAACCAAAGAGGCGGAATAGCACAATCAGTCGAAGTGTGAGATCTTAAATATTAACTGTTGTTTAGGAAGAAAGTCCAAATTATGGGGATGATTAATAGAGTCCAAAAAACACCTTATGAGTAGGAATGAAATTTTACACAATTCTACAGTGATTCATTCCAATTACACTGCAAACCATATGTGAGTCCAACTTTATTTCAAAAGACATATGTTGGGTAGTGCAATTGCATATGAGTCATATTATAACACACAGCCTAAAAATGTAAAGGCAGATGGTACCTGGGTAGTAAAAATAATTAACCCTTGCACTTTTGGAAAGCACATAAAAACTTGCAGGTTTAGCCAGACACCACAAGAAAAATCTCCACTAAATACTCTTCTATACTAAGATACCAAGTAATTCAATGAGTAAATGAAACATTGAATCCATAATGGAACAGATGTCTCTCACTAAATGCCGTCACTCTTTGTTCGAACTGGACCTGTAACCTCACACACTACAAAGCTATTATAATTGGCATGACCATAGTGGGTGCATTGATGAACTGTCCAACCGATGACCAATAGAAGAACGAACCTTATTACAGGCTGCGGTTCAATTCTATTTGGGCCTACGTCATAAATTTTTAATGAGATTTTTGTGCAAAGCAAATGGCTTCGCTGAAACCATTGAAACTAAGAAGTTTCACAGGACCTTTCGTGCAATTTTGCAAAGTACAACTGAGCTGGTAAGTACAAGAAGCATTACCACATGTTTTAATGTAAACCAATATCGAATATCTGGATTACAATCGGCTCGATGCCAGGACCATACAAAGACTGTTTAAGATTATTCACTCTTTAAGAGAGAGTTCAATGAACAGATGTAATCTTGTGATAAAGTTAAACATAATTCACAAATAAGGTAGATAAAACTATGTGACAATGTTTAATTTAATTAATAAATATTAAATGTATAAATATAAAACCCAAATGAATCATATCTGTGCATAATAATTCTATTTTTGCTACATTAACTTATTACAAACATGATCACTAACATTCAACAAAAGTGAATATAGAAATAAATAATATAATTATAATACTAAATCTAAAATTTTGATAAAATTGATACTCAAGCGAAGTTGGATGCTATCAAACTGTGAAAGTATATCAGTGAAACAGTTAGGGTGCTTTGCAAGTAATTTTTACATGTTTTTTCACTACATTCAAGATGAAATATTCTGATAACATATTTATCTCTTCTTGTTATAGGTTCAAAAATGGACAACATCAGGACAGGTTAAAGGTTATCATCTGACATGATGAAAAGTACGATTAATGTTTTGCACTAAAACAAGGAATTGTTGATGTTTATACGCAGCCATGTAATGCTATTATACTTACATGAAAATTCCTTAAATACTTTGAAAGCTTAGCAAACGATAGACACCACAACGACATAGTGGTTAGCAAATTTGACTATGATAATAATTTTACGTTCAAACGCCATATTATTAACCACATCAATGGCAAATAATAAACAAGCACATTCATGTCATGTCAGACACATAGTAGGGTATTACATATATTACCAACAACGTCTTGTCCAGTGTATTTTTTAGAGTAAAAATGATACAGCTCATAAAACAATTTACCAGTGACTGCAGTGAGTTCTTTTGATAATAAAAGGTCTTATACACAGAAAAACTAAGATATAAAATGATAACTAGCATGAATATTACAGGCAAATTATTTCCACACAGGTGGGATAAACAATTCAAGTACTTCCCTATCATATTACAGTAATTTGATCAATTCTTGAAACCAGTAATCTTGCATTTAACATAACTTTGTTATATTGACATTTTAGGATAATGGGGAGGACCATTAGTGATAGACATCGATAGCAATAGCAAAAAAACGAGATCTGTCGGACTTTGGACTTGGCAACGAGAGCAGTGGGACTTGACACCAAACCACGAGCTTTATATAATTTGAAGGTGACGAACCTCAAGAGTGTTCAGTAAGTGATTAAACGAGATTGATACAAAACACAGAGAAATCACAAAATGAAATTTCATTGAACAAAAAGGAGGATTTACTATAATTTATAATCTTTCTACTTTTCAAAATATTTTTTATAAAATTTCCTACTCGGCACCTTGTTAAAAAATACACATATTCAAAATGAAAGTATTACTTCTAGCAAATAATATCTACCATAACATATTATACTCAAATGATTAAAAAAACTTTAAACAATATTTGAAAGTATATTCCCTCCCAAATTTGTGTATAAAACGCTCTGGCTAACGATGACTGAAAGCAATACCACTACCATTAACTACATTTTTTGAATGGTTTCAAGCAACATCCTTTTCTTTTTCTATACAAGCTTATCTAAAATAGGGTATTGTTTTACAGTCCATAATCCTATCAAGTTTTGTTTAGTGCACTCGAGAAAATGACATTAGCGATCATTATCACGCTGTGGCAAAAATTCTTTCTGAAAAGAGACACCGGGTGATGCAAGGTACTAATATTAGCAAACTCTTACTGTTGTGTTGTTTGTCTATTCATAAGGCAATACACCAGATGAGTCAAATAAAACATATCCAACTCAATTAGCTATCATGCATGATTGCATACTTATTTGAATCCATTTTTAAGGTTTAATAATACAGGGTATTCATAAAGTCTCTTTACAGTTCTCAAGTCAGTTCTCAATATATCTCAACCAGGTTTGTTGTTTTTTATTTAGTAATTGTATTGAAGTATTTTTACTTCATTAAATACACTTGTGAATTCCCTTTGCAAGAAATTTTAAGACTTTTTTGACACCTTATACAATGAGACCAGTACTTGAACCGGTGGACACAAAGGGTCAAATGTCACATAAGAGTGTTCTTGTGAATTGAAACGAAACAAAAAATTAGACAAACGATATCAAGGTTCATTTTGAGTCCAATTATTACACCCGAAACTAGCCCCGACATGGGGCAAACTACAGCCCACGGGCAAAATCAGGCCCCGGTAGTTCAAGCTGAACCCCCTGATGCTGCCACAACCAAACTAAAACCAAATTTTGATGTTTTAGCTAAAACATACCTCTAGGAATTTGTTGAGATTGCGATTATTAAATTTAGTTCGGGCACAAGGCTAATTGTTTTCCACTTTTGCTTTGGTAACACTGTAAATATTGGGTGCTCCCGAAGTATGCGAACCAAGATGGCGGACATCGGAACGTAACATGGGTAACAGGTTAGGGTTAAGCGATAATTTTTTTCCAATTTTCCTTATTTTAGTCCTATTATCAGTTCGAAGACTAGCCAAGAGCCTCCCGTAGTATTTATACCTAAAATTATGGCTTAACCCTAACCTAGTACACATATTACATTCCGATGTCCGCCATCTTGGTTCGCATACTTCGGGAGCCCCAAATATTGTTTATAAAATGTAAATTTTCATATTCCACTTACATGGCCCGCTAGTCTAGATGGGCAAAATTTTTGGCCCCTGGTCTTAAAACCTTGTTCACCCCTGAACTAGCAAATATTATGTTGGTGCACCATGCTCAGCATTGTTAATAGGCTTGTCATATTTCTTATGAAAGGATCACTGAATCCAGTAATGAAAATAGAATAGCCAGCCAACCCGTTCGATGATCCGGGTATACAGATATCAACACTAGAAGAAGTCATGAGCAACCAGTAGTCACATGCTCAAGGATTTTCACACACAGAATCATTATCATATATTTTGTTGTGCAACCGCATGAAGGATTATGAGAGGTGCAATTTACTGATACCCTGCCTAGCTATGAGACATAATATGTCCATAGAATAAATACATTTTACCAATAATTAAGCATTACAAAGGTGATGATATAATATGTACAAAAATATGGAATAAATGTAGAACATATGTAAAAGGGGCTTTAATTTAATTATTGTTAAGCCATAGCACTACTGTTCTTAGGAATGAATGTTCTCCCAAGTGGCTGCAGGTTAATTAATATGGGATTTCCATTCGGTAAATGACAGGGACATTCATAAATTTAAGTAATTTTCAATATTTGATTGCATAAAAGACCATCCCATTTCTAATAACAGCAGTTAAAAGCTCACACATGTCACTTGAATAATGTTAAAGAAGCAATCTTCAGCCAAAACGCTGAAACCAACAATACGCAATCTATATTCCTTTAATGCTAATGATCATTGGAGTGTGATAGGATAAATTTTCACCTAAAGTCAAGTATTGCTAATTTTAACCTGATTGTTTCTTTAGCAGGATGAAGTCAAATCATATTAGAGTAGAATAACCACAAAATTCCTAATTTTTAGTCACTAGCATTTCCTTATAGAAAACATGCAATGTTCACTCCATAGGAATGTAACTCGATCACTTACTAACTCTTCGTCTTTAGACAAGTATTTTTCAACTACGAATCAACTTAGGCATAGGGCAAGGAAAGGTAATTGGTCTTGCGTAATCTCAATCATTTACGTTAGCAAATACAACATCTTAGAAAATTTCAACAAAGCTCACTACTTACGCTGGTGCTGCCCACAAATTAGTGTGTAACTTAAAGCTATGAAGTTCTGGTGTCTGTTTCACAGCGACAACCGGCCGTCTATTGCTTCAATTCTTTCGCCACTCTTCTGCATCGTCACACAAACTGCGCAGTTTGTGAAACTTGCGCCTTGCGGAAAATGTTCTTCAAAAACCTTTCCGTATGTATTTTTTGTTGACAAAAGAAGGCTGGCTTTCATTTCAGGTAAACAGGCACCATTGCATTAGATTATTAAAATAATTGTGCCCAGAATAATCTAAAATAAAAATGATGCAAGATATTTATTCAGTATGTTATTGTTTTTGTTGGTTTGTGATAGATATTTCAAATTTTTTCTAATAGGCTAGGGATGGCTGAAACGTAAAAAGAATTTCCAGCATGACCCATTTCAAAAATTGGCGCTCCCGTAGTATGTGCAACAAGATGCTGAGATGGCGGACACCTGAACATAGTATGTGTACCAGGTTAGAGGTTGGGCCATAATTTTATTCCCATTTTGCTTATTTTAGTTCTATTACGAGTTCGGGGACTAGCCAAGTGAATCCCGTAGTATTTGTACCTGAAATTATGGCCTAACCCAACCCAGTAACCTGAGACACATACTACATTCCGGTGTCCGCCATCTTGTTGCACATACTACGGGATCCCCCAAAAAATCCATTTTAAGAATTTGTAAAATCGATAACACTGTTTTCATAGTAAAATGATAGTTTGTGTGATTTTTAATGCAAAAACAATCCATTAGGTTAATCGAAATTATTGATAGGATTGAAATTGAATACCCGGAATAATGCACGTGCAGTTTCAAGTCTTTCGTGGCGTCTAGACCATGGCGGGATTTCCAAACCATGGCCGCTATGACCAAACCCATGGCGACTGACTTTTTAGCTGCCACAAACCAATAGCAGGCTGCCGTATTTACGGCACCAAATCGAAGACCACCAAATTTGCTGTCGTAACCACGGCATGTCAGCTGTAATAGCAGGACTGCCCCTGATGGTGATAAATAATGGATAAGTTGGAAAACTTTTCTTATGAATACAGTTTTGCATGATAAACTAAAATATTGTACATGACTTTATATATAAATAAACCGGTAATAGCGCGATAAAACCATGGCAAGAGACGCCGCGGTACGTTCGTGGCAGAAGCTGCCATGAAGTGGTAAGAACTGTGCCTCGAATAATGTGCAGATCTGAGTTTCGTGGGGTATTAGGATAGGCCTTACATATTTATTCTGTGGAAAGGAAAGGTGATAAAACGGTCCAATCATATGGCAAACCACGGCCTCTCTTTATTTTCTATATGTGGAAATATCTCCAGATAAACGTTTCCTATGTAGGGACTCAGATTGGAGAAAAAGCTGTATGTGTGTGTGTGTGTGTGTAACAGCAAGCAATGTTTGGCTTTCCTCAATTCAAGGATGACACAACGCCAGCTTGGAAGATCATTGGCATTTCTAAATTATTTTCCTGTTCAGCTATTTCTGTATTCTCTAACTTTAACTTTAATGCGTTTCACGACCTGCATTTTCCATCAACTTTCCGATAGGCTACTGCAATACAGCAATAAGACTTGTAAAATCAAACTCCTGAAAAGATTACCTATTTCGTACTGTGTCGTTCTAGTTCTAGTCGCTGTGTCCACAGATCTAGCTTGCCTTTGTCAGTTTGCTGGTTTGTGGAAGACATGGATAGGTATAAGCTTCCGTCTGGCTACTCACCATGCCGCAAAGTCAAAACGGTTTTACAACGCTAACACAATCATCGGGAGTACTTTCACCTACAAAAACGTACTTTCACCTACAAAGTAATACCGGTACCGGTAACGCTCTGTTAGCAATGCCTCAATGCCGCAACCCGCAGAAACCTTGAATCTCGCTTGTCACCGGCTGCAAAACGAGCGAACGATTTCTGTTCTACAAGATGGCGGCCAAGACTTTTGTATTTATATCAAATATACAGGATTTTCGAATACCTGATGATTTCAGAATCAAATCGAATATTTGTATGTGACTGTTTTATTGCAATGGGTCCTCCAGACGCACATATTACTGAAAACATAAAATTCACCACTCAGTTAGTTCGCTGAGCGTTCAAACACAATGGGAAACATGTTTCAGCAACAACTAACTTGGAAACACGAGTCGTAGAAATTAGAAACAGGAGAAAATTGTAAAATTCGCCTCTACCTTTGGCCGTACGTTCTTAACATATAGTTGATCGTAAACCGTATTGAAATCTTCACATATAATTTGTGAGTTGTAAATTCGTTTAGGGATGCCTGTTAATTTATTACTATAGTTGTGTTTTGTGAAGTGCACATATAATGATACCCTCCCAGTCCCATCTGCTTCCCTATTTTTCATGTCCGCCATAATACCAAAGAATAACTGCATGAGACGACCGACCCATGGTGAACTACAAATCCAGTTACAAATGGCCTGTGGCTCGCAAGTTGCGTAGGTTTTGTATTAATGATGGGGTAGATGTATACTATATAGTCGTAGTGTATATATACATTATATCAACTGTGGGCAAACACAAACCGCGGCTCGTCGGAGTTTTCATACGGCTCTACTCGCTGGCTATAAATATATTTTATCCAAATTTAACTAAGAGAAACTTTAGCGTAACAGTTTTTTTTTTAATTCATTAAGCGGTTGAAGAATATATACTTTGCGATATTGTTACTATACGTTTGTGTGAAGTTCTTTTCAGTTCACGGTATTCTAGTATTATTAATTTTAAAAAATATGCGGCTCTCACATATTTGTGACTTGCTGCATGCGGCTCTTATACTAAAAAATTGTTTGTTCGCGGCCTTTACAACAAGGTATGTCACGGGACGGAAACCTATTGGCAGGGGGATATTCATTTGGCTAACACAGACAGTCCCCGAACCCGTAATAGAACTAAAATAAGCAAAATCGGAATAATATTATGACATAACCAGTAGTGGGATTCAGCCGGTTTGCACCGGTTCTATAGAACCGTCTCACGGAATTTTATGAGATCAGCGAACCGGTTGGCATTACTGGTTACTGTCAATGTTCTGTTTGTAACAGAACCGGCTGAAAAATATGAATTTGGAAGATATTTTAAAAAGTATCTGAAAAATGTCCAAACCATCAGAGCAATGAGTAGAGGTTTATATTTGACAATTAGTTGGCATTGTGAGAACTGAATGCAATGCCTGAATGAAGTTACGTAGTTTAAAATTTCATTTTTTCGTGATCTTGTGGCTTTTTAACTATTCATAGCCAGTGTCTCTGATTAAGTGAGTATATTTTGATTCATTGATTCAAATACAAAAAAATAATGATTTTCTTTCCAATTCGGCTGAATTCGCCATGGTTATTACTCAATTCTGCAATTACTGGATTACTTTTTTCTTATTCTCATCACTCAAAGCTTTTTTGCGTTGCAAGCACTGCATTTATCCATAAACTTCCCGATAAGCTACTGCAATGAGATTTGGCTACTGTAAAATCAACTCCTAAAAAGATTATCGCTGTTGTTGTGTCTGCAGATCTAGCCTCGCATTTGTGGAAGGCATGGATAAGTATAAGATACCGCCTGGCTACTTACAGACTCACCATGCCGCAAAGTCAACACGGTTTTTACAACCGTAGCACAATCGTCCGGAGTACTTCCACCTACAAAAACGTAGGCTAGTAAATACAGAAATATCTGTAAAGGAATAATTTCGATTAGCAATGCCGCAACCCGCAGAAACGTTGTGTCTCACTTGTCACGTCTTTCGATAGCCCGAAATCTATATAGACGGGACGGAAAACGTATCAAACGCGCCACTCTAAGCCCCTTTATCCACAAACAAGACACATGCATAAATCAACTTCTTCTTTATACACTTGGCAAAGAACAGCGGTTTTCAAACGTTTTCCGATCCGGGTGACTAATACAATCAAAAAAAATATATATAACAGATAAGAAAACAGTTCACAATACGACAAATATCTGTGGCTCTTAAACGCCGAATACGTGATGCGAAAGTGGCAAAAAGGAAAACGCTACACCAGACAAGAGATAAAAGTACTAATTTAGGCTACAACCCAAAGGAAAAAAGGTAACAATGGTCTACAATAATTGGCTCGCAAGTTGTGTGGGTTTTGTAATAATGATCTCGAGAAGATGAATACTGTGGTACCGAGTCGTCCAACCCATGGCCCGCGGGCCACATGTGGCCCGCCGAAGGTTTCCGAGTGGCCCGCGCGGTATAATTCGGAACCCGATGTCTTTCACAAATCTGAGCCACTATTGAAACCTCTAATAAAAAAATTATTTCTCGTCGTTCAAACGCGCAAGAATCACCACCGAGCTATCGAAAGCTTATTTAAGTCTCTTTGCGGGCGTTATTGCTGGAGAAAGATATTTGAATTTATTATCATCTGCCATGTATTTCAATCTGTTTTCCTGCTTTTTTTCTATTCATGACCTCAATATTTGACAGCTCTTACTTTTACGAGCAAGTTTTTTCCCGAATGGACCATGTCAAATCCCCCGTGAGATCACTAATTTCTGACAGTCATATGAAAAATTCGCTTCGCATTGCTATATTGTCCATCGCATCGAATATTGACAAACTTGTTGGATAAAAGCAGTGTTATACTTCCCATTGAAATATTTATGTGTGATAAAAACTTTTGACTTTACTGTATCTTCGTATTTTCATTGTTCTTATAATTTTGGTGTGAGGGTTTCGTTTGTTTTTTATAAACCTGTAGTCGGTGTAGTGAAAACTAGAACATAACCACCATGTCACGTGGCCTGCGCAATCATTCGTAAACTACATGTGGCCCTTCGGCCATGGAGGTTGCAAAGCCCTGCTGTAGTGTATAGTACAGTATATCTTTCCCAGTACCGAAATCTTTTTTGTCGGTATCATGATAAATTGTGTGTGTGCGGAATGAAAGTTCTGTGAAACATACTATATATAATTTTGCTTTTAAGCGTTTTTATTGATAAAGGTGCATTCGCCAGTCACCATTGAAAACCGAAATATACGAAATAAATTGGACATGTAATGAAAATACTGTATATAAAAGAAAATGTTACCATTTATCTAACTGAGACCACCTAAAAGTAATCAAAGCGAACGATGTAGAATAGATCTCTGTCATATGTATTTGTAAAATATCAGGTTTTCATATTTAATATCTCTAGACACTTTAACATTTGAACTGCAGCGGAAAGATTACATGACTATAAAAGTAGATTGCTCCACAATTATAGTTGCACTAGTGAAGTTATGAATGAGTATTACAGACAGTTCTAACGATTTCCTAACGATTTCCTTTATCGTAACATAAAGCGATATTGAACTAACCGTGTATGACAGATGAAAATTTGTTGTTGCGTATCCGATGTGATAGCTGTTATATTTTCAATCATCAATATGAAAGTCATTATGACTAGTTAACAATAGTGTCCGATGAATTGCAGAGAATCGAAATATTGGACTGCTATACCGACAGCAGGTTTGACTTTAAGGCAGCTACACACGACTGCTAGTTAGTTAGGTGTAGATTAGGTAAATACTTGTTCTTTTAATCACGTTCGCGTCTTTCTATAGCCATAATCAGGGATGTGCAAACTGCGACCCCTAATAATGCCGTAAGATCAAAATGAAAAAATTGTGCCTGCATCTACAAGAAAGGCTATCTTAAAAAAAAGTGCGACCCGCGGCCTCAACCCAGTTGCTTGTATCTGGCCTTGGTTGCACACCCCTGGCCTAAAAGAATAATGGTGGAGTACGTGAAGTTATAAGTGAAGTTTGGTAAATACGATATTGTGTTGTATGAAAGTATAAGGTGCTTTTAACAATTTATGCGCCTGACAATTTAAAACCAACCAATGAAGATTTTTGGGTGCTCCCGCAGTATGTGCACCAAAATGGAGCACAAACTGAACATAGTATTGTACCGGGTTAGGGTTATCAGGTTGTGCGACATCTTGGTGCACATACTTCTGGAGCGCCGATTTTTGTTTGTGCAATATATTTGTCACCACTGAAACACATCGGTTCCAAATTAAATTAAACGCGGTAGTTCTTTGTATTGACCGTAAACTCCTCGAATCTGATTAAATCATTCCATTGATATTGTTATGTTAGTGTTGCTCATGTTGGTGTGTTGTTCTGGTATAAATTTGTGATTTTCCCTATTTCATTTGTGCATATTTCAGGTTCAAATTTGCAATTTTTTTACCCAGTTTTCGCGGTTAAATGAGTTCTGTTATAATCATCAGTTTGAAAAAGGTTTTCTACGAAAATACAGAATGAAGAAAAACAACTCCGGTAAAAGAGAATTTGGAAGTGAACGAAACTTTCATCCATGTGCATTCGGCTTTGCCATGGCTGTTGGAGCAGATCACGGTGAGTGATGTTCGGAAATTTCATATTTCTGTACATTTTCTACATATCTATTACGGTACTAAAGAATAATGATATTATCATAAATATTGTTCAGCCCTGGCTGCTTTACAGAGCAGTATGAATGTTAAAGGTGGAATCGGCACAAACTCTCTTCTTGTCAAAGATACAGCTGCAATCATCGGAAGCCTGATTGTCGTCCCTGTTGTACTTCAAAAATATGGACAGAAATTTTCTCTGATTATTGGAGTAATACTCAATATTTTACTAATTTTGGCAAATTTTTACCCAGGTAGGTTAAATGATAATGGAGAACTGCCTTCCAATTTGAAATCCTTGTCGGAACTTGAATCAAAGAAAAAACGTAGTTTTATTAATTAATATCAATTCACCATAAAACTCCTCATTACAAAAGAGCGAGAAAGATTTATCATTTCGTCAACTAGAAAACGAGCATTGCAAAAATAAAAAGTGTACAACATACGCAAAGTTATTTGGTATAGACTGGGGGAGCGATACGACTATCAGATAATTGAGAAAGAAAAATAAGCAAGAATTCAGTTCAACCGGGTGCAATATTGAGGTCTGGATCGTCTGACTAACCTGAATGATTGTAGGTACTCCTGAAGTATGCGCACCAAGATGTCGCACAACCTGAACCCTAAGCTGACACACAACCTGAGTTCAGGTTGTGCGCCATCTTGGTGTGCATACTTCAGGAGGTCCTTATTTTATTTAACACTGAGGTACCAGTGCAAATTCGGCTATGAAAATCCTGTGGTCCGTTCAATAAAAATGTATCAGTATATTTATATATATATATATATCGTTTCGTTCAGTTTGGTACACAATGTATTCTACGGCATTCTTTGCTGGCATAGGAATGTCATGTGCATGGGTGGGATCTTCCGTGATGATTCAGAGTATTGCGTCCAATGTTGATATGAATCAGGACGTCGATTCTTCTTCACAAAAGTACTTTGGGATGTTTCTTGCGATATTGTCGCTGGCTCAAGTAGGTTTATAGCAACTAACCCCCAAATGTACCCCATTTCATGTTGAAATCATCATGACAAAGTTAATTTTTCCCAAAATTCGAACAAAGACTTTCGTAGGAATCAAATTACACCAGGTTTAAGAACATAACAGGTTTCATCCAGTCATTATCAAATTAAAATCTATATTCTCAAGACCTTTGGCACTGATTGAAATAATTATCTCTAAGTTCCCATCCGTACGATGTACATAATTACCCTTGTTGAGATAATAGGAATTTCTGTTTATAACGTGAATCACGAGCTCACGTTTACAGCATTTAATTGGATTTATGATCAACGTATAAATACGACTCCGATATCTTTCGAGAGAGAGAAGTCGATGTAAATTGTAAACCACTCAAAGCTAGTGTGGATAAATGTTATAAGATTTATATTCTGTGTGTTGTGGAAATTTACGAATAAAAACATATAGAGATTTTTAACGCATCTTCATTCACGTGGGCGTTGAAGCTGAAGGGTGAACGGGTGACTTGCAAGTCAGAGACAATCTACGAAATAGCAATATACGGTAACATCACATTCATCTAACAATCATTTATGCTATAAATGGTGACAAAACCGACTTGAATTAACCATCTGAAACGGACCAGATCAACGGACAACAACCAGGACAAGCAACAATTGGACGGAATCAACCAAAAAGCTGACCAAGCGAAAGTTTTCAACAATTGCCGAGAAACCGTCTCTACAATACGTGCGAAAATCAAATTCGACCAATTTACGAACGTCGGGGAGATTCAAATTGCCTGGAACAACGATTGAAGTAGCAAATTGCTGACAAGCCGAAATAATCAAAAACATTATGAAAAGACAATAAACTCAATTGAAAACAGTTGCACTATGGTAACAGACTCTGGAAACGTTAAAATTATGAATATGGACTGTATTGAACATCGATCGAAATGAACTCTTTCAGAACATGGTATATGTTCGAGATGAAAAACCTAATCAAAAACAAACTGTTGAAAACAATGAACGATATGAACTGTTTTACGGTAAATTACGCGCTCTATTCCAAACAATAGAGATATTTTCGCGCATACCTAATGGATATACAGATCAGGAGCATGTTAAATCTACAATTTGTTTCATGATTTGCAGGTTTTTCTCCTCATTGAGACAGACATTTTTCATTCTTCCACTATTACTAAGGTAAAGTACTTCTTTTTCTTCTTATATAAATATACATGGCGTTTCATTCGGCTTTCAATTTTTATAAATTAATTAATGGTAAAACTTTGAATATTCTAATTTCAAATACCTTTAAAGAGATTTATATTATTGAATATTTGTGGTTAGCATTCCTTTTCGATTAAATAGATTTCGTTATTATTAAAATGCTCTCTAAAAGTAGATTCGAGCGAGTCATACTTTTAATTATTTACAAAGCCGTCATATAGAACGGTAAAATAATAAGCTCGTTTAACAAAAATTGTATCCAAAAGCGTTATTTTTTTAAAAAAGCCCTGAGATGGCATAAACTTAAAAATGCGTTTTTTCTTCCCGACATGGGACAAGCATATATTGACTAACTAGGTCTACAAAATCGTAACAATGCGATAAAGCGAGTATAAGTATTTTAACTTAGCGAAATACATTAAATTGAAAATATGTTGTAACCGTCCAAACCAAAATTTTTCAAATAAAAATACGCCATCCTTCTGTAATTCTACTTTACAATCTTTACTCTTTCTATAAACTCTTCTTTATTTCAATGTCGTGTCTCATTGTAGATCATATACATGTAAATATTTTTTTGACCTATATCATTAATTTTAGCATTGTGTATTGTATTTTTTTTATATATTTCCACTTTATTAGAGGGTGCCAAATCTTTAAACTTCCAGTTATTAAGATGGGGAGATAATATAGCAACTAACCCCCAAATGTACCCCATTTCATGTTGAAATCATCATGACAAAGTTAATTTTTCCCAAAATTCGAACAAAGACTTTCGTAGGAATCAAATTACACCAGGTTTAAGAACATAACAGGTTTCATCCAGTCATTATCAAATTAAAATCTATATTCTCAAGACCTTTGGCACTGATTGAAATAATTATCTCTAAGTTCCCATCCGTACGATGTACATAATTACCCTTGTTGAGATAATAGGAATTTCTGTTTATAACGTGAATCACGAGCTCACGTTTACAGCATTTAATTGGATTTATGATCAACGTATAAATACGACTCCGATATCTTTCGATAGCAGGAAAGAAGACGATGTAAACCATTCTAAGCTAGTGTGGATAAATGTTATAAGATTTATATTATGTGTATCGTGGAAATCTGAGAATAAAATCAAACAGAATTTACCAACATATATGCTATAGGTTTTTTCAAAATTTTGTCTCCAGATTTATGTGTATGAAACAACTGAAACTTACTACGTCTGTATACTATTAACCAATCAATATAAGACCTTGGTATACAGCCAAGATTAAGACTCCGTTAATATTTAGATATCGATAGTTGATATCTATAACGGAGAAAGTCATTTGCACTAAAACATTTCTCGCGGAGTTAGTTAAGCGAAAGAATTTAGATGAATATCAATATTACTATTGGAAAATGATTAGTAATTCTTTGTAAATCTAATCAGTTAAAAGATTTCCCGCATACGTAAAAATACTTTACCGGAATTCGACGAATTACTTTATAAAATTCATTTACAGTACTTCTTTGCAGTTTCACGGCCAACAGAAAAGTGTAATTTCATTTCTAATTCTTTTTTTTTTAACATTTTGGGTCACTTATACACCAGGTATTCGTTAATATTTTGACCGAACTGATACTTGGCTGGAATAGCATTGCACGATACATTGGCAATTTTGTTGAGGGGGACTCGAATTACAGCAGCGTATTTGCTTCTTATAATTTAACGTCTGATAACCTGTTGACATGTGGCGCAGGGGATTGCCCGGTGAGTAATCTCATCGTTTTTTTTTTAATTCTTCAGGCGTTTCCATGGAATGACCATATTTCCCAATCACACGAATGTATTATATTCGTATAATTATCCTTGTGCGATTGTTTCAAACTTCAACTTTGATATTTATTTTTCGTTGTGTTTGCTATTAACGTTTTACCTTGTCGACAAAACCAAATGTGTTTACTACTAGTTTCACATATGTTGTTTTCATCTAGGATTCTAGACGAATATATTTCAATGCTTTTTTAGTAATTGCGATTTTTCCTATTATTTTATAATGTATTGTAAATGGTACTCCCGTAGTGTGTGTACCAGGTTAGGGTTAGGCCATAATTTTATTCCGATTTTCCTTATTTAAGTTCTATTACGATTTCGAGGACTGTCTGTGTTAGCCAAGTGAATATCCCCCTGTCCATAGGTTTCAGTCCCTTCACACAACTTGATGTAAAGTAGGCGAACAAAACTAGTTACCTCCATATTGGTACACACACTTCTGAAGCGCCTTGTAAATTTTAGTTCTTATTGTAAACAACAGTGTAAAAACTCACACAGTCGTGTTTAACGCGTTACTAGACGGTCGGTTTTACAATTCAGGATAGCAATGGATAATTTTCCATAATGACACTTGGACGTGGCATTGATTCAAACAATTTTCTAGATTAAGTACTCATTTCATCAGACGTCTGGCAAATTTTCCGTGCTTATACCGGATCAAACATTGCTACGAGTTCTACTTGTTGTATATGTCTTAATGCAGATGGGAGGAGTTGCTATTCATTACTTCTTTATCAAAGGAACGAATGAACAAGGTAAATATCAAAATTTAACATCAAAATTTGGTTTTAGTTCGGTTGTGGCAGCATCAGGCGGCCAGATTGAATAACCCAACGGGCCTTAGATTGCCCATGTCACATGTAAACTCATTTCACGTCAGCAAGAATTTCGTTTTTCATTTTCAATAGAGATTAGCCCATTGGATTCAACGCCTCTACTAGCAGAGAAAAAGAGCGATTTCATGACCAGTATCAAAAAAAAATTGAAATATGCCACTTCTTTGCAAGAACTTTTGACTTGTCCTGTAAAGTTGCTATTCGGTATAACAATGGCGTATATTTGGACGGAACACAACAGGGCATTTGTGTCTTGCGTTGTTGGAGTCGATAAGGTTTGTGATAATGTTTTTCTCCAAATTTTTGAAGTGAGACGCCCTTTCACCCTTTCAAAATTTGTCACATAAAATAATTTTTGACGTGCACTTATTTAATGCAAAGTGATACGGAATCCGGCGCTCCGGAACTGTGTGTACCAATATGCAGGTAACTAATTTTGTTCGCCTACTTCACCTCAAGTTGTGTAAATGGACTGGAACCAAATGGACTGGAACCTATGAAACCACTTGGCTAACACAGACAGTCCCCGAACTCGTAGTAGAACTAAAATAGGGAAAATCGGAATACAGTACACTTATGGTCTAACCCTAACCTGTTACACACACTATGGGAGTACCCTGAATCCTACAAATTTTGTAGTGACTGAGTAAATAATCTTTTATGCATCAATATCAGGTTAGAATATGTACTGCTATCATCAATATAATGTCTTTCGCCACATCTCTACTTATTTCGAAAAATTCGAAGAAAATAGGATTACCAGTTTTATTTACCGTGGGATTGGTTTACGACTTGATCAACTATACTTGTTCGTTGTTATGGAGACCAACAGTTTCTACTAAATTCGTTTCATACATCTTGTCGGTTACTTTTGGAATTACACACGGCATCAGACGTAACATCTCATTCTGTAAGTACAACTTCATATTTGTGCCCGATCCACGACGAAGAAGGGTCTTAATTAATCCTTTCTCCTGGCCAGGTCGAAATCAAAACACCTCAACATAAAAATTCGCAATTGACTGGTAAGTTAGTTGCGAATGAGTTCTACACAACAAGACTTTGGCAAATCGATCTATATGTGTCTCTTGATCAGGGACGGGCCAAACTTTTCTGCTGCCCGGGGCGAGTTTCTGATAATATTGCCCATTGTCCCCATTACTTCAAAAATACTCTGGGGGCTAACCAAATTATAAATGCTGTTATACATAAGAATAAATTAAATAAAGGTCAAGTAAGAGTGAAAGGTTTGTGTTGTTAAATACATCATCAAACTAAGCAATGAACTCACAATATAAGATCGAACTCATTTATTAACAAAATACAAGTCACTCATTTTATGCCCAATCGCTACTTTCCTATCAACAAATGTCTGAACGACAGCCTCTTTCATCTCGCTCGTCAGGAATTACTTTTCGATGCAAATCATGCAATCACATCGAGGACCTCAAATATGTTTTTTTCTGTTTCAGAAAGATCTTTTGCCACAAGCAATTGTGTAGCCAATTGTGAGTAATGAACAATATGCAATGCCCAAAGTTGGAAAAAACATCCCAGTCAATCTCAACCAATGAAGCAAGGAAATCTTTACCACATTTTGGAAATCTTTGTTTCCACTTCGGAAAAGCGACGTAACAGTAAACGTTTTAGCAGCCGCACAGACAGATTTTCTCGCATGGTTATAATCATTACCTCGTTTTCGCATGATATTTGTTAGTTTTGTGATTCGGAAATTTTAGTCTCCTTATTGCAGTAATCAAAAATTAGTCTAGAATAGCTGTGATAAACCTGAAAGCAAAAATAAGCCTTCTTCCTCCTTTCCCATCACCAACTGTGAGGAATATGTAGCATTCAATATATTTAAGTTTATTCCCAATCCCAATGGGGTCGCTTGGGTCCGCAAATGCCCGGAACAATAGTCGCGTACGTGTGATGCGTTTATAAACTACAGCTTTATAAACCTCTAATTATAATTATACATAGTTATAGTATACAGCAGGGCTTCCCAAACTTTTGAGCTCGCGGCCCCTTTTGATATATTAAAATTTTTCGCGGCCCTTGTTCAAGTTAATTATGCTAAACAGTTTGAAATATGCATTTTTGATATTTTACCGACACAGCTAATTCCCAGCTTTTAGTAGGCCTACTCAATAACAAAAACAAGCACATATTTACTCAGATTAAAGTTACTCAATTATTCAATGTAATGGGTGCGAATGCTTTTTGCTGCATAGCAAGTTCAGCCGTGGCGCAATGTTTGTTTATGCAGGCCTAATAATGAATTTCGATGTCTGCCGACCGACAACCTGGTTCTGATCCGGAATTGTTCACTCTTATTGATCAAACTTAGCATAAAGCAGCGGTTTGCAGCGGCACCAAATCATCAAGGAAAAAACTAATGGCGCACCTCCACGAAAAATATGCTGTCGCAAAATAAAACACAAGTTGGTCATCGTTAAAATGGATTTTATGCCTTTTGAGGTTTTTAAACATGTAGGCCTAAAGAATAAAGGCAAAATGTTAACCTTTCTTTCTTAACTCCGCCTAGTTTTCCTTTAAAATGCTTAAAACTCACTCATGTTCGATAAACTCGGTTCAGCAATTGAATAAACTGCGGCCAACGAAATTGCAGCATTAGGGTTTACCTGCTACGTAACAGAAAGTAAATAATATTGAACGGTAAAATGAATTTGATTTATATACACATCATTTGCTTTAATGAGAAACAATAAAACATTTAGAATAAATAAAATATGTAATATGTTTCGAGGCGCACTAGCAAATCGCCATCCGGAACCGCTAGCTTAGCGATTAAAGTCGGCATTGTTATGCAAGCACGCATATATATTGGGTCTAACGATCAGAATATGCATTGTTATGCAAGCGCGATGATTCTACCGGTTTCCCCCAAAATAAGTCCAAGCCGGAATTTTAAAAATGTTTTCAATACAACCGCTGGCATTGAAAAAAAACTTCGTCGATAGCGCAATTTGTTTACCTAATCCCGTGGAAGTTTCAATTCTGCTAGGGCGTCGCAAAATTTCCTGATGATGTTATAATTAATGAAAATTCGGTTTTCTGTAGATAACGATTGTTTTCCCTGATTCAAAAAGCGTTTCGCACGTCATCTCCTTTGCGATTTCGTATTTATATAAAGCAGGCTTTTTTACCATGGCCCAATAAATGTGATTCCACTGACTGTTGTTAGGTTTTGTTCGATAGAAAGAAATCTACGTTTCAAATGGTTAATAATCTATATGTAGCAGCTATTTTAAATGAAAACGTGCTATTAAATTGGTATCATATTTCGGTATTCATATTTTGTATATTAGAAAAATCTCGTTATTCTCCACACCCCCCAAAAATGAGCCCCAGTGTTCGAAAGAAAATTGGAGACAATGTCTTATTTTTGGGAAAACACGGTATGATGATGTATATTCACTCGGAATCGTGAAATTATCGTTTTACACTATTTTTAATAATTGTATTTCAAATGAAGAGTGAAAAAGTGCAATAGATATAGTACTTTGTGTGAAATTGGTGTTCTCTTCGCGGGCCCTAGAATTCGTTTCGCGGCCCCTTCCAGGGCTACGGGCCTTAGTTTGGGAAGCTCTGGTATACAGTAACTGTTTTCATACTTATTAGCTAGCCTACTACATATTCAAATGCATTGTTTCGTAGCAATGCTAAGTTAGCAGCATCATGTGTGGAATTGCTCGATAAGTAATTTTTTTAACAGCTTTAAACCACAGTCAGTTTTAAAAGGGCTTGTTTTAAATCAATTTTTTTCTGTATCTTTTGTATTCATCATTGAAATACCTTGAAAGTACGCCACGGACCTCCTGAAGTATGCGCACCAAGATGGCGCACAACCTGAACTCAGGTTGTGTACCAGGTTAGAGTTCAGGCTATGCGACATCTTGGTGCGCATACTTCAGGAGTACCTACGTCACAACATATTTTTGTGGCAGCTGCCGACGGTGTCGTAATAATAATTTCAAAAGTGTAAGAAAATGTTCTTGCTTTGACTTTCATCGCGTAAATTTATCGCCAAGTTAGTACCTGCACCAAAGTCATAAGATTTTAACAGGAATGTTTATCAGAGAGACGCTTTGTGTAAGAAAGGCAAGAAAGAGTATGAAGCATAGCGGCAACATACGTAGGTTCGAATCACGGCCGGATTCACGCGACGATTTGAAATGAATAATAGTTCAAAATTGATTGTTAAGTCCTTCGAAGTTTGGCGCACGATGTTTGACGCATTAAACCTCGAATTGATGATATGTGTGTTCTGAACACAGAGCCTATAATTCTCATTAGGCGGAATATGGACAATTACGGCTGTTTTATTGGACACGTCAGTGGACATAACGATCGTTTTGCATTTTATGCTGGCACTCTTCTACTTTTTGTTCTTCGACACGTTTTTAAAAAGTCGCTTTTCTCTTTGATTACTGAACCAATCTCTTGAGAATTTTCAGTGCTTAAAGATTAAATTTTTGCTAGAAAGCTATTGCTTTTATTTATCTCAAATATTCCAGTGAGCTGCATGGGATTCGTTTTTTTGTGTGTGCTATGATGTCATTCAAAGTTGCCACCAGGTGGCGCCACGTGTCTCTATATTTGAGCGTAGCTCTCTTGTATGTTTTATACAATTTTGTGCAAGAAAATTGCTACTGTTAATAGTAGTCTCAAAATCGATATTCAATTTCAAAGTATAGTATTTTCCACAAAATTATATGTTCACTTAAATGCTTGGGCCGCAAGAAATTCAATAATGATTGCGCCAAAATATATTTTGCAGACCACTATGCTAAACTTTTCTACTTTCAAATAACAGATAACAGGGTTTAATATTTTCATTAAAAAAATTGTTTGACACATATAAACTAGTTTAAGCCGCTAACTCGTGAAACCACCCTTAAAATGAGCACCAAAAATGTTGTAATTGTAAAATACAATAAGAATTTTTCTGGGGTCAAGGGGCGGAGAAACATCCATTGTTGACTGACTATCGCCACAGTCAGTCGTACAAGACTCTACAGCAAGGGTGGGCAACTTCTCTAGTCGGCGGGCCAGATGTGGGAGAAATGAAGTCCTCGGCGAGCCGGATTATTACAAAAAATACTTCGGTATCCAATCTTTGTTAAATGCTCGACACTCTCTGTCAACTTTACGTTTCTTGGCATATTTTATGGTTAATAAAATCTAATATTAATATAAAATGTAATTTCTAAAATCTATTTATATTTAGGATTTAAATATAACTGATAACAGTAGTGGGGAATGTTTACAACGTTCTCTGCTTTGACCTTATATTGTTTGTTTAACAAGTGCGCTAACGCAATTGTTTGTTCACTAAGGCAATTGTTTATTTCACCAACTCGCACTGACAGTGTGGTGAGAGGAGAGCGATCAGCAACTTTCAGGAATGATGCGTCGGACCACATTACAGAGTGTGGTTGGATACAGTCAGCGGGCCGGTCAAAATCTCGTCGCGGGCCGTATGTTGCCCACCCCTGCTCTACAGCTTGGCTCTGCTGCTCCCTACAACGTGCTGCCCGGGGCGGTCGTTCCTTTCGCCCCCTCTGGGCACGCCACTGCTCTTGATGTTCAACAAATAAACAAACGGTGTGAATTTAACGATTTATTCATTTATTTTCAGTGGTAACGGCAGCTCATTCGCAGGACAACGACACTGGATTTACCCTACAACTGCTATTGCTAGCACTAGGGGGAGTTATCAATACTGCCTGGAGTATTCCGCTTTGTGTCAGTGTGAAAATATACATCAATATATCCTTGACCGTATTCGCTACTTTCTGCTGGTCGATTGCAAAGGTTCTTCTAAACAGAGATAAACAGACATGAACGAGTACTAGTACAATCACGAAATACGGAGAAAGGAATTCTACAACGGGAAAACACCAAGACACCCTTATATGATATCATTTTCTTTTACAAAAAAGACGATATGGCGAATTCGATTTATTTTTCCGGTGTCTTGCAAAGAACTATTCCCCTGATGTCAACGATGCTGGAGTGACCGAGTTGGTGTATGTTGCAGAATGAAATTTCTGGTCGACATTTCACCCAAAGACATCTTTCAACCTCTGCCTTATTAATATATTCGAGACCTAATATAACCAATTACTTATGCAATACAATTAAATTATGCACAAAGCAAAAATACTACAATCACGAAGCCAGAGGATTTAACCTAAACCCTGTGTTTCAATTTATAGGTTAATTTATGGTTGACAAGGTTTATGGATTCCCGTGTTTAATTAGTACCCTGTAAATTTGGACACGCTTCGTGATTTCACATTGTCAATCTCTTCTGTGACATAACAAAGTGACTTAAATATACCCGCAATGTCGGTACTGTTAAATCTTTCATCATTCCGAAGTGAAAATCATCATATCATAGCAACCGAAAATACAACTTACCAGTGATTTCCCTACACCCCCCCTATAGGGGGTGAACACCCCCCCTAAAATTTCAAACACCCCCCCTAATTTTGAGGTGCGATTCCACACTGAGGGGTTCTAAACCGCAGTCTGCGGGCCAATTACGGCCCGCGTAACGATTGTAAATGGCCCGTCGAACTTGAGTGAAATAGTTTAACCCTTCGTGTGGTACCTTTTGAGTTTTAGATACCGTCTATTGTTACATCATTATCAGTTTAAGCACGTTTATTTCATAACAATTGAATTATTCCGGTATCTTATGTATAGGTATGGGTATTATGATTACACACTGCAGTATTTTAGGTATCAGCCATATATTAAGAAAGCTTAAAGATGTCACAAAACGAAAACTAGGCACTGAAAACAGACGTTTTTTAGATGGATGACAGCGTTTTTATTTCTTTATTGAAAAGAATCAAACTTCAGCGATTTGTCTTCTTACATAATATTTCAGTTCTGAAGGAATACAACATTATGTGACATTATGATCAGTTGACGAGCGTATTTCAAAATTTGATTCATACAAAAGTCAAACAAACATGTTCAAAAAAAGTAGAAATGTGTAACAAAACAAGCCATAAGTAGCCATTCATACAATGCCAGATGAGCAAGTAACTTCATTAGTCACTATCAGTTGCAAATTACTTGTTGAAACGTAGTAGTATATATTTACGGTTAAAAGCCGTGCTTGTTATCTATTCCCCGAGAATTCTATCAGCTAAATATTATAATTATTGATTTTATTACATAACAAACTGTGATGCTAGGTGTATCTAAAATCAAGCTTAGAGCCTATTTTGGTGCCTATTTCTCAAGATTTTCTCAGGGCGCTTAAGCGCGCCCTGAACCCCAGCCGTGTCGTCCCGCACTTTTCCTAGCTCCCCTTTTCTGGCCCTACAATTTCATTCTGCTGTGGATTTTGGCTCGCCGTCAATAAACTCGGGCCCCCCCTCCCCCTATACATCGTTTCTTGAATACATACCATTTTTTTAAGAATACAAATAGTCTAGTTTTATCTCTAATAGCAAATTATTTACCACCCCCTAAATTTTGAAACACCCCCCCTAAAGAGAAAAGCTGGGGAACATACTGCAACTTACAACGGGAAAAGACATTTGTGTGGCTCAGTAGATCAACTGATGGCTCAAAATCAACACATAGTAAACTGCGCCGATGCACATTTTTGCGTTCTTTTCTAATTTTCGGCGCAGACCTTATTTTGGAGCTCACATGGCCTTCGATTCCGCGCAACTAAGCAAGCTCTCAGAGCAGTGGTTCTCAACCTTTTTTTTCGTGGCTCATTTTTGTTGCCCAAAAATTCTTGTGGCCCATCAACCTTTTATTGCAAGGGGAAAACTACAAGAAAAATCAAGATCTTTCTGCGAAAATGAACACTTAAACGTTTATAATTAAAACAGGAATTACCTCTTAGTAGCAGAAAACAGCATCGTCATTGATTGCTGCTACAATCAAAATTACCTATTGTGACATAAATAAAACTAGCATTTTTTAATAGCACTGTGGCCTACCTCAAAATCTTTCTGTGACTCAGCAGTGGGCCATGGCCCCGTGGTTGAGAACCAGTGTCTTAGAAGCAACGTTGCTCCGGGGTAGTCTTATGTCATACATTACGAAATGATTGCCAGGTGTCAATTTTATGCTTAGTAGGTTATTATTACCAATATGGATGTTTCCCCGATAAATTCTCCCTATACTTTACTTTTGCAAATTTTTTATATACTCATTTTGAGAGTGCTTTGGAGAGTTGGCCCTCACAAACTGGTTTACATGTCTAAAACCATCATTTTTATAATTAAAAATTCCAACGACGTCCCTCCTACAGGTACTGATAGTCAATTTTAGTTTAGTCTATCGCAGCTTATTCGGAACAAATTTTTGATTACTGCGACTAAACTAAAGCTCCTAGGAAGTCATAATGACAATTAAATTATTCTATGGAAATAATGAAAACTGACTAGTACCACGAAAGCCGCGAAAACGGGCCAATGTTTGACTGATCATTCTTTGATATCTGTCTGAGGGACTGCATAAATTGTCATTTTTACGTCATCGTAGACTTTTTGCTGATTGCATAGTGTTAGGGAAATAAACAAGGTGTTAAGAAACATCCGTGCTTAAAAGTTCTTCAGATAAGTGTAATTTGATTTATTGTTTTAGTTATTTTCTGGCATACTTCTGCGGCTGTTCTTCGACTCATTGTCAAAAGGACGAGGTATTACTGCAGCTACAACCAGTAAGTCGATTTGACATAATAGGAAATGTTACTCTACGCCCAATTGATCCCACTATGAATGATAGTTCAAAATTGAATGTCGAGGCCCCCTTGTACTTGATGCAAATTTGTTAATCCGTCCCTGGTTGTAGACGATACATAGCGACGATCTATGTGTTAGCATAGATTTCATCATCGTGGTTCGGTAGCAACTAAAACATTTCTACAGATCAAAATATTTGTTTGATAAAGCATGAGGATATCTCACTCAAGTATTATTTTCCTTGGTGTGTTGTTGTCTATCTACTCAGATCTTCGGGTTCATAGTATATATTCCGATTAACCCACGGAATTGCGAATCTTCTAATACATGGGGCAAACATGGTGCGTGCTGTATAATTTTACCGCCTGTTTCATTATTTTGTGTATATTTCTGAATTTTCACTTACGATGTCCTAATAAGAAAGGCATATCTGCATATTTTAAACGACACCTGGCACTCTGTTTGTGAAATACTTCTTTGCCCAGTTTGTTCTCATTCAATCTCAATTTCTAGTAGAGTTGACTCCAAATGGATTTCTACAGAAAGTCATTAGATCGATTCGAGTGCAGAAAAACACGAGATGAATTTTACCAGTTATTTCCGTACCCCCCCCCCCCCTTCAAAATTTTAATTCTTAACGTAAATAAAATTGTATTTGAATATCCAGAAAGTGGCTCATATTCCGGTTAAGATAATCAGTCAAATACATAACACATAGATTCAAATAGTTTCATTACCAATAACAAAATATCCACCACGCCCTAAATTTGAAAACACCTAAAATGAAAATCTGGGGAATATACTGGCTTGTACGTACTATCAACTATGTTCGAGTGCATGACCAGGAAAAATAAACGAATGTTAAAATACAATTTCACAATTGTACAACCAGGAAAAATAAACGAATGTTACAATACAATTTCATTTCGATCTTTCGTCTACAACACAGAAAACGAATAAAAAACACAGACATGAGGGTACTCCCGAAGTATGTAAACCAAGATGGGGGACACCGGAACGTAGTATGTGTACCAGGTTAGGGTTAGGCCATAATTTTATTCCAATTTTACGTATTTTAGTTCTATTACGAGTTCGGGGACAAGCATACCACGTTCCGGTGTCCGCCATCTTAGTTCACATACTTCGGGAGTACCGACCGACAAGGGCGACGGAAAGATCGGGAAAAACTTAGAAAAAGATTTATAGCGAACGCTATAACCAGCGTTTAAGCACAAGACTATATCCTATGGGTTCCTTGAGCATATCGCATGTTTTATTTGAGTTCCGAAGGTTGAAAACCACTTATTTGTGAAAGATAATAGTAGCATGTAATGACGCCTAACACTTCCTCGTCGTAGAATTCATTTCTTTGTATTTCATAATCCTACAGGCATTCTTCATGGTTGTTTATCTCTGTTTAAGAGAACCTTTGCAATCGACCAGCATAAAGTAGCGGTTACGGTCAAAGATATATTGATGTATATTTTCACACTGACACAAAGCGGAATACTCCAGGCACTATTGATAACTACCCCTATCGCATGCATCAGCAATTGCAAGGTAAATCCAGTGTCCTTATCTGGTGAATGAGCTGCCGTTACCACTGCAAATAAGTGAATAAATCATAAGTTTTGATTGGTTAGTTTTATGCGAGTTTATGTTTTATTCTCGAAATCAAATACAGCTGTTGCATAGCAATATTTCAAATATACTCCCAAACTTAGAAATATGGGCGCTGCAGAAGTGTGTGTACCAATATGGAGGTAACTAATTTTGTTCGCCTACTTTACATAAGTTGTGTAAAGGGATTAAAGCCTGTGGCTAGAGGATATATTCACTTGGATAACACAGACAGTCTCCGAATGCGTAACTAAAATAAGGAACATCGAAGTAAAATTATGGCCCAACTCTAACCTGGTACACACACTACGGAAGTAACGAAATGTGAAAATCTGAATCCGACTCACGAATTCCGAATTTAAAAGCTCATAACGGCTACTAATCCAAAACCAGCAAAACTGCCAAAAACCTAGCTATAGTTGTGCTCTCTCTGAAGCAGCGAAAATTATTGTTCATTTTTATAATACTTATGTGTCTTTATAAGCATGCACCATATTCTAAAAATTGGTAGCGTCTACTTGAATGTAAATCACCTAAAAAATATATATACAAAAGCTAATAAACTAATTTGAATCAATTTTTTATCTATCAAGCACTTCAACTAATAAATATTCTAGGGCGCTGCAGAAACATGTGTACCGATATGGAGGTAACTAATTTCGTATGCCTACTTTACATCAAGTTGTGTAAAGAGACTGAATCCTATGGGCAGGGGGTATATTCACTTGGAAAAACAACCAGTCTCCGAACTCGTAATATAACTAAAATAAGGATTAAAATTATGGCCTAACCCAAACCTGGTACACATACTACGGGAGTACCACTGCTTGAATATGGGCTGGAAATAAATATAAAGTTGTACTCACAGTATGAGGTGGTTCGTCTAATGCCGTGTGTAATTCCAAAAGTAACAGACAAAATGTATGAAACGAATTTAGTAGAAACTGTTGGTCTCCAAAACAACGAACAAGTATAGTTGATCAAATCGTAAACCAATCCCACGGTAAATATACCTGGTAATCCTATGTTCTTTGAATTTTTTGAAATAACTAGAGATGTTGCAAAGGACATTATATC